TAAGAGTATATTCTTGAGGGGCTTGATGACGTACAGGGTTCTCCTTCCTGAGGCTGCTAGATTCAGCTAGATTTACTCCTTTCTTCATGTACATATACTATGCGTGAATGCAATCGAATGATAAATGCATTGTTCAAACAAACACTTGATTCTTCTGTGATACTTGCCTCTTTGCGTCGTTGATTAGCGAACGCCCGCACTTGTGGTACTCGACGTCGAACTACTTCCTCACTCCTGAAGCGGAAAGCTCTTCCAATCGTCCCTCCAATCTCCACTCGTCTCAGGCCAAAGCTGACGAAACGCCCCCTCTGCCGCTCCTAATCTCCGCACTTCATTTTTCTCTTCATCCAGCAATCTCCCGCGCTTGCTCTCATCGCATTCTTCCGCAGCCACCTTACCCTGTCTATCATCTCTAACATCCCACCCGCACATCCACTTCCGCGTGAAATGCGTAATCGCATTTCCAATCTCCTGAGCATTACTAGCGCCATCACTGAGCATATTAAAATCGGCAACATTCTTGACTTTAAGCTCCACGCTGCGCAGGGGCGCAGAACCACTTGCCATCCTGCGGAAAATCGATGCTGCCAGTGTAGCATCGATGGCGCGGTTGACAAGCGTTTGCCGCATGAACCCGTCGTCATATGAGAAGCTATTCGTATCGCCGAGATCGCCGGTGATGTCAATGGAGCAATCCAACTCAACAACGAGTGATTGAAGATGCGGGAACGTGGCTAGCGTATCGTAGAGTGCGACCTCATCTGCGTCGCCTCCGGTCCGGCGCAGTGTGATGTGCAAGTGTTCCAGCCCCGGTATCTTCGCATTCAGCTCACTGAGCTGACTGACCGATAACGACGCAGCAGGGAGCGCAAGCCGTCGTAAGCTAGCACCATGATGAACCATCACAGCGTCCAGCGTTTCCTTCCTGATTTCACCGGTTATAGCAATCTCCTCGAGCGGCACCAGCGATTCCAAGAATTCCGGAATAATGTTCACGACATTGCCCAAATAATCGAGACCGCCACCCTGGCAATTCCCTAACTCGAGGACTTTCAGTGACGAATAATTGCCATAGGATGTTTCATATCCGAGCAACCCTGCATCCGCGTTTTTCAGCCGGAGAGTGTGCAACGCAGGTAGGTTGGCATGGGTGTCCCATGAGTTCAGCTCTGACCAGCCGCCGCCGACGGACAGACTAGACAAATTGACCTTCCCTTTCGCTTCCTGGGCGTGCTTGAGACCTGGGAAATGCACGTAATCAAATGCACTTGGCTCGGACTCTGAGCGGCGCGATATGATATCGATATCTTCGACCCAGGGACAGTAGTGGGCTAGCATCTCAGCCAGCGCGTTGGGCGTGTAGTCCGTGGGTGCGATATTATCCCAGACGGTATCCGTTGCAATCGTGCGCAGATTTGGCAATGACACGATTGCGAGATCGTGGGCACTTGGTTCGATGAGCGAGGTGCAGCCTTTCGGAAGGCGGACCCTGAGGCTGTCCAAGCTGAAGTTGCTGAGATGGAGTCGACATGATCGATGTTTGTAGGAAAGTACTGGTAGCAGTGCAGATGGTAGTGAGCCGTGGCACTGGAAGTGCATGTCTTTCAGACTCGGGAGTACTTCCATGAAACGTACCAGCGGTAGCCACGCATCCTCGTACTTAAAAGGCGGTGTAACAGCCACCTCTTTATCTGGAGCCTGATCACGTGAATGACTTTCCCAGTCAGCATAGACATCGCCTCGAACTTTGAGTGTCCGAACATGTCTGAAACTGTCGCTAGGCTGTAGAGTTGCCGTCCATTGTTCTATCGCGGCGGCTAAACTCTCTAGATTTTCGATGCGGATGCTTAGCGTCCGAAAAAGCGCACAAGTTGCTGCGAGACGGCATCGTCGGTTTACCAAGGAGAAGCTTGCTACGCTGCGTCTGTGGGAGGCATCCAAAATATTGGTGATGCTCTGCAGCACCTCCATTGGCAATTTTTCTAGACTTGCACGTGCCATTTTGAGCCCTAGTATATGATAGTAGGTGCGTGTGTAGATAGAGTTTCGGGCCCGCCCGAAAGATTTATATTCCGAAATTCTGGAGATGGTACGACTGATTGATGAATAACGGTGCCAATGGTGTTGTAAGAAGCTTATATGCACGTCTTCCGGCTTACTTTCCTTGCAAGTCAATGATGCCAAGAAGAGTTGAGCCGATTCGGCCCTCCTTTGTTTGAGTCTGTTCTGAAACCACAATGATACCTTGGCATACATTGCCAGCTGTTGTGTATTATGTAAAGCCGTTGCGATGCGCTGAGCACGAAGGTGCCTATGTTTCATGGAGGCCATAAGAGCAGTTAGTACGGGAGATGCCCAGTCGATTCTTATGTTTGCGCGAAGAACGTTTGGAAAAAAGTCGACAAGCATGTTCATCTGACCTATTCGCCGGTACAGCATCCTCTAAAGAACAAGGATTGAACCTCTAAATTAACGAAGCAGCATTTTGAGTTGCTTCAGCATTACCAGTCCACGTATCTGTATTCTTCTGTCAGCCTTTCCTCCGCAACTGTGTTGTAATCAGACTTACACTCTGTTCCTGCCGGGTCCAATAGCATACTAGCGTTGTCTTGCCCAATCCCTGCCATCTCCAGTTGCGCATTGTTAGCTTCGACCATCGATTGCGCATCCATAGCACCTGCTGCGTCGCCACTACCTTCGAAGCCAGTTAAGTCGCCTCCACCCCCACTAAAGTCACCGCCACCACTCCAATCCCCTCCTGCAAGTCCTTCCGCGCCAGAAAACATGTCGCCAGCCGCATCTACACCGAGAGCCAGGGGCACCTATACCTGCAACGCCGATGGCTGCGCGCTTGCCCCATTTCTTCCAATCTGCTGGCTTACCGTTAAGGATGGGCGGCAGTTGGAGGACCAGCGACACCTTTCTGAAGTTGTGTGAACTTGGAGGACATCTTGTTTATCATGCTTCCGCCCATCATTGAGGAACGTTTGCCTTGTTGTTGTTGTTGTTGTTGCTGCTGCGCCTGTGTTTGAACTTGTTGCGGATGAACGCCCTGCTGCTGATACTGAGCAGAAGGCTGCGCGAGGTGAGTAACTTGTTGTTGGGGCTGTATAAATGCATGGCCTTGTTGCTGGGGCTGGACGAAGTTGTTAGGTTGTCGCGGGTAAGACGGCGAGGGTCCTTGCCGTTGCGGAACGAAATTCCCAACGATGTTCGTGCTCGGCAGCGCATATATCTGAGACTGCTGCTGTGGAGAAGCTATGTGGTTGTTGGCTATTTGAGACCCTTGGGTGCTCGGTGTTGTTGGCGGGCTCAAGATTTGCAGAGCTTGTTGAGGGTATTGAGGGAATATGCTGCTATTCGGACTAGCAGCTGGTGTAATAAAGTTGGGCTGTTGCTGAGGATACTGGTTTTGCAGCTGAGGTATCTGCGAAGATGCTGGAGACTGGCTGTGATTTGTAGCTGGAGAGAATTGTTGTGGATTGGCCTGATATTGGTTATACTGCCGCTGTTGCTGTTGCAGCAGAGCATGCGGGTTTTGGTGCTGCTGTACGACAGGAGCCTGTGCATACTGATTTTTCGGTGATTGATGGGGACTTGGTGCTAGTGGGAAGTAACCCGTGGTTACTTGCGGCGGAGGAGTTGGATATGCCTCGACGTAGACCCCCTGCTTCACTGGAACCGGCACTTGAACTTGCGTGGGTGAAGGCTGACCAGGCACGGGCTTTCTCTGGAGAAATTGCTGACGCTGTACAGGGGGTAGTGATGCCGTAGGCAGATTCCAAGTACTTTCGTTCGTCGAAAGATTGATGTAGAAGCTACGCGCAACGCCGATCAGCCACAAGTCTATTTCCTTCCTTGCTTGTATCTCTTACTGTCTAGCATACTGCTGGCTCCACTCTGCTTTCCAGCCTAGGGGAGCATTGGGCGGGGTTGACATTCATTGTGGAGTAAATTTGAATACTTGTCCGAGCTGAATGTCAGTTTCCTTTCTTCTCTGGGATGTTGTATGCTCTGAACGATTGACCACGCAAATTTAGAGTGAGTTCTGGAGATCTGAGATAAATATGGCGGCTTTCATCGTCTGATAAACCTGCGGCGGTCCGGTTGGTGAGGCTGAGATCTGGCTGACGCCAGATTCCCAAAGTGGTTCTAATAAACGAATGCACATTCTTGCCATCGCATCGAGCGAACAGTAATTGTTGACCGGTAAAGCCTGTCGCACACACATGGTAGATTCGATGTACGCAAATTTTGACTATTGTGGTATGTCTTTTGGACGTGGCTTATCAGGTTTTTCCATTGCGCTCAAGCCGACGAGTTGAACAAAGCCGAAAAAAGCGACGTCTTATAATATGCTGCGGCCTGAGGAGACGAGTATGCTTGCTATTCACATTGTCATGTCTGAAGGCGACTAGACTGCGAAGGTGGCATTCTACCTAGACGAAGAGGGGTTGCCAAGCCACTAGCCGCAGCTGAACTTCTATTTGGGCCCCATCTTCAGCTCTAGGCTTTTGGCGTAACCACTGTAGCCAATACTTTGATGTCAATATGTTCCTGTGTGTCGCACTTTCTAGCACATGCTCGCACCCCGAGACAACTGGTTTTATGCTTTGAAATGCAATCCCCCACCGTACGATTCCGCCGGGTACTCGCCAGGTGAAAGCGATCTCAATCATTGCTCACCTGACTCACCTATCGCACTCCATGTCATGCAAGATATATTAATGCATCAATAGTATTTGGCAGGCTACTTTTCCGCTTGATCACGAATTCCATAGCCTGAGAAATGGCTTGCAGAACCTGCATCCAAACGCCTTGCACGTCGACCACGAATGCTCGGCAGTCCTGGGTCGCTTTCGTATAAACTCGGTCGTCGCGATGTACTACCTGAATGATGTGGACCCTGTATGATCGTGCGAGCGCCTTCCCCGGTCCACTCCTGCTGTCGCTGCTTGTTGTCGTTGTGCCAAGTCAGTGCTGGATCAACCCTGACATGCCTGCCGTTTTGCACCAACCCATCGACCTCGTTTTCCAAATCCCGGCGCTCTTTCGCTGAATCCTGAGATAAGACTGCGCGATACTGATCCCGCTACTGTTCTCGCGTCATCGAGTTTGTACCATAAACATCGAGGATACGGTTCATGGCTATACTCCAAGAGATGTCCATGCCGTTCCGGTCAGTTCCCCAAGAAGCGTCTCCATTGGAGAAAGCGTCCCCATGCTCATTGGGGTTCTGACAGCGGCATATGGTGCTCTCAAGACGCCCAGCACCTCGATTGATACGCGTGCCAGTAAGATGTGGTTGGCCAGGTGCTGGGCGTGTTGACGCCAACTCCCTGCTCTGACTTGCAGCTGGCTCGCCAGCATTCTGATTTGACTGACTAAGACGACCGAGGCTCGGCCATTGTGTTCTATGCCCCATGGAAGGTGATTGAAACGGACTGTTTTGGTTTGTACCCATGCTCGTGTTTCTGTGTTGTTTGAAGGTAACTTTGGTTCCAGAGTCGGAGATTAAGAGTTGTTGAAAATGAGTACTTTAGGTCATCGAGAATCTTTGTAATGCACAGCGGGTTGACTCAGTGGGTGCGTGATGTGAATTCTGAAGTCGTAACGTAGGCTGTCATTGAGGAGATACATATGTATCTGCAGTTTTCTGACACGTGCCCAGAGATCAGTGGCTAGACATGCGCTGTGAGCACGACACGACTATGCGAGAAGACCATCGGCGAAGAGTAGGTATATTATGACGCTATATGTGAATTACAACGCCGCCATAACACCACCACGTGCTCAGTTACACCTCTGCTACAAATCACACTTCGACTTGGGCCAGCGAATTATCGAATATAGTTCGAAATGCGGCATGGCATGACGCACACCGTTTACCATAGATGCCCACAAATTATGTTTATATCACAGCAAGCTTCAGTATCGAATGGTGCGAGTCAAAGGTGACTGTGTAGATTTATTAAAGTTCTGACATACAAAACAGTTCACACTGTTGGAGCTTCACCTCCTCAACGACTATATTGAGTCTTCGCGCCATCCTGGGTCAAATATGGCTTTGCATGCCCATCGCTATTATGCCAGTCAACATTGTTGTGAACCGTATTGATATTGATGGCAAGTCCTTGTCGAATCGACCGCGTCAACTCTGCTTCACCCTGCAATACGATCTGTGTGGTCGGCGCATCAAAGACGAATCGCGCCACAGCGATCTCCTCTGCATGCGATATCTGGTCGCGCTGATAATAGTCCAGAATTCGTCTCTTGGCCTTCCTGGCCAGTCGATAGGCTGGCCGTGGATGTCACAACCTCGCGGAGAGTTTAGCATAGTGTAGGCATCGCCGTGGCTGTCAGGATTGTGGCACCGGCACAGTGTGCAGTGGAGCTCGCCACGCTCATAGTCTGCTCGACTACCAAAGTGATGAGGTTCTCCAGGGCGTATAATACGAGTTTGAGCTCCTTGTCGTCGTTCTGCGTATCTAGTTGCGGCAACAAGGACCGCATTCGCCTCGTGGTGGACAGGCGTCCTGATCAATTGATTTGGCTCACGATACACTGTACTCTGTTGTGGAAGATTGAATTTCGTTTGCGCTCCCCCATATGATGTAGGTTGTTGTTGCTGAATCGAGGTGCTTTGGACTCCCCGATATGATGTAGGCATTTGCTCCGGAAGCGACGTGAGTTGTGGATGATAGTATGATGTGGGCTGTCGTACTTGACTGTGTAGCGTCCCACGCGTTGTATTGGTTGACCAGGAAGTCTGCTGCGGTGGTGTCGCTTGGAAAGTCGGCTGGATGTTACACACGCTAGACATTGCGGGTGAGAGACGCGATATTGGGGCATAATCTTCAAGGTTCTCGCTGCGACCGTAGACCACACTTTGTCCTGGCGCAGCTACTTGCATTTTCGATGCACGAACGGTGTTGACTGGGCATGATGATGCATCATGGTCCTGGCTGGGTGCGGCGACCTGCATTTGTGAGGGTCGTGCTGAGCTGGTAGTTTGCGTGGACGGTCCATGGGAAGACCTCTGGGTGCCTTGTCTAGATCCTCCATGCCCATCTGCCTGCTGGAGGATCTTGATCGATTTCTGAGGGTCCCAGGACATATTTGTGGGTTTGAGTATCGATGTATCAGGAGTTAAAAGTGGCAAGCTTGATTCAGCAAGACGTCGGGTACTTCGCTGACAAGAGTTTTATACCTTGGAACAGTGGAATTTAGAAATGACATTCTTCACATTTGCATTAAGAAAATTGAGAGTACCAATACGCTTGATATTCGTTGTGTGACGTGGATATTCAAACACGACAATGTCTCCCGTTGACACTCTTCACTATTTACAGTATGGTATATATGTCACGATGATGTTTTTGTGGGCTTGGCGTTCTCAAATTTAAATCGTGAAAATTCGTTGTATATTCAAGAAGATGTAGAGGGATTATGACGAGAAATGGGCAGATTAGTGCGCAAGAGGACAACAACCAGGAAGAAAGAGGTACGTATTGATGTAAGACCATCGGAGAGTTATCGTTAATGAGTGTTTGGCTACTTGAAGTAGACGTACGAGAGAACAAGAGAGGTTTCAGACATGGAGAGCAACATCATAGAAAGAGTTTGACAAAAAGCTGTGCTCGAGCATAAAAGCAAAGAAAGAATAAAACCAGAGAGCTGAGATCACTTGGCTTCGAAACGCAAGATTCATGTTTTCATCCATTGTGACCGCCTCGTCCTTCATACTACATCGACCCATTGCGGCCAACTTTCAACGGCTCCAAGCACCCTGGGAATTCCTAGCCCATGTGATACCCTCTGGCCGATTCGTTGCCGTCATTAGCCCACCTTCGGTAACATCACTCTGGACATGTCGATATCCGTCATAAGAACCTACATTTCGGCGTCTGGGCCAATATGCATTGGCATACCCATACCAACTGCCATATCTGTATCATGATTATTTCGTCGAGCAATTTCATGTTGCTGGGGAGACACGACATGGCGTATTGCTGCTTGTTTTTCCTCCCTAGAGATATCGTTTTTGTTGCATTGGATCAAGATACGAATCGAGAGCTCTTTCCAGCTAATCACCAATCCATCACGATCAAATCCGAAGTCATCTATATCAAGCGCCCAAGCGTCACGGTGACTGTACAGATGGTGGCAACTGCAGAGTGGGTTGATGATGCGTGATTCTGCCGGAACAAGCCGTGTGCCGTAGTAGTTTGGATCGCCGGCCCGAATGATAGTTGTTGTTCCTGGTCGAGGTGCGGTCTGAGGTGCGTGTGAAGGTCTGCCACTCCGTGAGGCTGAAGGACGGACCTGAGATGGAGTCGAGCGACGTGGATTATTATTTACATTGCGAATGCTGATATATCCTCCGTATGCTCTGGTCTTGTAGTTTTGATTTGGGTACATGCTGTATGTGTGTGCTTCGTTTGTAATTTGATATGTGGCTTAGGTCGCGGATTGACGCTGTTGCGTTATGCGATAAAGCAAATTAGAAATGATTCGCGATTTTTCTTTTATTAGAAGTGTATAAATCATCTCCACTTCATCCATTCGTGCCACTTGACAAACATGCTAATGTGAAGATACTGAGGTAATACACCCCTAAACAGGGAGAATTTCCGGGCTTTGAAGATGTCATGATGGAAATAGTGAACATCTGTGTATCTCGATTTTCTTGGAAGGACCATTTTGTCATGCCCGGCACTTGTGACACCCTCTTGAGTATAAAACCACGTTGGGCTTCCACGTCTGCTATCTACCACAATAATCATCGAAAATCCACTAACTTCCATCCAACAGGCTCATTAAACAACACTCAAATCATGTACCCAAACCACAATACTTATGGTGGAAGTCGGCGAAACCCTGCCCGGTTCCAGGCAACTTTCATGAACGGTAACAGGCAGTCTCAGGGCCACGTACCCACATACCGGAGCAACTCAACATCACAACCCACTCAGCCAAACGAAGGTGGTAGAACAGCTATTGTACGTCCTGGAGTACCGCACTACTTCGCCACCCGCGTTGACCAACAAACTTTCGCGTCATCAACAACTTGTGTCGCTGCCAGGATCCAGTGTCCCATGGTTCAGCGTGGACGATTGAAGGGCGAGAAATACCAGACATAAACGGCCGAATTATCGACTATCAACAGTTCATGAACCGCGTACTTGATCACTTTGCAACAGCCACAGTTACGTACGAACAGCAGACGACTGCATGGCGACTGTTTCTGGATCCCAGGGTGGCCGCAAGTTTTGAGATGAACGATCGCAGGGTAGAGGCCGGTGCTCGAGCTGGACGTCCCATCTTAATCACTAACGATGCCACATACCACAACGCCGATGGCCCATGCCCAGGCTTTGGTAGATACACAGGGAATGCGGACGATAAGGAACGATGAGAGGCATGCGTTCAGGAATCCCAGGGAAGGCTATGGAAGAGACTTTCGTTCCTATGGGTACGGAGGTCATCGTTGAGCCTTGATGGAAACTGTCAATTTACAGGCTAGCTGTGATGGATTTTGGAGACGACAGGGTGGCAAGAATGGAGGCTGTTGTTTATGAATTTACCGAATTTCAGATATGTTCTAAAATCTAGGGCAGCTTTATCTAAATAAGTGATTATGTTGACGCTGCGTGCTCATGAGAACAGTTTTTGTCCAGCCATCTAGCCGATTGCCTCTTGATCAGATCATTTGTCAAATACAACTCATTTTTATGTAACCCCATCTATTAGGAGAATTATCGATCTAGACATAGTGCATGCCACCAGCTGTGCTATAATTCATGCCTTTAATTGAGTCGCGATTTGCACTCCTGCTAGTTCGTCAAAGTAACTCGATCTTTATCTTCTCGTGCATCAGTACTCCTGTAGTGATTGAATTCTGCAGATATAATTATGAAAGGCCATCACTGGAGGGCTTCGCTCGTTTCAAAATCGATCGACCTGCTGCTTGTCCTCGTGCAGAAGGCAACAAGGCTGGCCGTAAAGGTGATAGACGAGCAATCACCGGCGATCGTGATGCTTAGACCCTTTCTTCCTCCTTAGTTACATGGGAACACATCAGCTTTGTTGTCCGTTTGAGTAATGTGGTGTTTCGAAGCGAATATAACGTAGAACCCGATGGACCAGCGAGACTCACCGCGCACGTTTTTAGCAAGTAGGTGGCTGAAAAGGCAAGACTTGGTTATCTTTGGCCACCCCTTGATACATCAAATTGTCCGTCGAAATGTTCCACGTTCCGGGCTCTGAAGCTCGCTTGTTTACTATCCCCTTCCCGGTCTCCAACGCGAGCGCTTTGTGTTCTCGGGAGCTTCGGAACTTGAATTTAAGGGACACAGTTGCGGGCGTCAGTTATGCTGTTGCTGATGGATTCGTGCCGATTCTGATGGGGTACAAAACCCTGTACCAACAATGGTGGCGGCCTCATCATAGTCCAGGCATGTGCATCGAGCTGATATCAATGCGCAGCCGAGAAAAGAACCCAGATCAGTGGGGAGCTCCCCCACATACCATGAATGTGCAATCTGGCTGCGGCCAAATGTAGACAGATAGGAAAGGTATTCACACCTCGCTTGCGGATACATGCATTCGTGTCCAGGCAACGCGTTACTTCTTACATGTTGCTGGCGGATTTCGGCCTTCACATTCATGTTAAGTCCGAAGCGCATGGGTCTGCACTGTTGGCACGCATGTCATGTGCGGAAAGAGCACTAAGATGTTCTTGCTCTGGATACTGCTGTGGAAAAGCTACGGAACGAATGCGGCCCGCTGACTGTGGTATAATTGCAGGTCTAGATGCTGGAATCGTTGTGTTGATGCGTTGACGACTCTTCTCGAGGACCGGGAGGTATCCACGCTAGCTCTTTTAGCAGCACTTCCTCAATCGGGCACTTCCAACATGACTTCCTCGACGATCGAATAAAACGTCCTGCAGATTTGGTGAGATGAGCGACGTCGATTTGACGCTCAGGCCTACGCCCACAATGTTCAATTTCGCCATTTTGATGCATCAAGCGCGTATAGCATCCCTGATGCAGTTTAGTGCTCCCTGACTGCTACCTAGAAACTAGAGGTCTAGCATCATGCACTTGCATTTCAAAGAACTGGTTGCAAACTAGACCCTACTGCAAACACTCCGAAATCAGTACAATCAGTGACTCATCTACAATGCTTCCAATTCTGAAAGGGCGGAGTTGCACTCTCCCGGATGACACCAATCCCACCTACAAAAGCCAACATATTGACGTCTAACATTGAAATTTCATCTCAATTCCATCTTTTCCCTTTACCACAAACACAACATCGCCAAAATGGCCTACCCCTACTCCACCCCTCGCCTCGAATTCCGCGCAATCCGCCCCACCGCCGACCTCGCTATCTTCAACGCCCTCAACGCCGACGTAAACGGCTACATCAACGCCTCCGTCGCCAACATCCACCTCCCCACAGAATCCGACCTTGCAGAATTCATCAAAGACCTCGCCAAAGATCTCCTCAGCGCGGTAATATGGCTCAAGCACCCCTCCAACCTCACAATCGCGGAACGCAAGGAATTAATCGTGCACGCAAAAGACGCGGGAAAAGAGCATCTCGTCGAAGGACACGGGACGGCAATTGGTCAACTCCATCTAGCATCTCTTGAGCCGCGGCACGTACATCATCGCTGGACGGAAATCGGGCTGGATATTTTGCCAGAATATCAGGGGAAGGGGTACGGAAGTGAGGCGATTTCTTGGGCGCTAGACTATGCGTTTCGGCGCGCGGGATTGCATCGTGTGAAGATTAGGGCGTTCGAGTATAACGCGGGGGCAGTGAGGCTGTATGAGAGATTAGGATTTAAGTTCGAGGGGAAGGAGCGCGAGTCGTGTTGGCATGAGGGCAGGTTTTGGGATTCGGTGGAATTTGGGATGTTGGAAGGGGAGTGGAGATGGATGCAGGAACGTGAGAAAGAAAATGCGTGTGAAGGGAAAATGTGATACTGTATAAAATCAACTCTTTGATTGAAGTATGCTGAAAAAACAGGTGATTGCGAGACCACGACTAACAAACTATGTAGTCGCTCAAGGCATGCCTACTTGCATGCCATCTAGACTACGATCTGACATGGCAACGAAGACTTTTGCGTCGCCGGAAGCTCTGCGCGCAGCTGCCGCGTATAAGGCAGTTACGTCTTCTTTCCACTGCGTCTCATTCATTCTGATGAATCGCCGATCATAAGTCATCAAACCATTGACTTCGCCTTCCACGTCGGTTGTCTGGGTCCATACTCCTCCGGAGCATGCGAACAAGTCAATCTGTTCTCTTAATTGGTTCAAAAGGTCGTGAGTGCGATAGTTCCAGTACTTGGTTGAGTTGGTCAATTCGTAGGAAGTTTGACGAGGCTCATCTGGGTACCAAGAACTGCTTAGAGTTAGCATGTGCCTGAAAATATGTTTATGTTCTACGGATAACCAAGAGCGCAAGATCATCAATACTGTGAACTAGTTTTTGAAGCGATGAATCATTGAGGGATAAACTTACGAGCCCTTGGGCGGATACTGCCCGATACCGCCAAATTCGCCTTGCAATCCAATACGATTCTCGTCATATGCTGAGTCATACCCTGATCCTTGTGTCGACCAGAAAGGCGTACCACACTGTGGAGTCGAGTAGTGATGGTTGTCATCAAAGTCTCCAGCACCATGGTCCGTCCAGCCACTGACTGAATTGATCAAGCGCGTGGGATCGAGGCTTCTCACCATATCTGTCAGAGGGTACTCCGGCCATGGAGGACTGGTAGCCTGGCCCCACTCTTCGTTGTAAATGGTCCAGGCAAAGATGCTTGGGTAGCTCTTCAACTGTTCCACAAGCAACCCGAGCTCTCGGTTGAACTCAGCCTGCTGCTCGGGGCCTTCCAGGCGGATACCGCCGCAGCTGTTCTCTTCCTTAGCAGGTAAGTCAGGGCGCATAGACGGCATGTCTTGGATAACGAGCAGACCCAGCTCATCGCATGCCTTGTAGTACAATGCTGGCTCCACTTTGATGTGCTTCCGCACCATGTTGATGCCGACGCGCTTCAAAACTTGAAGGTCGAACGTCATGGCTTCTACACTGGGTGCCGTGTATATACCATCTGCAGAGCGAGTCAGTTCTCACCATCCTAGAAATGCAGGATATGATCGAGGCGGCCTACCTGGCCAGAAGCCCTGGTCGAGAGGTCCGAACGGGAACACAAATTTGCCATTGAGAAGCGGCCGTTGTACACCCGCAACCACACCCCTAGAGATGGTTCGGAAACCGGTGTAGCTTTCCACTGTATCACTACCAAACTTGATAGTCATGTTGTACAGTGTTGGCGAATCTGGGGACCAAAGCTCCGGATCGGATACGGCAAACACAAAGGGAGTACCAGCATTGCCCGATCCTGTGGCCTTGACATTCTGGGAGTGAGGCTCGTATATGGTAACTTCGACCCGGCCAGTGGAATTGGTGCTACTGTGTACAGTAACATTAACTATTGTTTGTTAACACCACTTTGATGAAAAAGTCGGTCAACATACCCATGCCGTCCATATTTGCCGCGAGATCTAGCTTTGCGACGTGTTCAGATGGTGCGGACTCAAGCCAGACGGTCTGCCATATGCCACTACAGGGAGTGTACCATATCATGCCGCCCCGATTTAGCGTTTGCTTGCCGATGGGAATTTGCGTACGATCCATATCTGTAGGGTCGAAGACATGAACGATGCTATAGAAGAATCAGTCTCGTCCGAACTTAGCATGGGGCGAGACAAACAGCTCATTTGTGCCATTTGCACTCAAATATGGCGTGATGTCGACAGAGAACTCAAAGTACCCTCCTCTATGCCAAGTAGCATTTTTGCCGTTGACAAAGACCGTGGCTTCATAGTCGACTGCTCCAAAGTTGAGGATGACTCGATCTCCGGTAGGCCAATCCGACGGAACATTGAATGAAGTCTGATACCAGCTGTATATGCGTCCATCGGGACCCTTACCGGTAACGCCTGAAAGTGCACTCTCGAGGCAGAATGGTACCAAGACCGGTGCTTCAAGTCTCTGCCCGAATGGTGGAGAATCCAGGTCGCCCGCCTTTGCATTTTGATACCGCCAAACGCCGTTGAGGTTCTTCCACAGGGTTCGCTGCAAGCGAGGTCTCGGATACTCAGGCCAGGGATTTGTGCCAACTTTATCAGTCCATGGCGTGTCAAGCGTGATGTTTCCAATCTTGTAGTCTGTGTTGTTGTTCTGTCGTGGGGCGATGCTCGCAGCAAGGGTATTCGAAGCGAGCCACGCAGCTGTGAACCCAGTCAAGAGCATCTTGATCGTTTGATCCCCAAAATGAGCTCACGGTGAGGTAGGCACGTATGCAATGGCGAGAGGATGGTCAGACAGGCCGGCTCTAAGTAGGTACTTATGACACGCGCGTGATGACAGCATATGCTCAAGGTACCTGTAATGGCTGCATGTGGCAAGGTCTTGACCTGGGGTCTAGCGGCGGGCGTGGCTGCAGGACCTCGTTGATCACTGCATAGTGCGAAGGTAATCTTCCAGCCATCGTCTTGAATTTACGTTCGCCTGGGTCGCCCCTGACCGCTTCGTTCGCCTCATTGGTGATTCTCAACCAAAACCATGCTGAGTGCGAGCATTGTTGGGAGCCAAGTTCGGAAAAGCCAGGGCAGTCCGTCGCGCATGATGAGGTCTTTCGCTCAACAACGTTGTGGATGCATCGAGCATGCGAGGCGTCAGATGAGCGCTGTGTCGTGAGGGGGAGATCGGCACCTAGCTCGCGAGCCGGCAGGAGGCCTGCTGGAATTCCCCGCACATTCGGAGCAAGTTCTATCAGCGGACAATGTTCAGCAGCCTCGTGAGGCGGGTATGCGCATCTGAGGTGCAGGGGCGAAGAACCCGTGGCGGCCTTTGGGATGTTGTACTTCGGTATTGCAGATGCGCTGGCACGGTCACGACGTGAAGATGTGAGGAGCGGTCATCACCAGGGAGCAGCTTATGAAAGGCATTGAAGGTACTCTCTAAGCTGCGATGCGGAACAAACGATGTTCTCGCTGTGGTTTTGCGGTTGGTGTTCGCCGGTTATAAGCCTTAGTCGCCAGGCTCCATGCACAGAGAAGTCGCGACAACGACACAAAATCAAGAAAGACACGAAATTCGGAATCCGTTGTAGAATCGCGATTTGATGATTTTGATGGGGTATACCGCAGGGAAATTATCACTATTGCATGCACCATCCATTACACTGCAGCTCTTATTCTGCCAAGCCGTCAAACATGACACGAAACACTCGCGTTCTGGTCATATAAACCCAAGTCGCGCTCGTGCACAGCGTGACGAAACCTCTTCATACCACTCTGTGTTGTCACCTTCCGAGCTCTGTCACCCTAGCTTTGTACCTCAGATGCTCATGAACAGCGTCCACCTTCCTATTCCCGAAGTCAACGTGACAACCGAGCCGTGTCCGTGGGATTCTATAGCAATGCTTGCTACCCCGCGGTTGTCGCTACACAGTCGCCAGGGTGTCTAGCCTGGTGTGGTATGCTGATGGCATGCCTGATCTAGAGGGCCGCAGAGCCCCGCAACTGTGTTGGACAAATCTGCTCACCAGCTTTCAGGGCAGCGTGAGGAACGGCTTGCTCCAGGACTTGACCTTAGAAGACGAAGTTGGTCTTGTGGGGCTCAGTGGTGGCTCCATCTGAGATGCGGAGAATCTCTTGGTCTTGGGAGAGATTGGAGAGGTGGGAGAATTCGGTGGTATCGGTGCTTTCCTAGGGGACTCGTATGATGTGTTAATGAATGGCGGTGTAGGACCTTTCATCGTTCTTATTGAATCGCCGTCATCCTCCGATATCTCCGTGAGCGGCGCGCGATCTGAGTACGAGCCGATGATCGAAGTCATCCCTGTGGCGTCCGAAGCGGTAGACATGCGAATCGTGTCCGCGTCCGAGCTGTCGGAACTCATCGTTGACATCGTTCGCAGCGATGCGGCGCTCGAGGAGATACCATCTGAGGATGTCGCAATACCTATATCATATTTATGTGCGCCGCAGTGAATGTCTGGTATTGCTGTCTCATTGAGTATGATGTCGAGCAACTTGTCGCGGACATCACGGGCTGCAGGCCGCAGGTTTGGGGCTTTGCTGAGCATACTGCGGACCAGATCTAGAATGGGAGGTATGGCGCGGAAGGCATCATCATCGTGCTCGAAAGACGCCTTCTCGAGAATATCTATCCATGTGTCAATCTTATCCAGATTCGCATGGAAGGACGAGTCGGTGCGAGAGTTCTTTCCGCCAGTGTTGATCTTCTGCTTGGATGACCTATGCTTGATGAAATCGTGGGGTTTCTTTTTCAGCATGAAGGTGATGATCTCAAGGTAGACACAGCCTAAGGAAAAAACGTCCGCTTTCTCAGTCTCGTGCACTCGCGATCGTGGCTTTGGCGTTGGTTGGGTCCGCTTGAATCCAAAGTTGAAGCCAGAAAAGTCGGCAGTAGGGGGTTTAGTCAGCTTTTGGCGTTGCGATGAACTGCTATTCGAAGATCCCGACGAACTCTTGCTGACGATTGAGGCATGTTTCGTACTGGGAACTACAGGGGCCGGCGCTGCTGCATTTGGATCGAAGCCTTGTGTATGCATATGGGTCTCCGGCGCGCTGTACACGTAGGCATCCATCGGATCGGGTCGCTTGTCTTTCTGAAAAGTCTCGAGGCTACCAATATCACTGAGCGCGATTGAGTTCCGCTCATCAATCAATATGTTCGAAGGCCGTATTGCAGAGTGGTAAAATCCATTCTGGTGAATAGTGGCGACGGCATCAGCTAGACAATGTAGCCAGTTCAAAATGAGCCATCTTCTGTCAGGCTTCTGTAGCTTTTGGTACTGTGTGGGGGTGCGATGATCGATGAATGTGCGGAGCGTGTGCTGTCCAACGAAACTGGTTACAATGAAACCTGCCCCTTTTGCGGTATATGATGCCCATATCGGGGCTATGTGGTCGTGTTCTACCATTCGTGCACTTTCAACATCCATCATAAAATTGGCCTCGAAGGCATCCGGAGCCTCGGCATTGCCTAACGGGAACCGCCTCCGGACAAAAACCTCTGTTGGCCGTTTGGGCAGATGGACACGCGACCAGTTCTGGAGGCTAACCGCAGCTGGAAGATTTTGAACGTACTCCAGAGGAACTTCTTCGTTTGGCGCATAGTCGATGTGCACACCATCTTGCAACTCACGAAGCAGGAATGTGAATTGTGTATGGTAAAAGCGCGCATCTGCGTGATTGTCGCGACGATTCGAGAGCGAGAGCTGCTCGATATCATCCATCTGCAGCGGCAGATCATCGTCGTCCCAGGATTTGTCGACAACCGCAAAGATACTGTCTGCTTCGCCGATCTCGGCCAGCACTAAGAACAATCTTCGAGCCTTTTCCAGTATCCATTCGATGTACGTGTCGTCGCTCAGATCTCCAAAGCCCACTGGGTTTGTCAATCGCTCTCTTTCTTGAGGCTGCAGCCGCGATGTCACGAAATCTTGGGTGACTTTTTCGTTGATCCTCTCCTCGGTCCACCATACTTGCTGGAGGGCCGCATGGGGCGTGACAAGTGAATGACCCGCATAGCCATATATCAGCGCATTCAGCGCAACCGTTTGATCGTTCACAACATTCGTCAGCGTCCTTGCGCTCATTGCCACGGAATCCGCTTGGCTTGAGTATGTCGCGGAGCAGAGCTAGTGTTATTTGTACTGAAACTGTGACGCGGGTAAAGCCGTGGCCGTAGTGGGGTGATGATCATATCTGATGGAGTAGAGTAAGGGAAACTGGAAAGACGCCGATTAAACTTCTTCCAGCTGATGAAGGTAAGACAGGACATTTAGGCGTCAGCGGGGCCAGAATCATCGGCCCTCAAAGGTCGTACCAATGATGATCCGCCCCATGGGACCCTTCTGCTTATAGCAAGCGGCATAGCAGCGAATACATGGCTTCCGGCTGGGCCGTCAAATCACCAATGACCAAGCGCCTGGCAATGCAATTCGCACAGCCCGCTGCGCGTTGGCGGAAGGCAAAGGAGGTCTTTGCGCCTCGAGGAAGCTCAGCGGCCCCGAGTGCGGCCAGCCATGTGGCATAGTGGCCAGCCCGAGCAAGGGTAGTGCTCGATAAGACAATGCGCGTGTGCGTTGGGGCTCATCAAGCGAATGAGGACTGCAGGGAGACGGATGCCAAAAGCCCTTGCCAATAGCGAGTGCGGAGGACCGTTCCTGGGGCGGGGCAGCGCGTTTAGTGCTGGCCAGCAGCCGGGAATTCTCTCTACATACGCACAAATAGCGGCTAAAGACGTGATGTCAAGTCTGGGTTGCTGCCGGTAAGCGTGTTTGTTGCATGTTGAGCTGGAGAAATATCCTCCAAGTCTTTCCGGCCACTGGGTTTGCCCGCGAGCAACCATACCAGCAAATGTGCTGTTCTGCCTAGCCACAACATCACGCTGACTCGAAATTGATGGAGCTTGCCGACGAACGGGTGGTAGGTATGCATCTCCACAAGGCATCATGCGATCTTACATAGCGCCATCAAACAGCTGCACTCGCTAAGATTGAGGCATACGAGGCGTCGAACATTCGTGACCGGATCCACGCAGCCTCAGATAGGATGTCGCCGGGGCGGTTGACGGATGGCCATAGCCGAGGCCGCACAAAGTACGCCGAACCCAATTCGCAGGCCACCCCTCACGCCAAATGAAGCCAAATTGCGGCATAGCTGCAGCGACATGCATAAAACAATGGAGCCTGATAGCTGAGGCGCAGCTCAGTCTGCGGCACCGTGACTCGACTGGATTTGTTGATGCAGTCTGAGCTGGTAGTCCTGGGCGATTGCGGGACAAAGTCCAGGACGGCATGGCATCGTTCCAATGCTTTGATGCCCAACGATCAGAATGTGCCGCTGAGTCCAGCTCGAGCAATCAGCAAGGATATTGGCGGCGATGTCTCCGCCGACAGAGGTTTCCAGTTGGGAGAAGATGTGCCGTCGGCGCCTGAGGTTGGGGCCACGAGGAGAGTGTCGATCGCGCGCACGGCCCTCTTTCCCGAGAAACCTTTTTTACTCGTCAACTTACGGCTCCATCCCACGTAACCACCAGCTTGGGTCTTCTCGACACCTACTCCAAAAGGCAGGTGTTTACGCTTATCATGTGAATTCGCTATCATACTCATGTCTGGATCTCGCAATGGAGTGAGAGGGACTGGCCACCGAGCCTCAGCCAAACCCTCCTCACGTGAACTGGACCACCGATCACACCTACCATCCCCACAATACCAGAGCTTCGGATCGAGCTATTGTGAACCCTAACAAGCCGGCTCTACCTAGTTTCTCCGATATTTTGACCATGTCAAGATGCGCAAGGGTCTTCGAGGTACGCCTCCAGCCTACAGAGCTCTGACACTACACCGCAACTTGTAACTAGCAGAGAAATTCGTATATTCGGGCCGTACAAAGTGTCACCAATTTCATTTCACGAGTCGGCGACGGCATTGATTCCTTATCAACGGCACTGCTTCTGCGAGAGCGAACAGCTATTTCCCCGAATGCCTGTTCATCCTCCGAAAGTTGGTGCAGTACAATTTTGTCATCTCATTTCCTAACATTTCCGACCTCAGAAGCATCTATCTTGCACCGTACACAGTGAACCAAATGTTCTCGTCGTTCCGAGCACTCTTCACTTGATTTCCTCCAGGATGCGTACCCGCAGGCCATACGATCGGGGCACCAGTAGTACTCGTGACTTCGATGCGGTTCCCAGCGAATGGAGCGCCAAACACCGAGCTCAAATCGTAATAAACTTGAGCGCCATCGATGTTGTATGAGAACACTTGCTGTGGCGCGCCATCGTAGAGACCGTTCGGTCGCTTCGTGATTTTGATAGCGATACCTCCAGATCTCGGGTCCCGGCGAAGTGGCTCCAGGTACAGACCGCCTAGGATTATGAGTCAAGAGCTGGAAGTACGACATGGGGAATACCAACCTGATACAATGGTTTGCCGGTCACCAACGACGTCACCGACGGACCAAGCATATATCGTGCTTGTAGAATTGTTTAAAACAATCGCACTACCATATGCGGAGACCGATGCCGCGAAGGCGATGAGGGATGCGACGAAGATTTTCATGACGCGCTGCTTGTGTAGTGACGAATAGGTGTCGAGCAAAAGTTGAATAAGAATGAATGAGTGGATGCTTGCGGTTCGAAGACTGATCTATAGCACTCAGACCAGACGTCGCACAACCTCTTTTATACCTTTCCTCCACATCCTTCGCCTCATGATACCACGCCACACACCTGTATGCTACCATGAGATCTAAGCCCAAAGGTCGCATCAATCCGGTCACAGCGCATGGTAAAAGAGAGAAACCAGGATGTAGTCCGGCATGTCTTCCTATAGTCAGCTCAGTCACGACATTCACACTGCGAATGTAAGACCAACATTGGCCGGCAGATCGACAACTTGGCACTGCATAGGAAAACTCTCCGTTTCAGGCGATTTTCAATACTCCGATAGATTGCCAGCGGGTCGACGTCAATACATCCAGCATGGAAGGATAGATTGCTCGCTTACCGGTTAGTAACCGACGTTCTGGTAAAGCATCAGCTTGCACAACGACTACCCAAGCGAGACACCATCGAATTCACATCACACGCTGCGAAATTAAAAAAACTTGGTGGCTTCAAAGGCCACAAGGCTGAAGTTTGTGGCGTCCTATCATGCAGAGATCTGACGTCGTTGCAGGACCTTCATGCAAGAACCCTGTGTGGCAGTGTATATTCCAGTCTTCAGTCATGACACCTAAGATAATGCACCCAGCCCGGTCAACACTACAACCTACCACTTGCTCTCTTCTGTTCTCATCTTACAGCCTACCACTTTTTATACATCAACCGACGTCAGCTCCAACATACGCGCTCGATGTCGTCGCGACCCAGCTCTTACCCCACCGCAACCGAAGCGAGTACTTACCCTCTCAGTACTTTTTATAGCAGTTCAAATGCTATCTCAAATACTGGCATATGTACGGGCACAAACAACGGTATAATTGCAATCGCTATATCTGAAATAAGCGGTCCTACAAGCAATCAGGCTGCAGCCTCTGCTAGCCTGTACACAAATGGCAACCCATTTGGAGTTGAGATACCAGATTCCAGACTTCGGAACAGGCGCCGCTCATAACACGATGGAGCTGTGCGAATGTGAGCTTGTTATGGCAAAAGCTCATTCAATATTGTCGGCACGGCTGGCTAATTTTCACATTTGTTAAGAACAATCCGATCGCCATTCTCATCGACATCATTGGGTGGGTGTATTCCAAACTCAAAGTTGTGTTCCGATCGTTCGGGAAAGTCACGATCATTCTGGGTATGATACTTACCACAATCTACAGCATTCCCGCCTGGCAGGGGCTTCAGATACAAACATGGACCAGCCAGAAAGACTTTTTGGAGTACTGTAACGCTGAATTGGTATGTTCTAGTGTACAAGCATTGTAATTGCCCTCCTAACAGCTGTAAAGTCTAGCCTTGTGGGTAGCGCCTGGCAGGACTGCAATGCAGCCATCAAGGCTGGACTTCTCCCGCCACCAGGTCATGTCGCTCGTGTCACCAGGGCGCTGAAGCGCTCTCTTGAAATTGATCATGCGCCGAATTCCGATCATCACTCGACCATACACGCAGTACGAACCCATTAGTGGCCATTACCAGTCCCTAGATGCGTTTTTCGTGTTCTGGTCCCAGCACCTTGTCCTCGTGTGGTTTGTCTGGTGGGCCGTGTTCACATGCGGCATTGCGCTGGCCAGAATATCGTGGAGAAAAGTCTCAAGGCGCCTCAAGTCAGGACATAACAACAAATGTTGGCTTATTCTGATATGTTTCGTGATCGCAGGCTCTCTGGTAGCCTTGATATGCTTCATAGACCTGGAACATGTCCATTGGCTACGGGTCCAAGAGCAAGAGGCTAGATATGCATTTGACAAGTACAGTGAAAGCTTGCCGGTGCGTGCAACGCACACTCTTCCTATGTTTGGACTTTGCTGATCGACCCTGACAGGCTGAAAATTTATCCGTCGAAACCGAGCAGAGGACTTCTCGGTTGGTCACGCAAAGCGATGGGCCACGCTCTGTGAGCTCAGAAGCTAGGTTTAGCTTAATAGGTGTATTGCTGGCTGTGTCAGGCACAATCGCTGCGGCGTGTTGTTCGAGTGCCATGCTAAGAAAGACACTACTCGCACTTCCCATTGTACGTGGGACCGTACGCGATCGGCGAATATAGCTCGATCGAGCCAAGAGTAAGGGTAAACCACAAGTAGTGGTGATGCACAAGGGTTACAGTACGTGATTGTAGGACATTCAAACAAGTAGATCGTAGAGAGCAGCGCTGTACGGTTTTACACCACAAACAGAGCTGCAATTCTGCGCCTGCATAATTACTACGATCACTACGTTATTGCCTTTCTGTTCTCCGCCATATCGTATTGCTACCTGCTATGCTACAGCCTGCGCTACATCCCAGATCACCGTCCTACGACTGTACACAGTATCTCGTGATGCGAGCGTGTGCGGCCACTGGGTTGTCACGAATGCAATCGCACGGGTCTGGTTGGAACATCGCGCAAGGAAACACCTGATACTTTCCGCGATGTAGCCTCGCAATCCTTCTGACAAGACGCTCTGGAAATCCTGTCTTGCCGCAACAGTCTTCCAAACTATTTTTAAGTTGTATGCTCAATCTTCCTACCATGCATTTCCTCTGCCAGTCTTGCCCCGAGGACGCCTAGCTTCTAGCTTCCCAGCACGCATTCCACATAATGCTCGCGCAGCTCCAGCATCAGCTGTGGGGTTTAATTCTCGAGACACTCTCAATCTCACAATTTTTGCAGACATGTTTCACTTAGTCAAGACAGGATTTGCATCATTGCAACAAATGTGAACAAGTCCAGTGTTCAGCAGTACCATATCCATGCTAGAATCGCAGTGGCAACCGCCAACCTGAAATGAAACGATTCCTACTCCTCCTCACTTTCCTCACTACTGTCCCCATCCGCCAACCCCGCCATCATCTCCTGATACAACGGATCCTCCTCGTCCTCGTCCGCCGGCGGCGCCGCCACACTAGCCTTCCTCGCCGGCGGCCCAATATCCATCTCATCCACATCCCCGTCCCCATCCCCATCCTGATCCCCCTCATCAATCTCCAACTCCCCATCCCCATCATCATCCTCCTCCTCGTCGCTCTCCAACTCGCCAAAGTCAATGACAGTATCGTCTTGCGCACGATTATTGTACGCGTTTGGATTCGGCGAGCCCTGCGCACTATTCGTGGCGCTGGCGAGCGATATGGGCCCATTCGAGGGTGATCGAAATCCACCGCCCACGCCGAGGTTCTGCCCGTAGCCGAGAGATTTCAGCGCGCCGCCGCCGTTTCGCGGTCGCGAGGAGCGGGCATCGGGCACTTCGATTTCCAGCACGCCGCCGTCGGAGTCGGAGTCGCCGTCTGCGTCTTCGTCGGATACGGGTTGGTAGCGGGGCGATGGTGAGCGTTGTGCTTGTCTCGGCGGGGAAGAGATTGGCTCGGGTTCGCCCTCCGCGTCGGCGTCGGATTCGTCTGAGGAGTGGACGAGCTCGGCGGATTTGATCTTTGAAGCTGGCGGGCCAGCTGGTTTGGCTCGAGGCTTTGGTGCAGCGTCGGGCACGAGGCGTTCCGAGGCGCGGCGCTCGAGGTTGATGGAGGGTGGTGGTTGGGCTTTCTTCACGCCGGGTTTCTTCTTCATGAACATGCCAGATTCGGCGGTCTTGCGCTTCTTGGGCACGGGCTCTGCGGGTTTGGGCTTCGCGGGGGCGGCTTCTGGGGGTTTGCGGGCGCCGAATTGGGGCGTGTTCATGGCGCTGCCTGTGCCTGCTCGGTTGTCTGGTGATGACGCATTGTAGTACTCGGACTCGTCACCGCGCTTCTCCTTCTCCTTGCTTAGGAAATGGCGGAAGTCGTATGGGTTGCTTGCATCGGGGTCTCCGGACTCGTCGTCTCCGTCTGCTTGGCCAAATAGATCATCATCACCCTCGTCCTGCTGCTGTTCCTCCTTGCTCTTCTTTGGATATATCTTGGCGTATTCTGAAGATACATCCTTTTTTGTTTCTGGTCGCGAGGTTGAACGTATATGCGTCTGATAGCGGCTCGAGGGTGGCTTTCTGCGATGTCGGGTCGAAGAGTAAGACGTACGACTTCTTGGTCGCGGCGCGATTGCCAGTGAAGGTGAATATGTCTTTGTTGCCTGAGCTGCTTTTGTCCTCGACTCGAAGGTTGTATTTGTTGGGAGAGGCAGACGTGAGGGTCGTTGTTCGGGATTCGGAGGTCTGCGCTGGCTTGTGGTTGTCTGGTGGCTATCAGTCGTCTGGAGACAGACGGGATGAAAGGAACATGCATACATTTGACGCTGCTGTAGCCTCCTCGTGGGGCATCGCCGTTCGCTATGCGGTCGCTAATGTGCAGGCTGAAGTGTGCTTTTTTGTGAGGCTCGATACGACTCTCCGTCATGGGGGACGCCATCGCGACTGCCGAGTGCGTTATGTCAAGTAAGGAAAGCGCGATACACTGCGAGTGAAGCAAGGGGGAAGGTGCGAAAGGTCAAGGCAGTAGCGTCATAGGAGAGTGTTTGTCATGAAGTCGTGTTTGAGCGGATGTGAAGCAGCGCGGCGCCCGTGTTGCGGTTGTGACACTCGAGCTGAACCGTTCTGGAACCACCGCCAGTCCGCGGCTCATCCCGCCGTCCTGCCGCCGTCTCCACTCCGCGGCCCACCCCTCCATCTTCCCTCCATCCTCCTCCATCTCAACACAGTCACGTCGCGCTTGCAGATTGCTCCTTGGGCATAATGATAATCAGACAATAAATTCAGTATGTGTAGCTTGATTATGGCAAGAGGTAATGTAATGTGGTACATGAAGGCGCAAAATCGAACGCTTGAACAACGTTGGTAACACTGAAAGCATGATGGACCAAGTCGAGCGCCTCAAGCAGCGGTACTACTGGATGCATGATGGGAAATACTGCCATGTTCCTACAGTACCGCCCTCAGATGAATTAATATGCCCACCGTGCCTTTCCGACCGAATCCCGAGCAACGGTGAAGTTGCGTGTATTTGTGTCTTTGCAAACCTTACTTCTCCAGCTTCGTGGCTGGCGTAACGCCCGGCGAAGGGGAAGAAGACGAGTGGGAGCCGCTCATGTCGCTCATTTCATAGCCGCCGTCACGGCTGGATGGGGGTTGGATATCTCGTGTGCCGCTGCTTTGATGCTTCCCGAGATTGTCGCCCAGTGGTTGGGCTGGTTCGACATCGACACCGGACTGGGTACTGAGGGTGTTGTTTGGATCGATGCTGGCTCCATTGGCGCTCTCAACGGCACTGCCGCCAGTGTTTCCACCGCCATCCGAATCGTCCTGGACTTGGTTCATGCCCTTGACGTTGTTGCTCGTATTGGCCTGTCGAAGGCTGCGAAGCTTCTTGGTAGCGAGCAAGGCGCCAGGGATACCGACGGGAGACGGCGAGAATTGCAAAAACGGCGCCAATGGTTGTGGCGGTGTCCCAAGTTGAGTTCGATCCCGCGTCGACCAAAGGTGGTACGAGAGTAGAAGTGGACAATGCAGTGGACAATGCAGTAGACAATGCAGTAGACAATGCAGTAGACAATGCGACAGAGGAAGTCAGGTCCGTTGACGGAGATAAAAGAGCAATGTGAGGGCTGAAAGCCTTGACGGAGGAGATGAGGGAGGGAAGAGGCATTGCCAATGAACTTGTGATATTGATTGCAGGCATGACGATGGTATGTCGCTTCAGTAAGATATCAAAAGTAAGAGCCAGGTGTGTATGAGTCTGCAGTGTGGTATTTTGGCATTGGTGCCGGGCGGCCACAGAGTTTATACCTCTTCAACTTGCCATGGCGGCCTGTTGCTGCGCATTTCGCTATGTCTATGGCGTTGCTCATCCGAGCCGTTGACTGATCATAGGAAATTGATACAAAACTGATCTTCACACAAAGAGCAGCCAGGCACTAGGATGTGTCAAGGATCATAGGGTCGAGAATGCTTGTCATGAACTCTAGGCGTATGTCGTCCGTCATACGGCTGCGCATCCTCTTTCTGTCATTGGGTAATCGATGAAAATTCTTTGAATGGGCTCTCGGCACCTGGCATCCAGGTCAACCATCTTCCAGAGCTAGTCAGATGGCTGACTGTGGCTTGCGTGAGCTGGGCGCTGAATTGATATAATATTGATGCAGATATCAGGATAGTGGGCGGATTGTCGATCGAACACGAGGCGCCAAGCCGCCGGCCGAGCAGTACCTTGTATCCGTAGACGTTGACGGTAGACTAGTGCTGGGCGTTGGCTGTCGATGCTGTCATTGTTGTCTGGAAGAGTCTTAAACCTCGCCGAGCGTTAGCTTGGTATCGTTTCAGAGAGCTACCCTAGTCAAGCCATATGCTAGCGTACATGTCCGTGTCGGCAGAAGTGTTACACGGAAGAGGACTGGGGGGCCTTTTCCTTCGATAAAAACACGTGAAACTGATTTCACTTGAAATGTGACACTCATCCAATGAGAGTGATACTGCTTTCATCTTTACAGCTACTATGATGGTGAAGTCATCGTGTGTCGAAGTTCAACACTTCCGCTCAACCATTTTCGTTTGACAAAAATAAGACTCCCCTGTCCAGTGGAATTTAAGCTACCCTTCAGTGAGTTTGTACCCCTTGAAACTCCACCTTCACTCTCCGCACTCAACTGATAAACCCTTGACGACAGTCTAAAACTGGGATCTGACCCTATACAATTTATCGCTGCAGCACGCTTAGTTGGGCGCTTTGTGGGGTCTTGGTAGGGGCTGCAACTTCAAAAATCTAAAGATATGATTGAAGAAGTCGGTCTCGCCGCGTAGCGGTCCTGAGAGGCTAGTATTTTCCTCAAAGGAACGGTCTAAATCGCTGCTACGTCCTTGTATGACTCCGGAGCAAAAGTCTCCTCTATAGCCCTCGTCGTCGCTGTGCAAAGATCCCCTGTTTCGTCCGTGCCTGTGTTTTTAGTGTTTCTCGCTATCGATTAAGGTAGTCTGAGCGTATTATGTGAATCCTCGTTCACAGCCCCCCTGTTGAAAAGCCTCTCTCCTCGTTGATCACATATACGTCTGACAGCTAGTTACTTCACCTTAGTGATTCAGCCCAAACAATCAGCTTTTCCCTCATTGGTCAGTCACTACGCACCCGAGTTTCTTCTTTTAGTTCTACGCCATTTCTGGGTAACTTAGGCGCAAGCCACGCGTGACTAGTGCACAACGCACATCGCGTCACCGTCGCTCCGCGTCACCGACATTGACCATAAGTGGAGGTCTGTCTGCGGCCGTTGCCTCATTGCAATGGCTTCTGCACCCTCAAACAAGCCAACACCGACGCAGCATGCCATGCTCAGATTTGACCCACAAGCACTCCTGGCCGACAAGCGGGTCACATACGCTTCGCATTGAATCTTGCGAGACGCGATGCGGGTGGTGCAAAACCACAACCACAGCTGCGAACAACCTGCGTGTCGTAAGACCTTCGAATCTAGCATCATTCTGGGTAGACCTGCAAGTGCTAATTACACGTGCAGCACGCCCGCCGGCACGTTCAAAATCCCAAGAATACTTCTCTCCGCCTCATTACAGTTTCCCCCAGCAAAGCGGGCCGAACCAGAGTTTCTCTGCAGACAGACACCACCTGCATCTCTAGGCTGCAATGTAACCACCAAATAGACTATGAGAAGGAGATCCAAGATCTGAGAGACCAGATTCAATTACTTGAGTCAGACAATGAGCGCCTGAAGGCTGCGCTATGTCACATGACTGAGCTCGGCATAGATATATGTCCGATAGCTCCGGGAGACTAGCTCCTTACACCAATATATGCATGCTTACGATATACCCGTACACTTTCAGTGACACGCTATGGCGTGCAGAAAAGCCCAGAGTAACTTCCGAGGGAACTCAGGACAATACCCGCATAGACTCAGTCATGCAGTTCGGAGAATTCACGCGCAGAGACGGCACCTCGCGTATGAGCCCGGCCCAGAGGCTAGCTGCCCTGGTGAATGTTTAGAAGCGTTGCCCTCAAACAGTGAGTGTCTGAGTCATTCAAAGGGCTGAATAGATGAGTATTCTCTAAAGCACGCTATAGTAATATGACTTATCCCGAGTTCTCATATCTTTCTCCATCCATCATGACGCTTGAGAACACAGAAAAGCCACAATGGGCATCTTCAAAGTCTCCAAAGCCCTCGAGGCAAATGTGTCACGATTTCTTCGCACTTTGTTTCGTCTTCGTATCGAAGAGGCGTTGACTCGTGGTGTACACCCCGTGAGAGCACGTTTACATACTTGGGAACACAATTATCTTCTTTTCTTTGCGGCAAGCGATTGGCACGCAAGTGTATTCACTTTAACAGAACGCTCCCGTGCAGTTGTCTGGAAAGTAATACTCTCCCTCCTCCAACGCCTCCTCGACCTCCTCAACAGGCACAACCCACTCTTCCAACTCCGGCACCGCCTCTCTCAGTAATGACGCAACCATGTTTCCAAACACCACACTTCCCTCGCTATTTAGATGCGTGAAGTCCGTCGGATTCAGATTGAACGTTGCGCTCTTCTCCTCGCCAATCGCATTCAAGTACGCCGTACTCGCCTCATTCAAATCAATAACACTCGCGCCACTCTCCTCCGCCGCCTTCTTTGTCGCAGCAACGACATCCTTCAAATTCTCATTAATCTTGCCGGTCGAATTCGAAAATCGACGGCGGCTGATACTCGTCACTAGAATGGGGATGGCGTTGACGGCGCGCACTTCGTCGACGAAAGTTACCAGGTTGGAGGTGAATTGCGCCATGCTGATGTTCTTCTCGGCTTTTTGGTCGTTGTGGCCGAATTGGATGGTTACGTAGGGCAAAAACTCGCAGCTGGCGTTTTGGGCTGCGGAGAGGACGGTGGCCCCAGTCGCCGCCTTTGCGGAAGGAGACGGTTGTTGCGCCATTGTGGCCGTAGTTTGTGCCGGTTGCGCCATTTTGGAGAGTCGTGTTGAGGAAGCCGTCGCCCCAGCCTGAATGAGATATGAGTAAGACGTCGGGATTGTTCAAAAGTTGATATCGAACGTACCTCCACCACCTGTCGACTGCACCGCGGTTGTCGAATCTCCCGCGAGGAAGAATACCGGTGGCTTTTCTTCTCTGCTCAATGGTGTCGCTGCTGCGAAAGACAGCAATTGCGCAAGCGCCGCCACTTTTCTGTTCAGCTGCATTATGTTTAAGAAATAATGTACATGTAAAATGACTCTAGATGATGGCAGAATGATGACTTAATGATGGCTTGAATTGTTCTTATAAAGGTGCTTACCCCAATCTCACCGACTTGTTGACTATGAAGGCCTTAACAAAGATCCACCAATGGCGGCATTGCACCAATATACGTAGCGCCTTGGGCGCGGAATACTGCCTTTGCGGTGAGCATGGGGCTGTCTTTGGGGAAGTGAATAGCTTGAGTACCAGCTACCTTACATCTTAACAAGACCTGATGCGTAGAAAACTCCAGCAGATAGCTGTGATGTGGTTGGTATTGGGGGAAGACACGCTAGCGTATTTGCGTTTTAGCTTCACCCCCTGGTTCGTTTCCGCCCGGAGATTCTCCTATGGTGAGCAGCAACATCTCACACAACTTACCGCTTCTTCTGGTCAATAATGGAATCCTTATGAGTTGGAAATTCACAGTATCGTCGATCGCGCCCGCTCAGCTATACTGGCTTCCGAAGCCAGCCCTCAGCAAAGTGACTGTGCAACAATGAGCCGCTACTTCACAACCAGCATCTTTCCTTCCACCTGCTCTAGAACGAAAGCATTGGGCGACTACTTCTTTATGTTGGTTTTCATGTATCGAGTCTAGGACACCCTCACCGTCGACATGAACTCAGGCCCAAGGTAATGGCAAGCACTTCGCACTCCTTACAAGGGCATGCACAGTTCTCCGCAAAAGCCTCGTAACACAGAACAATGCTTCTAGAAATTCCAAGCCGCCTTTCTTTAGCTGATGATCCCTTCATCTGGCATACCGCCGCTAGTATAGTTCTCCCGCAATCGTCGAGCGCCACGAAATAGCTGTTCAGCCTTGAAACATGTCAGATGTTTCGATGCTCCGTTCCCACAACGGCTAGGCACATGCACTTGGACCAGGCACCGCCATTTCCACCACGTCCCAAGACCTCTATCCGCTGGAGATCATGACACCGAAAAAGATTAAGTTTCGCTTCCTGTCAAGCATCTAATCTCCGATTCGGCACTGCCGTACATGATGAATACTACGAATGTGTAGGCACCAATAAAACGCTCTCACCAACATCGGAGAACGACACCGTGATGAAGCCGGATGCCCCACGTGTTTCGACAAACGCCATCGTCTTGGACGGCGATCAGCCTGGGGGTTGACAAGCGGAACTAGGGAGGTACTTGTAGACTTGAGCATCAGGTTAATATTTCCAGCATTCTTTCAAAGATTTTCAATTCGCTCGCTTCTTGATTTCTTGCTTGCCTCGTCACTCCTTATAGCCTTGAAGGCGTCCTTTCATTCCTATACACAACACGCAGTATTGATCTGCACTTCCAATATTAACTTCAGTGAGCGTGCAAAATTCTACAACCCAGGTAAAATGCTTCGCTCAACGCTCCTCGCCTTGAGCCTAGCAGCCTTTTCCACGGCACATACGGCAGCATGGGCACCAGGCATGTATTGCAAAGGTGGTGCAGATCCCACAAAGGATGACCCAAACACGAATCTTGCCGTGAACCCTCTTTATAACCTCGCGAAAGCGGACTGGTGGTTTCAGCATCATCGAGGTTGTGACAGGGCTCCTCCCATGGCCGGAGAATTCCTCGAACTACCTGCGAATGGCAAGGTCACTGTCGAGCTGGCACACAACCGCGCGCATACCACGCTCTCTTACAATGGCCAGAAAGCAACGGACTGGCCCGATGGCAAACACCACCCTGAGGACTGGAACGGCTGGGGCACTGACGGCACCCCATCTATGTGCCTGAAAGAGGACGGTGCTATGCATACATGGAACCACAGTTCCGCAGGTGGAACTGCCTTCGCCATCAGCTACCAATCCAACCTCCAAGACGTCACCATGGAGAACCTGGTGGTGTTCACTACGCGCTACCACACCCCATGGAAGAGAATCGCAACCTACGATGTCCCAGATCTACCTGCGTGTCCTGAAGGTGGCTGCACTTGCGCATGGCTATGGGTCCCCAATGACTGCGGTCAGCCCAACATGTACGTTCTCACCATACATATATACTTGCTAGAATGCAACACTAACACACCACTCAGGTACATGCAAGGCTTCAAGTGCAATGTGACGGGCGCTTCCCCTACAGCCAAGCCCCTCGCCAAAGCTCAGGCCCCTGTCTACTGCGAAAATGAGCCTGCGAAGTGCGTCAAGGGCGCAAAGCAGATGCTAGCATGGCATCAAGCAACTGGCAACAACATCGAGACTGCTCAGGGTGTTACGCCGAACTATAACCAAAAGTGCGGCTGGGCGGAGGGTGCTCAGAAGGACATCTTCGATGTAGGAGCGGTGCAGGAAGCTGTGGCTCGACCTCAACCGTGGAGCGTGGACCCTTCTTCGGATGCTATCACACCGGCTGTAGCTCGCCCTCATCCGTGGAGCGTAAACTCGTCCCCAGATGCGATCGAACCAGCTGTTGCACGGCCACATCCATGGAGTAAAGAAAACAATGCAGTTGAGCCCGCCGTGGCTCGCCCCCATCCATGGAGTGCCGAGAACAACAAATTCGAAGCAGCTGCGGCTAGACCGCATCCATGGCGTGCAATCGCGTCTTCGGCCGTGGTTCCGTCTGGAGTTGCGGCTTCTTCGACCTTCGTTACCGGCACACCAGCTACACCGACTTCGGCTACGGAGGCCGTGTCCACGGAATCGTGCTCTGTGAGACGGCCTCGTTACACGCCTGGTGTCGTGCACCGCTGGGTGTGACGGGACTAAGACGGAGCCGCATGGTATTGCAGCTGAGATGTGGAGCCTCTTTCCTGCCTATGATGGCTGGATTTTCTCTTCGACTTTGAGGCCACTACTTTTAGTAGTGGCGCCAATTGACTTGATCTGATTCTTTTCTACGTATTTCAATTATACAATTCTGCTCTTGGAGCACCTTTCCAACATCAAGAGAGCTTTCATATCGCCTTGCACTTTCCGCGCTGTTGATAATCAGTGATCATACCCCGAACCCGTGACTCGTGAAATATCGAAACCAACTTTGAATCATCCAAATCCCACCATAAATCTCAACACCAACGCGGAAATAAAATTAGCCTAACCTAATCGCACCACCAATACGCTGAATATCTCCCGGCGCGCATTATCCCTGTCCAGAGAACATGTTTCAAGCAAACAAGTGCCTTGCTTGCGCACGCTTAATCTGCACGCGAAACGAGGCTTGGCCAATAACAAGCCCAGGGGATCTGCGGGCCCAGACGCGCACAGCACGCATAGCGGCGCCGCGCTTGGGGGAAATCTTGATAAGTGGGAAAGAAGGACTGCATGCTGATGATGCCCTTGACTGCAGTTGCCGTGTTTGCCAGAAGGGCGTCTACATGCGGGTATGGAGCTTGCCCATTGGGAACGGGGGACTTGTCTCGCCCTTGTCGCGTTAGGATTTTCTCTGTCCCTTTCCCTTTCGCTTTTCTTCATTTGAGTGATTGTTCCCATCTTCCTGCTCTGTTCTGCCTGATCCACTGCGGGTAGAGTGGATTTTCCTGTCGTTTGCTTGCGCTGGGTTTTTTGAGCTTGTTGCCTTGCTCTCTGTTGTTTTCTCGATTGGAAAGATTTGTGCGTTGAGTATTGCCCAAGTTCAACTTTTGGAGACACGACAAACGCCACAATGGTACACTTCCTTGCGACTCTGGCTCTTGCGGTGACCGCGGGCTTGAGCTGTGTTAGTGCTATTCCTACGATTTCGGCAAAAGGCTCCAAATTCTTTACCAGTGATGGAAACCAGTTCTACGTCAAGGGTAAGCACTGATTTCTGGAGAGAGGCGTGCAATTGATGTTGACGATTTCATAGGCGTCGCGTACCAACTCGTCCCCGAGGACCCGCTCATCACCTCGTCGCAATGCTCCCTGGATGCCAACCTCATGAAGACGATTGGAGCAAACTCGATCCGCGTATACCACGTCGATCCCAAGGGCAACCACGATGCGTGTATGAAGGCATTTGCCGATGCGGGCATCTATGTCTGGCTGGATCTCGACACGTTCAACACGCAAATCTACGAGGCTGCGCCGCAATGGAATAGTAGCCAGCGCGATGCTTTTGCCCTCGTCATGGATGCGTTCCACTCGTACGACAACTTGGGTGGCTTCTTCGTTGGAAATGAGGCTATCACTACTGGTAAGTCGAACAAACCCAGTCCTTCGGTGTGACATGTACAACTACAGAAAACTAACCTTTCAACAGCCAACGGTTCTGTAACCGCCCCTTACGTCAAGGCCGCAGCCCGCGACCTCAAGGCCTACCGCGACTCCAAGTCTTACCGCAAGATCCCCGTCGGCTACTCCGCAGCCGACATCGCGAGCCTACGCCCCATGCTCCAAAATTACCTCGCCTGTGGCACCAATTCGTCCGAGACACTCGACTTCTTCAGCCTGAACTCATACTCCTGGTGCGGCGGCTCTTCCTACATGCAATCCGGCTACGACCAGCTCGAGAAGATGAGCGAGTCCCTACACATTCCCATCTTCATGTCGGAAACCGGCTGCAACACGGTGCGCCCGCGCGACTTCAAGGACCAAGAAGCCATCTTCGGCGACATGGCCGACACGTGGTCCGGCAGCATCATCTACGAGTGGATTGAGGAGGCGAACAACTACGGTATCGTCAAGTACGGCGACAAAGTCGACCCCGCGAGTCCCCGCGCGCCGCCTGATGGCTTCCCGCGCAGCGGAACCCCGATCCCCGTGCAGCCCGACTTCTCGAACCTCGCGAATGTGTGGAAGACGCTGAGCCCGAGCGGCGTTAAGGAGAGCGCGTACAACCCCAGCCAGGCGCCCGTGTCGTGCCCTGCTTTCACGGCGGGTGCGTGGGAAGTTAACCCTACTGCTGCGCTGCCGACTATGGGTCAGGTTCACAACTTTGCATCTGGTGCGGCTTCGTCTACCGAGCGCGCTGCTGGTGCCACTGGCGGTCCAACTGGAACCTCGACTCCGGCTCCTGCTGGCTCGCAGGGCGCGGCGGCTGATAACCTTGGTCGCGACCTCAAGCGCTCGGCTACTGCGGCTGCTGGCGTGTTGGCGCTTCTTGCGTGGTTGTAGAGTGTACATGCACGGATTCAGAGGGAGAAGGAGGTAGCTCGGATTCAAAGGGAGAACGAGCAAAGGTGTAATGAGGAAACACGAAGCATTGGCGTTCATGTGGATAGCGTTACAGGTGTTTGAAAAGGAGGAGATGGATGGGTAGGGCGATTGGTACATATACCCCATTTTGCATTCTTCAGCGATAGAGAATAGATCTGGTCATCTCTTCTTCAACCTGCTCTTCGAGTTTGCTACTACATGCTCTTACCTAGGAGGGAGAGCGAATGGAAGCATCATGTAGCTTGAAGTTATACACCGGCTGGATAGGCTTCCTTTACAACGGCACCACGCTGTGTATGTATAACTCCAGGCACCCTGGTGGCTCTACACGGTAAATGATAACACGAAGTACGAGATGCAGTGGAGTACATGAGGGAATGGTGAGGCATTGTCACAGCGGGTCAGGCAAGGCAAGGGTAAAGTGGTCATGATGAAGACTGCATTAAAGGACTGGGTGCCAATTAAGAACACCCGATCGCCGACACAGGGCTTTCCCCCACGTCTCGCAACGAGACGTGGATATCTTTCCCTCATAAGCGCCAGCATTGATCATGTTCCCTCAACCGTCTCCCCATGCACAAATGAAGTTTCATTTTTTGAACTTGGTTGGTATTTTCCTTTTCCGATCCTTGCTCCTACTCCGACATGCCGATGTAAATGGTAGTCAATGACAGGGGTATGGAAGAAAGATTACAGCGCAGATACTCAGGGCAGCATCTACCACTGGGTAGCGGGCTGCGCACCAGTGGTCTCAGCACCCCAGCCCTCACCGGTAGCAGCCTCACCACCGGTGGTCGCGGCCCAGTCGGTGGAGGGCTCAGCGTCCCAGGAGGTGGTAGCGGCAGCAGCCTGGGAGGTGAAAGCACCGGCAGATGCGCCAGAGACTTCCCACTCGCTGGTGAAGCCATCGGCAACGGCAGCGGGACCGACCTCGTCGGCACCGGGGACCTTGGCCTCCTCGACGCCAGCGCTGTCCTTGTTCTCCTCGGCTTCGGGGTCGCGGTAGAAGTACAAATCGGTCATGACGTCCCACTCGGCCTCGCGGGAAGCGAGGGTGCCACGGAGGCGGAGGACCTCACGGGCAAGCATCCACCAGACGAGACCGATGGCGTGACGTCCCTTGTTGTTGGTGGGGATGGCAACATCGACGTACTCGGTGGGAGAGTCACCGTCGCAAAGAGCCTGGTCACTGTTAGTTTGGCATTCGAGGTCGCATTCGAGGCGCTTCAACGTACGATGACGGGGATGTTGACGTAGGAGGCCTCCTTGATGGCCTGGGCGTCGGTGCGAGGGTCGGTGACGATGATCAAGCGGGGCTCCTTGAACGAACGGGTGATGTAGTTGGTGAAGTTACCGGGGGTGAAGCGACCAGCAATGGCGACGGCACCGGTGTGGGCGGCGAACTTCAGGACGGCACGCTGACCGTAGGGACGGGCAGAAATGACGCAAACTGTTCACCGTGTAAGCCAAAAAAATTGTTGTCGCATACATTTTCGCAACTCCGAATATCGAACTCTCGAATTGCGGGCTAAGGGCTAAAACATACTGTCGGCCGGGTTGTCAATGGCAACAATGATGCGGGCAGCGAGGACAATCTTCTCCCAGGTCTTGCCAACGTTGATGACATTGACACCGTCGGGCCTGGTCTTCCACAGGTACGGCTCCATGTGCACCTGGAGGTTCTTTGCGCCGAGATGGCACTGGGCAGCGAGGAGCATCTCAATGTCCTGCTGGGAGGGGTTGAAGATCGCGGGGAGGTTGGAAGGAGCCATCTTGTCGGTTTGGCGCTGCAGAAACTGGTGCGTGTTCTGAGGTTGTCGTGATAACTGCAGTCGAATTTCTGGTGGAGGGGAATTCGAGCTGTGTGGGAACACTAGCGCGGCAGGGGCGGCCTGACGTTTAGCCGAGGGCATGGCTTGGCATCCAGTGCGGAAAGTTCTTGAGTACGGCGGACATGACTGCAGCATTGCCATCATGCCGCCCCGAATACCAATCCCCACCTGCCTGCGGGCTGCGCGTATGTCGGATAAGGAATTGTGTCGTACTTCGGCTAATTGTTGTCAGCCTCCGCCACTCCAGCACAATTCACTCTTCCCTTCCGCTCCTTCTCGTCGAGCTCGATACTCCAGGCCAAGGCCAAGAGGGATGAAGAAAGGGCACGGCAGCGAGCCAATCGCGATCCCTACATCATAGCACAGCGCAACCGGAAGAAGGCCGCCAACCTCACCAGGCGGGCAGAGCTGGAGCAGGCCAGAGTGGCCAGTCTTGGAAACCCTGTTCGCGGTGTATCAACACCATTCGTCGAGTCGTTTGACACCGGCAAACCCGTGACGTCCGAACCGGGCAAGAAGACACCCAAGGACAAGGCGCATCTCAATTATGCTTTCGAGCCGGAAGACGTCGAACGACAATTGGCGCGGAGTGTAAAACTGGCTATCCCACTAAGTGAAATCGCCAAGCAGGCCGCGGTTGGTCCTCTGGGCATGAGAACCAAGACGACTGCCATTGAGAAGACGGCCGAGGAAATTGAAGCACAGAACAAGAAGGACCACGAACGTGCGGTCGAGGCCATTGCGCGTATCACGGCACTGGCGAACGGATCCAGCAAGGACCGGATGCGCGTCAACATCACAAGATGTGTCCAGACATTTGGTCGACACAACACAGACAGGATCTTCCCACCTCGCGCGCCGCCACTCAAGAACATGAGCGAGACTGTGCACCCGATCCGGCCCGAGACAAACATTGCCGCGACGGAGAAGCGCATTGGACCAGATACTGGATCTTCAGAGGTGCAGATTGCAATTCTGACCGCGAAGATCAAGACCATGGCCGACTTCCTGGCCACGCGAGGCAAGAACGACAAGCACAACAAGAGGAACTTGAGGGTGCTTGTGCACAGAAGGCAGAAGCTGTTGCAGTACCTCAGGAGGAAGGAACGGGGCGGACCGAGGTGGCAACATTGCATCGAGACATTGGGCCTGACTGAGGGTACCTGGAAGGGTGAGATCTCATTGTAGGATCTCAACCGCGATGTGCAGACTCCATGTGCATTTCAGCGGAATCATTGTACAGTCGATTTGTGTATATTGCATCTGTACAACACGCTCAACCAGAGACTTCTAACGTCCTTACCGTTTACCTTGCAAGATCATTGAAAGGAGAACATTCGAGACTGGAATTTCGAACTTGGTATCTCTAACTTGAAGTAACTGAGGATCAGGCAGCCCCAAAAAGGCCTTGCCCATCCCCTATCCGGAAGACATGCGCGGAGAAAACAAAGGATATCTGTACTTCGATAGTGTGGCGTATGACTTCAGCCTCTAACATTAGAGCTGGCGATTGAGATTTATGATCCAGCAACAACTCGCAAAACCGGACCGTGTCTGTATGAGTCCTTCACATCAAGAGTCTTACAACCACCTCGCTCTACCTACCCATGATGAAAAGCCGGCTCCGGCACCACCGGCTGCTGCAAATACTCCATGCCCGCCTCCTTCCCCGGCTGCATCACCACCGGCCTATTCTGCCCCTCTCTAAACTCACTCTCCTTATCCTGCTGCGCCACATCACACGGCGTGCAACAACACGCACACGCACAATCCTTGCACCCGTTTCCACTTAAATGGTACTTTGCCCGTATGTCGCCGCGGTTCAGCATCGGCATGATGAAGCTGATGCCGATGCACGCGAGCCCGCAGAAACCCATGCAGCTGAGGTTGCAGCATGTGTAGCCGTCCATGTTGCCGTTGTATTTGATTCGGTGGTGTGTGCGGCCGACTACGATGCAGGGACACCACCATGAGAGACAGCCTGGTGGGGGTTAGGATGCGTGGGGAGAGGGAAGGTGGAGGGAAGTTACAGGTGCCGATTGGCGAGCAGCATGAGGTGCCGCTGTGGTGCCATTCTTGGTTTTGTATTGTCGTCATGTTGGCGGATGTGTGCGGAAAGAAAGTGAGTGCGAGTGAAGTGTAGATGGGTACACACGGATTACAATCGATATATGAGTTGGTGAAGTGCCAGTATTCAAGCCTCCAATGCTTCCCGAATATAACGTGAATATAAAAGAGACAACATCCAGAACGACAGACCAGAGGTGAGCAAAGAAGTAATAATATCAATCAAAACCCCGAAAACCATTTCCAAACCCGGCCTCCGGGCTTATATGCATCATCTCACCCTCCACACCCAGCAAGCCACAGTCAGAGCAAGGGAACGAACAGTGCGCAAGGCGACCGGCCATCAATGGTGGCTGTGGAACCACCGGTGAAACAGTGATTCGGGAACCAAGTGGGCTGATCGTCAAATTGTGATATGTCGGGTTTGCGTACCTGGTGACGATGCGGATGGACATGGGTTCTTGCTTTCTTACGCAACCACGACTACGAATGCAGCATGAGGTTTCCGTTCTTTCCGGTATGAGAGCTGGGATTGGGGGCCGCTTGCTATGCTAAGACCCCCATTCGGATCGCGGATCTACAAGACGGTGTGGTTGTGTTATTTTAGCTGGTGAGATTTTGGGAGCTTTCAGGGGCTTCTTTGGAATAATTACATCGCGGGATACTAGGCGCGCACAGCTGAATGAATTGTGGAAGACAAAATCCTTCGGCTGCTTGACATCGCAGATGCATTCTTGAAGCTCGCGCAAAAGAAGTCGAACTTGTGGGGTCGATGTCTGTCATCATGTGAGCTCGTGTCATCCCTGCGCTAGCGTGCCCGAACCCCGACGCTTGTCAATCTCTCGCAGATCGTACTCTTGTGCAACCACCAACTCCGACCGTTGCCATTCGCTCGTTTTCTATTCTTTTATTGATCTAGTTGTGATCTTGACATGCACTTCCTCGCTGCCTTGGCCGCTGTTGCGGTCGCTACTGTTAGAGCTGACATCAGTGATCTTGGAACCCCTGACCACTCTTTGCTCGACTCCGCTGCTCCAGATGTCGAGGTTGTAGATTTCAACAAGGAATATGTCGTGAAGCTGGACTGTATCGGCTGTCCATATGCAAGGCAAGTAGCGGACAATAAGGCTGTATGGGAACAGCCGCCTCGAAAGAATGCCTTGGTATGTCATCCACAGGAGCCTGTTGCATAGATGTACTGATTTTCAAAGGTGCTGTACTTCAAAGTCGACAATGAGCACCACGATGAACCCACCCTTGTTCTCAACGGCCGCGCCATCCAGCCTCTCGAACAAATGCCTCCCAACATCCAAGCATTCCAAGTGCCTGCCGACATCACACAAGACAACATGGACAAGCTCTGGCGGGAGGATAGCGAATATGGTGTACAGATGCCCCTGCAGTATGAACATACTGTACTCCGTACCCAGGAGAATGGCGAGCTCACGGTCCAGTTCGACGTGACCGGTCTACCGTTGGATGCTATGAGCGATCCCCGGTTCTACCCCTCCTTCGTCGGCGAGCCATACAAGATGGACGGCGAACAGCAAAAGCTCGTCCAACTGCGACTGCACCGTAGCCAGGACACAGGCGAGCTTCTCATCGAAGACGTATCAATCGTTGCCAGAGAAAATCGTACCCAGCCGTATCGAATGAAGTGCGGTCGCCTCGCCATGACCCAAACAACTTACGATCCGCGCGAGTGGGACGCATACGGCAAATTCGGAACATTCGAGAGGACATGGAACGTGTTCGTGAGCCAGTTTGTGATGAACTTTGCCGGGCTGCCTGCTATCATTCTGGGCACGTTTTGTATATTCATTGCTCGATTCTGTTACCAGCGCAGAAACCAGGAGGTCGAGCCCAAGGAGGAGGATGCTGAAATCGCTTTGTTGGGCGCTGAGTCCGGGGATGCGCCACCGGCATATGCGGATATTCCTGTCATTAAGATTGAGGAGTATGATTAGACTCAAGGGAGCAGCATGCTTGGTGAATGTTCACTTCGTAGTTATAGTTGCTGGACAAATTTGTTAATTTCTAGATCATATTGTGGGTTTTCAAGCCACCGCCGCCCTTTTTAATGATTAGCTCGTGCAAGGGCGACAAAGCCTAAAGCAGAATGCGCACCCGAACACCTCTACATTAACGACTGTCAGGTCACCTTGCTCATGAGACGTTATCTACAACCTAATTCTTGTACATGTGCGATTGAGAAGCCATCCTGAGCCACAAGAAATAGGAAAACTCCACCAAGCATGTCTGTTGCACACAAGGCAAACGTACAGAGGGAACGCTGGCTCCCAATAACGACCCATCGACTTGTCATTCGAGAATTCGATATCGACGATACACAAGGCTACTACACCCTCGAAAGCAACGACGACAACGCTCGATACCAAGACTGGCCGCCTCGCACCATGGACCAATCTCGCGAACTAGTCCTGGCGAACATCGAAAGCTCTACCGCAAATCCGAGAACAATCTGGGAACTTGTCGTAGAGAAAGATGGAAGCATGATAGGGCGCGTGGGAGCAGCGCAGTCGCAACCCGAACGTGGTGTACATTTTAATCTCTGGTTCTCCTTTCTGCCGTCTGTTCAAGGCAAGGGGTACGCAACGGAAGCTATGAAGGTTTTCATTGAGGAGTTGGTGAGACAGAAGGGTGGCGAGGTTGTGGTTTTGGAGATTGAGTGCGATCCGAGGAATGTTGGGAGTTGGAAGCTGGCGGAAAGACTTGGGTTTGAGAAGCATAGTTTGACGGAGAAGGCATATGAGAGTAAGGGGGGGTGGGTGGATTCATTGGTGTATCGGAAGAATGCAGTATAGATATTGTACAAGGCTTTACTGTCGGAAATTCGACATGATTTGTATGAAGCAGGCTCCTTGGGGTTACAATAGTCGGCACACATCCACATAGGCGATGCTGTATGGTCGAGAGATCAATCTGTCCAGGCGGATGTAATGCAAGAGCCATTGATAGATTTTGCGTCTGGGAAACTCATGGAGGTGCAGTGGCTTGCGACTATATCTGGTATTGGAAGTCGGGCTCTCGATCTGTGTACATCGTTCCTTCTGGCCGCACGTATCCAGCCGCGATTTTAAGGTCCTTCCTCACTTCTCTTCTCCTGTACATCGCTCGTACAATCCACCAGCCACACCATGCAAACCCCAAACACCCGAGACTCCACGCATGTCCCAAGGTGTACTTCGGCGCCGCATTGCTTTGGTAGATCTGTCCCGACACAACGCCGCCGATGTTCGTTAGTGTGAGTAGTATACCAAGCGAGGCAGCACGCTTTCCATCGGGAGCACAGTTGGCAGAAAGCCAGGTTATGTTTCCGCCGGTGCAGAGGAAACATGCGGTCGAGATCAGGTAGGTGGCGAAGTACTGGACTCCTGGACTGACAGGCGAAAGTAGGATGGCATATCCCGCTACACCGATTGGCGCCATGAGAATGAGTGGAATGAAGCGAGTTTGGTAGCGGTCACTGAGATATGCGCTGATTGCGTAGACGATGGCGCCCCAGATGTTGACGGGAATGACGAGATATTGCGCCTATGCTGAGTCAGTATGTTGTAGTCGAGAGGAAAGGACCAGTCTCACTTCTTTGACCGAATAATGAAAGCCGTTTCTGATGATGATAGGTAGAAACGTTCCAAAACCGTACAAAATAGTTACAACAGCAATCTGAATGCAGCCATGGATCCAGCTCTTGATGTCCTTTGCTGCTTCCTTGATGTCGGACTTTCCATAATGCCCCGAACCTTCCGAGTCAGAATAAGCCTGTGTTCGAGCAGCGCGCTGACGCATGATTTGCTTCTCCTCTTCGTTGAGGAAGTACGCTGTCTCGAAGTTCTTGGGCACAAGCCATACGCAGCAAAGTGCCCATACGATGGTGATGATACCTTCGAGAACGTACAACCTAGTTGTTCAGTCAGTTTTCGACCATCACAACTCGATGTTTCGAACTCACCACCTCCAACCTGCCCACCCAGCCACTCCATCCATGTACAGAATGCCAAAAGCAATCAACCCACCAAATGCGCCGCTTAGCGCACTCGCAATGAACAGATACGCAACTCTGATCCCGAGTTCCTCTCTCGTGTACCAATTACACAGGAACAGCGTCATGGACGGAAACAAGCAACCCTCGAAGAAGCCCAGAAAGATCCTCGTCGTCACCAGGCCGGCGAAGTTCTGTACAAAGCCAGTACATAAGCATACCAGACCCCAGCAGAATGTAATCATAGGGATTACACGATTGAATTGCAAGCGCTTGACGAGTAGTGAAGTCGGAAATTCTGCGAGGATGTAGAAGATGTAGAACACTGATACTGCAGTCTAGAGTCTATCAGCATGTATGATCCACGACATCTGGCTGATGAGAAGTCTAGTATGTATTTTCTACGTACATTCAATTGACTCCCCTTGAGCTTGATGTCCGTTGTCATACCCTGCGTCGCTGCGAAGCCAATGTTTCCACGATCGAGATAGCTGATGAGCATTAACATCATCATGACAGGCGCGACATAGCGGTCAAGTTTGCGTCGTAATGCATCTTCTTTTTTCTTTGCTCCAATCGTGTTTGGCGATTCATCTTGTGTGAGCACTTCGCGCTGGATATGTTCAGCCTTCTCATCGCTGTCGGAGGGTGTAACTGCAGGTTTGGAGTCTGGCATATTGCCAGGGGGTGTAGGAAGGATGGAAGATTGTTACACAGACGCCAACGGATGTTTTATTGGAAATATGCTATATCGTCTTCAGGTGGTCACATTTCCCAGTGTCGAAGGCCAATACTTCGGCAAGTACACCCGCGATGTGCCTTGGGGAAGTCAGGCTTCCAACATGCTGGTGCCGAGTCTTCCATGCGAGTCGAGCGCCTCACAGCGAACGAACGCATGACTTTCTTGCGCAAGAGCGTCAGTGGCGCTGGGCGTAGGCATGAGTTTATCCGGGGATAAGGGTGGGGATCGACGCATGTTGTGCGGAGGTGGAGAATATGGTACTACTGTACCCCAACGCGGGGCTGGGATGGGGTAAGCATGCGAGTTTAGACCACCATGTTATGTGGAAGCTTGGAACGCGGCATTACAGTAGCGTCATTCAGCGTAGTGAGCGTATGAGAAGTCTGAAAAAGTATTCTGATCTAGAAACGCTATTACTACAAACCTTTCAAACTCACGAAGATATCGTGGTTACTAAAGTATATTTGGCGACATCAGACAGAAGTATACTGCTACACGAGTACAGAATGTCTCCACCAGAGAAGACTGTAGCCTTCATCGGTACATACTCGAGAAACAATTCAATCCAGATTATAGCTGACGGTTCTCAGGCCTAGGCGTGATGGGCTACCCCATGGCACTCAACCTCCGCAAAGGCCTCGACGACTCCCACACGCTCCTCGTTTGCGACGTCTCATCAGATGCCCTCGCGCGCTTCCAAAACGACGCAAAAGGTCACGGCCCAGTCTCCACAGTCGACGGCGGCTACCAAGCTGTCCAACTCGCAGACACCGTGATCACAATGCTTCCCGACTCCAACGCCGTCAAGAAAGTCTACCTCGACCCTTCAACCGGCATACTCGCAGGTGCCGAAGCAAACAGCGGGACCAAGAGCGACAAATTGATCATGGAATGCGGTACAATTGAAACCTCCACGATTCTTGAAGTCGCAAAGGCTACGTCTTCTTCAAAAGCGGCGGAGAATTTGACATTTGTCGATGCACCAGTGTCTGGCGGGCCAATGGGCGCACAGGATGGCACGTTGGCATTCATGGCAGGTGCAAACAACAAGGCCATATTTCCACGCGTCAAGGGTTATCTGTCGCATATGGGCAAGCCAGATGCGATATTCCTGTGCGGCGACATCGGCGCTGGGACGGCATTCAAAGTCATAAACAACTACCTCAGCGCCATCACATCGCTCGCTGCATCGGAGGCGCTGAATATCGGGACGAAGATGGGGTTGGACGTCGCGTTGCTCACAGATGTGATCAACGTTTCTGGTGGTCAGTGTTGGGTTACGTCCAAGTCGAATCCGGTGCCAGGCGTACAGGCGAATGTACCGAGTTCAAGAGATTATGAGGGAGGATTTAGAATTGAGCTGTGTCGCAAAGTGCTGGGTATGGGTAGTGAGCTTGCGGAGATGGTCGGGGCGAGGACGATATTGGATAAGCCGACACTTGCGGCGTTTGACGAGGCGATGAGTGATGGACGGTATAAAGGAAAGGATGCGAGGGTGGTGTACAAGTGGTTGAACGAGAGCGAAAGGAAGTAGTTTTAGATAAACGAGGGAAGATGAATTTTATTGTTGTGCCAGCTCCTTCTCCAGTACTTCGAGTCCGGCATCCATGGTGCTTATGCTGAGCAACGTGGCAAGTTCCATTACTTCCATTATCTCTTCCGCTGTGCCGCCATAGTTGAGAACATTGCGCATGTGGAGCTTGAGACCTGGTTGGTACATGTGCGTTGCTGCAGTGTCGAAGGCACAGTATATGAGTTCCTTCACCTAAAAATCGTTAGTCAAACTCGACTGCTTCCCAGGGGTGTTCAAACTCACCTTTGGTTCTAGTACTCCTTTGCCGCCCTCGTTCAGCCAAGGCACAGAGCTAAATTCCGTGTATGCGTCGAAGAACTCGGGACTCAGGCGTAAGAACTCCTCCCATAGAGTATTCCAATAGCCGCGCTTCTTCTCAAAATCTTCTTTCATAGCCCATTGGTCTTTGCTCATACCCTCCATACCTTTCGGCATTGGCTTCCCTTGTTCCTCTAGTACTTCGAACAATATCGGCACGCCAACAGTACACGCATGTATGCCCAATGTAGAAGTTAAGGACAGCACTTCAACTATTTCTGCCTTCGTCGCGCCGTTCTGCAGTGCAGATTTGGTGTACCTATGTATAGAAGGAACATAGAGATGAGTTGACGCTGCGCTCACCGCGATCGAAACTAAACTCTGGATCTTCGGTGTGAGATGGCTTTTCTTCTTGGGCACGCCGGCAAGTCGCACACTCGAGGCGAACATATCAGGAGCGTGCTTGAGCATCCGAGACCATGATTCATCGAACGCTGCCGGTCCAAGAGCCGCGTCGAAACCTTCCTTGAGCTTTTGTTGTTCTGCGGTGAGTGACATTTTGGGCAGTGCTTTGAAATTGAGTGTGTTGGTGGTCACTAATATTCAGGAAGACGTCGTTAAAGTCAATAGGGCGTTAGGGCCTGATTTAGCATAGACTTAAAAAGGCGCTGTTCAATAGGACCAAAGCATGTATTGCTATGCGCTTGTGTCCGTTGACAGCATCGCAAGGCCGGCGGGTGAAGGAGTTGGGGAAGCCCCACTTTCCCCAACTTCGTGCGGAGACCGCGGGACCTAGTGCGTGAGGGGAACATGATCGCCCAACAAGCACGCATGGATTCACGGTTGAAGACATCCGAGAAATCTGGGTTCAGCTTCGTGGTAAGAGTGTGGTGGGTGGTGGATTAGATCCTTGTTGAGATGCGAATGTGTTGTAGCTCTGCTCGGCATGACTAGGTGCAGTTATGAGCTTGCACCAAAGAAGCGCGATTTGTTTGCTGGATCGTTCTCCCACTCGACATCGTGCGCGAATATGATCTCGACGCCTTCTTGTTCCAACATCCTGATGCGCATGATCGTTTCTTCGGCCTCTTTACGATTTGCATGTATACAAAAAGTATGCCCATGTACGTCCTCCCACTCACCGATGGATTTCTCGCCTGTCAATAAACGCCTATCGTGACATGCGTCGCCAGCCATGTAGACCCTATGACCGTCTGTACAGCGTGCGAGAAGATTGATATGGCCAGCTAAATGACCTGGCGCATCGACGATAAGCAATGAGCCGTCCCCGAAAAGATCCAAAGTATGCGGAAGGCTACCATTGGCTTTCCATGGGCGGCGGAAGTCCACGGCGCCATTCGCTGGACTTGGTTTGGAGTCGTCTGTAACTGTCTCAGAGGGGTCTGCCAGCTCTATTGTACGACATTCAGGAAGTAGATCAGCCTCAAAGAATGAATGGCCTCCGCGAAGAGCATTCGAGGTCCCTTTCAGTAGACTTAAGGCGCCGTTGCCGACCACGAATGTTGATGCGGGAAAGTCGCGAGGCTCGCCAACATGATCCCAATGTACCTGCGTCATCTAGTTCAGCAATGCTTCCACCGCTGTTCTGGTCGTATGCTAACATACATGCGAGTAAATCACATAGTCGATGTCTAAAGATTGTAGTCCACCTCGTGCGAGACTTTTCGTGACATCAGGGTCTGTAGTCAGGGGCTGCCGTGTCTCTATGTGCTTTTGTATTGGCGCGGCATATCTTTTTATGTCTCTTCGTAAACCCAAGTCGAAAACGATCCGCGTGATATGCCCTGTGCAAAAGTCTCGGTGCTGAATGAGGAATGCCAAAGACGGGACGTGTTTGCGCGCATCTCGTGAGATTGGATGGACGAATTGGTACTCGGGAAGGGTGAAGTGGCCACAGTCAAGAGCGTGTACGGAAACCGTTACATCTTGATTGCCTTCCTGGAAAGTCAACGAATTTTCTAATGGGAAGCTACTGTTTGAAGACATCTCTTCTGTGGCGCAATAGACGACCGTGAGGAGAACTGTGTTATGAAGGCGGCCCAGTATGACCCCAAGTACAATCAGCACGCCATTTAAGTCCTGAACGGCATTACTGCAATCGCAATGAGTGTTTTGCTCCCTGCAACATGGCACCTTCTTGGAGCTTTGCAAAATGGCCGAGGCTCACCCGGTACTCCAAACTTTCAGCTGCAAGTTGGGCGCGTTATGTGCTGGCCTAGAGTTGGAGAAGTCATTACCCCACTTGGAAGTCCGCAGGCCGCAGGCTGTGGCGCAAAGTCGAGACTTACTAGGGATTCACATCTCAAAGAGTCGCGAAAGCAGACATTGCATTTGCACCGACCTCAAATTCGGCTTGACGACGCGATGGCATCTTCATACAGCTTCAAGAAGTTGGGCTTCATTGGCCTTGGTGCCATGGGAAAGCCAATGGTCTCACACCTGGCGAACAAACTACCAGCAGACTCACGCATATGGGTATATGATGTGGTTGAGAAGGTAGTGGATGAGCTGTGCGCTGAGTTCCCAGAAAGAATCATCAAAGGAGCCAACGCAAAGGATGTCGCGCAACAAGTAGTAAGTTGAATTTAATCAACATGCACCGCACTGCTGATGAAAGATAGGATACCATTGTAACGATGGTGCCAGAAGGTTCGCACGTCCGCTCTGTCTATCTCGACGCTGAGAATGGTGTTTGTAGCACAGACATTTCGAACAAGCTCATCATCGACTGCTCCACCATCGACACCGCGACTAGTCTCGCAGTCAAAGACCACATCGCCAAATACTTCCCATCGGCATCGTTCTATGATTCACCAGTCTCTGGGGGCGTGGTGGGCGCAGTGAAGGGCACAATCGCGTTCTTCCTGGGTTGCGCGGAGTCGGATCCGAATCTCGAGCGCCTGACATACTTGATGAGCTTGATGGGCAAGCAAATCATACCTTGCGGGGGCCCGTCGCTTGGCCTTGCAGCGAAGTTATCGAATAATTACTTATCAGGAATTATTGCGATAGCTTGCTCAGAAGCTTTCGACATGGGAATGCGTTCAGGCTTAGATCCTAGAACACTCGCCAAAGTGTATGCAGCAGGCACTGCACAGAACACGATATGCGACAAGTTCTGTCCTGTGCCTCATGTGTATCCCGAAGCTCCATCATCTGGTGGGTGGAAGCAGGGTTTCAAGGTGCAGTTGATGCGAAAAGATTTCGGTTTGGCAGTGGACATGGCGAAACGCGTAGGCTCGCACAACGTGCTGGGAGACGCGGGCTTAGAGACTTACGATAATGCTGCAAATGATCCTCGCTGTCGAGACTTGGATTCGCGCGTCGTGTATCGTTATCTTGGGGGAGAGGAGGACTGGCAGACCAAGATGCAAAGCTACTAGGTATTATTTGCCACATTCAAGCGCTTGTTGCTATACCTTCGTCCAATATCTGCATGCTTTGAGATTATGGGAGAACCTAGTTCGGTAGCATAAGATGACGCAAATGTGCATGCGTTGGAGAAGTTGGGGAACTTGGGGCCCGCCGGCTGCCCTTTGAGGGGCTTTCTTCTGGAGCAAACCTCAACGATTTTCGTCCCACTTCAAGACAACGCAACTCAATTCTACTTCCCACGAACGTATTTGACCTTGTTCAGCCTCTCCGCTTGTTAATTCAACTGTCCTGCCGACGTACCACCAGCGAAGCACGCCCAATATGTCTTCCGACCCCAAATACGATGAACTCCACAAGCAACTGTTCGAAGAAGGATTGAAGATGCGAAGAAGTGTAGTTGGCGATGAGTACGTCAACCGCGCATTAGAGAACGGATCGACGGAGTTCTCGCGAGCGGGACAAGAATTGGTCACCGAGTTTTGCTGGGGATATGCTTGGACCAGGCCAGGTCTCACAAAACAGCAGCGAAGCCTCATCAACATCGGAATGCTGATGGCCCTCAATCGCGCTCCCGAACTCGCGGTTCACGTCCGAGGGGCCAGGAACAATGGACTATCGGAGTTGGAAATACGCGAAGCCATTATTCACGCGACCACCTACTGTGGTGTCCCCGCTGGCGTCGATGCTATGAAAACGGCAGAGAAGGTGTTGAATGAAATGGCAGAGAAAGGCGAAATGCCGCGAGAGTTGGGCAACAAGAGTGACAAGGCATAGCTCACTGAATGTAGTGTTTTGCGGTGGTGCGACGCGCCGAGTTGGCTTTCGGCCTCGGCCCGAGCACTGCGAGGAAGCAACAGGTCGCATTTCAATCAAGCACAACTTCGAAGATGTTCAGTACATTAGACTCCATCAATCAATCACATTGGAACACACGAACTCACGGCCAACCTCTTGACATGACATGTGACCACGTGAGCAGCATGTGCCGCGCCTTTGACAAATGGCAGCTGGCGGCTACCAGCATCCCCGCATGAACTTCCGTGCGATCCCCGTTGGGCTATTTCCCCACATTCTTCTGCACCTTCCCCGGATTACAGACACGTCGAAGGCTGCATACTCCCACTTTGATATTACTCCAACATTGCAGTCAGTTCCATCGGGCCAATCCTAGCTCTCAGCGCTAGCTATCTAACCATGGATGCTGATGCTGCTGTCGAGCCAGTTGTAGAAGCACAGTCGGGGAAGAAGAAGCGTTTCCGGTGCGAGCACTGTTCGCGTTTATTCGCAAGGCTCGAGCACCTGCAGCGACACGAGCGAATCCGTATGTAGATTCCCAATCGTATCGATGTTGCTGATGATTTGAAGATAGTGGTGTCAAGCCATTCAGTTGTGCTGAGTGTAACTACTCCTTCACCAGGAGGTATGAAGGCCCTATGATCCGAGTCCGTGAACACCGCTTATTTGCTTTAGTGATCTTCTTGTTCGTCATGAACGTCTCACCCATCGCAAAGATCGCGAAAACCAAAAGGACCGTGCTAAACCTTCCAATGAACCCAGCCATGCCCTCGAAGAAGAGCCATCTCGCAAAAGGGTGCGGGCCAGTCTCGACACTGGGCGACCGGTTCCAGAGATACCCGGTATGATATCTTCACCCGCTGTTTCAGAGATCCAACCAATCCGTCACACGCCCGCCACGTCTTTCAGTCCTGTGGCTGTGGCTCATGATAGCAGCTATTCACTCGCAGCTCTTTCAATGGCAGCGGAATATCAATCCCTACAAGGAAACATGGCCAGTGGAGATCCGGTAGACCACAATCTAACATCGCCATCGGCCTTGCCATCAGCCACCATGAATGTCACTTTTGACCCGGCTCACACAGTCATGCCATCACATCCAGATTTCAATGGCCATGGCCCCAGTCTCGAAGAGTCACTTGATAGCCTCACCTATTTTCTCGATAATGAGCCCCTCAATTCGTACCATTTTGCTACATTAATGAGCGCAGAACAACCCATGTATGTACACCTTTCATCAGATCCACATCGATATATCACTGACTTGGTGACACGAGGCCCTTTTTCTCACCGGAATCTTTAGTTTATAATCAGGACGTTCTACCTCCTGCTGAGACAGCAGCCATCGCCTCTTCAAATCTTGCCCATGCTCATGCTGACGAAGGTTATTCGCTGTCACGATTTGGTTCTCGCTTCCCATCCTTACAACCAGAAGACTTGACGGACGACAGCGGTAGTCGCCGCAGGTCCTTTTCGGACATCTCCCATGCTGATCGGCAAAAAATCCTGGACAAGCTAGAGGAATTTTCCGATATTGTACCAAAGGACTTCCAGCTACCAACAAGATTAGCCATGTGTCGATACATTGCTGCATATACCACTGGTTTCCATGAGCACATGCCTTTTCTTCATATCCCAACTATGTGTGTGGGCACCTGCTCTATCGAGTTGATACTCGCCTTGGCGGCAATTGGAGCTCAATATACGTTCGAGGGCGAAAAAGGCGTTGAACTCTTCACGGTGAGCAGGGCAATCGCGACACAGCGCATCAAGAGGAGGGATGCCCGTCTCATCAACCGACACCACAATGATGACCTTGGAGGATCCATATACGACTTCGACATGGGTGGGTCGGCACAAAGCCCACAGCCCACCCGCTCCGTCTCGGGACCGCTTGGTCTGCCTTCAGAAACGGAAGCTACAAGCATGGGAGACGACCTCATACAGACAGCACAGGCTTTGCTGCTACTCATGGCTTTGTGTACTTGGGCAAAGCATAAAGAGATACTCAGAGAAGCGCTAGCCATCCAGAGCGTTCTTGCAACATTGATCAGAGACGACGGTCTGCAGAGCGAGCCTTTCAATGAAGATATGCCTTGGCTTGATTGGGTACGGTGGGAATCGATCAAAAGGACGAAGTTCATAGTCTATGGCTTCTCTAATCTGCACTGCATTGTGTACAACATTCCGCCCTTTATGTTGACATCGGAAATCCGATTGACTCTACCGTGTACCCAGGCTGAGTTCAAAGCGCCTACAGCAACTCTGTGGAAAGAAGCAAGAAAGAACCGCGCACCAGAAGTCTACTTTCAAGACGCTCTGAAACGCCTCTTCTCCAAGAACGGTCGGGATGTTACACTGACCACCTCGTCATCCGGCAACTATGCACTCATCCACGCCTTAATACAGCATGTCTTTTTCCTCCGCCAAGTCACCAGTTGCCGTTCTGACGGCCCAGGAGATCTGAGTCAAGAAGACATTGCATCTGTGGAGACTGCTTTGCGGAACTGGCAGATAGGATGGCGTCGAAACCCCGAGTCCTCAGTCGATCCATGGAACGCAGACGGCCCTGTCGCTTTCAATTCAACTGCTCTGCTCCGACTTGCTTACATTAGGTTGTATGTGGACACTGCGGGCAGAGCACTTGAGACGCGCGATCCGGAGCTTATTGCGAACGCATTTCGGTCAGGACCAACAATCAGGCGATCCGCGAAGATCACGAGAGCAGTGCTGCACTCAGCTCATGCGCTTTCGATACCAATCAAAATGGGCTATCGCCTAGTGGCCAAGACACAGAGCTTCATCTGGTCCATTCAGCATTCGCTTTGCACACTAGAATGCGCATATCTCATGAGCAAATGGTTGGAGGCACTTTCGGCAGATTATCCAGACCCACCAGCAAGCGAGGATGAGAGGAGAATCGTTGCGATAGTGAAAAGCATGCTGGACGAGACGGAATTCGCTTTGTCGCCCACTATCTCCATCGACTCTCCAAATTATACCAAACACCTCAGCGCAGGTATGCTTCGGGTATGGGCCATGATCTTCAAAGGGTCCCAAACCTGGGCAATCGTCGATGTGATTGGAAGTGCGCTTAATCTGTATGCTGATATGTTGGTCTCTGGCTGAGCGCTCTCCGGAGCGAGAATTCCTTAGATATAACCAGCCGTGGTCTAGCACTGTCGAATATTCCTTAATTCGATAATGACAGGTCCAGAACCAGTTTACCTCCGCTGCCTTTATGATATTCCTCCACCAACTCATTGAGCTTGCCCAGCGGGTACGACTTCGACAAAGCTCGGATATTGTGCTTTGCAGAGAATTCGAGCATTTCGCGAAGCGTCCGGTTGCTCCCGACTAGACTTCCAATGATCCTGATGTCGCGGAAAACCACGTCTCGTGCGGAGATGTGGAACCCTTTTTCGGGAAATGAGACCACAACGCACGTTCCATGCGTCTTGAGCAGACTCATACCGTAGTCGAAAGCTGCTTGACTTTCAGGAAGAACAATTATTGCATCGAGACCCATCTCGCCAGTATGTTTCTTGCCATCTTCGGTACCAAGCCTCTGCACAATATCGTGAGCTTTGTCGGTTCTCGCATCGATGATGAGAGGTCGATTGTCCAGTTTGGATGCTACATCTTCGGCGAGTCGCAAAGGCGAACTTGCAGCTTCTATCCCTAAGACTTTGTAGCCCATATGCGTGGCATACTGGAGTCCTAAATGGCCGAGTCCACCGCCAGCTCCGAGAATGCCGACCCTTTCTCCTGGCTTCAGGGCACATCTCTTCAATGCAGCATAGATTGTGATGCCTGCGCACATCAAGGGCGCTGTCTCCACTGCACTGAGCTCTGCCGGAATGGGAGCTAACTGACGCGCGTCCACAAGAGCATATTCAGCAAACCCTCCGTCTCTGCTCAAGCCATTGTTTTCGGCATCTATACAGTGGACTGAGTAACCATCGTCATCTTCCGCAACTGGGTCTTTGGGGCGGTCGTGCTTGCATTCGAAGCACTTGCCACACGCATGGAATGCTCGACCTGGCACACCCACTCTTGAACCAATATAGAATTCTTTTGCTTGTTGACTTGGAGAGACATAGTGTGCCACTACTGTTCCTGCAAACTCATGGCAGCCGATATGAGGAAACGACTTTGGCAATCCGGGCATTTGTCCTTCTGCGAGGACGAAATCTGTATGACAGTACGAGGCTGCGTCAACCTTTATTAAGATATCGTGTGGCGTTGATGGTACTGGAATAGGAACCGAGTGTAACTTATATGGCGTTTTGTATTCTTCCAGAAATTGCGCCTTCATTGACGGCGGCAGAGACGACGGCATGGTAGTTCCTGTTCCACAGTATAGTAAAAGATGAAAGGGAAAATGAACCACAGGATAAACCTTGAAATAATCACATCGACTTTCGAGCAAGTCGTTACCTCTAAGCTCATGGTATTTCGATGATTGGACCCCGCAGCGGGGTATGCGGCATCGACCTTGTAAGAGTGGGGCATCGGGGTGATGTTCTCCTTCTCCAACTTGCGACATGATCGAAGGGTTCAGCAGATGCAGAATGATTCAAACCAGCAAATTGACTTCGCAAAACAAGCACGTATGCTTGGTTTATCAACTTAAGCAGTCAGCAGACAAGCAATTAAAAAAGCAATAGTCGACGACTTCACCATGTCCATGACCGAAGATGCTGTTGTGTTACCGAAGCCTAGGACCGACCAAAGATACGTCACGATATCTGCGCTTCAAGCTGGCCACCTGACTCTGCCAGAGAAGCTCTTCGTGACAGAAGCAGACCCAGAGAAACGTGCAACAGTCCCATCGCTATCATTCCTGATCCAACATCCATCCAACACAATCTCCTCCACGACATCCACGCTGGTATTCGATCTGGGCCTCAAACGTGACTTGTCCGGCTACAGAAAAGCACAACAACAGCACATTGCCCAACGTCAACCAACAACCGTAAGCCCAGATGCCGCCGAAAGCTTGAGAAAAGGTGGCCTAGACCCAGAAGACATAGACACGGTCATGCTAAGCCACGTACACTGGGACCACGTCGGCACACCCTCCGACTTCCCCAACTCCGAATTCGTCGTAGGAAGCGGAACTATGCATCTGCTCGCGCATGGCGGCGGCCCCTTATACCCAGCCGAGATATTCAACCCCGACGAATTACCAAATGCTTCGACGCGCGAACTCCCACCCGCCAGGGACGAAGACGCATGGAAAGCGTTCCACCGCCAAACAACGCATACCTGGAAACCTCTCGCAGGGTTTCCGGCAGCGATTGATTTCTTCGACGACGGCTCGCTGTACGTAATCGATGCGCCGGGCCATTTACCGGGACATATCAATCTCCTCGCGCGCGTTGCGCCGGGGAAGTGGGTGTATCGTCGGGGGCGATTGCTGTCATGACCCGAGGATATTGAGTGGTGAGAAGGGCATTGCCTTGTATGACGATGGGAGAGGCGGGTTGAGGAGTGTACATGCTGATACGGACGAGGCGGCGCGGACGGTCGAACGGGCGGCTCGGTTGCTCAAGAAGGGGGTTGTACGAGAGGAAGGTGGTGGAGAGGTGGATGTGGAGGTTGTAGTTGCGCATGATCGAGGGTGGGCGGAAGGGAATGCGGAGAGGTTTTGGCCGGGACGTTTGTAGGGAAAATCCAGTTCCCATCTGTGCCATTCATACTCTTGGAACGCTCCATTACTTTCCATCTTCGGCCCCGGTTTACTTCATGTCCTTGAGTTTCTCCTGGGAGGCTCAAGATACCCCACCTGTTCTGATTTCATGTCTTAGTGACGAGCACGCTCAAGTCGGATAACGTTCGCGCGCTCACACTGAGACAAAATGTCTACTTTCACCTCTGCGACATACGCGCTCTCTCACTTCGGCTCCGCTCCGCCCCACCCCGAATATCTCAACCCACATACCTAAAATATCCTCCCTCTCAAATCAATTACCTACTACATAACAAAGCCCAGCTATTAAACTGCCACTGTCAAGAACTCAAGAGGCCGTTTAGTCTAGTTCTCCCATAGCCTCACTCGCTATGGGATCCTCTTGGTTCTGGTTTGGACGTCAGTTCGAATCGCCTGTAGACCCTTTGTGAGCCGAGTGGCCCAGTTCCCACGAGCGTTAGGGCAAGGTTGGTAGATCCAATATACATTCTTTTTTGCCCTTTTTTGTGTAGAAATTGTAAGGTTTTACTAGTTATTATTAAGTGGCCTTGTCCTGTCTAGAGCCTCTTATTGCATTTGTTAACCATGTCATTCACATATTTTACGTAAATACTTGCAGTGGAACAGCTTTCTATTCAGAGTGATTTGGGATCGTAATCTACGCCGCATTATCGGTCATCTCACCCCACTTCACCTTGCTGAACAGGTCTTTCATGCCCTCGTACCTGGCACTAGTACCCTCTACCATCTCGATGGCATCTGCAGGGTTCATCCACGCTTCACCCAGACCCCCTTCAGCTGGAACGGCCATATCCAGATCTTCCTCCTCGTGAAGAAGTGCCTGCACCAATGGTCGCCCAAAAACCTCCAAAGAGAGACCAGATGGCTCAGGTCCCAGCCCCATACTGCCAAATCCTGCCTAATCGCGTCTATAGTCAGCATTGTATTATGTTTCAGTGTTGCGTGCGATGAGTAGGCTCGGAGTGATTCACGAAGCAATGGGAACCTATCAAACATCGCCCATGACTGCGGGTTATTCCAGGAGTATCAATGAGACTCACAAAGAATGACCCAGTCGCCAGCGCATCCTCCACCTCCCCCGTCTTTCCCAACTCATCGATCTTCTTGCCGGACTTCTCCACCGCGACAATGTGCTGTATAGCCCAAGCCGGTCCAAACGTCTTCACGAATTTGGGGGACACGTACTTCACCCCCTCCCAGATGGGAACGTTATCGGGAGGCGCGTACTGCGGATCCGGCACATACTTCTCCAAATTCTTGACCGCCCTGCACATCTCAAGACGTGCTTTCTTTCCGAAGCGCATGAGATCGTAGGGTCCATTGACCCATTGGGTCAGGAAGATCTCTTGCTTCTCGTAGTCATCTTGGCGCGTGACGGTCCAAAGCCACGCGTCGAGAAGCGCGGTGCTGAATTCGAGGGCATCCTCGGTGACGTAGCGATGCGGCTCGGTGCTCAAGCCGATGATACAGGCCATCAGGATGTTGAGGCGGACCTGCAAATGCCTTCGCGAGAACGAATGATACTGGTCCATCTGCCAGAACCAGATCGCAAGGCTAACGTTCATATCGCCTTCCTTCTTGCGCACCTTGAAGTCCGCGGCGACGAAGAGGTGGTAGTTGCCGAGGACGAAGTCGAGCTGGTAACAGGGAGGAAAGTTGGGGATGTGGAAGGCGGCGACATTGTTCTCGTAGATGTCGATGATGGTGGGTTTGCGGCCGGAGGGGAAGACGCGAGCTGGAATGCATTTAAGCTTGTGTACGAGCAGCCGGACGGCCTTCTCGTGCAGTGCGATGAGTCTCGGGTCCTGTTGCGCGGAAGCCATCTTGTGCGATGGTATGGGCTGTAGTGGGCGAGGATTCGAGGACGAGGAGGTATTTTCATCGAGCTGTGCGCGAAATAGTGACTCGAGCGACCGTTTGCAATGACGTTATTAGTCCCGTGACGTGCTCTTTCACTTTCAGTGAAAGAGCCAATACTAGGCGGCGGGACGGTTCAAATATGTTTTGATTGCTGGAATCTTGCTCTTGAAGTACATGCTAATCCCCGACACAGGCCGACTTGACATTCCAAAGTGTCCACTTCCCCTTACAGCATCTTGCCCGAGTGCAGAAAACGGTCGCATGTGTTGTTGTGGCGCCGCGTTCACGCCAACCCCTTCTCCCACGCCCTCGCCATACCCTCGACTTCAATCATCAACAACAGTGCATGGGCCGCCTCTGCACTCCGCGTACTGCAAATCGATGCGTGCAAAGATTCCATCAATAAGGACACCACGGACAAAGTCCTCGAGACGACCAATTGAATGGATCATGTGTAGGAGGTCAGACGAACAGTTCCGATCATGGCGCCACCCGTGTCTCGCGCACCGGTGATGCAGGACTTCCTTGCACAAGGAATAATCCACCACCACCGCGCAGTGAAAGTCCTCATTGGTGAACACGATCGGGTAGTCGACGTCCCAGTATTGCACATGCGGAAGGTCGCGGTGGGTCCTGCTCTTGACTTTCAGCACATGCTGACCTTCGTAGAACGCAGTTGTGAAGAGTGCTTTCCAGTCCAGCGAAATCTTGCTCGTCTCCGCGCACAGGACGACACTCGGAATAGGCAGGTCCAAGAAGTATGTATTATTGGTATCTGCTCCGATACGCGCGACTACATAGAGCTTTTTGACGTATGCAAACGTCGTCGACTCCAATAAATGCGCGGCAAGGAGATCCTTTAACTCGGGTATGGCACAGAGGTTTCGGGGTATCGCTGGAACCCAGAAGGTGATGAGGTTGTGTTGGACATGGCCGAAGACTGAGTTGAGGCGACCAAGCACGTTGTGGTTGTTTCGTCAAGGGATGAATCCTGGAAATAGTGAAGGTGGTAACGGGAACTAATCTTAGCAATGCCTGAGTCCCTGCCTAATGATCGGTAGCGTCCGCCTGTTGCCATGATTCAATTTTCCGAGCCGATTTCGTTATCTCGAGGATGTGGTTCGCTCTGGTGGTGGTGTGAAGTAAACAAATCGTTCCAATAGACTTGCTACATTCGAAACCTATCTCACCGGGCTTGCAGTCCGGTCCGCAGAGCTGCTGGTCCTACCTGTGCCCACACCAGAGGCTAGCAGCTCGAGTCTTGACGCTTGGACTCTGTGCTTCTTCATAACCTCCACCCACTCTTCCTCGACGACTTGCCCCCGAGTGTCTTGGTCATGACCGATATCCATCTCAGCTTTCAGGTCTTCCTCAAGGAGTGCAATCATCATGCTGAAATCACCGCCGAGTCTTCCGAGGGAGCCAGCACAATAAAGCACTTGAGTAAGAAGCGAATCTCGTGCGGAGTGGTCCTGTACATTAGGCAGATATTCTCGCAGCGTCTCAAAGAGTATCTCAACGAGATGCAGGGAGAAAGTGGCCAGCGCGGATGGTATTGGCTGTAATGTGTTGGTTTGGGTGGTTGACTTGACAGACGGGGCGCTCTCTTCGGATCCTGGGGCAGGTAGTGCAGATGGGAAGATACTCTTGTACATGGAAATGATAGCAAAACTCTGCTCTCGGAAGATTTCGAGGTACTTTTTCAGATACTTTTCCGTCTGCTGGCCCACTGCCCAGCCTGCGTCTCCTTTGGCTGTGCCTTTAATTCGTCGCTCTGACTCTTGGTCTGCGAGCTCACGTAGCGGATCCAGGGCGGTCAGCATCGACTCCAAACAAGCTAGACGGCATACTAGGAACAGCGCACCAAGACTGCCCTCTCCGCTGCCGATGCTGGTCTGCTTCGTTGACCAAGACTCGTCCAGCTCAGGAGCCACTCGTCGCAACCAGCCAATGGTACGCATTGCACCTGCCAGTTTGATGCCTTGGGACTGTAATGAACTTATAAGGTTCGACGTCATAGTCTTCATCTCTTGCTCAGCCTGGGTTGTCAAGGAGGATATGAGCTGCGAGTCAGGGTAGAGGGTGTGCAGGCGCTTGATGTGGGCATGGAGGTCCAGAGCCGAGGCATAGTTGGCATTGGAGGTGGCGGTCGAAGTGGTGGCTTGTGATGCAGCTGTTGAAGAGGAAATGGCCGTGGACAGGAGGGTGGGCAGATCGAGCACATCCGTGACGCGGTCTACGTTCCTCGCCAGCAGCATGGCTTTTCTCCGCCGGTCGAGTATGGCATTCTCCGAGCTCTTGCTGTATTTCTCCGAGAAGGTCTGTGCAGCTGTTTCCAGCTTGGGCAGCTCCGCCTGTATCGTGCCTGCATCTTTGCCGAGTTGGGGCAACGTGTCGCGGAGGTGCAGTAGGTGGTCGGTGGAGGCTATGATGGGCTTGTGGGAGCGTTTGGAGAGCGATTGGAGCGAACGAAGAACGGACTGCGAGCTCTGTGACAGCGAATGCTGCTCTGAGGAAGTGAGGGCATCTAGTGGCAGCGTCGTGAGGCGTGCGAGATATGTGTTGGTGACAGTGTCGTTGGGTGATGGGCGCAATCGGGCATCTTGCGCGTCAAAGTATGGTATCAGCAGCTCGTACAGCGGGTCTGCCATGGTGAACGCTGGACTGAAGCTCGAACAGCTGTCTCTCTCAGCTATGGCCAACACGTCGACATTCACTCTAGCGGGGAGTTGCGGACTTCGCGCGGAGGTGCTGGACAGGGATGGCAGCTGTACCCTGTCTCTTGGCGGCGCTACGCTAAAAGCGAGACGAACCGCGAGCTTGCCTTCACATGCACGTCTTTGTGGCCCGCAGCTATGAGCAATGGACCGACGCACCGACAGTAATCACGACACCAACATTCCGGACGGCGACAGCGACAGCCCGGAGCAGCCCAACATCATCGCGCGCTTTCTGTCTAATCTCTTTGAAGACCGCTTCTTAACCGACCGCCCCGCCAATACCGCGACATCGCCGAGTTTGCCCCAGTCGCAGTCGCAGTCGCAGGCGCAGCCTTTCAACGACCTCGTGCCTTTCTTCAGTGCAGACAGCGTCCTCGCAACACGTCTTGACAGTGGAAGCCAGCGCCAAGAAAGCAGCAGAGGCAGCGACGACACACCCGCATCATCAGCACCGCCAATGCAACGCCCGCACGATGTCGTCTTCTGCGTCGAGGATACCGTCGGCTTGAAGGACGACAAGTACAGCGTCGGTGTCGTGGACAGGTCCTTTGGCGATGTCGACAGCCACCAGCCACGCCCGCAGCGCGACTACAGTGAAGACATTGAGCGTCATGCTGACATTTCACGGGAAGAATTTGCCAAGTTCATGAAGGAGGGCATACCGGCACGCGGCACCGTTCTGGTCTCATGGCAGACACAGCTGAAGACGGAACTCGTGCCCGAGGCGAAGCTGCAGCTGCTCGACCGCGCCCTGTATGTCGGCGACGTGGTGAAGAGGAACGCCGACGAACACATGAGTGGGACCGTCATAGGCTCCAGCGCCGTCTGCACCCTTTTCCCTGCCAACCAGTACAACGGCGGCCAGATTACGCAAGCCATCAGCGACGACCTCTCCATACGAAACATACCCGCCGACGAGCTTCTCAACGTGCACGAGTTCAACGAGGGCGCCATAGTCGTGTACGGCGACTGGGTGGGGCGCATCGAAAATGTATACGACGAGGTCGCGGTCAAACTGTCAAACAACTCAGTCGTTGTGGTGGAAGACCCCAGCGAGCTAGAACACGAGGAGGTCGGCATAGAGCGACTTAGCGTCGGAGACACAGTCAAGACAAAGAAGGGCAACCTGCGAAGAGGTCACTGGAGGTATGGCGCCTTCGACCCACATGTGCGACCGGAGGGCATCATAGTCGAGACGCGTACCATTGAGATTGACGTGCAGTGGCTAGCGAGGAGCATCAGCGCGAGCAACACCAGTCTGTCTGCCGAGGAGCCACCAGCCACACTTGGCCCCGACGAATTCGAGAGTTCTACCTTTTTCCGATACGACGCCTCTGGAAGCTCTGCAAACACACTCCCCTTGTCTTCGAATGGCACCGACCGCATGTATCACGTCACCGATGTCGCAGTCGGAGACCGAGTTCGCTTCAAGGACATCGCAGGCGCAGCTGTCAAGTACGATGGTTCCCACACTCTACCGAACGGCTACCCGCAAGGCAAGGTGACACGCATCGCACGCACAGAATCTTTAGGCTATGATTTGAACGTTTTCCTCGTCATGCAAACACACACCCAGGTCACTGTACAGTGGCAGGATCTGACCACCACCGAACACCTTAGTATAGACCTCTTACCAGATCCGAACGTTGAAGACGACGATGAAGTCTGGCCTGGCGAGGTCGTCTTCTCCAAAGAGGGACGCGAAGGCGACAGCTCGGAAGAAACATGGACCAAGAAGCCTGCCAAGGTCGGGGTGGTGCAGGCTGTCAAGTCGCGCGACCGCATAGCCCAAGTACGGTGGTTCGCAAAGCCTTCTATTGAATTCTTTGGTCCCGATCTCCTTAGACCTTCTTCTACCGGGGAGCTGAATGAGCAGATTGAGGATGTCAGCTTGTACGATATCTACTCTTTCCCCGCCCTGACACGGCGGCGCAATGACTTTGTTTTGCTCCATCCCGATTCCATCGAAGGCATGCAGGGACCCCTGAACATCACTGGGCCTGATTGGTTCGGCGAAGTCATCGACCTGGGTCTAGATGGCAAGCTCACTGTCCGCCTTGGTGCAGCAAAGCCTGTTGTCGATGTCCGAGTTTCTTACGAAGGCGTCACGCTCGCTTATAGCAGTGATATGGATGATGAGTTCTTGAACAATATGGGTGGAGTGGATGGAGACTCTCTTGACGATTCGGACGATGATGACATCTCTGACTTCGATTCTGCATCATTCAACGAGATGTGGATCGAGTACGAGGGCATGGACGGTGAGGTGCCAGTCGGCGACGACGAAGAGTGGTCGACGGAAGAGGAGGACGATGACGACGACGACGACGACATATCGATGCCAGATCTGGTAGAGCAAGACGAGGTCAACACATCGAAGACCACACCGGAAACCAAGTCGCCTGTTGCGAAAGATGAGCGGGATGACACATCACCACCGGAGCCAGATACAGCCTCACCGATTGCCGAGGACAAACAAGAGCTAGATTCGGACACACCCGCATCCTTCCTTATTCTCGACACCCAACCGCCACTGAACCACCACTACCTACACCAGTCTTCGGCATCGTCATCAGCCTTCATGCGGAGAATTGGCCAAAGAACACAAAATTCCTCCAGCACCTCATTACCACCGAACATCTTCGTTCGCACATGGGAAGTCACGTCTTGACCTTCTCCGCGTCATGATGATCGGCCCCAACGAGACCCCATACGAATATGCGCCCTTCGTCATCGACTTCCACCTCCCCTCCACATACCCACAAACGCCCCCCGAAGCATTTTTCCACAGCTGGACTAACGGTAACGGCCCCGTGAACCCCAACCTCTACGAAGACGGCAAAATCTGCCTCAGTTTACTCGGCACGTGGCACACGGACGAGCGCAACGAGAGCTGGAGTCCCGCCAAGAGCACACTTCTCCAAGTACTTGTGTCTGTCATGGGCCTTGTACTCGTCAAGGAACCGTACTACAACGAAGCGGGATATGAAGTCCATCGCTCGGCGCCTGAGACGAAACTCAGTAGCGCGTTGTATACCGAGCGCGCCTATTTCCGCGCTCGCGCTTTCATCACGCATGCGCTGACTAATGCCATCGAGCCGTTTAAACAAGAGCTGGGACTATCTGTATCGTAGCCAGGCGGAGGATGCGCCGAGGTTACTTGACAAGGCGATTGAAGCGGCCAAGGAGGTTGTTGAGCGCAGCGCTGAGACGGATCAGGATGGGGAGAGGGATGGGTTGCGGACAATGAGTCTTGGTGCTGTTGTCATGTTGAAGAGACAGATTGAGAAGTTAGAGGGGTTGAAGGGTCCGTGAGGATTTCGATGTAGTAAGATAGGGCGCAATAAAATACCAACAATCTTACATCTACTCTGGAACCGTCAGGGTGAAGTTTGTTTGACTATGTGAAGAATTGGATACTAGCGCCGTGAATTGCGGTGGGTTGACTTCTTGAATGCCTTTGGATCATGATGCATGCTTTTGGAGCATATGCCGTGCTAAACTGCGCCTGGTAGCTCCTTCAATGATGCGTTGAAGACGTACACGCTACATTGTTGCTCGGATGTCGTTGCTGCATTTGCTTGATGTGCGAGCCAGGAAAAGGTATTTCGTGCGGTAATGTGAACTTCTTTCCGGCGCCTCACAGACAGACTGTCTTCAGGTGTGTGGTTTTCAACGGCTGAATATCACGCAGCATACGATGGCTGAACAAGTCTGTAGCAGTCGCGAGACGATTGTTTGCGACACGAAATGTTGCTATGTTGGTGAAAGACGATACAGAAGGAATATAGCACATAGATTAGATTATTACGCCCGTCTATAATCGAACGTAAGCGCGTCAATACACGAGTCTAGCGGGGGAAATAAAAATGTTGCAACACCCTCGAAGCCAGTCAGTCTTCCAAATCGCGCGAAACATGTCTACGCCGCAATCACCACCTCAGGGAACTCCCCTTCCAACACTTCCCCAGACCCAGACTTGAACACCATGTCCAGAAATGCAACCGCATATGTCGCAACAATATCCATCATCCGCCTTCCCTCAAGCGTGCCCAGAACCTCGCCAACTTCAGCCGGCAACATGTCTTGAAAACCCAGCACGTCCACAATGCGCGGCAGGTCCGAGAAACTGTAGTGCGCAGTCTTCTTGACTTCGAATTCCTTCTTCCGCCCCGTGAGCTTCGGCCAGATGGCTTTCCACGACGGATCAGTTTCTTGGGTTTTGTTCTCGTGGCCCATTAGCATGAATGGGCGGTCGAGTCCAGCGGTGATCACGGCGCCGAGGAAACTCCCGTCGAGGTTGATGCCCGCGCTGATGGAGTGGTCGTTGAGCATTGCGGCGGCGGCGGCTGCGCCACCGAGGCTATGGCCGATGGCAGCGACTTTCTTCGTTTTGCGCTGGCCGGGGAAGAGCATATTCGTAACTGTCGTGTTAGACAATTGTTCCCTTACGAACGCGATGTCGGCGACGCGCGTGGCTAGGGCGAGGGCTAGCTCCTCGTCGCTCTCTATGTTCGTGCCTGTAGCGATACCGCCGTCGGGGAATTCGACGACGTCGGAGTCGTAGGGGTGGTCGATTGAGATCACGAGATAGCCTGCTGCGGCAATGTTTTGGAGCATGCTGGTGTAGATTAATCGCGAGGTGGATAGGGCGCCGGAGAAGAGCACAATGGGGAGGGAAGACGCGGGACAAGCGTTGTGTGTATTCTCCTGGTTCCCGCAGCTTGAGAGCTGCAGGGATTGGAAGGTACCGTTGGGGAGGCCATAGGCGCCGTACTTTTCGTCCTGGGCGGCGGCTGTGCCAGGGGGCATGTATGGGACGACGGTCTTGTTGTGGCAGACTTTGATCGGGTTGAAGCTGGAAATCATGATTGTACGGGCACGGTTGTCTTTTGCGTAAGGGTCGAGGCGGTCGGTGTCTGTTAGAGCGGCGGTTGTGATTGAGACATCGAAGGGAGGAGATCCGACGATTGGGATGACGGTGGCTGTTGTGAATTGGGAGAGGAATAGAGATAGTGCTATGCAGAGATGGGTGGTTTTGGGTGACATGATTGTAAGATCGGTCTTGTACGTTGAGGACTGAGGAAGATGGGAGGGTTGAAAGACTGAATGATTCTGGTGTGTGTGTGATCCATTAGGCCAGCTCCATCTTACCTTTATAAATCTAAATCTCGAAGCAGATAGCATAGTAGCTGCGAGCCATGAATTTCTACGGACGTTCTATCAAGTCCTCATCTGGTCAAGCGTATCGAAGCTCCAGAAAAGCCGCGAAGATTGGTGGAGAGGGCTCGCGTTGCTGCATGCGTCAGAGCCGCACTGCCACGCACTTTTCATAGACCATGATAAATGGGATATGACTCGAGCGAAGCTTGTGTAGACCAGAATGAGCGTGGTAGCAAGATTCTTTCGAGCACTGCGTGGTGGTCTCCGTGGATGCAGAATCTAGTCCCGAAGAGGTTTAAACGCGCTGTTTCGTTTCCTAATGAGGTCAAGCTTCTTCGCCAGTCGGACCGGCTGCCTGAGTATACCATCTCTCATACGCGCCGTACCACTTCCAAAAGCATACACAGACCCTTCTTAAGGTCTTCGCGTTGTAATAAACACCACAATTCTCAGGGTCTAGCGAGCTCTGAACGCCAGCAATCGAGGCGCTGTATACACTCCCCTTTCGCTCTAGTTGCGTACGCCATGCCCACGGAGATTGGTCCATTCGACGGGCGTAAAGCACGAAGGAAACGCTGCGATGCTTGTGTTAAGCGACGAATCAAAGTAAGTGGCTTTGTGCCGTATGCGTATGCTGTGGTGGGGCTAATGGCATCAAGTGTCGCGACGGCATGCCTTGCAATAACTGCAAACGTGCAGGACGATTGTGCACTATGGCCATAGAGTCGAATGCTCTGATGCCCGTTTTTGTCAGCGAGAAGTCGAGTTCTAGGGCCAAAGCCAAGGAACATGGTACCCCTCAAGAGTATCAAACGGTCATGCGTTTGCCGCCGTCGGTAGGGCTGCAGGAGCAAGACCGCGCCATTCCATACTTCTTCGTATCGTTCTTGCCAATGAACATTCTGGCCAATGACGATTCGATCAATTCTGAGCTACAAACGATGACAAAGACGTCTTCAGCATTGAGAGATGCTATCCAGGCTGTGGGCATTCTACATCGTGACCAGCAGGACCAAGTCAGTCTCAACTCTTCTGTCGAGGCGCGTCCTAGGTATAAAGCTCTACAAGCGTATGACCGAGCCGTTCGCGCCATACAAGGTCTGATCACTTCGAATACCTTTTTAGACGATCCATCGGCTCTCTGGACGACATTCCTCTTGGGGCTTTTTGAGGTACGCAGCCGGCGCGAAGGTCTGCCGACTCAAGACTAACACATTGTAGTTGATGCGCGACTCCACAGGGACCAACTGGCTATCGCACTTCTTACAGGGTACCTGCACGATACTTCGTCTCCAGCATCCTGAAACCCTTGCCAGTCCAGGAGAATACAACCTGCGAAAACGAAAGTTTTTCTTCGCAACGCGCATTTTCGAGATAGCCCGGGCTCTTATTTACTCTGAGCCTACCTTCCTCAGCGCACCGGACTGGGTCGCAGCGATATCGAAACTGAGAGACTCCGAAGGCGCAGCCGCTTATCATCCTAAAGAAGCGTTGTTCGACATCTTGCCAATCGTTGCCGAGCTTAGCATTCGTACATATCAATTCTGCGAGACTATCGATGAGTTCTCACTGGAAATGCAGTGCTTCCTGATACAGTCGTTGGCGGATGAAGGTATGCTCTTGCAGCGATCGCTACTGCAGTGGTGCGTGGATGCCGATAGATGGCGACGAGACCTACAGGTTGTGACTACTTTCGATGCCGAACTATTCATAGCCTATAGCTACTACGTAAGTCGCTGGTTTACAAATGTTTTCTGAGTCTTACTGACCTTGTACCCCATCTGGTAGGACGCGATCAGCATTTATCTCTCAGGCACATACGACTATCATTCACATTGGAGCTGGCCGGGCGCGCCCTGCGCACCGATACTGCCTCGAAGCCAGATTGACTGGCACGTCGCCGAAGTCCTTCGCTTGAGCCAAGAACTGCTTGCCTCAGGCGTTTCAGGCGTCCTGTTGTTTTTCCCTTTGCGCGTCGCTGGAGCCAGAGCTATTGATAAAGAGTCCAGGAGCACCATCTTAGATCTACTGCATACTACGGCGAGGCGTGGTTTCATCGTAGCGGAGGCATTCACTGCTGATCTTTCCGATCTGTGGGCGAGCCAAAGTTCGTTCTGTTGATGATAATTCTACAGAAAGCTTGTCGAGCAAGGGACGACTAGTCAAACTTCCACCAAGCTTCAAAAGGCCGAGGATATATGCGATCTTATGCGTCAGCGACATGGCAACGTCGACATGCACGCGACCGAAATGACGATCTCCCGCCAACTATAGCGACGGCTTCCCTAAAGTTCATGCCCCCGGACTTCGTCTTTTTTAAGACCTTTGAATGAGCTCATTGTAGTTATTTCGCAGGGCTGAGGTTTATGCGCTCGGGACATGTGTTTCGAAACAAGCGGCGCGACCCCAACGAACTCTACCTTGCGAAAATCTCGATCTTCGGGCCAATACCAAGTGGTGAAACAATCTGGGCACCCCGCAAAGCTGACCTCATTTCCGCCAGGTCCGGCCAAAATCGTGAGACGTCGTGGGATGGACTCTGTTGTTGCTGTCTACATGACACGTAATGAAGGTATCTTCTAGCAAGTGCCACTCCTCGGCCCGGCTCTTAGCTTGAGCACCCTCAAACACGGCGCCACGAAAGTAAGCTGACAGGGAACACGCCGAAACCACGAGCATTCGCAAGGCATATCGTTGCTCCTTTTCAAGTCTGCGCCAATCTGTGCTCACCGCTGGTGACGTTGCCCATTGCTTTCCTCGCAAACGATGGACGCTCTTGGCGTAGATTTCCCATTTATTGTCACTTGCCCTTGCGAACCGCCACACTCACTTGTCATTCACAGTAACCCAGTACGACTTTAGGACCATCACATTACTGAACCCATCACAAGCAAAAATTACCAGATATATATTTCTTCAGAATACCTACCTGTAAATCGTCCAACATCCAAAATTATCACGCAACATGTACACAACACTCATCCTCAGCACTCTGAGTGCCCTGACCATTGCATCACCACTTGTTAAACGCCAAGCTTCAGAGCCAGACAGCGCATCTTCTTGGACAGCTGCTCCCGGCTTCAAGACAACATGCGACACATCCTCCGACAAAGTCATCAACCTCTCCGCCGGTGCCGAACTCGACACCCTGATCAACGATGCATGTGCTGCGATGATGCCGCCATGCGCGTATCAAGACCGTCTTCCTGCAGGCACCGCCTGTATCCTACCGACTACCTGGCCCCTCAGCGGCCCTGTTGAAAGTAAGCAGTCAGCGAAGACCAAATCAGCGCAAGGAAGCGAGGAGAGTGAATCCAAAGTGAAGTGTAAGTCTTGACAATCACCACAGAACCATGACTCTGTTTGCTAACATTACCGCAGTCTCCGTCACTCCAGCACAGCAGCCTGAAGGCTCAGCAGGCGTATTCTGGTCAAAGGAAGAGTGCTACGGCTACTTTGCGCAGGTTTTGGAGAAGCAGGAGTCGGAGGGCGGATGCCATTCTGACAAGGGCCTGGGCCTGGGCAAGATCACAGCTGGAGGCGACACTTCGCTCAAGGACACTGTGTTCGAGGTTAGCATTGCGGCGGCCGAGTAGGGCTGCTTCTTGGAATCTTGGCGCAAGGCGTTCTTGGTGGAGATATCCTAGGCGTTCGAATTGCTTAGGCGGACACCCTGTGTGTGTGAGCTCGAAGACGAAAATAACAACAAGTTCAATTCGGCTATGTTCGACATGTCATGTCACACTTTAGGTGTTCTCCAATCCTATAGATTTATGATGACCGAAGTTGTACGACTTTTTGAGGTGTCTCGTACTAAACCATGCCGAAATGAGGTCCTCGGTTGAGGAATGAGGCTCAGTATGTAATACAATAAACCTAAGTAGACCCACGAATAGTCTTAATATCAAAGAAATGATCGAGTCTGACACTCCCTACGTCATTAGAAATTGTAACATATTTACGTACTGCGGCTCTTCGCCAAGCCCGGATGCGCGTCATTACCAAGCCCCCTTTTTGTGTGCCCCAATTCGACTTCCCTAATGTCATCGACTCTTAGGTTTGTTTTATCGTTGCATGCGGGCACTGCTACTCGGAGCCTGAGCCCTTCCACTCAGAAGATGCATCGACAGAACAATGTCAGCCTGCTACGCGAGCCTATCTTCCACGTTCCGGACCACGTCGCGCTAGTCTCCCATTCGGGCAGTACCTCGGCGAAATACCTGCGCCGTGGGTTCCGAACTGCAGGTGCTTGTCGAAGATTGTTCGCTGGTCAATCAGGAGATGACGTTACTTTCTGGTGTAGACGCTAGAGTTGTGTTTATGAAGTACAATACGATTCCGTTCCCGCAATCTCAGCCACATCACTCTCAACTTGTTACACAGAGAGTTGCAATTTCCTCCAAGGACACAATTTGATCCTGTCTTGCGAACGTATCATCATGCGTGTCGCAATTACTCTCGCAGCGCTGACATCAGTCGCATCGAGCATCATCCTCCCCCGTCAAGAGTCGAATGATACAAGCAGTGCGCCAGTCGTTGTTGCATCACAGTACGATGGGTATGTCAAGGTTATGCTCAACATGACCCAAGGGATTAGAGACTGACGCCCACAAGGACATGTTTTTATCCTGTCCCCGACGCAAAATTTGACCTTGAATCGTATCTCGGGACATGGTACCAGGTCGCCGGCACGCCTTTCGGCCCTACCGCAGGAGCGAGATGTATTTCCGGCAATTACGCTCTCAATGTAAGCATTCACAAGATTCAGCACAACTTGTGTCCTAATCTCGACTTCAGGATAATGGCACAATCAGAGTTGTGAATACTGCGACGCGAGGAAATGCCTCACGCAGTATTGTGGGTACTGCCACCGCCGTAGATTCGGCGTACGGCGCCGGCGGCGCTTTTGTGGTCAGCTTTCCTGGAGCGTCGAGGCCTGAGTGCCCGGGACCAAATTACATTGTGCAAGGTGCGTATTTGAGACATTGAGAAGTGATGCAATCATACTGATATAGCGCAGATTACGCGATCGATTGGGCGATTGTGCAAACACATAGATGGAAAACATTGTACATTCTCAGCAGAGAGCGAAACCCACCTGCTGCAAAAATCGACGTGAGTAGGAGCTGATGTCCAAACTTACGTTTATGCTAACAATGGGACAGGCTTGGATCAAGCGCGCGGTAGCTTTCGGGTCAAACGCTACGACTATATCGAAATTTGACCAAGCTGGTTGTTAGGATGCTTAAATCAAAAGCTGCAAAAGGAAGACATCTAATACGGTTGCGACATGTTGAGTACGGGGAATTTTGCAAGGATGAGAGGCCGGGGGCATCTTCCTTAAGTGTAAAGCCCTAATTCTTAAAGCACACTTAAACTCCAATACGACAACTCACAGGCGCCTCGTTTGCCCCTTTAACCCCTAAAACCATACCACTGAGAGAATTAAGCCGCAGCTGAGGCTATATTTACAGATCCGATGTCGTTGCTTTCTGCCTTCCTCCGCTTCTCTCTACTCTCCGAGCCTTCCTGGCGGCTCCCGATGTTGCTTGTGTTGTCGACTTCAACGTTTAGTAGAACTTGATATGCAGGTCGTTTTCGAGAGAGCTCTAGGTTTCAGACCAAAGGTACATATCGGTCGACGTCATGAAGATGCTTCGACAACCATTGCTCCGCTTCACGATCCGCATCGGAGCACCACCCGTGCATCGAGAAGTCCATAATATTAGAAAAGCGAGTAACCGCAGGGTTTGGTAGTTTTGAAGGCGAACTGAAATCACGTATGCCTGATGGACCCGTGTATTTGCGACCGGCACAATGAGGATAGGAGACTACCACTGCGATGTAGAAGTCAAAGACCTTCACTTCAATCTCCATGTCATGGAGCGGAATGCCGTCCTCAGTATAGTGGGAGCCTCCGATCACGATGTTACTGGGACAAACATCTTGACGTCTGACCCGAGCTTTATAGATGAGCGCTTCAGCGACCAGAGCCTTCTTCAGAATGAGGTCCAGGGCTTCTTCTCGGAGATCTTCCACATCAAGGAACAGCATACATTCTCTATATAGGCGCTCCACGAGGATACAACGTACAGGTCGTACGAAGATCGAGGTTGAGCCGTCCGATGGATTGACTGCAGTGTCGACATTCATAGTCCAGCTTCCGTGATGTGCCGGTATAATCGACCTTACCTCAGGAGATTCCTATAGTTCCTCGAAAGCAGTAGACTTGCGAGCATAGGCGCCATCTGCGACGCAAACAACGTCTGGCCTGAACCCATATTCATCTACGTCAGGATAGAAGAGCGGATCGTAGATCTTGGCGACTACATTATGATCCACGGCAACAACCTGTGCGCCTTGGTCGTGACCTATCCTTATAGCCGAGCTGATTTCCAAGCTTTTCAAGATCCGTACATCTGTTCGGCCAAGTGGTGGTGGGAGAGAGATGCAGTATTCGGCTTGTGATAGTCCCCGCCAATTCACCTCTCCGGGGGCATGTTGGTGACGTACCCAAAACCAGAGGGCTCGGGAGATTCGTGTCGCGTTGCCGCAAACTTGAGGCCTCGTACATGTGGTATGTGCGGCATCAGTTGTAGATCCGACTCATCTCCTTCCTCTTCGCAAGTCAAGGCTGTTGGCGCTGATGTGCTGGAAGGCATGGTGAATTATGACTTTCATGACGCGAATATAGGGACTAGGGACTAAAGCTGTCACTCGGCTGTCCCCAGGAGTGAGAAGTTTTGAGCGAAAAATGGGTTGTCACTTGCAGTGGGACTTTGTAGTAAAGCAGTATGGGTTGAGTCTTTCTATGTGCAAAAGCGCTACTCAACACGCAATTAGGTAAAATTTCTCCACTGGACACAAAGTCTTATGCAAGTAAATGCTCGAGTCTAATGAGAGCACAAGGCGATTATGCTTCAAGGGTGGCCTCCATGATTAACACTCCATGTCACTCCTTCGTAGTCCCCATGCTGATCCCTGAATCTGAGCTACCACCGCTATCGTCCTCGGAATCATCCAGATATTTTGGGGATTTGAGAGGATTCTTAGGGTCCCAGGTCACGGGACGAAACCGCTCATCGCCGTGGAACTGTTCCCACAACCATTCCTCCGCGCTTGTACTCTTAGGTACCCAGTAGTAAAATTCAATCATCTGACCATGGTACCTCACAATGGGGGACTGTGGTTTTCTCCCTGCCTTAGCGTCGCTTTTATACCAGCGGCGGTATTTGTGACTTGGGTGAGCATTGACGATGGAGATGTTAAAGTCAATTACCTTCACCTGCACGTGGTTGTTGATGTAATCCTCCGTCAATGTCAATGGGCTCTCGTCGAGATTGAGCAACATGATGTTCCGTGGGCAATAGTCGTAATGATCGACACCGGCATGTAATATGACAATCTCAGCAACGATGACCTTCCTGGTGATGGCTGATCGTACTTCGTCAGAGAGAGTGTGCGGCTTGATACTGCTCATACTCTGGCCTCGCAGGTATTCGATGAGTATGAGCGGAACGACTCGTTTCTCTTTCCCACCACTCGGGGTCACATAGGTATCGGTTTCTACAGTGAAACTGCCATGGTAGATGGGTGTTGTCTCTACGGCCGCCGGTGACGACTGCAGCTCTGTATAAGCAGCAGCCTCCCGGAGATAATCTCCATCAGCGTCACAAATGACGGGCTCAGTGTAGTCGTATTCATTGATGAATTTGTAGTAGAGGGGGTCGTAGATCTTGGCGACCATGTTGTTGTTGATTACGAGGATCTGGGCGCCTCTACCATATCCTGACCTTATCGTCGAAGTGATGGTCAGTGTCCTCGTGGCGTGCGTGATCGAACGGCCTCCTAAAAATGGCCGAGAGAGACAGGAGTCTAATTGCGACAGCTTCTCCCAGTTATCTGGCAATTTAGGATATTTCGTGATGTAGTCATGACCGAAAGGCACTGACGGCTCGTGCGATGTCGCGGTAAATGTGGCACCCACAATGTATGGACAGCGCGGCACACGACAGGAACCAGAGTTCATGAATTGGTATTGTCCGGCAGATGCTTGCGAATCGTGGGCCGACGGATGCACCGATGCGGGTGAAGAGGTTGTAAACGCCGATGAATCGCTCGCCTCGGGGATCTTAAGCTCGTTCATGTGAGTTTTCTGCAGTTCGTCCATTATCAGGTGTGTCGCACTGTTTGGGAGAGTTGCTCGTGTGTTGCTCGGATTGTGCGTAGCGTACTGGGAAGAATATAAAGTAAGCGTAGACTGAGCTAATGGGGTGCCAAGACAAGATTGCACAATGACGCGACAACACGTGTGGGGACATTCACTCTAGCTGCTCCATCAAATGTCACTGTCCGAACATCGCGATCATCGAAAGCTGCCTCGCCTCCGTATGCTAGGTATGGCTACGAAGGTAAACCTTCACGATGACGCTGTGAAACAACAGCCCCCAATGCTCCAGGGCAGTCCTCCATACACATGACTCTTCACATCGCTCTCTATACTTGTCCCCTCCCCACGCAACCTCCTCTTGTTTCTTTCCAATACCCTCAACTTTTCATAATCTCTACCCATCATTGCTATTCCAACGGAGTCTCCATAAGATCGAGATGTCAAAAACGATCGAGTACAAGTCGGTAAAGCCTTCAGGTGAAACTACGAAGTTAACTATTGCGCCGAAGGTACTGGTCTGTTACGATGCGGAAGAGCTCATTCGGATCGCAAATACCGCTCTCCAGGACCCTAATATAGCAGATTCGCGCCTCAAGGATTCCACGATTACTTCACCTGGGGGACCGGGTGGGGCGTTTGATGGAGACTCGGAAGGCAACATTGTCAAAGCCTCTCTGGCTTACATCCTTCTGCCTATCTACGAGATTCTCAACATTCTCTACTATGGCAAGTTCAAGATGAGTACAGAATTTTCTCATAAGCTCCCCGTCGAACTACTTGGGGACGAAGTAGAAGATGGAGAAGAGAAACAACCAAGAGAGTCTGTACTCCGCACCGACGAGATATTCGTTGTGTCGCAAGGCCAACCTGACGCAGGCAAGACCATCTGTGTGATAGAGTATAAGCGGCGTAAGCTCCTGAGGTACAAGGATTGGCGGAAGGCTATGCTCCCTCCAGACTACACCGACAAACAATACGGACGAGTGATGAAAGATAGCCAAGGCAAGACGAGATCTGCATTAGAACAGAATGCCCTATCATGCACCAAGCAAGTGGCTGCATATGCATCGCGCACTAAATGTAAACATGCAGCAATCCTCAACTGGGATCATGCTCTGTTCTTTGAGTTTAATAAGTTAGTGGGAGCGCTCAAAAATTCTGCCGGAGAAGAAGCAAACTTGATCTGGGCCACTGAGGACATGGAATTCAAGGAAAAGTATGTGACCCACGATTTTCTGCGAAAAGTTATGCTAGGGTGGACCCTTCGAGCATTCAAGGACCGGTTCGGTTACTGACCACTCAAGTTATGTCAGCGTAAGGATGAAATGGAATCGTATATGGTTGTGCTTCTTTTGCGTTTAGGAGCATAGACTTGTTAGGATCCTACTCAATGAATACATGTCCACATACGCTCATCTGTTAGAAAACTTTTGCATTAAATTCGGAGTATTGTACTGAGTCATTGGCCGTAGCATACTCCCCTAGCATCATAGATGCGGCCAGTGCCCAACTGTGCGATACTCACGAGAATGGAGCTAGCACATCGATCAAAATTTCTTGAGATTCACAGATTGTACTCGGAGTTCATGAACAGGTAGACGGCATTATCTGTGGTTGCGTAAAGTATTACGCAGGTGGTCAGTACCACAAGACGCTTGTGTGCTGGTTGACATGAAGAAAATGTTCACTAGGAGGAGGAAACACGTAGAGCTCGCGCATCCATGAAACGCATCTGTATCTACTCGAAATGGTCCGTCGGATCGGAACACGACAGGGCGGGGTCGGAAGAAGGATTCCGGATCCTCAACACAACATGGCAACCGTGGACGTTATCAACCTAGGAAATCTCGTTCAAGAGTGAGCGACCTTCCTAGTTCGGTCAAAGCGACCAGGTTCCTAGTATCTGCTTCTTGGCAACACTCCACTGCCCGTCAAATGCCGACGACCATCTATGCAGGTCTACCGACGCTTGGCAGCATAATTCTACCGAAGTGGATTTCAACGACATGGATGCGCACGCTTTTTGTGCCTAAGATCGACCTCTTATCGCGCCCTACACGACGTGGTCCAAGTTCTGAGCTGTTCTGAAGAGAGGTATTAAACTCGAGATTGGCAGTAAACTCGCTTCTACTTCGTCCAGCTTTCTCTCATACGCCCCTCGCCCAGTATGTTGTTTCCACTACTCTGCGCACTAGTAGCGGGCGCTCTCGTGCCGGAAGTTTGCTCCAGCATCATTCCTGAGCGCGACGCCTTCCAAAACTCAAAGCGGACAATTGTGGATAGAAAGGAACTTTCTGCTCGAGGTTTCCCCGTCCCAGACCCCACGCAGAGCTACTGGCAGGTTCCGGAACACCGCATCGCCAGTCTTCGCACGACCGAGGAACTGCCTACCAACAAAACTTTCGACTATGTCATCATTGGGTCTGGTCTCAGCGGCGCCGCTACAGCTTTAAAGCTACTCAATCGGAATCCAGAGCTCTCGATCTTGATGCTTGAGGCTCGGAAGGCTTCATCGGGTGCTTCAGGGCGTAATGGCGGACATGTCAAGCCTGGCGATTGGAAGATCATTAAAGAATGGGTCGAAACGTACGGCGAAGATGAGGCTCTCAGGATCCAAAAGCTAGAGCAAGATTGTGTCGATGATATGGCCGATTTCGTCAAAACCTACAACGTGTCCAGCGGATTCCACGAGGTTGAGACTGCTGACCTTTATTGGACAAGGGAAGCGTTTGAGAAAGCGGTCAAAGTGTGGGAGTATCAGCAAGAGCTTGACCAGCGCAGGCCCGCAGATGTTGGTAAAAACAACAGGACTGTCTACGCCGGCCAAGCTGCAAGAGACCACTGGAAGTGGCCTGAAATCCTGGGTGCGATCACATACAAGTCAGCCATCCAGAATCCATACCTCACGGTTTGCGCTATGTTGGAGCAGAGCCTGAGTAAGGGACTTAATCTGCAAACGAACACCATGGCTCTCAGTCTGAGTCAGTCATCGACAGCACCTTCTGGTGGAGCAAAGTGGGAGGTGGAGACGGACCGAGGCGTTGTTAAGGGCAAAAGAGTTGTACTTGCTACCAATAGCTACACGGGCGCTCTCCATCCACGCCTCAAAGAGACCAAATTCCTTACCCCGACCCGAAGCCAAGCGTCTGCTGTACATCCCGAAGCGTACTCTCCAAACAACACCGTATTCAGCCGCAGCCATTCTTACCCTGACCTGCACTCTGGTAACAACTATATCATGGTGCGGGCCCCTGGCGACCAGGGTGAGGGCGATGTGGTCATTGGTGGCGGTACGATGTTTTCGCCTTCGCGCGAGAAGAACATTACCGACGACTCAGTCATAAACGAGGACATTGCGCTACACCTGCACCGCGTCAGTCGCACAGTCTTTGGGTACAAAAACTGGGGAGAGACTACTAAGGTTCTCGGCGACTGGACTGGTATCACCTGTAACACAGAGGATGGATTTCCTGGTGTTGGTGCCATACCGGATGAAGAAGGGCTCTACGCCTCGATTTGTATGAATGGTCACGGAATGGCTTGGGCGTTCCGGAGCGCAGAGGCACTCGTGGAGTTGATGGAAGAGGGAGAGACACCTATGTGGTTCCCGAAAGCATTCGATGTCAAGCGTGCGTTTGCGCCAAAAAAGTGAGAATTGGTATAGTTCTCGGCGCCATCTGAGAAAGTGATATAATCTCCGGTAACGTCCGGTTACATACTTATCTTAAATTGACCCGAAACTTGACCAAAGTTTCAAAAATACCAAGAACACAGCGCCAGTGCAGGCGTATATAATGCATAATCTTGTTCTAAGCAGAAGCGTAACCCAAACCTGGAGTGTACCTTAAACAGGGGTAGGAGTCAAGACCAAAAAATAACAGACTAACACCAAACACGCTCTATGGCCAAATCGAACTCACAAGTTGACTAGCACAAAAGAATCAGCCAGTTGTCAGAGGCACACTTGGCAGATATACCGCGAGGCGCTGTGCTGAATAGATCAAGAGGATATTTTGGAACAGGATCTCTCAGACTCCAAGCTGATTTAGAAGAATCGGGTATTAATTGAACTATGATGGGGAGTAAAAAGAGTTTGACAATAAGTAATGAATTGTGCGGGTAGGGCGCAGTGTCTGCGCTTAACATGCAACGCCCGTTTGTCATAACATCGCACGTCACAGTTTAGACTCACGTATCCAGGTGAAGAGTTGCTGAATCACATCGGAAGCCATGAAATTCTATCCGGCGACAAGCTCAAAACACTGAAACCAGAGCTCTGAATCGGTTAAATACATGTTTCAATGAGTTTGTGTAGTAAAAGCCGTATCCTGAACTATTGATCAAGTTGATGTACTAGCTTCATCTCTTGACCAAATTCGTCATCGCAATGAGACCAACGATGGCCGGCGTCAGGACACGCCCAAAATTTCTAAACTGCCACTTCAATAATAACTCTTGTAGTTCCTTCTTCTGCTCTGCCTCTCTTCCCATTCCTTTCTCCATCTCTTGCCCAATCTCTTTCACTCTATCATTGATGGGAAAGATGAGATAAATCTCGTATGGCGCAATAGTGAAAAGTGCACAAAACAACACTGCCCACGTTTTCCATATTTCTGCATCTGACGTGCGAGGCAGCTGTGATGTCAAAATAGTAGTGATAAGGAAGGAGCCGCCGAGAAGTCGAGATGAAGGGAGCAGGTATTGCTCACCCCATGTGAACATCTGAGCAAATTGCTTGCAGAGCAACTTTGGGGGGAGTTGAGCTGTGAGTGGGGCCACCCAGAGAGACAGGCAGGATGAGAGACCTCGATGGCATGTTAGTTGGTCGCAAAGGGAGAAGATAGGGAATACAAACCTCCAATGAAGATGGCGCCTGTGCAGATGATCACCTGAAGAGTGTACACCAAAGTGGTCAAGGTAGAGGATTCCATTGTAGCGACGATCCTTTGCGCTTTTAAGTCCACAATTATTCCACCTAAGTTTCTAAATAGCACATTATATATGTCGTTGCTGTTCGCGCAACTCAATGTGTTCGTCACGCGATCGACACTTCACTAGCCAGGATCAGCGAGACACTAACGACGCAGTTGAACTAGCTCCCAAAAGTTCCTATACCACAACTTACCGCGCATACTGCACATCTCCACACAGCCCGTGCTGCTGCGCGATCGGTAGCTGTACACGCCGACCGCGCGCACTTGTCGGCGCTGGTGAAGACGAGGCCCGACGCGCAGGGACGAGTCCGAAAGTCGATGGTGAAGTAGCACAATGATCGATGACATCATCGAGTTTTTACGTATTCTCGCATTCCGCGGCAGCCGTGAAATGTGAGTTATCAATGTTGGGAAGCCAATGTTATTGCAACGAAGATGCTAGGCAGTTTTTTTAAATCAGATTCAAGCCTCAAAAGTTACCAATACATCACAAAGTCGTATCACAACATATAATCACGAGCCTGCTTTGCGCCTCAAGCACATTGACATCTCGCAACGAACACAAAATGCCCGCCTACGCTATCCTCGGTGCAACCGGTAGCACAGGCTCCAGCATTCTCAAACTCCTCAGCGCATCACCAAAAGCCCACATTAAACTCCTCGTACGATCCAAGTCAAAGCTTTATAAATTGTTCCCGGCCGCAATCGACAATCCGAACATTGAGATTTTCGAATCCTCCATATCCGACATCTCAACACTCACGAAATGCCTGAGCGGTACCAAAGCTGTCTTTCTGACCGTAGCTGCCACGAATAACGTACCAGGCTGCTGCATCTCCATCGACACTGCAAAGGCCGTGGTACAAGCACTCAAGATACTCCGCGAAGATGATCAGCACTTCAAGCCACCCCGTCTCATCGTACTAAGTTCTGCAAGCGTCGACGATAAGTTCTGGGACACGATACCTTCCTTCGTGCACAACTGGCTCTATACCGCCTTATCAAACCTCTACGACGATTTAAAAGAAGCAGAGAAATACTTACGTGGACAGCAAGATTGGTTGAATGCGACTTTTATCATGCCGGGTGGCATTGTGCATGATGTACAACGTGGACATGAGCTGAGCACTACGAGTCAGCAGACGTTTGTCAGTTTTCTTGATGTTGCGGGGGCGATGATTGAAGTCGCCGACTCAGAGGGTGATAGGTGGGATTGGCGGAACGTCAGCTTAGTGTTGAAGGGGGGACAGACAGCGAAGTTTGAGTGGAGGGCGCCAGTGCTGTTGAGTAAGGGCTTGGTGCTGCATTATGCGCCGTGGATGTATGCGTATCTGCCTTGAGAGTAGTTCGAGGTGCAATGTTACGGGAAGGGGACGATAAGAACAGGAGGGGAGTAGTAGAGTGGTGGATTAAAACTCAATACTACGGTCTGCAATGTTGGATGACGGACACGCAGTCTTCTCCTAGCCTTGCGGCGAATCTAAATCTAGTTTTTAATTATTCCAAGAACATTTCTTGCGACTCTACCGCGCGTAGAGCACTGCGAAAGATCCCTGTCAACTCTTCACTGCAGGAGATCAGAAATGAACATCTAGCAAGTGACAGAGATACTCTTGATGGGCGGGCCAAGAGCATAGCAGTCATAGCTGGTGACATTCGCAAACTGGCGGACACTGGAGCATGTTTCATCCGACCAGATAGTGACTACGCAAACATTAGCCCGCTATTCAGAGTTGGACACGAGGTTAGCCTTACCCTTGCAGCCGGGCTTCAGGCCGCTGAGCCTCAAGCTGGCTTTGCAAGCATCTGTGACTTTGTTGCAGCCAGTGAAAAGGTCACCAGATCCTGCAATGTTCTGCGCGGGATCAGTTCTCTGTGAACCTGGAAAGTCTCTTCATTCATACGCATATGGTACCGGTGCAACCGCTACCGGCGTAGCGGTCGACGGAAGCAACTTGGACTGCTTGACGGGCTTCAACGTCAACGGAGGGCGCCGCGGCGACTATGCTGATGGCAGCAACGAGGAGAGTAAGAGCGTACATCTTAAGAAGAATTGGATGAGATTTAGTGAACAGAAGTGAGTTGTTGAGATGAACAATGAAAGAAGACTTGGGAGCCCGGACCGGCTCTGATCTTATATTCCTTCGATTGAGCAAGTGCCTGCACAGCTTCACTAGCTTTTATGCCCATGACCGGCTGGTCGCCTACCTCCATCGGAACGGCGGGATCTTGAAGCGACTGAATTCCATTGAGAGATGATGCTGTTGGATGCGGAACTTTTCACGACTCCTTTATGAAGCATGCACCCTCCGAACCTTACATCAGCAAGTTCTCAGCAGCGCACGGCTGCCAATCACATTGATGCAAACTCTCCTTGACAACTTGTGGCTTGCGTGAAACGAGGCATAGTCCCGCGTGGAATGGGTAACGTGAGTAGTGTAAGATGAGTGGCTTCTCAACAGATGCACCATTGGGGCGGTTCTAGCGTTACGAGGTAGTCGGCCCTCGCGTTTGCGTGAGCATCAGATCCATTCGAGTAGGCATACGGAACATGGTCACGAATGTATGACATGTGTGACACACTGCCGCAACGACAGACCTTCGAGGCCAAATTCTGAGGAGGGTAGAATGCGATGATACTGCCGGGAGAATTCGAAAGTCTTATTGTTCCCTGTCACTTACATCGGATCAGAGAGCAAGATCTCCTCCAGCTCGGATGGATTCGCACAACATGCTGTTGGCTCCGTTCGTTGATGACGACTCGCATCAGGTCGTACTAGCAGTATGCGACTTGTTCAGCCCACATATGTGTGCGAGGAGATGGCTTAGCCCACCTTGTCACTTTTCGTAAGCCACGATATAAGCTCGTGGCCCGCGTCAGCGCGACTACGTATAACACAGCAATGCATTTGTGTTAGCTGTTGATAACGACTGGTTCCTTTCGTTCAGAGGTCCCGAATTGCACCAATCAGACAAACATCATCGATGACCAATAGACATGATGGTGAAAGCGGCAGTCTAATCAATCCTCGACATGCAGGTATGTTGGGCCGTGTAGCATTCGCAGCTCTCGGAAGGTGGGTCTGTTCGGCATGAAGTAGGATAGACACAACAGGGCCGGACGTAACCGAGTTTTGCTTCCAATATCTTTGAACTTGGGAAACGGTCCCTGCAGGCAGTGGTTGATATGCAACTAGATATTGGAATATGCACTAGGCGCGGCCCGCGGTTGCTGCATGCTCAGCTGCAGTCTGCCGTCTCCGCAAACGAAAGGATTGCATGCCCAGGTGGTCCGTGATGCTGTTGCCTGTAGGATGTAGCGGGCGTTGTCCACGTGCGTTCATGAGTTTTCATTTGCATAGGGCGGACGATAGTACAGTGCTCCGAGTGTCAGATGAGATGGCGACTGACATGCGCACCAATCGAATCGCGTAGTAGTGAGTGATTAAGTGGTAGTTACTGAGGTCATTGTTTCTACTGCTGTGGTAATCTTGGTCGGGCTTACCGGGTAAAGAGCCTGCAGGATCAAGCGGCATACTAATCCACGGCTGCAAGATGCGCGTAGCTTATGGATACGAGCAATCGCTTCGTACCCCATGGCATTATTGCGGTCACCAAAAACGCGACTAATGGCACCTCGTGGAGTGATGTTGCAATCAGGTAAAGCGCAGAAGTCCTTCAGTGCTGCGGCCAATCTTCACCGGAATATGGTTTGCAGGCCTGTTTTCGTCGTAGCGTCCTGGTTGTTGCTGACTGGTCCTGGTTGGTATGGTGCTTGGTAAGATGGTTGCGGTATCGACTGTTGCCCTGGTGCCTGGGAATATGGTTGATACAGGTCCGGTGGTTGTTGGTATGCTTGTGGAGACTGTTGCTGGTATAGCTGGGGTGACCACTGTGGTGCTGGTTGAAATGCATAGCTCGTATTCGGCTGCATCTCATAAGTGTTCTCGAAGCCGCCATAGCGTCCTCTGCCCCCAGCAAGCCATTTCATCCCACCACGCTCGCGCACCAACATCCACAGGCTGACAATTACCAGGGCGGACGAGACCGCAAGGGCAATTAGTAGATATCGAGTCGCCTTGGCGGTTCCGCATGCTGCTCCAGCCCAGCCCGAGTCTGGGTAAAACTTGTCAATCTGACATGCCCATGTCTCCCTGGTAAGACGTGGGTCGCTCTGACCTACGTCTTCGTACCGCTGCCAGCCATTCTCGTTGCTTTGCACTGAGCTGGTGTATCCCATTATACCAGCGCTCAATCCTATCATGATCATATTGCTGATCAATACGAGCCAACTCCACATCCTGTGGTGTGCGGGTGTGCCTTCCATCTTTCGCAATTCCCATATCCCGAACAAGCCAATAGCAATGACAACGTAGGATACGCAGCATGTTCCCAATATAGCATACGTGGGCGATTGATTGATGCGAAGATCGATAACGGTGTTGGTGGAGTTGTTCGAGTCAGTGCTTGCAGGGCCATAGACCGTGACCTCGTAGGTGCCGCCTCTAAAATTGCGATTGGTTTCTGAGAGCAAAAGAGACCTCGAAATCCGCTCAAGAGCGAATATGAGTACACCAACGGGTAATTGAAGGAGTAGAGGCGGAGTGAACAGAAAAACTGCAGCGCAGCCACTAAAGTCACGCATCGTGGAAGACCTTCGTGTATCGTGGGTACGTTTGAAGCTGTGAGATTTGACCAAGGATTACGGTTCCACAAGAATGCAGTGCAAGCAAAATAGGCATCGTCGACCACGATGATGCGAAATTTAGATCCATGTTGAGTCACTAGAGGTAGGGGTGGCGACCTCGGGAAATCAACAAAAGGCACGGGACGCCTGAAAGGGTCGCTAGATTATCGATAGTACGATGCGCTCTTGGCAAACTTTGTTGTGTGACATCCAAATGCGCGTCGCCTTGAAGATGTCGGTATAGATTGCGTTCTTCTTGGGAGGTTTACGAGAATCCATTGATGCGTGACGCGTGTTGGTCAAGATGAACGAGACGCGCGCTTTCATACATCTGCCAAGCAATGATGTCATTAGCCTCAGGTGTCCTTTAGGGGCACCAGGTCTGCAACAATCTATGCGCGCCGGTCAGGATTCGAAGTACTGCTTACGAGTAGCTTTTGTGTCATATCTGAGCCATAGAGGCTTAATACCTACGTAAGTTCATCGCAAAGTACCTAGGTAGGAAGTTTAGAAGAGACCCTGGGGGTCCACGGCCTTGGTATCGTTATGCTACTCACTGCTAAGCAATCCTAACAAGCCTCGAACGGCTTTCTACCAAATATTGTGGTGTTTCTTTGTTTCCCAGAACCTGTTCAGTGGCTTTTCCCCACCGCCCTTACGTTCATCTTCCTTGAACAAACCCCGCTCTCTAGCATGTTGGTTTGCCACAGATTTTGAAGCCCAGAGAACTATTCCTTCCGACGTCATTTGAATTGAAACCCAGTCTCCTGTCCCTCCTACCCGATCTTGCCGCTTGCGTGAATGTCAGTCTCGGGTGACTTGTCGATAGAGAGGTAGTACTTTGGCTTCATCAGCCGGTGACAGTATGAAGTCCCATGGTCCGCGCACATCAGGTTTGGTCAAATCGAAGCCGTTATCCGTGTTCCATGCTAGGAAATCGGGATGTGTCCATAATTCTGGAGTACGTCACCAGTAGTGCATCCATCATTTGCCCTTTCCGTCTTTGATGTTAATGAAGTCGCAAACTAGAGGTACAGAAGCGATTGTCTCTTCGAGCCAGGCCTGCTACTTTGAGTTCTTGCCACACGCGAATAAGATGTCAAGTCAGCTTCTGACACAAACAGTCTTGGTGTTGTGCCACTCCCGATCACTTGCATTCTGAAGTATGCTATTACAGCTGCAGGCTTCAGGGCTACGCTTCACGCGTAAGCCCGGATTCTGCGCACAGAGTATCATGAGTGGAAGGATGTCGTGGCGCTTGTGATCCACCTCGCAGTATTCGTATACGCCTCAAATTCATCGAGCTCCCTTTCGTCGGCCCAATTGAGAACAACGTTTCCGATGACTTTCCCGTCACCATCCCAAGTTAGGTGAGTTTTCTCGCTAGCGAAATCTGTGAAATCGTGATGGCCGACCAGAAAGATGGTTGTAGCCGCTTAGATTGGCGAATACTCTGCTCAGAGCTGGCGACAAACTTGGGTGAGAGCGAAGTACTGCGGCTCTGATCCCTCGTACTCGTATTTTTGGACTCGTCCGCATGTGCGGTAAATGATGGGGTCCTCTTCTCTTCTGAATTCGTAGATTTGGTTGCGAAGCTCGTATGGCACAGTCATTATTAGTACAGCACATTTGCGCCTTGAACTTTTGAGCTCACCTCCAGGAATTTCGAGAATCCAGCACTTTGTACCGCCGTCTACGACATAATGGGGTTCCATAGCTGTAGAGTTATGGAAAATTTCCGGCAAGTGGTTTAGGCGTGGTAGGAATAGCGGACAGGGAGTAAAGCAAGCGCAATATAAGGGCTGCGGCAGGCACTGATAGTTAGAAGCTTATTTTTTTTTCACGTTCAGAATCTAGGACCTTCATATTTACATGTGCAGTACATTGCTTCACTAAGTGTTTTCTTACAAACAAGCCTGACTGCTATACTTCATTGTTGTCTAACGCTCTGATCTCCTTGCTGGGTGAATCATCTCAGCAACAAGCCTCTAGCGGACTTTACCAAAAAGTTCGAAAATTCATTGACTCGCGTTTTGCTCCCTTTTAACGCATTCATAGATTTGACGTGCCCGAGCTTTAGAAGGCTGATACAAGTTCCAGCGAAGTTCAAATATCTCTTCTATACTCGTTGTGAACTGTACTCCACGACTCGTACAGGCCTGCTTGACTCGATCAAGGTAGGCTTGCTGAAAGAGTCTCTCGACTTCTAGGTCTCTAACTCCAGAGCTTATATCCTTCCAAACATTATGAAAGGATATTTGGACGATCCCTGAGTGCCTGTTGACAATTTCAATAATGTCGTCCTTGAATGTTGCAAGCAAGGCAAGTACTGCCTGGTAGGGATTCTGCGGATCCAAACGCCTTCCTACACGCGCATAGTCGCCGTAGAAAGCACAGAGGAAGCTCTTAAAGTCGATGAAGCACTCATTTCTGCGCACATCTATCTTTGAGATGAAGAGAGGGTTGTTGTTGGTATAGCTGCCAACAGTCGCCGGTACCTTAGTGTCACGGCCAAAGTCGATATCAGTGTCCTCCAGAGCTCTCGTCAAGGCCTTGTTGACCGCCGCCTGCAACGAATTAGCGTCGCTGGCCTCCTGAAAGCGACTGGCAACATCGTCGGTCTCGATGGTGACGTGAACGTTCAGCTGGAGGCGCGCTTGTTGGCCATCCTTGCTAAGGCTGACAATTTGATAGATCTGTTCTCTGCCGTACTTATCCCCATGTTTAGAGGATTATTGGATACCCGGTATCTGTCCGGAGCAAACGAACTCGACGCAGAGCTTGGGTAGGTGCGTCCGCGCAAATTCTCGTTCGGCTTCAGATCGGACTAGCCGTGACACCTGGCGGTAGACGACCAAGAGGGTGAAGTCGTCGGCTTGAGCGCATATGAGACCCCAGATCTTCCGTGGTAGAGAGTGACAGGCATTGGTAGTGGCTAGGGCTCGCATAGCGGCTGTGTGAGCGTCAGCAGGATTTTCAATTGAAATTCTCCATGCGCAAAAACTTTGTTCGTAATCCGCAGGCATCGAAAACTTGCGCAAGTGGTATCAACCAGCGACGGTGTCGATACGCGAAGGAATGATAGTAAGTAGGCGGAGGCCGCGTGAGAGATGAGTTGCATTTGTGGTGGAGCAGTGACGTTGAGTTGCTCTACCACCACACGCCAAAAATCACCTTCACTTTGACAAAACAATTTGATAAAACGGGACGACCGGCGCTCCGTCACCTTGCACATCAATCTCCTAATGCGAACTAAATTCGATACTGAGTCTAGAGAACCCAACTCCAACGCCGCTAAAAACTAGCAATGCTAAGTCATATCTCATAAACACATTAAATGCGCACAGATATCAAACAGCATGACTGATCAACGGTGCCTTCACCCTCTCGCTACCCGGCGACACCGCCCGCGGGTCCAACTGAATCTTCATACTATCCTGCCTCATAATCTGTTTTTGCTGATCCCTAACCAGTCTCATCGGACCGCGTACAAATGCCGAAAGCAAGTCGGTGACGTTGAATGCATCGACGATGGCGGAAAGCGGACCAGCCGCGGGACCATTTCGGGTGTATGGGGCGGGGGAGAATGCTATGAACATCATGATTGCGAAGATAGGCATCTCGCAGGCAAGGATGAGAGATGGTAGGCCAACCTGGACGTCGTGGTAGGTCATGTACTTTGAGGGCTTGAGGATATTGTGGCCTGAGAGGATGGAGATGGTGAACTGAGCGTATTGAGTTAGCGTGATACTGTGGGAGAAGAGATGGTCCGAGGTGACATACACTTTGTACCACGTTGAGCCCAATGATACTTTTGAAAGTAAACAATTTGAGCAGGATTTTATGCTGTTGTAGCTTTGTCTTGTTGTGCTTGTAGAACTGCAGGCAGCTCAAAATGGCAATCGTCGGGAAGATAAACTTCAAGACCGCCAGCCAGATGTGTGCGAAGTGTATGCTGTTGGATGCTTTGCAGTAGAATCCAGCTGCGAGTGACCCAGCGGTTGAGATCCAGATGAAGATAGATGTTGGAATAAACTGCAAAGTACCATACCACATGCGCTAAATCAGGAGTCAGACGTGATTCGGCAGTGAAGGCGATGAACTTACTCTCAGCGCCATTGGGCTGTCTTTGACGCGTGGTCCACTAGAATGTGCATTGGCGCCAAACAAGTCTTCGAAGCCACCAGGATGCGATAATACCAGGTCACACATGAAGAGAAGGAAAGCTGAAAGTGCTATGGCACAGCCAAAATCTAGCGACTCCACCAAGTACTCTCCAACATCATTGCGCCAGACGATCAGAAAGGAGAAGAATGCGACCCATGGAACGAGCAGACATATGCGGATGACTTGACGTTGCTGTACCGGATTCGAGTAATTTAAGGCATGGAGGCCAACCAGTGCAACCACTATGCAGGCGCTGATAGCTGCGCAGGAACCGGAGAGTATTACGGAGAATTGGTGGTATGTGAGTTGACCAACGAAGTTCACGATGGGTGGCCCACTTTCGTCTTTGCTGGGACAAATGTGAGAGGTAAGATTGTGCAGATGGTCCTTTCGGGCGACTAAGGCAATTGGGTGCATGCTTCTGGGGAATGACAGAATAAACTCGAATTTAGGTATAAATACTTTGGTGAATAAGGTATAGATCTGAAAGGAGAATATACAAGAGAGCTGCAGAAGATGGCACCTATCGCAAGACAGACGCAGCCTCTATATACCGAGCGGCTCTTCCTCATTGCACGCGGCCGACACAGCCTCCATCACCATTGGGAACCAATCGCAACCATCTGTCCAGCACACCGTGTCCAGCGAGCCATGCAAAATAAGCACTTAGCTTAGCGCTTGGCAAAGCTTCAGCTCTTTGTCGCTCATTTCTTGCCTAATGAGCTATTCGATGTTTAGGACGTCATCTCTGCTCCGCACTGTCACTAGGTGCTGCAATAATTCTTGTGTGCTCTGGTCAGGCCCCAACTACTATCATCGACTAGCTGTCATATTACATACACGGTACGCGCCTGAACAACTCCATAGCTGATCAGCATCTTATCGAGTGCGAAAAGGCCTCAAAGTCATACAGCCTTGACATACACCAGTGCTCAGGTTTCGGACACCGCGCGTACGCATTATTGCAGCGCCTGGTGACGTATGGGTCCACCGAGCCAACGGGGTATTTCGAACGATGTCGCGATGGCTGCGCATCAGACTGTCGCCGAAAAATGCACCGCCATGCGTGGAGCAGCACTGTGGTGCTTTGATGAGTGGCTGAGAGGACACTGCCGTGCACATCAATTGCTGGGGAAGGCAAGCCGTCAGTCGGCTAAAGTGGCTGTGTCTGTCGATAGGTGCCCTTCATGTTTTAAGCGCATGTACCTCTATGCACCTCAGATAAAGTACGGAATGCGTCAATTTCGAAAGAGGCTATGTTGTCGCTAACTCAAGTCTCCGAGGTGCCGGAAGCCGAGGTGAGCAAGAACTCGCTGCGATCACCAGGTGCCGCAGCAAGTCGTGCACGCTCTGTCTAAAAGCTCTCGGTGTCTTATAAGGAAAATGCCAACCTAATCTACTTCAGCTTCGTTTCGAAAACTATGTTACGTGCTAATAATCTATTAAGACTGTTCAGACTTCTACATTAGACAACAGCTGCTCTTTGATGGTAGATCAATTTGAACGGAGCGCGCACGAATTATTGTTGCACCTGGTGCGATGCCTGGAGGAGCTCTGCGTGCCAAAAGACATCACATTCATGCATCGCATCTTATGTCTGACCTAAAGGGATTGTCGCCCGGTAAGCGACGGTCGCACATGCAGTGAAATTTGGGAATGCACCAGGTGGTAAGTGGATGGGACGCGGTCGATTGTCAACTCATCGCTGCAGCAAGTGGAAGACGTCGGTTCGTCAGTGAGCCATCCCCGAGGCGTCTAGGCATTGCCGCAGCCTAGTGATAATGACTCGCAGGCAAATTGAAGGACGAGTGGTCAAGTTTGAGGCAGCCAAATGTTCGTGTCTATTGGCGCGACATTTTCGCGTCACTGAAGGCGCGGCCTTGGTGTATAGATGGCAGTGAGGAGGCACGAGCGTAACTTGCCAATATTATCCTACTAGTTTGAGCGCAGCAAAATCACAAATTTAATAATAGACAGTGAAGTTGATCATAACTTTTCATTGTTCAATCATTGCCTGGTTGATTTAGTGTTTAGGAGCTTACGCGACGCGATCGAGAATAGCCGATCAAGCTGTCGCAGCACGAGCATAGTAATGTACAGTACGCAGAGATAAATTTTCCCCTTCAGTGGGCACATCCGCGTCCACCGCCAAACGCCAACTTGCCGAAGGACACAGCCCACGAGATCGAAACGATAGATCAATGCGGATGCGAAGGAAAACCGAGGAGACCCGTTGCCGTGTGGGTGAGAAGAGAAACATAAGCAGGGGAGAAGTGCAGGAGCGTCATTTACATCTCCATGACATCAACCTCATCAGTCGCCATACACCATGGCATACTGACGGGTTGCGCGGGTGGTGTTGGGGGGTTTGAAGGGGTGAGTTGCCGAGCGGTGATGCGCTCGCCTTCAACGCGAGGAACAGGACCAGACATGAGGTTGCCGACAGTGCGCTCGAGCGACCAGCCGACGAGCTGGCACCATTGAAGGCTGTCAGAGAAGAGCCAATAGCCTTGTACGCCGTGTTGCTTTGCGCGTACCAAGTAGGCGGAGAGTGATTCTTTCTCCAACATGACAAGCGCGTCGGTGAGGTCGAAATGACGTTCAATTACACGCGAATAGGCGCGCGCCGCATCGCGCAAGTTGGGGTTGGTCATGATGTTCTTCCAGCCAACGCCAAGGGACGCGATGAGAGTGTTGACGGTGGTGCCGTTGTCGTCGACCATGGCGTCACTTGATTGAGCGTCCATGTCGTTCAGCGAAGGAACTTCGACGTTGGCTGATGGGCTCATACGAGCAGACTTGCGCGACACAGCGATCGGCCGGACGGCCTCCGCCTTCTCTTCCTTCTCGTGCTTCTCTTCGCACCATGTACCGGACTGCGATTCGGCGGCAATGGCGAAGCCGGGCTCACCAGGGTAGATGAGCGTCATACCTGGGCCATAGACGGGTTCTGGCTTCGGCTTCGCAGGCATTTGAGTGACGATTGATCCGACGGGTAGGTTCTCTTCGGGGTCATCGACATCGGCGATGGAACGTTTGCGCCCAGCTGAGGAGTTGTTTACGGCTGCAAGGTAGTTGAGCGAGGGTGGAGTTGGGTATTTGGGACGGAAATTACCCATAGCTGATGGTGAGTGGGCGCGTTGGTGAGGTGAGAAGTAGCCCTGCGGCTGTTGGGGGGGCAGGACGACTGTTGGCGATGAAGCGTAGTAGTTGATTGACATTGTCACTGTGTGTTTAGTAGCTTAGTAGTATAAGAAGACTGAGAGATACAAGAGTCTGTATAGCGACTGGACAGACGACAGCAGGCGATCAGCGACTGCACTTGTGGTACTTGAAGCGACGACGCCGACGAGAATGATGGCGGTGAGGCGAGGCGCGATGGTGGTGGTAATGGATGCGATGAAGTAATAGATAGTAGAAAAGTGCTCCGGATAGTGGTGAGCACAATGTGTGGCAGTAAGACGTGAAAGGCTGGGGATAGCGAGGCGTGGGCGCAACAGAAGTGAGGAGAGGAAAGATGGTTTGGAGGGCCCCAGAGCCGTCTTGTAAGCTTCGCTGAGGTCCCGTGATAAGCGGCGCTGAGTGGCTGGTCGCTGGGCGGTGGCAGAATGTGACGGCCAGGATGAATGGCCCGGCGCGAGATCTACAGGGCACGGCTAGCGCGCATTGGCTTCGTTTGCGAGGTGTAACGACGTCTGGATCCGTTTTCGGCGTGGTGGAGTGGGTTTGCCAAGAGCTTGTGTAAGTTGGGACCGGGCCGATGAATGTCCGATGAGGCAGGAGCGACGAGCCTGAGCACGTGATGACCTGTGGCTGACACGCCGGCGCCGAAACCCCCGAAGAGGCGGTGCGCCCCCGCTAACTTTTGAAAACCGCCAAAAGTTATCTAAGCAGTGTGTACAGCTGTAGGCACCAGGAAGATACCCCACGCTTTGTTATTTCCAAGCTCCTTCTTTTCCCGTGTGGTATTTAATCAGCTCTCAATTCCAAAATGCAGGCGCCAGTGGTCGTTATGAGTAGGTCTCGACGCGTCTCTGCAGCTTCAACAGCCCACTTACACCACAACAGACACCCAAACCCCGGGCGGGGAGCGGCAGTTTGGCCGCAAAGCTCAGCTTTCCAACATCACAGCAGCCAAGACGGTCGCCGACATCATCAGATCATGTCTCGGCCCCAAGGCTATGTTGAAGATGCTGCTCGACCCCATGGGCGGCATTGTCCTCACCAACGACGGCCATGCTATCCTGCGAGAAATCGAAGTCGCGCACCCAGCAGCCAAGAGCATGATTGAGCTCAGTCGGACACAAGACGAGGAGGTCGGCGATGGCACAACTACTGTCATCATATTAGGTGCGTGTGATAGGCTTGTACCGACGACGAGCCCTTGCTAATGTGCGTAGCTGGAGAGATTCTCGCGCAAGCTCTACCACAACTAGAGCGCAACATCCACCCCGTTGTCATCATTCAGGCCTTCAAGAAGGCGCTCGCAGACGCCCTCGAAATCATCGATGAGATCGCGGTCGAGGTGGATGTCAACAACGATGAGGAAATGTACAAGATCATCAACTCGTCGATCGGCACAAAGTTCGTCTCAAGATGGTCAGAGCTGATGTGCAGCTTGGCCCTCAAAGCTGTGCGCACAGTCTCGCTCGAGGTTGGAGCTGGCAAGAAGGAAGTCGACATCAAGCGCTACGCCCGCATCGAGAAAATTCCTGGTGGCGAGATCGAGGACAGCGAAGTACTCGATGGTGTCATGCTGAACAAGGATATCACACACCCCAAGATGAGGCGGAGAATCGAAAACCCCCGTGTCATGCTGCTGGACTGCACGCTCGAATACAAGAAGGGCGAGAGTCAGACCAATATCGAGGTCAGCAAAGAAGAGGACTGGAACAGGATATTGCAAATCGAGGAGGAGCAAGTCAAGGCCATGTGCGATGCCATCATTGCTCTCAAGCCGGACCTCGTCATCACCGAGAAGGGCGTCAGCGGTAGGGCCATTAGCACTCCGCATACAATGACATGACTGACAATACTACAGATCTGGCACAGCACTACCTCGTCAAGGCTGACATCACCGCTATCCGTCGAGTACGAAAGACCGACAACAACCGTGTCGCCCGCGCAACGGGCGCGACCATCGTCAACTCTCCCTTTGCCGCGACTGCTTCTGATATTGGCACGCAATGCGGACTATTCGAGATCTCGAAGATCGGCGACGAATACTTCACATTCCTCACAAAATGCAAAGACCCCAAGGCGTGCACAATCCTGCTGCGAGGCCCGTCCAAAGACATCCTGAACGAGATCGAGCGAAATCTGCACGATGCGATGGGTGTCGCGAGGAACGTCATCTGGAACCCCAAGCTGTGTCCTGGTGGTGGCGCGACCGAGATGGCCGTCGCAGTCGGCCTGGACAGGAAGGGCAAGCTTATTGAGGGTGTGGCACAGTGGCCCTACAAGGCGGTCGCAGAAGCCATGGAGGTCATTCCACGCACATTGATTCAAAACTCTGGAAATAGTCCGATCAAGGTCCTGACACAGCTGCGCGCAAAGCATGCTGAAGGCTTTGAGGATGGCAAGCACGGCGGTAGCTCTTGGGGCATTGATGGAGATGCAGGCAAAGTGGTGGACATGAAGACCTACAACGTCTGGGAGCCTATTGCTGTCAAGGAGCAGAGCGTCAAGACCGCCATAGAGAGCGCATGTCTGCTGTTGAGGGTCGACGACATCGTTGCTGCCAAGTCCGCAAAACAAGTGAGCGGCCCCATCGGCGGCGGAGGAGATGATTAGATACAAACATCACACAGCGAAGTTTAAGCCTGCTATGAAGGGTTGAGACGAATCGATCAAATAACCCAAAAAGCTCCGAGCGTGTTCGCAGCGCTCCTGACCATTGTGCACCACGTTTTTGTCGCAATAACGCGCCTACCGTAACCGTGCGCCTGTCACAGAGACCTGGGCAGGCACGAAATGCTACCCACGCCCAGAATCTGACAATTCACGCTCCACCACATCCACTAGACCAGTGTTGCTTTCCAACCGCACAATGACGGAACACACCATGGGCCGAACTCCCTTTCTGTCGAGGATGTCGCTCGCGCCATGGTTTCGGGCCTATGGCGCCGTGCCCGAATTGCCAGGGCTGACGAGTTTAGGCCCCCTATGTACTAGGTACATCGGGGGTTATCAACCAACGTCGCGTCATGGCTTCTTCAATAATGCAATTCTAAGACGTCGCCCCTATGCTTGGTCGCGTCCAGAGTGCCATTGACTCTGGTAGGAACTGGTTGCCGCCATTCCGCAAGCGACGATCTGTCTACCAGCAATGGGCTCCCTCCAACGGCACGGATCTTCGCGTCCTGACCGCAGCAACAACTGACAGCGGATTTACCATCGACAAGAGCAATGCCACCATCAGCAAGAGCGAGGTTGATATCGAGAGGGAGTCTCGGCCTAACTTACTGGATGCGACCGCGCAGTATCTCGAAAATCTGACAAAGACGCGAGTGCAAAAGATTTTTGGTGATCGTTTTACTGGCTGGAGATTCGGCGCGCTGCATTTTGGTTTCTGGACTATCATTGTTTTTGGGATCAACTTCATCACCACAATATGGGGCTTAATGGCGAGACGTTCCGGGGTGCTACTGGATGGAGATTGTGATCGTGTGGAATTCCTAAACACGGCAGTCCACGTGCTCATCAACGTCTTGAGCACCATTGTTTTAAGTGGAAGTAATTACTGCATGCAATGCTTATCCGCACCCACCCGGGCGGAAGTCGACAGAGCACATGCATCAGGAAAGTGGCTTGACGTTGGGATTCCAAGCATCCGTAATGTTCGACACTTGAGCTGGAAACGGATCATCCTCTGGTTTGTGCTTGCATTGAGTTCCCTCCCATTGCACCTCTTGTGAGTGTCAAAGGCCCTTGTGCAAGTCGGTCACTAACAGTGAGAAAGTTACAACTCGGCGGTGTTTGCATCGCTGTCTTCGAATGACTACTTCTCCTTCAATGTCAGCGAGTCTTTTCTCGAAGATGACACCTGCCGCAACTGTACGAAAACCCTCCTATGTTTATCGGTTAAGACTTCTACTGACATGTTTGGCCGGCAATAGGTTCGGCTCCTGTCAACCAACCCGTCAATGCGCCATTTTCGATAGAAAGAATGGGAACTTCTTACTGGCAAATTTACAATACAGCGAATGTCCCCCGGATACTGGATGACATGCATAAAAAGTATAAAAGAGGTCTGCTGGTAAAGTTGCAACCACAAGAATGCTTGAACAAGTATGCCACTTCCATAGTGTCAAATCGACGCCATGTGCTGCTTGTTGCGAGCGACGACAACTTCCCCACCCTCGAGGATAATGTGTTCATCAACGGTTCGCACGTCTACTGGGCGGGGCCCTATTACGCTACGGATTCGAAGAATCCCAGGGATGCTTCAAACGGATACAACTGGATTTGCAGTGGAATGCAATACAACAGTTTTTGCGCGAACGACGTCGACAAGTTGAAGGCAAATGTCAGTGCATGGAGAACGGGGCACTATTGTCCGACTCCCACTACTCCTTTGGGTGCTTTCTGCGCGGAAGCCAGGACTTTTCCTGTGCAGTATTGCCTGAGTGAACCAGCTCAGCCACACTGTCGGCTACAATTCGATACAACTATCGCTGTTATTGTAACTGTCCTCAATGCTGGTAAGTTCTTGTTCTGGGGATTTTGGTTTTTGATCGCTATACTACAGGGCAGGAAGACCATGACGAGCCCTTATAGTACAGCTATGTGCGAACTGCGAACCGCGAACCGCAGCTTGCCCCGTATCGAATTAAGCTAACGTCGTGTTCTAGTCAAAGCAGCTTTGATGTTCTACATCGCTTGTTGCGTTGGAGACGATCCCCTCATCACAATGGGCGATGCCGTTGCTTCATTCCTGGAAAGAGCAGACACTACCACTAAAGACATGTGCCTGCTCTCGATTCGAGACGTCAGGAAAAAGGTACTAGAATCTGGCCCGCGCCCGTGGGTAAATGTGCGTTCTAGGTGGAAAGATGTGGCAAGCAAGAAGCGTCGATTGACAACTCTCACACTGTAAGAAGAAAATTGCACGGTCTTTGAACGATGCATCATGCTAACATCACCACAGCCTCTTGTTTACTTTGGCTACAGTAGGATTTCTACTCGGCTTCGGCATCTACTCCCTCCCCGACGATACCCCACGTTCACTCGCCTTCCTCGCAAGTCTGGGTTTCGGTACCGTCGACCCCCGCACAGCCATAAGCTGGATCCGGAAGGATCTCCTTTCCAACGTCATGCTTGCCAATACACCGCAGGTCATTCTCTCCATGCTGTACTTCTCCTACAACGCACTGTTCACGTCCTTCCTCCTCTCACACGAATGGATCTCGTACGCGCACAAGAAGAAGGGTCTGCGCGTCTCTGCCGACCCAGTCGGCGCACAGCGAACCGATTACTTCCTCCAACTTCCGTACCGGTTTGGCGTGCCGCTCATGGCGCTGAGCGGTCTGCTGCACTGGCTCGTCTCGCAGTCTATTTTCCTCGTGTCCATCGACTTCTACGATGTCTTCGGGTCGCCCACGATTAGTTACGAGAACGAGATAGGGCCGGTGGGTAGCGGGCTCGAGACGCAGGGGGACAGCATGAAGACGTGTGGATACTCGCCCATTGCAATCATTACGGTCGTTATTGTTGGGTCGTTCATGGTCATGGGTATTGTGGCGTTTGGATACGTCCCGTATAAGCAGGGCATGACACTTGCGGGGAATTGCAGTATGGCGATTAGTGCGGCGTGTCATTTGGACCGGAGGGTGGATAAGAGCGGGGTGGAGGCGGCTCAGGAGAAGGTGCAGTGGGGTGTTGTCAGTGTGGGTGAGGATGGGGTCGGGCATTGCGGGTTTACGACGGGGAGCGTGACGGCGCCTGTGGATGGAGAGTTGTATGCTGGTACTAACGGATAGATTCAAGAGCCAAGTACGATCGCAACGCAATTCGATACTGATTTTAAAGCAAGTGGTCTACCATCTGTGTCACACAAAATCTAGAAGCATACGATGAAGGATGACTGGCTGGCTGCTTTGGGATGGATGTGGGTTGGGACGGTTGTGTGCTGTTCTGGGTTTACTTGAAAGGCAGGATTGAGGCTTTGCAGGCTTTGAATCGGCTGTAGACAGATACTCTGATGGTACCCGGAATTTTCGATACAGCGCATGAATTGTTGCAACACCTGGCGACAGCTACAAGACCGTTGGCAAATAGCACCAAACCCTCAACTCGAGGCTTGTGCAACTGATGGCCATGTGGAGGACACAGGAAGTCGGACATGCGCTGGTCAAAGCGAAACTCGCCCATGTTGTAACGACAAGGAACTTCAGGTATATATCTACAGGTCGTTGGAAAGAAAGACATCGCCTGAGCACCGGCTGATTTCCCCCCCGCTTGTGCAATGGGAGGGCGTGTGCAGTGGCGAACAGATCGTCAAGATGGGTTGTCGCCGCCGTTCATGCGCAGATTGGCGAGAAGATCACCATCTTTCACGACCAGGAAACCAATTGAGCATTCTTTCACGCGAGAGTTGCATTATTCTTCAAAGACCAACAAAACCTGACGTGAGATGGGGGCGTCGCACGACATGGTCATCGCCAGCGTCCAGACCTCGTGATCTGCACACGTCGGAAATAATCGCAGGCCAATTGCATGCATAGGGTTCCAACGTTGACACCTCTGTTCGCAGCGATGTGCGCTGGCGAGAATTTATTCTCCGCAAGGGCGGGTTGTTCAGGTTGTACACAGGATTTTCACAAAGGCGCAAGACTGACTGGCTGGATGGGGGAAATTGCGCGTACTACCCCACGAGCGGCCGGAAGAGCAGAGCCTTCTGGTGGGCCGTGTGCAGGGAGATGAGAGGGCGAGTGCCGAACCAGTGTCGTTGGCCGAAGGATCATGCAGCAGCACAGCGGACATGTGTCTCTGCACGGCCATGTTCGTCGGCGCGACTTTGGCGGCTTGCGCAGGAGGGTCAGCTTCAGCCCGAGAGCGTTCCTCCCTGCGGCAGCGAGCAGTAGAGGAATGCAGCAAGGTTGCACGTGGTTGCGATAAGAGCGATATCGATATATTGAGTTCGGTTGGCGGCAGCGGCGATTCACCTAGACGCGCATTGCAGGCATTTAGCCATGGAGAGGGGAACCAATTGGGCGTGTGGCGGGCGCAACCTGCAGCTGACTTTCACAGGGATGCGCCGTTGTGTTGGAGCTTTGAGGTACGGGCAACGCCAGCGGCAAATGCACTCTCCGCCGCGGCGGTGCAACCTGTTCGCATGAGGGATTGGAGGTCGTGAAGACTGCATCGTCATGTGTGTATGATGGATCGAGCAGCGTAATGATGTAGTGATGCGAGATGCGGGTCTCCGGGGCAGGCTGAGAAACGAAACAGCAATCGGGCCTTGCAATAAATATAGATTATTAGAGTTGGTGTGCTACGCAGCGCCACAGCCAGGAACTCGCCGTCAGCTGCAGCAACCCGCATCGACCCCCTCCACGCCGACCCGCCCGCTGCGAGCAAGACGAAAGCACTGCGACACACAGGTGACGGCCCTCTCACAGGAAACCAGCAGCAGCGTCTGGCGGCTTGAAAAAGACTCTTTGTGCGCTCTTTGGCAAACACAAGCCGCGTGCACAATACCAGCGGCTGGCCATAGCGTGGAGACGAAACGTCCTGAGCGTCCAGGCCTGACCCACTCGTGCCCCAACAGCCAGCCCGGGTCGCGGCTGCCCTCCAGGCCCTCCAGGCTCATCTTACGCAGCTTCCTCCTCAGGCCCGCTGCGCCTTCCTGCCCGGCCGCTGCATCTCACCCACGACACCACGCCGACACGTCCACACTGCGCGCCGCCGTCCTTGTCCCCGTCACTCGTTATCCGTTCTCTTCGTTGTTCGTGTCCGCAAAGGCGCTCGCTGGCTGTCGCCGCCATCCCGAATCGTCTTTCGTCTTCTGCTAGCGCCGGACTTGCTGCGTCGCTCCTTTGTCCCCGGTCACCAGGCACCACGCTTTGTCGCACACGACTATTCCGAGAATCCTCGACACGTTCACGGGAGCACTTTGTCCAACGTTGCTGCTGCGAGTTGCCAACGCCCATGACAGCTGCTCGCCATAGGCACTCACAGACCCTGGGACCGCCGATCTCCTGAATCCCCGCAACGACATCACCACCCTCACCACCTTCACCATGTCGGTATCCGCTCGCGCGCTGCGAGGTAAATGCTGCCACCATGTACAGTATCGACACATGCTAACGCTGCACAGACATCGAGAATGTCTTCCGCGTTGAGAAGCGCTGCGTGCAGTGCGAAAAGGCAGAGCTCACCTGCGCAGGCAAGGTCTGCAACAAGAACCAGGTCTGCGTGCAGACCACCCAGACGTGCGATGAGTGCGCACAAGTCATCTGCGCCGTCGACCCCATGGCCGCCGCCGAGGAGCCCAACAAGCCCAACGTCGGTGCCATCGCTGGAGGTGTCATTGGAGGAGTCGCCGCCATCGCCATTCTGACGTTCCTCGTGTGGAAGTACTACTTGAAGGGCAAGAGGCGGCCGTACACCGAGGCCGACTTCCAGGAGATGGACATGCAGGAGCAAGAGAAGGCCGAGAACGACTTTGCTTCGCGACGCAGCGCCCGCGCATCCACACACACCGTCGCCTCCATGGCCTCGTCCGTCCTTACCCGCGCCTCCAACATCATCCAGATCGCATACATCCCCGGCGTCACCAACCGCTCCGGCCCTGGCTCGCCCGACCTGCTTGTTCCTCCCGTCCCCCCGATTCCTGCCATGTCGCCCTCATCTGGCGTCAGCAGCCCGTACTCCAACGCCGACCAGCACTTCTTCCTCCCCGACTTCCGGGACTCGATGGCATCGCAGAGCACCGCTGGACGCACCAGCATTGCACCCAGTCTTGCCCGTGCCAGTGTCGCCTCCACCATGTACCGCCAGAACGCCATCGTCTCTCCTCTCCCAGCCCAGACTATCGTCCGTGGAAAGGCGGCTGTTGTCAGCGTCAAGTCCATGTCTTCCAGTCCAGCAGAAACCCCTAGCTCGGAGACGCCCCCTGTTCCTTCAATCGACCCAAAGCACTCCAACAAGTCGCTCCGTATCCAAATGCCAGGTGTCATGGGCCTCAGCCCGGCGAACTCTGTCCGCAGCACTGCTCAACTAGGACCTGTTCGCGCCCTCAACATCACGAAGAAGAAGTCGACAGATCTCTCCAGCACCCCACCGAAGAGTTCTGGCAACTCGTCCTCTTTCAGCAACTTCAGCAATGACAGGACTGCGGTCAACACACCAGAGGTCCTTGTTCCTCCCGCACGACCGCTTACCGACATATCCGTAACCTCTTCAGACGACGGTGTTGCACATGCGAGAGCCCGACGGATAGCAGGTGACGAGTCTGACTCTGACGACGAATCGGACGAGGAGCACGCACGTGCACACCAAACTCTCCTCCGCAACTCAGTAACCTCGCGCGACTCCGATGCCTATAGCGACGCTCAGGAGTCCCCTGCACCAAACCAATCTCCCTTCTCAGACAGCTCACAGTTGGAGCCACCACGACCTCAGATGTCGCAACGCATCACATCCTACGACACATCACTGGGCCTCCGTACCCCGATGACGCCCATCGTCGAGGAGGCCCCCTCGAAACGCGGCAGCACAGTTTCGCGGCGAGAGCAGAGTCCCTTCTCGGACAACAACAGAAGCGACATGTAAACTCTCAATTTAACGGCGTTTCTGGCGCACGCTATTTACCGCCCCAGATCTACAGCGAGACTGGGTTGCGAGCGAATCTCTTTTTATTTTGAACTATCTCAGCCACGGCGGCAAATCTCATAGTAACTTTCACTTCTTTGAATTGAAGACCCAGCAAAAACCTGGCTTCAAGATGGAATGTACACAGGTCTCGTAGGACGATGACCTGGGCATTTCTAAACTTTTTTGATATCCCCAAATTTTGGTTCAAGTTTGGATTGAATGGGATGGGATGAAGTGCAACGATTAGCACGGAGGGAGGGAAGATCTTTATTCTTATGTATGTATCTTTGGAGAGAGAGAGAGAGAGAAAGATGGAGATGGAGAGGAATGAATATGAATCTTTGGATCAAGCAACATCTATGATCTTATCTCGTCTTTGCTATGTGACTTTGTGCACGATGCTCGCAATCTCCAATTCGTCCTTTTCAGCTGAACCTACATCACATCACATTACACCACCCACCTCGACGAACTAGCACACCCCTCCCTCCTTTGCTGCCACTCAAATCATCATTTTCCCCTTTCCCATGCCATCCCATGCCCATCCAAAAGAAACCCCACAACCCAAAGACAAAGTCTAAATGGAACGGCCCTCGATCCGACAGCGGGTTCCTGGGTTTCACTTGAAACTTGAAACCCCGATCTTGCAGTGCCGCATGGGCATTGGGAATTGACGATGCTGGATTTGGGCGGCGTGTTTCATGGGATGGGACTAGGCGGGGATGGGGGGCCTGTTGGAATTCATGGAGTGTATGTGCGCTTGTTTTTGGAAAGGAAAGTTAGTGTACGGGTCGCGAAAATGTAGTGCAGAGAATTACGCTGGGTTTGCGTTTTGGATAGACGGTGGATGTGCGAGCGTGGAGACGGTTGAACGTTGAAGTGGAATGAATGAGATGGTACACACGCGGTGATCGGCGTGTGGAGGGGCGGAGGGCGCCGATGGGAAGGGGGGAGCTATGGAGATGGAGGGGCATTTATTTTCTGTGCGCGATTGATATGTGGAAGTATCTTTTCCTTGCGCTGCGTTGTTGCTCTCCGTCTCGATTCTCTTGTGGTGAAAAAAGCTTCAGTTCGAAGTTTGGTAGTTGGAGGTTCCATCGCGAACTTGACGTCACATCTGGAGCTCTCTCGTGAAGCTCTCGTGAAGCTCTCCAAACAACACAACAATACAAGAATCTCGAATGCCCACCTCCACGACGCGCCTGCAAGCCCTTTCAAACCACCTCGACGCGAGAACAATGGCTACGGAAAAGAAACCCCCGATTACGTGCCACGTCCTCGATACGACGATTGGAAAGCCGGGGGCTAACATACCTGTTACACTCACACTGTACTCCCTCCCTCCCTCCTTCCACTTCTCTCATACTAACTTCTCACCCAGCCACCCCTCCTCCCCTTCCTCCACCTCCACCCCGCAATCCTTCCAATCCACCACAAACTCCGACGGCCGCGTAGCCTCCTGGACCCCCACCCCACCGCCCTTCACCGCCCCCACACCCCTCGAAACGCTATTCCACCAGCCGGGCGACCAGCGCTGGAGTCTGACGTTCAACACGGAAGAGTACTTCAAGGGCCGCGGGGTGGAGACGTTTTTCCCGGAGATTGAGGTCAAGTTTGTGGTGCGGGAGGCGCAGAAGGGGGAGCATTTTCATGTGCCGGTGCTGGTGGGCGGGTTTGGGTATAGTACGTATAGGGGGTCGTAGAGGGAGGGGAGAAGGAGTTGGAGATGGCATGTGGTGTTAATGTAGGATGCGACGTTTGGAAGTTCAAGGGACGCTTGGGAATGGTAGAGGAGTGGCCATTCTGATATGATTGCGTGTCTCTGGACACGTGCTACATGTTAGAAATATTGTGGTAATGTTTGGAACATAGAGTGCATTGATGCATGCTACATGTTGAAAATGTTGTAGTGCTTATTGGCACGATGGTGGGATACTTTCTTTGCATTGTCGAGCGTGGAGAATGGGAACTGTATCAACATGCATGCACGCAGATGTTGGCGTTTACGTGGTTCGGGGAGGATCAGGCGGCATCATGGGATTTGTCCATGTATGCAGCTACTGATGTGGAATTTGGCATGTCGAAAAGCTTGTAACTTAGCTCTTTTCAGAATACACGGTACATCATAAGCATGACATCTCATCGATTTATGTCGACATGTGAGACATGCTGCATGTTACTAGCACATTTCCCTCATCGCATTGTTTTATTGAATAGAAGAGGATACCTAACCACCCCCACAAATCAAGATAGCCAGACACGACAAAGGACTCCATTGTTCCGCCGGCGTCCGGATGTCAGAATCTGTTGATATGCACCACTACGCTCCAGACCTGCCACTACTAGGAAATCAGCACAATGGAAGTGCTTACAAAAGGGCTGGTTTGTAATGGTCCAACAGCCTAAAGTAGCAATGCAGCGAACGATAGCAGTCCATTGTAAGCGATATCATTCGACCCGGGCATCGATCGGCGCACTGGCAGAGATCGGTAGCGCGAGATGGTGTCCGGCATCTGGCAGAACGGCATCGATTTCCGTTGGTGGTGTGCCTGGCCCCTGGCAGCATCCTTGGAGCCGTCCGTGTCGAAGGATTTGGCAACACGAGACGGGCCGTGAAGTCGCATTGTCTCAGCGCAGTTCCAGCGCTGGTAATGCAGACTGTGAAGGTAGAACACTACGGTAGGACAACGGCAGCGTCTCTAGCAACGGCAAGGATCGCTCGGGCACTCGTGGCAAGCGAGCCGAAAGGGGCTGCGATCGGACAAGACTTGGAGCGGTGAAAGGCCCCGTCGCGCTGATTGGCGGCCTCGAGCCGCGGCGCACGGACTTGGATCATGGAGTGAAATCACGTTATCTTCTTGGCACAACGCTGCGTCACTCCCAGAAATTGCTCGCTCGTCCTGCCCTCTGACCTCATCGCGAACGCCTCACTGTTATCGTCACCACGAGCACAATCCCCGTCAACCGCCTAGGGAAGAGCCTCATTGCGACCCAGAGAGACGTATCTTTTTTTGCTTGACCAGTGCACCAGAGCCGCAAGGTCTTGTTAGAACCATTGCGCCTGCGCTCAGAGACGGCCTGCGACTTTCTTTTGAACGTCATCAGGGGGCTTGACGTCACTGTTAAACTTCGACAACACCGCTGCACCGTCGCATCCTCGCTGGCGGCGCTCGATATTTATCGACACTGGGACTGAAAGCGCGTACCCCGCTTCCGGCGCATCCCCATTTCCTCTGCAATAGGTACGTTCAGTCGCTGGTGCTGCCGCCGCTGCTGTTGCTGTTATCGCTCTTTTTGCCACGTTCCCAACCGCCTGCGACAACCCTCGCGCCTCTGCACCAACCCGTCGCATCTGCGCAGCTGCATCGCGTGAATAATATCCATCGAGTGCGCTGACAATTCATTTGCCCGAACAGGTGACTTGCGATCGAGACACGCCTGCACGCCCCGTTGTTGTTTGTACAGAGAACTCCCTGTCGCGTGTGGAAGTGAGAGCGAGCGTGCTTAGGCCCGAGTACTACAAGCGATCGTCCTTGATCACGACCCCTACGTCACCACCCCGAAAGAATGGCCGCTGCAACCCAAACTGCGAGGACCTCCCCCCAGAACTCCAAGATGTCCTCTCCCAAGGATACCAAAAGTAGTCTTCCTGTCGTGACTAAGACCGAAGGTGCGTATCCTCCCCACGCCGTCGCCAATCATGCGCGTCACTGCTCTGTCGCGCCTGCCCACTGCCCATTGCCCTTCATTACAACAATCGTCACTGCTCCTTCACACGCATCACTGTCTCATTGCCGTCGTTGCACAAAGCAGCCATGACTAACCATGATGTCGTCAACAGAATCCGCAAAAGAAGAGACGTCTACCCAAGACAAGCACGTATGTGCACCTCATGCGCCAGCATCATCGCAGCACCATGTACTGACTGCCATCAGCTGCGACGACTGAAGCCGAAGCCAAGCCCGCAACCTCCAATGCGCAACCGCTGGCACCTCCACCCAAGCCTGCGCCATCAACAACTGGCGATACACCCGACTACTTCAACACGGTACCACAATCCCTTCTCGCTGGAGCCGAACGTCTTCGAGCAGTCCTTTACCGGCGGCAACGGCAACACCAACGCCAACGGCAACGTAGAAACACCCGGCGGCCGCACTGTCCTGCCGCCAGTCGCAAACCTCACCTCGCCATCACCGCTCCCCGGCCTCACTCCAGGGTGGCAGTCGTCGTTGCGCCAAGGTCCCCTGAGCCCTGCCATGCTGAACGGACCCACTGGGTCAACCGACTACTTCAGCGAATCGTTTAGAGGCTTCCCTACGCCCAACGAGTCCTCTTTAAGAACTGGACTTACGCCTGGTGGAGGCGGGTCTATGTTCCCTGCGCCCAGCCCTAACACCCAGGCCATTTTCAACCTCCAGAGCGCCGGCATCACCCCTGGCACAGGCGATTTCCAAGCCGCTGCCCTGCGTGCCGCTGCTCAGGCTAACCACAACAAGAACAACACTTCGGGCGCACCCACCTCCCAACCCGAGGGAGCAACCGCTGGAATGGATCGCCAAAACAACTTCCAGCAGTCCCAGGCACCGCAACAGCGTTCTCAGAACGACCCATACGCCAACCATGACGTCAGCAGTGCGGCCAATGATCTTTTGTCGTTCGCCAGTCAGAATGGTGGTGGCCGTAACAACCAGCCACAGTTCTCTATGGCGCCTCAACAGCAATCGATGCACGCCGGCCACATGCCTGTCCAGCCCGTAGGACAGAACAACCATGTGCGCCGTGACACAAAGGGATCCATCAACAGCATGGCGTCTGCGGACACCGGTGACTTCTCAGAGAGTGGCCAGAGTGAGCAGGCCAAAACTGCCACGCGATCGCGCGCGAAGAAAGGAGCTAACGGCAAACAAGCTGCAGGCTCAAAGCGCAAAACCGACGACGCTCCCAAAGGCAGCCGCAAGAAGAGCAATGCTGCCCCGTCCATGGATGATGACATGATGGATCAAGACTCCGACGATGATATGAACATCAAGGATGAGGACACTCATAAGGACGGTCGCAAGATGACCGACGAGGAGAAGCGTAAAAACTTCCTCGAACGGAATAGGTACGTCACTTCCAGTCCCCCCCACGTCAGTTGATCCTAACACTTTGTAGGGTTGCTGCTCTCAAATGTCGCCAACGCAAGAAGCAATGGCTGGCCAATCTGCAAGCCAAGGTCGAGCTCTTTAGTACTGAGAACGACGCGCTCTCTGCTACTGTCACCCAGCTGCGAGAGGAGATTGTCAACCTCAAGACACTGCTTCTGGCACACAAAGACTGCCCCGTGTCGCAGGCTCAAGGTCTTCACGGTGCTGCCATGAATAACTTCCTTGGCAGCGACATGAACCACCAAAATCCCTACGGCATTGCACAATTACAGCCAAACGGCGTCCATATGATGCCAATGCAGCCTGGCCAGATGATGAACCGGTTCGTATACCCACAACCCCCGCGGCCCCAGAGTGCAGACGAACAAGAGAACGCACGCTATCCGCCGAAGTACTGAAGCATTGCTCACTCGCCTCCAGGTAAGCACTCTGGGTGTGACTTGTCGTCTGCAAGCGCTACAGAGTGCTCACGGGCCTCTAGTGCCATGGTCGTGCATTAGGCCATGACGTACGTTCCACACCTCCACCATCACATCCTTACTATCTTGTAATACACCGCTCCTTGTCCCTACCTCTCCTTCCTCGGACGCTCCGTCGTCACTCCATGCATGGTCTGGCGTCTTCGGAGCTTGGCGCACGTCATGCTGGCGTCGTCATCGTGACAGGGAGCAAGAACATGCTTCCCTGGCCGATCGAAAATACATATCCTACTTACACTATCGGATGGGACGGTTAAAGTACGGAAAACAACGCGAACACGAACCTTGTGTCGGCTTGAGTCCGGCTTATTTTCCTTCAGTAACCTGTTATCGACCTGCGTGTACATATTCGGTTCGGTACATTGGCGGGTGTTGCGGCGCCTATACACCTGTCATTCTTTTGCTAGCCAGTGGGCTATTAGGTTCGGCGTTGCGGATTCTTTCTTTCTGTCATGTTGACGTTGGCTCTGGGCCATCCCTTCCTTTCGGAGGCGGCATGTATTCTCAAAGATTTCTTGGTGGCTAGGCCCCTCCCCTATGTTCCTTCGTCTAAAGTAACATTAGGGCGGCTGCATGACGGCGTAGACAGGGAATAGGATATGATACACCTTCACATATGGATTGGATCATGGACGTGGTGATGCGCGGAAGTGATGCTGTTAGCGGATGAACGGCACGGTGCAAAATACACACATACGCGAGCAAATTGAACCAAAGTTTAAAATTTTTAGATTGTCTTTGACTGGTCGAGTTATGACTTGTGCAAGCTGTTCTTGATCTTGACCATCGCGGTCCGCCATCTCGAAGCGTTCTTTGGCTCTAGATGGATCTCGCCTACTTTCTCCTCTGTCGGGTTATCCTTCACCGCAGTACTCTTTATCTCCTTTCCCTCCACACCAGCACCAGCACCAGCACCCAACTCATCTCCACAGCCCCCTACATTCACAATCCCTTCTTCCATTCCCTTCCTCCCACTCCCCTCCCTCTCTTCCTTCTCCCCAATAACAACTCTCCACCCCCCATCTCCTCCCTCTTCAACAACAACAACCACTCCGTCCCTCTTCCCATACCCCTTCTGATTTGCCACCACCAACTTCCCTCCATCCTCCTCGTAAAACTGACAACTGTAATGCGTATGTCCAAACCCCCAAACGCGCACCCTCTCACTCCGCCAACACTCCTCGGCGCTCAAATCCGACCTGAATCCCGCGTTGGTACTACTCCCCCCGTGCCTCGGATGGTTCGCGCGCGGGTCGATTGTAGGGGAATGATGCGTTAGCACGATGACCTGGCGATCTAGCGGGATAGAGGCGATAGTGGCGTTCAACCAAGATAAATCAGTCGCGTGGTCGATGTTGTGCTGCTCGACGCTGCGGGCCCAGATCCCTTTTTCTTCGTTGAAGTCTGTGAGTGAGTTCGCGCAGGCGAGGGATGAGGAAGGCGGGATGTGTGTCCACAGTGTGCAGCCTAGGATTGTGAGGGTGGCGGAGATGTCGATGCGTCGGCGGTTCATGAATGTGAAGCGCTGCGGGCCTTGTTGCGCTTCGAAGGCTGAGAGAGAGGCGATGCTGGTTCCGAGGGTTGTGTGGTATGCTTCGTGGTTTCCGAGGATGTAGAATATGCGCAGAGAGGTGTGGGTGTGCAGGAGGGTGGAGAGGAAGGTGAAAAGTTGGGGGTGGGAGGTCAGCCCGGTGTCCCCGAGGAGGAAGAGGTTGGGGGCGTGGATGGGGAGGTGGAAGGTGGAGTATGAGGGCGACATGAGGGGCGTTTCGAGGTGCAGGTCGGAGATTATCTGGAAGCGGAATTTGGGGGACATCTTGGATGGATTGCAGAGCTGAAGGTATTTTGTGGGTTTTAAGAGGAAGATATGTCGGTCCAGTGTTGGGTGAGGAAAACTGCTTGGTGGGCGATGAAAGTGCGTTGGTGAAGTTCGAACTTTGAAAGGATAAATGAGTGTGCTTTGCTTCAAGGGTATGCCACGCTTCTCTAGTATCTCGGTAGCCTGCGATCAATTGGGTATCGTGATGTTCTTTTGAGCAAATTTGAACCAAGATGTGTGATGAAAAAGATTTCCTGAGGTTGGTACGTGAAGGCGTAGAGTTGGGTACGCTAGTAGAAGTGTCCCTCCAGAGAGTACCACGGGTGCACCGATACTTCTCATTCGTAGTCAGTTTTGCAGATCATAAACTACGATAGAATCCGGACAAGTGTTTCTCATCGCCTGAAGCTGTGTATATCATTACTAAACTTGGGCTGTGACGGCAAGGCCCTGTGTACAGCTTCAGTTATCTGGTCGCTTCCCATCGTACTTAACAACATGTAAGAGCCAGGCAATTCTAATCTTTGAGAGATTTGGTAGCTTGGAACAACCGCTTTGAAATTTTCGTCGGATTTCATTAAATGTTCCGAAGTTTTGTACTCCACTATGGAAACAAAGATTGTGGTACCGTAATTTCTTCGGCCCTGGTTTGATGAAGAGCCCTGAGCGACTTTTCTGCAACTGTAATCTACTCCTGCTTCAAACTTTCTCCATGACCATTTTATCACCCTTGACGCAAGATGTCGGCTCCACCTGCTTCCTTCTGCCCTGCCCCAAAGACAATGGACGACTTTCTAGATTCTGGCATGGTCAAAGTAAAACACCCTGCCCAAAGCAACTGCGACATTTGTCTCGAAAAGTTTACTACTAGTGACTATGCTGTCCAAATCCGTGGCATTAATGGCTGCAGGCACATATTCGGCCGCAAATGCATCACAACTTGGCTCTATGAGCATAGCACTTGTCCTGTGTGCCGTGTTAAGCTTCACGGATCATACCGCCCACCATTTGTGTCTTCGATTCCAGAGGAACTTCAACACGAAGAGCCGCATCGGTTCCCACCTCATCCAATAGCCATTTATCTTTTGGCTAGTCTCGGCCAAGCCGATTCATCCTCCCGCGACGCATCCTCCTTCACTGGCATTACCTCCTACATCGAAGACGCATTGCCAAGACGCCAGCCTCAGACATTCATGCCTGATCTCAGTCAAGAGGCTGAGCCAGGAAGTCGATATCCGACACATGGGCGTGCAATTAGTCCACCACTCACCCCAGCTGCCCGACAGCAACGAAGGCACCGCATTTTGACGCAATTACGCATGACTCGCGACTCGCGAGAACATTATGAAGCCGAATTGCAGAATTCCCACGGCTATGAATCAATTCTTTTGCAGCGGATAAGTGCGTTGTTGGCCGCGGAGGCCAGGTTGATGAGGGAGCTGGACGCAGTTCCAACGGTACCAGCGGCTGAACCTGTTACTCGCATAATCGTGGCGCGGTTTTCGATAACAGATGCCAATACGCAAGAAGAGGGGCTGTCAGACACAAAACCAACGTCATGGGTCAGGAGAGTCTTTCGCAAGATAGGAGAGCGGTTTGGCTATAGATCCTGAATGTATACACAGCGCTATCAGACTTTGGATACAACGGGATCACCGTGTGTATATCTTCAGGCTATCGGACTGGAATTCAATATGGGCGTGTACATGAATAGCTGTGGTCGGTATTCACATTGATGAGTCTCCATGTCTTGTGTTCTCTGTCCTTGTGATGATGTGATATTGTGCTAACCTTTTCCTTGGAACGATTCCAAGGTTATTCGCAAAGTTTTGATCGATCACGAGACAGGAAGCTTATGCATGACGTGAAGAATGTCAGGGTAGTGCATCATCAACGTCTTGTGCGGCTACAGTACCCTGTGCTGACAACCTTCTCGAAGGTCGACGCAGGCTTCCGCGCTTACTGCGCCATCTCATGCAAACAGCCTTGCTACCCCTACATACCAAACATACTCGGAAAATAATATCGAACCGTTCGATTGGTATACGGGCAGACTTACGAGTGGATGAGCATCTAGATTTCGCAGACCGCTTACCGGGTTAAGGTCTGGGTCAGCAGCAACGACTGTCAGCTTACAGGTTCAGGACGCACCTACCAGCCAATAGTCCATATCGGACCATGTTATACTACTTTGTCCACTGGGTACGCTCCTGGCGCCTCAGGAAGTGTCACGTTCACTGCCAAGGATGGAATCATGCCCTTCGCGGGAAGTAAGCGTGGGCATGACACGAGCATGCTGGTACCTGATAGGTCGTTTGTGGACTTCGGCTGGAACATTCATTGGTCTGCTAGCATCTAACAAGAATCAAGAAGGTACCTGCAGCTCGAGAATACATATTGTTAAGTTGTCGATTGAAGGGTGATACGCGAGATTGCATCTTTTTGCACGATAGTACCGACGTTAATCTTTAGTAGTCTATTTACTGGCCAACCTGACTTTCACCAGCCTTGATGGATCATTCAAATTTTGGGTATTGCTGTAATGCAGAACCGAGCTTAGTAGTATTCAATGCCCGTTGTAGATGGTAATTTTGCGCGGTACCCGTTGGTGTGACTCTCATCCCACACAAGTTGGGTACGTGTGTGCGTGACTACAACTCACATGATCAGCCACTATCACATAAGAGCCCATTGCGGGCTATATCATATGATTTATACCCACCGAGCTTCCTCAGCCAGCAGAATTGTTGAAATGGCACACCGCATGCTAGCATTGCTCACCTCAGACTTCATCCCCCAGGCCATGTGGAGCGCCAGTTGCAGCAGTCCAAAGATCTTCACCAAGGAAGAAGATCCTAAAATACAGTATAGTACATCTGCTAGCATCATAATATGAATTCTGGTACGTAATGTGTCACTATAGGTGGTAAGCTCGACCCGTGTCACAGAAGTATAAAGAAGAGCAACGATCAAGGTAAAAGAGAGCACAACAACAACTTCAAGCCTTACTTCACTTCCATAACTACATCTTACTCCTCAGTCTCAGGTAAACTTTCCATCAAAATGCAGTTCACCACTATCACCGCCATCCTCGCCTCGGCCGTCCTTGCCAGCGCTGGACCACTCGACGCTCGCCAGACCGCCACTCGTAGTGTCGTCGGTACTTTCTTCACCAACAAAAATGGCTGCAACCCTCCTAGCACCGGTGTGAGCTTCACGTTCGTTCAGGGCACACCGGGTGCCTGCCAGAACCTGGCTGTCCCAGTGAACGGTGCCATCACTGACACCAACTTCACCAACAACAACCTTACCCGCACTAGTATGTCATCCTTAGGCATGCATCAGATGGTTGCCTTGCTAATGATAAATAGTTCGCTTCTACAACAAGCCATGCAACCAGCTCGGCTCCGCTAACTTCTTCGACGTCACCCCGCTCAACGGCGCACCTGAGCCCGTCCCTGACTGCAAGTCGCAGCTCGTTGTTTCTTACTCGACTATCTAAGCATATTTCGAATGCGAGGAAAGCTATGTGCGGCCACTTCTTAGATAGCTCAGGAGCTTTGCCGGAACTGCCGAACGGTCTGGTGTCATGGATCGTGTCCAACAACGCGGTGTATGCATTTAGGCAGGCAGTTGTGGTGGAGTCACTTGGCTTCTCTGCCACTCATTTACACATATAGATTTATAAAGATGTTCGGGAGCGCTCCCATATATTGACTTATCCCATGCTACTTGACTACCTTCTAACTACTCGTCACTCATCCTCTGCGTGCTCGATCTATGCCGTCCAAGGCATCCTCCGCCGCCTGCCTTACCGCTTCGCCGTTCGTATCGATAGCCTCATAAAGAGCACGCAGCCTCCTTCGGAGATCCGCGCAAATCTCTTCCAGCATTTCACACTTCTGCGTACAGGATCCACTCTGGGCCTCCTCTAATTCTTTTTCTGCTTTTCTGCGCTCAGCGGCATAATGAAATGCCCCTCTAACAGCATTTTTTCGCTGCTCTTCACATTGCTCCAACTCCTCGTGTTTCTCGTTGCACTTTTCCTGCATCTCTCGCAGGCGAGCACGCATATCCTGCGTCGATACAGTCATGTCTACGGCTGAAGGATGCCAGTGATCCGTCACACTTATGCACACGGGCGTGTCTCCATGGCTAGTTCTTCGTCTACCGCAGCATTCGCAATGATAGTCTGGATCATTGGATGGGCGATGAGGCTTAGTCTTCTCCATCGCCCTTTGGTTGTCGTCCTGCATGGAAGCTAATCGGGCCTCGAAATCCTCGATTTCACAGCGCAAGTTGTAATTCTCAGCACTGAGACGCTGAAGCTCGACAAAGTCGTCATCGCCGGAATTTGTTCTGTCGCCACGTTGAAGGACTAGATTGTCGTGCTCCAATCCCGCAATCATTGCATTTGCTCTTTGAAGCTCCTCGTCTTTTTCCTCCTGCAAATTCGTGAGGTCTTTCTGGAGACGAGTCTTTTCGGCATCACAAGCATCGTTCTGCTCCTGGAGATTCTGCTCTAGTTCGCTGATGTTGTGTTGGAGCTTGGACTTCTCCTCAGTACAAATCTCATTCTGTAAACGAGCCTTTTCGGCATTGCAAGCGTCGCTCTGCTTCTGAAGCTTCTGTTCTAGTTCGCTAATGGTCTCTCGGAGCTTGATTTTCACGCCAGCGCATATCTCATGCTCGTGTTGGAATTGCCGCAAGAGTTCGCCATATTTTCCGGCATCGCAAGCATCGCTGTGATTTTCGAGCTTCTTCTCTAATTCGCTGATGTTGTCTCGGAGCTTGGACTTCTCTGCAGCGCACGTCTCATCCTGGCGATGGTATTGCTCAAAGAGTTTGTCGTAGTTTGCGGCGAGAACTGATCGCGCCCAATCGCGTGACTGTCCCTTTGGTTGGAATGTCATGATGAGACTGTCTTCCGGTGTGATGAGGGGGAATTGACCCAGAGGTGTGGTCCGGACTATAAGTACGTCGCGAGGCGAGCCGCATATTGACAAACAACCATTCATGCCCCGTTTGTCAGTACGACAAACATCCGAAACGACTGGGCTCTTCCATCTTTATTTGTTCCCAATGAACAATCGTGTGGGTTCCATGCATCTATGCGCGCGCTGCAGTCAATAGGACACCGAATAGTGTAAGCCCGTTTGCGCATGACATCACACCGTCTAGTCTAATTCACCTCCCACTTTCACCCCCAACACCCCCGGCTTCCGGCATAACCTTCCGCCACTGAGAGCACAAACCCTTGTCTCACCCGGTGTCCCCTCCGTTGTTCCCACATAAACCTTTCTTTCCTACCTCAACTCCAGTAAAAACAATGCCTCCTCTCTCACAAGAAGATCAGGACTTCGTCCGCGTCTTCGGCTACTACCTTGAAAATCGAATCGACCAATCGCCTACCATGCCGGCAAACGTATCGAAACCGTTACCGCCCGCACCGCGTGCTTCGGACGTTGTACTCACCGCCGCTGCTACCGCTTTCATTGGCAACCACACCGCGCCGGACGCTGACGTCCCCCAAGAAGACGAGTGTCCCATCTGTCTGGAGACCTACTCAGACGCTCCCGAGCCCTGCCTGCGTGTCACAGGTAAAGCAGGCTGTACTTGCCGCATTGGCCTTGTCTGTCTTGGAGAGATGCTGAGCATGAGCCCCGAGAAAGAGAAGAAGTGTCCGCTCTGTCGCGCCTTGTGGATCGCCAGCACGGTACCTCCGCCGCGAACTGCTCGCCCGGAGATGGTCAATCCAGGTACCGTCGGTCGCTCGTCCAGGGTGGCTGATATGCCGAGGACTTCTGCCTCTCATGTGTCGAGGTTGTCTGCGACTGCCAACCCGTTCTTGCCTCGTGGAATTACTTCCACTCCCGTCGTCAACATGTCACGGGATGATGCCGGCGATGAGGACTACAGTGAGCTTACCCGCGACATTGAGAACGTTCGCGCACGCGCACGCGGTACCCAGTCATCGAGGAGCCAGCGCAGGCAAGAGATGCGCGACTTGATCGCCCAACGCCCAGCATTTCTCTTGAGCCCTTCCGTTCGTCGCACCGCCTCTCTGGCCGCCCCTGCTCCTCCTCGCCGAGCACAGGATGCCGGCGCTGGAGCAACTTCTACCTCTTCCGGTGATCGCATTAGTAGCCTCGCTTCTACTCATCGTCGAGCACAAGACGCCGTCGCTGGAGCATCTTCTACTCCTTCCAGTGGTCGCAATGCCTCTATTGCAACTCCTCCTCGACGAGCACTGGATGCCGGCGCTGGAGCATCTTCTACGCCTCCCGCCGCTGAACGCCCTACCATCGCCGCCCGCCGCGGTTCAGCCCGTCCCGCCTCCATCCGTCCTTCCATCCAGCTCGGACCCAGCGCTCTGCTGCTCCCACCCGCAAACCTCACACCCGCGCCCAAGTCTGCTGCCCCTGCGCATCCCAAGACGCCTCCAGCGCCCGTTCGTCCCAGCCGCGCAGAAGAGCAGAAGAAGGAGTACCAAGCCCGCTCACGTGAACTCGATACCCGGGAGAAGGAACTTAACACCCGTGCGCAGGCCCTGGAAATCCGCGACTACCATCTCGACACACGCGAGGATGCCGCCAAGTCTCAGGAGAAAGTCTACAACAAGCGCAAGGCCAGCCTCGATGCTCTCGAGAGCAGCCTCAACAAGCGCACCAAGGTCTTGGATGAGCGCGAAGTCAAGGTTGCAGAGAAGTTGAAGATGTCGAAGGAGCACAGGGAGGAGATGAAACGTGTGTCGGAGTTGCAGAAGGACGAGATGACGGTTCGGATGGAGGTACAGGTGGAGAGGCAGATAACAGAGATGAAGCGTATCATGGAGAGGCAGAAGGGGGAGATGAAGAACATGATCAGGGTTCAGCAGCGTCACATGGACGAGTTGTAGATGAACGGGATTGGGTGTTCTTGATGGGGTTGGAGATGTAGTTGAGTATGATTTGGATACTTCGAAATACAAGCTGTATAGCTTCATTACCTTTTCAGCACTTCGTCACATAGTAAACACCTCTTGACTCTATCCAGCCTCGTGTATAAGATGCCAGCTGTTGCTTGATAGTACCCAGAGTGTTCGCAGCAAACACTCGAACCCTTGGACTCAGCAACGTCGTGTCATTAGCCTCCTCGCCTCGCACCGCCTTCCCCACACCGCAATCATTTAACTGAACAAACCAGTCTTCACTAGCCTCACACATATTTTTCCTAGTCTACCGTCCGCGCAGCGCTCGTGATGCGCAGTAGTTCATTCCGCTACCTCGCAGGGCTGCAGAATTCGGGATCGCCGGGAAAATGGCTGCTTTAGTGCTACCGCAGAGGCACTGCTAGCTGTGAGAGGCAAGGCGCAGGTGTTTAGCCGGTATGAAGATGTGTGAGAAGCGTAAGCGAGCACGGGGCGTGCGATGGCTTTTGTTGGAGTATGTAGAAAGAGTAGGCGGAGCCGGTGGATTGTCAGCTTGAGTGGTCACCCGGGTATCATGGGGCTCCAGTGGTTCGATGTTCAACTTTGCAGGTTGATGTTGGTGGAAGCTTGTCGGCCAAATGACGTTCCCTATTAATTAGTCTGCCAATGCCAGCTGAAAGTCGGTCCAGAAAAAAAGCACAAAGTCCTTGCACGGCTGACGTATCGGCTGGTCGCCGTTGTCTGTCGCTACCATTCCACGATGCTGGATTCTGACGGCTGATTCCTGCTCCGCGGTCACGGATTCGACGGCGCTGTCCCCGCTGCAGCAAGCTGAGGTTTAGACTGCGCGCTAAGCTTAAGCGGGCCGTTCATCCTTGCACGTCATGGTCAGATGTAGCTGGATATCGTCGATCTTGAGTCGCGTTGGAAGCTTTGAGGCTGGATATAGTGGTTAGATAGAGTTGTGGCGCTATCGAGTATGTGTGCATATGGATACACGAGTATGACAGCTTGAGAAGAGATTAAAACTAGCGAAAAGAGAAGAGTAACGACAAGAGAAAATAAGAGAACAGAAGCGGCTTGTAGAAGTCGTACGAAACACCCAAGAAAGTTCCATGCTTTTGCTGTACCATGTGCCGTGCCAAAATCATCGCCAATGTATGTGATCGTCCTTAAAAACGAGGGTCCAACATACATATGCCACTGTCGATCTAGTTGCAGACCAACACTAATGCCAGAGCCAACACCAACGCCCACGCTAAAGAGACAATCGTTCAAAATCAAAAGTGGACCGAATCAGGTATGTATGCTGTTCTGAATAATGTGACCAGCACTGGAACAGGAAAAAGCCACCCCTCTAAGAGGGACTCGGGGTCGCCGTTGTTCGAAGAGGGGTTCGCATATACGTATGCTAAGCGCAATCGAAGTTGAATCGAGGAATTGTCGAGTTGAGAACAAGTGTAGCCAAGTCATGAGAGCGCACCAGTGTCGGGAAGTCTGGTGACTCGCAATCGAAGGGTATCGTGGAAGACACATGGTATGGAATGGATGATAGGTGCAGAACGACATCGATGCGATCTTTTGCGACGTTGCGGCTCACTGTCGGGACATGAGGATCTGTTGTATTTGCTCAAGCGAGGGGTCCTCGTTGAGCCATTTGCCACTTGCTGCATCTGTAGCTCGCAGTGTGCTCTCAACCCACGCATCAGTCGTGGCGATACGTTCCTGTAGAGTGCCTGTCAGCCTACATACAACAATGGCTGGCTGTCTTTTCGGAAAAGTAAGTTTTGCGGCCCAACGTACATTTCGGAGTGTAGCATCTATCTGCTGAAGTGCGGCCGTGTGACTTGAATTTGGCCTCTGCCCGCGCAAAATGGCGTTTCGACTGTTTATCCACCGTACTGCGATATTCGCTCGCAGGTACGCTCTTTGACACTGAAATCGACGTACGGCCGCATCTGCAATGATTCTACAGTCTCCCGTCAGTTGCCATTCTTCATTGGATGCTGATGTGCCACCACCTGCAGAATTTTTAAAGAGTGGGTGTGACCTACGCTCTCAACTGTTGTCGTTCCTGCTCAGGGTTGCCCATCGCCCCGCCGCTGTTGCCCGCAAAGGGGGTCTGAAGGACGGCTTGAGCTTCAGCAACACACTCACGTAGCAGTGAATAGCCCTCGAGATAGTACTCTTCTGCCGTAGGTGAAGCCCGTATTTGTGAAATGTAGTGCTGGAGGTTGCGGAAATCAGTCATAATCTCAGCGACTCGTATGGCGCGGGCATCGTTGACTGAATTTTAAGGTTAGCGTTGGATGACTGGTGAGCTTGACGTAATGTTATTCTCCCAGAGAAGCGGTAATGGAGACTCGATCTTGTAGGGAAGGGGCTGCCTTACGACCGTCAGACATGTTGGCGGAGAGTGTGCGAAGTGATGGTTTCGCTTGTGGTTTTCTAGTTTGGTAAGACTCTTGAAGATCGCCTGTCGGATTTAGGGTCAAATAGTGGATGCTGGATTGAGGTGGCGTGGCGATGCTGTTATATAGATGGAAGAGTCTATACAGACATTCATGAGAGGAGTATGCTCTGCGAGGCTCGAGATGGTAAGGACCATCCCGCCGCTACTCCTGCTGCCGAGATGATCCACATTTGGACCGTGAATAGCGTCCAGCCGGACAAGGCAGCTGGAGTGCCGCCATACAGAATCGCAGATTAGCATGCGAGGCGTCGATGGCGGAGTTAGAGTAGCACTGCAAGTGAGGACGTGAAGCAAGAAGACCATGCAGGAACCACGAGATGCATCGCGGACTATTTTTCGATCTGGACTATGGCAGCTGGAATGTGCGTGAAGACAACGCTGTGCTGGGCATTGTGGCTGGCTGTTCTCTTCCGAAGCGGTTTGGTGTTGCATCTGAATCGGGTAAGGCGTGACATGTCGAGCCGCAGTCAAAGGTCTCATTGGCCAACTAATTTAGATGAGCGGTCGGCGGGTCTCGCGCACTAAAGCCTCAGGCAAGCCCGGTAAGAGTTGACCTGAGTAGCAGACCACAAACGCTTCACTAGCCACGGTTGTACGCTACCTCATTGGTTTCAGCCACACGCAAGGCTGTGTTGCCTAATCGTGGGCGTCCAGTAGTGTGACGTCGACGGGACGGTTCCTGCGTTGGGTAGGGCTATCACAGCTGAACCAGGTGATGGGAATGCTGTCATCGAGCAGTGGGCGGGCAGCAGAGGCAGACCATGTGGCGCCAGGGCTGAGCTCCCATGTGTGACTGTCGGCTCCGGTTGCAACTTCACGAATGCGCTTGTACAGGATAGTCAGTCTAAGTCTTGATTCATTGTGCTGCTGAAGCACTTCTGACATCTGAGAGGCCGTCGCATGCTACTCGTAGCCTTGTCATGATTCATATCTTTCCTCGTACCTCAGCGACCCACTGCACTTGCAGCCCCGCTACATCGCTCCTTAATCCTTGTCGGCAATGGACTGGAGTCGTTCGTCGATTTCTTCCTCGGTGAGCGCCCTGAACATGGGGTCTGTGCCCTCTTGGCCGTCCTTCTTGGGGCCGCCCACGATGCCAATCTCCAATTCGCCCTTCTTGAAATCGACCGAAAGGACAGTGCTCAGTGCGGCAATGGCCAGCTCGACCACCTCCTCCCAGCTGCCCTCGGCATGCTCCTTGTTCTTCAGCTTCTTCTCGAGAAAGTTCAGCGCCTCTTGCGTCTTTGGCCCCGATGCTGTTGCCTTGTAGCCCACGTAGTAGCCTGCGGGATCACACTTGTACAGCTGCGGTCCGTATTCAGAGTCCAGGGAGATGAGTGTAGTGGCAACACCGAGCGGCCGCATATAAGCCTGCATAGTCATTAGCATACTCCAAGGGCGCTCCAACCAAGCCATCGTCGTTGCTTACGCGCTGTGTGTAGACTTGGCTGATGTTGGCTATCCTCTTGGCCAGAACATCGCAGGGCATCTCGTAGCCAAACTTGTAGCGGAACTCAGCAGCCTCGCCCCGGGCTCTGCTGACCGACGCCCTTGCATCTGCAATTGAGCCCGTCATGACGCAGCCAACCGAGGGCGAGAGTCGGAAGATATGGGAGACGGACGCGGGATCGATGAGCTTGTCCTGTATGCATGCATCAATTGTCTGCCATGTTCCAAATAGCCTATGACACGTACAGGCACCTTCTTCTGCGAGATGACTACTGCACAGTCCTTGCCCCGCACGCCCAATGATGTGATATTCGCCGCCGTGATTGCCTTGAATGCATATTCTGTGTGGTCGTCGTGTTAGCTGTGGTGGTGGGGGGAGGGCTGCTGAACTGCAACAGGCGGCCTCTCTGGGGCGAGGGGCACGAGTATGTCAATATCATGGCGGGACTGCGTACCGACTTGGTAGAGACGACCCTGGTCCGAGAAGATGGTGATGTGCCTGTCGTAGCCTGCACTTCCTACATGACGAGGGTAGCTGTTAGCAAGTGTGCTTGCGGGCAGAAGCTCGGCGGCGGCTTTCTACGCACCAGACATGATGGCGGCTCTTTCTTATGTGTATTTGGGTATTTCAAATTCAGCTGCAGCTCGCGGAGATTGGCATAAGCTTCAAAGGCGCTGGTGATGGGGCAGGCAGGCGTTGTTGATGTCGTCGTTGGTCGTCGGTGGCCCTACGCGTTCCTTCCGCCTGGAAGCTCGGGGATCGCCTTGCGCGCTCGGACCTCTTCGCCGCTCACCAGCTGCGAAAAGCTCTGCGCTGCCTCTCATTCGATCTTTACAAACGGACTGGCCTGAAGTCGCAAGAGCTGATTCGGGCATGAGCGATGGGAAGTGATCGTCGCATAAAACATTAGATCTATCCATATTCCATATCCGCCATGGCAGACGCCGGCCCAAGGATTCCCGCCTGGAAAAGACTGGGACTGGCCCTGAAGAACGAAACACAAGCCGGAGTCACCGCACCTGAGCCCATTGCATCGCAGATCGATGCGCAACACCAGCCACTCTATGACAGCCGGACTGGCAGTCAAGACGATGGCGCCTCACCCATCGTTGCGGCTGTAAACGGCAAACCCTTAAATCTTGGCAAGCGGAAACACCAACACGACGCAGCTGAGGAAGATCGCCTGGCCGCGAAGAGGGGCAAGATTTCTGCGACTGAGACTAACTCCAACGAGACCATCGCAATTGATTCATCAGCACCACCAGCAATAGAGGTCGCCGAGGTACAGACCACCATTGCTGATGCTGGACCACCAGAGACCTCTCGACCAAAGAGTGGTGACTCCAACTATCGCAAAAAGAAGGAAAAGCCAAAGAAGGGCAAGAAGCGGAACCAGGAGGAAAACTCAGTGAAACCCGCGCCAGCGCCAGCCAAAGCGAATCACGACAACCAGTTTCTCTCACCTGATTCGATTGCGCCTCAAAAGACGCAGCAGACTTTGATTGCATCCACTGAAGTTGACGAGCAAGCCTTAGCGCCTGCTCAACCAACACACAGGCATCGTGACGCTAGCAAGAGCAGTGTAAAGGACACTTCAGGGTCCCCCTCGGCCATTGATCGAAGAAAGTCCGTCACCTTTACTCCAGATACCAAAACGTCGGACGGCAGCAGTGGCCAGGATCTCTTCAAGAATTGGGTGTCAGAGCAGAACGGCGTCTACCTCAACTTCGACTACGTTGATCCAGGTAGCCCGGAGCCGCCAGCAATTCCCGAGGCGCCTCAGGAACTACCCGCGACGAAAGAGAAGCAGCACGAGGAGACTCAAAGCAAAGTACCAGCCGCGGAAGCTTCCAAGCCCGATAGCCACACAGTCACGACCCCGGCCGCAAAACCAGCGGCATCGGCGTCAGCTACAGCACCCGCAGTCCCGACGAAGGGCAAGAAAAAAGACCCGTCAGTCTACACATCCTACCTTGACCAATACTACAAGGACCGACAGAACTGGAAATTCAACAAGGCCCGGCAGAACGACGTCGTGGACAATGCGCTAAACATATTTCGGATCCCAGAGAAACACTCGGACGCGTTGTTGGAGTACGTTCAAGGATTGAAAGGAGCGGGGGTCATTGAGCGCTTGAAAGGGAAGTGTAAATCAACATTAAAAGAGTTGGATGAGGAGGAAGTCAAGGGCAAGGCGAAAGACATGTCGGCGGACGATCCGGCACGGAAAGCAGCGTATGAGGAGGCCCTGAAGACAAGGATCTCCAAGGAAGAGAAGCGACGCAAAGTGGAGGGTGACATAGTAGACTTGGTCGGTCATCCTCACGGCGACGGATATCTCCGCCGAATGCGTCGAGACCGCGCTGAAGCACTCTTGGTCGCGTTGGGTCGCACTGCACCAATCCTCCCAGCCGCGCCTGCGAACGGCATCAACCCTATGCTCAAGAACATTGCGCCGGTCCGCGACTCGAAGAAGCGCAAACGGCGCGGCGATATCTCAAGTGACGAGAGCAGCTCTGATAGCAGCAGTAGTGAGGAGAGCTCAGATTCTGATTCGGACAACGACAGTGACGACTCTGGAAGCAAGGAGAGCTCAAGCTCGGACTCAGATAGCGACGCGGATGACAAGGCTGCGAGTAGCGGCTCAGACGACAGCAGCAGCGACGACGACAGCGATTAGATCGTTTTGCAGGGATGGTGGGAGGAGTTTTGAATTTATACTTGTATTGCATACCGCCAGCCGGGCTCCATATATCTTCTTCGCATACAGTGGAGACATGCTTGTATGTACAATACCCAATTCAGGATAGCGCCTTCGGGTTCCCCGCCTCGACTCGCCTTATGAGTGTGTTCTCCACATCTGCATCTCACATCACACTTTCATCTTACATATCTGGCATCGGTGTATGCTCATCGCTCGCCATGCCGCTCTCGTCGCTTCCAACCGAGCTGATTGAATGCATTGCTCGTTATCTTGACCTGAGCTCTTTTTGCTCGCTCCGATTGACAACATCATTGCTGAAGCAACAAACGCTGCACATGTTTCGCGATCGCTTCTTCCGCAGACAGTCGGTGTCATGGACCAAATATGACCTTGATCGACTCGTCGAGATGTCTAATCATGCAGACTTTGGGTCTTCGCTGCAGCACCTCAGTGTCGACGCCACACCACGGCACTCAATGTCGTTGTGGCAATTGCGCAAGCGGATCTCCGAAGCCGACGCTATTATAAGCGAGTCGGATGGTCTCTTCTTCAAGAGCGAACTTCAAGAGAAATATGTGGAAGAAGAGAAAGACGCTAAAGAGCTCGCTACCTTTTTCAACGAGACGCGCTATGATCACAAATGCCTACGGGCCGTGTTCGGTAGGGTCCAAGAACTCGAGAGCATTGTTTTCGAGTACAGAGGCATGGAGAGAAAGTACGGCAAATTCGGACGCAGATATTGCGAAAGCAGCCAGCATGAGATGAGCCGGCCATTCGTGAGCACCATGACTGCTGTTGCTGCGTCTGGTGTACATGTCAAGATGATCGCCGTGCATCCAGTCCACTACCACGGCGCTGTCAGTATCGGTAGACTAGAGTGTCTCGCACCATCCCTAAAAAGCTTCGATGCAGCTTTTGAGAATCTCGAGACATTAGAGCTGAATCTAAGGGACTGGCGATATCCCGACGAGGGCTTCGAGCTTGAGAATGACAGGGCGCCATTCGTTGTGCGATTCCTCGCGAAGGCGCGCAACGTGAAATTTCTCACAATAGGCTGCTACAGTAGCCTACAAGATGATCTTATCGGCGGAATGGCACGCCACTGTACTTTCGACAAGCTCGAATCTTGCAAGCTGTCGCACTTCAGCCTGCACAATGCCTCAGATCTTGCTGAGTTACTCGCACCGTCTTTCGCCAACCTAGGAACTCTTTCACTAAGCCATATGAGGTTGATGGATGAAGCTGCTAGCTGGGCGGATTTAATCCGGAACCTCGCATCCTCTGGGGACACGTTTCAGGCTTTGCAGAGGGTGCATTTGGAAAAGCTTTTCACGAAATCAGGATCAAGACTGAGTTTAAACGGCGGTATGGGCCAAGAAAGGCTATCTCTGGTCTCCAAAGATGATGGGTTGACATGGAGAGACGATGCATTCAGAGCAACCGAGCTGTTTAACGAGGGTACTTGGGGACCAGCATATCAACTTGGTGCTGTGGCGTACCCTTTTATCGACATGCGGACATGAGACGGGTTTTTTCGTAAAGGCTTGAAACGGTTGAGGAGTTGTGAAAATCAAAGATTGATTGATTTTCTTACGGGTGAGTTTGGGGCCGGACACACCAAGGACCCTTCTTAACAACCACGGACCCGAATCCCAAGTCTACCAGGAGAGCACAGTCAACGCTAGATCACAGAATAAAACTTTTTAATTCGCACTCTTCACTTCTTTTTTCCGCAACCTTTTGTCGGAGAAGCGAAAAAGCCCTCCGTGTCAGCGAAATAACGCATTCCAACCCATAAAGCAAGTCACCTTTCAAAAACACGTCAAGATGTGTAACAGACCAGGATGTTCAGGTGTAATTATATTGTCGCCGCGTAACTTACATATCATGAATCTGACATTCTTCAAGGTTCCAAACTGCTCAAGCACCAACCAAGAGCCAGAAGATTACCACGTACTACAGCCCTCGCTGCACCTTGGTCTTACTAACCTCAACTCATAGGGCCCGCCATCTGAGAGCAAGGTCATCGACTTCGCATACCCACGCGGTCCAACCAAGAACGCCACAAGTACCATGGCCAACGAACCTACCAAGCCTGCTGGCGCTCCCGAGACCACCTCTACCCCCGCAGCCAACGAGAACACCCCAACCCCTGTGGCCATCAAGAAGTCCACTCTCGCCGCCATCACCGAAAAAGCCCTGCCTCCGCTGCCCTCTCAGAATACCCTTCTCCCCACCGTCTTCAAGGGCAACCACCCAGCCTTCCGCGAGATGCCGGCCCCCCAAACGGCCGACAGCGCCAGCAGTACCATGCACAGCCGCAGCACAACACCCGACTCCGCCAGCGCGGCTACGGACTCCAACGGAACTAGTACCTCGGATTCCAGCAACAAATTCGTCGGCGGAAGCCATCAGATGAGCGATGTCAAGTTGCCGGGGTATTGGACGCATGAGAGGACGTAAGTGCCACCTCCCACTACCAATGCTCTATCGTCTTCGCCATCTCCTGCTACAGAAATAGATCTGATGCTGACAAGTTCCGTAGTGCCGAGCTCCGTGACATGGCCAAGAAGGACGTCGCTACCAACGCCACCATTGATGGCAGCGGCGAGGATCCGAAGGCTGAGCCGCAGTGTGATCAGTGCGAGGAGGAGAAGAAGAAGAAGAAGGGCAAGGGCCTGTTCAAGGAGGAGTTCAAGAAGAAGAAGTTCTTACAGAAGCTGTTTCGTCGCAAGGCTTAGAGTGGTGTGATGGGGATGAAAGTGTGGAGAAGATTCAATTTGCGCGTTGGATTTTAAATACATGTGGAGATACACTTCATCAAGGTTCTTTCGTTGACTATTTTGTCTGTTTATCGTGTTTGGGATATGTCAGGCTAGACATGTACTCTTCTTTCGACTGATCTAACGTCATTTACCGTCCATTATTCTCAACCCTATAAATGGCATTATCTTGTTCTCTTAAGTCTTCATCTTGGACAGTGCTAATCAGCTTACATGTTTTAAGCCGCAGTGAAGATACCATGGCTCGGGTTGTTCTGTATCATCAGAATGGAGATCTTAGATGGCACGTAAAGGAAAGTTGCGCCTGCACGTGATCTTGACGTTCACATCAATATGCCTGCACGCACTGCTGTCGCTTTCAGAAGGATCGTTAAGAACATTTATAACTTGATGAACCTGATCTTTTGACACACCACATTCTTGACCACTCAATTACCAGATTTTCTGGTCTTCAGCAAAAGTAGTCGAATTGTAGCGATATTTATGAAAAGCCTCAATGGCACTATTGGCCTCTAGCGGCTTGGCGCCGTCTACAACAAACGCCGCTCCCTCACAGAAACTTTGATGCGACCTTATCGCTGACTCACCCACAAGGCCGAGTCAAGCTCAAAATAGCCTCAGTCCCATGGCCAGTATGCAAGTCGCCCTTTAGCGCGCTACAAATCATATGAAGTCTTCTCGAACACATGACTTCAATTGTCCCGTGTGATATATAATGCTTCCGCACATCTTGAAATGCTACGGTGGATCTTGAATGGTGCGCAATTTTGATCAGCATACCCAATAGCCACATTTTCGGCTCTAAAGTTGGCAATGATTATGTGAATTATTTATGTGAATTATTGACTCACAGCTGACTCGCTCAAGAGCGCTCTCTTACATCAGCCTGCGGATACCAGCTCCAACAACTCTCATTCAGTAACCGTACAAGGCAATAATGTCCCTCTGGTGGGAACTCCTGCTTCATCGACATTGTTCCATCCTTCCACGTCTCTGCAATAGCATGGCTATCATGCAATGTCATCTTGACTTGGACAGGAACAGATGCTTGCCCGTAACCCGTCTCCTCGTTTTTTTCTTCATCATCATTTCCGTCTGGTGTTCGAGAATCTCCAGGCTCATTTGGCCCTTTTGTATGCTTGTCTACTTCGTTGTTGGTGTTTTGATCACTGCCCTGTGAGAATGTAGGCGGAGGCGGCTTGGGGATCCATCGAGTCTTTTCTTTTTCGAAATGAGAGACTTGCTTAGGTCTCTCGACTCTTGATTCTTCTGTGTTGTGTTCTGGCGATGGTGATGTAGAAGAGCGGTCTGAGGCCGCGGCCATATGCGAAGCGGAAGACGTCCCACGAGTTACATCGTCGTCGTCTGCTGGTAATTGAATACCGAGCTCAAGGGTTGATGAAGCAATTTGTGTCTCAGAAAATGACCAGTCAACCTTTTTACGCTCGTTTTGGGAGCCAATCCCAATATACGGCCTCCTGTGAAAGTCACAACCGCCTGTTGCTGCTTTAGCGAGGTCTTTGCCAGACACGTGAGTATTTTTACCTGTCCCAACCCAGATCTCCTGATGACTGATAGTGGAATGCCATGCTGTAACGTAGATTGTTTATCGGCCTCTTAGTTTATGCTCACGATTGTACCAGAAGAGTCAGATGTGCACGGAACACGACAGAGTGCGACGTTAAAATGTTACAAGCACAAAATGTGATAGTTTTTTCGGAGTGCAATGCTAGGCTGGAGTAGAAGACACAACATGCAAGATTATTTCAAAGGTGGAATACGAGCAAGGTCAGGTGGGGAAGGCTGTAAGGCAATGTACAACCATAGCCTTGTGGTGCAGAGGTGGGGCGGTGCATAGCTTCATGCAAGCCAAGCCTCTCTGCCTTGTTGTCACGAGCGTGGTCTTATGGGGCAAGCCAGTCACCATGTAGCATTCATACGAGGGTATCTTGGCATAGGTTGGTGATGAGGAACATTGTGGCGTTTTAAACATAAAGCCTGCTGCGATGCTATGAATCTCGTCACCTCTTCGTTGCATTTGCCACTCAGGACGTAACCTGCAGGAAGACTACTAGGACGGCAGCGTATCTAAAGAGAGGTCAGCCAAATGATTATTTAGTACTTATATCAGAACCTACGCGGCTGTAGCTGCGAGCGCTTCGTATTCTCTCGCAGTAGTCGTGAAAGTGACGAGGCTGAGAAAAAGCAGCAGGCAAACGGTGATGATGCCCAGCCGCTTGACTGGTCCATCGACGAACGCAAAAATCCACAGAGGTACGACTAGCATCAGCAGCCCCAGAAAAGTGTTGATCATGCGCGCGAAAAGCTCTATGCGTGTGTCGGATGTGTATACGGCGTTTTCGTCATCAATTTTGTTCTTAGTCTTCCAAAGTCTAGAACCCTTCAAATGAGAGTACTGCTCCAAAAGAAGTCACAGCGGAGCTCTTGCTTTCGGCTGCAAAGCAAAAAGATCGTCTGTATGATCAATTTACCTTGTTTCTGGGGGATGGATTGCTGTCGGGTAACTTCGAAACCAATTCTTCACGCTGGAAACATCAATCTCTCGAATCTCTGGTCTCGATCGGAGCTGTGCATATTGTAGCACAAGTTCATCTATTGTGACAGATTGTTTAGCCATCTGTGCTTGATACTATGGTATCATATTTGACTTACTATAGTCCCTGAGCTTTTTGTTGATGCTTGAGATGTAACGCTTCCTGTCTTGTGATATCTCCCCTCTGAATGTCCCGTTGTGCGTATCTGGTGTATTCGGATGCGCAAAAAGACTCTCCAGAGACTCTAGCTTGCTCTCGAGCTCCGAGATTTCGTCCTGGAGACTAAGCAAAATTCTTGCCGACAACTTGCCAAAGCGCCGTAAGACAAAGAAGGTATCGTCTGATGCTACGAAAGAAGTGAATTGATGGTACCCACGGTATTTCCACGGCTTCTCTCCCAGATCTTGATTGGAGGGCTTGAATGGCTTATTCGCAAGCGGCAGTATTGACATTTTAGAGGATGAATGGTGACTGTGTGAAGATATAGCATCTATCCAGATAGGCGCAGCTGATGAGTATACGTAAGCTTTTCTTTACCTTCAAGACAGCCTGATATTTCTCATGGGGAGACTGACTCTGCGCCCCCAAGACGACGCCATCGTTCGTATTCGCTATCCCTTGTGATCTCTCACAAGGCTGAAGCCTTAGCAAGACGACATCATCTCGAGCTGCTTTCAGCCGTCAACGCTCATAATAATTTGATTTATAGGATGCTAGAAGACTTCATCGAAGTTTTCGATCCCATAGACATGACCAATAGCTGTCAGAATGTGTTGTGTATTATGCTCACGGCGTCCTCGAACTTTTGCTGAATGTTGAAATGAGGTGCTCTGGCCTGAGCTGACTCTTCGGGAATAAAATCGACCAGGTCAATCCCGTACAGGTACATTTAATTCCCTCAAGTCTCCGCATATGCGCTCTTCATTCGTTCCGATGATAGTGAATACATCTGAAATGCCTACCGAGATAACGTTGGAAAAGCTGTAAGCAGTTCGCCCCATCATGTAGGAATCAGCAGAAATCCGTGTTTGAAATCACGCAGCAGATTTATCCTTCTTCTTCTTTGACCCTATCTTACGTATGGCTATAGCCGTTGTGAATTGTGTAGGTAAGGTGAATGTGGCGGGCACGTAGTGGAACATGAGTCCTCGTTTAGGGTTCAATGCCCATCTAAATATTGGCCTTCCATTTCCCAAAACTACGTGGGCTCACAAAATTACGGCGGAGTAGTAATGAGTAACGTGTTTCACAACTGAATCGCGCACCTAACTGAGTCGCGCACTTTTTTCTAGAATTACGTTTTCCTCTATAACTCTATGAGTTTTAGATTATTTAAGGATATTATTTTATATTTAGAAAGCCTTAAATAAGGGCTTTATAACGCTCTAAGAATTACCTAATTAGGCCTAGTATTGCTAAAGTTAGAGCTTAGTAAAGTAGACGAGCTCGCTTAGCTTTAGACCCTAGTAACCTATAGTATATAGCAACGCATTAATCTATAACTTCCTAGATAGAATCTTTACTAAAAAAAGAAATAGATTATAAATTTATAGAGTTTTCTATATGCTAGTTCTAGAGATATAAGGATATAAGCCTCTTAGAGCTTAAAATAGATATTTTATATAATAACTAACCTAGAATAGCTTAGTTTAAGCTCTAACTTCTAAAATAGATAGTATAGATATATAGATAATCTATACTATTATTTCTATTTATATAGTTAGGTATAGAAGAAGTTATAGATTTCTTTTAAAATAAAGTAAAATACTAAGAAATAAAACTTTCCTAAGTATCTTAATTTTCTATATAATAAAATAGTCTAAAACGTTATATTATAGTTTCTATATACTATAAATATATATAATAAGCTTTAGAAACTAAGATATACTATTTATAGTATCTTATATACTAGATTTCTTAAACTTAGTACTAAGTAGCTACTTTCTCTTATAACTTCTTTAATAAATTAGCTATAAGTCTTAAACTTTAGCAGACTATTTATATACTTATAATCTATAATATATAAAAGTTAGAAAGAGATATGTTACTATATACTATAGGTTACTAGGGTCTAAAGCTAAGCGAGCTTATCTACTTTACTAAGCTATAACTTTAGCAATACTAGGCCTATTTAGGAAGTTTTTAGTGTTTTAGAAAGCCCTTTTTTAGGGCTTTTAATGGCTTAAATAATATCTTAAAAAGCTCTAAAACTCGCAGAGTTATAGAGGAAAACGTAATTCTAGAAAAAAGTGCGCAACTCGGTTGGGTGCGCGATTCAGTTGTGAAACACGTTATGTTTTATCCATTCCAAAGTTTGTCCTTAGATTCTTGGGGTGCTCTACCAATGTTCTCGACCAACGCGGAAGAGGCCGACGTCGGTCCTGTCAGACAATAGTGTGGTCGGGTCGTGTAACCGAATTGATATCAGCAAAACGGCCGTTTGGAAGGCCAAATGGCATGGATTTCCTTGTTCGAACCGGTTAATATGTTGGTGTTGTTATGACTTGTTCGGGCTCGGCAATCAGCATCAGGACACAGGATTACACTCACTGTGCCATACAACCAGTAAAATGGGACATAAAATTAGTGGCTAAAACTCACGCTGGGAAGAATCAAGTGTATAGTATAAGCTGCCTGATGCTAGCCTTGCACTATCTGCAGCGCATGCCCTCTGGTGCTGAGACACTTTGTCCTTAAATGCGCTTCATCCATGAGCGGAGATGCTATAAGATGTAGCATTCATAAAGGCGGCCATAAGCCGGCGATGACTGATGTCACTTTTGGCGGGGTCCTATCCGCAGCGTTCCGTCGACTAGGTAACCCTGCACACAAGGTAGTCATCGATCACAACGTCAGGACACGGCTCTACACTCAATATAGCATGCAACCAATAAGAGATTACAGATCATCGATCGATTTCCGCTAATTTGTGCTGTACAGAATAGCACATAAAGTACAAGCTGGCCCCAACGCAGCGGTCATGCAGCGACCCAGTGGGACTTGGCGGAATCATGACAATCAGTGTATATATTGCAAATGCACGCAAGGCACTTAGATTACATCGCCGAACTTCGTTCCCCTCTCCATTAAGCATAAATCCTGTTGCTTCTGTGTCAATCTCATCAACTCTTCCTGTTTCCACCAATTCGATTCCTGAAGTACCACCTGGAACACTGAACGATCTCTCGATGTTGACCAATGTACATTCTGGCCAACAGCCTATTACCAAATGCAACCTGCTTAGTCTTCCTGGAGGTGAGTACGGGTATGGCAGCTTATGACATCTTAAGCTCAACTGACGTCGTCACGCCACCAGAGGTCCGCAACCGCATCTACGATTTTACCCAAGAGTCGCGCCCTGTCAATTTTCTGTCCAGAAGATTCGACGATGTCGATGATTCAGAACTCTCTCCTTACCAAATGCGCAAGGCGGTACCAGAATACCACAGCCTCACTCAAGTGTGCCGCCAGCTCCGAGCAGAGTACTCTCCAATCTACGCCGCAACGACAGAAGTGCGCGTATTCCAAGCCGATCTGATGGATTTCGCCAGCAAGAACTATCCGTACCTAGCCCGCGACCCGCACGGCAATGTCACCGGACACCTAACCATCATCTTCGCTTTCGCCTTCGGTAATCGACACTGCAACACCGTCGACCTCCTCGCCTTCCTCAATCACTGCAAGACACTTAAAAATTTACACATCCGCGCTCCATACTACCCGTGCATATTTCCTCGGCCAGATGCTGAAAAAGATTGGGAGAGTATGGGGGTACAGATGGATGCCTTGCTGGATGTTGCGAGGCGGCCGAAACTTCAGGAGTGGCTGCAGAATATCGAGCGCATTACTGTTAATATACGCTTTGCATGGATCGAGTATCATGTCAGGGCGGAGAAGCGGGAGGATTGGATGAAGCAATGGCGCAGCGCTGACGGGTGCATTGTACAGCTCCCGGGGTTTCGACGGTGGGTGGAAGTGATGGGTATCGCTCCTGATCGGGAACTGAGAATGTCGCCATGGGCATTTCAGTAGCATGCCTTCCGGGCTGAGATGCGGTTGGTGTACAGGCCTTGATGGAGATGAGCCTACTGAAGAGTACTACCACACGATTACTCCTCGACGACAATAGAAACCCACTTCGAGCACGCGCATGTTACGATACTACACCAGGATAATCTCGACCATATCCCTCTCATCTCCACACTCCCCCAGCACCTCATCATCAGGCATAACCTTTCCCACCCTCTCATACACCCCCTCCTTCCCCTCCACCTTCACAACAATTATCCCATGATAATACGGGCTCTCACTCCCCACACAACTCTGCCCGCAGCAACTTCCCCCCTTCGTCAGCAAAACGACATACACCGGCACCCCCCTCGCTCTCTCCGCCCGACTCGACGTATCAAAAATACACACCGCCCCGCCCTCATCCCCAGTCTTCGTCTTCATCCTCCAAACCTGCTTCCTCGGCACTTCTTCCGTTGGATACAACGGCTCGAGCGGAGCGCGCATCTTAATCCACGCGTCGCTGACTTCGCCGTACACATCGTCTGTCTTCAACGTGACATGACAGTCCAGGATTTCAGCCACTTCACTGAAATCATCGGCTTTGACCGAAAACGTGCCAAACGGACCATCAATACTTGCCCACGACCAACTCGGCGCTCGATACGCGGATGGCTCGCTCGTCCGACCTTTCGCGTAGCCGGTAGCTTGCCATGTCAAGCCCTCGATGAGGTTGGAGCGCCAAAGACCCGCGACGTATGTGTCGTTGCTTTGTGAGGCGATATGGCGCGCGATGTTGGATAGAGCGGGGAGTTTATCGCCCGCTCTGGGGAGGTTGCGTTTACAATACAGCTGGAGAGTGTTGTGCCATACGCGCGCTGGTTCTCCGGTGAGTGCGTCGTCTCGACCGGGCATTTTGAATCCATCTTCGCCGAGGAAATGTGTGCTGGATTCGAAGTAGAGTTGCGTGGAGCCGAAGTGGAGGATGCGCGGGGAGAAGAGGCGGTCTTGGAGGGCCCAGGAGTGTTGAGAAAGGGGTTCTTTGCTCATGATCATGTAGTTGCTGGGGTAGAGGGTTGGTTCTTTGGGGAGAGTGGAGGCATAGAGTGTTCCGGTACGGTTGTTGTGCGTGTACTGGAAGAGGTTGTCAGTGGGTATATCGCGTAGGGCGAGGAAGCTGTCCGATGCGCTGGACGAGCTGAGAGTGGAGAGCGTGATGTATGCATTGGAGAATACGGATGCGTAGCCAGGCATTGATCGATGCGAATTTGACGAGTCAAACTGGGAACTGCTGCTGGAAGTTAGCAGAAAAACAGTGGTGTAGAGTGGCATGGCTTACCACAGCACGTCGATCCACAAGTATCGCAGTCGTAGTTTGCGTGTAATTTTGATCGCATCTTGGAAGGCTCGAGGAAGTCCATCTGGATCAATGTATCCAGCAGTCCCGTCGAACTTTTCAACAACCGTGGCATCCGGCGCATAACTCAGTACCGCATACTTCCCTCGCAAGTTACGCGGCGTGTATAATGAGACTCTACTCTCAGTTGATTCGCCGAGATCAAGTATTATCTCCGGTAGCACAGTATCTGCCCATCCGCTCTCTTCATCTTCTTTGTTGATCCAGCGCAACACGCGCCTCACTGTGAACTGCCCAGCAGGTTTCATCTTGATCCTCCTGCCTCGAACCACACTGCCTAGTGCATCGCCGTCTGATCTAATAAGCCCAAGCTCCAGAACAGTATCAATAATAACTTACCACCGCAACATACCCCCACCGCCGCCAGCACCCAAACACACGTCCCCCTCCCCTGATCCTTTGCAACAACCATAAACCCACTGTCCTGATTCTTCCCCTTCGCCACATACATCTCCCATCCCGGCCCCTCCTTCTGCCTGTAATCATCTTGCCCCTTCTCCGCAAACGCGGTCTGGAAGCGCGATACTTGGGACGCAACGACGCTGCATATTGCACACGTGGATGCCGCTTCGCGCAGAGCTTCGAGAGATTGGTGGAACGGCAGACCAAGCGGTTCTGCAGTTTCGTCTGCTGGCGATGTTTTGGAGCTTCGACGGCCTACCCAGACTAAGTCTGGGGATCCGTTGCCAACGGGGTAGGCGTTGCAGGTTGGTGGGAGTGGGGGAAGGGAGAGGATGGGGAGGGATTGACAAGTTTTACAGAGAGACATGTTCGGATATTTGGAAGATGTATGTTATAGTGCAATTCAATCGCTGTGGAATGTTGACAAAACAGAAACGATTCTAGAGATGGGACGGCGCGATAGCGGTTTGTTCGGTGGCGAGTGTTGCCTCGGGAGCATGGTGACGAGGTTAGAAGAATGCGTGGCATCTGTGTCTATTGGTAGCAGGTAATCTATTGTGTTGGAGGGCGTGAAGGTGGTTGGCTGGTGTTCATCCTTGTCACCTAGATGCCTGATGCGGGTGGCGAGTGAGGCTAGCCGTGTTTGGATGCGAGGATGACGTCTGATAACTACGAAGCGATGTCATTTTGTAACGCGTTGCTCTTCCAGAGACATCCTGGCGCTCTGTCTTATGTTTATAAAAGTATCGTGATTCGGGGTAGGATGTGTGGATCAGAGGTGGTCTTCGTAACTGAAAGGAAACATCATGATGAGAAGCTCTAGATTGCTTCAAAGGCAGTGAGATTCTTTTTGGTCCCGGGACGCATAGTTCAAGTTGGATGTCTGGCCAGAAAATGAAGGTCGAACGTTATTGTACTCGAGCTCTAATCCAGCCGTGGTCTAGAACCGCAGATGGCCATGGTCAGATTCGCTATCCACAGTCACCCTTGCCGAGTGCAGATCCAATCCTACTCGATCCATCCACCTTCTGAGATCTTTTGCGAGGGCATACGCCAAATTAATCTTGATGTCTTTATCCTTGTATTCCTTGGGGGCCCCCTTTTTAACAGCGATATGTGCAAAAAGCTCTACCGTGTTGTGCTCAAGTTGAAGCTCAACAGGTGTGAACTCAATCCACTCCAAACATGTGGCGTTCCAGGTCAAAGGCAAGATCTCGCTACTCCCGATAATTGCCTTGAAGCGTGGTGCTGATGTGCAAAGCTCAACCAAAGGAAGTATATTCACGGTTCGTGTGTATCTGTCCATGAGGTATGTCCTGAGTACCATGGTGCCAATGACGTCTGTTGGTCCCAACAACAAATACTCCACATATCGAGTGAGTTGCTTCGGATGAATTGCGACAGTGTGACTGGATATATGGAGAGGGAGAACTTCGTTGCGGATCTTCCGGCAGACCTGGGTGAGACCAAGGGCGCATCGTTTTTGGTTCTTCCATTCCGGATCTGTACGGCTTAGATACAGCGAGTTGCTAGAACGGTACATGTGCTTGAGGTTAAGTTCCCCTTGAAAGCCTGGGACTACGAAGCTATATACCAGGTTTTGAAGCTCTAACATTGAGTGTCAGTCAAATTTCTTTTGGTGCGATAAACAAGTGCTATTACCTGCAGGAAGGTCGAGGAAGCGGAAAAGGGCGCAGCGCGGCTTGTCCGGAACCAGTGGCGGTGAAGCATGGTCTTGCGCTTCGGGCATAGACTGAAAGGAACTCATGCCAGTCGAGTTGAGTAGGGCCCGGTCCGAATCTGTCGATGTGATTGTTGAACGATCGGAGGATGAAGACTGGGGGTAAAGAGTGTAAGATTAGCGCCAGGACTATCTAGTTGCGCTAGCGCCCAATATGATCAGGACAGTGTGAAGGTAGGCCTTGGCATTGTGAATGCTTAGTACGCGCACAATTACCGCGAGACAATTCATACAAGCAACGTCCTGTAATAATTCATGGGCTCCAAAACATTCACAGAAAAAGGCCCCAAGTGAGCTAGGTATACTAGGATAACAGCGCGGTTGAGCCTCAGCTCGCATCTTTGCGTGAACTCAAAGTGTGTCGTATTTTCGATATCTCAAGCTCCTCCCTCTTGACCTGGAACTGCTGCAGTCTTACCAACAATCTAGCAGACCGCAAACATGATATTTACTTCGACCAATAGGTCTTCGTGACCCAAATCCAACCCCACAGCAGTCATCCACCTCTGTATGTCTTGCTCCGTATCGTCCACCTCCTCGAATCTCTGACACTCTATATACCATTCCTCGCGGTACTGCAGCTTCACTACGATATCCACATTTTCACAGATTACGTGCCATGCATCCGCGTCATAGGTAAGTGCGGTGAGTCGGATGTCAGCCATTTGTTTCCAGGTAGCGGTCCAAGCAAGCGGAACAATTTCTGGGAGCTTAAGTGTATCAGAAGAACTCTTGCAAAGCCTTGCTTTGAAATGTGGTGCTGCTGTGCAAAGCTCTAGGAGAGGGAACAGGTCCAAGCCTGATTCGGGGTCAGGGAGGAAGTCATCTTGATCCATTGGTCTAAGTTTGACCACAAGATCCCCGACAGCCTGTGAGTGTGGGCCATCGATCCTTGACACCACGAGCGCCAGGTAGCGATCCAGATCCTTCCCGGCAAGCTCGATCGTGTGATCAGTAAGATGAAGCGGCAGGAACTCCTTCCGGATCTCTTTACACACTCGTGTGAGGCCGAGGAAGCATCGAGTTTGACGATTCCATTTTGGATCGGTGCGCCTCATGTAGAGTGGAAGAGGTCTAGAGCGTGGTTTAAACTTGATCGCATCTTGAGTGTCCGTGACTGCGAAGCTGTAGATGTGATTTCGAAGCTCTATGAGTACATGTTAGCGCGCACACATAATCGAGGAGTCAAATGTCTCTTACCTGGAGGGAGGTCGAGGAAGCGGAAAGGGCCATCGCACGACCTAGGGCGAGCCTGTGAATGGGCGTGATTGCTTGCCTCGCGTAAGGCTTTGAAGTAATTCATTATTGTAGCGCGAGTCCAGGTTGAGACTCAGCGGTAGAGAGTGGGATAGTTTAAGAAGAAAAAGGTCAGGTGAGCGCAAAGAGAGGAAAAGAGGCGCCAAGACTAATCGAGTACGCTATGTAGTCCGGGTGCAACACGGTCGCCAAGATGTGAATGCGACAGCACCTCGAGCTAGAGAAATTAGGGCGCAAACATATATCAAAGAAAAGAACCACCAAGGAAGAAATGAGCAGGGCCAACTAATTGTGTCCAATCAACACCACGACTGGTCATGTCTGCAGCTCCCATCCTTCCGTAAACTCAAAGTCTCCCATGACACCATAGTGATCAGTTACCCATCCACCCTCAATCTCCTTCTGCACCTTATCCCTCTCTTCCTCAGCGACCTTAACATCCACGCCTATCCTTTCGAAGCTCTTCGGCCGTACGTCGCCCCGGAGAAGTATCTTGTCCATGCGACTGCAGCCAAACTTATCTCTCATCCATTGCGGAACTTGGTATCCCCATGTGAAGCCATCGTCGCTATCTTCTTGGCCTCCAAGCTCTAGATAGGCATCCTTGAGGTCGTTTTCGCTGTGTAATGTGCGGTCAAAGGGCTGGATAGCATTGAAATCACCAGCTATGAGTGCACTCGCAACACCAGTCTCTTTCAAGATCTTCGACGCGGCAGCTAGTTGCAATGGACGGACTGGAGGATCAGCGACAAGGGATTCGAGGTGCGTGTTACAAAGTCTAAGGACCTCTCGATTGCCGTTACCTGACTGCGCGCTTGACAAGGCGATGTCCACGGATAGCCCGTCTCGGTCGAATTTGCTGACCCAGGGCACGCGAAATACATTCTTGATTGTGAGGCGTCGGTCCACAAGGATAGTTGTGCCATACAATGGGCCAAGCCAATTCCGATGATCGAACTCGGTGATGTTGAAGCGCTGCTTGACCCATTCTGCTTCACGTATTTGCCTCAGGTCAGACTGGCCCATCTCTTGTAGAAACACTACGGCTGCAGTTTCTGCTGGTGTCGAGGTAACTACTTCATGCATGTATCTTAGGGCGGCGCGCATACGCTGTTCCGCAAATCCAATCAATACGTCGATGTTCCATGATATCAGACGTATGGCCTTCGGGTCTATGGGATGTCCCTTTTTGGCAATTGAGGAAGGCTGTGCGGAGCTAGGCTGCCATTCTTCGTCTGTGTCTACATACCAGTAATCCTGGTATCTGGGCTGGTAGCTGGCGTCGTCAAGCTGCTTTGCTGGACCTGAGTTGAGTGTGGTCTGGAGGGCCTGCATGATGGCTGATGGCTTGGAAGTCATCCTGGCGTTTGATGCACTCGAGGTCTGATAAGAGACACGAAAGATGGATGTGGGTGAGGAAAGGCCAAGCAATGTAGTGAGTGAACGAGGAGTGACGTTGATGGCTTCGGGTAGCTTACAAATGAGCTTACCGTGGGTCAACAGCATCATGACCATGATGGTTGAACTTCACTTCACTTCATGACACACAAAGTCTCACTTGTATGCACGGAGAGCAATTGAAAGTGACGGTCAGTGCTTATTGATGGTGTGATAGGCTCCAGCAGGTGGAGTTCTGGTGAGGTGCGGGACGGCACGTGACGTGACCGGGGATCCCTGCAGTAGCTCCGAAAGCGCGTCGTGAACATTCGCGACTTGGGAGATGCTCATACGGGAAATGCAATAACACCCGCCATAGCTCCTTCCTCACCACCGACGTCACCTTCTCCGCACTACCGCTTCAGCGTCTTCTCACAAGACAGCCAAAATCTTGGCCGTCGCACTACTCCACCCCCACAATGGGCTCCCGACTCCACAATGCGCCCATAGTCATCGACAACGGCAGCGGGACCATACGAGCTGGTTTCGCAGGCGAAGATGTCCCCAAATGCTACTTCCCGTCATATGTCGGACGGCCGAAGCACGTACGGACAATGGCAGGAGCGCTCGAGGGTGACGTGTTCATTGGACCTCAAGCACAGCAATATAGGGGCCTTTTCAAGATCAACTACCCATTGGAGCACGGCATTGTCACAGACTGGGACGATATGGAGAGAATATGGCAATATGTCTACCAGGAAGGCTTGAAGACGGTCAGCGAAGATGTGAGTGCGGGCACTGCATGGCGACATGCACCATTCAGGAAAGTGCTCAGAGCTAATTGCATTCCATACAGCACCCAGTACTCCTCACAGAACCGCCGCTGAACCCTCGAGAAAACCGGGATGTCGCGGCCCAGATCCTCTTCGAGACCTTCAATGTCCCCGCCCTCTACTCCTCGGTACAGGCTGTGCTCTCATTATACGCCTCAGGAAAGACAACCGGTCTGGTCCTGGACTCTGGAGATGGTGTCTCGCATGCCGTACCTGTATTCCAGGGATTCGCGATTCCCAATAGCATACGAAGGATAGACGTAGCCGGCAGAGACGTCACAGAACACTTCCAGCAACTGCTGCGGAAAAGTGGCAGGATATTTCACACAAGCGCAGAGAAGGAGACAGTCAAGAACATCAAAGAGGCGACCGGCTATGTCGCGCTTGATCCTGCGAAAGAGGAGAAGGAGTGGTCTGGCGCGGCGAGGTCAGACGGCAAGAGCGCCGAGTACACGTTGCCTGACGGTCAGAAGTTGAAGGTAATGCCAATGTGCTGTGCAACGATCGGGGACAAGCTGACGAAATCTAGGTCGGTGCGGAGCGATTTCGAGCACCAGAAATCCTGTTCAACCCCGAGATCATCGGCTTGGAGTACCCTGGCGTGCACCAGATCGTGGTCGAGGCGATACATCGGACAGACATGGACCTCCGCAAATCGCTCTATGGCAACATTGTACTCTCTGGTGGTTCCACACTGACAAAGGGATTTGGTAACAGGCTGCTTCACGAAGTACAACGACTGGCGGTGAAGGACATGAGGATCAAGATATTGGCACCACCAGAGCGAATATACACCACGTGGACTGGCGGCAGTATCCTAGCGGGTCTGAGTACCTTCAAGAAGGTAAGTGTCCCCCTTTCTCGACGATGCGTGCTGGCGGCTGACACGTATTTGCAGATGTGGGTGGAAAAGGACGAATGGCAGGAGAATCCAGACATCATCCATACCAAATTCGCATAAGAGCAGTCACGTTGCAACCTCATTGGCTCGCGGCTGGTCTTCTGCGCCTTCTCCACAGCCGTCTCCCGTCTCCGCAACTTTGAAGACGAGGTGCATGGCGCTTGTGTAGCCGTTAGTCATGGAAACGGATTCCCGAGGCCGGGGTAAGCAGCCAGACACGACTCCAGGTCCCTGCACACCTTGTTTCCGAGGCCTTTGTTTGCACCGATCGGCATACGTGGTCGACCGGTTGGAAGGTGCCGGGAGCACTAAAAGGTAGTCTATTTCCCCGCAAATGCCTGGCGAGATGCCTGTCTCGTGGGCAGTTTCTGTTACTTAAGTGCGGCACAGTGAGCATGCAAGAATGATGTGTAGAGTCCGTTGGGCGGATCGCAGGGATGGAGAGGAGTGCATCGATGGCGTTTGTGAATGGATACCCCCTATGATTTTGCAGCATATCCAATCGAGCATTTACCCAGTGCAAGGCAAGGGGCAACGAAACGTCGAGTGAAGATTAATTCGCCATGACTCTGACAAAGTGTGTGATGGCTTCACGTAAGGCGGGGCTAGCAAAGGCTCTCGAAGCACAAGCTAATGGCTGAAACGGCCAGCGTGGTCGAGAGCTAGAAGGCGAGAAGTCAGTGCCAAGCATCGTGAGGTGCACGCGTGCAGGGGGCGAGTGGGAACAAGAACATGGCACAAGGCGCTGCAGCAGATCGCCATGTGCAACGCCAATTGCAAAAGATTGCGACATGTCATGCATCCAGCTCGCAAGGAGGAGGCGGTCAATTTGCTGGCGTGCATGAGCTCATTTCGGGAACAATGAACGCAATGGATGTGTCAGCGCCCGCGTTGTGCGCGTCTGGTGACTGGTACCTGAGCGTCGACGACTGCGCCGCGCCCAGATCTCACGATGCTCGACGTCATGCGGACCTCGTCGGTTCGGCTGGGCTCGAGGGCAATTTCAGCTCGCCGTTGGCGCGTCATGGGGGCTGCCCATGGATTTTGCGCCTGCGTGGCAAAGTGAGCGACGGTACCTGCGTACCTGCAGAGTTTACATGGAGACCAGGTGCAAGAATAGCAGGTATGACATCGACACGCAAGGAACACCAAAATCTGCACACACTTTGTCGGGTCTCCAGCACGTACCTGAGCCAGGCGATGGCAGCGCTTCCCGTCGCGGAAAACTCTGCCTTCCCGCCTCCACAGGCGTCTAGTCAGCGCTCGCGATCACGCTTTCGCGCGCAATGTCCAGCTGCAAATTTTCACCATGGTCTTTGCAGCATCGTGAAGGTTTCCTGGGGGTAATGGTAAAGAAATTGGCCAATCAGATGGGGGCACGAGGGTCAGGTGTGTCGCAGACCAAGCTCGCTATTACGCTATCGAAAGCCGGCCAAGGCGGGCGCGCGTACCACCGACGGCCTTTGTTTGCGACGCCTGCTGGACGCATGATCTGAACATTGCCGTTAACTGGAAAGCGGGTGCCGTTAACTGCAAAGTGCGGGTTTGAAAGCTCGTGCCTGGTCGTGGTGAGTTGGTTTGATGGCGTCGAAATTTCTAGTGGACCCCTTTGTGCTTGCGTGAGCAGTGTAGATTGGCTTTTTCCTTTTCACTTGAGTATATAAGTGCCTTACCCCGGATGGCTGCACTCACTCACACTTTGATCTACCATCGAGCACTACTTTCCCGCATCTACTACTAGCATTACTACTTTGATTCAAGTCTTACCCCGGGATTATTCAGAAGGGCAACAAAGTTCTTCGCCACTGACCTTCGCTGCCGACTACCACAACCAATCACAACAACACAACCCAAACACCACCAACAACAAATAAAATGCCGTCCTTCCGCATCACTGAGCCTCACCCCTCCGTCGGCGGCGGCTACATCTACTCCGGTCGCGGCGGTGCCGGCAACGTAACCCGCGTGAAGCCCACCGACCTCACCAACGGAGCCACTGCCACGGGCCCAGCATCCCGCATCAAGTTGTCCCCTCCTCCCACCACCTCCTACTTCGCCTCAGGCCGTGGCGGCGCCGGAAACATGCACTCCGGCAAGGAGCGCGCCATGTTCAGCTTCGACGAGGAGTTGCAGCAGCAAGAGCGCCTGCGTTCCCAGCAAGCACCCGTGTACCACGTTGGACGCGGCGGCGCCGGAAACCTCGTCGATGAGATGAAGCCCCGCAGCCAGCGCACCAACAGCTCCAGCTCGACGTCTTCGAATGAGAGCGTCAAGGAGGGTGTACGTGGCAGCCTCGACAACGCATGGCGCCGTCTCAGCAGGACGGTTTCGCACAACTAAGTGCGATGGCCTCACTTTCTTTACGACTACGACCTTTTAACGACAACGACACATTGGAGAGCTGGTTCTGAATCTCTCTTTTCTTCTCCTTCGACTTCAAGCATTTTCGGCACATGAGCACGGCGCAATGGGAGTCCACAACATCATTGTAACAACAACCAACACCAACAACAAAAGTCACAGTTTTTCTTCTTTTCGGCGAGCGACACAACCATGGGAGAACCGTCCGGTTATCAAAAGTTTCATTTGATACCCGGGTAATGGATCTTACCTGAGAGGGCGATGCATGGCTATGCATTTACAACCAGCGGCATGAAAGGGGAGGAATTATACCCAAGCCGGCGAGGGCATTCAGTTTAATACAAACCCAAATTCACAATCTTCAACACAAACAACGTTTACTTCTGATGGCTCCCGTGACTTTCTACCCATCAACACACTCCTCGTCCATCCACCCTTTCCCAGTGTCCTCACTCAACCCACCAATGCGCAAACCCCCCTTAGCCTTTTTCTAAACACACAGAGAAGTTGAAAACAAACAACAAACCCCTCAAGCTCCGCTCCCCTTCACCGGACGTCTCCCAAGGTCCCACACCATCGTCCAGACCAAATCCTTGGCCTGCCGGCGATCTCTTGGCAATCCACGCGCGCGACGCCCGAAACTGTGGGGAAGCGCCGCAGACCCAGAACACGCCGCGAAAGATTTTCCCACTTGGAACCGCGCTAGCGCCGTTGTGGAGATGGCGCGAGATTAAATTGAGAAAAAGCTGAAGAAGAAGAGAGAGGAAGAAAAAGTTTGGAAGCTAGCTGAGGGTTAGGTTAGTTGGCTTGGGTTTGGGGGGGGGGGGGGGGGGGGGGGGGGGGCTAGGAGGGGCGCCGATGAGCGGATTTGTTAGGATTTGAGGGGATGGATGATGATGGCGGTGTGAATTTTGAGAGGGGTGGGGATTCTTCTTTGAATTTTGCGTCCTGAGCGCGCGTTCATTACGGAGTTGTGAGGGGGTTTTTTTGAACTAGATGTGGATGGGATATATATGCCATGCTTCAAGTGTCTGTATATGTGTGTGCATCACAAATCCACGTACCGTCATGATTACCGCCCACGTCTATCTAGCGAGCACTAAACGCGTTTTGAATACTTTTAGCATGTACTTTTTTTTGTTCCAGATTAAAACATGGTATCTCAGCTAGTTACTCCCTGAAATGCTGTGCGTCAATCTAGTTCCCGTGCCATTCAAGCGCTGCAACGTTCGCTCAATCACAACCCTTTCAATCAATCAAGAACCAAAAAGATATTATCAATACACTCTCTTTTGAAGTAATCATCTCCTCGGGATCGCACCCCCAGCAGCAGCACCAGTCCCCGCGACCCTCGCCAACATCTTGAACCCGTTCTTAAGGGACACCATATCACCATATGCATGACCGCGCATCTCAAATTTTCCAGGGCTGATCTTAAATGGCCATGCGCCCTTGGGCTTCTCGTGCCCGAGCTGGAAGCACAGCCAGAAGTGGCCGGGGTACTTGGGCATGCTGCAGAAGGCGTACATGGAGCGGTTGGGATTGGCGGTGCAGTAGTTTTCCAGCCATTGTTCTGTTATCATGTTAATACATGCCAAGAATAGGGGATTATTTAGATGTGACTTACCAGTCTCCTCCTTGGTGCCAGTCTTGAAGCGCTCGTCTCGCGTGAGTTCCGAGACCTTGCGCGCCATGGCTTCGATATGGTTGACGATCAACTCGTCAAGATCGGTGTATGTCGTCTTTCCGATCTTAAGCTGCTTGCCGAGAGTGAATTGGTTGGGCTTGTTCATCTCCAGGACGTCGAGATGTTGATAGGCGTTGTTGCCGACCTTCCAGGTCACGACCAAGTGATCGAAACCCTTCGACGATGGCCGAATGACGAGCTCGCCAACCTCTTTACTACCGAGATACTCCTCTGCCTGTATAGAGTTGAAGGAGAAGAAGAGTGGGTGGTTGACAACACGGTTGGGGCGACCGGAAGCGACTTCCTTCTCCTTCTCAGCTGCCTTCTTGTCCGCTGCTTCTTGTAAGTCGTCCCATTCGCCGGGAATGCGGTCGGGCTGTGGTTGGGGCTTGCGGATGATGTCCTCTCGTAATGACAGCTGTGCTGTGAGAGCCTTGATGTTGAGGAACATGATGCGACCGCGCACCACTTGGTGCGACTGGTATACGTGGCGAGGCTCTTGTCCGCCATTACCGACACCTTCAGGAAATTCGGATTCGGAGACGCCACCCTCAATACCGCACTCGAGTCGACATTCGATGTGGTCTGGGAACGTGCGCTTGATCGTTACGGGGACGACCATGTGCTCATACAAAGTCTCCTTGGTCTCACCAGTGAGCATGGTGAAGATCTCGTCACTGCTCATGAGAGCGAACGTCTGCCTGATCTCCTCGTATGGGTTCTCCAGCTCAGCACGGATGGTCTCGAGTGTCGCACGCTTGCGCTGACCGAAATTCCGTTGAATCTCGATAGCGTAGTCCTCCAAAGCCAAGTCGTTGACTAGATCGGTGGTCTCCTCGCGAACCATCTTCCTAATAACGGCGCTGGGACCACCTTCATCCGTCTCGGCCTTCACATCTTCCTCGTCCATGTTCAAAGCATCTGCAACCATTTTCCGGGCGAGGTCGTAGTCTTCGGGGTGAACACGGGTGTAGTCGAGGTAGTCTGAAGACTCTTCGGTCGCGTCGTAAGGAATGTAGAGGAAACTGGCACAGTTCTGATGCACCTTGGGGCCCATAGCCGCCTTCAGGTCGCGAGAACTGTTTTCAGAGACACCCAGAAGATCATAGCGAGAGAGGATCTCGTCGCCGTTAGCTTGAATAGCCTTAACAAGCCTATCTGCCTTACGAGGGCCAAGACCACAGACGTAAGGTAGAAGTTTGCCCAGGTACTTGTCGTCGTAAGACTCGGGTAGATCGATACCGACAAGGTTGACCATGTCAACCATGGCCGTCTCAAGCCTATCGAACAGCTTCTCTTGAGGGATGAGAGTCTGGTTCGGAATGAACGGTATCGAAATGATGTCCTTTCCGAGGGAGGCATATTCAGCCAACGGGTTCTGCAAGTACCGTGCAAGCGAAATGCAGTACCGGACAAGCGGAGCATACTTGGGGAACTCGGCAGCCGCTCGGCCGCTGTTGTAGTACAGTCGGGCCACTTCGTCATTCACCAAGACGACTTCCAAAGGATCGCTTCTCTCCTGGCCGCTATTCTCGTCCTCATATGTCGGGCCAGTCAGTCCGTTCTGTTGGATGATCTCTTGGACGTCCTTGTAGAGCTTTCGTGTCTCAACTGACCAGCCACTGATACCGATTACGTCAGGACGACGGCGTTGGGCTGCTTCGACGAATTTGGCAATGTCTTGACCATCCGCAATACCTCGCTCCTGGTTGCCCAGTCGGAAGTCCACGAATTTTCCATGTTCTAGCACGCGCCCATCGTTTTCCACGTATGCCCACATAATGGCATCTCCGCGTTGGCCTTGGCCGTTCGACATGCACAGAGCATTTGGAACCGAGCCAAGTGGGGCTGCCTTGAGCTTGTATGGTGCTTGGTCAAGCCTGTTGTAGTAGCTCTCCCTAGCTCGGCTCGCGAGTTCGTCCTCACAACGCGCACGCAACGACTCCTTGACACCAGCCGCAATGACCTTTTGCAGCTTGTCCAAGGCCTCATCAAGTAGCTCTCGGCGCAAATTGTTCCATGAGTCTGAGACCTCACTGACATTGTCCGATACAATCTTGCCCTGGAGCCGCTTCTTGAAGTCTGTGTAATTAGACATGGAAATCTGGACCTGGACGAGACCTTCACTTTCAGCCTTGAGCATCTTCAAAAAGAGATCTGGTCGGCCATGTAGATCCATAAATGTCTGTCGTCGCAGGTATTTGAACTCGTAGTATGGATGGTCCTCGGTGATCTTGCGTGCGCCCTTGTCTGTTCGTATACAGTCGATCTGTGCGTTCTGGTAGAAGCTCCCACGCAAGAACCTCCGTAACCGAGAGCTCATGTTCAAGTCTTGCACAAACAAGATTTTAGCCGACCTGAGTAATGTGGTACCAGTCTCAGGAGCTTCTGCCAGCTGATCGGCGTACTCTTGTACCTGGAATGGTGGATCCTCAATGATTTGCGCGCCCCGACTAGTACCTTCGGCTGCCTTGGCAAAGTCTTCCGCGGTGATGCCGATAGCCTTGACAAGCTGATGCGCCTTGCCACTGCGCAACTTGTCGTAAAAGCTCCGCGCGTTGTTGGCGCGTTTCTGCACTCCGTTTGTCTCCTGTCGTACTTCGCTGATCTCCGTAGAGTAGCGGTAGTGGAGGTAGTCCTGCAACTCCTGAATTTCTTCGATGGTGATCGCCTTGTTCGAGAGATCCTCTATCTCAGTGTCGATGATCTCAGGGTACACACTTCGGATGTTGTCGTAGTTCAGACGGAGAGCATCCCGCTTCTCAGCAAAAGCCCTGAATTTGAGGTCCAGGTCAAAGACTTCCCACAAATCGCTCTGATTCAGCAAGCGCTCCGGTCGGACGTTCACTGGAGGCAAATTTGCGTCGTCCTGGTCGTCGCTGTCACCCGGGGCATGGATAAGATAGTCTTTCCGGTGGTTGAAGATGAAGGGAACTTCGTAGTCTTCGATGTTCAAGAACTCGAGGACCTTGTGGACAGCCCTCTCGAATGGCGCATGGAAGTAACCTTCCAACCCTTTCTTTGGCCATAAAAGCGTTGTAATCCAATGTGCTTCCTCCTTCAACCGCTCTTGCATATCTTCATCTGTTAGCTCCAGGTCCTTGAAGGGCTTGCGAGCCAGTTGGAGGCGTTCGGGTACGTCGGTCTCGCGGATGATGTTGTCGTCGTCTGTCAACAGGCGCTCCTGTAACTGCGATGGCTCAAAGACATCCTTGAGCTGAAGGTCCCGGCCTTCACCGGCCTGCTCGTCCTCTTCTGCCTCTTGCATGTCCAGTGCCCAGTCATAATCTGTGCCATCTCCGAACGCGGCCCTGTAGTCTTCTTCAGCACCCTCGTCGAGTCCAGCAGCTTGTAGACCTTGTGTAATCAGATTGATGCCCGGTTGTGTTACATCCCGGTCGTCTTCAATCTCATCCTCGAACTGATCGTCCTCGATGAAGTCGTCGAACTCGTTCAGACCAGCTCTTCGTGGCTCGTCAATGTCATCATTCGGTTCGTCGTCAGAAAAGATGTCGTCGATACCACGGGCTCGTGCGCGCTCTTTGTGGCCTCGCTTTAGGCGTTTGAATCTGGACTGCATTCACATTAGCACACCCCTTAAGTCATCGCGAGTATATGTAATACCTGTGTCTCATCTGGTCGCTCCACCTCAACTCCAATCAAGTCCAAGTCCTCATCGTCGAGAGCTTCGTCGACCTCGCGATTCTTGCGCTTCTTCTTGCGGCGTCGCTTGCGCTCAGCTTCCTCGTCTTCTTCATCCTCGTCCACGACAAAGCCTGCGCCTTCCTATTGACAGTCAGCTGCCTGGCCAAACCTGTCCAGTGTCCAATAACTTGCCTGCGCTAGAAGCTCATCATCGTCCTCGTCTTCCTCCTCGCTCGAGTCCTCTAATCCATTGGCGCCATTTGTCTTTTTGGGGCGAACTTCACCGCCCTCCTCATCAAAATCCTCGTCCTCCTCCTCGCTGCCCAATTCGGCAGCAGTGTCAAAGAAGTTGGCCGTAGACATATTCGACTCGGACAAAGGAAACGCGTCTCTGGATCGGGTCTAGGTGATGCGGCGGTCGCGTTAAGCTCGGGGCTACGATGGCGCGATCAGGAGGCAGTTGAAGCGGGTGAGAGAAGTAAAGGAGAAAAGGAGAATAGAGGACAAGAAGTCCAGAGGCTGCGACCATCAAAGGCGGCGCTCGCATCAACAATGTTCCAGCGGCAGGCCCTAGCGTGTCTTGGCTTCGGACTTAGTCATCAGCCGCTCTCACCAACAACTTGGACCCCGTTTGATCTCACCTCATTGACACATGCGCATACGACAATGTTTGCAATACGTCACTTTTTAGTGATCTCGAATCTACAACTATATGCTTTCTCATCGTCCAAAAAGCATATGTGGCTGTAACTCGACACTTTCGCCCATGGGTCTACCTTACAACGCGACAACTTCTCATCAGCGTGTAATCGAAGCATTATTCACTTTTCAGCAGAATTGACTGTTTGAAATATGATTTTGGTCTCTTATTATAAACTCAAAGCACCGAGTCTTCTGGCAGCAACCCGTTCCTCCACCTAAACGCTGCATGCTTATTCGCCCACTCCAACAATGCATCATAGTCCACACACTCATGCTCACTACCCTCTCCCGGCCCCAAATCTGTCTTTCCTTCCAAAGTCACATCTGCGTTGCACGTAATACCCTGCCTGATGTAGTTGAAGCAGTGTGCTGTATGATGTGCCACCTCTTCCGTCAATTCATGGCCTCCGTAACCGCGCTGGTAGTACTCGGCTAAATAGGATAGGCAGTGCAGCTGGTGGAACACGGACATCATGAAACCAGGACCATCGTTGTGGCGGTCGACTGCGATGGTGTGCGGTTCGGGTAGGTCGTAGGGCCCATCGAGGTCTGGGATGACGACGTATCCACGCGAGTCGGAAGAGAGTGGGATCCAGTTGTGGAGGGTATGGAGGGTTGTGGTTTCGTTCAAGAACATGTCTTCCCGGGTGTATTTGGGGTCGTTGTGGAAAGTGTAGATCTTGCGTGGGACTTGGTATTGTCAGTAAAGTACATGGGCTGTGGAAGCCGTTGACATACAGTCGGGCACAGGCGACCTGCGAATAGTCCTGGATGGAGGTGCGCGGAAGAAGAGGAGGAAGAATATGGTGGCTACCATTGCAACCTCGAGGGTTATCCGGATGTACGACCAGGACCGTGCCCATGGGCTTCTCTTCCGGGTTGTGATGCTCGGAGTATGATGACCATCTTCCGGCTGGTCGAGGAAGGCTTCAGCCTCTTCGTTCTGTTCGTGCTTCATTGTGGTCACGATGCAAAGGGCAAGACCGTGATTGAATCGAGCAAACCTCGAAGATCGTTTAAAACAAAGTGGACATGGCGAAGGATATATCTTGGACGAGATTAGGCGGTGGTGCGACAAAGATCCACGGAGCATATCCACAAATGGTTGGCGCGATCATATAGATTAGATTGTGCGACGCATGGGAAAATGCAAGTCATGGCCATGTGAACCAATACATGATTGTGCAAGCAATCGGCAGTCCTTCCCTCCCGAGGTATCAGCTTGATGATAGATGATGTGGATGGCCGGATACATGTCAGCCGGTAGATGGTCCTTAGCGCAGCGCACAGGCCCCGGAGGTTTAGGTGAGCAGCACGAAGTACGGCTACGCTGGGCGCGGTTATCTTCGTGGTGTCCGGATCGGAACGCTGGCCTGACAGCGAGGCTGGACTAAGGGTGCAGGCCCGTGAAGGCACCAAATTACGGATCGATATGTCGTGTTATATAGCATGGTCGTCCTACACGTGCGTGGTAAACTCGTGGGCTGGAACAAGTGAAGCATGGACGGCTGCAAGAGTCTGAAACCTCCTGAGCGATGCATCGTGGGCTGGATTAGTAGCTATCTATGAAAGGAGAGAATGCTCTTCGTCATCTGCAGTGTCCTTGTACCATCCTCAGGACCTCCCGTCTTCTATTTCCAGCCCAGGCGCAGCCTTGCAAAAGTCTGTTTGGCCCGCCCGCTTGCAGACCCCCACCAACTTGTGAACGCGCCCCGCTAGACGGTCTGCCCTGCCCAACTTCACGCATCTCTCCTGAGCCCGTCTTCCACCCCAACGCACGTCCAAGACACGGCTTCTCGTACACATCGCCTCTTTCCCAATCAAGCTCTGCTGCCTCTTGATTGTGAAGATTGGCCACTGCGCTCTCCCGGATCTGGCAATCCAATAAACGCCGTCCTCTATTAGGAGTCTTGCCGTGATTGGCGTACCATCGTTGACCCATCTTCGGCGGCAAATTCGAAACAGCAGGCAGTGCTGCCTTGCGATCTCACCTTTACCTACTGCAGGGCAGCTTTGCCTTTGTTCTGTACCGCTTCGATTGCCGTTTCGTCACCCTACATACCACGCTTGATAGCGCCCGGCGCACACTCCCGCAACCATGGGCGACCTCATGAAGCCGAAGACGATGAAGAGGAAGAACCTCAAGGGTCTTGCTCTTAGCGCACCCCCGCCGAAGCCTGCACCCTCGGCCGGCGATGCGCAGGTTCCCGGTGGCATAGCCAGCGACGACAAGCAGGACACGCTGGAGATTGGTGTGGAGTTTCAGCTGGACCTGAAGGCGGAGGACCTGATAGTGCTGCGGGAACTGGGCTCAGGCAATGGAGGAACAGTCAGCAAAGTCCAACATACGGCAACCAAGGTTGTCATGGCGAGGAAGGTGCGTGGCATATCGGATCAGGCCAGACCTGGACAGGAGCTGACACATCTAGGTCATACACGTCGAGGCAAAGAACGAGGTGCGAAAGCGGATAGTCCGGGAGCTGCGCATCATGCACGACTGCAACTCGGAGTACATTGTCGACTTTTACGGCGCTTTCCAAAACAGCAGCGGGGATGTCATTATGTGCATGGAGTACATGGATGTGGGGTATGTCACACCAGGTCTATGGCGCAGAGACGCAGCAACTGACCAGCAACACCAGATCTCTCGACTGGGTATCCCGGACTTTTGGCCCTGTCCGCGTCGATGTCCTCGGGAAAATTGCCGAAGCCGTACTTGGTGGCCTGGCCTACCTATACAGCGCGCATCGCATCATGCATCGAGATTTAAAACCGTCCAACATCCTGGTAAACTCAAAGGGTTCGATCAAGCTATGTGACTTCGGAGTGTCAAGTGAACTGGAAGGTTCCATCGCCGAAACTTTTGTTGGAACGGGTACATACATGGCGCCAGAGCGGATACAAGGGTCGCCGTACACGGTGAAGTCGGATGTCTGGAGTGTGGGACTTTCGCTCATGGAGCTAGCTATCGGCAAATTCCCCTTTTCCGGCAGCGGCGACGACGACGAAGCTGGTGGACCTCAGGGTATCCTCGATCTTTTGCAGCAGATTGTTTTGGAGCCATCACCAAAGCTGCCCAAGAGCGATGCATTCCCTTCAATCCTGGAAGACATGATCGCCAAGTGTTTGATGAAAGACCCTGCGGAGCGACCTACGCCCAGGGAGCTTTATGTAAGTCACCTCAATCTCTGGAATATCGCTCGTGCTGACTGAACCAGGACCACGATGCCTTTTTACAAGCCGCCAAACGCACACCCGTCGACCTCGAAGCATGGGCCGTCAGCATGATGGAGCACAACAAGCGCAAATCATACCTCGCCCCCGCACCCTCAGCAGCCAGCATCAAAGAACAGCTCAAAGAGAAGCCGTCAATTGAAAGGAGAGGTTCCGCCGACGTCAGATCACACACACCCAACGGCTCCATCTCCGCACCCGCACCCCCACGCCCCCAATATCCCGCCCGAACCTCCAGCAGCACAAGCATAGGCGGCCAAAACGTCATGAATCTGCCCATCCGACCGGCGCCGGCGCCATCAGACGGGCCCAACTCGAGGCCTGGATCGTCGCGAGGGGCGCCGGTTGCTGGACTGCCTCCCGCACCGAGGCGGTGGAACAATGAAGTGCCGCAGTAAGACATGTGCGATTCAGTGCTTTCCAGTTATGTAGGTAGATATTGGGGCTTTTTTTTGTGGGCATGTTTGGCAAGAAGGAGGGATTCAAGTACGAGCTGTACTGTACATGTTGAACTTTGTGTGTGTGTGTGTGTGTTCGCGATAGCGCGAGATAGCTGGTGTAGCCAATATACATTCAGCATCGTCCCTTTTTCCCATTACAAATTTTACTTACCGGTTGACATGGATATAGTTTTGTGGTTGCCAGGTCGTGCTGAATCATCCCAAAGCTACTCGGGATATGGCAGCTTGGATATACCCCAGCATATGCGGCGCGCGAATGGACGGTTCATGCGGCAATATCCTACGCCTGGATGATATTTCTAGGTAGGTTTTCAGGGGATGTACGGCTCGTGGAGAGAGATTTTAAATGCGGGTATGCGGCTACATTACTTTTCACGGCGAAGATGAGTCGGGGGGAGTAGTATGTCAGCATCAGTGGGATGTGTGCTATAGTTCTGAACAGGTGGTATGATGAGACTTGGATGTTGTTGGTGGTTTTGAAAGAATGTCAGAGGGAGTGGATAGAGAGCGATGGGTTTTCCACACAGGCCGTGGATGTTGGGATGGGTGTGCGTCATGAGACTGGGGAGTGGAACTTAATCTTGTGATTGCTAGTCCGGTTCCATTGGTGGTGTTGCACCTTGTGTTGAGTTGATCCGAATTCCAAACGCTCGGTTGCGATTGCCGGCATAACTGTAGACATGATTACGGAGCTCTGTACACTGGATTCGCGGAAGCCCAGCTCAGCGGCAAAAATGCGATGTGCTCACCTGTGGGAAGGTCGAGAAAGCGGGAAACGTCGCAGCGCGAAACATCAGAACGTGACAGATCCATGTGTAAGGCGCTCGAAGTCGTGCCGACCATGTCTTCATTGGCCGCTGTAGACATGGGAGGAGGCCATCGGGAGGATAGAGCAGAGGGAGCGAGGCGGCAACTTGCAAATGAAAAGAGCAAGGGTTCTAGATGGCCCATCACGCGATTCAATACACGTGACATTGTTGTGGTAGGTGAAAAATGGATACGCCAACTTGCGTGTTTGAGGCGATGTCCGCCCGGCTCGAGTTATGACGGGGTGAACTAACGAACTACTTCAGAATCGAAGCCTTCCACACCTCACACATGACGCATCTGCGCAGTATCAGCAATGAATTGTTTCAGATATTACTCTACGATATCATGAATGTACACATCTGGCATCTTGCTCAGACACTGATCGTCACTGATGAAGCATATAGATCTTAACTGTTATCACAGCATCCAGTCTCGCACTCCACTTATCCATTCAGATCTCAATCTTCCACTTTCCCGCCGGATCAAGTCATACAATGGCCAATGCGTCTCTATAGTCTTGATTGTAAGCTTGTTGGTTTCAATGACGCATTTGCGACCTGCCATGGAGCTCACTCTTGCGCCGAGATTTATAACCGGCCCAAACAACTAAAGCTTATCTCCATGCTGGATATATATCGAGCGTCCACTGCTTCTTCAACAACAGGAGAAAGTTTGAATGAAAATGCGCCCTGCCTTGTTCTTCAGAGTATTACAAGGCTAGGACAATTCAAACGTTCACCTTGAGGTAACACCTGATATCTGGGGTCTAATCTGTGCTCAAGCTGACGACTTCGCCCTCTAGTTCATCTACCACTAGGTATCAAAGCCAGTCCAATCTGAAGCCGAACGAGGATTCGCGCAGACGCGCCTGCCCGAACTGCGCATTAAGTTCCCTTGCTCCGGCAAGGGCCGATCAAAAACTATCAAGATGTATAAACAGGCTACAGAGACCACAGCACAAGAAAGGCAAAAATGAAGAATATCACTACTAGACGGGGGATTCGTCTGTATATCCTATAACTGGAACGGGCCCCATACTAATGCTTGCCCTCCCCAGGAATCAAACACACGTCATCTACTACGGGAATTGAATGAACCCGCCTTTTAATAGCTTAATTATCAGAAACGCTCAAACTACTGAGCCTTAGTAATGATAGAACTAGGATCTTAGTTGCTATGAATACCTAAACAACGATTGCGAGTTTAATAATTGTGCTTTTGATGGTGGCGATAGAAAGTATATAGGGCTTTAAGCGAACGTGGTGAATGTAAGTGACGCTCAGAGAAGAGCAAAAATTGCGGAGATGGTGAAAACAGAGACATGAGCGGAGAATGCGCTCTCACCTTCGCCTCAGCGGCTGCTTCTGCAATTCTCTCTGGGGGTTTGGAGCGCGCTCTGCTCACACTCCAAGTACTGTCAAACAATAGGCAACATGCTATATACGAGCCTAGATAGGGTCAATACTTGGTCAGCATGTTATGAGGTACCGAAGAGGTACGGAAGTTGTATACCCTAAATTAAGATACACCTGAAAATTGCTGAGCTACATGTTCAAATCTATCAAGAACGTATATTCAGTTCATCGGCATCCCATACATCCCGTCCTCTTGCCTTATATTGCATGGAGCGGTAACACCTTTCTGTGAGCCACCTGATATGATGTGCTCCTCGCTTTCATTTCCTTGAGTGCGCAGGACGCTGACGTGGTACGGATCTTTTACCGTGCGAAAACCCAGCCGTGGGGTTTTCGTAAAACTTCCACCGGAAAGCTCGTATGTCGAAGAGTTTGTAGAGACGCGGGTCCAGAACCGATGTGTAAATAAGGGACGAACCATGGTAGCCTGCCCAATGACGATCGCGACGAAGTCTTCCCGACAGGACCAGATTGCGGCTGTTTGTCCTTGCTGGAGTGACAAGACGAAGTAAACCCGCAAGACTGCTGCGATCATGACGAATATTCCAGCACTGAACATGAATATGATTCCAATCTTGCGGGCCCAGGTGATTCTCAGAGGCAATATAATAGGTATCGGGATGATGATAATACACATGTCGGTGACGAGGTTGAGCACGAGAACAGTGATAAGGAAGACGGGGCTTTGCGGCATGCAGAGTCCTACGAAGTATTTTCAGCGGAAGCAGCAAGGCGAGATGAGGTATACGCACTTCCCGGATCTGGGAGGATTTGCCAAAGCTTATGAAAGGGTCGACATGCTGTTGCAAAGAGAATCCAAATAGCCACGCCCGTGGCCCCCACAAACGCCATCGTCGGAATGATGACAATCCTGATGTGACTGACGCTAACGATGCGCCGAGAGAGGAACAAAAAGTTGAACTTGAGTGTCCAGATTAGCCCAATGTAGGTGTACCATCCCACCATAAACCATTTGGTCCCTTTCTGACGCATGGCGGCTTCCTCTGGGGAGAAGGATAATCGCTGCTCGAGCGTCAGGTGAGACGTGTCACCAGTTCCGCCGACAATATGTGCCGCAACTGTCATTGCAGTGTAACAGGCCTAAAGAGTGTTAGTTTGCCCGCTGTAGCTATCCAGAACAGCTTACCCAGGCGAAGAAAATAAGGTAGTCGTCACCGCAGTATCCCGCGAATCCAACCATTTTCGTGCGACAGAAAATTCTCATCATAATAACGATGCTTCCTACGGCGAAGAGTGTCCATGTTTCGATGAGCGCTGCTTCAAACGCACTGACAGCCATGATTGAAGAGAGTTGTGGTCTGCGTTTCAACGAAGGAAGTAAATTGTCATGGATAAAACTTTGAATATTGTTAACCTGAATTATCCAGGAGACTACATGTAATTAGACTCTTGAAAGCCATGTTCCATGACCGCGCCGCGTAGGCATTCGCATTGACTTCGAACGATGGTTTTGCAATGATCCTACTTCAATAGAGCTAGCTGCAGTTGCAACTACCAGGATCCCGTCGAATGAACGTATCGTAAAAACTTTGTTAAATCGCAGCCGTCTCTATCCCGTCATTTTTGAGATTGTTCGTACCAAGGGGCAGACCTGCGCGGAGATGACTACGAATGAGGAACGAGAAGAAGGACCACGCCACATGCTTGCAGAAAAGTACGGGGCTGTACGCACGGCAGACCGATCGAGATTGCGGATAGTCAGCCGCCGATTTCGACTCTCATCTTCTATCGGATGGTTGTCCTATTCTTTGGATACCTGACTAGTCACGATAGTAAGAGTGGAAAAGTAACTCACTATCGTGGCGATCATGCAATCCAGCTTCCAGTCATCGGACGATGCCACGGATCATGTTACAACCCTGACTTTACAAATGCACATAAATTTGTCAACCACGGGCTCGGGATTAACAACCAAAGGGATACCAGAATGAAGTATCTCGAAGCCGTTGTGCCGCGCATGGGCTCGGAACAGTTCTACATCAGGCTCTAGCGCGATGTCCGTAAAGTGCATCCACCAGCCAAGATATGGTTTACCATATCATCGGGTGTCGTGCAGATGTAATGGTGGTACAGTAACTGTGAAGCGGGGTAGCCGTGTGGTTGTTGGCATTCGAGGCATCAAATATACCTGAGCCAATACAATTGCAAAGTAACAATTTATCGCAACAACTGTACCTATGGTACAGTACTCGACAGCCTAATCAATAACCTTTGATCGCGAGCATTCTGCGCTTTTGTCCTTCACATGTGTCAAACAAGCGTCCCGAACACCTGGGTACATGGCGGGATGCAGACGAGCCACGCCGCAGAAATCCTGCAAGAATCTGGCCAATCACAAGCCGATGGCACATTGTTCGATGTGCAAACGCCTCCCCACTTTAGTATGCAGTAGGCTAATAAACGGCGGTCGACCTACTTCGATCCTTAGCCTGCGTTGTCTGTGGAGCACAGCGCGTCGAAGACAACTAAAAGTCAAACGACAGTTCTGTCACTCACCCACTTGGGTTTGTCCTCTCTTGTCCACCAGTCTTCAGTAGAATCGTCACTCCCACCAGCCAGATTATCCAATCCTTCTGAATTTTCCTTACTCCCCACTTGAAACACTACATCACTTTACCATCATGGGTTCGATAGACGAGTTGAAGGCCCATTACCCAAACGATAACTCGAACGGCACACACACCGAAGATCTCGATGCTCTTATCGTAGGTGCTGGTTTCGGAGGCGTCTACCAGCTGAAGGTCCTCCGAGATGCAGGATACAGGGTGAAGCTCGTCGAACATGGTTCAGACTACGGAGGTGTTTGGTATTGGAACAGGTACCCCGGAGCGCGTGTCGACAGCGAAATACCGCACTATGAATTCTCTGATCCAGCCTTATGGGAGGATTGGACTTGGAAGCAGCGCTTTCCTGGCAGTGAAGAACTGCGTGCTTATTTTGCGTATGTGGCCAAGAAGTGGGATTTGAGAAAAGATACGCAGTTCAACACCTTCGTCTCATCAGCGACTTGGAATGACGGACAAGGCCGATGGACGGTGAATACCGAGGCTGGTGAGATTTACAAGGCGAAGTACCTGTTACTGAACACTGGCTTCGCAGCGAAGAGGTACATCCCGGATTGGAAAGGCGTAGATTCATTCGAAGGTATGTCGCCTCAGCCCGGGTTCGGATACAACGCTAACTTCATGTAGGAACGTTTCTCCACCCTTCATACTGGCCGCATGAAGAGCTCGAGCTTGCTGGTAAAAGGATCGCGATCATCGGGACAGGCTCTACTGGCATCCAATTGGCGCAAGAACTCAGCAAAGTAGCCAGCCACCTGACAGTCTTTCAACGCACCCCAAACATGTCCTTGCCCATGGGACAGGCCGAATTCAACGCACCCAAGCAAGCTATCCCCAAGCCCAAATACCCCGATCTATATGCCAAGCGTACCGACAGCTTCTCTGGCTTCAACTTCAACTTCCTGCCCCGTGCCACCTTCGATGATACTCCCGAGCAACGCCAGTCGACATACGAAGAACTCTGGAGCAAAGGCGACTTCCATTTCTGGCTCGCGACTTACCACGACATGCTTTTTCGCAAGGATGCGAATCACGAAGCATACAAATTCTGGCGCGACAAGACGCGAGCGAAGATCAACCATCCCAAGATCGCTGATATCCTTGCGCCAATGGAACAGCCGCATGCCTTTGGCTGCAAGCGCATTTCGCTGGAGAACAAGTACTTCGAGATCTACAACCAGCCCAATGTTACGCTCGTTGATATTAGCAATAAAGGTACGCCCATCCAGGAGATCACTGAGAAGGGCATCAAGACCGCGGGCCTGGAGTACGAGTTCGACTTCATCGTCAGTGCGACAGGGTACGACGCGATCACCGGCGGACTCACGCAGATCGACATCAAGGGCACATCTGGCGAGAGTTTGAGCGACCACTGGAAAGACGGAGCGAAGACCTATCTTGGTCTTGCCGTCTCGAACTTTCCGAACATGTTTTTTACTTATGGGCCGCAAGCCCCGACAGCTCTGTGCAACGGCCCGACATGTGCGGAGCTACAGGGCAATTGGATCTTGCAGGCGATGAAGCACTTGGATGACAAAGGACTCAAGAAGATCGAGGTGGAGAAGGACAGCGAAGACGAGTACAAGAAGGTGATCTGGAAGCTTGCGAATGCTTCGCTACTTCCGAGCACAAATTCGGTGAGTCCAAGTGGTGTAGACGGGACGATTTGGACTACGTTACTGACATTCTGAAGTGGTACATGGGTACAAATATCCCGAACAAACCCAGGGAGCCGCTGATTTGGTTGGGTGGCGTACCGGAGTATTATAAGATGATCAACAATTCGGCGGCTGATGGCTACAATGGGTTCAAGTTGTCGTAATTGTTGGTACATGTCTCGAGTAGGAGAGCAAGTCGAGGAAGGAAGAGACAGATTATCGGGCTAGGAGCTCATGTCGGCAACAGAGTACTTTGTCGCCGACAGTAAATTGCACAATTTTGGAAGAAGTACGTGTTACTGAGCAACCGCTTAGTCCTACTCAGATTGCGCCAATATTATATATGGTTACTTTAATTCAAGAAAGAGAATGTGCAATCCTTCTTGCACGCCGTAGTTATGTCTGTTAACCGTACGGGTGACCTTCGTGCTTCATTCTGCGACCCCAGACGTATATATATCCAGATATTTAAACGATACAAGGCCGCAAGACCCACTGGCTCGCCACGGAAGCATGCGTCCACCATAGCTTCGTAGGAGGGATCGCACTTGTGTATGTACAGAACATCTTCTTTACACAATGTGCATGTATCTGAACTGATAGTGACTGTCTGCGTGTTTCAATCATGCTAGCCGCTCATTCTATTCAGATAGATGATCAATCCCATCCTACGATATTTCTTCTTTATCCAAGAAATACCTCAATCAATATGACCACAACTCAGAACACTCAAACTACCATGGATACAACTCAGGACGTACAGATCTCTGCACAATCTATGGTCACAAAAGGTGAACGTCGCGAGCAATATCTCAAAGTTAGAGCCAACCGCACCCGCCTCATCTCGGATCATTCGCATCTTTTGGTGGATATAGGCGCCTTCGAAACAGCCATTGGCAACAAGTTCCTCTTCACCGGTGAGGTCCTAGAGCAAGCCGCAGCAGACCTCGCCGAGGCTAAAGCCCTGGACCCCGATGCAGATTCCATCTACATCCCGTATGTCTTAGGCGACGGTGAGTAGGCGTCAAACCATCATGGGCCGGGCATTGTGCTTAGCCTCACGCGCTCGTATGAGCTGGTCACTAGAATGGGCGATGCCTCTCTGTACAAAATGGCGCCCGCCTACATTGGGAAAGACTTCTTGGTCAAGAACGTCCTCAAGCCCGATGATATCGACACGCACCCGCTGCGCAACGCTATCGCAGGATGGGCACATTTCGCCCCCCATTTATTGGAGATGGCTGCGATGCAGCAGCGTTTAGAGGTGAGCCGGGCCATGGAGGAAATTAAGAAGCTCATAGTTGCGTCGCCAGTTCGGATTGATAATGTTGTCTGCTTGGCGCTTGGTAAACTTTACTGGGATACGTCACTGAAGGAGAACGCTTGCGGACAATTTCTCCTGGCTTGGGCTATTGCAGGTGCTGTTGCAGAGCACAAGGAATCCACGGCAGCTATCCCGATAGTGGTATTCGGCCCAGACTACGATATAGCGGCTTGTCATCTGCTTGCATACCTGCCCCATCTAATCCACATCTCCTCCAGCCCCTATAAGTATCTCAGCATGATGCCAAATACTCTGGTGATCTGCATTGGTATCCCGGTATTCACACCGGCTTATGAGATCATGGCCGACTGCTTGTTCCCATCGGGACCAGCAGCATTAATGTGTATCGAGCTTCCGGAACAGCCCTGGCACGTGCAAGGCTTAATCTCTCTGTGTGATCCTCTTGTGCCCCGGGTGGCGAAGATTCTCGAGCAATATGAGGTGGGTTGGCTAGGCGATTTCGTCCCAAAGGTCCAAGACAGTGGGTTGAAGGAGCTGCAATGGCTGCGAAACGTAGTTTGGTACAGCCGCAAACGGTAAAGATCTTGTTAGTCTACCCGCCACAGGTCGCTTTCCTAAAATTGTCGCCTGTTACTTAGTTTAGTGACGACGACAGATTGTTTTATGTGTTGACATAACCCGCAAATCGTAAGCATCTTCCGCAAAATCTTTTACCACTGCTTGTCTATTGTTTTCGTGAGTCGCCTGCATAGTTATGACACACTTCACTACAGATGTTTTGCACGATCATGCATGATTAGTTCGTTGACAATTTGCTGCACGATCGTGGGCTGCTGACCTAGTCATGTCAGCAACGTCTTGCTCGAGGTACATCACCTGGTGCGCAGCTTGTGCTTACGTGCAGCAACTCGTGCGGAGCGGACTTGATAATACACGTATTCAAATCCGTAGTCCGTTGGGTCGGCTCCAGACGACCACTGGTGTAAGCTGGTAGAGCTAGCCCCGGCAAAGAAATGTCGCTTATCGAGCAATGAGATCCACGAGCGGTGTGACGGAGGATTCATGAGTTGTGGCTGCAACCTGTCCCCGGGTAATAACCTAAGCGAAGTGATAGATGCTGTTATGAGGTGGGGTTGATTTAGCCCGAAACTTGGGTCGCCGAAGAACAGCAAGGGGCCTCCCATATCGTAGGTCGCTGTGCGCATACGGCTCATCGCAAGGCATTCTCGAAAGGCACATCTAAGACAGGATCCAATCTATTGACAGCAATGCAACATAGCGCCTCAACAGATGCAAAAGGTGGAATTGCTTTTCCTGTTAAAAGGGCCGAGTCTTCCCCATTGGGAGCGTTTCGATAGAAAATGGTGTTTAGGTGAGGTCGCAAACATATTCAGTGTTAGCGGTTGAGTTCATTGAATCTCGACCTTTGGAGGATTGGTGTCAATCTGTATGGTAACCTGAACGATCATGAGGAAAAGTCGTCCAAACCAAAACAACGCGGGCTGCTGAGCGGATCTAATGCTTACCGGGCCATCATTGACAAGCGCAACGTCCATCTAAATGGGGCGTATGAAGTCAGCCAAGATGTCGCATATGCAATTCATGTTTGGCAGTGCGCACCATTGCTGCAAAGACACCGTCTTTAACTTTGCTGGGTTCGTACAGCTCACCAACTTTGTTGTAAAATGTCTGGTAAAGGCTCCTTGCTTTGTCGCCGCTGGCAGATTGATGAAAGTCTGGTTTGTTGCCTTTCTTTACCGATGCCAACAGTGTGAATTGTGAGACTGGCCTTGATCAGCAGTGTCGCAGACACGGTGCATGGCATTTGCTTGGAAGGTGCCGACACCAGCAATGGAGTACACACCGCAAAGTACTTCACCACCTATGTCCTGGACGCTACATTTCCACTGCTCACGGGTTACAAAAGGTTTCAAGCATAGAGAGCCCAAGACGAACGCGGCCCGGGGGATCCTTGGAATCGTCGTCCCACAGCTTCGTTTTGAGGATCTTGCTGGCCATGGAATCGATGTCCTTCTCGGTATCGTCTTTGGAGACAGCTGCTAGAACAAGCAGGCCTTTGCTAATGGACGAGACCAGCTGCCCGTCCACTGTTACCGAGGCCGACTTGACCCTTTGTATTATAGCTGTGCCCGATTAGGTCTAGACGTGAACGACTGGGTTGGCAGATGAGCTCACTCCTCATGCTGGTGGGGTAGCTGCAGCAGTGTCCAATCACGTGGGAATTGCGAGAGGAATATATCGCAAAATTGCAGGATGGACAAATAAGAGTAAAGGAAATGCACGATCGATAGTAATGGAAAATTAATGGCCGTCCACTCTGCTGACACAAGGCTGGTTTCACTGGGAACGCGTCGAAGAAAGGCTGAAGCGCGTCCCGGGACTAGAGGATCTCCGCCTTGGCGCTCTAGCCGAAGTGGCTCACAGCTACCATGGTCGTCTGAACCTCTCGCGTCCACCGAACCGCAGCAAACAACCCTCCCCCCGCCCATCTCACCGACGTACACGATCGCGTGCCTGCCAGCCTTCAGGCCACATCACCGCCCCCGCGCGTCTCGAGGACCCCGCTCTACCGAATTGTTAGCCCTCGCGACGAGGCTACACCAGCCATGGCCGCCCGCAAGCTCCAACAGGAGATCGATAAATGCTTCAAGAAGGTCGCCGAGGGTGTGGCGACCTTCGAGAGCATATACGAGAAGATTATGCAGACGGGGAACCCTTCACAGAAAGAAAAGCTGGAAGACCAGCTGAAGAAGGAGATCAAGAAGCTGCAACGGTCGCGAGACCAGATCAAGACATGGGCCGCCATGAGCGAGATCAAGGACAAGAAGCCGCTATTGGACCACAGGAAGCTCATTGAGACAGTACGCTGAACCGCTGTGCGCTCACTACTAGCCTACTGACCACGTGCAGCAAATGGAGCGCTTCAAGGCCGTCGAGAAGGAGATGAAGACAAAGGCATACTCTAAAGAGGGGCTGCAATTGGCGTCCAAGATCGACCCGAAAGACAAGGAGAGAATGGAGGTGGTCGAGTTCCTGCAGCACATGAATGAAGAGCTGGAGCGGCAGATAGAGACACTCGAGGCTGAGGCGGAAACCATGCAAGTTGTGGGGAAAAAGAGCAAGAAGGCGGACGCATCCAAGGCCGAGCGAATAGCGGAAATGGAAGAAACAGTGGAGCGACATAGATGGCACCAAACCAAATTGGAGTTGCTACAACGAGCGCTGGAGAATAGCAGTATCGACACCGAGCAGGTCAAAGAGATCGAGGAGAGCATCAAGTACTACGTCGAGGAAAACCAAAGTCCAGACTTCATGGACGATGACACAATATACGACGAACTCAATCTGCAAGAAGAGGAGGTCATTTTTGGCATGGGTGGAGAGATGGATCGCGTGTCATCGCAAGACACTCAGTCGATACAAGACGAAACGCCCGAGCTCGAAGGCAAGCCGTCAGCGCCCGAAACCCAAGGTCGCAGAACCGACGCAGTCAGGCGCGCGAAGACCGTCGACGCAGCTCAAGTCTCCATTACCGGCGTTGGCGACATTGCATACGCCATTACCTGGTACATCGAGCTCAGCAAACACGTCGATGAAACCTGCCCCACTACCGACACGGACACCTGGAGAACCATTGAAGTATGCCTCGGCGGCCGCGGCGGCAGCCGCAAGTGACAAGAATGGAGTGGGCATTGCTCCTCTGCCACCACCACCGGGAGGATCCGCAGCACCGTCAGGCCTAGCTCCAGCCGGCGCACGGGCAAGCGCATCCACATCGCCAGCGACCACACATCCGAAGTTGGCACAAACGTCAAGTGAACAAGTACAGCCAGCACAGGCCAGATCTCCCGCTGCAACACCAAGCCATCCTGTCACTGCAGCTGTCGAAAAGGAAGCGTTATCACGTGCGGCATCAGCTGAAGATGCTGTTAAGGCAAGCAGGAGGACGCCGGCCCCCGAGCGCTTAGAGGAGGAGGGTTCACAAGCTGCCACACCACCGTTGACGAACGGTGATTCACATGCAGAGGACGAGGAAGAGGAGTCGGTGTACCACCTGCCCTCCAGCTTGCAAGATCTACTCGATTCTTTTGAGGCAACGAAGAACGAAATCAACGCTTCCGTTTCGAAGCCGCCTGACGAGCGCATGCTAGCCTCTTCCATGGCCACCGCACCCGACTCGGCGGATACAGAAGCCCCACGCCACTATCAGCCACAAAATCCCTACCCGTTCACGCCCGCGCACTACCCGCAGGAGCCACTGCCCATATTCGATGACCCACGACTGTACCAACGGATAGAAACGGACGCGCTGTTCTATGCCTTCTACTACCAACAAGGCTCCTTTCAGCAATATCTTGCGGCCAAAGCGCTGAAGTCTCAGAGCTGGAGATTCCACAAGCAGTACCAAACATGGTTCCAACGGCATGAAGAGCCAAAGGCAATCACCGAGGATTATGAGCAGGGGACCTACAGGTTCTTCGACTACGAGAGCACATGGTAAGCACCCAGACCCCATTCAGCACCGTCCACTCGGTCGACCCCTCGTTCAGGTCGTGCCACCATATGCTTTGATCTGCACGTCATTCGATCCTTCGCTAACCCTTGTCAGGATGAACCGCAGGAAAGCTGACTTCCGATTCGCGTACAAATTCCTGGAGGATGAGTTATGAGCTACCCAACGGCTCTCGACCTGAGGCCGTGTCTTGGTCGCAATAGTTACATTCTGTATTGAGTATTAGGTAGTCCTCTAATGGTCCCCTTTTGTGGGCAGATCTCCGTCGGGTCCGAGGCGCTCTACAGCACGATTATCGCTTCTCGCACATGCCATGCTACACTGCGGATGACGCTAATTCAGATGCGCATGTGTAGAGTAATATACGGTGAGACAGTCAGGTTCACATATGAGGCTCGTCATGATGGAGGCCCTACTCCGCTCTTTCGGTTGGTTCGTTATAGAAATTGCAACAAAAAGAGCGCCGGGCGTATTCTGACATAATGTGGCTCAAGCAGCGCTTTTCGCATCATTGGCCGGGCCGCGGGCTAGCCCAACATGGCCCCCATCTCTACAGGCAGCCAAGGCTGAGGCGCACTGAGCCGCTTGCGAATGGCCGCCTTAGCGAGATTCCTTTCCGCAACGTTCAAGCTTCATTTACGCCCGACAGTAACTTGGTCGGGGATAACCTCGAACCCCAGCGGTTACAGGTTCAATCAAAGACAAGGTCCGGACTCGCACTCGTTGTGATCATCGCGCAGGCTAATTGTCCGGCAGGCAGACAGAGCTACAGCGTGCACATGCGCAAGCAGGCGTTTGATGACGATAACACAGTGTCAAAAAATGGAACAGATGCATCCCGTGTGCAGCCCATATGCACATAGCACAACCTATGAAAAACATCTTCACAAGCAGGCGTGCTGCGTTCACCGCTGTGTTTGGCGATCCACGCATACTCAATCTGCCCCGATGCCGCTTAATCGAGATGGCATTTACCATATCAGCGGGTACGAGCGCGCAGGTATCCTTTTGGGGTTGGCGTACGTTTTGTGGATCCGACACGCTTGACCTGCAGGTGATCTGTAGCATGCCTGCCATGGCCCTGGTAGTCAGCTGGCAGCTACCTAGTCTGGTTGGTCCACGGTAAGTCGAAGCGATCACTATACCTTCTACGACGCGTTGTACTGCAGCTTTCTGCCTTGGGGAGCGCCCGAGACCAAGGAAAGTACATCATAGCGTGCATACGACTAAACGAACGTGCGGTGCATAAGACGGACAAAGGTTCGAAGTATGGTCTTCCAGATCTATCCACGTCGCGCTGCGGATCCTTCCCGGACCGGTTTCTCATTGTCACCGCTCTGTCCGCCATCTTATCCTGGTCAGGTTGGACGGTGGCCTTTACCGTGCCACAAAAGATCCTGACTCCCACGTTCATACAAGACCGGATGTCAGCCCTATACCGATGACTGTGTGGATACCAACTACTCGGGAACATACATAGCCTCGCTCTATCGATCTACTCAGCTTGGAGTATTCTAAACTCAACTCCAACCGTGGCACGGTTACACGATCACTCCAATCCTACGATTAGAATCTCATCCGTCGGGCCTTTCGAAAGCTGCGTCAGACAACCGTATCCGCCCGTCTTTGACTATGATGCTGGCACCTCAAGATGGGTCTGGCCCATTCGGGCGTAGTGACACCTCCTCCACGGAAAGATATCTGTAAGTTCAGTTGACTTGTTTAGAACTTGGGGTGGCAGTGACGCCGGAGCATACGATGAAGAACCAGGTCTTCATATAAGGAGCGAGGCAATGCCTTGATCAACTATCATACCAATAAGGCGTCCGTCACTTACTATTTTAGTTCCCTTCAAGAACTTGAACCAGTTCAAACACCTACATATACTGCGAGGAAACCTGCAAGGAACAGCAAGTTACGCAACGTCCCGTCTTTAGTGTCCGCATATCGCCCGCTCTCTGGCTCAGGCACTACCCGGCACAAGAAGTCATTACGCCCAAAGCAAGAACCGGTTTCGCCCGTCATGTCTGGTTACGGGGTAAGTTGGTGTTACGACTCGAGTTGTATTTCAAATCACTTACAATGGTCAGTACTCGTCAGGTGGCGGTCAGGGCAACTACAATTACGCCACTTCTACGTATCAAACAACAGTCCCGCAGTACACTCAAACACAAGTCAACCAGTACTACGCACAATATCAATGCTATCCTCCACAACCATACCAGATTATCCCGGACTACTACGCACAGCCAGTTCACAGTGCCACTGCTGGCTACCATGCACCAGTTGCTACAGGAGACTATGAGGGTGCGCAATGGCACGGGCAATCTGATAACCACGACGTAAATATGGGTAGTCCCCATGGCCCAACAAGGTAAGACCGCTCAACGCAATCTTTACTACTGTAACTAACAAATGACAGAAGCAACAGCCGCACAAAGTAAGCTTCACTCATATCCCTTCACCCAGTATTGACCGCACAACTAACATTCTTCAAGAACATGGACATGCGAAATATCCGGCTGCACCTCCTCCGCAAACTTCACCCGTCTCGCCGACCTCCAACGCCACCAATCCACAGTCCACGGCATGGGCACCCCCGAATTCCCCTGCACAGTCGCCCACTGCAACCGCGTGGGCGACAAAGGCTTCACCCGCCGCGACCACCTCGTCGAACACCTGCGCAACTTCCACCACATGGACATTCCCAAGCGCCGCCCCGGGGAGCGTAGCGCCTTCCCCTTTGGCTGGCCCGAGGGCTTCCAGAACCAGTGAGTATGCGCCGGCCGAGAAAGAGGAGGGCTGATTTTGCGTCTGGCAGAAGAGGGGGCGTGCGCAAATCTAGTCGGAGGGGAGGCAGAGGTGCGAGCGGTGGGAGTAGGAACACGGGCACGAGCATGAGACAGATCGATACATCATCGGCGCTGCAGCCGTCTGCCGTTGTGTTGGATCATCTGGGCATGCACTTCTCGCAGCCTGAGGAGCAGCCGTTTGCGCTCGGAGACTTTGCAGACACCCCTCGGAGAGATACGCAGGGCGAGGGGTCGGGCGTAAGTACCGAAGCGCCTGCTGATGACGATCCCTGGACATTTGTATGACCCGCCGGACATTTGATTTGCCAATCTTGTTTTTTTTTATTTCCATTCGTTTTGCGCGCATTCATTTCCCTTTCTGTCGTTTTAGACTCTTTCGCTTTCAAAGCTGCACATATTTTGGGGATTGGTTTGGGCTTAGCATAGCGGCAGGTACATTAGCAAACTTTTTGGTCTTTCATTTAGTCTTCCGTTTTTTCTTGCTCTGTCGCGGGCAATCGCGGGAAATGCGCATGCATCTGTGAACTAGTTTCTTGGGGATAGGCATGGCGAAGTGGCTGTGAGCCTGTGAGAGCGTACGATAGTGGGTCTCTAGACTATACGACATTCACATGTCGATGCGATATCCCGCTCAATAGTCCATCATTGTATCGATGCTTGAGTCATTCGACATCTGCAAGAGTGTTCGACGGGATAGAAAGTAACATGACCGGTGAACGATGTGGAGAGAGTGGAGCCATAACCGCTGAGGGTGTTGGTGTGTTCGTATAGGATCCTCCACTAGGATAGTGCAGCTCTACAGTTTATGCGGGAAGCACTCCGCACAGCTGGTATTGGACGCATGCACGTAGTCGCATCAAACAACGACTTCGTTGTGTGCTGTGCCGCATACTTGCATTACTTGCGATGGGCATCTCGGCTTGCTAGGCTGCAGGATTCCAGCAATATGGGAGCTGGAATAATTATTGATTGTCGAGCCGTGGCCGCGGGGCAATGGGATAAATTTAGAAGCGGATGCAAAACCGTTGTGATGCTTGGTAATGGTACCTAATTACGCCGCAGCATATGCAAGATGCTTGGTTTTATGTCCTGTTGAGGAGATGCGAAGCGAGTTTCTTCTAGACTTTATCATCCGTCTGGCACAGAGACATATCGGTGTTGGGTTAAGGGAGTGGCCTTGGAAGCGGCACAGGTCCCCAGTCAGTTGGCTCGGCCCGAACCTGAGGTTATGGAGACTTGGTCGAGACTTGGTCGCGTAATTACCAGAAGTGGCATGACGCACACCATGAACTGGCCCATGAAGGTCGCTTCGGAAGACCTTACGCATGAGGGTAGACTGGTGATGGTGTTGGTGCGGCCGACCCTGGGGCCTCAATAACGGTGCCTAGCATGAATGAGGAATGCAGCTCGTTGCCATACATAGAGACGATCTCCCGTCTGCGGCCATATAGGTACTTGACTGTGCCTCACACCTGTAGTTGAGTGCCGAGATCTCTTGTTGCCACGCGGAGGCACAGTTTTGTGCATCACGATCTCTTGATGGGCCCAGCAGCCAGCAGCTTGGGTGGGGCCACCCGCTTGAGCCTCCGTCAACTTACGAACTCAACTCCAAACATAGAATGGACTTTTCCATGAGACAGACTAAGTTTGCAGGTTAGGGCAAGGCATTCTTCGCAAGAGGACGGAATGTTCTTCCGGTCCCACCGCGACTAGCGCAGTGTTGAGTATCCGAGACCATGTCATCACGGACTGCAATGCGTATGACGACAGTTGTTTTGCTCGCATACTCGGACATCTGCGATTACAGGACCCGGCGGCCGTTTGATGCGGTTGCGAAAGCCGACGGAGGCGAGGCTGCAATTGCGGCGAGTCCGCCTTGCTGCGGCGCGGGTGTTGCACGTGGAAGCCGGCCTGTAGGTGTGTATATTTGGAGCTGGGACCATGCGAGAACCGAGTAGAGGGTCTTAGAAGTGGCATGAGATATGGTGACTGTGAAGGGAGGAGATGCGGACGCAGAACTCAGAAGTAAGTCCGGACCTGCTTGTGCAGGAGGAATGAAGGAACGGCGATGTGGCCAATCAGGGCTGGTGCCTCTTAGCTTACACGATACGGTCTTATCGATAGCTAAAGTGTGTGTGGGCGCTGAGAAAGAGCGCGCACTAGCTGTCGCAATACATCTCACGACGCCGAAGTTCAAGCACAGAATCTACATGGTCTGGCATCAGCTTGAGAGCGATATGAAGCTCATCTAACTTTGACCATGGCTAATCTAACGCGCAGTGGCTTGGTCACATGCTCGCACAAAGGGTCAGTCGATTGCTGGCGATGACGTGTTAGCGCAAAAAAGCGTTTTGATCTCCAGACATTTCCCAGACGCGATCCGTGGTTGCTTCACTCGTCTCAGTCTAACATTTCATCTTGCTTCCTATCACCTATTATTTCTCTGCTCAGGCTCTGACTCATGTCTTTCAAACCTCACATACACACTACATCGAATTTTACAGACTCCTTACCGTGGCAATAAAGCGCGCTTATTACTTCCGGTCCCCCGCATTTTCAGCATCTCCGAATACTGCAGCCTAACTGAGAATAACAAGCAAAGTCCTACCACAGGAACATCTTGGAGCACAACCCAAGAAACAACCCTGAAAAAACACCAAAGTCCGCCTCTACAGGCTAGCGATCTAGGCATAGATTCTTCATCATGCGCGACCTTCGCAGAAGAGCTCTGGAGAGCAACAAGACAGTCTCGCGAAAGACAGCTTCACGCATAGCTTCAGGCGCAACCTCAAAGGCCGGCTCAGCGGCACCATCACCCGCACAATCACGAGCCACCAGCCGCACGCGTGGTAAACCGACATCCGACGAAGAGGACGAGGAAGAGTACTTCAGCGACAGCACAGCGTGGAGGTAGGTCTCGATCGCTTTGCTCCTTGACGCACTGCGCGACCAGTGTCGTGTCTCTCACAACAGTACGCTGACTGCCATACGTGTAGTACCAACTCCATCGATGGTGTACTGAACAACGAGGAATTAGAGATGTCCGAAGAGGCTTGGAGAGCCGAGCTCTACACGCGCATCGAACAGATTAGCAATACCAAGCGCAGCAGCACCGATGGCCGCATACAAAGCTTGAGTGTGTACGCGCACATCCTCATGAGTCGATATGCTCGGCGCGATGTAGAGAGCCACTTAGCCGAACTCATCCCCTCCCTGATTAAGAGCATCAGGCAGGACAATAGTGAGCGCGAGGCTCTTGTAGCTTTGACAGGTAAATCGACCCGTGTGCTAATCTTAAGAGTTCACTAATATTCTGTAGCTCTCTGCGTTACTATCGTCACTCTCGAGTCGGATGATATCTACGACGATGTCGCCAACCAGCTGAAGCGTTCTATCCAGTCCTCCGAGTCCATCGAGATCAAAACCAGTGCAATCCACGCTCTTGGCACTGCTGCCTTCTTCGGTGGTGCAGGTGAAGATGAGAAACTCGACATCATGGCGCTCTTACTCGAAATCATCGAGTCTGATGGCGGATCTGTGGAAGCACAAGATGATGGCGGCGTCGTCACAGCAGCTCTCCAGCAATGGGGTCTACTTGCGACCGAGATTGAGGACTTGCAAGAAGAGACTGAGGCTGCTATGGAGGCATTTGTCGACCAGCTAGACAGCGCTGATCCAAAGGTGCAGATCGCTGCCGGAGAGAACATTGCATTCTTGTACGAGAAGTCCTACACGCCCCAGGAAGAGGACGAGGCGGGATCGGAAAAGGATGATTCTGAGGATCCTTCCGAGGATCCAGAATACAACCCGAGTGCAATAAAGATGGTCAAGCGCTACAATGTCTACAGAAGACCAGATCAGCTAAGGCGAACACTGGAAGAGCTTGCTAAGACCTCAAGTCGCCGCGTGTCAAAGAGGGACAAGAGATCGCTTCACTCGTCGTTTGCGGAGATCAGAAACACCGTCGAGAAGCCAACGCGCGGACCAGGCTATTCTACCGCAATCGACCAGGAAACAGGTCGTGTGTATGGAAACCGCGGAAAGATGAAGCTCGACTCCGAGGACGTGACAATTGACCGGTGGTGGAAGCTGCTGAGACTGAATGTGCTGCGGAGAGTACTGCAAGGAGGCTTGTCGGAGCACTACAGTCAGAACGCGATGGTGAACCACGTGCTGCGGGACTAGATTGGCTATACTGAATCGTAGACGCAAGACATATACGAAGGGTGGTAGACGAAAGTTGTTGATGGAGTCACTAGATCGTCCACACGCGGATCGAGAACAAAGGGCGGAAACAGAAAGTAGGACTTGCTTGTTGCTCTAAGTTAGTTCTCACAGTCGACTAGACAATGCATGATGGTTGATCTTCGCATCAATTCTTCAAACCCATGAGCGCACGGATACCGACATTGTGCCCCGCATGCCCCTCACCGTCATGGTCGACACCGCCATCTGCACGATCGCTACGCTCGCATGCTGCGCTCTTTTAGCCTTACGTTGCGAGTACTCCTACAGAGCCCCCGTCTTCTGCCAATCGGGTCAAAGCAAACGCCTTTTGTAACGTCGCTTCTCAACGCGATGATTGAGCGGTCGCGGCCTCTGCAAGGCGGGCTTGGCGCGGGAAGCTGTAGCTTCGTGGAAACTTCTGGCAGCTTACGGTGCCTGACTGAGGCTATTTCTTTCAGCCTCACCCCGCAATTGAACCCTAGTTAAAGCTAGCAATCCCACTGTTGCCTTCTTCTGTAGCTCGTGACAGTCCTTATAAACCCTACTGCCCTCACACAAGCTTCAATTGAGCGACCATGGCCGATACCAGTACGTTGTTCGAGCTCTCGAAGCTCATACCAGACCAAGAAGACTGAATAAAGTTTACTGATAGTCTCCAGAGCGTAGCCGCTGCTTCTTCGACATCGCAATCGGCGGTGTCAAAGCTGGCCGCGTCGCCTTCGAACTCGTATGTCCTCGCCCTCACCGCGCCGACCCTTCTCTAACACTGTAGTAGTATAACGACATCGTCCCCAAAACCGCCGAGAACTTCCGCGCATTATGTACCGGAGAGAAGGGTGTCGGCAATGCAGGCAAGCCGCTACACTACAAGGGATCGGGCTTCCATCGCGTGATCAAGGGCTTCATGATCCAAGGAGGGTAGGATAGCAACTACTTTGCGGCTTGGACACGGATTGCTGACAGTAACAGTGACTTCACCATGGGTAACGGCACGGGTGGTGAGAGCATTTATGGAGAGAAATTCGAGGACGAGAACTTTGAGAAAGTACACGAGAAGCCGTTTCTGCTGAGCATGGCGAATGCTGGTCCCGGTACGTAATTCGACATGAGACACAGGATAAGTGCACCGCATTATCTGAGTGGTATCATGGTAGTGCCACAGAGTGGCAGAATCATTACTGACGAGATCAGAAACCAATGGCTCGCAATTCTTCGTAACTACAGTTCCGACACCACATTTGGACAAGAAGCACGTTGTGTTTGGCGAAGTTATCAACGGCAAGAGCATCGTACGGACGATCGAGAACCTCAAGGTACAGAGCGGCGATAAGCCATACCAGGATGCAACCATAATAGGTATGATCAATCGTGTTCGGAGGCCTGTAGCAAGCGCTAACTTTTGGCAGACTGCGGTGAACTTACAGGCGAGGACTATGAGAAGGCCACAGAAAAAACGCCCGACGCGACTGGTGACCCATACGAAGATTTTCCGGAAGACCAAAAGCCCAGCGGCGATGATGAGTGGAAAGGCGACGAGATCCTCAAGATCGCAACCGAGCTCAAAGATATGGGCAATGCGGCCTTCAAGCAGCAAAACCTCGATCTCGGCATCAAGAAGTACCAAAAAGCATTGCGATACCTACACGAGTACCCTGCACCGCTCGAGACTGACCCCGCAGACCTCTTCCCCAAGCTCCAGACTCTTAAGATCTCCGTATACCTCAATTGCGCCCTTCTCCAGAACAAGACCAATCAGTTCGCCGATGCACTGGACAGCGCGTCGAAGGCGTTGGAGATTGAGGGCATCAGCGATAAGGACAAGGCGAAGGCGTACTTCAGGTCAGGACAGGCGAAGGTTGGCAAGAAGAGCGACGAGGGTGCGGTTGAAGATCTGAAAGAGGCACTCAAGTATGCACCAGGCGATGCGGCGATTGTGAAGGAGTTGGACGGTGCGAAGAAGAGGGTTGCAGTGCGGAAGGAGAAGGAGAAAAAGGCGTATAAGAACGCTTTCAACTTTGACTGAGTCAGATTGGTCTCCCGGTGCGATTTTCTGAGATCTGGGGCTTATGACTTTAGTCGCTATTCTCGTGATGTATGCAAAGACTCCGAGAGAGATTTAGTGGCTGAATATCAATAACATAATGATAACGAGTGTCCAATACGATTCTATCAATAATCCACGATATTGCGCTCTGTTCTCCTGCTCAACTCTTGAACAAAGATCAGTCTTGAAGAGAGTTTCTTTTGCCTTCTCCCTCCGAACTTCCAGCTACCTGAACGAGGTTCGCGTCCATACCGCTGATGTCTCGTGCTCTAGGATGACCCGGCGGGTCCTTACACGACTTGATAATACAATACGGATTAACAACATAGTACGAGACACGCCCCGTTTTCTCCAGCTCTTGGAGAGTCTTTTTCACAGCCTCACCTATTTCCGAGGACAATTCTTCAAGTTCAGCGGCGGAAATACTGGAAGGACCATCTCCTTGCAGCGACAACGAGTTGATGAACTCGGTGAAGTTGAGACCAGGAAAAGCTTCCTTCTTGATCTCGGGGACTGCGGTGAGCAGCGCTGTAGATGGTTGGATTCCTCCTGCGAGGATGTTATTAGGAACGCTGGTTTGAGTAAGCTGGTTATAGTAAATAGCGGCAGGCTTTTGCGCATAACCTACCCGTTGTGGCGTTTGATGGGGCTGGTCTGGACAGAGTCTGAATCCAGTTTTTCTGAGGCTGAGACTGAGCCTGCTGTCTCCGGGCTTACTCCGTTAGGCAGACGTTTGACACGGCCTTCGAGGCCTTGGTGTGTTACGATGTCTCTAGGCTGTTCACGTGGGAAGGATCGTGTCTCCCCGAGGTCTATAGGTGTAGCAACAGCAATGCCGATACTGAATGCAGCTACAGTAGCAAGGCGCATGTTGAGGTGGTATGGGCGAAGGGTAGTGGAGTTAATTTGTGAAGTAGCAAGTAGCAATGTAATGTGTTCGTTGTGTACAAGACGATAATCACGGTTATATTTATGTAGTTCTTATGCATCTCACTCGCTGCCGTGTGTTTCTAGTCCATACATCTGAACAAAGAACGTATGGAGTCTTGTGGCATCGTTTGCGTGCAATCGTGCTTTCAAAGCCACCCATATCCCCCACAAACTGCTCTGAAGGCGAGAATGGCGCATTCCAGACCAGATCTGAGTCGCTTCCTATTACTTGAGATGGGACAGTAAGAAGTCTAGTGCCTGTTGTTGGCGTGGGAAGCTTGATGTAGTTCGCTTGTCAGATTTTAGCACGTATTGGCTGATTAGGTCCCAGAGGCTCACGATAGTTGGGATCTTGCAGCATTTCGGAGAACAAAGCCGGTAGGGGCGCTAGTAAGCTACAGCATGCCGATCACCACGCCTATATGACACGGAGTCGATATATTGGCCATGTTGATCGGCGAGCATGATTTGCCCTTGCTCTATGCGGGAATGAGACGAATAATGATGTTTGGTAAATGGATCACATCTCAAACATGTACAACAGGGAAGAGCAAATTACATGGTACCTCACACGTATATTGTCATGCGGTGGGTTGACACTCACCCGGGCTGTTGAAGGGTAATAGCAGGTATCTGACAGCTTACTCAACATAAATAAATACTATTAGATACACACATGGGAGTTTTGTTTATAGAGCGAGATTCGGATTGGCAGTGTAAATCAATCGTGTGTGTATAAAGGTGGGGCACTCCGACGCCTCCTTTGATCAACTCAGCGCATAATATCAGTATTACGATAAATTCAATGAAAGGAAATCCGAGAGCCAATGAGTCTATGTAAATCGCTCCCAAAGCAACAGAACGATGGGATAGCGGTCATGGCTACACATTGACACGTGACCGAGTCCCTTTCGCAAGGCGCTCGATGTGTATCAAGCCCAGTCCCACCCACAACAAAGCCTAAATAGGTAGAAAGGAAAAGCTCAGCAGCATGTTTCACCGTGCTCTGAAGAGCTTATATCATTCTCACAGCGCTGATACGAGAGCAGTGCGTTGTGTCTTATACGTGTTTTTATGCATCACGGACCAGATAATCTTGTCGTGTTCAGCGGTGTTGGCGGATAATACGGGACTTTGTGTGCTGCAGTGCTAGCAACGTTCCTTATCTTCTTGTGGAAATAGTCTAGTCTACACATTCTGGAGTGTATTTTGTACATCTCAACTCCTTTAATGTATTGGCCAATTAAAGTCTATGCTCTTTGAACCGCCTTTAGCACATCAAGCATGTGCACAAACAACACCATCGAACGAATGTAAAAATACGGCGCTGGACATGACTTAAAAGTGGAACGAATGATTAAATAAACTCTAGTCATGAGCGTGGTATCCAAAAAGACAAGACGTGCCCTACGTCAATCTATATGCAAAAATAAAAGAAAGAAATCGAAGCTCTCATCATTGCCGGCGCCCCCATAGCCTGTAACTTCGCCAACTCCCAATACACCCTCCCTCTTCTCCACCAAATCCTCATGCCGCCCCATCTCCACAATCTTGCCCTGATCAAACACATAGATCAGATCCGCGTGTTGGATGGTGCTCAGACGATGCGCAATCGCAATAGTTGTGCGACCCTTGGCGGCGATATCGAGCGCGGCTTGGACGACGCGCTCGGACGTTGAGTCCAGGGCGGATGTAGCTTCGTCGAGGAGGAGAATTTTGGGGTTGCGCAGGAGGGCGCGAGCGATGGCGATGCGTTGGCGTTGGCCACCGGAGAGGAGGGCGCCTTTCGCACCGACGAGGGTGTTGAAGCCGTCGGGGAGGGACATCTAGGGTGTGTTAGTGGACGGCAATATTGGGTCAAGAGATGTGGCAGGCTTACAATGAATTCGTAGATGTTGGCGTCCTTAGTCGCTTGTACGACTGCTTCCTCAGACACGTCGTCTCTGTCGGCAAGGATGTTATCGCGAATTGTGCCGGTGTAGAGCGTGGTCTCTTGGCTGACGATGGCTAGTTGCGCACGGTAGTCTTGGAGGTTGTAATCTGTGAGTGGGACTTCGTCGACCAGGACTTGGCCACTTGTCGGATCGTAGAAGCGCTCAAGCATCTGCATGACAGTAGACTTGCCACTGCCACTGGCACCGACAAGAGCAATGAACTGTCCAGGCTCAGCGCGGATGCTGACACCACGCAAGACACGGTGGTCAGGCCGTCCAGGATATGTGAAGCGAACATCTTGTAGCTCTACCTTTCCTTCCAAGGTTTCAACTTTTCTGCCGTCCGTAGACCAATGATCGATCTTTGGGGATGCGGTTGACGAAAGATTTCAAAACCTTCGCGGCGTCACGTGCCTCGCCCATGTCGGGTGCGAACGAGAAGATAGCTCCAGCGGACTGTGCTCCGTTGATGATAGCCGAGTAGATGATGAAGAATTGCAGCACAGTGTACTGTCCAGAGAACAGCAAGCCACCACCGTACCAGAAGACGAGGGCAAAGATAAGCATGCTCAATCCTTGAGATGTCGCATACAATACACCGGAGACGTTCTGGAACTTGAAGTTGTCTCTCGCCTGGTCACCTAGCTTGCCGTGATATGCTGTGAGGAGATGCTTCTCGAGCGATAATGTTGCAACGGTGCGGATGGAAGAGGCAGCCTCACAAGCAAAAGACGCGGCTTCGTTGCTGCCCTTGGTACGCTTCTCCATACGAGTAAGTGCGTAGAAGCGGAAGTATCCGCAAGCCAGCATGAGGGGGATAGTTGCTGTGCAGACCAAGGCGAGCTTCCAGCCAAACGAACAACCCACGATGACGGCAACAATGATAGAGGACATGGCGCTGACAATCGTACCAAGAGTTGATCCACTAAGGCCCGCGAGACGATTCGCTTCCGAAGAGAGGAAGTTGGCAAGGGCTCCAGACGTGACCATGTCACCATCGTAGAACTCCATATCCTGGCGAAGCATGGCAGCGAAAGCACGCTGGCGAATGTTTCCAATCAAACGAGCCGAGCCCCGGGACAATGTCAACCCTTGCCCAAAGTAACAGCCAAAGATGACCAGGGCAAGCATGAAGAACATCCAGCACCAGAATCTGATGCCATGGCCACCCAGAGAGGTGCCGGGAGACAGAAGCGAGTTGACCGAGTTACCCAAGAAAATGGCTTGGATGGCAGGATTGCAGCCAGCGAGGAAGCTGAAAATGAGGCCGAGCGTCATAGTCAAGTGCTCGCCAGCGTTCATTTCCCAGCTAAACTTGATGAGCTCCCACGTGCCGTACTCCCTGTCTTTTTCGCTGTCTAGCTTCCTGGCAACATCGGACGGCGCAGAAGTGATGGTTCGAAGAAGGTCGGGTTTCTCAGGATCTGTGATACCAGCGCCCTTCTCGGGGTCGCCAAGGAGCGACTCGCGGTTGCCGTTGTTGAGCTTCGATGTGAGTTCTTGCGCTTTAACTAAGCTAGAGTAGACGCCGCTTTGCTTAATTAGGTCTCCGTGCGTGCCCTGCTCGACAATACGTCCCATGGCCATCACGACAATATTATCGGCCTTCTTGATCGTTGACAGTCGATGGGCGATGACGATGGTGGTTCGGCCCTCTGATGCGCGGTCAAGCGCCTCCTGGACAGCACTCTCGGACTTGGTATCTAGGGCAGCAGTAGCCTCATCAAGGAGCAGTATCTTCGGGTCGGATACGATAGCACGGGCAATCGCAATACGCTGCTTCTGTCCACCAGACAGCAGGTTGCCACGCTCTCCAACCTTTGTCTGGTATCCCTCGGGCAGTTCACTGATGAAGTCGTGTGCGTTCGCGGTGCGTGCAGCTTGTTCGATCATCTCCAACTTCTTCTCATCCGACGCATGAGCGTATTCGGTGTTGACTAGACCGTGTGCAATACACTCGAAAATGGTGACGCTGAATAGTACAGGCTCTTGACTCACAATAGCCATATGTTGCCTGAGCCATCGCAAATTCAGTGTCGTAATGTCCTTGCCGTCCAAAAAGACTTGACCCTCCATCGGCAGGTAAAAGCGTTCCAGAAGTCCTACTACGGTCGATTTGCCACTGCCAGAAGCGCCCACCAATGCTATCATCTTGCCCGCTGGTACCTGCAAATTGAAGTCCGTGAGCACGGTGGTATCTGGCCGGGAGGGATAGATATGCTTGATATCCTTGAATTCGATGTTGCCGACCAGAGACTCTGGGATTTCGCCCTCATCCGTTTCTGGGTCAATCGGTGACTTGCGCTCAATTGTGTTGAAGACCTTAGTAGCTGCTGCGGTCGCAGCCCCAAAAGCCTGGACGTGCGGCATGATATTTCCAAGGGAGAATCCGGCAATCATGGTCGCCATGATGACTGTAAGAATTTGCGAAACGCCCAATTCGCCATTATCCAAGAACTGTTTCCCTTGCCAGAAAGCTAACGCATACTGCAAGTTCAATATGCCCATCAAGCCTGCAATCATCATCGACAGCCAGAACTTCGCCTTAAAGTCGAATCGCGAAGCAGAGCCCAAGAGCGTCTTGTACTTCTGCTCCAGGCGATTCTGGGTACCATACGCAGCCACGTTACGCGCCGATGCCAGTACCTCTTCGGCCAAGGAAGCAGCAGTGGCGTATTGATCGATCGAAACTGTCTGACTTTTCTTCATGAAAGCGCCGCATACACCCATGATCATGAACAAGGCGATTGTTATGGAAATCATAATCCCGGCAAGCTTGGGTGAGCGGACGAAACCAACGATGATAGCGGTGATGAAACCTGATACTCCGGCAATGAAGAGTCCAATCTTTTGCCCAATACCATCCTGAACCAAGTTCATGTCGGAGCTGATGCGAGTGGTAACTTCTCCAGATCCAAGAAAGTCGAAGAACGCGATATTTTGGCGAAAAATGGCGCGTAGGTATAGCTCTCGGATCTGCTGAGTTATACGTTCTCCCGTGTACGAGAAGGCAACAATACTGATCCATGATGTGAAAAAGGAGGCGATACCTGATTGCAATTAGTTTAGACTTCTGGGGCATGATGGAAAGCTTACCAAGATAAACAAAATAAAGTGTGAGCTCGTTGATTCGCTTTTGGAATTCTTGAATAGCAACAGCGTCGACAGAGAAACTTGTAAAGCTACCCGCGAAGTTTCCATACACAACCTATTGCGAAAAGTCAGTCATGCCGAGGAGATTAAAGTTTCGATGCCAAGGATGTGTATGATCTCTGATAAATCTCTGAAGGGCAGAATTGCAAAAGATGCAACTTGATTTATTCAAACCATCGAGTTAAGCACAGTAGAAAAGGGAAATTTACCGTCATCAGAGGCATTACAGCTCCTGCCGCAATCGAGGCAATAACCGCGATAACCATAATGATAAACTCGTTTCTAGTCGCATACCGAAACAGCGCAAAGTATCCGACCGTCAACTTCGGCGCCTCAATCTGCCTCTCGATGATTTCCCTCTCTTGCTCGTTCAGCCCCGCCAGAGGAGGCTTGACCTCTTCGCCCTGCACACCATGTTTCTCATCGATCGCCACATTCGACGACGAAGCAGGCGATGATGTCGTCATTGTCGCAAAAAGTTCTTTCAGGCTCAGGTGCAGAGCATATCTTGTCGGGGGTCTTCTTGCGTGGTATTCGAAAAGGACGAAGTTGAACCTGACAAGGGATGGCAAAGTACAGGAGACCAGACAACTAATCTCGCGATCTCTGGAGGATGCGCTTGCCTCGGCGCCACCAGCTCGGAAAGCTGGCCAGATGCGTCAGGGATGCCGAGTCGGCGTATTCGAGTCCGGTGGGCAAGCGAAGCGCTCGCTAAACCCAAGGCGGGATCGAAGGCCGTCAAGCTTCTCAGTGCCGCTTCCACGGGTGGGTCGGAGTACTTCGTAGGGAGACGTGTTTCTGTATACGCGTATACGATGGCCAATGGTGGCAAGTGGTAGTGTAATCGACGCGAGGCGTTGAAGTCGGATGTTTTCTTGTGACGCACTCACAGGACCAGTTGTCCTTTAACCTTGTGGCGTCGCCCTATTCAGAGAGATGTGCGACAGCCAAAGCGAGCTCCGCGGGTGCAAGCGAATGCGAAATGAAGTCCTCCACCTGATAATGAATCATGGCCACCAGAGTAAACGCCCGTCATCTTAAGTAAATGGTCAGACCGCGACATTATGTGTCTGCCTGAAGCTGGACATGCGCTACTCGGGCCCGACACCGACGATTCCCTCCAATCCAGCTTAGGATGTGAGACTGCATGCAAAATACGAGAGCCCGAACTTGTAAAGTCCGAGTTGGTGGTGGAGCGCAAAGCCCAGTCGGCGATCGGGGAAGAGAAAGACCCGACGGCTCTCAATCTATGCAGGACGCGCCCAATGAGCCTCTATCGTCCAATGCGCCTCCCATGTTCGTCCGATATTGCTGTCCGTATGGTTTTCTTGATGATACGCGTATGCACAGGTGCCTGAGCAGCTACCGTTGCCAGCACCGTAGGCAGCAGCGTTTTGCGAGGATGCTTGGCTGGTGAGGCGAAGGCTTATCCTCGCGTCGATGAAGCTTGACGCGGAAGTGGAAATCATCCGATCAAACGGTAGGGAGTAATGCGCTTTCGAATCCCGTGCTTGTGCAGTCATAGCGACGATGCTGCACTGGGTTCGTTCTGATCGGTGACAGCATAGATGGTAGATGTATTGCGAGCAGATGTCCAGATCGGGCAAGCGCTTCGGCGGCTGACACGACAACAGTGTGGTGAAGAGGTTTGTTCAGCGTCGTTGGAGTTGCAGTCAAAAGGTTGGTAGCGAGAGTTGTCAGATCAAGAAGCGGCGAACAGCCAAACGTCAACTTAAGTTCGTTCCTACCTTTCCTAGTACGATATCACACTAACCCGCCCAGACATGACCTCTCGTAAGACGAAGACGGGGCCTTCTCTACACTGACATGCTACAACTCAAAGTTTCCCTAGAACACTTTTCATCACGATAAAGCAGAACTCTAGGTGAAGTATGGTGAGATCTCTTTTTTCTTCCATACACCTCTACCCTACAAATACTTCTCCATCAACTCCCCCACCCTCTTTAAATCAATCGCCTCAACCGTGCTCCCATTCCCACTCATCGTCTCCGCCATACAAACCGCATTCAAAATCGCCTCCTCGACGCAATCCCCCGCCGCCTCCAACAGCCCATTCAGCGTCTCGTCAAGCACATGTTCCACACTCTGCGTCACTGGCACAAACGTATCCGCATCCTCCGGCACCGTGACCCCATTCCCCGTCGAAAACGCCAGAAAGATGTCGCCCGACGAATTACTTCCCCAGCCGCCCACGCGACTGAGGCCGTTTGTCGCGCGCTTGGCCAGGCGCTGGAGTTGCGAGGGGAGCAAAGGTGCATCAGTAGCAAGGACCACAATAATGCTGCCATCTTTTTTGTCCTTGGCTTCGCGGATTTTGAACAGGCGTTGCCATTGCGCCTGGACGACGGGGTCTTGCGGGTTCGCTTGGTATTTCGCCCACTGCTCTTCAAAAATCAGCCGGCCGATGGGCGCGTCGGCGATGCGAAAGCAGTCCATTTTGCCGTAGTTGGCTTGCACGAGCGCGGCAATTGTGTATTCTTTTCCGGGTGAGGAGGGGATCAGGCGGGACGAGGAGCCCGTACCGCCTTTGAACCATGAGCATATCATGCCGGTGCCGCCGCCCGTGTTGCCCTCAGGCACGGGGGCGGAGGACGCGGTATCGATGCCGTCGACGATGTGCTGGGGTGTGACTGCGAATTTGGTCACATCGTGCAGGAAGCCGTCAAATGTCTCGGCGACGACGGGGAGCAGGAACCAGTTTGCTTTGCCGTCTGGGGCGCAGTAGTCGCGGACGGCGCTCTCGTAGACACCGTTGTAGGCGGATCCTACGCCGAAGCTGCCGGTGATGATGATGGGGCTGTTTAGCAGGCCGGTCTCGTTGATCCAGTGGGAGCCAGTCATTTCACCCGAGCCATTGAAGCTGAAGAGTCCCGCGAAGGAGCCGGTGTTGAACCAGTCTTTGCGGGGGAGGATGGTGGTTACGCCAGTATTGATGTCGCCTTCTTTCGCGTTGGGGTAGGCTGGTGAGGAGTGGATTGATTGTGTTGAGACCAGGACACCAGGAACATCAGTTAAGCTGTTCTTGGGTCCTGTCTTGTAGCGGCCGAGATAAACGGTTGGAAGAACCTCTCGCAACCGCTTGCGCTCTGATGAAGATGAGGGAGCAGATGCAGAAGACATTGTAGTAGAAGACAAGTGTTGGAGAGAGGAATGTGAGGGTGATGAAATATGGAATTGATGCCTGGGAACCTGATTGTACTTATACAGCTTTTTTGCATCCGCACTTGTACGGTCGGAATTCGGAAAGCAGAAGCCTGTGGTGTTGACGCCCTTTCTGCTTACCATCTACCCCGCTGAACTAGCATCTTGCGTACTGGCGTTCGATCCACAATCATGACAAGCCGCATTCAGAAGGTCCCGTCCAGCGAGAGTCATACTTGCATCCCATGATTCGTGTAAGGGGTGCATGCTGTGAATGTTGAGTGATACCTGCGGCTGGTACGTTCGCATTGAGATTGTATGAAGTGGCGGAGTCATCATGGGAGGTAGAGGGAGTCAGAGGGAGTCAGAGCAACCCCGCTTGTGGTGGATAAGCTCAAAGACTAAGCAATGGCTTCTCCTTTTTTGAACTAGTCGTTCTTTATTAACTGGTTCAGTATCCCTACCGATCATCTCTTTACACCTTTGGCACGGCCCACTCAATAATGTACACGATATCTTGATGCTCCACATTGTTGTACAACTCAACCCTGCCGTCTAAGCCTCGCAAAATTCTGCTGATCTGCAGGTCTATCAGGATCCCAGCCCACAAGACAATTCACCGTCTCCGCGCCCTCTCCCGGATCATTGATGCGTGAACCACTCGGCATGCGGAACTTGCCTGTCAACTTGACATACGCATCCAACGCATCCACCATCGTCTTGCCCATAGCCAACGCCTTCTCCGCCCTCGAATGCGCATAGAATGTCAGAAACTCAAGCGCTTCGTCGTGCATCCCATTCGTGACGAGTGTCTGCGCACTCTTCTGCACCCACTCCACATCGCTGAAGGACGCATTCTCAAATCCATGCAGCATATCCCTCACGATATGTAAATACTTATCCGGATCCGAGCACGTGTAGTACAACACCTGTTTGAAAATCCTCCCCGCAAAGTGCGTCGCCTCCTGGAACTGGAAATCCGTGTCCAAAAACGTCGACGCCGCGTCCTTCGTCAAGTAGCGATGCTGGCCGTACTCAGGCGGCACAGATGTGACGCCCAACCACCACGGATTGAATGGCGCGGTCACGGAACCCGTGGGCGCAACCCAGATGCGGATCAGGTCGGGGTGCATGTCTGGGTAGAGGGAGACGACTTGTCCGTAGCCTGCTTCGTCGTCTGAGATGCGGAAGTCGCGGACGCGCTCGATGAGGTCTTGTTCCGTGACTGGGGCCATTGCACGCGTAGCGTCCTCGAGGGCGGCTTGGGACATGTATTTGAAGCCGCCGTTTCGCGCGGTGTAGTTTCCGCCTTGGACGCCGTATGCATTGAAGATGTTGAACGGCTGCGTGCCGTTGGGGTTCCACCAGCCTTGCTCGATTGCGAAAGAGACAATATTGGGAGAGCCCATGTAATCCGAGCTGTTGGCGAAGTCCACGGGGAAATCCTCGATGTAGCCTGGATACAGTACGCGAATGTCGTCGTCACCGAGGCGCTCAGCAGCCCAGAGATTCTTGCCCCCGGACATTTCCCAGACTACCCATCCCTCGTTGGCGTCTGCGATGAGATGCGAATTTCCACCGTAGTCGGCATATCCATGTTCAGCGATCATCTGGCCAATGATTTCGACGCCTTGACGGGCAGTGCTCGCGCGCTCGAGGACGACGCGCGCAAGGTCGGAGTACTGCAGTCCTGTCTGGGGAATCGGCGTCATATAGATCAAATCATCTCTGTTCTGCGCCCAAACATCGCGTACGGCAACGCCCTTCTCGTTGACACCACCATTGGTCAGGGGCGCCGGGAAGCCTTCGAAGTCGGAGTATTCCATGGACAGATAGCGGAAGGTATGCGCTGCTTGCGAGATGTTGATCAGCTTGCCAGGCATCACGGCGTCCTCTGTGACGCCGACAGTGATTGTGGCATTTGGTGGATGGTCCTTTGCTGGGAAGATCTCAAGCCAATGCGAAGATACTTCCTCGCCTGTTCCCCCGACCATGACGCTGCCATCGTGAGTGAGCGATTTGCCAACGTAAAATGCATAGCTTGCCGAACAGACGCGCACATAGCATAGCAACGCCGCTGTGAGGGTCTGTGAAGCCTTCATTTTGAGGACGCGATCAGAGGCTCAAGGGAGAGAAATTTGCTTCGATTCATTTTACCCAGATCTTATACTTCTTGGAAATGACGTCCGAGCTGACTTCAAAAGTGGGGTCGTTGATAGGTATCCGCGCCGAATTCGGGGTATTGAAGGACCGATGTCATGAAAATGAAAGTCAAGGTGTTCAAGACGCAAATTGAAGCATGGTGTTCTTGAGCAGAAAGAGAATTGTTGTGATCATTTTGACGCCGGGTTGAGGGGGCCTGTTTGGCCTGTCTGGTGACGATCGCCAACACCATAGCCCTAGAGTGCCGAGAATTTCGCACAAAGTCTCTTAGCTGCCAACAGACTCTATCTGAACTATTCCGCGCGTGCGGTTCTTGTGTTGTCTAAATATTGCCCTCCAAGGTCTGATCCAGAACGCCAGAAATGCACCTGTGTGTATGGCGGCGCATGTAGCCACAGTACTGAAGTCGCCCTGGGTATCATTTATTACTCCTCCATGTTTCTGATCGCACGCGCACGCGCACTTAGTCGTCGTCCTCGATGACTAAACCAATCTCCTCGACGTTCTTGACCTCTCCGCCATCATTGTTGGCAGCATCATCCTCGTCAGCCTTAGTAGCTGTGCCATTCGCACGAGGCGCAAGTTTCTTCTTCCCGCTGTCCTCGGCAGCTGGTGTGCCTTCCTTCTCGCTTCCGTCGCCCTTCTTACCTTGCTTCGCTCTTTCCTTCCTGAGCCGCGCCTTCTCGCGCTTCAGCCGATTCTTCTCCGTCTTTTCGCGGTCCTTCTTCTCCAGCTCTTCTCGTCGCTCCCTAGCCGACTTTTCTTCCTCTTCTTGTTTCACCTCCTCATCCATCATGCGCAGCCTCTCGTACTCGCGCCGCCGGCTGGCTTTGTAGACATGGAACTCGCCTGAGCCAGCACCTGCGCTTGATCCTTGGACGTTTGCGACAATCTCTGGAGGCGCGGAGAGTGGCTTGCCGAGCGCCGACGAAGGGAAGTTGATGTCGCGGTCAGGCTTCGCGAAAAGGGCTTCGACTTGTGAAGCTTGCGCATCACGTGGTGTGAGGGCGCGCTTCTTGGTAGGCCGCTTTGAGCGCGGGTCGGCCGACGTGGGTATTGATTCGGGGATAGGTTCTGACATTGGGGTGGTGAGGGAGTGGTGTTGCGACTGGGGGTGCGGGTGCCTGAAAGGCCGAAGGGGGGTGACGCGCAAGTTGTCTGGCGAGTGCTCGGAGGCAGCGAGGACGATGGCGGCAATGCGATGGTGACGGTGAAGGTGTCAAGTAGTCGATAGGAGGCGGAAGATGGTGTTAGGGACCAAGCGTTTGTGAGGGATGACGCGCGCAGGCCTGGAACTTTTTGCGCGCGCGCCGGGTGATGGGCAACAGCGGGGCAAACAAGCCACTCGCGCATTGGCAGCGAAGTCGCCGCTGCAGGGCTGCGCTGTCCCGCCTCAGCTGCCAGAACTTGAAACAGCTATCGCACTTGCTTGGCCTGCCAATTTTGCTGTTCTTTAGCGGTAGCATTGCTTGACTCTCTGTATTCTCTTCTCCATAGACATCCTGAATACCTGCATCCAATTCCTTTCCCTACTTGCGCGCCCGACGCTACAACATGGGGAAACCCCGCGTATGTTGGTGCAACTCGCCCGCGTGGCACAGCTAACAGCAGAGGCAGATGATAATATTGGTCCGCCATGCCCAGTCCGAGGGAAACAAGAACCGCGACATTCACCAGTTCATACCTGACCACCGCGTGAAACTGACCCCGCATGGCGTCACCCAGGTATGCTTGCTGTCACCGAACCTCGCCGATAAGGGCAAAAATTGACTGAAGGATATCAGGCCGAAGAAGCAGGCCGACAGCTCCGCTCCATGCTGAAGCCCGACGATACCATCCAGTTCTTCACGTCTCCCTACCGTCGAACACGTGAAACCACCGAGGGCATACTGCGAACTCTCACCGGCGATGATCCGGCACCCTCCCCCTTCCACCGAAACAAGATCAAGGTCTTCGAGGAGCCGCGTCTACGCGAGCAGGATTTCGGAAACTTCCAGCCATGTTCAGCAGAAATGGAGCGCATGTGGCAGGAGAGGGCCGACTACGGCCACTTCTTCTACCGCATACCGGACGGCGAGAGTGCTGCCGATGCATACGACCGAGTCAGTGGCTTCAACGAGAGCTTGTGGAGACAATTCGGTGACGAGGACTTCCCCAGCGTGTGCGTGCTGGTCACGCATGGCTTGATGACGAGAGTCTTCCTCATGAAATGGTGAGCAACACGGCTGGCACAGCATGCTACGGAACACTGACCCCTGCAGGTACCACTGGTCCGTCGAGTACTTTGAAGATCTCCGCAATGTCAACCACTGCGAATTTATGATTATGAAGCGAAGTGAAAACAACGGCAAATTCATTCTACAAAATGAGCTGCGAACCTGGTCTGAGCTGAAGCGACGCACAGCCGCCAACGGACCTTCTAGCACAACAACCACGCCAATCAGACCGACGCCAGTCAGTGCAGGGCAACTGAACTCCTCGCCAACAATACCAGTGCGAAGATGGGGTGGGTGCGTCAATGGCTGCAACCACGACCGCCAGAACTGGCCAAAGAGACCAATGCGCAAGAACACTATGGAGTACCTCGGTGGGAAGGAGCACCAGCTGCCACCGCCAGCATCATCGTTGGAGCCGTTAGAGAGCGAGCAGGAGGATCACCCTGCTCCCGCGCAAGATAGCACTCCAATCATCGAAGAGCCTTCTCCAGCGAAGCTGTTGAGGAAGCAGAGCACCAAGGCTACACACCATCTCGATCTACCGCCAACACCTGCATCACCCAACGACGCCTCCAACGATGCATCGAGCAGCGAGCAAGAAGAACCTGCTACATCCGTACCACGCAATCACCAGCATCCGATACCACGAACCGCAGCCATTGTGCGACACCTACAGCCCCCTCAGCGGAGCACGGAGGGCTTCTCTGATGATTCCGACTACTTCCCTGGCATGCAACATCTCCACACACACAGATCTAAACTGCGCGCATCTTCAAAGCAACGCCAAGAATCAAAGGAGCGCAAACTCGCTCGAAGACAGACGGAACAGAGCTGGAAGGAAGAAAGCGGCATGTGCAATGGCGCCAAGACTGATAGATTGGGAGACAACGATGGAACAAGCGACGATGCAGCACTTCCGACAGGAGAAACGAAGAGCATGGAAGGACCGATCCTAAAGGAAGCTCTCAAGGGGGATATGGTCGTTGAGCAAAGTGAAGAGGAGAGGGAGAGGAGTGACGAGGAGTTGCAGGCTGAGAAGAAGCTTGGGGAGGCCGAAATCGAGAAGATGCAGGATGCAGAGAGGAAGAACTTTAGCGATGTGTACTGAGCAGCTATACCATAGACGTATGACACTTTCCACAACTCAGGGTGCGTGCCTCCTTACTACTGACAGTACTGCTCATGTTGCAGTCGCTCCTTCCGCAGCACATCGCAGCAGCACTTGCCGTCATCACGCAATCTTATCAATCTCGCGCCATCGATCAACATCTTACAGCGTGCATCCTCGACCAATCTATACCAGAACGATCGACATTACCCCATGCATGTGTGGAGCCGGTTGATATTGCAAAAATGCTGTGTACGCAGCCAATTGCCGGAAAATTCGGCGGTATTGCTCACGGCAATTCGTGACATCACCCCAACCTTATCACAACGACATATCGCCTCCTACAGCACGCAGCTCTTTCGGTCCTATTGTGCTTTCAAAATTGGTCGCTTGTGCTGCCGTTACACAGAGTCTGGAGCGGATGCGGTGCGACAGCACGTTTCGGAGTGAAGGCGCTGGGTGTTCTCCTTCGTCAATGCTTGCATGGTGCTATGGCTGACACACAACGTACCAGGATGGAAATACCGAGCCGCTGCACACTTATGGATACCCACAATGGCCAACGAATACGCCATGTTTGTCTACGATGAGGAAGTCCGCTTCTTATACAGCGGAAGAGTCATTCATGCATACTGTCGATCTTCGACGGACTCCATGTGGTGTGAATACCCAATTCACAACCGTCGCGGAACGCTCAACCTGGTTTTATCTGTTCCCATAAGGTCAGCGATCGGTAGAAACGTGGCTAAAGTCATCTATCATTCAAGCTGCTCGGGCCAGTACCTGTAGATCTCCATGTTCCCAACAGCACGGATCTCGTTTCAAGTTGCCTGCGCTCAGGCTGCACAGGCCGTTACGTACAACCTCAACATACTTTGGCGCACATCAGCGGCCCTTTACGGTTACATCCGCATACCCCAAAATTGATCAACATTGCAGCGGCTGGGGGTACGGGCGCAAGCTCACCGCCATCGGGCAATTGATATGGCTGTGTTTCAATGATAAGCATCTTTACTTGGCAATGAGCATTCTCCGCTGCCCAGGGAAGCTTGAAGACGTGGACTACGTGGCTGACGTACTACCGGTAGACGAGCCTTCAATCTCGCCCACCCTTGGAATCTGTTGTTGAGTTGCGTCATTCTCTCGCCACGGTCAATCTCGTCCACCCATCGGAGGCATGGCAAGATCTTCTTCTCTGCGATTTGTACATGTCCGTCGTGCCACGACGCTGCGAGGCGATATTGAGCCTCATCTAATCCGACCGGAATATTGCGAATCTTCCGACAAGGTTTGGGAATTACCGTGCCGTGCTGGGTGACCAGGGATGATGTTCTAGATGGGTGTGGAAGATGGAGTGTGAGATGGACTCAGTATAAGAACTGGCCAGACTCGACGCAAAGGAGATATCATCATCCAACTACAACTTCATATATTCTTCAATACACTCCTTCTTTCAAACCACAGTCAATTCACCTTCCATTCTCCAACATGAAGCTCGCTTGCATCGCCCTCTTCGCCATCGGGTCCGTCTCTCCTGCATCTCCCACCTAAACACTACTGATACCTTCCAGCGCCATCGCCGCCCCTGTCGTCGAGCGTCAGGCTCCTGGCGGAGCCCCTCCATTCCCCGTCCCTAGCGGAGGTTTCCCTGGTGGATTCCGTAAGTTTCTCTACCTCCCCCTTTTGACAAGTTTACTGACACGAACACAGCCGCTCCCACTGGCGGATTCCCAGGCGGCCCAGGCGGCCCCGGCGGCTTCCGTACGTCCCTCCACTCTCTCTCTCTCTCTCTTTCCAACAAGCTCACTAACACCAAACAGCTGCCCCCACTGGCGGTTTCCCAGGCGGATTCCCAGGCGGCCCAGGTGGCCCCGGTGGCTTCCGTAAGTCCATCCATTGCCTCTCACGTCCCGGATTCTCACTAACACCACGCAGCTGCTCCCACCGGTGGACTCCCAGGCGGCCCAGGCGGCCCAGGTGGCCCCGGTGGCTTCCCCAGCTTCCCCGCCCCAACCCCACCGGCCGGAAACTAGAACGTTTCGCGGAGACAAATCGTGAGTCGGCAATTTCTTCCACTCATTCTTGGAGACGTGGACTGACTTGTGCGAAAGATCTGTCCTTGCTCCCCCCTAACTCAGCCACTTCAAATTGTAAATATTGGCTTCTTGACATTTTTGGGAGCATTGATGGGATTGTGATTCGTGGGGTGGTTCGCTTCTTAAGGGAATTTTTGTATATACTTTGACCAGATATATATAAACAATCACCGGTTTTATCATCGATTTGGAATTGTTCAGTGTGTTGTGTTTTGACAACTGAGAGTGTTGTTTGCTCTCAACTACTTATAATGTGCGTGTGGAAGCTTTTCATGATACTTTGTCCGGCTCGCAAATTCTTTGGCGCCCAATTCCATATTCTGTTTCGACCCCGTTGTTATCTGTTCGAGAGCCCCAGCATAGAGCCTTGTTACACGGACAGTTGGGCTTGAAGCGTGGTATCCTACCAGAAGGCGCTGTTTATCAATGGTGTACGTTGAACTTGCCTTTGATCCTGAGGTGTGGGCTCGTATGAGAAAGCTCTTATTGTCAATGACGTACGTTGCACTCGCCAAAACATCCTATGCTTTACTTATCCTTTCATAGCAGTGGCGCAAGCTCTCTTATATTGCTGAGCAATGAGACGAACTTAAACGCTGCACCAGTTTCAGATATCGACAAGTAAGCTATGACACGCCCTTGATAAGCAATTACATTTCTGCGCATTACTGATGTCTTATAATGTCGCGTCCAGGCAATCGGCAGGTGTGGAACTGCCACCGGAACTACGGGCAGAGATCTTCGGACACGTCAATGACCCATTCGATCTCTGAGTGAATTGCCGCAGCCTCTCTGATACCGCAAAAGAGTGAGGCGGAGCGCATCTTCCGTTCAAAATTTCTCCCGTTGTTGGAGATGAAATGGATCCTCAAGACCGAGGAGATCAAATACTTCGGTCTTTTGGCATGATTTGATTCAAGTATTGGCACCCAAGTTCCGACGATCGCTTCCTTGAGGCTCGAAATGTGCTGTTATCCATCAGGGAGGGATCGACGTCGGCTTGAGCGTGGATTCTGGTCGGAAGTCGAGAGGAATGCCTTAGTCTTGAAGACACTCGACTACAAGGACATCGATTTTCAGCAACACAAGGAAGATTATGAGTGGGGCGACTATAACAGCGACTCGGATGCGAGAATCGACCGCAGGAAATTCATACCTTATACCAAGAGGACCGAGATACACAGAATGCGCGTCCACTTTGCTACCCATCCAGACGTCGAAATCTACTCGAATGATCCAGATATACCCGATATTCAGGTCCATTTGATCTCTGAGACTGTAAGAAAAGTACGTTCAGGTTGGGCTGAGATCGGGCATATCTCTTTCGATTGGGAAGTGCTCATGGATCGATTCTTCGGTGAGGAGGCTATGGTTCGTCAGCAGCGACCACTCGGAAACATCCAGCTCGATTAGCACATTTCCATTTCAAGTGTCGCGGTTGATGCCACTCAAGCACCATCTGTTAATGCTCCGATGGAGTTTAGCTACGCCTCTCGGAGCAAGAGCGACGACTGCTACTACATCACCGCCTATCGTGACCGGCTGCAAGAATCGTTCGCCATAGCCAAACTTGAGATGGATCTAACGTCAATTGACGGAACGCTGCCGGATAGTAATGCAGTCTGTGTACATAAGCATGCGGAATGGTTGAGGGAAGCAAAGAACCGGAGAGCCATACGAGTGGGGATGAAGATATTGAATGATCTGCGCTGGGCGAATACTTCCTCGATGAGGCATTCGATGACACTGAGGACGGGAGACATGGCCTCGAAGCGGGTGTGGACAGTAACAACAACGACAACTTAGCACGGCTGTGTAAGTGCTTCGAAGTCTAGTCATTCATCGCTCAGTGATTGTGCGAGGTGTGCGTCAATGTGCGCTTTGGTGCTTATCACTGAGCAGAAAGCCTTTCCGGGCAACCTTCCATGCATCCAGTTTCCACGAGAGCTGCTTCTTTCCGCGTTCAGTAATAATATGTATCTAGGATCATGCCCTTCTGTACCGCAATGTGCTCGAGAAAGAGGTATCGAAGAGATGTGGCTGTACCACTTCTGACCGTGATTCGCCCCAGGTCATGATTCTTCTCCATTTTCCTGGTTCGCTCCTGGAACGCTTACGCGATGGAACCTGGATAGAATACCACACGGAGTCAATCTCGGATAGAGGGGGTGTACCACAGTTCTGACCCTGACCAACTTCAAATGCCCACTAGTCGATGCGACCTCTTTTTTTATCTTGTGGCTACCTGGCCTTGTCAACTAATTTCAGGAAATACTTTCGATCAAAGTACGACTGTCACAACTCGCAATCACCTTGCAAAGTGCTCAGTTCAAGCCAAAGTTACACAGTAAGTCAGTTCTGTGGTGAGTATTCAGTACGCAATGTTGACTGACCGGCAGAGTTTCCACAAATTGCCATGACCGCTTTACAACCCCGTACAGGTCTTGGGTTCTTCCGAACGACTCGCGTGTTCCTTGAGTTGAAGCCAATCGTAGGCGAAACATGCTGTATCTGCTTAGATCCATACGGCCCCGGCCATAGGGCCGTACGCGTGCATTTCAGAGCATGCATGCACACCTTTGGTCGATCATGCCTCGATAGCTGGCTGGAAAGCGGCAGTCCAATGAGCCACTGCTGCCCGACTTGTCGGAAGCAATGGTATACTCCAAGCCCTGATATGGACGACATAAGACAATCTGTAGCAGGCCGCTTGACGGCAACGCTCACCTTCTTGCGCAGTCGCGTTAATCGTAATCGGTCCGCAGCGGCTGGAGTGCACAATGCCACCGACAGCGTCTCTGGCCTTCCGCTCGGGGCCACCGCGCAGGAGATCATGGAGAGAATATCTGAGGACCTTGCGCGACTTGAAAACATGGATTTCGAAAATCTGGGTAACTCACAATACGTCCAAGAACAGCTGCGGAATCTTGAAGTTCGCTTCGAGCTGCTTCGCCAAAGCATGCAGGACTCGCAAGCGTCAAGGAGGACCTCTTCTCAATTCAACGTCCTCGGACATCCGCCACGCTCTTTCGATGATCTTATTGGCATAGGTCCAGCGACAAACCGATTCCCAGTCAACTTCCATCGAGGCCGCGATTCTATGGGGAGTTTAGAGCGACCCCAAAGCCAGCGTCCTGGCTACCAGCGGAATCCCTCCCCGCCACGGTACGAAGCAAGAACTAGATCGTCTACAAACACAACAATAAGAACACTCAGACCCAACTTCGCTACTGAAACATTTCCTCCAGAGTATGATGAGTCGGGTGGGCTGGGTCAATCAAATGATGCGTTAGTTCAGCTGCAGACATTTCTGGACAGCTACACGGTTTCAAGCTCCGCAGAAGAAGCACCAAGCAACACTGCAGCGGCGGCTGGTGAAGCGTCAACTTCTCGTAGAGTACAGTTTAATATCAGGCCGAGTTTGCAGGGAATCAGCCCAGATACAAGAGCGCGCATGGCCCAGATACCTGACACATCTGGAGTTCAACATAGGTCATCTCTAATCCACTACTCGCTTTAGCGTGATGGGCTACGATATCTACCATATTTCGTCGTACATATGCAGATTCATCACCGACCTGAGCTTTGCGCTCCGACCAATTAGACATCGGGGGTGGGATGTTGGGATATGTATACACCTGTAGTCAGAGAATCAAGGGACAGTGTCAACGTAGAAACGAAAAATACATATAAGACTTGCATACACCTTGTTCCAATACAGAAGAAACTAAGGGCTGGGAAAGGGACCTCGGTAATCGTACAGAGGCCGTCGTTGGCACATGCAGTGCATGTAATGCTGTGGATAGAAATACAAAAAACCCAATTGAATATGTTCCTGTCTGAAATCTTGTTATTCTTTGGAAGGAGTTCTTGTGTTGACAGGTGTAAGAACCTAAAGTGTAGAACATTCTTGAAGCCAAGCAGGCTTGGCTACAACAGGGTAAACTGTTGGTGCTTGAAAACTGAAAACAGATTGAAATATTTGCGAAACTTTGTAGCGACGTGGTCAAATCAAAGAAAAAGTTATGTTCGACAGTTACTGTGACAATGTCAAAACTTCTACACCCTCCACTTTAGACACTTGCGATGATTATACAATGCCACGATGTATGCTTGGCTCATAATTGCCGAAAGAAGAGAAATTACTTTTCCAAATTGGTAGTCTTCACTCATCGCTCCTACTCCCATTCCGTAATATTTACTTGAACTGATCCTCCGTAACACCCTTACCCATCGCCGCCGTCGAGCTCACACCGCCACTAACCATCTTGAGCATATTGTCCACATAATTCGCTCCACTCCACTTCTGATGCGTAAGAACATCGACCTTGTTCTCCGCCTCCGGCTCTTGGATGATCTCGCCGTACGCACGCATACCCTGCTTGGCATACGCTTTCGAGAAGGTGTCCGCCATGAGCGCACTCTGGTGCAGACCAGCAAGCGTGATGAATTGCCAGCAGTAACCGAGCTTGGCGAGACGCTGGATGTACGTCTCTTGCTCATCGCGGGGCATGGCGGTCTTCCAGTTGAAGGAGGGAGAGAGGTTGTATGCGAGTCTGCGGGTTTGTTAGTCTTGGCTCGGAAAGGGCTTCCGTGGTAAAGGCTTACTTTTGCTCGGGCCAGACGGCATGGACACCGTCTGCGAACTCCTTCGCTTGGGCGAAGTCGGGCAGCTTCGACTCCATCCATATCATGTCGCAGTAGGGTGCGTAGGCAACGGCGCGGTTGATGGCGGTTTCGCAGCCACCCTGGTACCTGTAGTAGCCCTCTCGCGTCCTGGCAGCTTCCCAGTTGAAGTAGACATCGACGCCTGTCAAGCCTTGTGCAATGGCACGAGCCTCGGAGTTGCTCTTGCCCTTGCTCTTCTGCAAGAATTGCTGGATGAGGTCTTGCTTGTTAACGTGTACACCGGCATTGATCGTGTCAATGACAGCCTCGTGGTAAAGCTTCAAGTTCGCCTCCTTCGTCCATGCGTCTTCGATCGCCTGGAGCTGTGCACCATTCTTTCCAGCTTGCTCAGCAGCGTACATGAGCTCGCCGAGTGGCTGGAGTGCCGGGTTTGTACAACCCATGATGTAGTAGTGATCGCGTGGGTCAATGGTCGAAGTGATGAGGGTAGCGGCTTCAGAATCGGTACGGGCGACCGCGAGGAGATCGGTACCTGGAAATGCGTTAGTATCTCAGCTTTCGCATGTAATGTCAACTTCGTGACATACCCATGATATCTGCCTGAGCACGGATAGCAACCAATCGGTTGATGTGCTCGCTGATTGGTACGAGCACTTTTCCAGCCATATGGCCACACTTCTTTGTGCCTGGCGCTTGATCTTCGATGTGAATACCAGCGGCGCCCTTCTCAATAAACAGCTTCGTGAGCTTCATAATTGCTGTCAGGCCTCCGTGTCCAGTATCTGCATCGGCAATAATTGGTCGGAGGAAGTCAGTGTTCGCGAGCTTCGCACGGTCTGCTTTTGGTGTGGTCAAGCGCTCTTCGCGCTGCTTTCGGTCGTGGAAAAGCTGTGCCATGAAGAGATGGCCAACTTTGTTAGGTACAGTGGTCTTGTTCCGTCAGTTCCAAAGCTCAATTAACCTGGTTGGAAGACTCACGTAGGGGTAATCTGCCAGATCTGGACCAGGCTCGTCGGTCGAAGATGCTGTTGATGAACATTGCCAGCCAGAGACGTATACAGTGTCTAGGTACTTGGCCATCTGTGTAACCATAACCGGGTCAAGACAGCCATATGTGTAGCTGACATCGTTGTTCTTGGCACAATTAGCCAGCGTTTGGAATACGAAGACGCCTTGCTTACCTTGAATCGTTGTTCCACGATGTTCCAGAGCTTCTTTGATTGGCTATTACTTGGGTATTGGATCTTAAGGTTGCCTCTCTTTGCGACAATCTCCTCTGCGGTGAATGGCCTTCGGGTGAATCGCCATCTTGAGTCGGTCCACCATTGCTTCACCTCCTGAACCTCCTTCTGAAACTGCGCGTCTTCTGCGTCTGCGTGTGACATGATGTACTAAATTGATGTCGTATTTGAAGGTAGACGGAAATGTTTGAGCTAACAAACAAAGTGTTCAATTGAATGCAGAGTTCCAAATGTCTTGGAAGTATAATAAAGAAGACAGAATAATGTGGGAGAAGCTCTTTGATGTATGATCAAGCTATGATGACGCTACACGAACCTCGGAACCATAGCTAAAGTTTCACTCGGTCAACTTCCGAAGCCAAGTCTAGCACATATCCTATGGGGAAGAGATGCGCCCAGAACCCAGAGCAGCATGGTCTGATCCCATGTGAACTGCCATTCAGAGCTCGGGGAACCCCGGCTGAGCGTGCCATTGGACCGACTGACGTTCCCGAGGAAGCTTGACACCATAATCACCAGCATGCCTAGCGTTTGAGATGCCCTCGGCCCAAGGGCAAAGACGTTTTGGAAAGCATGACTGGCGTCGATCTGGCGGAGAGTGGACCAGCGGAGGCATGACGTTTGCCAATTGCTTGGATTGACTTCATGTCTTCGGCCAACATCCGCGTTATCGACACGGCGTTTGCCTCGAAAGAGCTGTGCGTCTGACCAAGGAGCCTCCCCGTTGTCAGATGTCGCGTGCAGCTTCACATGTTAGTGCTGAACGCGTTCTTTTGTTCTCTGTGCAGCATGTGAAGATGCGCAAGCGGACGTTCTCCCCGGATTTTCGGCTAGCCGCGCTAAACCGGAACCGCTTTTTAACCTCGGCTGGGAAGCCCAGATCGCTCCTCATCACGATCACAAGTTTCGTTGCATCAAATATTTACACATGCGAGTTGAGTGCTAGCTATTTTTACTTTCCATATAACGATGCAACTGAACTAGCCTTTCAGAAGGCCATATCCGTGGCATGCAGAAGTCGCGAGCATAGTCCCTACGAACCACCACCATTCCACATAGCCGTATTCTACGTCTCTGGAGCAATCCCTGAACATCTTCGTTGAACACCCGTCAATACCCGCGTTCTGACTCTGAGTCCGTAAAGTTGCGAGCTGTAACGCGCCTAGCCAGCACAACAGAACCCTCACGATTACATCCATCAAACCAAGGACCTCCGCAAAGCCAAAACCAAAGCGCTGAGCCAAGAATAACTTGGTCACTATTTTCCTGTACTGTCTGGAGCCTATGCGAGCAGGAGAGCTTCGCATAAACTGGTCCATTTCCGAGAATGGCAGGGACCGTACATCCTCTGTGGTGAACTCGGCCTTGCTCGGCGTAGACGCGGCATAAGCAGGCGCTGCTGGTGGGCACCGAAGTCTCCTCAGAAGTCTCCATCTCATCTCATCAAGGTAGGTTCTGTTCTTGAAAGATTGGTGAGGCTCTGAAGGTGTTCGTCGGTTGAAGAGTAGTGGCAGGAGCTCGGGTCGCGATATCCATAGCGTCCGATTCTTCTCGTCGGTGAAGATGCACTCTCGGTCGAATGCTTCAGACGTGTAGGCGTAGTGGACGAAGCGTGAGTAAAATGCTGGGGTCAAGACACGAATTTCTAGCTTTCGTAGGGGTATGTCACGCCCTTGTATATATGTTGTTATGATCTCTCGAATCGGGCTGTCGGGTATGGCAGTATGTAGCGTAATGTGAAATGGTTCCTGCGACCGATGAATGAGCTGGAATAGATGTTCCTCGAAAACATCGCAAAGCGTACTGGGGATGTCAGTGATTATTGCGATTAATTGCTGTTAGAGACTCACGCTTCGGTCGCCGTTGGAAGACGGCCCACGCCAGTATGCAGGACTTCAGGTCGAAACCAAACATGTAGGCTCCTTTTGAAGAAGAGTAGTCCAGCCTCCTTCACGATTCTAGGGAAGGTAACGAAGCCAACCCACCACCAGCTCAGAATGAACCGCAAGGTATCAGATACGCTCATGTGATCTTGGTCCAGGGCCGGACCAGTCGAGTTCAGTCGCGCAACAAGTTTTGCATGATCCTTGGAAGAGATGAGAGTAATCGTGTTGTCGACGACAGGCGTGTCATACGTAGCGTACGGGAATGGGTTCTGAGCTCTCAACACATAAGATCCTTTCCTGGAGTTGAATGGGGAAACATGGAAGTCTTTCATCCATATGTCATTGAAGCGTGACTTTGCGCCTAATGGTAGATCTGGTGATGACGCTTCGCTGTCAGTCGATTGAGGAGTGCTTGGCACCACGTTGGATCCATCGAGCAAATACATGCGCCTCTCGCCAAAAGTATTGTTGACCTCCAGGATCATTTTGGTGAGCTGGTGTTCCGAGTCGTATATGTACCAGAATGAAACAGGATTAAACGAGTACCCAAAGAAGCGCGGTGCTGTAATCAGATAAGCGTATGACCAGTCGGCGTCGTCCACATTCTGTAATTGTCAGTATATTTACGTAGTACTTAGAGAGAACTATCAAAATTCTTACCTGGTCTCGGAGATACAACTTCAGTTTGTTGTAAAACCCAAGTGATCCGTTCCCTCGAATAAGATAATCTTCAGCCCTGATACTCATCCACCAGCAACCAAGTTGGGCATCGCCACTCCCAAGCGCAGTACCATCAGGCCTGACACCAGCCGGAATAATCGGGAAGCCGCATTGCAGATATGAGTATTGGAAAGCGTGCCGCTTTGGAAACATGCGCGCATGCTTCGTTTGACAAGGAAAGATCTTCGCTTTCGGATACGACACATCCCACTTCGAGAGCGTGAGGCCCTTTAATTCTTCTGGTGTCCTGTCATGGGTACCGGATTCGCGTCGTGCGAGGTACGCGACCAAAGCAAGCGGGACCGCGACGCAACAGGCCACAACCCACAATCTTACCAGGTCCGAATCATCTAATCCTCGCGTTACCAAACCCTTTAACTCCGCTCTTGCCAAAATCGCATTCCAAACACCAAACACTACAGAATCCATCAAGATCTGACGATCACCGTGGTACCATCTCACGCCAGCCCCAGCCGCCCATATCGCCAGCAGCGGCGCCGCTCGCCACCCATCAACAACACCACCCGGCACAAGCGCAACGACGCTGCAAATGAAGAAGGACAACAGGCCAAACCGGCCTCGCGCCGCAATTCCCATGTGTGATAAAAATTTACAATGATGCGAATTCTGGAGTGGAAGCACAGAAGTCGTGGTTGTTCATAAGAAGCGGCTCCAGAATTCCTGCGCTATACCCGTTCCATCGTGTCTTTATGCATATGCAGGGTCTCGGGGACCATTCACCGAGCTAGGGATTATTTGAGATTTTGAGCACGACTGGCAAACTTACCTTTCATCCGCAATATCTGGGCTGGAATTTCATTGCCGAATTGTTGTCCGCCTCGAGAAATTTGGTGTGGACGGGGCCCCTGAATTGGGGAACGACAGATGCTGCAAGCCGCGAAGTCGGCGAACGCAACGTCATGCGTGGTAATTATCTGTCACCATAAGGGATGAATGGAACTTGGAGATTCAATCTTAGTGCACCCGCTGCGGATGCGCATCACCTCCTCGTCAGCAAAGTCTATCTTGATGCTAGAATAGACATGCTTTCCATCGCAAACCGCGATGTATTGTAGTGTTTTTGGCTGTAGTTGTATCTTATACGAGACTCAGTTAGGTTGCCATCTGCTCGTTACTGAGCTGCTGTCCACTTAGATTCACGGAGTCTCTCGTCCTCAAACTTGTCAGTTAAAGCTTCTGTACTGCCATCGCGGTGTAAGTAAGCACCAATTGCCTCATCAATTGTTCTGCCTGTCGGTGCAACTCTATGCGATAAACGCGGCCGTTGAGGTTTGTACAATGCCTAGAGCTCTTGGAACCCAGCGTTTGCCCGTTCAAGCCACACTGGCAGCGGAATATGGGAGGCAATTGTACAACTAAAAAGCAAGAGAACAACTGCCGTGTTTGTAATGTATGCCTAACTGGTCGCAAAGTAGAATGAGACGAGGTCCTTACTGCACTCGTGTTTCTTGCAACCAAACGCCTCCTTGAATTTGGAACAAACTGTGACAAATTCTCAATCATTTTTTAACAAGTCGTACCATTCTGCGTTCTCTCGAACAAGTCCACATACATTACTCGAGTTTGGCTGCGCACTTGACGTATATCGTTGATGGGTCGTTATAAAGCCGACAATTATTGAAGAACAGCTTAAGGTTATCGATAAGCAGCTTTGGAGTGGTATAAAAGACGTTATCAAGCCTCTTCTATAGTCAAAAAATCCATCGGTAATGTAATAGTATCGTAATAGCTGGGGACTCCGTCTCTATCGACTAGTTTTAGGAAAGACCATGCTTGCTTGTGATTTTGTATTTGGTACAGAAAAACCCGGCAAACATTGAAATGTCGACCTCGACGTGGTTCACGTGATGGTGCATCCATCTTCGGAGACCAGCTGGTAGCCTGTATAGCGGGGATGGATTGTGGATCAACCAGAGTTATGACACCGTTGGCCCATTGCTGAGGCGATTGATTGATGACGTGGCTTTTGCTCAACGTGCGAACCTTGGCGTGAACCGTTTCTTTCTGCTTCAGGAGCATACGTCCAACCCCGATGTAACGAATCCGAGGAAGCATAGTGTACTGCATCAGTGTACCTCCCTCATAGTCTTTGATATAACACATCCGGTCCAATTTTGGAAGAGTAATTTCTTTACTAAAGCCTTGCTTTTGAAAATATCCAGTGGCGAAATTGTCAGCTTAGGTCAGGAAATGCATAACAGGAGAAGTGGCTTTGACATAGTCCTTTAGATGGGCTATGCGATGTGCGCCGTAGCCTTTGACTTGCTGATCTATTAAGACTGCACAAACTCCTCACCATGTAATTGGAATGACGAATTTATCCCAGCTGTCCTCCTCGTCTGCTCTTCTCCATTCATCGATGCCACCCACAACCCCGTCCGCATCCACCTCCCAGTCACCGCTCTGGACCATCTCAAGCCAGTTTTGGAGAATACTGATTAGTCGTACAGCATGCATCTCGGTAAAAGGCTGATGACCCGGCTGGTACACGTCTGCAAACGTGTCATCTGGCTCCACATCTTCAGCGTCCTGAGTGTTTTCACCAAAACGTGCTCCGTCACTCTTTCGGGCGTACCCTTGCGCACCAATGCGGAACGGCAGAACTAGCGTGGCTTCGTCCTCAAAACTATTGTGCGATAAATTCGTGCATGATAAGTATAATCCTGCGTGGTATTGTTCGACCTCACTGAACGGGTAGCCGAAGGGACATTCGTCTCCAGATGCAGGTGCCATGCGGGGCGAAGTGCCGCTCACTGCACGGAATAGCAGGACAGGAATTAGTTCCACGTGTTCAGCATCGGGGTGTATGGTCGCAAAGGGCTGTGGAGTGATATTTGAAGAATCCGAAATTTCTAAACCAGGAGCGATGAATCGGAACCGTGGGCGCCTCACCTTCTCGATGAAATGATGCGCAAAACCACGTTGTGGATTCATTACATCCAGTATCGTTGCATCGATCAACGGGGTCGAATCGTCTTGCATACCACTTCCTTCTGGCATACGTGATTCAATCTCCTGGACCAGGGAGTCAAAAACGGCCACCGTGTCTTGAAGAATCTTTGGACTGTAGGGTGCGAGCGTCCATGGTGCTTCCACTTCGCCAGTGTCAGAAGTAGCAACAACCTTGCCCTGCTCAATCATATCCAGCCATGCTTCGAGCACAACTTCCAGCGGAAACCATTCCGTGCGACCATTCTGAATAGTGTCGCCATCATCGAGGTCCACACACATGATTGCGGTGTGTTGTTCCTGATCAAACCTGTCCAGGTTCAGCCAAGTGATTTTCCACAGCTGGTCCCATACAAGGAGGACTTACACCAAGCCCACCGGATGTGATCCAAACGACGAATTCATATTGTAAAGTACGATATTTTGCAATATGCTGTCCTCAGAGGAGTCGTGATTAAAGGTTTCGGATAGTTCATGGATCAGCGAGGGAGAGAAAAGGCCGGCGACGTAGTAAAAGAATGCGTGGCCATCCTCACAGTCCACTTCATACGCTCGTTCCAAGAAGGCGATGATATCCGGCGAAAGAATATCACGAATTGCCTCAGCCTCGTCGCCATGGTAGTCAAACCATGTCTTGCGGTTCCGCTCTAGGTCTTCTCTCGATTTGCCCGAGTGCACCCACCCGTGTTCAAGGATCTTGTTGTGGAGCACAACGCACTTATCGACATCCATGATGTGGAGTAGGCAGATTCTACACGAGAGATGTTTGAACGAAAAACGTGCGCGCGAGGAGGAAGGGCTTTTTAAAAAGGTGGCGGACGCGCTATGAGACGTAGAGTCATAGACTAACACGCGCTAATGCTACGAATAGAAAAATAGTAAAATACTACGTCGCTAGCTTATTAGAAATAAGCTCTAGAGCAGCAATTTGTTTCCTTATAGTAATTCTTACTAATTCTATAATATCTATATTTACTATAGTATGTACTAAGCTATATTCTAGTTCACATTATTGTTCAGAACTCTTCTTATTCTTAACTCCAACTCTAACTCTAAAGCAAATAATGTGTTTTATAACTGAAGCGCGCACCTAACTAAGTTACGCACTTTACTCTACTAAAACGCCTGCGCAGCAACGTAGCGTAATACTATAATAAATTTATATACTATAAATATAAATATATTATTTATTAGAAGCGTTACTATCTTCTGCATCCTCTATCTCTACTTTATAGATGCAGGCATTATATCTAGTCTTACTATAAGTGCTGCAGCGCCTCTCTGCGTATACTCTCTTTAATAGTCTATTACTATTATTATAATAGTTCTCTGCTATTATAGTAATTAAGTCTAATACCTTACTAACTATTAAGGTCTTCTCTACTTATATATATTATTATTTACGCGCCTTATACTTTATTATTACTTCTATAGCGTCTTAAAAGTAAGTTATTTCTTCTTATACTAATATTATATTATATGCTATCTACTAAGCGCCTTTAGTTAGCTATATAATCTTTTTATCTATTAACCTTACTATAGAACTTACGCAGTTTTATACTCTCTATTAAATAAGTATACTCTACGCTTCTATCTTATAGGCGTTATATAGTATCTTTACTTACTAAGCACTATTCTTAATAGTTATTAATAGTAGAGTATAGAGGCGTACGTTAAGCTTTAATAATACTGCCTCTAGGCTATATAGAACTAGTCTAGTGCCTTAAAACTCTATATAAACGTTTTCTGCTATAAATATCTTCTTAAAAGCAGCTTTAAAAGTTAGTAGAAAAGTTTCTTTATTAATATAGTAGATATAACTACATGCTAAAGCTAAGATGCTATTACTATATATACGCTTTAATAGCAAGAAATATATAATATTAAGTAGCTATAAGAGGTATAATAAGTGCGCAGGTATATAGAGAATAATAATCTTCTTCTTCTTATAGCGTTTCTAGAATTCTACTGCGTAATAGCTCTTATAGCTGTTAATAATAAGTAGCTTATATACTCTAATAAGATATATATAAGAGTTAAAGTATTTAAGCTAAGTAAGCGCTAGATTATTATTTATCTAGCTAGTAGAGCTAACTTAGATAACCTAGTTACGCAGAAGATTATAGAACTAGTTTAAGATAAGAACTTTGCTTATAAAGATAAGAAAGAGTAAGATTATCTTCTCTATTGCGCTAACGCCTTATACTAGCATAACTTACTTATAATTACTAGGCTAGAGCTTCTTTACTTTTCTAGGCTTCTCTAAACTTATTACTATAAGCTAAGAGGATATCTTACCTATTAAGAAGCTAGACTTATTAAAGTTATATATATTCTTATCTGCGACTCTATATTTCTCCTTTATATCTTAAACTAGCGCAAACTAAGGCTAGATAACTGCTAGGTTCTTATAGGCAGCTTGCTAGCAATTATATAGATAGCTCTAGCGCTTACGTAGCTTAAGAGTATGCTTAATAAAGTTATTAACTTAGTTCTTGCTAATAGGCTTGCTAGCGTGCTCTCTAAGTAGTCTATTAGCTATATCTTGCATATTAGCCTTTAAGATAGGCAGACTGCATATAGAATACTTAAGTATATGCTCTATAATTACTTTCTCTTTTAGTTTTATTAGGCGCTTTATATTTAGTTTACAGTTATATTAAGAATACTTTCTATTATAATAGTCTTAGATAGTTATTTTAGGAACGTTATAGATAGCTGCAGCGCGTCTAACGCTCTAAATTTGCTAATTTTATATATTAAGGATAGTAATCTATATATCTGCTTTAGTATAGGAATTTTAAGCTTAGCGTTATTAAGATATTATGCGTTACTGCTGCGTAGGCGTTTTAGTAAGGTGAAGTGCGCGACTTAGTTAGGTGCGCGCTTCGGTTGTGAAACACGTTAGTGTACATAATATATCATCGCCTGGCTTCAAAGTAGTATTCCAGCTTTTTCTTCGGCAGTAAATCTAAGACTTCTGCGTAATTGATAAAGTAGACATATCAGATAAAGGATTATTCTAACGCTGTAAAGACAGACGTAACCCAATTAGGACTTATCTCTGTAGCTATGCAAAGAACAGCTGTGAAAATACCAACCCTCGTTTGCGATAGGTTGGAGTCGAGAAGAAATATGTCCAATAGTCTTGCCTATCTAGCCTTCTCGTGGCCGCTTGACAGTCAGGACAGGTTGCGCCCTTGGCCCCTGCGCAGGATTGTAAGATGACATTGTTAAATTAATAAGTGTGGTGTGGTCTACTACGCCGCGATTTAAGTAGCTGGTGAGTAGTAAAGCTGTTGTTGTGATGGATTAGAACGATGAAGCTTTGTACGCCGGCTGCTTTGCTCGTCTACGGATACTAGTTGGCAGCCGATCAGACTCCACCGCGTCCTCAGATCCCGTGCCCAGCACCTGAATATCTATCAATCCTTCTTTTTTTCTGATGGAAGGCAGACAGATCAAAGCACCAAAAGTCGAAAGGGTGTCTTCATTGCGGAACCCGGGACCTGGAATTTAGTCTATGCCTGTAGCTGTCAACCATGTGACCACACGCAGTCGCGTCACTTCGGCTCTTCTATCCCGGCCAAAGTTTCACAGTGAAGAAAAGTAGACTGATCGTCGCGATCACGGATAGCACAGACAATCGCAATACTAACAATGTAAAAGGATAGATGACAAATTCGACTTAAAAGAGTGAAAACTGCTTGTGAAGGCTATAGACTGATAGCATCGCTACGTCGATGAATGAGTGTAGAAAGACCTTTGCGTTATCTCCCTAGCACTCATTGCACTTTATCTTGTTTTTGTTATTCTTTTTACTAATACATCTTATTAAATTCTTGAAACTGCATGAGTGTATTCGCTATCTCTCTAGTGAAACAAGGGACTGAACTTATTGTGACACGAGGAGCACCATCACAAAAGCTCTACTCTGCTACTTCGCTTAACGGCTAATAAGAATGAGATCAAGGCAGTTTACCGATTGATTGCATTGCAAGTTTTGGCTCAGACAGCACTATTATCCATTCAGATCGTCAAGATTACTTGAATGTGCCAGCAATAGATGAGTTATTACTTAGCTTATTGTTTCTTTCTATGGTCAAGCACCCACCGCGTCTGCTCTTCAAAACGCTTGAGCTCCTGGCCTTCTAACGTCTTCAAGCCATTTTCTCGTAGAGTGGAAAAGAGATCTACAGCATCGTCAAAGAAGTCAGGGGTGGTAAAACCGGTATCATCCACTCGGCCTTTCAAGTCATCCCAAAAATCCCGCATATCGTTATAGCTAACCGCGTCTTCGTGGCTTCTCTGGATTTCTTCAGCAGAGAAATGGTATGGGCAAGCGGCTGTTGAGCCAGCATATTCTTTCCAGTCCCTAGAGCAGTCATCAGTTCCCAGACATGACTGTCAAAAGTGTAAATAGCGCTGCGTACCTCTCAATTCGAATCAAACAGTCACGAAGAGGAAGGACGTCTCCGTCCCAAGACGCAGAGGCAAATTCCACAACATTGCTCAACATCTTTCCATGAGGATATCTTAGCACCTGATTCAAAAGGGGATTCCGACCAGCAGTTTTATGTTCGTAACTATATACCTGGACAGACTGCTGTACCTTATACTCCACTAAGCTTCGCTCGTCTTCCGGCATCTCCTCGTATTCTGGCGGTAGCTTCAGCATAATGTCGCCATTGTAATCCAGAAGTCGTGGTGCCCTTGCTCGGAGGATGAGAGGACCAACCCAGCAAGATTGCCAATCAATGACGCTCGAGATTTTTCCGTCATGGACGAACAGGTTGCCAGGGTGTAGGTCGCGGTGCCAAAGGAAGGGTGCAAGTAGTTCAGGTTCTTTTGGAAGTAACTTAGCAATGACACTAAGATACTTTCCGAGCAAGTCAATGTGGGCCCGAGGGTCGCTCTGGCCTTTGGAGGCGCTCCATTTCTCCGTAGAGGGCGGCAAAGATTCAGCATAGTCACTGAGCCAAGCGATCTCGCGGTGTGCGATTGCTTCCACATATTCAGATGCACTACTCCCTTCGATGGCTGTCAGTATGTTGGTTAGCTCGTTCGCGATGGAGGCTTACGTACAAGGTCCACGATCAACAGCCATTGCTGCCCTTTGTTTCTCCCAGAATGCCCTGTCGACTGTGGGACCAATGACGAATCTGTTCGCGACATCTGCTTTGAAACTATCCATAATGTTACCGGTGATTTCTGCGGTCTCGCACCCAGGAAAGCTGTCTTTTCTATGATAGAGTGCGCCATGTCTATTGTCATTAGAAAAGTCACTTTATAGAGCCTGTGAGTTAACGCAGCTACGCACCTGTTGAGTGATGCAGAAAGAAGCTTCTCGTCAATGGCGACAAGCTCAGTCACAATTCCCAATTGATCTTTCAAATCCATTGTATCCCAGATCTTCGACAGTTGTATGCCTTGGGCTTCCTCCACGATGATGTATTCTGAGCCAACTGGGTTATCAGCTGTAGCACAGTAGGCCCGAATCTTTGGTACAGGTATGTCAAGGATTGATTTTGCCTGTATGAATAAGTACCCACCGAAGACAGGAAGTGAAATGTTTGTCTCACAAAGTCCATTGTAGCAACCTCTGAGGTGGTTGTGTACTTGGGAGGGCCTGCGTTGGGATGAGGAATGCGTGCCATCAAGACCGATCCATTGTCCATCTGGAGGCGGAAAACCTTGTTGAAATTTCCTTCGCCAATTTTGCTCATAGAGACACACTTCTCGGACCCGGCAATGCCCACAGCGACCTTCTGAAGTTCATTGACATTGAATGCGCGATAGCGTTCGCGAAGTTGTTCTTCCTCTCCCCAAAGCCATCTTCCGGAAGTGTAGTGAAAGTAGTCATGGGACTCGTCATGATGCGTGTTTGCCATAGCTTCACCCTTATGCGCTAGATAATTACGCAAGGTAGAGTGAAACGGGCGCGCATTGATCTGTTTAATATGTAATTGCAGGCGATGAAAAGAGGTACGCTGCAGGGGAAGGCGAAGAAATGACATAGAAGCGGTTGAAGAACTAAAGCTAGTAAGAGTTTGTGGTTGGGCTGGTTCACAGTTTTGTGTCGCAACGATGATGGACGCGAATCGTGCCGCTTACTGAATACGGCCAATTTTGCCAATTTTGTGGTAACAGAACGAGAGACAGCAAAGCTTCCCGTCCGCTCAGCAATATCTACGCAGCGCACCGGCGGATTAGTAGTCAGGTGGGTGACCACTGGCCATTTCCCGCTGTTGCATGTTTTTGCCATGTTTTTGCTCGTTAGTTTGCCATACCATAGCAAGGTTCTGCACTTCTAAAGACGACGTACATGTCTCTGTGTACCATAACTCTTCTCTTGACAGCTATCTAAACTACTACACCAACATCGTTCTTCCTTTTTTTTTTCGTGCTTACAATCCCCACCGTCCCGGCGCCAAACTCCTCACATCCGCACTGCTCGCCTTGCCTTCCCAAACCATCTGTTCAAACAAATTAGCCCATCTCCTCATCCATGTCCACATCTAGTCGACTTACCTCACTAAGCACCCTCCCCGTTCCCGGCCCATTCTGAATTCCCCAACACGTATGCCCCGTGCCCAAAAACACTCCTTTCACCCTCGTCTCCCCCACAATCGGCCCTCCTCCTCTTCCTTCGACATTCGGGAGATAACACGCTTGTCTTGCAGTAACCTCTCCGTCGCGCAATTCCTCGCTAATACTGCTGACTTGACTGATGATATCTTCGCACCTGCTCTGGTCGACTTCTACGGAGGAAGATAAGGCGGGGAGGGGGATGAGTGTGTCGCCCTCGCCGCAGGCGTAGACTTCGGCGTTGGGGCGGGCGTAGATTTCTGGGGTGGCTGTGGAGGTGCCGGTGGTGATGGATGTGAAGAGGCAGTAAGGCGAGACCGGGCGGGAGGGGCGGATCGTGACGCTGTGGGCTCGCAGGCCGGAGATGGGAGCTGTGGGCCAGAGGGATTTTGTCCAGGGGCCGGTGGTTAGGATGGCGGTGTCTGCTGGTATGGTGACTTCCTCTTCGCTGTCTTTGGACTTGTAAGTCACTGAGGTGACGGCGCCGGAAGATTGGTTTATAGCCGTCACTGAGCCGAGGATTAGTTTCACTCCGCGCTCTTCGGCCAGCGAAGCCATAGATGTGGTGAATTGGTACGGGTGAACTTGAGCAGTTGTTGCTGGGGTGCCCATTTCTTCGTAGCTTTGGATACCCTCGGCAGCTACCCAGTCCAAGTCCTTGGGCACGCCGGCTGCGCGCAATAATGCCTTTGCTGACTGCGTGCGCTTCTGCAGTGAGACGGAATCCTCGCTCTTCTTCACATCTTTGCTCTGCTTGGCGAGCACACCATACATATCAATCTGCCCAACATGTACTTTTCGATAGCCCCAGCGCTCCGCACCACCATGTTTCTCCGCGAGTTCTTCATGCAGTTTGTAGCTCAGTGGCACGATGCAGGATGGATAAGCCCAGAGCCCAAGGAGACCGCCAGCTTTACCTGATGCGCCGCCTGCAATTTTTGTGGCCTCTAATAAGGTAATTGTGTCTCTATCTTTGTTGAAGTTTTCATGGTGGGAGAGGAAGTATGCTGTGGTCGATCCTATGATTCCGCCACCTGTAGAGATTAATCAACATTTCTTCACATGGAGAAAATTCGATAGGAGGAATTACCAATGATAACAATATTCCGTCCCTTTTGCTCAGCTGCCATGATTTTGGAGATAGTTGAAGTCGCTCTGAGCATGAAGGTATGTTGCAAGTTCAAGTGTGGCGTTGTTCGCTGTGGAGTTTTGAAGATTCGGTAAGATAATACACCGACGACGTCATAGGTCAATCCAATCAAATGATTAAGCTGCATCGCCCAACAATGACAAGTAGGGAATCAATCATAAAAAGCAATCAGCCACCCAGCAAGCATGTAAGCCGTGAAGAAAACTAATCACCTCCGCCCATATCTCCGCCTCCAAAGTCACCACCGCCATCTCCGCCAAAGTCACCACCACCGTCTCCCCCGAAGTCACCGCCATCACCACCGTAGCCGCCACCATCGCCTGCATCCGCCATGGCAGATCCCAGCAGCGCACCACCCAACAGACCACCACCAGCACCCAACGCCATGGCGCCTCCAGCGCCCATACCGCCACCGGGTCGTCTTCCTCCTCCCATACCTCCCATACCTCCCATTCCACCCATCATAGGCCTACCGGGCTGAGCATAATATTGCCCTCCACCCATCGGCGCCCCCATCGGCGCGCCATACGGCTGTCCATAGCCTTGTTGCTGCTGCGGATATCCATGCGCCGAACTTGAACTATGTCCCGACGCCTTTCCGAGGAGCTTTCCCAACAAGCCTCCCTTGCTCTTGCCCTTGTCCTGCGTCGGCGCATCGTACGGCGTCTGTTGGTGGCCGTACTGCTGATCCGGGTACCCGCCGTGCTGAGCCTGGCCGGGCTGGGTGTAGTAGTCGTTCGAAGCGCCGGCGCCAGGGCCGTGGCCTCGTGCGCGCGCTTCTTCCTCGTCTTGGAGTTTGCGGGCGAGTTTCTCGTCTTCGCTTATGTTGGCGTATGGGTTGTTGGAGCCGAAGGTCGACTTCTCGCTCGGTGTTGCGGATACTCCTCCTGGAGCGTAGCCGGGTGGAGCGTGGTTGAGAGGTGCTTCACCGGCTGGGTATGCGGGCTCGTTGGGCTTCTCCCATTGAGACTTCTTTGTGTAGACTGAATAGTTTGTCAGTGTACATGTCAGACGTACTCCATACAATTGTGAGGCATACTGTTGACGAAGAACCACTCGTTGTACTGGTCGTTCCAAATAGCTTTCCAGCCTTCTGGGACCTTAGGTGGAGGTGGACCCTGTGCACATAAGCTGCTTGCCGCTTACTCCGACTTCTGTTCGCGAGACTCACTGATGGAGGCGCAAAGTCAGCCATAATGTGTGTCGACTAGTAGAATCGTAAATTCGTGTTTGTGCTTGAATGCAACCAGGACAATCTAGCTCTGTAGTTGCTGCAAGTTGTGTAAGACGTAGGTAGCAGCGGGGTGGTGAGCTCATAAGCTAGTGAACGCGCGCGAACTGGAGTTCGGGAACGCGTCATTGTGGCGACACATCCACAATTCACATGCCGGCTCAGCCACACTTAACAATAATCAGTGTAAACTGGGCAGAAGAGAAAATTTGATTGATTAATTGCGAAGTATGTGTAAAAGGCATATGTCCACCAGTCAGCCAAATTATCGCTCCAAATGAATGCATGATACAAGAAGCGCAAGTGACAAAGGGAACGTCGCAATAGCGGGCGTGGTTGAGGGTATGAGAGGCAAGCAGGCTATGCTGGAAGATGTACTCGTACAAAGCAATACAATAGGTCGAGACTGCTCAATGTCCTGCATGATCAGAGTAGTTGTTGGCTCAAAGTTTGCCAGCAGTCAGGTAGTCCGCAGCCTGTCCTAGGTCAGCCAATGCTCCGCGGCGAAAGCGACATTCTAGCTCACCTTGTTAATGTCATAGTCGAACTTCTCAAGCGCGTCAAGAGCGTCGTTACGCGCGTATCCCATACCGGTAAGTTTCTTCAAAATGGGGTCGTCGTGTTCCGTGCCAGTCGAAATGGCCCGACCGAGCTGTGGCATCTGTGGTGCCAGGGACGATGATGCTGCAGCCTCTTCCTTGTCAAGCGTGTCGAAAACAGACGACTTGCCGAACTCGGTCGATGCCTGCTGCGAGTTCTTGTCTGTCGAAGAGGACTCAAGGTTGGAGAAGATGGCGTCCCAGTCCTGGTTCGAGGATGACGGTTGTGGTGCTTGTGGCTGGCCAAAGTGTTGCGACAAGTGCTCAAAGTCACTGAAGCTGTCATCTGCGCGCTGTTTGCCCGTGGGTGTCTGCTGCGAGGCCATCGTGTTCGACTTGGACGCAGCGGGCGAGTCAAAGACTGGGTTGAACTCGTCAAGCCCATCGCTTCGCTGAGAAGAGAACATGAAGTCGTCGTCCGTCTTGTCGTCCTCCTTGGCCTCGGTCAAGTCGTCAAAACCAGCATCAAAGTCGTCATTAAATGCGGACCTGCCTAGCTGAGGGACATTTGCGGGCGGTGTAGGGCCCTTGTTCGTCTCGCTCGTTCCGTAGGAGACAGCGGAATGGTAGGCATCGGACGGTACAGTCGACGACGGGGTGTCTAGAGGAGGTGGCGAAGTTGTGACAGACTTGGATTGGGGCCCGCCAAACAACGCAGCTCCGTGACCGCCAGATGGGTTGTAAGACTTCTCAGGGCCCTGCGAAGTCGTAGGCGAGCCAGGCACGTCACGCGAAGGAAGAAGGCCGCCGAACTCTGGCGGAAACTGGTTTGATCCGCTTCGCTGAGGCACAGTTGATTCGTACGACGGCGGCGACTTCTGGGCGCCGGGAGTAGGCAAGTCGCTCAAGGTTGAGTCCAGGCGGCTAGCGGGAGCTGGCCTGCTGTACAGATCATCAGTCGTCGATGCAGTTCCTGGTCGAGCAGGCTGGGACACGGCGTCAGGACCAGCGCTGGTGCGCTTCTGGTGAGGAGAGGCCGAAGTAAAGTTGTCGTCGAAGCCGCGTCCATCATTGCTGTCGCTGTCATCGTCATGAGCAAGGTCCTCGATCGGCGGGAACTCCTTGTTGAACCTGTTTGAGTTGTCGATAGGACCATTGGAAGAAACGCTAGCAGAGTTTTGGCGGTTGGGACCGAAGCCAGCAAAAGCAGCATCAAAGTCTACCTTTCCACCGACACGAGGTTGTTCACCAGAAGCGGAACCGAATGGATCAGCGCGGTTGGTGTTCTTGCTTGCGCCGCTCAAGTTGCTCTCTCCAGTCTGCATCTGCTGGAGTGGAGATGCTGTATCACGAGGGAACGCTCCCGGAAGATCTTGCGTGACCTGCGATGGTGGGCCGAAGCTGGGGTAGTTGTTGCGCTCCTCGGGTCTAGTAGATCGCTGAGCATCGCTGGTGACGCTGGCAACAGGGGATGCAGTAGAAAAGGTCCTGTCGAACAAAGAGGGGTTGAAGTTGTCAGTCTCTGTGCGGCTGGTATCGGCTCGCTCGATGCTGGGCTTTTCAGCCACGGGGGTGCTGGCTGGGGAGGCCTTTGAGATCGTGGGTGTCTCGGTGCCTGGTACGCCATGTCGACTGCCAGGCGCGGAAACCTTCACAGAGGAGCTAAACGAGTCGGAACGAGGCACAGCATCCCTGAGTGGCAGGAAAGCTGAAGCGAATTGGCGAGACTCTGGAGGAGCTGGAGGCTCTGCACCGCGCGGTGACTCTTGGTAGGACGAGAGAGGCGGTGACGTTGAAGGTGTAGGCACATCAGGTCCCTCAGAAGAGCGAACCGACTGGCCAGATGGCGCAGAGAACGCACCCTGGTTCTGAGAATCGGGGCGGAAGGAGACGGATGGTGCTGCGCTCTGAGGAGGTCCGAACGCGCCAAACACGCTGTCAAAGTCCTTGTGGGGGCCGTCGCGTGCAAAGCCTGAAGGCGACATGGTGTTCTCCGTGACGGGTGCCGGCGATTTGCGGAAGAATGGGTTGGTGCTCTGGCTCGTAACAGATGCTGCGGGACTGACCACACTCGGCGTCTGGGCTTGCGGGCTGCGGACTCCGTCTTCTGGAGCCCTGCTTAGTTCATTTATCTCACTCTTGAGCTTCTCGCGCTCTCCCTCGTTCGTAGTGAGCTGCTTCTTGTTGATCGCTACCATGCCCTTCTGTTGACGAGCCTCGTTCCTCATCTTGTCCAGCTGGGGTCGCAACTGTCCAATTTCGACATTGATCTGACGGATACGCTCCTTCAGATTGCTGTTCTCGCGCTGGTCAGCCTCGAGCGCACCACCAACCTGGCGGTGTTGATTCTGGAGATCCTGAATAGTGCCCTCAATCATGGCGAGGTCTTGTTGCAGCTTGCGCGTCTCGTTGCGCGAGGACGCCAGGCGCTCTTCTAGCTCCTTGACTGCCTTGACCTCCTGCTCGTATTGGTTCTTGAACTGCGTCAAGCGAATTTCGAGGTCGCGCTTCTGCGTGTTGACGCTGTTGAGATCGCTTGCGGTCGTGACCTTCTTGTTCGATACTTCCTGCATCTGGGTGCGGAGCGTCGTCATTTGATTTGACATATTGGCCAACTCAGTAGAGTCTTGTGTCAGCTTCTTGTTGATCTCCGCATCAGTCTCTCCACCCAGCAGGTCATCCATAGCCGATGGTGGAGCGCGGCTCTGAGAGGTACCGGATTGACCAGTAGAATGTGATGTGAGGGTCTGGCCAAATGAAGAGCTCGGCATGAAAGGCTTGAATGTGGAAGCAGGGTTTCGTGGAGAAGGTTGGAACGGATGAGGCGAAGTAGGCGACGCTGCCTTGCTTCGCGAACGGGTCATTATCGAATGGACGGCTAAACGATGCAGAGCCACCGGTGGACTGTGGAGCTTGCGCGGGAGCAGCCGTAGGCGCAGTGAAGGCATCCAAGCCAAATAGATCGTCAGCAGCAGATTTGGGCTGAGGTGCAGGCGGCGCGGCTTGTGCTGGTACGGGAACAGCCTGGTTGGCAGCGGTGCGTAGAGATGGCGGGATCAGACTCGGCGGCAGTGTTGTAGGAAGCGCGTCGCCCTTCCGTTGCTGCCGGATCAAGTACATGGCCACGGAGAATTCGTCTCTTGACAGTTGTCCTTCTGAGTTGATGTCCGCAAGATCCCAGATTCCAGCCAAGACGTCCTCTGGCAGCCCCGAGTCGCTGAAGAAGCGCACTGCTTGATCTCCGGTAATGAATCCACGGCCCGTCGTGTCTACACCTTTGAATAGGTTGTCATACGAAGACTTCTCTTGTGGGCTAATCAGCCAATCGCTGCCGGTCGGCTGTGCTGCTGGAGGTGGTGCGCCAAAGGGAGGTCTTGCAAGCGGGCTTCCTTGTCTGGGCGCATTTTGGCCGCTGAACTGACGTGGGATGGTAGACTGGTCGGGACGTCCTGGGGGTGGAGGAAGCTGGCCTCTCCGTGATGCTGCCTCGTACAGGCCCGGTGGCAGCGCATTCGGCAGCGCCTTCATATTGCCTGTTCTGTACGATGCCAGCAGATGCATGGCAATAATGAACTCTGTGACATTCAGCGCTCCACGCTGCTCTGTGTCTGAGAGATTCCAGATGCGCCCGAGCACTTCGTTTGGTAACCGCGCCTTCTCGAATATCTCCTTTGCATTCTCGCCAGACAGGACGCCATTGACAGCCCCTGACTTCTCAAACAAGCCTGCGTACTCGGCCGCTTTGGCGGGCACCAGCGGAGGGACACGGATGGGGCCATTGCCGCTCATCTGAGGCTGTATCGAGCCCGTCGCCTGTGGAGAGAAGCTGGGGGCTGCCGACGGCGCGGCGGGTATATTGAGGCCCTCGAACTTGGGCAGCGGCGCAGCTGGCACCGGTCAGCGCATATCACCAGCATAACTCCATCAACACATACGTCTAAAAGCAAGCTCGGGCGCGGGGTCCCGGCCGGCCTGGTAGTGTCCGATGAGACGCAGGACCTGGCAGAAGCCGGCCATGGTCAACAGACCGCGGTTCTCCGTGTCTGCAATCTGCCATATCTCACCCAGCACCGCCGGCGCAAGCTTGGTGCGCTCGAAGAACTTGACGGCGATCTCGCCTGTTATGACGCCAAGCTTCTCTGTGTCGGCCTGCTGGAACAGGAACTGGAAGATGCGCTTCTCATCCGGCGTGAGGTTGAGGATGGGCTGGTCTGCACTTGCTTAGCTGCGCCGTCAACAAACAACGTCAATATGCGGCTACGTACTCAATTCGCCGCTGGCCGCGAGATCCGCCATGGCTGTGGCACTTCAGATGGGCGGGCGCGTGGTGGTGATGGGGGAAGCCTGCAACGAGGCTGAAGCTCCAAGCTGTCGTGTAATAGGCAATAGTGGTAGCGCGGGGAAGCTGCGTGTCCCCAGCGGCAGGCGAAGGAAAGTCGGGAGGCTGGCGGCGGCAGACGAATACGGACGACTACGACGAGACTCGACGACAGGAGGGAATAGCCGCAGCTCCAGGCGGAGAGGATGGAGATTGTGATTGTGATGGAGATGATCCGCCGCGGTAGTGAGACCGTCCCGGAGCAACATCCATGGATCCTCGTCGTGTTTCGCTGCTTGGCGCACTAGGAGGCCCATGGACAGGCGTACAGCAGCTGTCAGCCGTGTTACACGAATCGACACGTTGGTCTGCCGTCTCGATGCACTTCGTCCCGCGCGCAGCCCAACCTGGCCGCTCGTTCGTCTGCACATGACCGGGCTGCATTGGCCTGACGCGTCCCCGCTCCAAGTCGTTCCATCGTGTTCGACAACGCATTCAGTCAAGGGCTGCCAATTCGGCCATGTACGACACCGTGGACCCTGTCTGTGCAGACAAAAAGCCATGGAAGTGTCGCACAGCCTTGCAGCTTCCGCATTGAGAGGGTGATCATATCATTCGCTATGCTACAGAAACATCATGACTTCGTGGTTACACATTTTGTACAGTGGGGCCAGGATAAGCTCCAGGCGGCAAGCCACTTGGGCTGCGCAAGTGGCACGACAGACGTGTACAGCAATCTGAGCCGAAACATCGCGTCGCGAAGAGGTGTAGACGTGGTGAGGGGAGAGACAGCGGCTCAACGTCGCTGGTCACGGTTCTTGAACGGTTTGTATGGCGCAAACGCCAAACTGGGACTGCCTTCGTCGCGCCTGCCCCATGCCCGGCCAAGCAGCCAGTCCGTGACGCTGATGACCTTTGCCGTCTTCTCCCAGTGGCGTCCCTCGTCTGTGTGTTCAATGGTGTGGTTGATGATGCGCCCTTCCTCGTCGAACTCGAACATGAAGAGGCCAGTGAATTCCTCCTTGGCACGTCCTGAGCCTCCCACAATGCTCGTGATCTTCTCAACTACATCGCTGACTTGTCCGTTTTTCTCCGATTTGCCGCACGTCTGCCATTTGACGATCAGCTTCTCGTCCCGTAGATGCGCCGGAGTGAATGCGCTGCCGTTCTTGATCATGCGCTCAGACAGAATCTTGAGTTTCACGTTGCCAATGACAGGTACTCTGCCCCATGCGACTGGCGCCGTCCACAAAGCGGCCGTGTATGCGATCTTGCCACTCACATTGGGCAAGTGTGGGTGCGTCGAGGGAAACAGGTGGAGGCTGATATGTGGCGAGAGGATGTCTTGCGGGAGTGGTGATACCAGGAGCGTAGGCAGGCGCTCGTGTAGGATTCGGATAGCTTTCAGAATGTCAGCAAACATCCTCCCACTTCTATGATGGAGCATGTCGCATACTGTTTCCCAGCTTCAAATTGCGCTCCGCCAAGCGCTTCTTCTCCTCCTCATCCAGCTCAGGCCCTCTACAGGGCGACGAGCTCGTAAACCAATTCCTCGACACCGTTGCCTGCCGTGGCCTCACATCTGTGATATTCCTCTGATACTGCCTGAGCCCAAGCAGCCGGGGCGCCGCGAGTGCTCGCGCAGCATGTGGTGAGAATTGAGTGCGTGCAGAGGTGGAAAACCGCCGCATAAGACCTGTGGTCATCTGTACGGGTAGAGATATGCAACCATAGAGAATGCGAATAGGTTTGCTAGGTGCTGAAGTTTGGTGGAAAGGTGCACTAGCCGACCCCGAAGAAGAATCGCGACGGGACTAGTGAGGGACTGGGGTGTAGTTCGTGACGTAGCGTGGTCCCGCATGGCGAACATTCCATCCCGTTCAGCGATGCTACCTACCGACGCGCGATACCGCGTGGGACATCAATGTTCCGGTGGGACAATTGCACCCATGCAAAAGATATACATGATGACATACTCGAATACTACAGATCTTCTCATACAAAACTCAAGATCCCCAGACTAACCCTGCCTCCCACAACTTGATCCCTCTACACCCCCACCACTCTAACCCCGCCAAACTACCCCATCTTCAATTGCCCACAATGGCAGGCAAACGCATCGTCTTCACCGGCGGCTCAGGCAAAGCCGGCCGCCACGTAATCCCCTACCTCCTCGCCCAAGGCTACCAAGTCCTCAACGTCGACCTCACCGACTTCCCCGACCCCAGCGCGGGCGTCTTCACCCTCAAAGCCGACCTGACCGACAGCGGCCAAGTCTTCAACGCGCTGACCTCGCACTACGGCTTCAAGGACTACGAGGGCCCTCACAACGCCAGCCCTCCAGATGCGGTCATTCACTTCGCCGCGTATGCCAGGAACATGCTCGTGCCGGTACGTCTCCGAACACACTCCTCTCCCGCCTTCCCCTCCTGACCAGCAAACCCAGGACAACGAATGCTACCGTGGTAACACGACGAGTACATACAACGTCATCGAAGCCGCCTGCAAACTCGGCGTGCGCAAGATAATCATCGCGTCGTCAGAAACAACCTACGAAGTCTGCTTCGGCCAGGGCGATCTCGACTACACCTCCTTCCCACTCGACGAAACCCACGACGTGAATCCCATGGACACTTACGCCATCAGCAAACTCTGCGGCGAGAGGGTAGCCAGGGGCTTCGCGCGCCGCTTCGACGCAGACATCTACGCGCTCAGAATAGGCAATGTCGTCGAGCCGCATGAGTATGAGAGAGATTTCCCCGCGTATATCAAGAATCCCGCCATGCGCAAGAGGAATGCGTGGAGTTATATCGACGCGCGGGACTTGGGGCAGATATGCCATTTGTGTGTGCAAAAGGACGGGTTGGGGTTTCAAGTCTTCAACGCGACCAACGACACCATCACTGCGACGTTTCCAACGCGCCAGTTCTTGGAGCAGTTTGCGCCGAATAGTCCCGTGACGCGGGAGATGGGGGAGTGGGAGGCGCCGCTGAGTAATCGGAAGATTAAGGAGGTGCTTGGGTTCAAAGAGGAACATGATTGGAGAAAGTATTATAATCCTGACGCGTAAGGGGTGAATGTAATTCGTTATATGGAATGTTGAGATCATGTCAAGGACTTGACAAACCTCGTGACTCGACTTACTGCCGTCTCAGCACTGCTGTCTGTCATCCCACTCCGATCCGAATCGATACTCCTGCGTCTCCGAATCTCCTTGACGAACTTGGGCCACGTATTCGTCAGGACGAGATTCTTGACATGATTCAGCGCCTGGTCGAAGACATTGATGCCAAACTGCCGTGATATGTCTCCAGTGTATCGCGACTCCAGTATCGCTTCCTCGTCATCGTTCTCCCTCGACACCGGGACGTCAAAGGTGAACGGCATTTCGAAAGCAAAAGGCAACGTTGGGTCGACGCGAGCCTTGCCGCAGACTTTGCGGGCTGAAGCTTCGAAGACGGCCTCGAGGTCTTTGAGTTGTGCTGAGGCGAGGTTGAGCGGGAATTCTGCGTCGCGAGGGCTAATGAAGTCGATGTATATCTTCAGAGCGGCGTTGTACATGTCGGCGCGCTGTTCTTGGTCGAGAGATAGGTCGCGCGACCAGGTGACTTTCCACTTCGCTACACGTGTCAGGAAAGCGATATTTTCCCCAGAGAAGTCGTTGTACGCCGAGAACTCTTGCAGGGGCTCGGGATGTTCGTGGAGGACGCGATTGAGTGCCGTCATGGTGAGCAGGCGGTCGCCGTTGTATCCATTACTAGCATACCGGAGGACCTGATCTTTCTCCACGAGCTCGAAGGTGGATCCTTTGTCGCCTCCATTGACTCGAATGGTTGTTGATTGAGATGATGTCTCCCACTTATCATTTGAGTAAATGACTTTGCGGTTTGTCTGCCATAGTTTGATGACTTGGTATGCTGGCACGAAGATGAGGAAGCCTTCGAGAACCATGGTGTGAAGCTGGATCCTAAGAATCGTCAGCATCCTGCCTTAGTGTTAGATGCCGTTAACTCACCATTGGCTAGGAGGGAAGTATGCATTGACTTTATCGAATGCTCGGGAATACGACGCGATTAGGAACATGGGCGTAGCGTGAAGGCTAATAAGTGCAAATGTCAGCAGGTCGTCGTTGATCGAAGGCTCCAGACATACCCTGAGAGACAAGCACCAATGGTTTGTGTTCGCCATCCCATGGTATCGCGGATATTCCAAGCTCTCCAGATCAGCGAAGGAGCGACACCCCAGGTCCATACAAATTGCCAAACAACACTTGGCCACCACTCCCATCCAATGTACAGGTCTCGGATCTGCTCTGGAAGAGTTTCCCCTCGTATCTCCGTGCCGCGGACACCAAAAGAAGGGTGATACTTTCTGCAAACCAACCACATGCATACGGTGAGAAGTGTCTTTGAAACATTAGCCTGGTCGGTGACTCATATCAAGCTGCATACCTGAACAGTGATGCCAATGCCGATGAAAACCAGGACCTTGGTATCATACTTTAGGCTTCGTATCCTGGAAACCCACGAGGAATTCGCACCGTTGTTCCCTCCTTTCCTAATCAAAGCTGGATGGGTGAATCGCTTCTGCAGTTCCGCAACGTGCAGTAGCCGGAGGTTGGCGGCGTGGAACAGCGCAATACCGAGAGGAAACCAAGTGCCCATGACGAAGTACTGGATATCATACGCAACGAGCACTCGCATCGTCACTCCCACGGGATACACAATCTGGGACAAGATCCAATAGAGATGTAGGAAGATGACGGACGCAAACGACAATCCCAGGCCCCGGACCTTGAGGATAGGTAGCTGTCGGTTCATCCAGCAGAATACCATTCCTGCTACAATGATGACAGTCCATACTGCGCAAAAGGTGATGTAGAAAATTCCCACGCCGTCGAACTTTGGACTTTGTGGCGGCAAGTTGTAGATGGTCAAAGCCGACATGTCCATAGTGAGCGATTGATGGGAGGTCCGGAAAGGAGTGTGAGTATCAGAAGGACAAAGAGTGTAAGGAGCTGGACATGTGACGGGAAATAGTGGGTGACTCCTCGTCAATATAGCAAGACTGCCCTATCCTACGTCAAGCGGCTCTACGGAGTGCAGCTCTTGTTAGGATCTAATTTTGAGTTCATCGGCCGCCACTTTTCTTCCAGTCTGCTGCTCTTCGCAACGTATTTAGTGAGCAGATGCTATTCGTGATGGGGCAAGAGATCTACCCGAAAAAGGCGCTACGATCGCAGAGTTTCAAACTACATAGGACGACACATTTGGCCAAGATGATGCAATCGTAGATCTTCATGCCTGCACCAAGTGCTCGGATCCCTGCTGTGGCTGCTTTTATCGAATTCATGGTCAGATCACTACTGTCTTGCAGCGGTTCATCGAAAATCCGACGGCTCCACAATTTGTCAATGTCAGATACGGTTGGCGCCGCGATCGTCGACGCTTGACTTTGAAAAGCAGGTACAGCTTCACTAAAGCTGGTATGCCGCGGTCTTTCTGGACAAGCGGAACCAAACCAGAGTTCTTATTTCCATGACGCCGGGAAACAAGATGCAGGTACGCCGTGAACTGCAGTCATAGCGTCGCAGTGCTGGGGTGGTACATCATTATATTAGTGTGACGGAGAGGGCTTTGACGACAGGACAAAGGAACATGTTTGGAATTTGGTTGTGTTGTGATTTGCGGCCGTACGATTTCGAGGTTTGTCGGTCGGCAAGGTAGGGTTCCGGAGGGTGTGATCGACAGAATGTCTTGGCAATATCCCCTTGAGTTGAAAGACTAAGGGACAAAAGTCCATGTTCATGGCCGAATGTGACCGATCGTAATCATCTCTTGTAACAGACGCCGAAGTGGTACGCTTTATCTTAGATACTCCGGGGAAAGCTGGAGCTGGGAACGATGACACTCACAACGTGAGCGAGCAGTGGTTCCTTGTCGGAGCCATGTCCGCGGAAAAGCAACGAGTTATGAGCGACCGGTGGTTTCTAGAGTCGCCGTCATAGCGACCGCCTGTGGTTGCACTCCGACAAGATAGAAAGTCCTAAGATCCTAAGGTAAAGACGATGTGCCGAGAAGTCGGTTGGTGCGAATGTGTACCTGTCCGGAAGCTGATCTGGGGACGACGCTGACTAGGAGTGAATCAATTAAAAAGAAGATTGCACACCCGAGCGAACTGGCCAACTCGTGGGATCCTTGCCCGTAATGGCACTGGCCATGCCGCGCTCTGCTTCAATTGTGTACCTCAGAACTCTGCGGTTTTTTTTTGACCAGGTGTGCTGACCGGTCCCGTGTAGAGATTTCGCGCTGCAAGCCTGCACTACAATCCGGCACACGACACAATTAGAAAAGGTGTGAAGGGAGCCATGTAACAACCTGACTGGAGTTGGATTTGATTAAGGGCCAAGAAAATACGGATGCTGAGTATTAATGTAAATGGAGAATGACTATTAGTGCTAGATGCTTGCCGAATCCCAGAGTGCTTGAGAACTAATGGGATCCTTTGGCGGGCCAAGTGACTGCTGTGGATGATGCAGCGTAGTTTGGGCAGTTAGAGGTCATTCTTTGCGTTGTTGAGAAGCACGCGAGGGCCGGGGTACAGTCCTGGAGGTGGTGCACATAGTGTCAACGATGTGTACGTGCGCGACAGTTGTAAGAGGAACTCAACAGTGTTGCGGTTTGATCTTCCCATTGTCGAGTCGTCTGAGATGTGTATCACGATCGGGCTGTCGCGTGGTGTTGGGTTGAGTAGAGGCCTTATGTGGGCAGCCGCAAGGAATGCGCCTTGCCCATGCTTAGCTCCGAGCTCGGCGGCCCCAGCTCCATGGGTAACTTTTTTTGACACCCGCAGTGACAAGCGATCTCCAGCTCGTTTTTGCCGCTCGTCGATACCCCCAAGTTCCCTGCGCTGTACTTCTTCGCTGTTCAATCGTATACATTGTAATTTGTTTCTTGTCAACAGTCGCCCATAATGACGCCATCACCTTCAGAAGCTGCAGCAAAGATTGCGCAAGCCGCTGCTGGCACCAATTCGTCGGCCAAAGTCTACAAGCGGGAGTCAAACACAGCCAGAGTACTGGGCGCAGGTATGGAATCACCTGATTTGGAAGGGAAATAGCTGACAAGTAAAGGATGTGCGGGAATCGCGGAGCTCATGGTCTTCCATCCTGTCGACACCACGGCGAAGCGGTTGATGAGCAATGTTGGCAAGGTACACGGCCACCGTATCTAGACAGAGATGCCTGTTCTGACCCCTCCTAAGATCGAGTCCGCATCACACCTTAACAAAGTTGTCTTCAGAGACGCCGCCGGGGCCTCGGTTCCTGGCCGATTCTTCTCTCTCTTCCCCGGTCTCGGATATGCTGCGGCCTACAAAGTATGTGCACATGGCGCAGAGAGGGAGCAGGTTATTGACAGCGCCAGATCCTCCAACGCGTGTACAAGTACGGTGGACAGCCCTTCGTAAGGGACTATCTGGCGCAACACCACGGCGGTAGCTTCGACCGCACATTCGGCAAGGGCAATGGCAAGGCAATCATGCACGCGACCGCAGGTTCCATTATTGGAATTGGTGAGATCGTGCTGCTGCCTCTCGACGTGCTCAAGATCAAGCGACAGACCAACCCGGAGGCCTTCCGCGGTCGTGGGCTGATGAGGATTATTGCTGACGAAGGCTTTGGACTGTACCGAGGGTGGGGTTGGACCGCCGCACGTAATGCACCTGGATCGTTCGCCGTAAGTTTTCCAAAGGTTCACTGACTGCTTTCCATCTGACAATCGAACAGCTGTTTGGTGGATCTGCCGCGGCCAAGGAGTACCTCTACAAACTCGGCGACTACAATAGCGCTTCGTGGTCGCAGAACTTTGTCGCCTCGATTGCCGGTGCCAGCGCCTCGCTTCTCGTCTCTGCTCCTCTCGACGTCATCAAGACGCGAATCCAAAACAGGAACTTCGAGAACCCCGAAAGCGGCTTCAAGATCGTGTCCAAGATGATGAAGAACGAGGGATTTACTTCCTTCTTCAAGGGACTCACACCCAAGCTGCTCATGACTGGGCCCAAGCTTGTCTTCTCCTTCTGGCTTGCGCAGACGCTGATCCCCGCGTTTGGCAAGATTATGTAAATTCGAATTCGAGCTGTGTTTGTGAACATGTCTGTATGATACCTGGGCAAATGATTTAACGGGTTCTTTGGATAGGATGGTAGGCTAGCGGCAGGGAAAACGGCGCACGACAAGCGTGTCTTAGTTGAAAATAATCAAAAATCTCCATTCCAACAAAGCTGTCACATGAATCGCCGCCGGGAAATGACGTGGTGGGCTAAACGCTCATTGATGTTGCCCGCTGCTTGCCCAGCATCGAACGCTTTGACATCACGTGCAGATGTGCTCCCTCGTGCCTGCAGTGCAAGTTGGTGCACTATTGGGGATGATGTATAGTGGACGATGTGGAACGCATACGTCAGAAGACTTGTACACCGCCTTGCCAGAGTGAGCTAGGCAGCAGACGGCGGTAGTGAATGTGATGTTGGTTGAGTGCAACGGGACCAACGGGCGAACTTGTGACCCTCAGTCGGGGCCGCCAAGCAATGTTGCGCAGAAGCACTCCAGGGACAACCATCGACCTTTGTACTTAACACCCTCCACCCCAGCACCCCGCGATACCCTCAACTTATACCCCCAGGTATCACCTAGCAACACATTCAACAGCTCCACCTTTATCACACCCCGTTCTCGACCGCCAACATGAATCCTGAGTAGTACGTAACCTCCCCACCGCCACAAGCCGGGGAGCGATGCCATGGCATACATGACTGAAGATGTGCTAATCCGAGTGCTTGCAGAGTCACTTATACGAACCCCCCATCGCCCTGTGGCCCCCAAGCCCTCGCTGTAGGCACTCGCTGACCGCTCTCTCACGACAGATACGATTACCTCTTCAAGCTTCTGCTCATCGGAGACTCTGGCGTCGGAAAGTCGTGCTTGCTGCTTCGTTTTGCCGACGACACATACACAGAGAGCTACATCTCGACCATCGGTGTCGACTTCGTGCGTGCACCAGCAGCCTCCTGGCCATGCCCGGCAACAGGCTAACACAAGCTAGAAAATCCGAACCATCGAACTCGATGGCAAGACGGTGAAGCTACAGATTGTATGTCTTGGACGCTGCAACAACTTTCTGCGACAGGCTGCTAATACTAGCCGTAGTGGGATACCGCTGGTCAAGAGCGCTTCCGAACCATCACATCCTCGTACTACCGCGGTGCCCACGGCATCTGCGTCGTCTACGATGTCACCGACATGGACTCGTTCAACAACGTGAAGCAGTGGCTGCAAGAAATTGACCGATACGCCACCGAGGGTGTCAACAAGCTGTTGGTGGGCAACAAGTCCGATATGGCAGACAAGAAGGTGGTCGAGTACACCGTAGCAAAGGTAGGATGCACCACCCCACAGATTCCCGTACATGTCTAACACACACAACAGGAGTTCGCAGACAGCCTCGGTATCCCATTCCTCGAGACTTCCGCAAAGAGCGCCACCAATGTAGAGCAAGCTTTCTTGACCATGGCCCGTCAAATCAAGGAGCGCATGGGCACCACAACCGCCAACACCAAGCCAACCGTCCCGATCGGGCAAGGACAGGGTGTGCAGAGCGGATCTGGAGGCGGCTGCTGCTAGAGTGTTGCTACGACGAACAGTGGTGTGCTGGAATTCAAGCGGTGATCAAGACGAGCAACATACGGCGTGGGTGTCTGCGTTCCCATTCTGTGACTTTGGTAACGATAACTTAATGCTCATGGTTATGGCTATGGCTTCTTTTCAACGACTCTTCATGTCTACCCATGTCGCATCTCCTGGTCCTACTTGTATGGCGCAGCCTGAACCAGAAGGGGAACACTTGTTGGATTTTCTAGATTGTGCATTGGACTGGTCGAGGTTCGTTAGAGTCTCCTTTTTGTGTGTCTAGGTGTTGGCAGGCTATTATATCTTTTTCGTAAGGGTTCGTTCACCCAAGACCCGTGACTTTCTCTATGTGACCAAGTATGCATCAGAATAATCAATGCTGAATCGTTGCTCTAACACCAAGAAATTTTGTTTTCTTATTCCACACGCCCTGCGTCTTGTTGCTCCAGCTTGAATAGGCCGAGGTAACGCGCGGACGTACAATGTCGTAGCGATCCTGGCACTGGCTAGGCACCAGCATCACAAACACAACATGGCAGTGCACAAGCCTCGCGAACATTTGTTTGGCGCGATTGCGGCACCGCGTCACGCATTGCCTGCGGGCCTGATCCCACGCCAACGATCCGCCTGCCGTTCTGCTAATCCCGAGTCACCTCCCTCTGCTTCTTGAAAGACACCGACTGCAATCTCAATCTACCCAAGAATGTCCATCCGAAACGGATCCCTCAAAGCGACACGATGGCTATCGAACGAGCTTGGTCTGGCAACAATGAAGACCGCCGGAAAGGACGTTTACATTCTTATTCTGGCGCGTTACGTCCGGCTGACAGCCTACGGTGCAGTCGCGCTAATCCTGGCTCTCTACTTCCAAGAACTCGGCTTCACGGACGAACAAATTGGACTATTCATGACACTGACGCTACTCGGCGATGTCTTGATCAGTCTTCTTCTGACGCTGGTCGCGGACTCGGTTGGACGCAGGACGATACTTTTGTTCGGAGCGATTGCCATGGCTGCATCGGGTGCGATATTCGCGACGACAAGCAACTATGTCTACCTACTTATGGCTGCAATCATCGGTGTCATCAGCCCCAGTGGGAATGAGATTGGGCCGTTTAGAGCGGTGGAGGAATCTACGTTGGCACATTTGGTGCCGGAGGCTCAACGCTCTGATGTATACACTTGGTACGTGGTGCTGGCGGTACTCGGCACGTCTACCGGCCTCGTAGTCGGCGGAACGGCCGTGGATCATCTACAGGCCAAACCGGGGTGGACCGATCTGGATGCATATCGCGCCATCTTTTGGATATACACCGGCGTCGGCTGTGTCAAGGCTCTCATGACTCTACTTCTAAGTCGACATTGCGAACATGCCGACCACAGGTCAAATCAGCCCAAGGAAAGTGATGAGACGGAGCCGCTCCTCAATAGTACAGATGGCCCGGATGGTGATGAAGCCGATTCCCAGGTCGCTACTCCGGTAAAGAAGCCCAAGAAGATGTGGAGTTCGATCAGCACCATTTCGAAACCTAGCCGTGGAGTCTTGTTCAAGCTGTGCAGCCTGTTCTTCTTCGACTCGCTTGGCAGTGGCATGGTTCCGTTCTCTTTGATCAACTACTACATGGAGAGAAAGTTTGATCTTGCAAAGGGCAAACTTGGTGGAATCATGTCCGCTACATGGTATGTTCGACAAGTGCGTAAAGACTACATTCGCTGACATAAAACCAGGTTTGTCTCTACGATTGGTAACGTATTTGCCGCATCTCTAGCCAGGCGCCTCGGCCTCATACAAGCAATGGTCGTGACCCATCTCCCAAGCTCTATCTTTCTAGGCCTGGTTCCTGTGCCCTCTGGTCTGCCATTGACGATTTGCCTTCTCGTAGGCAGATCAGTGCTGAACTCGATGGATCAAGCACCGCGCTCAGCATTTTTGTCACTCATTGTCCTGCCCGAAGAGCGGACAGCGGTCATGGGCGTGGTTAATATACTCAAGACGCTGGCACAAAGCTCAGGTCCGTCTCTGACGGGCGTTCTGGCTGGCCGTGGTCACTTCTGGGTAGCATTTGTTGTAGCAGGCTCTTTGAAAGCTGCGTATGATGTAATGCTACTGGCATTCTTTGGTGGGAAGGTGCACCCACGCAAGGATGGGCCACTTGAAGAGAGCGGTGATTCGAGCGACGAGACTGGCAATCGTGAAAATACGCCTGAGGCTCCAACTCCTGACCCAGGCTTCACTTCAGACCAAGCTGTTGTCGAAGGCACGGTTAGGTTATAGCCTACGTGGCAACTAATAGACAGGGCGTCGACTCGCATTCTTCTATCAACTAGATCGTGTTCAGACATCTTGTGTAGCCTCACGGAAAACCAGATTCCACATAGAGACCGAGTATGCGGCCCTACTTTGGGCAGACAGGAGGTGGCAAAAGGCTGTTCCACGGCGAAGCGGGTCAGAGCGTGTCCATCCATGCCTCTCGACATGTCGCACACTGTGGGATGGGGAATGATCGGCTCGGGCTGGGGTCGCCGCGCGCCGTGAGAGGTCTAGCCTCTGGGTCCCTGCATATGCATTGGACCCTTGGGGGTGTCGCGATAAATCACAGCTATCGCTCATTACCTTGAGCATCCTACTTTGAGGCGCGCAAGTCAGTCCGATCGCGTTAGAATTGATTCACATTACTTTTTTCAACTTCGTGCACACTTGACGTCTGAGACAGATCGGATCCCGGCTTCCGACGGCGATAATCAGGTCTTATCGCGGCGACCTCGGCGAATCAGCCCTACGGACAAACCTCCGACTTTTCTCGTGACGACCGACGACGAGCCATCTACACTCGAACATTACACCGGCTACATCGAGAAGACATCTGTAGATACACAGACACGTATACGAGCCTTTCAGGCTCATCTCCAACCTTCTGGATCGATCCTTGCTAAAACAAATCCGACCGATGGCGCCCGCGATTCTGACTCAGCAACCCAAGATTTTGTTCTTGGACGCATACGACTCCTTCTCAAACAATATCGTTGCCTTGGTCGAACAGAACGTGGATGCGGAAGTTGTCAAAATTTACATTGATGACCCGAACTTCGTGGGGAGCCAGGATGCAAAGAGCACGGGTGCCTTTCGGGAATATTTGAAGGAATTCGATGCAGTCATTGCTGGTCCTGGACCAGGCTGGGCCAAATGCAACACAGATGTCGGCCTCATGAAAGAGCTCTGGTTGCTTCAAGATGAGGATCTTGTACCTGTACTGGGAATATGTCTGGGCTTCCAATCGCTCTGCCTTGCGTTTGGTGCGGACATCGAAAAGCTGAACGAACCAAAGCACGGAATCATATCCGCAGTCTTGCACGAGGGTCAAAGCATTTTCCGAAATGTTGAGCAATTGCTGGCGACACAATACCACTCCTTGCAGGTGAAGCTCAACCATCCAATCCAGACCAAGCGAGCTGTCAAATACCCGGCGCAACTCTGGGAGCCGACCAAACGCTGTCCACACCTGGAACCATTAGCTTGGGATTTTGATAGCGAGCTCAACGGCGCAGTACTCATGGGCGTTAAGCACGTGCTCAAGCCATTCTGGGGTGTCCAATTCCACCCGGAGTCCATCTGTACAAATGCTGAGGGTACACGTCTCATTAAAAATTGGTGGGAAGACGTGCAAGCCTGGAAGAGGAAGCGCATGTTTAGACATATTGCACCCAAGACTTCCCTTGACTCACATCCCTCCATGCCTGTCACCTTCAAAGAAATACGCCGCGAGCTAGGCATACAGGGTGGGCCAGTAAAGCCTAATTACAGGCGTGGATCGGCCATCCAGTCCCTTGATAGCGATACGATTGCTCCCCATGAGCTGGCGTCCTTGGTGGCTCACGGCGACGGGCATTTACTTCCCGATCTCCCACCAAGTACTGTTCATTGCCTCACAACGGGAAGTGGAAGGCTCACTGTCGCCGACGTATGCGAACTTCTCGACATCCCGAGGCATGAGGCTATAGTTCTAGAGTCAGGGTTGCAGTCCAACCTAATGCCCATGGCAATCGGCACGGGAAGATACAGCATCATTGGGCTGATCATTCCTGGGGAAACTTTGCGACTACATTACTATGCCAACATAAGATTGATGCAGCTCAGAGATGGACACGATGAATTGCATACTGAATGGACTGTGGCGGACCCCTGGCCATACATCAAAGAGGTCATGAAGAGCTTGCAACCCTCGACACCACCTCGTACATCTACCTGGGCTCCATTCTGGGGAGGACTCATGGGGTATGCATCATACGAAGCCGGACTGGAGACCATCAACGTCGAAGTCGACCCAGCAGGATACCCGGATATCTGCTTTGCGTACGTCACACGAAGCATTGTATTTGACCATCAAGTCAAGAAAGTCTACGTCCAAAGCATTCGTGGGACCGACGACGAGGAATGGGTAGAAGAAATACAACAAAAGATCTACGAAGCCGCCGCTTATAAGTCACTGGAGTCGACTCCAAGCTCCTCGCCCGTTGCCAACAGAAACGTAAAGAATCCTTTCGACGAGCAGGGCATCATGTTTCAGTATATTGATTCATGTGATCAACTCATGGTCAGCGCCGACAAGTACTGTGACAAGGTGCGCTCATGTCAGGACGCCATAGCTGATGGCCAAAGCTACGAGCTCTGTCTTACCACATGCAACTGTATCCGCGCTCGTACCTCGATAGCTAGCAGAATATCGCAGTCGGAGGACAACGAGCATTCTTGGAAGATGTATAGACGCCTCACTGGACAAAACCCTGCCCCATTCAGCGCGTACATGAGGATGCACAATGTACATATCCTCAGCTCTTCTCCGGAGCGGTACATCAGCTGGGACCGATCTCAGACGGCACAGTGTCGGCCAATCAAGGGCACAGTACAAAAGAAGCCAGGCGTTACGCAGGAGATGGCGCACGCGATTTTATCTTCTTCCAAAGAACGCGCGGAGAACCTCATGATTGTCGACTTGACTCGACATCAGCTTCATGGTGTCTACGGCTCTAAGAACGTACGAGTCAGCCAATTGATGGAGGTCGAGGAGTATGAGACACTTTGGCAACTTGTCTCTGTTGTGGATGCAGTGCCTAGTGGGGTTCGCAAGGCAAACACACCCGAAGAGTGGCAAGAGCCGACCGAGCGCATCGCCCCCGTCGGCCAAGAAGTCCCATACCTAGGCTTTGACGCCTTTGTCGAGAGCCTACCGCCAGGCAGCATGACTGGCGCACCGAAAAAGCGATCTTGCGAGATCCTGCTGAAGCAAGAAGAGGGCGTGAGGCGCGGCATCTATTCTGGTGTGCTCGGATATCTAGATGTCGGAGGCGGAGGCGACTTCAGCGTTGTGATTCGCACCGCTGTCAAGATCGACAATCCAGACGACAACAACAAGGTCGATCTCTGGCGTATCGGTGCTGGAGGCGCGATTACTAGCCAGAGTACGCCTGAAGGCGAGCATGAAGAGATGCTCGCCAAGTTCCAGAGCACCTCGCGCGCATTCAGGCATCTGCCACCTCCCAAGCCTCCGCTGAAGGCCAAGAGGATCGTCATCGAAGAGCCAATTAGTCCAGAGTTTTCCGAGCTCCTGGCGGGTCTGCGAGCGATAGGAGACCCGGCAGACATAGATGATTTGAGTCTTGACGATGCGCAGATGATGGTGAGGGCGCTTGAAGCTGAGTTGCGCAGGAGAGGAGCTCCACCTGCTGAAGGGGCTGAAGAGGCTGAAGGGGTTGAGTGATCAAGAGGGATGACGAGAGATTTTACCAGTGATACCAAATTTAGAATTTTGTTAGAAGTATGCATAGGTTCAACACCGAATAGATTATATTGTTGCTGTTCAATCGGCACGTCAGAACATCTACCAACATGTATGAAGTTGACTATCTCCACTGAACTAGGCCATTAGAGCCGTATAAGATACAGATCTACACGTTCCAGACTGGTTCTATGTATAGAGTTGTAGTGGAGGTGTAAGATGACTAAGCGAGCATTTGGTGGAGACGTGTTACCGGCGATGCGCGTCCAGGTACACAGCTTCGACGACCGCAACAACCACACTTACGACCCCGCAATCGCAATGGCGACAGAGGCGCCTGACCCTCGAACCTTCCAAAGCTGGGAAGATGCATTCCAATACCCCATTCCCATAGTCCGCAAGCTCGAACGGCAGCTCCGCAACAATGCCGACGAGAATCGCGAGAAGCTGCGGTCGCTCGTGGGGTAGGAAAGCCACCACACCATGTATGATAGATACTGACAATGCTTCAGAACGAGCTACCGCAACCTCCTCGCCACGGCCGAAACAATCATCGACATGGAAGTGCAAATGCAGCAGGTCGAAGCCAAGCTTGCAAGAGTAGGCCAGAGCTGCAACTCCAGAGGCGTGGAGCGCATATCGAACAACGCGGTCAAAATGGATTCGCATGCGCGCAGTCACGGTCAGTCCTTGCCGCCGCTTTGAGGACGCGCAGAGTGTTGACGCAAGACACAGACGTGCTGCGATATACCTTTGCATCACAGCTGGCGGTGCTGCGCAATGCGCCGGTCATCATGGCAAGGTTGATGAAGAGAGAGGGCTCGTATTTGCTTATTGCGAAGATACTCGTTATCTCAAGACTGCTGCATAAGGCGCTGGGTCAGGCGGAGAATAAACCGCCGATTGTCGATCAGTTGTGGGAGAAGGTGCTGTCGATGCGGCGCAAGCTGTTGAGGAGGATTGATAAGCGGCTTGCGAGCACGGCGGGGGAAACGGGGGGGTTGGTCGAGAGTATGTGCGCGTACGCGCTGGCGACGAGTTCGGCGCCGTCAGATGTTTTGCTGCATTTTCACAAGGTGCGCTTGGAGAAGGTGGTTGGGGGGCTCAAGAGGGCGGATGATGAGCTGGCGAGGCATGGAATCACTGCGCTGAAGCTGTGCATACAGACGTGTCTCGACACGCAGACCATCTTCCCGCGACGGCTGGCTGATGCGTTGGCGAAGTTGAAGGCACATCCTTTGATTCAGGATGCGGATGTCCGAGGGCTTTACGAGTTGAATCTGGATGTGCATGATCGTTGGATTGGGGACGAAGCGCGGAATTATACGCCCTGGCCACGCCACGATGAGCTACAAAGACCCGAGGCGGAGAAGATTCTACATCGTTGGTCGAAAGATGCGATTGCTGCGTTCCTGAAAGGCATCAAGAAGGCGCTCGATGGAGAAGATCGCCTCAAAGAAGTAGCGCACTTGCGACAGGAGCTGATTGAGACGTGGATTCTGTCTGGCTCGCGCATGGCGGGCGTCAAGTCTGCCAACGTGCTCGACGACCTGCGTGACACAATGAACGAGAAGCTGGAAAGTATCGTTCGTGCGCGCACACAGGGATTGCAAAGTGTAGTCTCGGAGTTGGCAACTCGAGTAGACGACCGCACATCATCTGATTCCTCTCCCGCCTCCCTATGGCACACAACAGAAAAAAGTTCAGACCTAAGCAACGGCGCCGAGAAGTTCAAAAGCACCATCCTCAACACCTACCAGGGCCGCGACCAGCATGTAAACGGCCTCACAGCCGCATTCGACATGTGGATGGATTCAGTCCTCGAAGTCAAAGGCATAGTCAAAAGCATGAAAGAAGCACGCTGGGACGACACCTTCGCAGACGACGTCGACTCCGACTCCGACTCTGACCTGGGCGACTCAAAGCAGACACTGCTCAGCGACGACGATCCACGATTACTCGAAGACGTCACGCAAGAAGCGCTCCGCGAAGCGCTGCAGAATTTTGGATCAAGCTTTGCAAAATTGGTGAGCGAGAAGATTGGCAGCGACGGGGATGCAATACATAAAGCCGTTTTCGCCACACGCATAGCCCGCGAAATCAGCGATCGCATACCGCGCTTGAAACTCCACGACAAAGCAAGCGCACTCGCATCCCCGTTCGATAACGAGACTTTACAACACCTCCGCGCAGTCTTGACGTTGAGTATCACGTCCCCGACGATCCAAGCGTATCAGGCTTCGCTAGCGAAATCTCTGACTTTGTCATCGAACAATCACATCTTGTGGGAGGGCAATCCCGCGCTCCCTGGGCAGCCGTCGCCTAGTACGTTCAGGTTTCTGAGGGAGGTGAATAGGCATATGGCAGAGATTGGGAGTGATCTCTGGGCGGCGGAGTGTACGCGTGTGTTGAAGAAGAAGGTTGCGGAGGGGGTCAGAGGGGTTTTGGAGGGCTTTGTTGAAGATGTTAAGAAGAGCGCGGAAGGGAAGACGAAGACAGAGGAGGAGGATGAAGAAAACGAGGAAGCCGATGCTGACGACGATTCTGCACGTGTTGAAGTACAGCAGCGGCGACTCAAGCAGGTGCTTTTCGATGCGCTGTTTATCCAGCGCTTTACAAGCACTACAGAGGATGGGAAAGATGGGCTGGAAGTCTTGGTGGAGAAGGTCGACGTTGATTTGGATGAGGAGGGGGTTAAGAGGCTCAAGAAGAACGCGGGCGAGTATGCGAAGAAGACGTATTTGCTGTTTGCGCTGCTAGCCTAGCCGTTGGAAGTGAAAATCAATCATCCATTCTGCAGGACAGTGTTTGTGCTTGTTTATTGCTATCCAGTCTCAATCGGTAGATTACCGCCGTTGCTTGTGGATTACGTCGTGTAGTAAGGCTTGAGTACAGGCATCTTGTGAGCCAAGCATTAGGATTGGTCCTGTCGTACGCTTTGAGCCTGATAGGTTATGCTGTAGGGTAGCTGAAGGAAGTGTTGCACTCCAGGATTTGGCTCAGCGGTTGTGCTGGGTAACGAAAACTAGAGAAAATGGAACAGTCTGTATCTGCACATTATTATGACCTTTGTCCCGCCTAAGTCCTCCTACATACTTTTTCTTTCACGTTGATTTCCGGTTCTAAAGACTTGCCATGACTACTCCTTCGGTATCACAATTCACCCCACCCATTTCATGCTTAGACCAATGGTGGGGTCTGGGCGTGAACACAGGTGGACTTGGTATACGTATCGGTGCTCAATGCCCGGATAGGACCCTCACGGACGACAAGGCATGTGTCCCTCCTGCGACAACAATCACAGAATGCCCCATATTTTGGACACCCGCAGCTACAAACTCTGCTACAACAATATGCTGTTCAAGGTACTGAACACCATACAAGACCGACCAAAGTATCCACCCCGAGGCATGCTAATACTTCGGCGCAGTAATTATTCTTGGAACGAGAGCGCACCCTAGTTGTGCTTCAGTCACGCTGGGCGGATCGAAGTCACTGCCCTCTACTGTCGTTCGGAAGAAAGCACTACAGGTACATACACGGTTAGCATGGAATAACAGTCTCCGTACGTTATTGGGGGTCCTACTGTTGCTTTCGTTGCAGCGCGGACATCTTCGCACGACACTGCTGCCGGCGCATCGACTTCTTCACAATCGAGAAATAGCCTATCTGGCGGTACTATCGCTGGAATTGTCGTCGGGTCAATCGCTGCCCTCGTCGTCATACTCTCCTCGATCTTCCTGCGATGGTGCCGGAAGCGCAACCAGGCGTCCGATCTAGCACTACAAGACCAACTGCCCAAGTTCATACCTGGCACATACTACGAGAAAAAAGCAGCGCTAGATGCCCCTGAAAGGGACCAAGGCGATATTGGAGAACCGACAGAGCTTCCTGCGGCGTTTTCAATGTCTCACTCAGTCGAAGCCGTGGAACTGCGCGGTGAGAATATCACACATAATACAAAATATGTGTAAATAAATCTCTCGGGGTGAGGGGACCAACCGGTTCTCAGTGGACATATTGCCTAGCAATAGGAATGTACGTGGCAAAGTTCCAGTTATAGAAATGTCTTGTAGAGAGTAGAATCGATTCGTATAGACAAAATCTTGAAGGTACTATGCTCAATTAACGTGGGAAACGAGCGTCAGGCCAACGAATTCGATGTATCTTAAATGATTTAAACAAAGAAGCCGCCACAGGAATAAAGACAAATGCAACTCAACATCAAAAGAAGGATAATATGCTTTAGTACCATGAACTTGTTCTGAACGAAAGGCCGTACAGCATCTCATGTAGAAAGGAACGCTTACACCATAGACCAGCCTGCCAAGAGGAAACATAGAACATGCACACACCAAGATACCTTATACTTCTTGGGTGTGGGCAAGCAAAAAGAAATGGCAAAAACATACAACAGCGGGGATTCGCCAGTGGTCACCCACCTGACTACTAATCCGCCGGTGCGCTGCTTAAATATGGCTGAGCGGACGGGAAGCCTTGTATTCAACGCCCTATGGTCGTATGTGAAAGCTAAGATCACACAGCAGCAATATAACCTGGAAAACGGTGTGAGATAAGCAGTGTTGGTGAGACGAGATATCAAAACTCCTTGAGAGTTAATTTGCAGCGCTATTATGGTTCCATCGTGATCATAACTACATAGCGTCAGCTATCCATGGGTGTTTCAAAAGTTCAGTTGCAGACTTCCTGTCTTCCGGCCGACGTCTGAGCATCGATCGCATGAAGTCGAGAAACAATTTCCTTTCCTCTCCTTCAAGCACTGAGATTCTATCCTCGAGTGAGATCGTATGGATATGCGCACTCTTAGAACTACCCGTCCAGTGTCCTGTTCGACTTAGCAGCGTCTATATCGGGACGATCTCAGTGACTTACCTTGCTCGTTGAAAACCTTCTTTGTTATATCGTTGCTTTGCGTGTATTGAAGTGGAGGCATTCCAAGGTATGCGACTATTTCGGAAACATGATGTGTCCCTAATGACTTACCTTCGTTGTCACAGGCGTCAAATAGGTGCTGATTTTCAAGCAAGTCTCACACCTAATCAAAAGTAAGCTATTGAGGCTTCTTCCCAATATGATTGAATACTTACTAACGTAGCGACACTCCAAATGTCCACCTTGGAGCCCCACTCCATCTCGAAAACATCAATCATGCCTTATCACATCTTCATCGATCAGCATTCATTACCAAGCACATCACAACATCATTCACTATCACTCCGAACTTTACTAGTCTATCATCGCAACTTTCAACATGCAAGCCACGTCCCGCAGACTCATCAAATTCGTCGGCAGTGTCACCCTTGAGAAACTCGACTCCAAGACTCTCCCAGTAGTCAAAGGATTCTGCGAAAAAGTCGAGAAAGAACTATGTCGATACGCAGGGCTGATTCAGCCATTGACTTGCTTACATGATCTAGAATCCAAACATCACAAATGCAGAGATCAAGGGAAGCAAGTGGCACAAGTCCGACGACGACCCAAACGATAGCGAACTGGTCATCTCCATCCGCTTCAAAGATGAGAATATCAAGAAGATTGCCACTAGCCATGTGCACCAGGATGGCACTGGGAGGATCTCGTAGTGCCCATGACCTGATTAATGAGTACACGCGAAGGATGGACGAGAATGCGAAGGAGGTTTTTGTACAATGTCCGCGTACATGGCGTTCTCTTTTCATCTTAGTACACAGCCTATCATTTCCTCATATATATGAGCTCATACGCAACGCAAATCAAACCCCACGTCTTCTGAACTCGGTCTTGTTATAGTTTTGATGCACATTACGAGCCTTTCCTACCAAGAAACGACGTGGCCAGAGTGTGTGATCCTCAGTATGACCATGTCGTAGCGATACCGGGTACGTTAGATTGGAATGTATGGGTAGAGATTGGGGCTGTGGGCGATCTAAAGCTCAAGTTCCATAAACTTCGCCGATGTGAATGGTAAGCCCTGACTAGAATGCTCGTGGCTGCTCCTGCCCGCTAAGCTCGGTTCACAATCCCGTGTGGTCTAAAGAACTTTGATGGTGAAGCTACACCGATTAAACCTATCACTTCCTCCGTAAACGTAGGTGGTCCATTTGAGTACTGCACTCGGCCGGCTACTCTCTCGCGCCGTCGAAGTTTTCACTTTGCTAATGCTACCCTGATCATCATCCCGCGGGCTCATCAACAGGTTCATGGTACATTCAGAACAAGCAAAGGTCATTCTTATTTCACGCCTTACGACATTCTGTAGACGTCAGGTTTCGTGACGAGCACCGAATCATCCTCAAAAGTCTGTCTCGCTTGTATCCTCAGCCCATCCTCCCAGGTTTAGAACATATTCAAAGAGCGATATGATGAAGACATTTGTGATGGAGCTTCCGGGGCTTACGGTTCGAATATCCCTGTGGGGCCAGTGTTTCTAAGCCAGGAGACGCTTACTCTTTACAGTGCCTAAGTTAAGTGGGGTTACATGAGGACTAGTGGCCTCACATATAGTGCGCAAACAGCCTCAACAGTGGAAACGACCCACGACTTCGTTCTGTTCTTTGTTATGGGTAAGGCAGAGTGACTGCGATGTGTCAGTCATCTGGTGATGTGTAAAGCATGCGTTTAGGCTGCCGCCAGATGAGCATACTGTACGCCACGGACTTGAATCTTCAAATAGAACCAAAGAGTTGCATAGTCGATTTGCGTAGTGGCTTACGAAAGAAGGATCCCATATACATGAAAATTTCTCTCTTGCAGCCTAACAGCGGCGAAGATGCATTACGCGGCAGGTAAACCGAAATTTACCTCAAAAGATCATATCAATCGATTTCGCTTATATGCAGTAGAGTAATATTGATCTCTTAAGATGTCTCTGCCATTTTTGACGCCTATTCAGTTTTCTACCTATCAAGGTATCCTCTATGATGTTTTTCAACTATTTCCGGCATTTTGTTGCCTTGTCTATGTCCGGGCTCTCCCGCATACAAACCACAGTGTTGCCGATGGGCCTAGCTACAAAGCTCGACTCAGCCTTGCATATTTGCACTTCAACGCCCTGTAAAACTATAAGCAACGATATAAGCTATGACGTAGAGCTTCAGATTAGTGCTGCTTAGCGGAGACAGCAGAAGGAAAAGTAATATAGTTATGCGCAATTCATTTTTATCAAAGGTACTCCGGGTAGTTCGAACTAGCTATGGACAATGCAGATGAAATCGAGTTTCCTCTAGCCCCTCTTATTAGTATGACTAAACCTCAAAGATCACCATACTCTTCTCGAATGATCTCCGCACCACGTTCAGCTACTGCATAGACCGGGCCCACAAGATTGACGTCCGGCAGGCGGCCAAAGGTTGAGACGTCGCAGACTCGAAGGCCCTTCGTTCCGTATCTACAGCGAGGATTGTCAGTGTATTTCTAATAAGATGCGCAATCGTTTCAAACATACACTCGAAGGCGGTAATCGACGACGCCGCCTTTGTCCTTGGGAAGCATGCGGACTGTGCTGGATGCATGCCAGTTGGGGATCATTGAAGTCCTGGCGTACCTGAAAGGCTGCGTCAGTCTTGCTTTGGTACAAGTCTCAAAGGTGATGGTGACTCACTCCAAGATGTCTTCGTCGCTCTGAACATTTGGTCCGGGCGAGACTTCCTTGTCGACCCACTGCGCCCAGGCAGGGTGCCCTGCGATCTTGCGCAAGTACTTCACATCTTGCACTGCCATGGCTTCATCGGCCTTTTCGGTAAGGTACTAAGACGGACAAGATGTTAGACCGCGAAAAACTGTCACTTTTGGCAGAGACTTACGTTGGGATCAATGACCGGATCACTCAACGGGGAATTACTTCCCACCTTGACACTTCCTCTCGACAAAGCCGCCATATTCGACACTGTCAGAGAAATATACGTGGTATTCCTCTGGGGCCGGCCATATTTGTTAAAGGCCTGCGGGTACCACACACTCTCATAAAGGATCTCATTGTGGGCTTGGTGCACAAGGCCGGCTTTGACGATGTCCCCAGCACCGAACGTCTCAAGCTCTTCGTCCGAGATTTCTTGGAAAGCGTTGGTGCAACCAGGGGGGGCTGACCACTTACTCTTGGCTTTCTCGTGAGGGTCAGAGCTATTGTAGAAGATGCGTTGCTCTTCGGCGAGGAAAGTGAGGTCGTTGACCTGGATGATATGGTCAGCGTCTAAAATCATGTCAAATGCAGCTGGATCAGCCTTACCATGTCAGTCGTACTGGCTACATCGGCAAACTCTGGCTTCACAGAATAGATGACACTGAAAGCGGTGTGATCTTGCATGTGATTGCCAACGTTATCATTGGCGACCACAACCGGAATGCCATACCTGTCTAGCTCATCCTGTGGTCCAATGCCGGATTGCTTAAGGATAAAGGGGCTGTGAAATGCACCCGCGGAGAGGATGACTTCCTTCGAGCAGGGAAATGTTGTGGAAGATACCATCCTCAATGAAAGTCACACCGACAGCATGGACTTCGTCCGTTCCAAGTGTTTTATCGTCGAAGATGATTCGGGCCACGACGGCTCGGTCTCGAACATTGAGGTTGGTTCGCCCCTTTGCCGCTTTGTAATAGGAGTCGTAAGAAGAACTGCGCTCGAAGTTCTCATCTAGCGTCATCGTGCCTTGCTTGATGCCTATTGGATTGCCGCCGTTCTGATCTTTCACAACAGGAATGCCAATGGCGCTTGTCGCATTCATGAAAGAGGGATTCGATCTGACGACGTAGCCCTGGAAGCCAATTTTGAGTGGTCCTTCGGTGCCATAGTTGGCCGGATCCCAGGTCATGTACGTAGGGTCGTTGGTGTTTGCAGGATTGCCGACGAAGACGGTGCCTTTCTTGGCGGCAGCGGAAACGGTCGTCCAGTTCCATCCCGGATTGCCGTCAGTCTCCCACTGATCATAGACGGAAGAACTTCCAAGACCGTAGAATAAGCCATTGGTAGCACTGCTGCCTCCAAGTGCTCGACCACGGTGGTAGTTCATCGTTCGATTGTTGAGCCCCTTCTGTGGGATGGTAACGAAGTTGTAATCGATTAAGCTTAAGCCACCGTTAAGGACGAACTGATTTGCTCCAGCTGTCTTTTATGTCGCCACCGTTTCCGGGTTAGGCCCGGCTTCGAAGACGATAACATTGTGTTTGCCGCTTTCTGTAAGACGATTGGCGAGTACGAGGCCCGCTGTCCCTCCTCCTACGATGCAAAAGTCATAGCTGGGCTGGAACTCGACTTTAGGGGCATGAGGGTATTGATAGGTCGAGAAATCTGGAGGATTGCCAGCGACAAGCTGTGCAAGCTCGAGGCATCCAAGCAGGATCGCTGAAGCAGAAAGCCGTGACATCATGCTCGAAGAGTTTAGTTCAGTGGAACGCAAAGTGGATGATAATGCTCACTGAGCTCATTGCGATTGGGGGCACTTGTTGATTTTTATATCTCTTCCGGACAGCAAGGCTCCATTGGTCGAAGGCAATTACCCCTCTCGATCGATCTCAACTGCAATTTCATGGTAGGCCAAGGCAAGGCCAAGGCTGACAGTCTGACAGTCTGACATCGGGAGCATCATTAAATTAACGGCATGACTGGGTAATTTGCAGTTGTGGTATTCTGGCATTCCAACGCCTTATGCTCCGTGACGGCGTGGGATCCACGCAGGATTCTTGAAAGATGCACAGCCGGAAAGTCTCAAAACTAGACCGCTTCGTCGATGTGTGGTCAATTTATGCAATTCGAGAACAGCATTACGTCCGAAGATGCGATGAGGAATGGTTCAATCCATGAACGCTGGCCTCAGCATGAGTTCCGGCAGTTCCGCAACCCAATTGAATGCCCATTCAAGAGTCTCGGAGATGAGCTCCGAAAGCCTATACAAGCAATAGCGCTAGTCTTAAACTCGCCCGTAAGCAAATACCGCACAAAATCACCACCGGTAGGAGACCGAGGGCTTGGCAAACACAACCATACAGCAAGGGCAAAAGCAAGATAGTTGTTTCTTAAATTTTCGTTAATACAGAAGAAGTACATAAGCTTTAACTTTATTACCTTGCTTTGAAAAAAGGTATCATTGCGTTGTACTGCTGCTGCTGTAAGCACGCGAATTGTCCCACCGGTGCTTCTCAGGTGCAGTACCTATGCTGGCAATTTCTCTGCATTACAGATTTTCCATGTAATAAGACAGTCTTCGCTGCTGATGGCGTCCGGCGGTAACAATCCAGTGTGGATTCGCACCTGCTACGCACCCGATCTTCAAAGCGCATGCGAGAAGATTATCGAAACCGCAGCATACTTTAACCGCGTAGATCGCCTCTCAATGCTCGACAACGAAGATCTGTATGTAGGCGACGCTGCGGACTGGGCGAAGCTATTACTGCGCATGCCGCTGCTCCCCGATGCCGTGCCTCATATGGGAGGCGATTCGGCGCAAGAGGATATCCCACTCGATGACAACCTACCTGAGGACGAAAGTTTTATAGCTCTTTATGAAGCGTCGTAGCGAGAAAGGCAGGATGTCTATCTGCTTTATAAAGAAGCGTTGAGGGAGGAGGTAATCATGCTTTTGTATCTTTACATTCATGAACAGCTGATCTGGCTCAACACTAATGTCCGAGAGCATGTCTGGGAATTCGATGCGAACTACTGTAGAGGGGTTGCGTTGGATAGGATCCGCGGGGGGTGATATCCTGGCGGCGATGAGTCTCTTAGATATCCTGGTGCACGGCCGATATGCAGTGACTTCTAGATATGGCGACAAACAAGTACTTGGGAATGTCGTCCTTAAGTGCAGAGTTTCGATAAAAGCGAGGTTTACGTCTAGCACATTGTAGTAGATTTAACTAAGCAAATATGAGATAAATTATAGATTTTATTGTTAGGAAAACAAGTAGAGAACCAAGTAGAATGCAAACCTTAGCTTCTCTTTATCAATACTAGTGCGTAGGTAGATAATATGATAGAGCAGTAATTATCAACGTATTTAAAAACTATAGCGTAACGTCGCGTGTTAGCAGATCAGATAGTTATGTTATTAGTGCGTGGGACATATCTAGTTAGTATTATTAAGAAGGCATAGCTGTATAAAGGGGGGTTTAGTAGGGGCTTAGCAAAAGTAACTAACTCGCTCAGTAACTAACTCGTCCATAGAGTAAGTTAGCTTACTAGCTCTTGATAGATTAGACCAGTAAACTTGTATTTAACGCTCTATGGTCGTACGTGAGGGAATGTGTAGCGTAGTAGCAAAATGTACTAAACGTTTGCATGAGAAAGGCAGGCACTGGTGTGAACTATTAAATTAAAAACAACCCCGCGCCTTTTCGAACCTGATGTTCCGCGACGTTATCGATACGCTGTACAATAAGTTGGAAGATATTGTGAAGCACCTGGTAGAATCGCAGCTTTGATCTTACCCACAAATTTGACGCCTGGCAATTGTCACCGCAACAACAACCCCATTCTGTAACATGCAAGTCATTTCACTCCCAAGAACTGTAGAATACGCCTTCTCAGAAAGCCCATTAATCTGTTAACACAAATTGAACGTTTCCATTGCCGCGTGTTGAGAAATGCAAACGTTGTCATCGCTGCTGTTGCGCGGCGGGATGGATGGCCCCAGTGTTCGCGCCTTCTTCGGAAACTTCAACACCACGCCTCTTTCACCATCGACATCGCCGCGAACGTACACCACCACGGCAAAGGGCATGTGTCAATAAGTTTGGGGCTTGATGAGTTTTGTCGTCATATGTCTTACACGCCGCCGGCCAGAATTGAGAAAGACGTCACAGCGCGGCGGCGGCGGCGGCGGCGACGCAGACGAGCGACATCTGGATAGATGATATATTGGGGTCTTCCTTGGAGTAACCTTTGACGCCGCACACGCGTAAGTCCCCGAGGTTGCCGTGACTGTCCAATTTGCATTTACACCTTTGTTTCATTTTGTACCGGGTGCCAGAATGACCGAGTACTAGTAATCACACCCAAGGCTGACTGGGTAGCCCATATTTCAATCGGCTGGACGAGCAGTCTTTGCACCCCTGCTAATCTTCCTGTATGTGCTTTACTGCGGCATTGTTGCCAACCTGCCGGATCAGCGTCATCGCAGTGCCTCTGACTTTACAAAGTCTGCGGCGAAGCACTGTTGTGCAACCTTTCGAAACTTCACGCCGCATATCCTTCGTCTGCCAGTCTTCTAACCGTGTAAAACTGGCTACTGCGCCGCAAGCAGACTGCTCACTGATAGTAGCGCGTGAAGGATTTAAAGGTAAGAGGCGTACCTCTCTTTGTATCTCGCATCAAACCACTTCACTTGTTCTACAACTCCCATATCTGTCTCTCTCCAAACCTCAAACTTCTTTACCTCAGCATACACGTTCATTCTCAAGCAATGAAGCCGAAGAAGCTTCCAATTATCCTCCTCTTGCTGACATTTGAAAGAGCCCAAGCTTCATTGCCATATAGCATACCCAACTTAGGCAAGCATATCACATCAGTTTGGGCGCAAATTGCTTACTGTTATGCAAAGATCGCCGTGCGAATGTGCCCGCAGATATCTCTTGGCCAGTGCCGTCCAACACCCCACCATCATCGTACCCGACGCTAGGTACTGCCTCTGGTCACAGTTCTTCATCTGTTGCGGCGGAGCCGTCGCAGTCAACCAGTCAAGCCCAATACCCATCGGTACCGTTTCCAATTCCCTTGAACTCGACCACCGGTACGCCTGGTCCAACTGCATCTAGCTTGAGCTCGAACCCCTCCACACTCTCATCGTCATTTACTCCTGGGTATAGTTCAAGCATTATTTTGCCTGTCATCAACTCGACCTCGACCTTACCTCCTCCATCATCTAACGGCCCTGCGAACACTGCTTCCACGCCCATCAGCTCTGCTTTGAGTCTGTCTCCTTCACCATCGAACAGTCCGACCAACACTACTTCCACGTCCACCGGCAAAAGTGATCCGGTGGCCAGTAACAGCGTGGTTGTTATCACGGTCACACCTTCTGTAGGTCCTCCTATTGTCGTCACCACCACTGTGATACCTCCTATCTCCTCTCCTGCACAAAATCCAACCTCGGTTGGTACTTCGGGTGCATCGCAACCATATTCAAGTGGCAGCGGTCTTTCAAACATGCCTACCCCTACTCCTCAACCTAGTCAGGCTCCAGCAGCTGGCAATGAGTCCCAGGTCCTCTTTCCCGCCCTCTCCGCTGTCGATGTGACCATCGATGGCAAGACCTACCATCTACCGCAGTCAGACGAACGACCTGTGGAGATCATGCTACAAGATGGATCACTCGCCCAGCTCTTGGCCACTCAAGTCGTGATGCGGGGCCAGACTCTGCCCATACCCAGCGATCTCTCAAAGCCTATTACTGTGGGTGGCCAGACTATCCAAGCCCAGCCTGGACAATCCACGACACCCGACACAAGCAGTCCTGATGGTAGCGATAACGGAGGAGGTGGATTGTTTGGATTCTTGGGAAAAGTGGGCGGTGCCGCTGGCTCAGTAGCAAAAGACATCGGCAATGCAGCATCAGGTGCTGCCAGCTTCGCCTCAGGCGCGGCGGGTGGCGCTGAAGTAGCTGCTGCCAGTCTTTCAGGAACATTCTCCGGGGCAGCGAACAGTGCAAATGGCGTCGTCTCTTCTCTCAACGGCATTCAGCAATCGTTCCCAGCTGATGGCCTCAGCAAATCTGGCATGGAAGTCTTCAACAAAGCGCAGAATGCAGGACGCAGCTCGGCCAACTGGATGCAGTCACTGGGCACCATGCTCCAAGGCTTCGACAGTCTCAAGCCCGAAGTTCAGCAAAAAGTTCGGAGCAACATGGCGGACTACTCTAAGCCAGGAGGACAATTGGCGCAGGCGGCTAGTGCATTGAAAGCGCTTGAAGACTTTCCGTGGGAGCAGGAAGCGCCAAGGACGGAAGCACCGAAGACAGACTTGCCGTCAGCGACTGCCACTCCGAAGGCCAGTGAAAGTGCTCGGGCAAGCCAGTCAGCTACTACACAGAATTCGAAAGCTGAGACTACGGCGAGCACGAAGACTAGTTCGACGTCGTCGAGTAGTAGTAGTGCTATACCGAACGCGACGGGAAAGCCTCTGGAATACTCCATCATCACAAAAGTCGGAACACCCAAAGATGTGTTCGAAAGGTTTGTGCATGAGCTAGACAACGGCGTTGGACATTCGATCTACACCCCATACAGCCAAATTTACAAGACGCTTCTTAATCAAACCGAGGCAGAAGATCTGAAGGCCAAGTACGACTTCCTCGTGGTTGTCTACAACGATGCGTCTGTAACCGACCAGGCTGATGTGGGCGAGAAAGAGCTGTTTCACGCAATACCAAGACGTCGCAATGCTTCTTTAAACCCCACGGCTTACTCACGGAAATCTTTGGAAAAGACAAATCCATTAGGCCAACCCAGATTGTTTGCAAGAGACATAGTCCAGCATCCGAACGCACCGTACTGGAAGAAGATGATATCTTCTCCATGGAAAGCACCACCGTTGCCTCCTACTTCTGATGATCCTCCTTACGCTGCCGACGATTCTGGCGGCAGAGGCACAACAATTTATGTGTTAGATGATGGTTTCGATCTCAGTCAACCTGTATGTCCGACATGTTTAAACGATTGCAACGAGCTAACCTAAACAGAATCTTGCTGCTGATGGACGTCTTGTGGAACACTTCATCGTCCCCAATGCCGCTGCCTTTACAAATGAGTATATGGAAAATGTAAGAAGGTTCGGGAGACCAGAAGCATACATGGTTCCCGAACAAATACGCGGGGTTCTAGGACATGGTACTAAGATGGCTACAATCGCTGGTGGAAAGCTTGACGGCATTTCCCCCAACGCGAATCTGTATCTGGTGAAAATTATGGGCCAATGGAACGCTGGAACCAGTTCAACAGCGCAAGAAAAACCTGGAAGAATACAACCCGCGGCTCTGAGGGTCGCCTTTGACGAAGTTAGACGCCATGTCGAAGCCAGACGCAGTGTTGACCCAAACACCAAGTCGGTAATCAACATGTCATGGGGTTCGTGTATCTTACCATAGCAGCTACCGTCTCAAGCTAGGCTAATCTTATGACAGGTGTACAATTGCTTATAAACGACCAGACCAAAAAGCCATTTGGAGCAGGCGCTGAGATTGAAGCGCTGTTCCCAGACTTTCAAGGATGGTGCGAAAGCCTTAAGATTCCCATGGTTTTGGCTGCTGGAAACGACCCTACCAGATACTTGCACGAACAGGTACCCCAAAAGTTCGGAACCCCAGACAACGGAATCATCACCATCGGGGGCGTCGAGCCTGATGGCACTTACTACGAAAATACAACGCCAAAGCATGCTGGTGATGCTGGCTCTATGTCTGCCTACGCCCCAGCAAGGGATGTCAGAGTGCCTTCCGATGGTATCGATTACCACACAGGTACAAGTCAAGCAGCTGCTATTACGGTAAGTGGAATTTCGAGCACGCAAAATCATCATCTACTAACCTATAGACAGTCTGGCATGATAGCGTATCTCTTTGCCGCCCCAGGCGTCGGAATGATTACCCATCCTGATATTCCGAAGCCTGACGAACACATGAAGAAATTTGTCGTTGGTCATGCATGGTCAAGAGTTTCGTTGGACAGACGGGGAGGGGTACTGGACTTGAACGTTATCTACAATCTTGCCAGAGGCGACACCCAACATCAGGACAATCCGTGCGCTATTCAGTGGGGCGATAATCCAGTGAAGCGAGCAGAATCGGTATCAGCCTGTTCAAGTTCTCGAAGCGCCACCAGCTCTGTGAGGATGGCCACATCCTCCATATCGACGAGGTATGTCTACCCAAATCTCCTGTTGACTGTCATGCTAAACTTCATCTTCGAAAGGTCGTCAAGTATTGTTACTCTCTCGAGCATGTCTAACTCATCAATGATCTTGACCACTTCGAGCTTCTCCATGGCCATGACTTCGTCCACAACGCCGTCTTCATCCGCACCACTGTCTTCGCCATCAACATCTTCTTCCTCACAAAGTCCATCTCCATTGGCGCCCAATCCGCCATCCCCGTCGCCCGCTCCTCCACCATCTACGCCAGCTCCTATGCCAGCACAGAGTCGTTCTCGTAACCCGCAATTCGTCAACACTGATGCACCGAATCCGGGCCTCGGAGCACAACCTTCACCCACCTCCTACAGTTCTTATAAAACTCTCAACTGCTCTCCGCAGCAGCTGGCTAGAGGCGGTTGCTCCTAGATCTTGATGATGAGTTACTAGGGGTAAGCGACGCTCCGTGCGTAAGAAGATGGACCAGTTTGGAGGGTGTATGCGATGAAAGACTGAGGAAAGACGTGGGCGTTTTCGTATGTGAATTTGAGTGTACTGCTTTTTGCACCTTATGGGCTATTTCATTCCTTACGCAAGTCACGAATCAATACAAATTTTGGAGACGATCGAAGTGAAGGTCATGTGCACGTGCTTTGATGACATCATCGCCCAAAGCGGCAATCACCTCAAGGCACGGCCGATTGAGGACAGCGCGACAAATTACACAAGGCAGCAACGAACGCAACGGTATATCAAACATATAGCCTGACTTACTGCAAGATCTCCACTTCTCCAATCTTGCAAAAAATCTCCTCATACAAATCACCGAGCACTCTGCTATCCATTACGGCCGCTCTATACACTCAGCATAAAGCTACATCCCCACGATGCCTCCAATCCCAATCCACAAGAACGCACCCATAAAGCCCGACGGCATCACCCCCAAAACCGCCTCCGACGACACCACAACTCCAACACCAACACGCACCGTCCCCGCCTCCGTCCCAGCAACCACAACCGCCTCGTCATCCCCTCCCGCCCCCCAACCCGGCGCCCGCCCAATTCCACCAACGTCCACCGCACAAGCACCATACTCTACCGACCCTCCGCCCCCTCAACCTAGCTACACAGCCCACCACATAACCACCTCAACATCCCAAGCCGTGCCCCCGCCGCAATTCACCCAGCCCCCGCCCTCAGACTCCGCGCTCGCGGGCCGCTCGACGGTAACGGCGACGACAGCGAGTAAGCCAGGCCCGACGACGTTGAATATGGGGCCCGTGGCGAGTCCGAGGGCGAGCTTGGAACATCCGCCTGGTTATCAACAGGCGGCGGATAATGCACCGTATACGTTGGGCGGAGGGATTGGTGGTGGAGAAGTTGGTGGTAGTGGGAGTGGAGGAACAGAGGGAGAGGGTGTGGGAGCGACGGCGTGGGGGTATTTGAGCAAGGCGGGGGAGGCGTTGAAGAAGGGGGAGGAGGCGGCGTGGAGGGCTGTGAGGAATAAGTAGGTTGGAAGAGGGTGTGGCGTGATATGGTCAATCCTGGGTCATGTATGGCGTGATATAGTCAGTCCCAGGTCAGACATGGGTGGATGTCAAGCCAGTAGGGATGCATCAATGTACAACAGTCATCACAATCACATGAAAGTTGTTGAGCCCGTGTTACAAAAAACTCAGAAACTTTCTATAGACCACCTATTTTCCCCTTGGCACCAAGCGATGGAACGAGAAAATACAGGTAAACAGACAAAGCAATGCAAGCCGGATATGACGTGTAATACAGGTGGCTATGAGGGGAAAAAGAGTTGGCCGGCAAGGTAAAGTACAGGGTGGGTTACCACCAGATCGTGCTTTTCGTTACCATGAACACTCTTCTGCCCATCGGGCTTGTGAATGCTCTATTCAGTCTACCACCACACGCGCCTCGACCCCTCGCTCGCGATTAGCTCCCTCCACCACATAGACTCGGATTGGGGTATCAAGAGAGAAGGCGCTTAACCGGATCCACCCTTGAACTTCTTGCCGAACATGATGAGCTGGGCCTGGTCGTAGATGGACAGGACACCGGCACCGGCAACACCACGGAGAATGTTGGCACCAGCACCCTTGAAGAGAGACTTGACACCCTCGGCAGCGACAATCTGGCGGGCGGCATCCATGGTACCCTTGTACTTGACGGCCTCACCGGAGGTCATCATCATACGACGACGGATGGTGTCGAGAGGGTACGAGGCGATACCGGCACCGGTGGTGACGGCCCAACCAAGAGCGAACGAGGCCAAGAAGTTGCCCTCGAGGGTGCCGGTCAGGAGGACGGGCTTGATCGAGTCGTACATACCGAAGTACAGACCACGGTAGACGACGATACCAGCCACGGAGGGCATGAATCCACGGTAAAGACCGCCGATACCGTCGGAGGCGAGGGTCTTCTTGTAGACATCGGCAAGACCGTTGAACTGGCGCTCACCACCCTTCTTGGCGGACTTGGCGTCGTTGGCCAGACGGGTACGGGCGTAGTCGAGGGAGTAGACGAAGAGGAGGGAAGTGGCACCAGCGGCCTGAGTGTGTTAGTGGACAAATATGGCGTAGAGGATGAAAGAACTTACACCACCGGAGGCCAAGTTACCGGCCATCCACTTGGCGTAACCGTCACGCTCCTTCTTGTAGGCGAACATAGACTTGTAGGTGTCGCGGAAAGCGAAGTTCAGCGCCTGGGTGGGGAAGTAACGGATGACGTTGGCGGTGTTACCACGCCAGAGCGAGAGAACACCCTCAGCCTGCGAGGTACGCTTGAAGCACTCGGCGATACCGTCGTACTTGCGGTCGAGACGACCGGACTTGAGCATCTCATCCTGGGAGGGGTTAATGGGAGTATTTGATGGAAAGTGTCGGATTTGCGTACCTGGTTCTGGATGAGGAGCTTGACACGCTCGATGGGAGCGGCAGCGGTCTTCGAGACGGCGGCGGAGACACCACCCACTATAGATAAGCGGTTAGCAGCTGCAAGGTGCGAAATCAAATCGCTCGATATCGTCCAATGCCATTGCGATGCCAATTGGAATCGCAATTGATGGTTATCGAGGGGTTGAATGAGACGTACTCAAGAAGTCGACCACGAAGCCCTGTCATCATCGTTAGCACATGCTGCGGGAATTTACACACGAAGTTCCAGCTGAGCCGCCATTTCACCAACACAATTCCAGCAAAGGCAGGAGCGTCTCACAGCATCGTCACCCCATTCGGAAGGTGCGGTCGATGGTAGTGAGATGACAGCTTGCGAATTGCGGGATCGATATGCGCTGAAATGGACAGCTTGCCGAACAACGGGACGTATGACGTACGGGCATTCCCATGAAGCTCTTGTCCTGTTGGGCTGCCATCTTGTATAGATTGGAGCGAGTTGAGGGGAGATTGATTGAATTAGAGGTGGTTGCAGAATCAGTTGCTGCAGTTGGAGGATGAAAGGTATTTGTACGGGTGCTGCGACAAAATCTGCGAAAAGTTGGCCCAAGCGCGCTAACGCCGCATTTGCTTAGCGCCCTTGTCCGCCCTCCCGAACTCTGTTCGATGCCTCGGGGCTGCGGATTGCTGGAGGAGGTATATAATCGACACTGCGGCTGGATGTAGCATTACTTTGATGCTGCAGAGCCTCAATTACTGCAGCATGATGCCATTGTGTGTAGCTTCACCGTCGCACACGACTTGTCCAGCGTCCGGTATCCACGCTCCCAATAAAGCATCCGGAGCGTTGCCGTAGCAGCCACCAAACGGATATCTTCAGGCGCACGCGCACACTGCACTCCCCAAATTCCATGCTAGGCACAAGACTGGGGACTCACATGCCCTCCCAGCCCAGGTGCTCCGCTGTCAAATCCACATTCAAATGCTGGCCGTCTTCTCCAGGATCCGCTATGAGCCTTTTCGAGTCGGGTAATCTCGGGGCGGCAGCAGGCTCGGGCCAACAACCAAGCGGCAGAGGGTCCGGAACTCGAATTTTGCACGGCGGCGCGGGCGATTACTGGCACGCTCATGGTTCGCGAAGCATTCTAGTCTGCCAAGTCCTGTCGCTAGGTGATAATGCTGGTTGCTGTCGCATGCTGCGGATGATGTCCGGATCGGCTGGATGACTTCACGGCGCTGGGGTGGGAGTAGCTTGCGTCTCAAACACATATCTAACGCACAGCGTCTAGAAACAGTGCCGACGGTAACTTTACACGACCTTCTGTTTGCGGCTCAATGACTTGGTATAACCACGTGATAGCGACCTTGATTGCTCTCAAGCTAGTCCAGTTCAGCAAAGTCCTCTCAGCTGCACGATTGTTCATGGGGCATCTCGTGTCTTTCGACCACAATTCAAGCCTAATCTCTCATCTGGCCAGTCTTTGCTCATCGGCGACTCTGATATTTTAGTCGGCCATAAGTACGCCTGTATAACTTCATATTATTTTTAGATTTCTCAGGTTTACTCAGAACGACATGAAGATAGCCAGGCATCCAGAAATGACGCCAGACCTCCTGGGTATTCCTGTGGGCTATCCGTAAGTACTCAAATAGAGTCTTACGAATTTGCTGCCACTTACCATCGATTTTGAAATATTGCATGCCTCGCATAGGTCGAGGTGAGGTCCTGTTTCAACGGCTATGTCTATGTGTTAAAGTGCACAGAGACACACCCTGCAATAGACTAGCTCCTTATCAGAAGTGAATCATCGCCAACAGTCCTCGCTTGGGAGCCGCGGCTCATGTGTTAGACAGATATCACATCAAGACCACGTCATGAGCAGCCTTGCTTCGATCTTCAATATGCAATAGGCTTCATGCTCTGCTGTCGATTTTGCGCCATCTGCATACGTGACGTCGATGTGACTATCGCCCTGCTCCGTGTTCACGTGAACTTCAATTTTGAATGTCTTCCAAATAGCGCCGGAGTCGGATATTATCGGAGAGATGAATGCCATTGTCTGGTTCTGCAACTTCGAGTTAGAGACAAAATCGCTCATCGGTGTAAGGATCATGTGATATCGATGTGAGTCGCGCAACACTCTTCTGACAGCGTAGGTAATGATATCGTAACTCTAAGAGTCATCGAGCTCGACAATTGGCCTCAGGGCCCGGTTGAGGTCAGGTTGTAGCAGGTATCCCTCCACGTAGATCGTGTAGTGACGGAAACTCCACAACAGTGCAGCGTCTGTAGCCGTTGTCACTTCGCGGGTAGGCTTCACCACATTTTCCGGAGCGAACTCATCTATACAGGTGTTCATTGTTTAGCGTAACCCAAATTGGATGCATCTTTCGCCTTCAAATACCTTTTTGGAACATGGCAGCACGACGTGAGCTTTTGAGCGTGTCCAGCGTCACCGTTGAGAAGCCCTCGATGCAATCCCATTTGGAAATCAATTCCGACAATATAGTTGCCTCGAGCGCGGCCGGGCCCATGTTTCCAAATCGTTCCCACATCGTCGTTCTAACGGAGAGGTTTGATGGCGAAGGGAAGGAGAGAAGCGGCGCTATGGGAGTATTTATGTCCTCAGCTATTCGGTCACCTGTGAACCTTGGTCAGTATCTCACATGGTTGACAGGACGTGGCAAGATGCAATTACCTTTACTGCACGGACCCGCGGATCTGTTTAAGGTACCATATTGATACTGCGTCCACGATCGCAATCCTTGTCCACCTTCCCTACATCTCCCAAATTGAACACATATTTCAGTTATCATTCCCACATTCTGGCCGCCGGTCTTCCAGAGAACTGCCAGCCCCCCCTTCAAATCGTCAATCTCTCGGCAAACTGCCAGCACAACAGCGAACCACCAATTCGCCGGCAAACTGCCAACCCCGTAGCACGTCGCGAGCCTCTCAAATATTCGACAACCCCCTATCAGACAACGATAATACATAAAAAACTCATGGACGAGACCCGCACGTTCCTCAAGCGTCTCTATCAAGAAGTAGATGATGCAGTTGAAGGGAGCACAGAAGAGGAAGCCCTTAGGAACCTCGACATGGAGGCATGTACAGCTAGAACTCAAAAGTACGATCAATATGTGTCGCGGTATAGATCAATAATCATCAGTGAAGCAAGAGCTAGTTTTTGCTTCAACAATATGGGATCAAGACATGTGAAAGAAGCTTGCGTTACAAGCAGTCACTTTGAATTAGCATGCCACAGGTCGCAACACCACTGAGCTCCAGAAATGAAATTATACAAGCACCAGAAGCTTGGTTTGGGTAGGTTGTTCCAATGGTTTGACGATGAGTCGATGAATGACGGGATCTTGGCGGATGACATGGGCCTGGGGAGGACCGCCCAGATCATAGCCCTTCTTCTCGGACGTCTGCCACAAGAGGAGAGGCCGGCTCTAGTCATTGTACCGTCTATTTTGATGAGAAACTGGAAAAACGAGTTCGACCGGATGGCAAAGGGCTCATTATTTCAAGTTCTGTACATCCACAATCTCCAGGATTTCGCAACATGCAAAAAACAAGTCTCACTGGAAATCACACGGTAGCACAACGTTGTGGTCGTCGCATACAGCCTCATCACTGGAGCGAACATAAGGAGGGAGGATGACTTTTCCAACTTCGTACAATTTCTTAAACCGTAAGCCTAATCTCTCATCTGGCCAGTCTCTGCCTATCAGCAACTCTAATATTTTAGTCAGCTATAAGTAGGCCTGTATAACTTTACATTATTTTCAGATTTCTCGGATTTACTCAGGACGACATGAAGATAGCCAGGCCTCCGGATCATGCAGCAATTAGCGAGCTGGATGAACTGTCATCTGAAGAATACTTCCTGATGCGACAGATGCAACGGCAGGAAAATCGATGAGACCACACGCAAAACCCCAAAGTCATTGTAGCTACATCCTGCAGACATGGAAGAGGGACTAACCTCACTACTTCGGATGGTCGCAAGAATAGTTCAAACTTTCTTGTCATTGCCAAAATCGTCGATGACTTTCTACTGCTTGATACGTCTCTCATACCACGCATGCGAGATATTGTAATAGTAAAGCATCGGCTGATGAGCCTTCAAACTGTGAATGCTTAAGTGATATTAACGGGAGAGGAAAGCTGTGGAGCAAACTTTGCATAGATTGTTACTCATCCTGGAATGTTTCAAATCAATTATTTACCATAACAATTAAAGCTCAACATCTTAGATACCTGCCAGCTATTGTTTCAACCAAAAGATCGATCTATTATGATGTGCTGACGATATACAGGAAGTCTGAACCAAGACAGAAAAGTGGAGGCTTCCGGTAATGTACAGGCTCGACAGGAGGACTATGATACCAGCGATGCGGTCCCTCATCCTCGGAAAAAAAGCAAAAAGCAACCCGTCGATGAAGGAACCCTTGAAGATATTGTAGAGACTTTCTGGAAGTTACTAAAAAGAGGTATCGAAGCTGGTATGGACGATACGGGGATGAAGGACGGTTTCATCGTCGCTACGCTGCATGAGATACAAGAAGCGGAAGAGCCTTTTGACCTGAGGAATTATCAGATTCATGCTATCAACCGCATTATCTACATCCTGCAATCTGGAGGCAAAGGAGCATTACTTGCCTATGCCATGGGGCTCCGAAAGACTGTCATCGTGATCGTTATGTACAGTCCTAAAATGTTTGGCTTCTCACAAATTTTTTCCTAGCATTGATTGCGATACTCAAAAGGCACCCAGGGCTATTCAAATTGAATTAACCTACAAACCCCACAGGCCCCAGCAAGCTCAAGACATGTGTTCAAGGCAAGTTCTTGCTCGTCGTGCCTCTTGCGCTCATACCGCTATGGCAGTCCGAGCTCCAGAGGGGCATGGAACCAAGTCCTTCTATCAAGATATATCGTACGTGTTGCACTTTATACGCATGATTGAACGGGAATCAGCTAACATATATTAGACGGCGGTCGAGAGAACGATCATAGCACTAAGCGTACTCCCTATCATCTCTGTACGGTCGACGTCGTCATCACAACATACGAGACCTTGAGAAAGGGTTATGAATCCTTGTGACAACCAGGAGTGGTGGCGTAGGGCTCTCTTTCACATCCGCAGGGAGAGTGACACATCTTACGCAGAGTTGGAATCCTGCTATGATGTGACGGGCAAAGGATCCTGTTTGTCGCCATACTCAGAAGCTCCGGGTTTACATTGATCACCCGTACGCTTTCGACTCGATCGAAAGAAAGGTTGTAGGCGTGCAGGAAAAGAAGAAGACGAAGTGTTCAGCGCTATTCGGCCTAGACGAAGCAATGATGATCCCCATACAGCGGGTGAAATCTTGGGAACGAGAAGATTTAGCGAATCATGTAAGCGAGTTCCAATGATCGAGTACGCAAAGCGTCCATTGCAAGACATCCTAAATGAATTCAGGTTTCAACGCCCCCACCTGTAACGTGACAGACAGCTTCGCAGTCCCACTTACAACCTTATTGCAGATCCTGGAGACATTCATAGGACAATAAATTTCCAATTTCTAGCGACAGTGTGCATTGAGGATATCCAGGCTCAGTTATCCCGTGCAGCTCATTTTTCAGATCCCGAGGTCGCGAAACAGATATGGCTAATTCGCAGACCGTGTGCGTCACTGCAGCATATCTCGTCTAGCACATACATAGGCTACGAGGCCGCTTCGCAACTATTCGCTGCATATCACGTCCTATCTCACAGCCGCGAAGACTCATCAGCTCAGGGACCCGAGCGTCTTTTCCAGACTAAGCGTAGTTGAGACGGCAACATATGCACAAAATTCCATCGTTCAAAGCCGTCTGTTCACGGGTCCTGTGTAGTGGCCGTGTAGTATCATATGACGAATGTCTGGGCCATATGATAGCTAGGAGAAATACAGTACCTCAAAGTTCATCTGCCTCGTTACTTTCACATCTGCGAAGTAGATCTCGATGCTGGGGAGCTGCTGGTGTTCGAATTCCTCTCAGCTATCCGAACACTGTCCTGATAAACGTGTTTTATGTATGTCCATCTGCTCTCATATGAAGTCTATGACGAGACGTCGATACTAACATCGAAATAACGCAATCCCGGGCTAGAGATGAATCTACTTCTGAAAAAGTGCATCAGTCTGTACGAGGGCTGTTCGAATGAGCTGCAGCGCCCAATGTGATCGATTCTTATGGCTCTTGGAGATGCTATGGTCGCGCTCTCGCCCTCCATCTTGGATTCGTTAGCTATACCCTGTTTATGCGGATCCCACACCTTACATACGATAGACTATGATAGAAGGACTTAGGCCGATGCGCCCTCGGAGCTTAGATTTCCATAGTGGTAGCATAGCAAGAGGTACTATTAGTAAAAATTTGCCTTGGAGCTGCTGAGCTTCGATCGTGTCTGAACGTGCAGGCTAATACAGTTTAAAAAGCTCGGGGTGTCTTCTTAGGATTACAGTTAATGCTATAGTATAATTAGTGAAGATACTTAAGTTCTGCGAACGTATATATCTATTACGATGATGGTCTTCCTAAGCCCTATGCTATAGGCGAGCAAGGCACTCTTGCCTCTATCTAGTAGAATGCGGAGGATCTGATTCACAGCGTGAATCTGATAGTCGCGCAATTGCAAGGGCGCAGCTGAGTCGTATATGTCACGCAGCTCACGCAGCTTCACGGTTATAAAGCCACCCTTCATTCTCTCGTTGTCCTCGCTAGCTGGAATGCCCTTTTGTAACAATGCCCAGAAATCGTCCTCGACTTGTTGGAGAGTTGCTTCGTCGGCAGGTAGTTTCTGGCTTCTCTTTCGAGGCTTAGCCTCCGCATCGCTGTGTTCACGGCTTTCGTGAAGAGAATTTCTGGGGCTCTCTGATGGTTGCTTGAGGGGTCCTCGGATTGCGTCGATCGTGTGACCCAGGCGATCGAAGAGGCCACAAGCTATGGATGGAGCATGCCGTAGATCCGGAGTCGCGACCCTCATTTCCGCAGGGTGCAAATAACGATAATCCATTTCGCACGATCAGGATGGTGCGGTTCAGACAATGGATAGTCGTACTCAAGTGACCAGGCTACGTGAGCATCCCGCAGATTTGGGACCCACTTATTTAGCGTCTGCGCTAACTTAAGTTAGGGCACTGGGGTGAACAATCAACGGCCCGCTGATCAATATCCAACCCAATCCTGAAACGATTAATCTCTCACCACAGCTCTACCACCCGACAACCCACTGCTTTCAGGACAATTCAATATCAGCAGCTCAGCCACATGGCGTCCCAAAACTCCGCGGAGAACTCTACTCGACGAACGGTGGCCTTGAATGCAGATGCTCACACAATTACTACCAAGATCGGCATTGCCAAGCGCAGGATGGAGGCAATCAAGCAGGAGGTTGCAGTTTCCGTCAAGCCAGCCAAATTCGACGCCGAGTATGCCAAAGTGAAAGAGCTCGTTGCCGCTAGGGAGGTCACTGTGGTGAGTAAACACTTATTATATCATTCTCGGAAGCTTTACTTACGTCTATAGGCTTTGATCAAGGTGGTCATGGAGGCTGTTATGAATTACGCATCCAAATCAATCTCAGGTCGGGGTCTTGAAGTCCTCAAGGCCTTTCAGGTTGAGTGCCGCGCACAACAAGGACGACGAACCAGAGGATAGCGATTAGTCGAAGACACTTTGAGACGCTTCGACTAGGGCTTCTTGCACTACAACTGCGGCCCCTTCGATGGCATAGGGTCAACTACAATGATAGGAAAGGAGCTCTTCGTAGATTCGATTGTCTAGGAGGGATTTGTCACACACCAGGCGGGAATTGGGGCCGGGGTGCGGCGATAGTCTGAATAGTTCACAAAGCCACCTTTGCATTGACAGACCCCTATGGTTAGCGATTCAACCAAAACTACTGGCTTGCATTTCGATATTGAATCCTCTGCTTCCGCAGCATGAAACAGCGTGATATGTTTCTTTAACACAATGAAACACCATAGTTCTCACTTTTTCATGACCGATCATTAGACATCTTCATTTGCATAGTGACGCAATGCTTTCTATGACCAGGTGGTATCTCCAAGTTCAGCTGGGATTCCGATATGCTCATCTTTCCCGCCTAGGACCGAAGGACGTCACTCGAAACGCTACATATCGAGGTGTCCAATAGCTCACTATTCGAGCTCTTCCTGCTCAGCTCGTCCATGAGCTTCCTTTTCCTCCTCGTCTCGTCCACCAGCTTCCTCTTCCTTTTCAACTTGTCCACCAGCTTCTTTTGCCTCAGCAAGGACGTTGTACAAGGACTTTGCCAACTCTCCAAGCTTTACGATAGCAGCTGTATCCTTACGGAACAGCTCGGACTCAGAGTAATCGATGAGGGCTTTATAGGCATCGGCAGACGCCTTGCGCCTCTTCAACTCAAGCTCCAACTCATTCAGATCGTGATTCAGCACCCTGAGCTCATCTTTGTGCGATGACACACGCGCCTCCGCTTCCAGCTCCTTAGCATGTATGGTGTCGAAGTCGCCCGTGCCAAAGATATCGATGGCCTCTGCTAGATCATCGCCTTCCTGCGGCGTGTGTCAGTGTCTATTCACTAGTCGGGATATTCAATCACTTACAAGGTCGGCGAACATGTTTGCAGACTCCGATCTCTTGGCCTTCTTGGAGACAGGCACTGCGCTAGACCCGTGAGAGCTCGCTCTCTTCTCCTTGGGGGTGGCATCGGCCGGCTTACGGTCCGGAGTTGTAGCCTTGCTAGCTGGTAGCCCAGACGAGAGTCCCTGCGACGTCGACATCTAGGAATAGTTAGTTAAAGAATCCTTCCCCTAGGCGCCAAAAACACTAACCTTGGTAACTTTGAAAGATCTGTCAGGTTCAATCAGAGTAAAGGGATTTACGGTTGTAATAAGTGGAAGCGCAAGTGTAGAAGTGAGCAACTTTTATGCTAGCTGCGACGAGTCAGAGCACTAGCGCAAGTCCGTGCGCTCAACGAGGTGAGAGTCTACGGGGCATCGGCCAATCTTGCCAACAAAAAGTGATAAATCCTACAAATCCGGGGCACTGGGTCAGGTGAGAGTAGACAGAACCTGACGTAATTTGTAATCTCACGTGGCAAATCGCACAAATCCCGGAGATTTGTCCTGATCAGAGAAGTAAATTTGCTCCCCGTCTTCTGGACACACTCACCTGCGGACACGCTAGCGCATTCGAATATAAGCTCTTGCTTCTTCAAAGTTTCTCTCATACACGCACCCCACAATTTCTGTCGCCCCAGATACTGTCCAACGTCGACCATTTGAAGCTACCAAGCGATTCCTCTCTTCCAAAGCCCACCACTCGAAGCTGTCAAGCGATCCTTTCACAACGAGTCTAAAGCCATCCTTCCAGCACGGAACAACCAAGCCATTCTTCCAACACAATGATCTCAACAATGCCAAAAAAGGCGACCAAGGATACGAAGAGGGAGAAGTTGGCCTTTCACGGAACGAATATGCTCATTGGTAGGCACTCAACCTCGAACGAAGAACTCTGGGCTGCAATCGAACCTATCGCAAGCTCTAAGGACGACTGTAAACGCTTCAAACACTGGATCACACTGTACCACAACAAGGAATGCACGGGAACGGTCGCTTCTCTGAATGATGTCAACCTGAAGACGGTACCAGTCGAGTTAAGGACGCTCACTCACCGGATGCTACGGTGGCTTGCCCTGGTCGTCTGGGAGAAGAAGGGCGGCTTTGAACTCGCGAAGGGTGGAGAAGAAGCTGAGCAGCAGAACGACATCAACAAGAAATGTTCCATCATGGATGCCCTCCAGGAGCAAGAAGAGTTGCAAGGACCGCAAGCAACGGGAGCAGCCATCGTCCAAGAGCAAGCTGAGGAGAATTCGTCGTCTGCAAAACCGGTGGCAGGAGGAAAGCAATACTCGAGCAAGAGGCACAAGACGAGTGCTAATGCAAAGGACGAGTCAGAGGACGATTCAGAGGGGCATCGTGTGTATACAATAAAGGAAGTTCGTCAGATGCTTCTTATCTTTTCCCAGAGGATCGAAGAGCGGTTTGGATGAACATCTTATGAGTGGCGCTTACCGACTGGCATTCACTGAATGGTCTCTGAAGACATCGTTTTGGCAACAAGGGTCGCAGTGACATCTTTCCTACATTTCAGTCTTTTTGTCATCTTTGATCTCAGTTCGGAGCATCGGAAACGGTGTTGCGATATATGTTTTGTTTCTTACCGAGGTTTCCTTTAGCTGCTCTTTTATCATTACAGTGGCAGCACCAAAAGTATTCCTTCAACTAGCATATGAAAAACACAATATAACCACTTGTATATTGTATGGTGAATGTCAGTCCCGAGTCTTATGTTTTTACTCGAAGTGCGCAATTTGGTGTCCACGAATGATAGCACCACTACCGAGATAGCATCAGTGCCGTATGGGAGCACGTTTGCATTGTTTGGTAACACAGGAAGAGTCGGGAGCATACACATCACTGTATTACCGCACAAATCAACGAGTTTCTTGTGCAGTGAAGAAGAGCAGCAAAATCCTGCTCGGAAAGAGATCTGTTCTTCGCACAGCTCATATCAGATGTTCACATGTTCTTGCTCAGATCACACCGAACGGGGTGAGAGCTCAATGAAAAAAAGTAGTTTCACAAGGTCTTCTATGGACCATTATTCGAACCTTGATCAGCTACAACAGTGGAGCTGCGAGAACATCTAGAAACTATAACGGCTTTGACGGAGCTAGCATCTTTTTCCAGGCTCACCACTGAGCTGAAGAATAGTGAACAAATGCAAAAGTTAACAGTAAGGAAGGGCGATTTACCGATTTTTAAGTCATCCTTGTACCAAGCGTCCGGTTTCAGGCAAACGCGAATTGATCCTAAGTGGCGCGAGGTACGTGTGGCTCTGCAGCAACTGCCAACGAGCATTCGGTCTTTCAGAAGGCGTCTTGACACAGCTAATATTTCGTAGATTGCGGGTTTTGTCCATATGGATATCATTGTAGTAGCTTGCTTCTCTCGAGTCGCAGGCTTGGAGAAGTGAAGCCTAGCTTCTACTCCGTTTTCAGTCATTACATCTTCATGACAGGCTTGCGGTAACCCCACATTCTGGTTGCAAGATTATCCTCCGTATAGTTTCATGGTACGCTTAGCTTCCGCGCAGTTGCTCGTGCCCTCCGGGCGAAGCAATAAGACAGTGATGAGGATACTCCGTTTGATTCACCTGACAGTTACCTCATTTACCAGCTCAGCAAAGAAGTTGTTTCGAGAGATTCTTGTTTCTACAAGAATCCGCCGTCCCATCAGCTATCGCACCTAGGTATAGTATGTGCCATAAGTAGTCATGCAAAGCTTTATCATGGATGACCTTCTATTCACTGCGCCTGAAGGAATATGCGTTTCCATACATATACACGGTAGAAAATCGGTTCGAGCGTTAGCAGGCTACATGTAGTTCAATTGATTGTTTCATACTCTCGTTTCAACAACGGAAAAAGCGCTTATGTACACCGGTTATTGAAGGGCCCTGCAAGTTTGGCACGCGCTAGGTGGGGCTTGGCACACGTTAGCGCCTTTTTGAGGTCCGGGTGACGATGAGGTCCTATTTTACCTACAGTCTGCACCTTACCTACATGTACCTGGGTACATACGATCGCAAATTCATTCAATTTTGTCTACACCTCTATTCAGCATGGATGACGAAGATACTGTGCGAAACGTGGTGGAAGAAGAACGCTCCCGCCAGAGTGGACTTGCACCCGTGATCGACGGCCTTGCCAAAACCAACGAAGTGCTGGAGATGATCTTGAAGATATGCCTAGGGGATATACGAGGATGTGAGCATTATGTCAGTATGGCCCAACATTTGCCATTCTATTCTGACAGCATCACAGCAAAGCATCGAACGCGTATCAGAGCTTGATGAGCTTACCGCGATTGACACATGGGTCGAAAACCTCCTCAAAGAGCGGTCAACACTTGCAACGCTGACAGATTGGAAACTGCGCGTCATACAACCCAATGCTCAGCTACTTGATGAGGCGTGTCTTTCGATCAGCAAGGCGCTGTTGATGCTGAGAAAGGCACATGCAAGAGGCCTCCAGCTACCAAAGCATGCTTCTTCTAAGGACTGCTCGGCTGCAGTAGAGAATCTTCGCTATAGCGTCAGGCACCAGGCTGTAAAGGCAATCAAGGATCATCTCTCGCCTGCACATGATGCTCTCCAAGCGTAGGAAACCGATATCAAACGGTGCCAGCGCTGAATCGAACCACAAGTCTTGGAAGATTTCATGGGCACTTCACAAGAGAAAAAGACAAGAGCTGATGAGACAACATTACGCCTCGACGTTCGAGAGGACATACGAGAATCGAGAGCGGTCAATTTTCAGAAAAAAAGATTGAATGGCTTCTCATTCTGGTAGAGAGCGTGTCTCTATCCGATATGGCGCAACCGCCTGCCTCTCTACTAAAAGCCATCGAAGACATACGAAAAATTTGGAAAGTCCAGCCAGAATGAGCGACACAAGGGCAGCGAAGCTCGAGCAGGAAGCAAAGGGACGCCATTTGCCGAAAGTAAATGGAGGGCGGGCATGATTTAAAGAAAGTGTCTTATATGCTCATCACTGGTGGAGGGTGGGTACACTTTGAAGGAGGTGTTTGAGAGGCCTATTAATGGAGAGGCGATCTCAGCAATTAGATCATTCTGCAATCTTCACGGCCGATTGCAAGGGCTACATGCTTGCATGTTTGAGTGGTCCTTTTCATTTCAGGCATTATGATTTCATTTGGAAGCATCAGAAGGTCTGTCGGGGACTGCTTAAGCTGCTCTACCGTCAGAACATTATCAAGACCAAAAGTCACTCATTTGATAGGACTATACAAATTCTCCACGTGTTTCCCGAGAGCTTAAGAATGCTGTTTCCGCTGTCCCGGGTTTCTGCATATTGCATGTGCCGCGAGAATCACACCGCTTTCGAAGCTACAGAACTCACATCTCCCGTCTTCGTGGCCGCCTCATTGAGCAGCGGTTTTCTTCTAAGTCTCCCTCAAATGATTCCTTATACAGGACGTCTTCTAAGAACTTCTTTTATTGAAGCTCATCCTTATAGAAGCTCTTATTCATTGAAGAAGCATGTTTCCCAAGCATGATCTAACAAGCCATTCATGGAAAAATGATGTATTTTCGGTATACGTCTCCCGGAAGAAGCTAAATTTATGTCGGCTCTGCGCCTACGCGACACGATCTATAGTCTCCGGGAGCACATGTATAAGATTATGCAAGACCCTGAAGATATAAGCTGTTACAAGACCTCTCATATAGTTTCCGTGAAGGTATTAGATACATCCAGGCTACCTTGGCTCTTTCCCGTTGGGAGAAGGCGGATAAAAACATTGCCGGCGTCTTGTCAGGCTAGATGTGCAATGACGTCGAGCAAGGCAGTGTTAAGAAAGAATCTGTTCGAGGATTTACGAAATTTTACCTCATATATCCGACATAGCCTAGCTTGGGTGCAGACTCGGAGATGTGTATGATTGCGTTGGCGTGCTCAGAGAGTGAATATCCGTGGGCTTTCTGATCTACCCCATCGAGCCTCACGCGGCACTGATATTGGTGGCCTCAAACATAAAATGACTGCTTCATTTGCGTAATCTAGCAAGTGGGTATAGTGCTTCAAAGCCAAATCGTAAATCGCATCGCCTCGCCAGTGAGACTCCAAACCTAAGCGTGCTCTTTCTCCGCCGCTTCTCTCTTCGCGCGCCATCTCGGGCCCATCTTGATTTCTAGAAACATAAGCGGCAACAGCAACGCGCAAATTCCACCCCAGAACGTGTATGTCCAGCCATCGCCCCACGCAGTCGTCATGCGGTCGATGACTGATATCATGATCGCTGCAAGGGAGCAACGCACGAGGTTCGTGCACGCTGTCGCACCAGAGCTACGCGACTGCAGGATGTCGATGTTGAGCGTCATCGTTGTATTGAGGATGCCGATGGATGTCCATCCTAGTATCGTTCCCAAGCAAAGGAGTACTGCCATGTGCGCTCGGGCCTGAATCGACCAGCCCCAGCCGATCACACAGACGATGAACAGGCCGAGATAGAAGGGCATGATGCGCAGGCGAGCGTACTCAATGGTGAAGTTGTCGCCCAGCCGCTTCTTGATGCGCGAGTATTCCCAGTCCAGCATCTTCCCGGTCATCGTACTGCCAATGATCATGCCAGCGCCGGTGGGCAGGTAGCAGAGTCCGAGCACGGTTTGCGAAAGGCCGGGGTAGATCCTGGCGAAAGCAGAAGAGATCGTGGCAGTGATGGTATAGTTCACAGCGTACACGATGCCGGTGAACGTAAGAAGGACAATGACATCTGGGTACGTGAGGATGACAAAGGGGTTAATGGATTGCTTTGACTTGGTCTGAGTAGCGGGGTCATATGCTTGCTGACTCGCTTTATGTCCAACGATAGGCACGAGTGCACGTAGACGGTATGGCACAGGTATGCTGCCATTGCCAGCAATCGACCGAAGAGTCTCTGGAAGGAAGAGCGCGATGCACACCAGGCATATGGCGACCATGATGACAATCGTCCAGAAAATGGAACGCCATCCAAGCTCTTGCGCCAACACACCCCCCAAAGAAGGTCCTATGCATGGCGCCAGCATCGGACCAAGGTTGAACATGCCAAAGTAGCCTCCTCTTTCTCTCGACGTTGATATATCGCCGATAACACCCGCACCGAGAGCGATTGTGCTCGCACTGCCGCCGGACTGGAAACAACGCAAGAACAACAGGAGCCAGAACTGATCTGTCGGACACAAGGCCATGCCGATACTAGAGAGGACGAGAATGCTAAGACAGACAAGGTACACCAACCGCCTACCATGACGATCGGAGATGGGTCCCCATAGCATGGGCGATAGTCCTTGGAAGGTAAGGTAGACCGTCACGGTTTGATTGATGGTTTCGGTTGACTGGTGAAATGCTTTGGCGAGAGTTGGTATAGCCGGGAAGTATATGTTGGCAGGCAGAGGGCTAGCAAGGTCAGTACGACGTCCGAAAAGTTTACAAGCTTGTATCGTTAAGCATAGAGGAGAAGACGTACCTGTAAAACCCAGCCAATGCCACCATTCCAACGATCAGCCATTTCTCTTTGTTAGAATAGATGCTGTATGGTGCCTCCACCACACCGGCCTCAATCGACGACGTCAGACCCTCGTCAACCGTCTCTTGCTTCTCTTCAACCATGATTTGCGCCAAAAGATCGTGCAGGAACCACGAGGCACCTGCGCCCTGATATATTCTCGCCTGACATCGTCACTAACGGTCACGCCCGCCCACTATTCGGAGTAAAGAGTACCGCAGGGCGAATCTGCACGACGTGCACCGCTGTTGCCGATACCGAATCGGCCTGAGATCGGCCAACTGCTGGTGTGATGTGGTTGCTTGAGGCTGATAGCGCTATACCTGTTCGAGACTCCTACGGATGGAAAGCTGAGCCGGGAATAGCGCGGCTGGAAATGATCGCTCGAGACCCTGGCGGGCGGCTCTATTTTTTCGCATCCCGTCGGATAGAGAAGGATTTGCCGGGAGGATTTTGCACGCCACGCGTGGGAGTCATGCCCGAGAGAAGATATGGGGTACAGTGAGTCAATGTGCAAAAATCGTTTTATGTTGGTTCGTTGATCCCTTTGTTCTTTTCGCCGCACAACAACGTGTGGGTCAACGTCTTCGCATCACTGGCGCCGCGTAGCCGGGAGCACACTTCCTTGCATACTCCTACTAATTCAGTTGGCCGCAGTTGGGTCCCGACAATTAGGACATGGCCGATGTGCATGGAGCTCGGGGTGATACCTTAGACGAGAAAGAGATGAAACTGGGCAACTCAAACGCCCAAGTAACGGAAGGAAGAGAGGCAAAAGCGAAGGGATGGAGAGGTATCGTGAGCGTACTCAAAAAGCGTGGTGATGTCGAATTTCGGGGCTGCACTCCCATACCATACGAGGAGAGGACTGAGACAAACTACTTCAATATCTTCACATTGTGGTTCAGCATGAGCTGCAATCCCTTGCCGTAAGAATGATGAATTGGGCATCAAGAGGCAAAAATGCTGACTCTTTGCAGTGTGACTTTCGGAATGGTTGGAACAATGAGCTTTGGTCTGAGCTTACGAGACGCCTCCCTGGTCATTTTGTTCTTTACACTCGTCTCGACATTACCGGTAGCCTACATGTGTACATGGGGTCCCAAGACCGGCATGCGGCAGCTCGTCCAAGCCCGCTTCTCCTTCGGAAAGTACTTCGTTTCGATACTGGTCCTCCTCAATCTTGCCACTTTGACAGGCTTCTGCGTTGTCGACAGTATCATTGGCGGTCAAGCTCTCTCTGCAGTCAAGAATGGGGAGACGATCAGCGCAACGGTCGGCATTGTCATCATCTCACTGCTGGCGCTGATCATCGCCTTCTTCGGATTCCGTGTCCTCCACCACTACGAGAGATGGGCTTGGATACCTGCCTTGATTGCCCTCATAATCGCTGCTGGCTGTGGTGGGAAAGGCCTCGGTCAGCAAGTTGCAGTACCGCCTGCAACCGCACCCCAGGTACTATCCTTTGGTGGCCTTGTTGCAGGCTTCATGTTGCCTTGGGCTGCGCTGGCTAGCGACTTCTCAACATACATGCATCCGAAAGCGCCTCCCATGCGCATCGCAGCATACACATACGTTGGCCTTGCTTTGCCTACAGTCCTCCTCATGACACTGGGAGCCGCCATGGGTGGTGCGACACCCAACTTTCCCGATTGGCAGGCTGGTTATGAAGTCAATGCGGCCAGTGGAGTTCTGTCTGCCATGCTACATCCAGCTGGAGGCTTCGGGCGCTTCGTCACTGTCATTCTCGGGTTCTCCATGCTCGGTAACCTCTCTGCTACAATGTACAGCATAACGCTGAACCTACAAATGCTCGTTCCTTGGCTCTTCCGCATTCCTCGCGTCATCTTTAGCGTCATCATCACCGGTATCATTATCGGTGTTGCGGTTGAAGCAGCCAAGTCCTTCTTCGTCAATCTGGAGAACTTCCTGGGTGTCATTGGGTACTGGAGCGCAGCTTTCATTGGGATTATCCTCGTTGAACACCTCCTCTTTCGACGTGGCAGCTTCATCGCTTACACCAAAGATGACGAGGCTTGGGATGATATGCAAAAGCTTCCTTGGGGCTTCGCTGCCGTCGCAGCCGGAGTCGTCTGCCTTGGTCTCCTTGTGCCCGGTATGTCGCAAATCTGGTTCGCGGGGCCGATTGGAAAAGTGACGGGAGATATTGGTTTTGAGGTCGCATTCGCGCTGTCTGCGTTGGCGTATGTGCCGCTGCGATTCTTGGAAAGAAGAATATGTGGAAGATGAGACGAACATGCAGCAAACATGAGTGCGGTGTCATACCATAAACAGCGACGCGTTCGCATGATAGAGCACAGTAACCAATACGCTGGGATACCATCGACCTGTTATTGCATGTGCCCGAGTTTTTTGATCAGTTGTGACCCTCATTACCCTCCACTCGCAGTGCATGGGGGAGGTATCCATACTAATTCGCTCCACGTTCTTCAATACTCATGATCCAATACATGCATGGGCATCTGATTGGTTTGGGAACTTGCTTTCATTTCGCGGAGTTGAAGTAAAGGTATTTTAATTTTGCCACCTGTTGACCATAGCCCGCAAGTGAGAATCTCACGCTCACTGCGAGATACAAACTAGTCGCCACAGAGGACTGACTGCAGCAGTACTTGAAAACCGCTAGAGCCGCCTCGACCTTCACATACATTACTCCAGCCACTCCGACATATTCTACCCGCAACCATGCGTCGGTTTGGACATTTGACCCCGGCCGGTCGCGAATCAATGGCTCTTGCAGCGTGTCTATCGAAGTGGGAGCGCAACATGAATAACGGAACATTGACACTGGAAGCGATAAAGAAGGACTTGAAAGTAGCCGCATCCTAAGAAGGTGCCATGTTCGAAATACCTAGTAGAATTTCTGGTTATGCTAACCAATCGCTAACCATATAGGCGAATTCGATCCAAAGATTATCAACCCTACATATACCCGTGAAGAGAGAACAGCCACGGGTGCCTCAATCTTATGGAGCTTCCGTCGCTGCACGATCCAAATTCGTGGATCCTTTTGCGAACCAGACATCAACAACGTCTTGCGACCCATCATCGAGGTCAATGACCTGTGGACTTACGACACCATGGTATACGCCATCGAAAGGGTTGCGCGCGCATCACACCAACATCACAAGATACTCACTCCCATGAGCGACATGCCATCCCGCTCGGAGCTCCAAGAGTCGATCTTGACTTTCTTCTGTCCAATGCCGTCTGAATCAGGCACTGTCTGGCAGACTTCTCAGATCGAGGTACACACGAACACCGAGTACGGCGACAAGCGCATCAAGACCACCCATGCAAACGGTACCGCGGCGAATCCAAACGAGGAATCCCATTGCAGAATGAAGATCGAGGCAATGTTGCTCATATCCTGTTTGGAAAACTCGCCACATCGACCGCAAGCCCTAAGCGACGACGGCGCGGGATCTCGTGCTTGCATTCAAGAGTCAGTCTAATATCACAGCGCAGACAAAAATTTCTTCTAGACCTGAGGAAGCAGCTGCTTCTGCGATCCAGGCACGCCTCAGTGCCAAAGTTCAAGGCAAACTGCCATTGATTGGTGCAATGCAAGCTCCAATAGTAGCTAAGCCTGAAGTGCTCCAGAAGGTTAATGCCAGAGGCCTTGACTTGTATGTACTTGCACAGGACCCGTCCACGAGTGGCCTGCCAAATCGCTGGTTACCTGTTTCTGCTCTGAGCATAGCTGCACGAGATGCCATCACGGTCCGGCGCGTCGAGGCTGTGACGGCCAGGGCGGCCACCACCAAATGGCGACGTCTTGCTGGCCGAGGCCAAAAAGAGGTTACAAGCAATGCTCCAGTCTGCGTTCAATGTGACATTACACTTCGCAACCGCAGGCAGTGTACGTACACCTTGGGCAAAACAGTCCCGGACACAAATGCAGTCTGCGACAAGTGCTTGGATGATCAGTATCCCTGCCGCAGGCTCAAAGACCACCCCAGTGGCATCGGCTATGCCGTTGGATTTGTGCCAGTACCGTCTGGGTATCGACTCGCTTCGGTCGCCTGGGATGAGCTCGCGTACTGGATTCGGCAGCAGGATGACTGGAAAAAGCTGAATCCTAAGCCCCCCAAAGCAAAGGCCCGCGATGTGCCTAGTGGTGGGGTCCAGAGCAGCTACAGTACACGTGGTAAGGAGCAGGAGAGAGAAAAGGAGAAGGATACGAGGCAGGAAAATGGTCCTTTGTAGTCCTTAGTGCCTTGAAAATGATATCCTGAACTCCAACACTTCATCTCTTGAATGACTCGTCAGTGAACTTTCAAGACCCGTCTTCGGCTAGTTATTCTCATATTTGACCACTTGGATATTCACAAATATGAGAACCAAGTGAATTCAAAACTCTTATTGAAATATACAAACGCATGCATCGACTAAGAGTTATCCGTCGCAAAGGTTCGGTTGCATGAAACCCAGGAGATTACATGTGTTGGAGTGGGATAGCCGCTAGTATGGGGATAAACTTACCTCGGTTGTACATGCTACCCCGGAATGTGTGACGTTCACAAGCCAGCGACGGAACCGCATCCTCGAAGCCTCTCCGCATTTGGGCTACCTCACCCGACGACGCTCCTTTAATCTCATCTTTTCTGTATAACAAAACCCCTTCGCCACCCTCGTACCTGCCTCACATCGACCGAGTGCCCCGCCATCAACACACGCGCCCGCCCGCACAACACCACCATGTCGCAAGCCCAGGAAAAGGCGCAACAAAAGCTCGCCGAGTCAGTATCCTCGGTTCCGCAGAGCACCGCAGCCCAGCAAAGCGACAATGTTGCGCACGCGCTGGCTGGTGCTGGAGGAGGACTGCTGTCCATGGCCCTGACGTATGACCTCATCCTTCCACCCCATGCGCCGCCCTAACAAACCCCAGCTACCCCCTCATCACGCTCTCCACACGCGCGCAAGTCGAATCGAAGCGCGCGCAGTCATCCACCCTCAACGCGGCGCGCCGCATCATAAAGCGCGAGGGCGTGACCGGGCTATACGCGGGGCTGGACTCGGCGCTCTTCGGCATCAGCGTCACCAACTTCGTATACTACTACTGTACGCATACCCATATCACGTGGTCAGACACCCCTCGTTAACGAATTGATCAGGGTACGAATGGACCCGCGCGTGGTTCGAAAAAGCCGCGCTCAAAGCCGGCCGCGCGTCGATGAAGCTCACCACCGTCGAGTCGATGCTCGCAGGCGCGCTTGCCGGCAGCGCGACGGTGCTGATAACAAACCCCATCTGGGTCGTCAACACGCGCATGACCACGCGCAAGAACGATTCCGAGGAGCAGGTTCTGCCTGGAGCGAAGCCGGTTAAGGCGCCGTCTACGCTTGGCACCCTCCTTGCGCTCATCCGCGATGAGGGTCCAACTCGCCTGTTCTCGGGCGTCATGCCGGCGCTGGTGCTGGTTATCAATCCAATTCTGCAGTACACGTTTTTCGAGCAGATGAAGCAGTTTTTGGAGAAGAAGAGGCGGGTCACGCCGAAAGATGCGTTTTACCTCGGTGCGATGGGCAAGTTGCTTGCGACGAGCATCACATATCCATACATCACCGTCAAGTCGAGGATGCATGTTGCTGGCCGCGATGGACCGAGGGAGGATATGTTGACTACTTTCCGGAGGATTATTCGTGAGGAGGGATATACCGGACTTTACGGAGGTGAGTGATGAATCACTGACGTGGAAGAGAGTAAGGCTAACGGTAACAGGTATTGGACCAAAGGTCACCCAGAGCGTCATCACTGCCGCTTTCTTGTTCGCGTTTAAGGACGTCTTGTACTCGTACACCGTCGCCGCACGCAAGAAGATCGCCGCCAGGTAGGCCATGGCCTGCCCGATCAAGACGGGCGTCACGGGACTATGGATGTACGAGAACCGAGATGCATTGGGAGTGGTGTTGGAGAACATCAGGCGGGGTTTTGGAAAGGAAGGAAAGGAGACGGAAGAAACGATGTATAACAGGTTAAGATTGTATATACCCAGCAATACATATTCGCATTTGGCTATTCAATGGAGCCGTCTTCCCCTGTAGAGACTCAACCACTCCCATGTTTCCGTTGACATACCCCACGTCACCTCTACAATCCACCGTGGTGCACTCCATCACCACGCATATATATGCATTTTACTCATACACGACCCTCGTCTTCTCCAGAAGCCTGTATATCTCCGAAGCCTACTACTCACCATTCCCCACCGCGCCGCAAAGACCTCGAAGACATCCAGGCTTCACTATAGCCATGCTACCATATCTCCATCACCATGCACGACTCGTTGCGTGATCCTCGGTGTTTATAGTATATATACACTAAATCCAACATGGTATGGCAGACGTCGATACAAGAGGTGTACTGCCCTGCTCTTCGTCATGCCATCCAAACCATTCACTCCTACGTATCTCCCCAACCTCAAGCAAACCACCAGATCCAACACACAACTCAGCAAATGGCGGCATCCTCTGCACGACATCCACCACTCCGTTGTCATCGCCCTCTCCGCCCCGTACCGGCCACACCCCGCACGCGCGCCTCGCTCGTGTGAACCCGGTTCTTCCTGGACATCTTCACTCGCCTAAGATGTCGAAGATGCATGGCCCTTGCCGGCGGTGTACCACGCTCTTGGGAGGAGAAGACTGGATGGGGTTGCGAGTAGGGGTTTGAGGGTCGGAATAACGTTAGGATGTTCGGCGTCACGGCAGCGACGAGACGGTGGAGCTTAAGACGGGTTGGGAGAGTGACGTGGCGTGGTTTTTGGAGGTGGAGTGAGGGAGATTGTTGGGGGCTTTAGTATAAAACAAAGTCACTGAGCATGTTGGACATAAGTTTTAGAATGAATTTTTTTCCTTTCTTCATTTTTTATTGGGTTGTTCTGAGCCCGAAGATCTCTCTTCCGGGGAATACATAACCCCTATCATTTTGTTTCCATCTCGATTCCATATCGCCATCTACCATATCCCTCTCTAGACTGTAACAGTCTTCATCGTGGTCGGCACCTCGTCCATCCCAAGCTCATCCGGCATAGCCGTCCGCGGCGCAACCTTTGGACACACATACTGGCCCTTGCTTAGATCAAACGTACACAGCGACTTCGGGCACACATACTCGCCCTTTGACAGATCAAACGAGCAGAGAGGCAGGGCCTGGCGCTTGGCCTTTTCGGGGCAGATGTACTCGCCCTTGTCGAGGTTGAAGGTGCAGATGGGGAAGGGAGGGGGCGAGATTATTGCGGCGCGAGGAACGGGGGTGATGGCGGGTGAAGGCGCGAATCCGGCGTCACGACGGGCTTCGCGCGCGGCTTCGGGGAGGGTGTCGAACTCGGGGTCCAGGTGTGCCTCGCGGGCAGCTCGAGCGTCGAACTTGGCATCCAAACGAGCCTCGCGAGCAGCGGCAGGAAGCTCCACGATAGGATCAGCTACAGCAGGCGTGGCGCGAGCGAATTGAGCAACCCAGCGCTGGGAGCGAGTACCACCGAAGTCGTTGCTCTTGCTGCTGGAAGTGGCAGGCGTGGCGTGAGCGAACTGAGCAACCCAGCGCTGGGAGCGAGTACCACCGAAGTCGTTGCTCTTGCTGCTGGAAGTGGCGGTAGTGAGGCAGACGTAATACACGTAAAAGCTTGCCGCACAGGGACGAGTGTCCAGAGACTGGGTCTTCGCATCGGTGCAAACACTCGTCTGTTGCAACTGCTCAAGTGTCGTAGAACCCTCGTTGCAAGTACTGGTCATGGGCAACGTCAAAGAGATCTGCTTTGCGGACGAAGAGGCAGCGTCACCAACATGGAAGCCAGTAACGGTGGGCACCTCGACGGTCCGAGTTGATGGATCGTAGACCGGGTGGGATTTGACACTCCGAGTCGGAGTTGAGATCACGGGCAGGTGAGATCGAGTCAACCTCTTAGTCAAGCTGGATGAACAAGACGCTTCTGGGTTGCCAGCCTCACCAACGGCGAAGCCAACAAGACCGAGAACGCCCCAGGCGAGCGCAGTGAACCGCATTATGACTGATGGATTCGAGAGATGTTGATTGACTGTAGTTCTCGAGTCGAGCGTGGAGTTGAGAAGGCGCGGTGTGTGGAGTGTGGAGTGTGGAGAGCGAACAGCGAGTAGAGGGTCGTTGATATATGGCCGTGGGCGTTCGCAGGTGGTAGGTGCGCCCGAGCGTTGAGGCTGCCTTTACTTGAGTCTACCTTTACTTGAGCCTACCAGTAATGGAGAGGAGAGCGCTTAGGCGATGCATTCAGTGATCTAAGCGAGCCGAACGCGTGGAGATAGGTGAAAGGACGGAGTGAATGCTCAGGTGATAAACATCTCGACGTAACTGAGCCGAACGTGGAGATGGGAGTTGAGTCTGATTATACGAGAAAATGAATGGTTCGGAGATATCATTGAGAGGGGGAAAAAGGAACTGCCGTGTAGCTATTATGGGAAAAGACATGGTCAAAATAGAGTGTCTTTAGAATGACCGTAACGCCTAGTCGAGCCAGGTAAAAGATCACAATCAGGCTCGAGCCAGCAGTGGACGTATAATATACTCCAAGCTTCGGCATTGACTGTACCGGAAATTTGGACTAAGGCGGGAGCTAGACTAAACTCGGTACCTTAAACCTTGAATGCTTCCAGAACGCCGTGATGAATGCCAAGGATCCAACCGGCTTACCCCTGTGTAAGCAAACCATGTGTGTAATTGTCCAGCGCGGCCCGATACTGCTGACTGTATTCGATGATGATTTGCTGCTGGTACCAGCTGTGCCTCGCATTGTGGTCTCCAACCAGGTTGTGCGCAAGTTCGTGGCAATACGTACAGAACCAGCTGTCCAAAGCCCTCAATCGTCCTTCCCTCGTATTCCAGTGGTCACTGTGCAGCGCCATGAACCAGGCCAGGTTGAAGAACAAACTCCCCCCCATATTGAAAGCGACCGTGTTTGACTTCCTGTCCAAGAAGATGTTGACAGCCGCCGGGTTGACAGTAAAGATTGAAGTCAAACCAAAAATCAGCGGAAGAAAAGCTGAAAGGTGTGTTTGCAGGTCGTTGAGTGGCGACGATTCAGCGACACCATAGTAGATATCGACGTGTCGGCCAGCGAAAGGGACGGAGAATGCTTTGTGCAGGTTCTCCCACTGCTCGCCATTACAGTAGCCGCCCCGGTCAAGCTCGGTCGGATCCTGGTGGTGCTTGGTGTTGATGTCTTGCATCCCCGTTGGCCGACAGTCCTTGATAGCGCTTTGGATGTTCGACTTCGTCGCCTGCACATCTCGACTGATCTGCGGCCCGTCTGTACCGGTGCCAGACCGTGGAGTTGAGTCCGTCTTGAAGCCCAACTTCTTTGCCCAGTTGTTTATAAGGCTGTTTTCAGGAGGTCGACGATTGTCCGCGAGCTCCATGCCAGTATCTGGGCTACCAAAAGAACCCGGCATCTGATTTGCTTTCTCTGGAGTCGCCGGCGGTGCGTTTTCCTTGTCTTCCGCCCTTGCCATAGCTGATTTGGCTTGCTCTTCCATGCGTTGCTTGTCTTCATACTCCCTCTCTACCTCTTGCTGCTTGGCTATGCGTGCTTCGTGCTCTTTCCGCCTCAGAATACGCTCGACGTTGATTCCCTTCTGCTGCAGACGACGGAGTGGCTCCGTCAAGATGCGCTCCAACCCAAAGGCGTCATTGCGCTTTGGCCGTGAGATCACTAGCCGCACTAGCTCGGTGGATACTTCGTACAAATCGTACTTGGGTGTGATGCTCAACACGTAACCCTGGCTGCGCACTTTGGTGATTACTGCGGTTTTTCGTGAGGACGTAGCAACGTTGCGCTCTTGTAGCGAATAGCGGATAGAAATGTCTGAGACGCACTGTACGCTCAAGTTGGTGCTGAGCCACTTTGCATCATGCTTGATGGCCTTGGACGAGGACGCATCGCGCTCGTACTCGTGCAGGAACAGTCTGACTCGCTCCATGATGTCTTTCCGGAGGTCTTGTGCCTGTGTCTGATCGCGAGTTACGTTACCAATTCGTTGTTCAGTCTTGACCAGGTCGGACACTTTTTGGACGCCGAACTTGGCATAGAATTCCTCGAGAACCTCTTCCTGGGGTGCTGCGATGATGAAGTCCCGGAACCTCAGAAGGTAGTTGACATTATCAATGATCACGATGTCGCTAGCTTTGTTGAGAGACCATTCGCGCTGCACAACAGGCTCCTCTAGATCGTCATATTCCTCCTCAGCAGTCTGGGTATTCTTCGCATCCTCCTTGATGTCTCGGTAGCCGAGAAGCGCACGCGAAGCGACTAGCTGCCTGACTATTTCCTTATCTTTCCAGATGCTCTCTGCGTGCTCGGCCAGTTTCCGCAACAAGTCCAGGTACTTCTCCTGTCCAATCGTGTTCAAGAAGCGAGCTGGGTTCCTCGCTAGCAATAACGCTAAATCGTGTGTGCTTGGCTCATGCTTCGCGCCCACCTTGAGCAGGAACGCAGTGGCTTCGGCGCCGTATTGAACGTAGTCGAGAATACCACGGTACTCCTGGTCACGGCCTACAAAGACATGCTCGGGTGGGTCGTGGTGATGAATACGCATCTCCGTCTTGCCCGTCTGCTGCTTCGTGCGATCTTCAAATCCACTGCAAGCAGGGTCTAGGTAGTACTTGCGAAATACAGGGACAATGTTGGAGGCCGAAATCTTGGCTATCAAACCCTTGTTCTGCTCTAGATCGGTCGCGCGCGATGCAAGGTACGAGAATTGCATCTCAGCATCTAGCTTCGTCTTTGGTGGAGTGTTTAGGAGATACTGCACACATGGCCCGATGGGAGGATTTCTGTGTACGCCGAATTTGTCCGCATGTGGTCGAAGATCGCTTCGAAGGATAGCGAAGCCCAGGCAAGCCGCATTCTCATCAGTATAACATTGGAACGGTCCAACGAGTGCAGGAAACAGTGCCTGCTCGGTCGGCAGTATGGGAATGGTCAAGGCCGCTAATCTCTGGGCCTCAGCAGCATAGCCGTTCCTGTAGTAGTTTTGCAGGAAGTAGTCCATGGCCATATTGTATAGCTGCTTATCATTGGATTGTCCAGCTTTGTGAAGGATACTGGCGATTGCGATAGAGTCTGGCCACTGTTTCAGACCTAGGCGCAAAAGCAAAGCGCCTTCACGAAGATTAGGTTTGAACTCGAAAGGCAGTTTGATCTGAGTCAGCCCAAGCGGAACGACCGCTTGGTCTGGCGCATACAAGTCGGAAGCTTTGAAGAGCTGCCCGGGCTTCACAGATGCGCCCTCACCAGGTAGAAACGGAGTCTCTCGCAGTCGATCCAAGTCCTTCTTGGGAATCTCGTCAATGACGGACGCAAAGTACCGGATGAGATCGGCGTGGTTCCAGGATCCTTTTTCTGTCTGCCCTGCATCACGATTGCGCATCCGGTCGAATACGGTGGGCAAGTCGATCGTCTTTCGCACACCAAGTGCAAGCAGAAACTTTTCTCTTGAGCCAGCAAAAGCCTTTATGGTGGGCAAGTCATCAAACAGCTTGACAGTTGGGAAGTACGAATCTGTAGGCCGGCGCATGCCCATCTTGGTCGGCATGATCGTGTGAGGTGTGAGGATCTTCGCAACCGTCTCTTTCGAGCTTCCGTCGAGCTGTTCCCAGCACTTCGATGCCAAGCTGAGGACAGATGACGCGAGCTGCTCATCATTCGTAAATTGATCAAGTTGAGGTTGTGTGGTCATGTGTCGAAGCCATCTAACCATGGATAGCTCGATCCAGCCGAACATCTGCAGCTGTCTGACCGACATGGCCTTTGTAAAAGCGAAAGGTATCGTGTCTTGGGGAAGAGGCAAGGTCGGCGTAATGCGTGCAGGGTTGACGTAGGTGTTGACATCACCCAATGCGAGAATCCTACCAGAGTTCTTTTCGGGCTCCACGTCTATGTTCGCGACAGTAATCTCAAACAGACTGCGAGACGCTGGTACGTCAAGCTCTCCATTTTCAAGCTTGGAACCGCACCACTTCAAAAATTCGCCGAGCTCATCTTCATTCAGCGCCCGCGATTCGAGCCCCTGCCGGATATCTTGCATAGTAAGCTCCGAGATGAAGCCTCGCTCATGCAGCTTGACCATGAAATCAACAGCACCATTTGCGAGCTCTTGGGGTACCATTGGCACCTCGCCTAAGAAGCTGAGCGTTTCTGCCGGCATTCGCACATACTTGCTTGCCATGACGCCTTTGGTTGACAGAATCTCGACAGAGCGCTCCTTTGAGCAATGCCAAAAGGCTTCCTCAATCTTTTCTCCCAGCGCCGTAGATGGATGCGAGGAGTTCGGCGTGTATTGCTGAAACGTGTATATGGCCCGCGGAACTAGTGCCTCGATCGACTCTTTGCCAACACGAGCCTGTATTGCTGCCATCTCTGACATGTATGTGATGCGGCAACCCAAGCCTGCTACTCGCAACAACTCAATGTTCCACGTGGATATGTAGCGCGCATTCATATCAACGTTTTCTCGCTCCACGGTAGGAATGAGTGATGGTGCGGAGACGTGAGCGAGGTAGCCGGTCGTCTGTGCTGTAGGGAAGCCAATAAAAATACGGCCAGCCTTTGTTGGTAGTACTTCGGCGAAGATTTTGTCCGCCAGCTTCTCTGTCTTGCCAGACCCAATCGAAAGAGATGCTGATGGATCTTGGTATGGAGATGTTAGGAGTGCGATCTTGGTGGTTTTTGGAGGCGACTTCTTCGTTGCTCGCTCAATTTCCGCAGCAAAGTTGCGGTTTACACGTGTAGCGACTTCAATTGTGCAGACTTGGAGAAAGATGGTTCCCTTTGATTCTCCCGCGATATCTTCACTGCTGCCACTAGCCTTCTCAACGACTTGAGTCTTGGTCTTGGATGGAGGTGGCGGAGCTGGAGCCGAGAACTTGGAGAAGAAGCTCTTTAGCGAATTGCCTGCATTACGGACCTCCTGTTGCACGGCACTTGCGGCACGCAGTTTTGGTGGATTCTGAGCCGTAGCAATGACATTCAGCCAACTGGCATCTATTTGCGACTGCTGTCGTGTCACATGCGTGACCCGCATCAAGCCGCCTTCGGTCTCGGTCTTTAATCCTGGGGGTAATCGGACTTCTTCTGGAGGCGATATCTTCTTTGAGAAAGATGCTACCACGTAGTCGTCTACGTGCACTTCGATTGTTTCCAGTCCAACGAAGGTCAGACTCGTGGCCAGGAATTGACAAAGTTTCGGCAAATTTGGCAGTTTGGATGGATTGAAAGAGGGCGACTCCTGATTGGCTTGTCGGTAGTCAAGATAGAATGTTGTGTTCTTGTTAGAATGCTCTTCTGGTACAGCACCCAGCTTTGTAGAAAGTGTGTTGCCCTTCCAGTAAAATGCCATCGTCTTGTCGCCAGATACCACAAATGGCTCGTCACAGTCGGCAAAAACACTGTAGAAACCAACGCCAAAAGCACCAATCTTCGTTTCGTCAGGATTTCCGTCAGCAATGCTCTTCAGTCGACTCCAGTCCGCTGTTGTGAACGGTTGACCGTTGTTCGTGACTGCCAGCCGCTTCATGGTATGATTCTGGATGATGTGCTTGAGTCTTGCAGCGTCATCGGCTCCATGCGGTGTAGGAACAGTCAGAGAAGGATCTGTTTCAAACTTGATCGTAACAGTGTCCGCTTTTGCATCGGCAGCGTTTTGTATCAGTTCTCTTAAAGTCGTGTGCTCGCTCGAATATCGTGCCAACACCTTGTCGATGAGAGCTCTCGTATTGACCGTGACTTCACTATCCAGACCATCTGCCATGGTCTGGTTTCGCAAACGGGCGAAATCTATTGCCGCCATGATTGTGCGTTGTCCTGGCTGGACTTGGAGGCTTTCGTATTGGAGGAACCCAGATCTGACATCAACGAATACCACCCTGAAATATGTGGAAAAGCGACAGGACTCTGGTAGGTGAGGCTGTGGAGATATGGACGATCAAGAGAATGAAGTGGCGTCACCACGTGGATAATGTGAATGTTGGGTGGCAAAGCCGCGGAAAAGCGCAGGGTCAAGAGCACCGGTGGAAATGCAAACAGTATCTATACCACGCTATGCATAAACAAACATGTAGAGTAACGAGACGGAGAAAGTTGGTAGACGCATGGAGAGATGTGGTGCTGACATTCGAGCTAAGTCGCGATGAGACGCTACTGATGAGGCGGAAGGCGGTGAGCGCCACACTTGCTTCAGACCTGCGCACGGACGTGCATCGCCATGTCGCCAAATCACAGGATCAACGCTTCAATATTCAGGACATCATGCGTCAACCCATCACGACAGGTCTCTATTACCAGTAAGACACATCCTCCTAGGCCGGCGCCTCAAAAGACTCCCAATGTGGAAATGGCAGTCGATCCTTTATCCCCGATCGCGTGCGCGCGCATCAGGGCACTACTTCTACCCGTAGGCCGCATCAAGCGCTCGCGGTTCCTAAAGTATGTCGAATTGTTGCAACGGCAGTCGCTGGTTCGACTGGGAGATATCAGTCCGGATTCTCGGCCAGACAGGAGTACGAGTCCTTAATGAGACACCATGGCCACGTTTGCTGATCTTGGCATGGTGTAGATATGTTCTCTCCACTAGCATTTCCGAATGGGACGCTGTTGTATGATCTTTCAACCTCTCTCCCGCCAGTTTCCCACCTGTCCCTTTCACCATTCGAACAGTTCCGAGAACCACTCTTAATCATCGGCATTGGCGATGCTTCGGAGTATCCATGGCTGGACTCGTCACGTGCAGGCAATGATTCCCTACAGACCAAGTCCAGCAATGGAACGTCGCAAGAAGAGGATGTTGATGAGCTTCAAGGGGCTATAGAGGACATCCGAGAGCAGTACTCAAGAGCATATCTCCACAGCCTGATGCTGTTTGACTCAGAAACTCAAGCTCAACATCCACGCCTACCTGCAGAGACGATCTTCATACCTCCGACAAGCAGATTGAAGACCACGACCATGAAGACTGTCATGTGCGATCTGACTGCCACACTCCTGGCGGAGATGACGACACTGGCAAGATCCATTCAAGCTCTACCGACCGTGGCTTCGCCCGCATCGCAGACAGGCGCAGGAGGGAGCACACCTTCCTGGGCAAGCTCCGACCACTCAATTCAGTCGTCACGGCGCAACTCCCAGACGCCTAGTGCCAGCAGGCCAGCGTCTCCGCTCTCAGGCGCACAGAAAGACGCGCATCGAATGTCCATGCCAGTCTTGCCCTCTGGGACTGGAGGGGCGTTGACGGCAGAAGATCCAAGAGCTGGATCGCAAGGATCTCGAACGCCGCCCACTACGTTTGACGAGATATCTGGTGTGAATGCAGCAAATGCGCTCCAACAGGTGAATAGCAACACCTCAAAAGCTAGCACATCTACAAAAGAGACGGCATCTGATCGAGTGTCAATTCATGGTTTTGGTTCAGGTGGCGTAGGTGAGCGTGCGCGAAACAAGGGCCGTGGTCGCGTCGGCATCGTCGTTGGTACCTTATACATGTGCGCTGGGCAGTGGAATGACGCAATCCGGGAACTCACAGAGGGCGCAACGAAAGCTCGTGCTCTGAGCGATCATCTTTGGCACGCAAAGGCGCTCGAGAACATCATGGTTTGTCTGCTGCTCTTTGCGTGGTCAGGCATGGACTTCCAAATACCACCGCTATGCTATCCAATGGCAGACAAAGGTGCTGGCTCTAAATCGCCTCAACATACCCCAGCCAATAGTGTCGCAGACAACTCAGGGCAGGTCACTAATCACGAGGCAGCGCTCGAGAAACTAAACTCACTTCTGCCGGATCTGATAAATATGATACTGAACCTATATACCCGGGCGGCGAACTTCGCTGGTGAATCGCTGCCTCCCCTGGCATTCTCCGAGTGTGTTATACGGTTCTCGAAATTGTTAGCAGCTATCAATTTGTCTGGCGGCTACATGGATGAGGACACACTGCAGCATCTCGTCCTGAATACACCATACCGACAAAAACCAAGGTTATCGGTGCCGAGGCTTAGTGTGCATCCCACCAGAAATGATGTTGCTTCCATGCTCTTCCGTGCGCTGCCAGGTCCGGTCGAGAACTCTGGTATCAGCCCTACCGACCGAGTGGTGGTGCTCGCTGGCATTGCTTCTGTGCTTTCATCTTTAGGTCTGCAACGAAAGAAGGCTATTGTAATGAAAGAGTTCATCTTGTCATTGATCCCCGGGCTCGTCCAAGCTCGGAAATTAGGGGCTGCAGAAATGGGTGTCCATCCGGCCGCAGGCCTTGCAGCACTCAACATGGTCAGTGGAGGTGCTTCAAGCGCAGGCGCTTTGAACCTGGGAGAAGGAGAAATCGAGACCGGCATTGACGAGTTCTTGGGGCTACTCGGGCGCATATACGGAATACCCGCCTCCAAAGAATCCACTCCGCGATCAGAGAGATCGACGGCCGAAAGATATGGATTATCTGTCGGGGAGACGAGTGAAAGCGTCATTGCAGATATTCTCAAAACATCGTCATTGCGGGCCTTCGGTAGTGTCGGTATCAAGCTTGAGGTTCTCCGCATGTGTCTAAACTTCAGCGAGGCTCTACCAGACTTCAATGGTGTTTTGCATTTTACAGCACTATTGTTGCGAATGGCTGGTCCAGGCACCGCACCAAGACCCAACAGCACCGACGTCTTCGTCTCCCTGCCGCGCGACGAACAAGTCAAACTATTCTCAAATATTTCCCGAACAGTCGCTGCAGCCAACAAGCTCGGTCTGCAGCATCAGGAAACAGAATACTGGGACGACTTCCTGGTTCGCGGACTTTTGATCTTGGAAGAGCCAACGCCATTACGGCTCACTCATCACCGCCCAGCGGAACTCAAACTCACGCGAAAGGAGGGACCCTTCCTTCATAACCCCTGGTTGAAGAAGCCTACAAGTATTGCGGCTGAGACCATACTAGTGGCCAACGAGGAGTACCGCTTCGTCATTGCCCTTCAAAATCCGTACGATTTTGAACTAGAAGTCGATTCGCTCAAGATTGCTGTCGAAGGTGTGGAGTTCACTGCTGTTGAGAAGCATTTCTTCCTAGGCCCGTACCGGACACAGAAGTTCCAGATAGTCGGCGTCGCAAAGTCTCCGGGTACAATCAAGATCATTGGCTGCTGGGTCAAGGTCATTGGATGCCGTGAACGGCTGTTTCCCATCTTCCCAGAGCCATGGAAGCCATCGAGGGAAACGAAGATGAAGAAGACGGGTCTGAAAGCCTGCCTAGGAGCGCCAATGTCACGCCCGTCGTCAGCTATAGCAGCTACGAGCGACCCTGCAAAGGGAGCTGAGCCGAAGCCAGAATCCCTCACATTTAACGTCATACCCGACCAGCCAGTTGTGGTCATAACCGACGTCTCCCTACCTCAGGCATCACTCATGGTGCTTGAAGGCGAGAAGAAACGATTCACTGTCACTGTCAAGAACACATCTCAAACTACCGCAGTAGACTTCGTTCACATCACTTTCCAGGATTCAGCAACTGCAGCGATCCAAGCCGCGACGACGAACAAAGACCTGTCGCCTGCTGAGCTTCATGAGCTTGAGGTGCAACTAGCACACTACCCAGCCCTTCGTTGGTGCAAGGACACCGATGAAGAGTCCATCAGCATCAAGCCTGGCGAGACCCTCGACTTCACCATCGAGGTCGTCGGCCGTACCCGTCTCCAAGACGCCGTCATCCAAATCGACTACGCCAACCTCGGAAAACGGCGCTCCGAAGTCGACGACCGCTTCTTCACCCGCCAAGTCTCCGTCCCCATCTCCATCACCGTCAACGCCAGCGTGCAACTCCAACGCCCGGACATCGTCCCCTTGTGCGCGGACTTTGCTCTCCCACCCGCTCTCAACCAACACATCCAAGACCCCGAGAACAATGAATACTGCATGCTCCTCCTCGACCTGCGCAACTCCTGGCCCAACCCCCTTTCCATATCCCTGCACCTCGACTCCTCCTCCGTGACCGAAACAATCCAGCCCGGCCACATCAACCGCATCGCCATGATCCTGCCCAAACTCTACCTCTCCGACGCCCACGCCGCCATCCCCTCGCTTAACCCAGCAACTCAGCGCCAATTCGTCGTCTCCGCGAGTAAAATCTCGCCCGAAGCCGAGCGCGCTACGCGCGAAGCATTCTGGTACCGCGACGCCCTCCTCCAGCGCGTCCGGGGTACATGGACCGAAGAATCCTCCCCAAGCACCGCGCGCCACGGCGCCTTGGAACTGCGCAGCATCCGCCTGAGCGCGCGCATGGTGGACGCGATTAAACTCGACGACGTCGCCATTACCATGTCACTCACGCCCGACTCCCCCTCCTCCGCCCATGTGACGCGCCTAGGCAAGAAGAAATTCCAAATCGAGGTCGATGCGTTTTACACCCTCACTACCACGCTGAGAAATCGCTCGGCTCGCGCGGTATCCCCCATTCTCAGGCTGCTGCCGCATCTTGCCGACTTGCCGCATGGCGTCGCGCTCGATCTGGATAAGCGGTTTAGTTGGACGGGCGCGCTGCAGGCGAAGCTACCGGTCTTGAAGCCGGGCGCGGAGGGCAGGTATGAAGTCGGTGTTGTGGCGCTGTGTAGCGGGGTGTTTGAAGTCGGGGCGGTGGTGGATGAGGCGGAGGTGCTTGAGGAAGCTGAGGAGGTGGGCAGGAAGAGGAGTGATACGCAGGGGCTGTTGCAAGGGGATATCATTGGGGAGAGGAAGTTGGGGAGCTGGGGAATGAGGGAGGGCGTCGTTGTTATTGCTAAACGGGGATAGGAAGTATGGATGGATAGAAATACGTCTTCATGTTTGCTAGTTGAATTCCATGCGTCTTGATAGAAAAAAGGTCTAACACTCGCCTCTGCTTTAGCACGCAGGCAAGTCAGTTATGCTCTCTATACCGCCCAGAATGTGAATGTGAAAGTTCAAAGTAGCGCCGACAAATGCATGTCAATCGTGGAAAACGCATAAGCCATCATGACCCTTCGCAGGAAAAGGAAAAACACCCACCACCATGAAATCATACAAGCTTCCCTAGAAATACAAATACTCGACCGCGCTCAGCCAAATCCCAACTGCCCCGGCGGCACCGTCGTCCGCCGAAGTTTGTAATCCGGCAAATGATCAAAGTCTTCCGTTTCCGGATTGTACCTCCACGCCTTGAACTCGACGCCATACGGCTTGGGCTCAAGCTGATACAGCATGCCCAGGGGACAATCCAAATCCGCGACATCCTCCCTCTTCAAGCCCTGGAAATACGCCAGCAGCACGCGCGCCACGCTGCGATGCGTGATCAACAAGCAGTGATCCGTCATGCGCTCGAGTTCGACGATGACGGGGCGTATGCGGTTGATGACATCGAGGTAGCCCTCGCCGCCGGGGCCGGGGTAGCGGTATGCGAGTTTATCGCGGCGGCGACGCAGGTATTCTTCTGCGTATTTGGTGCGGATCTCGTCATATGTGAGGCCCTCCATGATGCCTGCGTTGAGCTCGTCGAGCATGCGCATCTGCTTGACCTCGTACTCCTCGTCGCAGAAGTGCTGGGCGGACTGGATGCTGCGTTTCAGCATGCTGGTCCAGACACAGAAGTTGTGCTGGTCGTCTTCGTGGGAGTAGTAGGGATTTGGTGGGGTAGTGGTCGCCGGGGACGGGGGGAAAGTGTGTGTGTGCCATTTTGTCGGCTTGGCGGATGGCCCAGTCTTTGCGCTGGCGGTCGACGAAGCGGGCCATTGCTTGGGCGTATTTTTGGCCGTTGGCGCTGAGGGAAGAGTCGCCGCCGATGCGGCCCGCGACGTTGTCGGTGGATTCGCCGTGACGGGTGATCCAGATCATGCGCGGGGCGAGGTTGAAGTTGAGGAGGTAGTAGACGGCTTGGCCAGCAAGGAAGCCTTTGATCTGGTGCGAGACCATCTTCCTGCCTACGTCGACCATCTTGACGTAGGGCATGTTGTTGTCCTCTTCGTAGTCGCCGATCGGCACGTAGTTCTTCTCGTAGATGGCAACGCGCTTCTTGAAGTCGGCCAGCGCGGCATGGGGGTCTTTGTCTTGGTAGTCGGGCCCTGACAGCTTCAGGCGCATGTTGGACTCGAGCAGGTTCTGGTCGGTACACAAGCTCTCGACGAACAAGACGTTGAGTTCAGGGCCGGCGCGTTGCCGCACGCGGTCCATGATCAGCTTCCTCCGCGCCAGACGTGCTGTTTGTGGCATCGAATATGCCCACTGAGCCACTGCCATTCAGTATGTAGTCCAGCAGGTCGTCGAGCGTCTCCATGGCACATTGCTCGCGCAACTGCGCCGCACGCGTGTTCTGCGGGTCGAAAAAATCCGCCGACTGATCCATGCGCCCTTGTCCATTCTGCTCGTCGCCCGTCGCTGGTTCTGGCGATGTGACCTCGACGCGGGGTGGATCCTCAACGGCTGAGCTATCGTCGTCATGGAGTGGGTCTGGCAGATTCTGTGGGTCCAGCGATCCCGCATCGCCGTTGATAAGAATTTTCGCAGCAATTTGCGCGGGGCTGTCTTTGTGCTGCTCCAGCGCCTCCCTGACGCTGGACGAGACCCTCTCGAGGCTTGCTTGCGACAGGCGGAAGCCGCTCGAGCTCGCCGCGACTCTGCGCTTCTCGCCGACGTTGAAGATCTTGGTGTCGTGCTGCAGCCAGTTGAGGTAGCGCGCCATCTTCTTGGTGATGTACGACTTGCCGCGCGCTGGCAGGCCGACCATGACGATGACGAGCTTGGAGCCGACATCGCGCTGCGCAATCTTGCCGTCGGGCGAGACCTTGGACTTGGTGAGGCCGGGGATGTCGAGCGTGGTGGGCCGTAATCGCGGGGTGTTGGCGCCCGAATTGTTGCGGGTCAGGTTGCTGAGTCCATTAGTTGGCAGTGGCGGTGCGTGATGTGTCGTGACATACTCTCGTGGACTCGGGGCCTGTGACGGCGCAGGTGTGTCGCTCAAGGGGACGCCGACGCCGTCCTTGAGGGCGGCCTGGCTGCTCGGCGCGGGGGTTTGGCCGGCGGGCACAGGCGGAGGCTTCAGCTCGCCATTGCGCGCGGCGAGGTCCTTGACGGCTTGCACGCCCTTTGGCGGGGCTGCAGCGGGGATGGCGGGCGTCGCTGGAGAGGGCCGCGGGGGCTCGTTGTTGCTGAGGTACTTGTTCTGCGCGTGTTCGGTGCCGCTGGATTTGAGGTTGCTCATGAGAACGTTTCGGGCGTATATCGAGGCGGTGCTGGTGCGGCGGGTGTGTGTGGAAGAAGTTGAAGAAGCTGAAGCTGACGATCGGCGACGCGAATGTGCAGTGTGATGCGTCTGTGTGCCTGACGCGGGCACTACCGGCGGACTGGGAATAGTCGTCGCCATAGCGCAACGACCGCACATGAAGAGCTGCACGCCGTAAAGGCTAGCTTGTTACTTTTTTACTTTTTTTCGACGGCAGGTCGCGCGCTGTCACGGGACAATGCTCGGGAGGTCCTTGACTTGTTGAGGCTTCGTTCGCGACCGTTGGAAATTCAAGTGTCGGCAAGCAGAATCGAGATGAGTCAATCCGGGAGCGATGACGTTAAATGCTGCCGCGGGAACGACTGTCCCGACGTCTCCAGCGAGCCGTGGGAGAGGTGCTGGTCCCTGGAAAGTGCTGGATGCGGAACGCCTGCATTCACAGCTTACCATGGGTCGTCATTGGGGCTAGCTGGGCGAGAGCGAGGGGAGTTCAGGAACTCGCAGCAACATGAATGCATGGTCGCGCGCTTATAATCTGTCCTCAAGACGGGCGGCGCATGAACAGGTGTGCATTCACTCTGACCGCGTTACACTGCTTGGCAATTGCTTCCTTGTTGCTTGTTGCTGCTCGATGCGGCTATCCCCCCTCAAGTCCGATGCTCCAATCGTTCGCACACGCGCTCCCCACCCAGCAAGCTCGCTGACCACAGCGGCACAAGCTACCCCTACGTTCAGATTGTGCGGTTGCAGCCACCTCGTTACAGATAAGGTTCTGCGACTTGTGCGCTTTCCTGTACACGTTGTTCTGATAGCGAGCATCGATGCCAACGACGTCAGCGCACAGGTGGGTGCACCAAACGCTTGGCGATCCGTCCGGGGAAGCGGTGCACATTCCTCCGCTTGCTGCAGTTTGTACTTTGCTGGCTGCATCGTGATACGTCCGTCTGCTCACAGCAATCTGGGCTTCTCAGCTACTAGGACGGATCCTTCCGGCTGTGCAGTGGTAGCCCGCTGACATCAGACGGTACTTTATGCACAGCTCATGTCTCAAGTCGCAGCGTAAGCACGAGCAGACAGACATACGCTGAGACACTGAGTGCCGTCATGACAGCTACCACATTGCCACTGGTTCGGAACTTCTTGCGGTGCAGTCCGTCTTCGCCAAGTTCGGAGAAGAACTGCTTGTTGCCTGCGCCTCTGCATCAGCCCGCACCTCGTGTTCGGGAAGCGAGACGTACCTTGCTGTCGTCGGAACAAGCTGATGAACATGATGCCGGTACCGTAGACTGCGAAGAGCGCTCCGATGGAGTAGAATTCCGCCGTAAAGATCTTGAGCACGATCAGAGCAAAGGAGAACTGCCCGATCGCAGTGCGAATGTAGGCCCCTCCGAAAGTTCTTTGGGCCGCGCGGATCTCCACGAGCTCGGAGCTGGTCAACACGACTGATCTTGCGCGGTGCAGACGCAGGCGGTACTCGTCTGCAGCATGGCGTCCCTGGTGGTGTTGAGCCCGCTAACTTTGCAACTTCATTGAGTGGGTTTACCTCGAACATGGCTGACTGTGTGAAAGGGCTCTTTCGTCAGTGGATGCTTACGGCTTTGCTTTGGGCCGTATGGTAGACCACAGACGCGTCGCGTGATGTAGGTGGTGCACAGAGTTGTCATGTACCAGCGGGTTGAGGATCGGGATGATTGCACCCCCACACTCTACACCTCGGGAGTTCCGTCTCGAGATCTCGCATTGTAAGAGCTAGTCCCGAATAGAAGCCAGGGCTTATCTTCACTTCGCGACACGTGAAGATGCATCTGATCACGTGCTACCGTAATGTCCGAGCACCTCCGCAACTCCCCGCAACGCCGTACGTGACATGCATGGAACATCACGGTAGCAAACTTCACCTTCGCATTGGCACCCACGACATTGTTTGCTTTACACCTCAGCGCTATCCTGGCTTGTGCGCTGCATGACGTATACGGGAAGATTGTTCAAAATTCAATGCGCTTTCCGTCCTGCGTCGCGACTTCCGAATAGGTACGCGTCGACTTCCACACGTTCCTCTAGCGCCACAGCTCACTGAACAAGGCGATCATACAGCACACTCAACCACGCTGGCTACCATCTACACCATCCTTACTTCGCATCAGCTCAATCGCCATCACTCATACATTCTCGCAGCTACTTAGGGCACCGAATCACGAATTGGGAAGGATACATCGATTACACCGAAGCCGAAATTATGCCAGGCACTACTTCAGTCACGTCGAATACGTCGAGCAACAAGCGGAAGAGGAGCTCGCCAAAGTTCTACGCCGTCAAAGTGGGCCGTACGCCGGGCATCTACCACAGCTGGGAGGACTGCAAGGCGCAGACTGACGGCATCAAAGCTACATGTGAGTTGGTGTTGCGATCTTCCTTTCCATACTAATGGATGCCAGTCAAGAGCTTCCCCACCCTTACCGAAGCAGAAGCGTTCATGAAAGGCTCGAGCAACTCCTCGCCGAAACCAAGCGCAGGAAACAAATTCTATGCCGTTGCGATCGGACATGTACCGGGTGTCTACACAGACTACGCCAGTGTGCAGGCCCAAACAAGGAACTGTGCCGGTGCGAAACAACAAAGCTTTGCAACCCGCGAAGAAGCACAGGCTTTCGTGAACGGGTTCAGGCGCGATCCAAGTGTTCCAATCAGTCTTCGAGGTGACCTGTCCGAGGTCTCATCTTTGACGGCTAGTAAGGAGAGCAAAGCGAGCGAGGCTCCACAGAAGAAGCAGAAGAAGAACGATGCAGCAGCGCCGGCTCTGACAAACGGCGATATCAAGTATGAGCCTGGCTTGGGCCCACTTCCAGAGGATGCGGAGGACGGCTTTGACCCAACGCTCAAGCTCGATCTAGAGTCTGGCAACATCCGCGTCAAGACCGAGGCAGAACTCAGCAGAACCAAGCTGCAGCCGACTGGTGACTTCACTGGTATAATCAACGTGTATACAGATGGAAGCGCGTTGGGAAATGGAAAAGTCGGGGCTGTCGGAGGTGTAGGCGTCTACTTTGGCCCCAACGATTCAAGGTTAGTGATCCCACGACGTTTCGCGTGCTCAACTAACAATGGTTACAGAAACATCTCCGAGCCTTTACGTGGCAGCCGACAGACGAACCAGCGCGCCGAGCTGACCGCCGTTGCCAGAGCTCTAGATCACATCCCCATAGATCGCTCCGCCCTCATCCACACAGACTCGAATTACTCTATAAAGTGCCTCACGGAGTGGTTTCAGAAGTGGGAGAAAAACAACTGGAAGTCGTCATCAGGCAAAGACGTTGAAAACAAGGACCTGGTCGAACCCATCATTGCCAGGATCCGCGAGCGTGACATGTGTCGAGCAAAGACAGATTTCAAGTGGATCAAAGGACACGCAAACGACCCGGGAAACGTTGCGGCTGATCTTTTGGCTGTTCAAGGCTCGCGAACGAGCACTCCGGAGCTGCGCAATGGCGATATCAAGACTATCTCGGCTACGCTCAACACCTCTGCAATCGATTACGACTCAAATAATCTCCGGGATCAGAAGCACAGCGACACATATACTGGGAAGATGGAGCCGATGAACGAGGATGATTGGGACAAGACCTTTGCTGATCTAGCTGCCGATGCGACCGCACAGGAACCTGCGACATACGAGCAAGGATTGCCGTCTAGTGTACTTGATCAGTTGGCGGAAGATGTGACGTAGGATAGCCAAGAGACTGCGAAGCAGGTCACGAGCGGCGATGCGCCTGGTGTGGCTGGTTCCATGAAGGACGTGCGGTGAAGCGATCAGGGCAGCAGCAGGAGGCCCGTTCAATAGCCTGAAGCTATAAACGGTGTCACTGGACTTCGACTGCGACGGCAAAGCTATGCGAATATATCCAGGCGTTCTGGTCATCTTCCACCGTAAGTGGCAATATGGGGTAGCGTGTCGCACTGCCTGTCACCTTCACTCCACTATGCACATTCTGGCCGAAGGCGGGCCCACTTTTCCTAGCGCATATATCTCCTGCTCACCTCTCCATGTATCCATCCGCCTTAGCTATCTGCCTCCGTACGACCCACATAATTCGTGAAGATGGCAGACCCCGCTTGGAACGACGAACAGCCTATCCGGATTCATCCAGATTTCGCCCGACAGCTCGAGTACCAGCAGCTAGAACTCTGTGTACACCCTTGTGGATGCCTCAGCACTCGCAAGAAAGTCGCAACGCCCTCACTTGTCCGCACCATCGTCTACAACATCCTCGTCTATATCATCGTTGCGATCGTCACTGCGTACCTGCTCGTGCAGGCCATGGAGGCGATATCCTTCCTCCTCAACCCCCACATCGGAATGATCTTACAAGTCAGCTGGATCGCTTTCCTCATGATGTGCGGCCTGTTTCCACCCATGATATGGGAGGCCAACGGGGAGAACGATGCCTTCGAGCCGCCACCATTGCCGCGCAACGTTGGATGGCTAGTAAACTGAAGTGTACCACGGTTCTTTCGGACCCCAGGAACCACCATCACACAGGCGAAGCTATAAGAGCATTATTTTCTTGTCTCACACAACATGCGCAACACACATACATATTACACACAAATCTTTTCAAAGAAAATCAGCCACTTGAGTATTCGTCGTCCTTCACGATGCCTGATCACCCCGTCGCGATGCGCGACCAACTATCCTTTGCCACCACCGCCCCAAGTACAGACAATTTACCTCACTCAAATAAACGAGCAGTACAACCCATTACCACGATCAAGAGCACAATATCCTCCATCATGTTCTACGTCCTCGCATACACCATCTCCATGATCGTACTTGCCTTCGTCACCATTTCAGTCGCTCAGATCATGTCCATCTCCGCCCCACTCTGGATTGCTTGGTTGGTTGGCGTGGTTTGTGCGGCTGCTGTGTATGAGGCGTGGTGGGAGATTGGAGGGTGGTAGAGGGAGGATGTGTTGCTTGGGTAAGGGGGGAGGGAGAGAGGGAGAGAGGACAGGGGAGGAGAGGGGATTCGTATGAAATCAATATAGGCTTTTTTGTGGGTTATTTGATGGGGGTGGGTTTTTGAGTGCGGTGATTTCGTTCCGTGCTTGTCTACTAACACCAAGCCTGGATTTGTATAAGCGAGCTTTGATAAAGCAATCGTACTAACGAGCTGTTTGTTGGTGGACAAGCATTGTCGTGCCTGGTCGGATGCTCGCTTTGGTGTATAAAGCGCTCTCTGCTACCGGTCTTAACACTCAGCACTACAAGTCCTGCGTCACCATGAGCAATTACATCAACAAGCTTCCACCAGAGCTGAGACTCGCTGTGCTCCAACACGTGAGTTACAAAAGCCCGTTGCGAGCGCTAACTAACATTTCCATTTTAGGTGTCACATGATGATTTGAACAACATGTGTGTTCTCGACTATTCCTGGCGGGATGAGGTCACACCCGTTCTTTGGGGGGATTTCGACTCAGACCTCTCTGACACGAACAAGCAAAGACTCGACATGGTCCTAACTCACAGGTACCAAAGATTTTTCAAGCACCTACGCAATCTCTACATTTGAAAGTCTACTCGCACAAACCAAAGCGATTGGATGTTGAGGTTTCAGCAACTCATTGACGCCATAACACCTCACACTCTAGTCAAAGTCGTCGTGACTAACGCTATCGACAGCGGGACTCTAGGCATGTTGATCATGGACCAGAAGAATTTAGTCGAGCTATCGGTGCCAATCCTTGACAGCCAGAGACCCCCAGGCCCCAGCTTCGTGGATGGAAACCTAGGATCGCTCAAAAGACTGAGTATATTCACTAATGCGGATCAAGCAGGCTATGATGGATGGCTGGAGAATACGACCGCATTGGAAGTTCTGAAGGTCTGGAGCCTGCGAACTTCATTGGCTTCTCTGTTCATTATTGTCGACTTCTTGAACGATATACTCTCGTTTTACGGGGGCGAAGATGTATCTCAACAGGATCATCCGCTCAAGGGCTCTCACTGAAAGTGAGAGCTGCGACGATAACTGGATGGCCTCTCTAGACAAAGTCTTGCTCACAGTCGACAGACTGGAGTACATCTACCTATCGGACTCATGCTCTGAGTTGACCGGGACACAAGGTCTAGTAGCCCACCATTGGCAACTCTCCGTCCTCTTGGATGGACCCTCAGATCGACTGGGACGAGGCCGAAGTAGATGCAGAAGTTCTTTGCGAGAATCTACGCGAAATAGGAAGGGACCTTGAGCTACTCGAGGAGTTTGGAATCAGTCTCACGGATGTAAACTTCGACGAGTGGGAACACAATGAAATCTGGTAATTAGATCGTGGAGCCGATTCGACCGCCACCAGGAAACTTGTAGACCAACTGGTAAGCATACTTCCCATGGCCCTCAACCCACAAAAGCTGACACACGTAGGACGTAATCGCAACCTTCCCCAAACTTCGCGTTCTGCGCCTCACCCAAGCACCCATCAAACTCGACGGCCTAGCCGACACCGACCCACGCATCGGCCCGTCCTACCAGCGACAATGGCGCTATCAACAATTTGCCGAGCAGAGACTCCAGCGTCTGGTCAAGAAGGGGTCGAAAGTCCAACTCCTTGCCTTCAGCCCCACGATTTCGCACGCAGATGAAGTTGTGCTTGAGGATGGCAATGGGCATAGGTGGCCTCACTACTACTACCTTCGCAGGGAGACACAGATCATGCTCCCTGGTGGTAAATACGCCACCAAGGTATATGCGATGCCGGTCAAGAAGGACGAGATTGAGGATTACATGCGGTGGCCAAGGGTGTTGAACGATCCATAGAGAACGGTGTTATTGGCTGAATGACGGGTTCTGCGTGGTACCGGGCAATCCCGCGGACCTGTTTTGCGCTTTCTTCTTACGCGTAGCTTGCTTGCATTATCTGCCAGTTTTTCTTTTCTGCAATTAACCCATTTACAAAATGCACTGTTGCTGGTTTCTCTTACCTGAGAGTCCCTTCTATCCCAGGTCTGTATGTTTGCCAAGCCTGTATGTGGAAACGTGCTGTGCTTCCACTTCCCTCGGAGCAGTGCATCTTGCAGTCCTACCCATCGCGTACAGGTGCTGGATTAATGTCTGCACGCTCTATTTCACTCCCACAAACTATTAAAGCATAGTTGTTGTCTCATACATAGGCTAGGATAGACTCATTCAATTCTGGGGCTTCGTAAGAATGTAGTTGAAGTACTCGTGTGACAGCACGGAGGACAGTTACGAGCGTAGATTCACAAAACGTAGCTAGATAGTGTGACCTAAGTCGACCATGACCCGGGTCTTCTTTCTAATGTTATATCGCCTGTTGCACTTCATTCGAGAACCCGAAATAACACTTGGCGGGTCACAGTGTAGGGTACGTTCTGTTAAAAATGGCACCTAAATCTTCACTAGGCGTCGACGGAATTCCTGCTCGCCGGAAAGCTGAAGAGGTAGCCTGCCTGCATATCAAAGATATCTTTAGGATTAGGTAGAGAATGGTACTGCTGCGTATGTATCCAGGCACCCTTGAGGTTATGCTTAGTATATCTTTGAAAAACATCGGCATGTGTAGTGCCAGAGCTGAATCGCTGCTATTAAGGATTGCCAATACCGCCACTTCCTATCACAAACTTCTCGGCCTCCTAGTCCTGTCGCTCAATTTCCAAGGCTTACAAGAATATTCTAGTGCGCATAGTAGAGACAAATCACGCCTGCGTGATAGCTAGCAGAAAATGAAAACGATGCGATGGCGAACAACAATCATCCATGATCGATATAAGGCCGAGAATGGAGCTCGGCTGGTCCTTGTTACCACTAGAAACCTGAACAGCATGTGCGACCATACTGGCGTTCTACCGCGTGAGTTGAGGAAGATGATCTGTGAGCAGGTATGTCCGACCATCTTTTCGCTCCACATTCTGTTGGCTTGCTACCATCTCGATCATCACCACCAAACATCTTCTATGGTAATGTGAGCAGCTTGTGTGACCACATATAGTGGGTATCGAGCTAAGCCAACACATTATAAGCACCGTTCAAGCTATCGCTAATCGATCACAGGTACAGGGCGCATCGCGAAAACGTCTGTGTCTCGTAAACAGGTTATGGAGCATATCCGCTGGCCAAGTCATATGGCACATTTGTGAGATTAAGATATTCGAAAAAAACTCAACTTGGAAGCGCTGCTCAGCTTCCGACCCGGCGGCTTTCTCGACAGCGTGAGAGATCGCAATGTTCAAGTCCTCAGTAGCCAGAACACAATCAGCCTAGACCGTACAAGAACCCGGCTTCTGAATATTCTCTGTTCCATCCCGCGAGAGCAAATGGTTTCATTCACAATGTACCAGCAATCAATGGATTCTTTGGCATTTCACATGCTCGTCATGGGGCATACGCGTCTTCGTCACATTGCCGTGCCGACAGTCAATCTGAAGCCACCAAATCTTGGTTACGTCTCTGGAAATTTGTAGGATCTGAAGAGTTGGCATGTCTTTGTGAATGCAAATCAGGCAGGAATTGATGCGTGGTCCGCCCATATGCCGTCAGTCGATGTACTATTGGTAACAGAACAGCTTAACGGTAGCCGATCACACTTTCGACCTTGCTCTGTCTCTTCTGTAATGGAAAGTCTCCGCAGACTGTCTCTGAAGAATCTGGACTTACAACCTCAATCCAGCAGGCTGGGTGCGTGGACAAGTGTCTCTCTGCTGCAGCATCTTGAGATCCAAGACAGCCAGAACATCGGTCGCTCCCTAGACGACGTAAGCAGCGTATGTACAAAGCTGAGAAGTTCAAATCTGACAAATCTCTTCATCGCCGAGGACTCCCATTCAGGATGGATAGTCAGTTTTAGATAGTTTCTTGAAAGCCTTTGAGGGGTTGGAAGATATTTTCGTGTCTACCTCATCCGCCGAGTTTGTTGCAGTCGACTCCCTTCGTCACCACCTAGCAACTCTGAAATTCGTAGTGGTCAACCCCCTCAACAAGTGGGATCACATAGGGCAGAGCGATGGAAGTGTCAATCACATGTACCAAAGCACAAACCTGAAGTATATGGCCACCTACTGCCCACTCATTGAAGAGCTTGGGACTAGTCTTGTGCATGTAGACTTCGAAGACATGGAAGAGGCCTTCATTATCCTGGAAGTACCCATCTTGCCTGTTGAAATACAGCCCAAATCAGCTTTGGTAAGTGTCTCAATCGATTTTTTAAACTTCTGCTAACGCTTTCAAAGGACGCTCTCGCTACATTCCCCAACCTCCGCGTACTGCGACTGACGCAGCCACCGATCAAACTCGCGGATGAAGTTGAAACAGCGGAAACCCCTAAACGCGCGCGACAATGGCAATATCGAGAGTTCGCAGAACATATCTTCCAGTCACCAGCTGGATAGAGGTTACTAATTCAGCCTGCTAACTTGGTAGTGCAGGACATCATAGTCGCATGGTGTGACAAACGGTTGGACTTAAACGCAGGATGGCTTTCAAATTGGTCATTTCAATCCCTGACTTGGATCTGAGTTCACTGCTATCTAGAAGATGGCAGTTCCATTTACGTGGGATGAAACACCAGCTGAAAGAGTCAGTATCCATTTGAAGATTTGTCAAGATGGATGACACGTACCTGGGCAGTTCGCCGGTGCTGAAGTAAAGAAGAAGAACCACCTGCTCTTTTCGCGGCAAGTCTGCGCCAGCTTTTCCCAAATCCAACATCTCTCCGAGTGGCATACCCCAAAGCGCCAAGATGTACTCGTGTAGATGGTAGTCTAAGATGTCAGGAGAACGCACGAGATGAACGGACGCTGCAACTGACCTTCGTGTGTGGGCCATGCCTCAAAAGCAGGCGCATCGCCAGCAACGCTTGAAAAGTAGCAGTCGTGAAGCCAGTCGAGAATCTTCTGCTCCTGACTCACGCCAGCATAGCGCTGACCATCTTCGCCGTCCTTACCAGTGCCATGTCTCAACGCAGCTTTCGTGCGATCGGCATCGGATTTGTTATCGTACGCTTCTTTCCAGCCGCTGCGGATGAACAGCATGTCTCCGATCTTGATGTCGCCGCCTTGCGCAGCGGGTCGGATGTCAATACCCTGGTCTTTGCCACATTCGTAAAGTGCCTCCCACGAAATTGGATAGTAATCGTATGGATCATAATTAATGCCCTTTTTGTGTGCGTAGCCTCGGTAATCGAGCAGTACTCCACGCCCAGCGATACCGTGCTCAGCCCAGTGGTGGATGGAACATTTATGGTTTGCTGATGGCCCAGTAATGTCCGTTCCCTTCGTCTATTCCGAACGTGAGCATTTGCCATGTTGCGGACATTCATTTACTTACGCCGTTATAAAACGAACCACTAGCGAAATGAGCAAAATGCCTAAAGCCCTATGAATCTGGTCAGTAAATCACTCAATGTATCCGTAATGCCCTGTCACTTACATCCCATTGCGTTCCCGATTGCGTGTTCATGGTGTACAAATCATCGTAAGCATACCCTTCAGCAAGCGTCTTGATCTCATGCTGAAAGACCTCTCGACCGAATGCAGGCTGATTGGGAACATTCAACGGTAGACTGGCACGTGATCAGCATTATTAGTTCATAGTGTTGCTCGTTCTTCAGGCATACTTCACGGGTACAATCTCTCCAGTTCTGATCTCCCTCCCTGCTGCGGCTACACGTGTGGGTGTCAGGAGATTTAAGCGGCCGATCTGAAAGGCTGTCAGTATTCAATCGACCGTCCTAAGTACGGCGCGCACGTAGTCATTGTCACCCCAAACCCAAGCCGCTTCCTCCGGCGCGCCCGGTATCTGAGGTAGCTCCTTTCTCGTCGGGAACTTCGTACAGTCGGGGTCCCAGGGAATGGTAGTTGCAGTCTCGTTCATGGTCAAAAAATCCTTGATCTGCGTCAAACGCTGGCCAGCTGTGTTCTTGGGATCAGTCATGATGATGCTTTTAGTATTGTACCGACCGCTTGTTCAGATTGAAATTGACAACGGTGTGCAAAGTAAATTTACAAATGAGCTGGGAATTCGATGCTCTATTCAACCGAATGATGCACGATGACCGTCACCCCGCTTTTCGTTGCCGTCTTGATGGCGTAAGTAAACGCGCCGAGGCATTGTGGGGTTGAGCTGGCGGAGCCGGCCTGACTTCTACAACACGACTCGCCCTGTCAATTTCGGTGGCCCTTCGTGAATCACTCGCGAGAGTCTCGGTCTCACGACTACTCGTTTACCATTTCAAATGTTGAGCGGTTGAAATGCACGCTCGGCGATTGGTTGTAAAGTGACATCTGGGTGGAAGCAGTAGTGACGTCAACAGGAGGTTAGACCGCGGCTTCTCCCCTTTCCGCACATGGCGCACCCCTGCTTGTGCACAACTCAATGGAAACGAAGTATCGATACCTCTTGAACGGAGTGCCCGCCCACACCTGTACTCACAAGTATTCTAAGTCATTGCTATCTCTCCAAGGTTCTTGTACCCGTGCGATTTTTTTGTTTTCCACCACCAGATCACGAATAAGAGCAGGTTGATGGACTCCATGCCAGCGAGGCCAACGCCAGCCCAGAATGCGAATCGCTATTTGTTGTTAGACTGCCCTTTAGCTATTTACAACTGCTCACCATCTCAGTGCACATTGTGCTAAAGTCAATGTCTCGATAATCGAATCTCTCGTCTTGGTGTGTGCAGCTCCAGGAGCTATGCTGTTGTCAGCTTTCGCGTATTGTCCTAAAACAGCAAGATCTAAACTCACAGCAAATCCCAATTGGTCTTGTTTGTATCCCAGGAGCCATAGTATGCAGTTACGATGATCCATACGATGAGGCAAATCGATGATATGACAATAGTTGTCACATTACCAGTCTTTGTCATTCTTCGCACCTGCAAAAGCATTCAGCACGTTTCTCATCGCTCTCATGCATACTTCTACTCACATTTTTGTGGAAGCTCGCGACGACTAGCACCAGACTGAAGATGCCAGCCAAAAGCGCAGCTGCTAAGAGTGCGTACGAGGGATACAGTTTCAAGACGTCAGGCCACACCGGAAAGGTTCCGCTGCCATCTCTGTATGGGTTTGTAGCATGCTTCGTTTGGCTGTATGATCGTATCGTTTGCGCAAGCAGGATCACAATCGCCGCGCAAGTTGCGAGTGATAATATGCGAAGTACTAGACGAGTAAGATATACGGCGCGGTATTCGCGGATGTCTCCGCTGGCGTTGCGCTCCTGAGCTTGTTGCCGACGGTCGACAAGTAGGATCTCCGCGGCATTGTTCTCCATCGCGCCACTCCTTTCAATCGATGAAATGAGATGTATTTGTCGAAAATTTAGGCATTCATGAGGGAGCCATTTGTGCGAACGGACAGGTATCGTAAATTATTGGACCACGAAGCTGACACACCGGCTGTAGCGTTGACCCAGGCATCCCGATCCTGCCGCGGCATGCCCCGGAAAGGTGTTGCCAAAAATACGTTCCAATGTTTTTTACTTACTCGGCACTGGCTTCAATCACGTGCAATTTGTAGTTTTTGACCGACCCGGATTTGAAATCAAACAGCGAAGCGGGTACATCTTTATACCGAACTCGCAAAGGGAAAAGGGAAAGGCTACTGATCCGCGAACGAGATGAATAAATTGTGTGAGCATGGCCTGTGCTTTCGACATTCCATTGTCATCATTGTAACATCGTGATCACTCTTGTAGCCATCAACTAGGTATTTAAAAAATTATCGGTTCTCTCCACAGCGTCACATCCTCGTCTTGCGTATCCTCATCCTCAGGATCACGATCGCGACCGCGTTCGTTCGACATTGCGACTCCACACCAGCCGATCATCCCTGCACCGACTTTCACGAAGCCGCCGCCGCCACAAAACCTCAAAATTCCTCAGCGACACCTCTAGTCGGTGCCATTTAACACATACCCTCAGTAACAAGTCACCAAAAAACTTTATGCTAACTAGCCTTCCCCCCCTCCCAATCCTGTTGAAAAGAAAAGCACACCCCTCAAGCACGGCTTCCCACTTCTTTCCTGTCGGTTCTCCGTACATGTCGAACAGACGCGGTTGGTTTTTCACCAATGTCAACCCGGACTATCCATCGTCCGTTTTGCCTGCTGCCATGGGATGAGATTGTCGTTGGTGCCGAAGACAATGTGTGTTGGCGACTTGTAATTGCCCCTAACGATCTGAGCGTACAGGCTCCCCTGTAAGATCTCTTCATTTGACGGCTGCGCCATGCTCTACCATGTTGCATCTTTGATTCGCCCAGCATGCTTCGCACTTGGGAGACCTCTAAACAGAATGGGAAGCGTCTGGCCGTGCCAGTGCATGTGCAGGACGATGCGAGTCCGCGCATCTTTCGGAGCTATCCAACCAGCCATGGCCACCAGCTTGGACGGGACGTTGTACGCCGTGATTGGCGCAGGATAAACTCCATCAAGGAGGTCGAACTTATCTTCCGCGTAGGCATCCGTGTGGTCTGGGACGTTTGGTTGGGTCCAGAACTCGTCTTCGTAGTCGGTTATGGATGAGTTTGAACCGGCTTCTATCCACGTAGCCTGTCCGAGATCCGTCTCGATGCGTTCAACGGTATCTCCTACATATACTGGCGTGCAGGTGTGGTCAGCGATGAGCTTTGCAGTGGGTACGCTCCACATCCCACTCCTGGAACACGTCTCGATGGGTATTTTGGGCTCCTTGAACGTCACGCTACTCGCCAGTGCATTTAGCTCAGGGTAGCTCAGGGAAGATGGGGTTACAGAAGCGCGAGTGGAAACCATGAGACACATTGAGCATTGTGTATTCGATTCGACTCCGCCAGAGAATAGCGCCGAGACTCTCGACAGCAGCGGCAGACCCAACGATAACGTGGCTTTTAGGTCCGTTGAAGGATGCGATCTCCAATTCAGGAGTTGTGGAGTCTTGTTGATAGACAAAGGCAATCAGTACCCTTGTTTCGTTTTCGTCAGCCTCCAAAGCAACCATGGAGCCACGTTCTGGTCCCCATCTGTCTCTCATCAGGACCGCGCGTTCAGTTCCAGGCGCACTAATCCGATGAACATTGCTCTCAAGTCGTAGCGCTATAATGGTGTGTATTCGTGTATTTAGCCCTATGAACTACATGCTGGAGTGACATAACTCGGGTCCAAAATGGCGGCAGAAGCTACACTGTAGGGTGGCTGTAACAACTGAATGCACTGGATGTGATAAGCCGACTTTCTCCCCCACGCGCTTCATTTGGGAACGATGCATACCTCTACGCATCGTTCGACTTTGGCCATGTACACTAACCTGTATGTCTCCAAAACCACTATTGAACACCCCAGAATTCTAGTTCCTGCTGATCCAGTCTTTCTGGTATCGTCCCTATCTTTGCCCAATGTGACTGTGTGGACAATCGAGCCGTAACAGGAAGGCTAAAGAGCGTCCCATAAAATAGTATCCTTATATCGCGCAGTGCCAACATATGCATGTAGTCTTGATAAAAGAAAAGTGATTCGAGTTGCAGCTGTGCACTGTAGATGTGATAGAGCCAGGATAACACATCAAGGGCGCGTGTAAGGATGTTCATCACCAACGCCAAGTATCTTCGGTGGGCGAACTCAGGTCTTTGCTGACTGTATCGCCCGTAGCCATCCTATCTTGGACAGTCTAATATGCAGGTTGCTAATCAAGTAGATCATACATTCATTGTGATCTACCTGGTATGATCTCGAATCTCACCCGAAGAGGATCATCAGCATTGAACGGCTGCGGGGTATTGCAACGATACTTCACGCCTTTACTGTGTTCAAGTTGTTGAGTACCGGTGTCAGGACACAGGTCTGCACCTACTGCGCCAGCATGCCAAAAAGGTAACAATGATCAATCTCAGCATTGATCATGCTGTGCAGAATAGTATATATCGTACAGGCCTGCCGCGCGGCCTTACAACCGGGATACTCGGTAATTCTGCAACCCCAAGATCAAGCGATGAACCATGAGCTTTACTACGGACATCAGAACTTCCATGGGGTTCAACCAATGTTGATCCAGATGTATTTTTCCACGCGCACTGCAGTTTTCAGCGTTTAAACTTCCCTCTGGTCATTAGCAACAACTTGAAGAGCGTAAAGATGGAAGGCGAGCTGTATTCACTCTAGATACAGTTCAATCAATAGACTGTCGTTATACTTCAGAACGCTGGACGTGATCTCATGTGCAACTTTTGCGTCCACTTGCTTGAAACTTACGGTGACATGGCCCTTATTCTCTGGCGTGGTGGTCGGGCACGAAGCATTGTGTGGAAAGTCCAGCATCAACGATAGAGGCGTTCCAACGTCATCGAGTGTCCCATCACGATCCCCAAAAACCTGGGCTGTATTCGTCGTGCGGTTGTCAAGAGCGCTGAAATCTATCCCGTGCAAAGGCAGAGCAGCTGAAGTTGCGAATCCAGAATTTGGGTATGATGGTTTTGAAAGCATTGTTTCAGCTATATTGGAGCAACTGGAGGAGTTCCCGGTGCTTGATGTCATGCATATTTACTGTTTATCAAAAACCAGGGGATCGGTTGTAAATTCTAGCCATCTCTACATATGGTTTATGTTTGAGGATTCGCCGGTCTCGTTGATATCGATAGCACGAGAGACCTCTCTGCTGTTGTATGCAGATGAAGGCTCTACTTCACCTCTTCCTTCAACAGAGGAATGCGGCGCTTCGGTTTCACAATCGACATCTATGTCCTGGAAACTCTGTTCCACATATGCATAGTCGAACACCAACTCTACGTCCAGGGAAAAGAACGGCGATCTTGTTCCAAGGGAAAATTATGCCATTTTTATGATCTGCTCGAGTTAGCATCAGACTTTGGTCACATGTCCGCGACAATACCGCGATGTGCCCAGGATGCAACGGATGTGGCGGACGGGAATTGTTTAGGATGCAACGAACTCGCCCGGTGGGAGCATCTTTACGTTAGTTCCCGTCGGTCCAATAGCGATCGCGTGACAGCACACAACTCTCTAAGAGCTCGGCAGAATTACCTTAAAGTCTTACACGAGCACGGAACACGCCGTCTTCTTCCTCTGTCCACCATCGTCGTCCTCGCTCTGCAGCCATTCAAATCACGTGACAAATCAGACCTTGAGGTTCAAGGCGGTGAATTGGTAAGCGTAGTTTTAGCAAGGCCCGAGTTGGGGCAGTAGCATGAGACGCTTTGTTCTTGGGATGCGTAAAAGCCGCAATCAGCTGATAGCTGCAGTCAGACTCACCTGCAGTGAGATTCGGCTCAGTCACATTTTCCTGCAGTCAGCGGGCAGCTTATCTAGATGTCTAGTTTCACACGCTTCACTATCCGAAAGTAGACTCAGGGCCTCTGCGTCGCAAAATTCCCGAAGACAACATCTCGCTTAAGTTAATAAGCCGTCGTTACGTTTGCAGGGTGGTGACTTTCAACAACCACAGAGTACTCTCTGCGTATTTGACAACACTCAGCTTTCTGGGAGACTCCTCTCAATCCCATGCGCAGTACAGAAAAGTTTCAAAATCCATCATGTCGACTTTCCTATCACCAGGACTCAGTCTGGACCGTGACTCAGCATCGGGTATACGTACCTTGCCCGAACTCGTCGAATTCCACGTCAAACACAACCCCCAGCACAGATTCTGCATCCAAGCAGAGAAGCCTTTAATCGAAAATGGTGCATATCAATTGACACCCGTAAGCTATGAGCGCCTCCAGCAGGCCATCCTTCGATGTCAAGCATGGCTGAGACACAACGCTCCAAACATCCATGCTTCTTTCTTGGACGATCATGGCATTGTGAAGAGATGCGCATCTGTCGCTGTGCTCATGGAGAGCCATACTGGTCTCGCCGTTTTCATCCTCACTCTGATGGGCATGGGCGTTCCGGTTGTCCTACTTTCGACACGCCTAAGCCCGGTCGCGATCAGCCACCTCATGCGAACAACTCGGGCTCAGCACGCGTTAGTGTCCCAACGTCTTCAGCCTCTTATTGTCGAGGCACGCTCTATCAGAAATTCCGAGTTGGACAAAGAGTGCAGTCCCGAAGTCTACATCGCGCCAGGGTATGAGATATTCCTTGATAAAGTTCCAGTCACCTACGATGGAAAGATAGCGCATCCCAATCACTTCATCTCGGAAAGTGATTGCCAGGCTCTGATACTGCATTCATCGGGGACTTCAGGACTTCCAAAACCGGTTTACTGTTCCCACAAATCTTTCCTGGGTTTCGCAATTTGCCATAGCTTTTCTTCTGAGATTGAAGCACACAATCTTACGGTCTCTACATCTCCTTTCTTCCATGTGAGTCATTGAACCGATAAGATTGCATATCCATTCGCTCACATGATAAGGGATTTGGGCTTGTCCCGATGTGCATGTCCTTGGGTATTGGGAAGACGATGTGCCTAACTCCACCCTTCTCCATTCCAACAGGTACCTCAGTAGCAGCACTTCTGGAGGAGTCCGGAGCCAAAGCTTTGTTGGCAGTACCATCGATCATCGAGGAAATCGCATTGCTCCCAGGCGACCGAGGCGTTCGAATTCTCCAAAACCTCGACTTTGTTGCTTTTGGTGGAGGCATGCCCAAGGACTCTGTTGGGAAGAGGCTTCAAGTGGCAGGGGTGAGACTGATCAATCATTACGGAGCAACAGAGACTGGCCCGTTATCGCCTTTCTTTGTGCCCACGGAGTCTTATGACTGGCACTATATCAAGCTTCGGCCTGACACCTTTGCGCCATTGGAGGTCCAGCTGGACCCTGTTGATGCTCATGATTGTACGTTCAAGATGAGCATGCGTCCTTTTGGGTGGACTGAGCGCTTTGAACTCCAGGATGTTCTTGTTCGGAAACCAGGGTCACATGAAGAAGACATGGAGTTCTCAATCCAGGGTCGCAATGATGACTTGATATGCCTTGCGACCGGAGAAAAGGTTCGTCCGACAATCTTGGAGTCTCTCCTGCGTCAGCATCACGGCGTCAAAGCGGCCACAGCATTCGGAGATGGCCGATTTGAGCTTGGTGTCATTGTGGAAACAATCGAACCCCTTGAAGCCAGCCGCATTGAAGCATTCAAAGCGTCCATTTGGCCACTCATCGAAGAAGCTGGCCATTCCATGGATGCACATGCGAGGATATCGTCACAGGCAGCGGTCCTGGTTTTTCCTCCCGGTTTGCTGCCTAGATCCGACAAGGGTACTATACTTCGGCTAGAAGTGGCCAAGACGTTTTCGGAGGAGATCGACCAAGTGTATCGGGAGCTTGAGTCCAACGTGACAGCACCTCCACTCGACTATTTGTCGCCAGAGACAACTATCAGAAGCTTGATAGAAGACAACATCAAGCTAGGGTCGAACTTCAATAGTTGGACTGATGAGGACGATCTCTTCGAGCTCGGCATGGACAGTTTACAAGCCGTAAAGCTACGTAGATTGCTCATAGCATCACTGAAGGCAACTAATGCTGATTCGAATGATGTTTTGAAGCCAGGAGATATCCTGGGAGACTTTGTTTATCGGCACGCTTCCGTTGCCAAGCTCGTTGAAGCAATGACTTCCAATCGTACCGTGGTAAACGATGCTTCTGACCCTCGTTGGTTGGAAGAGCTTGTTGAAGAATACTGCGTAAGGGACAGCGTACGACTGCAAAAGGCAACAGTTGCCATAACAGGAGCCACAGGCAGTTTGGGATCGCACTTCCTGAACGTTTTGCTACATGATCCCTCTGTAGATCGTGTCATATGTCTGAATAGACGTACCGGAGATGATGCAGTTACGAGACAGAAAAAGGCCTTAGCGTCACGAGGTATAGCTGTGAGCGATGAACTTTTTACCAAGGTTGAGGTCCTCGAGATCAGCTCAGCCACTGAGAATCTCGGATTGAGTGCTATGCAATACGAGTCACTTGCTCGCGAGATTACTCACATAGTGCACATCGCCTGGCCGATGAATTTCAAGATGACGCTTCCATCTTTCAATGGGACATTCAGGACCTTACAGAACTTGATTCAACTTGCATGCGATGCACATTCTCAGGCTCCGCGAAAGAGACCGAAGGTGTTATTCGTGTCTTCAATTTCAACAGTGGGGAACTATCCCGCCATCAAAGCGGAACGCATAGTCCCTGAGGTGGCTGTGGACGACCACTCCTGGACCCTGGGTGTGGGTTATGCCAAAGCTAAACTCGTGTGCGAAAAGATGATTCAACGCGCAGCCAAGGATCACCCGGAGATTGAGGCTGGGTTGGTACGTTTCGGTCAAATTGCCGGATCCAGTACCGGTTATTGGAATTCTGATGAGCACGTTGCTGCGTTGGTTGCGTCGTCTCTGACTGTCGGGAAGTTTCCTGACCTGCGAGGGGTAAAAGACCAAACCAAAACCATGTTTCTGTCAGCTAGCTAATGATGATTAGACATTGTCCTGGATGCGTGTGGATTCATGTGCGGCTGTCCTCGCTGAGGTCATGTTCCATTCCTTGCCGTTGGAGCTTGTGTATCACCTCGAGAACCCGATCCGACAAAGCTGGCAAGATTTTGCGGCAGTATTAGTCAGAAGGCTCGGGCTTCCTAAGGAATCCATTGTACCAATGGATAATTGGTTGAAGCTCGTTGATTGTGGTCCCAGCGAAGGCAACCCAGCACAGGGCCTTCTTGACTTCTTCACTAATGATTTTGTCAAGATGTCCGATGGGTCGATCGTGCTAGATACGGCTATCACTCGAAGCGTATCGCCCACGCTGAGGAAAATGTCACAAATCACTGAAAGTGATATCGCAGCTTACGTCGAATATTGGCGAAGCGTAGGTCTACTAGGACGTATGTAGATCAAGGGCGTCGGACACTTCTTCAAAGGCCTAGAGTCTGTCCGCCGGGCCGTGGGGCTTCAATGACTAGCTCCAAGGCACGCCCCGCATGGCGGCAGGGTACGGGAGCCATTGGCTTAGTAATTTGATCTTGCTCTTCGTCTCCACAGCTTCCAACTAAGATTGACTCTGCCCATACAATCTCAGTCATGGGTATCCCTGGCAGCAATGACATACAAGCTCTAATGGCTCAATTCGTCTCTTCAAACAACGTTTGGTTCCAGCGGCACGGGCACACACGACAAGTCTGATGTCCGATGCTACTGACATCGCGATATACCGCGTAGTATTCAATCCTGCAAAGATAGAAATATCTTCCTCAGTGTTTAGCAAGAATGTAATGATCGTATTCTACGCCTCGTTCCACCCTCTCATTAAACACCTTCTCATGGAACCGTTATCAGATTCATTTCCGGACCAACCGGGACTTGAACAGCCCATCTAGCTGCGAATCGACTTGATGTTGGACATCACGCCAGGGGAAGTCGTCTCCAGAGTATCCGTAAGCTCTTCCCACAGCTGCTTTTGTATTCGTAGTCCTTGCTCGCTCTTGGCCCACGCGGGAACCCACCAACTGTTGCTTCCGTCAGTAGACTGTAGGATATGGAGTCGACACAGCAAACCTACTCTTTTATTTGACACCCTGAGAGAAATTTGCCGTGGCTATCTTTGTCAGCGACGACACCATGAACCGTGGTACGGCTGCCTTCCTCGGGTGTCCGCGCAAAGATGAACCGAATTGTACCGATCAAAGCACGAGTCCGGGCATTTGTGTCGCGGGCAAGACCGGTTGAGCATACACCAGGTGCGGTCATATTCATGATCACGTTCGTCTTCTCGGCAGGGTAACGGGTGGCCCATTCGCGGAGTGCGTATAGCTGCACAAGTTTCGTCAAAGGATAGCTGGAAAGAAGGCTCAGCCGTTGTTTCTTGTGGAATTTAAATTGGTTTCTTCGAAGAAATTACTTTCATGAGAAAGTAGGCTTACCGATCTGTGATTTTGGCATCGTTCAGGTTCGCAAAGATGTTCTTTGATCCACCCTTCTCCAATTCTTTGTTCGCTTGAAGCGCCAGCGCGCTACCGACCATGATAATGTGCGGCGTGATGGTGAACTGCTGGGCCGTTTCCTGCAACTTCGGCATCAAGAGCGCGGCCAACAAGAATGGACTAACAACGTTGACTGTCATGGAGGTCTCGTTGCCCTCAACAATGGCGAATTTGTCCGTCATCACTCCGGCGTTCTCGATAAGAGCATCGATTCGCTCTAGTCCTGAGGCTTTGGCAGCAAATTCTTTGACGGACGCGAAGGATGTGAGGTCAAGCTGCCAGACCTCAACCACATTCTTCCGCCCAGTCGTGCCCTCAATGTCTGCCTTCGCCGCTTCGCCTGCTGAGATTTTGCGACTCGAAATGATGACTCGGCCTGCATCCGCTTTGACTAGGTGTCGCGCTGTCTCCAGCCCGATCCCGGTGTTGCCGCCCGTCACGATGTACGTCTTTCCACCGACATTTGCGCTGTTGATCAAAACTGGCAGTTTCTTGTACTGCTCACCGATGATTTGGAATTGTGACATGTTATCAAAGTCCGAGAAGTAGTATGGCGCTATAAGAGAAGGTAGCAATCACAAGTCGCGCGGAAAAGGGCTGAAGTACGAATGGCCATCGGAGATGCGGTGATAAGCAATGGCAGAATCTCGGAGTTATGGGTGCAAGCTGCAGGAGCAATTCAGGCTGTGAAAGAAGGAAGCCTCAAAGCTTAGTGAAAGAATAGCTTCGGTCCCGGCTTCGGCTGTATGGGGACACGGGCGGGCAGTAGCTGAGACACAACATTTAGACAGCTCGTCCGTTATTTCCGCTGTGCATACGCCTCTCTACCGCCACAAGTGCTTTGTAGGACAATAACAAAGCTGGACCAATCAGAGAATCATTGGCAGCTGTTTTGAGCGTTAGCGTACATAGTCAGTCGCTTGGCACTCGGGCCCCATCACAAGGCAAACTCGGGCTCTGATGCCGGCCAATCCCGCTTTTGAAATGTGCCATAATTGAACGACTTAGAGTAGCATGCGGTGAGCCGTAGTCTGAAGATAACGCCCCAAGGTGATGATACGCGGTCCGCGGAATCCGACGCTACTCGAGCTATCTCTCACCTACCTGGTTGGTATGGCGCAAGATTATGTTCTAGAACTAGTTGAAAGGCACACAAGGCCACCTGCTGGCGATTATGGGTACTAGTCCTAGCTAAGCAACCAGATAATACTGAAAGTGTCTTCCTCGGCTTAAAGGGAAGTGTGAAAACTTTCGTCCATAAACAGGCTTCTTCCAGGAAGGCCACTTCTAACAACAACATTCTAGCTGATGAAATGTGCCAGAAATCACATGGTTTGAGGCTTTCAAGGATGCTCTGGGCTCAAGTCTTATGTTTCCGCTGACTTCTCTTCTAGTGCTACGGAATCGTACCTGAACTGAGAATCGGGCTACCTAGCCGCTCAGTCCTGCCTTTGCATAGTTCTGGCTAGTCGAACCCTAATTTGTTACGAAAAAAAGCCAAATAATTATCGACTTAACGCCTATCTTACTTAGCTAAGCCTTACCAACTCGCACGGCGTTGGTCAGACCTCAAACGCGCTAGTGGCTTGTCTGGTCGTTCTCCTCCATGATTGGATACGCAAACGGCATGGACCATGTCGATTTCCTAAACTGGAGGGCTATCAAAGCTTGAATTTTCCACGAAGTAGGTTCATCAGCATGTAGAGGCTCTTTTCCACGTGGAAAATTGAGCAGAGCAGCCGTGGCCGCGTGGCATGGGTGGAGCGATTCTGGAACACAGGTTCACTTCGATTGTATGCTTCCAAATGTCATTTTATCTCAGATACGGAGAGTATGAGGGTGTTGTCGGCCGTCATGCTCTCACCCTATGAGCCCGTCACTATACGACGAGTGGAAGCCTAGATTACGAGAGATGGGTATGGCTTCAAGCACTGACACAGCCATGGCGTCCAAGGTTAGTCCTTCGCTTATCTTGAGAGCTGGAGCAACGTGCACCGGACGGACTAGATCATCAGATGAGGCGTAACTTGGAGGTGGTGTTGGGGGCTTCGAACGTGCGCGTAGACCAGAGAAGTGCTGATAACATGAGGAAAAGATTGGAGCGAGAAGTATACAACCCTCGAGATATTGTGCAGAATGTAACTATCACTACCTTCATCCAAACCTTTCTTTTCACTGCCTGTCTTTGCACTTCGATAGCTTAATCTTTTCAAGATGTTTGCCACTCCACTGGTGCGTGCTCTACTTGGAGCCGCTTCATTAATCTCAACAGCGTGCGGTGCTTCCATATACAACGATCTTGTCTTTAAACGCCAGGATGTGCGGCCATCCTCCATCACAAAAACGATGCACGTGATTCATGATTGCGATAACAGCAAAACGTTCTTCCTAGTATGGGGAACTGTCAACTTTCTCTGCAGAGCTCATTCTGGCAGATGATTTCCGCTACCATAGGTTTCCCGGTACCAGCACTCTGGTTCGCATTTTTGGTACGTATGTTTACAAGTAACTCGGATCCGCATGTTGTATCTCACGCCAGCTATTGTAAGCAGCAACATACAACATTCTAATCAGAGCTTTCCTATCCAAACTCATGCAAGCTCATAATAATATCTCTCGATCAACTGAGAAACTGACAATGAAAGCTAATGCGCAGGGGCTTTGACATCCCCCTTCTTCGTGTCGAGTAATCGATTCACGAACTTCAGTAGCATCATCGCCTTTTGGTGAGGCAGCAAATTTTCGGTTAACCGGGAGAATGTTGCGCTAGCATGCGTTCTTACTGGAACGGTGGCGTACATCAGATACCTGCTCCCTTTTTTTTTGCCAAAAGACTCGCTCCGAGAAGCTGTCACCAGAAAGAACTGCAAACGGATGCTTCGTCAATCCTGGCGCAGCCACACACCTCTCCTGTTCGCCCCCTTATTCTTGCTCCTCTCACTTTCTCTGTATCGCTCGCCTACAACACACATCAGTCCGATGAAATCGTCAACGAACGCCGAAGAAGTAGCTACTGCGTTGCTTGGGCATCACGGCTTGCGATTACAAACTGTAACCACTATTCAGTCACTCTGGGCCGGGTACGGTCAGATATGCCGTGTCACTGCCACGGAAAGTGACAAAGCCGCGAATTTACAGAAGTCACGGTCTTACATCCTGAAGCTGATTACGCCGCCGCCTACAAAGGCCAATGACGAGGGTCACACGAGAAAAATATTAAGTTATCAAGTGGAACAGTATTTCTACGGCCATCTTGCTCCTCAATTGCCGTTGTCGCTACCAGTCGCGCAATACTTAGGAAGCACCAACGAGCATCATGCCGATGGCACATCCACGACCGCGATGATGCTCTCCGACCTGAAGCAGCAATTCCCTGTCGCAGGAGAGAAGCGCAATGTGCTGTCATCAACGCAAGTGCATGCTGCTCTCGACTGGCTATCAGGCTTTCATGGCTTCTGGTGGCAGCGTGTTGAAAGCCTAGATCGCTCCTCGCTTGTTCTGCCACCCTTGGAGGAGGTACGACATGATGGTCAAGATGCCACGCAGAAGAGTGTTTGGCTGAACGGTGGCTACACGTATCTTGCGACGCGGCGAAAGGAGTACGCGGATCTCGCAGGCGACGCTGATTCTGAGTGGAGCGCAACCTTGACCCAAAAGATGGGAACTGGAAATGAGTCCATCTCTGAAATGGTCGCCACATTTTTGGCACCCGCAGCGTCTGGCTCGTCACGAACAGCCCGCTACGAGACGCTCATACACGGCGATGTCAAGTCCGAGAATCTGTTCACGAGCGAGTCTGGAGAGCAGGTGGCTTTCTACGACTTTCAGTACATAGGCCTCGGTCTTGGAGTCTGCGACCTTGCGAAACTCTTCACATGCTCGGTTCCTCTCAATATGCTCATAAATAAAAGGATCGTACCACACGAGTTGTCGATGCAAGATGGCGAACGAGCACTACTTGAGCGCTACTGGATGAGACTGAAAGATATGGGCAAGAAAGATTATCCATGGGAGACATTTATGATGCACTGGGAGGCTGCCATTGTCGACTGGCTTCGTTTTCAGGCCAGTTGGGGATTCTGGGGAAACACAGAATGGCTCGAAGCACGTGCAAGAAGTATTTTAAAGGACTCAGGCTGGAGGGAAGCCTTGACGATGAATTCAGACGAAAGTCGGTAGAGAGAAGGCATAAAATCCTAGCCCTAACACCCAGCCAATTTCGCCTGCCTCCCGCACCACCAAATTATCGCATGTTGCGCGGGTTTCAGTTACCTAAGATTCGAGCGACGAAGGAAACCATCACTACACGCAAGAGGGAGCCAGGTGTTGGGATCAACGAGTGTTTTCTGAGTGCCTGTGCCTGCAGAGGTGAGCACTTTGGTCGACGGTGGACTTCACTTGCCGAGGCTCTTATAGATACCCAGCATGCTACTATTAGTGCCACTACATACTTATCAATTAATAGACGGCCTCTTCTACTGTTGCCCCGCGCGTTAAAGGACTAGTCCCCCTTCTATATACTTAACAAGGTCTAAGAAGGGTCGCATAAGGGCTCTTATGCTGAGTAGGCTTAACGACACGTATAATTAGAGCATTACTTCTATAAAGCGTTACGACGAAATGCTGCTGCTGCTACGAAGCGAAATCTATCGTGTGCTACAGAGGTGCCTTTCAAAAGTTCTGACAGGGGTATATATATCGGGCCGACTATCTTGACACCCATCATGATTTAGTGTTTTTGAACAGACTATGGCTCCTTCGCATAGCCATTATGCGCAGCGTATGGTATATAAACAACAGAGAGTAGAGCGGCTTATATGGTATCATATTTCACCTGATCTCAACGTGTCGCACACCTAGGCTTAATCAACTCGATCTGTATTGTGTCTGCTATCTACCATCTTCATTCATGTGTGGTGTATAGATACTGCTTTTTCTTGTTGAGGTCGTGCATCCTTGTTGCCGTTACATTGGCTTGTCGCTTCGGCTTAGCTAAGTCATTGCTTCTGCAGCCTTGAAAAGGCTGCGACACACCGCTATTGAGCCAGCTTGACCTTGGCTTAAGACAACGAGCAAAGGGGCATCAATATGGCTAAACTAGTGGCAGTAGCTGCCTCAACACCAAATCCAGACTTGGATAGAGCGTATTCCATTCCAGAACCCGTTCGGTTGACATCCATTTTAAAACGGAATTATGGCAGAATTTGGCAGCCTCTTCTTCTACGATAGCCATATTATCGGAGCAGGCCTTCAACTCTTCTAAGCGAAACTCTATTTGAAAATGGAGCAACTGAACAGGCCCCTGTATTGAAGGAACAATACAATTCGACTTGAAGGCGGCACAGATCTGATCAAGCTTCGGTAGTATTTTGGCAGTAGTACAGATGACCCCTGTTAGCAAGAACTTTTGAAAACCACCTCCGTACTTCGTATCGTTTGGATCTCCTCTCCTAGCGCTGGTACAATAGGTACGTGCAGCCGAAAAAGGCCCCTGTGGATACGGCCCGCTCTCATTCTTCGTCTCTCGGACCAACCCACACCAATCGGCTAATCCGATTCCGTGTGATATCAATCAATCGATTCGGCCCATTAGTGCAGGTTGGTGCGGGAAACGGAGAACACAATCGATTGTCGGGGAAGCTGTAAGTGCAATATAGTATCCTAATGCCAACACACCAATCGATGCACTAATGCCCTATGCCCGGGCCGATATCGTTTTACACTTGTGTATAACTCGGTATGCTGCTGATCGCAAAGTACGAAAAACCTATCAACGGCTTCTATACCAATCAATCACTCATTTGGTTACAATCATGGCATCGAGATCACTCCTACCTGAAACTGCAAATTCTCATCTCGATGACAGCATTGCAGCCGACAGTATCCTCGAATCTCTAGAGTCCCTGGCGGCAGGAAACATTCCCATCTCCCTCCGCAATGATGAGAAAAAACGCTTACGCTTTCTCGAAGCTGCTGAAATGGCTTCTTTGAAGCTAGAGCAAACATGGGATACCATGCAGCGGCTGATCTTCTGTGCTTTGCCGCTCAACATGGCGCAGATGGGTATTGATCTGGGGCTGTGGAGACTCCTTTCTGAGCGAGGGGGAACGGCAACGAGCGCTAGTGAACTGGCCGCCGAATTTGGCGTTGAAAAAGAACTACTCGTACGAGTAATGCGCTACGCAGCAACGCAGTGGATGGTGGAGCAGGTCGGGATCGACACATACCGGGCTACGAATATAGCGCACTACCTGTCAATGTCAGGACTAGAGTCTGTCATATTCCATGTGTAAGTTGACTTCTTGATCTTGGTCTTTTCAGTGGATCATGATTGATTTTGCCATGCAGGACCGAGAGAAATATTGCAGTCTACAATGCGATACCAAAGTGGATGGCGGAGAATGCGTATAAGCAGCCTCAGGACAACAGAAACCTCCCATTCCAACTCAGTATGAACACCAATCTACACTTTTTTGATGGCTGGCGCAGCGAGAGCGGCACCAACAAGCCTTGAACGATTACATGTCGTTCCAGAGGGTTGGTCAAAAGAGCTGGCTTGATAGTCTTCATGCTGGTTTAACTAGTTTCCGATCTACAAATTTCACCTTGAGTTCTAGTGGCCTAACAAACCAGCCGTTACGGAAACGAGCTTCACGGGACCCTTCTTCTAATTCAAGCTGAGGGGTAATTAGTCGTTGGCGTAGGCAACGCATGAACTTTACTCACCTCAAATCTTCGAAGAACTGCTGGAATAAGCTTGTAAACTTCCATCATGCCAATATGTTTTCCGAGGCACACGCGTGGCCCTTTCCCAAAACTCATGATGTAATAATCCATCTCTTTGATTCTAGCGATTTCTGCCTCTCTGTCTTTGGAGGGGTCCACAAGCCAACGCTCTGGCACGTAATTATCGAGTTTATCTCCGAAAATCTCTGCACGACGATGGATAACCCATGCATTGCACCCGACAATTGTTCCTCCTTTGATATACTCACCGTCAATCATTGCTCCCTCTGGTGGAACAACTCTCTCGAACGGCAATCCTGGGGCGGGGTGGAGGCGAAAAGCTTCTTTGATACAAGCGTCGAGGTAGGGAAGTCCCTGGCTCTCTTGCCACGTGACTGTTCCTGTTGCATTATCTTTGAAATGACCTTGCAATGCTTTGTGATCAAGTTCTTGATAAACCTTTTCCAAGCATCTGTGGTTTCTCAGAAGCGAGCCGAAAACACCACTCATTGATACGGCTGCAGGCTCGGATCCAGCAAAAGCCATGGAGACACACATGGTAACTACGAGTTGATCGTTGAAAAAGTCTGGCCTGTCGTGTTTGGCCTGGATGAACTTAGAGAGGAAGTCTTGTGGAGTATTCGTATCGTTTCTTTGCCAAGCAAGATCTTCTTTCGAGAAGACCGTCCCAGAAGGATGTCGTTCGGCAAGGCGGGCGTTCGCAAAGCTTGCGACAGCATACGAAGAGTCGATGAGTCCGTACCTAGCTGCAAGCAGTTTGATTGGATTCTTTTTCCATAGCTTGTCTAGAACAGGAATCTGTCCTACCTTTTGCTGCTGTTAGTCGGTACACAAAGCAATAAAAATTCTACTTACCACAGCAGCATAGTCGAATAGGGCTGAGTTCCCTTTAACGATTCCCTCAATATCATGATTACTCTCCAAAAAGCCATGCCTTCTAGAGTAGACTAGTTCACCAATAACGTCGAAAGTATAGAACTGGAGCCATTGGTAGAAATCACAATATTTACCGGTATTCGAAAATCGTTCCTGTGTCTGTTGGAGAAACACGTCGTTTACGGAGTCGAAGATAGGCTCATACTGCATCTGGGCTGACATGGAAAAGACGCTATTAACGCTGCGCTTTAATTGGGAGTGATATTCTTCCGACTGAGTGCTGAATAGGGTTGGTAGCTTCTTTCCTTCCTTTGATGTTGCCATCTGTACGGGGTAAAAGTCTGACTAGCAGGGTTTAGCATGAGAGATAGATCAGACAAAATAGCATGCGTCTGTACCTTAGTGAAGCCTTTACCTAAAGCGTAAATAGCTTTGACAGATTTCGGATTGGCAAAGGACAGGCAGTTTGGCCCCAGGCGAACGATATCCCCATATTTGTTATGCAAATTTATATGCCACTGTTCAGGTCGTCTCTGCCATGCCTTTAAAAACCTGTACCAGTTGGTGAAAGCGCACACCAGCGGTCCTGGATACTTGTTTAACTCTCGGTTATAGTAGTTGTGGGCTAAGTAAATGAACACAGAAAATACAAAAGCCAGAGGCAGAAATTGACTCAGCGTGGAGGTGAAAATATTTGTGAGCATAGTGAAAGGTGCTTCTGCTTCTGAATGCGATATGATGGAGCGACCTAGTCCGATTTATACATAGATTGCGCACGCTCAACAGAGCACCTCCTTTGATCCCGAATTTATCTGCCGAATTACCACTGTACATACAGGCACAAAAGTATTTGATGCGGGGCAGCAGCCAAGAAGCTGATCCGATCCTGGTTAAGTTACTTAATTGATTTTATTTCAGATACTGTAATGTGGAGTAGTTTTTCGTTATCTTCTCTGATACTTTCCTTTATTCTACTTTCACGGCCATAGCAATAGCAGAAATTACTATGCTCAACTACCAGAGTGTAAACTCGACTGTACCATGTGGCACTGCCTCGGTCATACTGCTTGGCGACCGTCAGGGGGTGATACGCTCTAGCCAGTGAAAGGAGAAGGCGGAGTACGAAGTGGGGGCTGGAAACGCCAATCGTGCTATGTCACATTACCGGTGTAGCGTACATCGGACCTGGTAATGATCAAAGATTGCGAATGGACGATGCCATGAAGCGGTTGCATGTGTTGACACGTCTAATGTTCGAGCTTGGCCCGTTTACGCTTAGCTCAGCTGTATGTGTAGGCAAGATGTCTTGTTACCCGACCTAAGCTAGCGCTCCGACCCTACTTAGAGCCCAGTGCACTACGAAGTAACGTTCCTCCCCGTATCCCCGCGTATCTGCATTAATTAGAAGACGGCCCGCACCGATCAGAGGCTCTACGGGCTTTCTTCGGCCTGATCGGGTATACTCACACCTCGGACAGTCCAGAAGGAGCAGGTCAACACGGAATACATGCATGTCGTAAGTACACAAGACCGAAACTTGTCACAACTGGGTGCTAAAAAGCGGACCTTTTCAGCAGTTAACTTTGAGCAGAGGCTCAACGGGCTTTCTTCGCCCTAATTCGGTCATACTTGCACCGCGGACAATACGGAACACATGCACGTCGTAAGTACACAAGAGTACACAAGACTGAAACAACTCACAACCAGGTGCCGAAAAACGGACCTTTTTAGCAGTCGACTTCGAGTATGGGCATAACGCGCTTTCGTCGGCCTAATTCGGTCATACTCGCACCGCGGATGGTCTAGAAGGCGGGCTGGGGGTGTTTCTGCAAGGAAATAGGTACAGGCTAGGAGTAGGATGCGTGCTTTGTAGTGGGCTCAACAAGAAGGGAGTTTCAAGTATCACATACAGGGTCACCAAACGCCAAGCCCCATCCTGGTGAATTCTGACTATTATCAGTATGCATCACTATGTCGGGCCGTCGCGTATCTATCTTTTTATTAGGAAAACAGCAGGAAATCAGCATAAAAATGTCAGATTTGTGCATAATAATTAGACTCAGCCTATCGGAGGTTACGAAAGCTGATCGACTGCGCTATCCAGGGTGCAACTTTGCATTTGGAGACCCTGTAGATATCAATGTAGCTTGGCAGTTCAGGTTTTAGGCAGTATTTAAAACTGAAGCGGTCCTGTGAGGCTACAGATCAACAGCAAACAGTCCCGAACAAAAAAGACACTGCCATTGTCCCAGTACGAGTGTGTATAGGAGATGCTACTGTATCCTGCTTTCGGCATGACTTGCAGCAACAAGAATTTCAGTTGGTTCTACACGAGCAGACGGGACTTGAGCAGATTGCCAAGGTATCTTGCCAAGGTATCTTGCCAAGGTATCAGCGGACGCCAAGCGTGCCTGTCAAATTTGAACTCTGCTCGTATTATAACCTGCGTCCGGATAGAGAGGCAAAGGAATCATTGGGGAGCCGCACAGTCGATCCAAGCTGCAGGAATTCGCGCTGGTAGTACAGTGCGCACTTGACACAGAAGGGATTAGAATCACAGCCAGCTTCGACCCAAGAGTGTTGGACCATGACCCAGTAGCTCTTCTAGCTTCTCCAGCCAATAAGAGCCTTACTACTGATGATAACATGTGATCTTAGCAGTAATACGGCTACGGGCAGGGTGATACCCCAAACGATTACCATCGTATGTAGTTCACTCTAATTCAGGCAGTGGCGTAGCTAACCGACGGTGCCAAGAGCCGTATTACCAACTATTGGAAGCGCTGGCACGGCCCACTGCACCTGCTATCTGCGCGTGAGATGGCGAGATGACGTACGGCGAGCTGGATGCGCTATCCTCCATTCTAGCTAGCTATCTGGTTGATCTGAGACTTAAGCCAGAAGTTATTGTCCCTCTTTGCTGTGAAAAATCGATGTGGACAGTGGTAGCAATGCTCGCTGTGCTTAAGGCTGGCGGAGCATTTGCACCTATCGACCCAGAGCATCCAGCAAGTCGGCACGAGATCTTTCGGCAGACCAAGGCAAGAGTAGTGCTGGCCTCAGAGTAGCACACGACCCTCTGCAAAAGAAACGGTCACGTCGTTGTAACAGTCAACAAGGCATCGATCGGTCCATCAGCTGCTCAGCGAGGCTAGCGAGCCGAGAGTGCACCCAAATTTACAACCAGGAAACAGTGCCTATATTATCTTCACATCAGGCAGCATGGGCACACTCAAGGGAGTGGTGATCGAGCATCAGGCCATCGCGACGAGTAGTCTGGGTCACGGCGAAGCGCTTGGGTTCACGCAAGATACTCGAGCCCTCCAGTTCACATCTTACACATTCGACGCCTGTATAGCAGAGATGTGGACCACTCTTATACATGTCGGATTTACATGTGTCCCTTCAGAGCGTGATCGGCACAATAGTCTGTCTGAAGCCATTCGCAGGATAAGTGCAACCTGGGCCTTTCTTACACCGACTGTTGCACGTCTCCTAGACCGTCATGAGATTTCCCCTCTCTCTACACTTGCACTGGGTGGCGAAGTGTCCCGCTCTACGGACTGGGACATTTGGGAAGGTCGTGTTAGACTGATAAACGGTTATAGGCCTACGGAATGTTGTGTCTTCAGCAATGCGTGTTTGGATGTAAATGCGTCACGATCTGGAGTTATTGGGAAATCGATCGCGTCAGTCAGCTGGGTGGTAGATCCTAATGACCACCATAGGCTGGCCACTCTAGGCTCAGTAGGCGAGCTGCTTGTCGAAGGACCGATCCTGGCGCGCGGCTACCTCGATTATATGGAGAAGACGGCGGCAGCATTCGTCTGCGACCCTGCTTGGTTGCTAGAGATAGGGCGGCGAGGCCGACTGTACGAGACGGGTCACCTGGTTCGCTACAACGCGGATGGCGGCCTGGTGTACGTGGGCCGCAAGGACGGGCAGGTTAAGATACGCGGGCAGCGGGTAGAGCTAGGAGAGATTGAGCACCACGTGCGCGAGTGTATTCCAACAGTCGAACAGATGGTAATTATGCCAGGAAACAAGAAGGAAAAGGCGGTGGTGGCCGTGTTCGTGCAGCAGGATAACGTCTCGACCGAAGGCGGGTTGGCGGCCCGCGCCTTTTTCCCTACAAAGGTAGATGAACAGCTTAGCGAGCGGCTACCCAGCTATATGGTGCCTGGGGTGTACATTGAATCGGCAAAGCTTCCAACAACAACCTCTGGCAAGACAGACAGGTGGCGGCTGCGCGAGATAGGGGCGTCCTTCTCGGCGCAGCAATTGGCCGAGCTGCGCACGCAGAGCCAGGGACCCAAGCGGCAGCCAACAACAGCGATGGAGCAGGCGCTGCAGCAGTTATGGGGACAGGTGCTAGGCATCGATTCGCATACCATCGGGTTAGACGACAGCTTCTCCCGCCTAGGCGGCGACTCAATTGCAGCCATGAAGCTAGTAGTTGAGGCCCGCAAGCAATGCATCCAATTCACCGCTGCGATGGTTTTCCGGGCTTCAATACTGCATGATCTCGCCATTCTTTCCCCGCATTCCTCTACTACTGCTTTCGAGCCTCTTGCGAATTTTTCTTTACTTTCGTCCAGTCTATACAAGGCTACAGTCTCCAGCGGAATGCAATGTCGACCTTTCGTAGCCTTGGATCGCGTTGAGGACATACGGCCTGTCTCGTTCGTTCAGGAACATTATATTTCTGACGGGCAACGGAATTTCGTGCTGCCTTCAACTACATCTATATGGATTTGAACCCCTCTGTGGATGTCGAACGTCTGGAAAATAGTTGCCGTTCGCTTGGACAGCACTTCAAAATTCTTCGCACGTATTTTGCGACCTGCAAAGGCCAATCTTTACAGATGGTTCTTCGCGATTTTGATGCTCCTTTTTCAACGTTCGAGTTCAATGGGTCCATGGATGAAGAATCCAGTACCATAGTTCTACGAGATATCTGTCAGTCATCGCCGCTTGAAGTACCGACTTCGTTCATCTTCATCCGCAATGCCTCGAAGGCAGCTCGACTTTTTATTCGTCTACCTTACGCCCAGTATGACGGCTGGTGTATCCCCATCATTCTGAACACGCTCACTCCGCTTATTGATAATAAGTCATTAAGCCTTGACCCTGACTTCTCGACCTATATGGCATACTCTCGCCAAAGAGCCCCCGCGTCTGCCTGCTATTTGAGGGATCTCCTCAAAGAATCTCACCTTACCCAGATCATCACAAAATTTCCCTCTACAGCCTACGTAGACAGTCCTCGCAACATCAGGCTAGAGTGTTCATTACCCCTACGTCAGCACCTGGTGAAATAACAATCACATCTCTTGTAAGCTCAGCCTGGGCTTTGGTTCTCTCTCAAGTTAGCGGAGAAGAAGATGTAGTCTACGTTCAAGTGGTCGCTGGACGAAACTCCGATTTTCCAGGCATTACAGAGATAGTTGGGCCCTGCATGAACTTCATCCCAGTTCGTGCGGATGTCTCTGCAGCGAGAACGGTAGCTGACCTTCTCCGCTCTATTCAAGAGCAGTATATTTCCATTGGTGAATCAGACTCCATGGGCGTCAATGACGTTGTTGAACAATGCACAATTTGGCCAGCCGGGACCATGCCCGACGCATTCGTTAAAAATCAAAACATCGAGACGAATCCGGAAATTCACATTGCAGGCGGGATATCGAAAGTGCAATGGTTTGACAACCCTTTTGCGGTAGCAACTGAGCTGTCCATCGTCTCGCAAGCGCAGGCCGGTAGTTTGGATGTTACAATTAATGGTAATACGCATATTCTCACGGCTCAATGTGGAGAGAAGTTACTGGACCTCCTTTGCGAAACGATCTCGAGGCTCTGCACTAATCTTGAAACGACACTAGAATCGTGCAAGTCATCTTTAAGAGTTATTTGTCTAATTTTGCACAGTAGATGACGCGGCAGATCTGTTTGTGCTTGGAATCCTAACGTCTAGACATCCGCGTCAAAACATAGTAGGATATTGTTTAATGAAACGTAAGATGTTCTAAAGACCTCGGAGTTGGCAGTGAGTTGAACTAGTGTCATGATGACTGCATAAGTTGGTCTTCATGACATTCTTCTAGCTAATTTTATTTTATTTTATTTAACGTAGGTGATGGGCGAGTCGCAAATACTAAGCAGTACCCCGGAATTCGGGTCTCAATCAACGCTCGTGAAGACAAGGATTCAGAGGCATGCAAATAGCTCCCCAACTTCAATAGTTGAGGCCTTTAAAAAGCTAGCAAAAGGCGCAGCAGTAATTGCGCACAAACTCGTGTTAGCGGAAAGGTAGCACGCTGAGCTTTGAGCAGCTAATAAGGCCGCCACGCGACGCAAATCGAAGAAAAGAAAGCGTATGCAGCGAGAGGGTACACTAACAGTGGAGGAGGGCGAGCGATTAACTATGGGAAGAAGGCGAAGAAGCGGTTGGGCACTAAAGTGGGCGAGCCATCTTAACGACGCTGTGGGCGCTGCAATCAGACTGGGCATAACGCACGCACCTGTAAAAAAGTAGCAGCGTTATAGGGAGTGTGGGTTGTAGGAGGTGGGATTTGGTAGGCACGCGGGCGAGCAAAAGAACGCCGTCTCTCAAACAGGATTTCCTCACCAAATATAAGCGAACACCAAAACTTCCTCTCCTTTGTCCAAGTTTACGCGCCTCTATTACTTCTAAATCTTAATTCTAATTAAATAGGATTATAGAGTAGGCAAAGCTCGATAATTCTCTCTAATTAGACTTATATTTTAGAGTTTATACCTAGCTACATATGCGATCGCAGAGAGGAAGTTTTAGGTGTCGCTGTTATTTTGCTTGCCGTGTGGTAGGGTCCTGTGATTTAGGCCACCATACCTACCCGCGGAGCCGATTTCACGTTAGCCCCGGCCCGTGATCTAACTCAGGGTTGAGACTTGGCATGAAAACTGCACTCCAGCCTTGAACACACTCAATCCATCCCTATGTCCTCTAGAAACCTCTAGAAACGCTGTACATCCTGTCGCAAAGGCCAATTCGCTCGCAATTGTGAGACTGCGCCAAGTTGCAATACGAGACTGATCTTACGGGCCAGGCGCGAAACATATTCGAATCCTACGATGTGATTCAGTTCGCTGGAATTATCACGCTACACTTGAACCACTTGACTCACTTGCAGGGGCTTCCGTATCAGTTGCCGCTCCTGCAGCGGTTTCCGCCAATCGTGCAAGCGCAAGAGGAAATGATTTCTCGGCGTCGCGAAGCGAAGCAGTGCCTAGAGCGTGCCAACGTAAGGCTTACCTTTTTCGGATCACCGGTTATGGAGACAACTGGGGCCTTCGGGGCTCTAACACGCATTCGCATCAGACGAGACAGGCAAAACTTCGAGCGCGGCACGCCTTGAGAAAACTAATAATACCATAAGGCTAATATGCATTTCCTTCTCTCTCGTCTCTTTGGTTTCGTTCGGACGAACGTCTCTGTTTCCATCTCAAGTCACCTTTAATCGCGTGGTCTTCATCGACTCGCTGTCACTCGCTTTGTGTTCTTTGAGATAACAAACCCGCTAATACTCCCGTCAATAACACGAAACCACACGGTCTTTACAGAAGATGCATTTCTCCAACATTGCTCTTGCGACAATCGCAACGGTCGGACCCCTCGCCAACGCTCACGGCACCGGACTTCCCCAAATCCTTGGCCTAGATGTGGCAGATGAAAGGGCTAGGAGCCTTCTACGTAGCATTGGTGCTCAACTCTCGGAGGCTGGCCATGTGCACGCGGCTCCCGTAGAAGCTCGCCAGAGCACACAGAGCCCGAAGGAATGTGGAGAGGGTATCGGCTCTTGTCCTGCTGGAAAGTGCTGCTCACAAATTGGATACTGCGATACCACTGATGCACACTGCTACTCTCCTGGATGCCAGTACAAGTACGGCCCTGCTTGCGCAGAGAACAATCCACCTGCCGGTACCAACACTTCATCGATCCCCCGTGATAAGGTCGGCTCTGTGGCCTACGGTGGGGAACGGAATCTTTCAGTGCGTAACGCCTGGCACGGTGGCTCTTACATATGACGACGGCCCTCAGACCAAGTACACCGAGCACATTCTCGATCTCATGAAGAGCTACAACGCGAAAGCTACGTTCTTCATGACAGGAGCCAACATCAACAAGGGCCAAATCGACATCAAGTTCGCGGATGTGATCAAGCGTGTAGATTCTGAGGGACATCAGGTCGCTTCTCACACCTGGACTCATCTCGACCTCAGTAAGGTCTCATCACTCGACCGCAAGAACCAGCTTTGGATGAACGAGATGGCTCTCAGGAACGTTCTTGGCAAGATCCCCACGTACATGCGCCCTCCTTACTCCAGCTGCACCAAGGAATCTGGTTGCCAGCAGGATATGGCCGACCTCGGATACCACATCACCAACTTCAAGGTTGACACCGACGACTACAACCAAAACAAGCCTGAGCAGATTCAGCAGTCGAAGGACTGGTTCAAGGGAAACATCACCAAGGCAGGCGCAACCGGGGAGAAGGGCGACAAGTGGCTCACTATCGGCCACGACATTCTCGACCAAACGGCGAACAACCTGACGGAATATATGCTCCAGACCCTCACACAGCTCGGCTACAAGGCCGTCACTGTCGGAGACTGTCTTGGAGACCCGAAGGAGAACTGGTACCGTAAAGCAGATGGCGCCGGCGTTAGCGTCGCCAACAACACCCAGGTAGGCTTCCATAATAACACACTGCACACGTATGCATACTGATGTCTCTCGCAGGGTGGTAGCCAATCTTCATCTCCCAGCGGTGCTTCGTCAAACAGCAACCAAGCCAACGGCAACCCTGCCTCCTCATCCCTGCCAGCCTCAACAGGCACTGGTGCGATGTTGACCACTTCCATGTCGACCATCGCTGTTGTGCTTCTGTTCGCCGTCGCGCTCGCATGAGTTATGTAATTCCAGATGCACGATTACGAGTACTGTTTTAGATACCACGTCGAAAAGACTATCAATAATTCAAAATTAATACGTTGAATGTTCCTGTTCTACCATATAAGCTATCTTGACCTTATTTTACTAAAAATGCTTGTGTTTCCTTTCATCCGTTGGTGTACCAAAGCCTCAGATTGAGTCTTCCAACTTCCACGACACACGCCATATTTGCTTGATTCCGCGCTCTATCCCGCGCTCCCCACTAGTATTTCTTAACAGGCATCATCCAAAAATGGGTTTCGTCTTCGACGGCCAATAGCCCCACAGTAAATACGAGCTGCAGTAGCTGCACACAAGCGCCGTTACTCGTTAGCGGCTCCATCGAGCGCAAAGGGAAATTTGGCGAGATGTCAGGCCACATTGGGTCCAGGTACCACCTACGTCGATACGGCCGTGCTGTAAGGCTAGTAAACAGTGGATATGAGACGAGATGCCGCTCGCTACAAGGCTGGCCGGTGATGGCCGCAAACATGTCATCTCGATTTTCCAACGCCCCCACAAATTCCTTCAAAGCTCGACCCTACGACTCCCTCGAGGCGGAAAGCGCGAAAAGCAAAGAACAACAAATGCCAGCATCGCGACGGCGGCGTTGCATATGAAAACCATGCGTGTTTGCCCAGCTTCTGCGAGTATGGAGTAGATCAGCCCGAAGACTGCGACGGTCGATAGCCGCGCGATGTTTTCTACGAGTGTGATGCCGCTTAGCGCATCGACGCGGTCGCTGCTGGGAAGCATTTGTAGGATCGTGCCTTTGGAAGCTGCGCCGGTACCTGCGGCAAATGGCAGGACGAGCGCGACGATGTACATTTGCCAGCCTCGGGTGACGAACATGGCTGCGCCGGTGAGGAGCGCGTCGGCGAAGACGCTGAAGCGGGCGTAGAAGAGGTCGAATTCGAATGTTTCTTGTTCGTTGCTTGGTGGAGGGTTAGGCGGTTCCTCGTTTTCGAGTGGGTCGGATGTCTCGATCTCGTTTGCCGAGATGGGATGGTCTTGAATTAGAGGCTCTTCTTCTCGCGGTCTGTCTTGCTTCGTGGTGTCGTGTGGTTGGAGCCACTTGCGTCCTCGGGCGATAATCCGTGGGAATACGAGTGAGAGGAATGCGCCCCGGAGCGACGAGTACATGAAGATGAGATATCCGTTGTCTTTGGTACCGAATTGGAACTCAGAGGTGGCGAACTGTTGAAGCAAAACAGCAATATATCCAGTGGCTAAAATTCCGAGAAAGACACCAATACCAAGTGTCAACGCTCCGAATTGCGTGACGGTACGACCATCTGGAAGAATCCACTTCTGTGGCGTGAAAATGCGCAGTGGACCAAAGAAGCGCATGATACCAACCTGGCGTTGAGTTGTCGAATCATCCTTCGCCTCAGGAACACTTGTAGCCGGCAACGTCAAAGCGATGTAAACACAGCACGACAGGAACAGCGCCAAAGTCATATGAAACGGCGCAAGTATCCCAAAGACATCGCCCACAACGCCTCCGATCAAAAACCCGGTGGCCGCTCCAATATACATGCACCCCTGAAGTCTTCCCAGCGCTCCCGTCCTCGCCTCATGCCCAACGACGTCCGCCACAAAAGAGTTCAAACACAAAACATACCCATTCGGCCCGCCAATAATCGTAATAACCTGCGACGCCTGCACAATCGCAATGCCCACGGAGCCCCCATGCGTGACTCCAATAGTTTGAATCAGCAGGCGCACCGCCGGCCAAAAGACCTGGATGATCAGCGCCCGCTTGACTCCCAGTCTCTTGATCGTCCAGCCCGCAACGAGCAGATTCGCGAGACCGAAGATGGTCGTTGAAGCGGCTAGTAGCGCAAATGCACGTGATGCCCCGGCCTCGATTTCGCGCTTGGCGCAGCGGTCGATGGCGTGCGGGTCGGAGGTGTGCGTCTCGTAGTATGCGTCGCAGGTCATTACTCGGAAGACATAGAGGAGCGGGACTTGTGTGATGCCGAAAGTTAGGGATATTAGGAATGCCGACAGAAGCAGCAGATATATTATCGGTTTGCTTGTTTTTCCTTCTCTTTCTTTTCGGTCTGCGCGGGGCAGCAGCGGTGTGGTTTCCTCTGCTGCCACATTATTTTCGTCTTGCTGCGCCATGCTCTATGTCTTGTTGTGAAGACAAGAGATTGAAAAGCTTGATTAAAGATCAGAGTGCATCTGCTCACCGATGGGATGGTGACTAAGATGCAAACTCCGCTTATCGGCGGAGTGGGGCTGAAGCCGGGTTAGGAAGGTAGCTCTTTGACATCTCCATGTTCACGACAAAACTGCAGGATTTTACTGTAGGTCAATAAACTTTTCACTGAGAGCAAAAGACCCTCTTGTATCGTGTTGTGAAAGAAGCGCCCCTTGTGCTGAGTGGTGTCCTTCTCACATGACATGACATCAAGGTCGAAGCCAACTGGATGACGCCATCAGCCATTCGACAGAGACAATCGGTACAAAACTTCAGAAGGGTCTGTCCATTGGAGTGTCTACATATATTCCCACAAAGACCGATACTTCAAGTGGTGCGTTCAGGAGTCTATGCATCATCAGCTCTACAAGGCAGCAACATACAGGGCCTTTGAATATTTCGCGTGAAACTAGGGTTTATATCATATCAAACAGGATCGCAATAGACAGTCATAGAGAATTCATTATCATATCATATCTAGCATTCATTACCATACATAATCTAAACCTCAACCCCAGTCTCTATCCAAATCCCAACCCATGATATCATCGCGTGAAACATCTCCAGAACTCCGCATCAATGCGCCCAGATTATATTCTATACCCAAAACATCCCCACCAAAAACACTACTCCGGACTTCGAATCTCTAATAAAGTGATCTCCGCTTCAGTTTGTTTCTGCAAAACAATTAGTCCTCAAGCCTGTCATAATGAGAAAGATGGAAACTTACGCAGCAGCCCCCCAACTCCGTCGCTTGACCGACCTGGTAGTCAGATCATCTTTACTCTCCGCAGCGGTCTGCGGACGCGGTTCTTCTTTTGCTTCTTGCGCAGGGTAGTACCTCGGCGGGGTACTGACGCGGACATTCGCTGTTCGGAAGCCATTTGGCACTGGGACGGATGGGACGTCGACGAATGGGTCGGCCATGGTCTTTAGACCGGTTGGCGCTGCGGTCTGTGGTCGAACGGATGCGTTGAAGTTCCTGGATGCAAGTGCGGGTCGTTGTTTCGGCGCTTCTATCGCATCTTGTTCCTTAGTTTGCTCCGCCTCTGGGTCCGCATTCTCTTTTTCATCCTTCTTAACCATTCTCTTCATGAAGTCCTTCAATCCGAGGCTGCGTCTTCGGGCGCCGCGGAGTTCGGGAGGTGGTGCAGCGTTGGACATTAAATGCCAGCGGTTGGGCGTGCTTTCGCTTCTGAGGTGTCTCTTTGGCGTTGTTTGAATGCTGCCATTGCGGGTGGCGTCGTTGAAGATGGGGATGGATGGGAGCGCTTCAACTGCTGGGACTTCAGATGAGGTCTTTGGTAGCGGAGGGCTTGCTTCCTGGATGAGTGTTACGCCGCTTGATCGCGCGGAATTGTGCTCTGCTGATGCGACGCGGATACGCGGGCGTTGAATCGCGGCGCGCTCGTGGTCGCGCATTAAGTGCTCTTTAGTGGCTTGTAGCTCAGCCAGATTTTGCTTCAGGCGCTCGATCTCGTCCTGGTCCTGAGTGTGGAAGCTGACGGCAGCATCGACTTCGGCTTGGAGATCCTTGACGTAGTCGTTCTTTCCCGCGATGATTGCCTTGAGATCCTTGATCTCGTCCGCTTTGGCTGCAAGTGTATCACGACTCTGTGAAATAGCGTTAGCACGGTCCATGGCGACACATGAGTGTGAGCCACATACCTCTTTGAGTTCACCTTCCATTCTTTGGAAGTGCACATGATGCACCACGCTTGGACGAGCAGTGCCCAAGTCTTCGCTGACAGCTTTCTCTGTCTGTATTTGCTCTCGAAGCACAGTCGCTTCTTGCTCGGCGTTGAACATTCGGCTGTTCGCATCGCGAAGTCTTTGCTCTAATGCCTGTAGCTCTGCATACAGTCGAAGATTGTCTTGCTGTGTCGAATCGAACATAGCTTCCAGCTCATCTTTATCTTCTTCGATGGTTGGTAGTCGTCCAGTAGGCGATGAGCTACGACGCTGCTGTTCTTCGTACTTAACATTCAGCTCTTGCAGCTTCTCTCGCGTTTGTTCGTGAAGCTTTCGCTCCTCTTTCAGCGATGCCTGCACATTCTTCACAACGTCCCATGCTCTTGCAAGTTCGGCTTGCTGGTTGACGACTTCATCCGCTGCTTTCCTCGTCACAGCCAGTTGCTCGCGTAAGCTGACAATAGTCGCGTCTTTCTTTTCATCGACGCTGGGTGACTCGAAAACTGTTTTATTGTTGTCGGTCTTGACTCGGAGCAGGCGAACTTTCAGTGCGTGGTCGCCCTCATCATTCTGGTCTTCACCAAACTTTGGGTCAGCTTGACGTTCCAAGAAGGCTAGACGCTCCTTGAGCAGCTTTAGTTGCGAGTCCTTCAGTTCCACCGTAGCCTTCTGTTCTTGATGGATCTCCTCGAGCTTTGCGTCGTGTTCCTTGATGTGCTTCTCCTTTTGCTCGTTGCCTTTTCGCAATGCAAAAAGCTCGATGTCCTTTCGGTAAACAATGGCTTGATGATCTCTGGCCATGGTCTGTTTGATATTCTTCATTTCATCACGCAGACTACAATACTCACCAAAGGTTCCGTTCAGTGTCTCGCGTGCCGTTTTAAGCTCTTCTCGGGTCCTCCGTAACAGGAGCTCTTTGGCCTTGTTCGCTGTTTTTAGCTCAATTAGAGCGGTCTGAAGTCGCACGATTCCCTCATTTGCTCCTGTGGCGACTGGTTTAACGTTTGGGATTTCTGATGCCGAATTTGGAAGTGTCGGGGAGCTAGTGTCCTGGGAAGGCACTGTGGCAGGCTTCGATTCGCCCGAAAGGGGCGACGCAGCGCAGCTGAGCTGCACGAGAGTTTCAGCAGCCGACGATGCGCGAAGTCTATGGTCTGACTCGTTGGCGCTTCTAGCGTCCAGGGCGTGCTGGAACATGTCAAATGATACCATGACTAGCGTAGCGACGCCCAACTCTTGAACACCAATGTCCCAATGCGCGAAGCCAACGACAAAGACCAAAAGCAAGAACTCGAAGGTAAATATCCAATATTGAGCTTTCCGAGAGTGCGGAAACTTTCCAAGCAGAAGAAGGAAGACTGTTTGCAGCTTTGATCCAGCTACTACAAGTAGAATTCGGATATGATGGATATCGAGCTCCGCGTATCGCACGCAAATCTTGTATTTTCCGAAGGCGTCAACGATGGAGTAATAAGCGTGGAGCGCTGTTCTCGAGAAACTGTGTTCTGCAATCGAATTCGGTATATCAACTGGTCAGGTGTCAGCGACCATTACACAAAAGTTCCCGACGTCGTTTATGTTGGCGACGCGTCGATCTCAATGCATGAGGCAATTGCTTCAAAACCTCGAAAGGCTACTCCGGCGGATGTTGCGTCTGTATAACCAGGTTGGTGCTGCGACTTACCAGTATTGCACACTGGAGAAAACAAGCTGAATAGTATCTCCGAATCGTTCCTCGAGGTGTTGCTGCTTACGCCTGGCAGAGAATGATGTGCAGATGTGAATCTGAGGCGGGGAAGGGTTGTTATTGTGGTCGACGGATCGACTAAGAGACAAATAACGGGTAGTAGGATGGTCAGGCCTACAACCAGGAACCAAGGGTATCGCTGCGTGCGATCTCGAAACCTGGAAAACGTCGTGGTCATAACGGGGTGGCCCAAGCGTTTGAGATTGTCTGCGAGGTGAGGCCGTGGATCACTGAATCAGCAGATGTTCGAGTTCTGGTTGCGCCGAGGTTGTTCACGTCTTAAGACGTGCTGAAGGCTGGACAAGTGGGGACTCCGAAGAGGAATCGTGAGACTCGTTGTCATTAATGTGAATACAAGATCGCTAACGCCATGCTATATGTGCGAGGTGCAAGATCCAAAAGCAACACTATGCACACCGATGACGCAAAGAGCCAGGAAGACTAACAGCGCGAGCAGAGGAGATGAGAGATTAAGTGCCCGTACAACTTGCCCAGAAAGAAGGTGACCTAACGCCGTGCTCCATGCATCCGAAAGGATATTGTCGCAGAAGTAAAGGAGGGTCTCACAGGGATGCCGACGTGGGCGAACCGCATGCTGGCCCTCTCACACCTGGAAATACTTAAAGCCTTCGACAAGGCCGTCACTGATCTTCGACGGGATCGCCCACACGGGCAGATAATGTTGGACCTCGTCAAATGCAGGGATGTCGCCCGCATTTGCGTCCGACCATAGACAAATTATTCTTCCAGAAGGCTTCGAATTCTCCCTAGGCCATGTCACGCTAACGTTCCAGGGATGGCTCCACTCTCGGTGCCATAGGCGTATTTCCCGGGATCCCGTTTCGCCGACGGCTTTAAAGCGGGGATCTGAAACGGCGCCGGCAACCGTCACATTCGTGACCCCAGAGTGGTGTGAGTCGACCACAATGCGACAGGCTCGCGTGTTCTGACCTGCGACACTGATGGTGGCTTCGTTCGTCTTGTTGCTTGTGGTGATTGAAAAGTCAAGCCACCCATCTGTGTCAGTTTTGTTACTGAAGCGACTGGCCCGGGTCACTACCTGGGCAGGCAATCCTGGCCAAGTGCACGTCATAAGTTCCTTGCGGTTTGCAGCTTCTGGAGTTGTGCAGTTGATCTGCTCGCCCTGTGCGCTGGGCAGATCTGCAACAATGCGCTGGACGTATCCATCGACACCTGTCAAGGATACTCTGTTATTCCCCGTGGCGAGGTCCACCTGCTGGACGAAGTACACTTTCAAGCGATGTTCCCTGTACTTGAGTCAGCAAATGTACTGCGACAAATGAGCTGAGGTCTCGACGTGGCAGCATGACGTGCACCAGGTAGGACTTGTGCCCAACATCCCCACTAGCGAGAATTTCGACGGAGGGTTCTTACCTGCTGAAAGGGAATGCGACGAGATTGTATATGACAGTTGCGACGCAGACGAGGAAGACAAAGGTTGGTACGTGCCAGGTGAACCGATGTATGAAGGGTCCTATTGGTGCTAGCAGAAGCGTCGTTAGCAGCGCGAACGCCAAATAGACGAATAGGCTCGAGTTGCCATCCGCAGGTGTCTGGTGCAGCGCGGATGTCAGAAGTAGGGCGATCTGCCCAACAAGGATGACCACGATCGGCGCCACGAGCAAAAGCTGGAGAAGCCAGAGCCAGCCAGGCAATTTGCCGCTCCAATCTTGTTCGCCGGGATAGGGTTGCTTCAGGTCGAGTTGAACGGGCTCTTCGTCTCGGTTGCCATTTTCATCGTCGATAGAGTCTCGCCGGCCGCTGTGTCGTGCAAAGCTCCGTCGGTCGCCCCGAAGAAGTGAGGTTGTTTCCGTTGCGTCATCGTCCGCGATTGGTGGTTCTTCAGAACGCGCGGCGGTTGTCGTGCCTGTCAGCGGGCGGCTAACGGGCTCGTCTCCCTGGGCAGAGTAGCGGGCGAACGCTGTTTTGGTTGGTGCGAAGAACAGCTCTAGATATGACAAGACAAGTGCGAGGAAAATGCCCGCAAAGTAAAACAGCGCGAAGTAGCCACCAGCAACCTGGTAGTTGTTGGATAGCACGGTGACGAAAGCTAGAAGGGCAAAAGACCCAGCAAATAACCAGATGAGAGCGTACATGCGCTGAAGCGCAGAGGGCCGCATGGCGCTGGCGCCACGGGAGAAGAACCATGCAACGGAGAACCATGCAGAAAGCATCATACTAAAACAATCGTCAGCACTAGTGATAAAAGGGGAGTGAACGACGTACCTCCACACAGCATAAGGGCTGCTGTACAAGATCAGTGGATTCAACCGGACCATAAGGTATGCCAGTCCAACGACCACAGCGGTGGCGATGGAAAAGACGATTGGGAAGCGGAAGAATCCCCTCCAGCCATACAGATGAACAGGATGGTCATCGTCAGATGAGTACATGTATGCTTTTCGTGCAAACAAATAGTTCTTGTCAGCTTTCGACAATCCGAAGGTGAGGCCAATGAGAAATAGAGGTGCAACGACCAGAAGAGTCACGCACAATGCGAACATGGTATGTAGCTGGAAAACGACGAACACCTTGCCGAATAGGTCAAACCAAACTGCATCGGTGCCATGTCCAGTTTTCACTTTGCCGGTATATGGTTCGTGCTCGTCCTCGCTACCGCTGAACTGCTCGCTAGTGTCGGATGCGAGACCTGAAGTCGTGGCGATAGCTGCAGACAACATGTGCCAAACCGAATTGAGCGAAGTCTCGCGTGTCGAATCCTCGACAGTGTGATAACGTGCTCTTGGCTCCATGAAAGCAATGTCTAGGCCGCGTAGTCCTAGCTCCTCGTAGAAGACTTTGTAGTCGGTCTCGCTTCGGATCAAACGCTTCTTGAACCCATCACCGCTTACAACAGATGCAAATGGGTGACTCGAAGCCTTGTAGTAGCGAGTGACTTCAGTATCAGTGCTCCTGAACATGGTGGCCCTTCCGCCTGCTCCAGCACCCTCGAGATTGACGAAAGTATGGGCGATCTGCGAGATTGGGTGGCGCATGAAAGCTTTAGCACCGTTCAGGAAGTCCTCTTCGCCATTGTTCAAAAGCAAGATCACTGTGCGCTTCGGCCAATTCTTCGATTCGGTAAAGTAGGACAAGAGCTGCAACACGGTGACCACGCCAACGCCATCATCAGTCGCTCCATAGCCACTGCTGACGGAATCGTAGTGAGCATTAACAAGCACACCGCCATTATCCAATCGTCGCTCTCCTGGTGGGGAGCTCTGTGGTGAGTGGTATGGCTCATCGTCTTCAGATCCGCGGATGGCCACAATAATGTTGGTGCCCTCAAAGTAGACGGTCGTGCTGCCAGATGAGAATGTAGCGTTGGACTCGTTGTCATCTATTAGTTCAACCTGATCACCTCCAAGCTTTTTCGATGCGATAATGCTTTTGACGCGCGTGAGAAGATAGTCTCGGACGTCATCATTTGCGTGACTGTTGTATGGATGAAATCGCCTAGTGATCTTCTCCAAGTCGCTCCAGGCCTGCGTCAAATTCACCCCATCTGGTGTCTTGGATGGGTAATCGGGTACCCGCAGATGAACCGTTAGCAGGGCAGCAAAGAGAGCGATGTACACTGCACATGTGAAGAAAATGACTGGGCCTGGGGTGAAAGAAAGAGGATTTAGGCGAGCCATGATTGAGTTGCTCTCGTGGAGCCACGTAGGTAAAGCTCAATAAGCTCCCTAGAAGTGACGCGCAAGGACTGGTGATGGAGCGAACGGTGGTTGGAGGTCGGTGACGACGCGGGGTGTGTCGTGCATGTGCAGGTGCGGTCATAGCTCCTTGCAGGTCCGCGTCCAGCCGAGGCAGGCGCGAAGAGCCCACAACAACAACACCACACGACTATTGGGTGTCGCCCTCTTGGTGAAGTGTGATATGTCTGCAAATGATGCGCGACTATGGCTGATGAATTGAACTTATGAACTCCCAGATGGCAGAGACGGACTCCACTCATACTTCGACATATGAGGACGAAGCGACAAACACGCAGCATGGCGTACCACAGCCACCTCCACTCCCTGTGCTTACAAACGCCCCAAAAGCATTCCCGGGCTGCTGTCTTGCCCTCAGTGCGCCTCTGATCGAATACATTCACTCGCTTCTTCCGCCGGCCCCTGCGCTTACCCTCTCAATCGGCAGCGGCTTTGGCCTACTCGAAGCCCATGTCCTCGCAGTATCACAACCACCGCGTCTACTTGGTGTAGAGGTGGAGAAGAGTCCGAATCAATACCTTCCAGCGGCGAACCACCGTCTAGTTCATGGGACGCGCTTTTTGGAGCCGCTTGCTGCAGAAGCCGCGACATGGCTGTTCGTGTATCCACGACGCGTTGGCTTGGTCAACGAGTACCTTCATGAATATGGTCAAGGCATAGTAGAGACAATCATTTGGATTGGCCCACAAGCCGATTGGGCTGACTACATTCAGTGCTTCGCACGTTGGGATGTCCAGATACACAATGCAGATGAGGTGGGTGGAAGAGCATGGGACACAATCGCAGTAGTAAAGAAACTTTAGCAGGGCTGTGCTCCGGAAGACGGCCTAGCATAGCGAAAACCATATTTAGACTTATGTGAGTCCTGAAATATGGCATAGATGAGATCAACACCGCTCGTAGTCGCCCAGAGTCCGGTTGGCGTGAAGGGCCATGATGCGGGACACCCGAAAACACGCTGTTTGTTTCTTTTTTTAATACTCCTTCTCTTAGTCTCACAATTTTGAGTGGTCCACTTGCCTCAGTGTGTCTTTTCATCTCACAACGTTGCGTCATTCACCGCGGAAGTGCGAAACACGGCGTTCCCCTAGGTGCAAACAATAGCATTGCGGAGTTGCGAGAAGCTTAAGACAGGTTTTCTTCCATGAGCATCAACTCGTCTAACAGAAAGCGAACAATGAGTTCGTTCTCCGCTTTTTTCTCATTGTCTCATTCAACGAGACCTGTCTGGAGCACGGTTATCACAGACTACTTAGAATCAATTCGCACACCGTTCACTCTCACCTCACCGAGACCCGCAAGCAATTTCGCACGCTACAACAACCAAAATTCTACCAACTGCTCAGAACAACGCAACTCAATAGATTAAAACACTCCTCCCGAATTGCTACCATGGCAAATTCCACGGCAGAGATTTCCGTCAGTCCTGCTACAGGGTTGGCACTGTACGGGCTTTTCGAGCTTTTCCTGCGGCAACCAAATGCTGCAGTTGCAGTCTATGCATTCGTTGCTATTACGCAAATCGCGCCCACAGCATTTGCCGGCCTACGATGCCGCAGCTGCAATGGTCGGAAACTACTTCCCAGGAGCCCCATGCAGATGATCCTAGTCAGGCTTCAAAGTCCTCTGGAGACGACAACGGCGCGCAACACAATCCCCGAAATCCCAGCTCACCTGAACGCAGTCAGGCTTCTCAGTCCTTTGCAGACTACACCACCCTGAAGTACGATCAATATCGAAAGCTGGTCGCTCTGTCAAAGGCCAACGCGTGGCTAATCGGCCCGCTTACCTGGATTCCTTTGATCCTTTTCTTCATTCATGGCAACTACATACAAGCACATGCACTTCGTCAACGCTACTTCAAACTCATCTTGGGCTTCGCATACGCAGCTGTGGTCGCCTACCTTGCAGCCTCGGACAGGCCTTGGGAGCCTCTCTACATGCTCATAATCTATTGGCGCTTCGAGTTCACCGGGAAATATGCGCAAGCTTTAATAACTGGCTGGTCTTGGATAGAATGGTACACCAATCACATGCAAGAAACGAGTCATAACCAGTGCAATCATCGCAATACTCATACAGACGCCGCTTCTCGTCGTGGTCATCAGCACTGCTCTTGGGGACTTCATGTGCCACTGCATCCGAGACCCCACTTACATGCGCGCTCGTATCGCGAATGCAACCTTCAACGCCATCCGACTTCCCCACTCGCTCTGTCTCATGATACTCCAGATTTGGCTGCATGTCAATGGACTCGCCGAGCATTTCATCAATCGTTGGAGCCTGGTGGAAAATATTCTCATCTGGATCAACACGGCAATCGGCTTTGGGGGCATATTCTATGCCCCGGACGCTTTCGTCTCTCTTGTTATTCAGTCTCTCATCTTTGTCGGCAGTCTACGCTATTTGTACAAGGAACGCGTCGCGCGCTACATGACCATGCTCCGAAACGCGACTTCTCGCTCCATCGCCTCGGCCGTGCATGCGATCGCCGCATTCATCGACAGCGTGAAGGGATGGCTTATCTTCTATGCCTTCATTGTTTATAGTATCAAGGTGCCTGTAGCATTAAACTTGATACCACGAAACCACTACTCCGTCACACATCTATGGAACTCAATCCTGACCTTCCGTTGGCCCCAAGTCAATGACCTGATCACAAATGAGGAACCCTGCGAAACCAGTGGTCTCAGGTCAAACTCGCAGTTTCGATATCACTCGCCAGCTTTCTCGACATGCGCCACGATGCCAAAGCTTGCTTCGACTATGTCTACAGTTATATGAGCTGGGTGTCCCCCTCCCCTCGCGAGTCCTGGGAAGCCATCTGTTCTTATACCCTCTATCCTGTTGCCAGTGTCTTTGGGTGGGTATGGGCTATGATCAAGACATCGTCTACGCAGTACATTACTGAAGCCTCCGCGTACTACGGCGGATTCGCCAGTCCTGGCGAAAGCTTGAAATTCGCTGCAAACCAAAGCATAAATGCCTCCTCCAATGCGCTCTCCGAAGACTTGCGGAGCGCCCCGTCTCAAAGCAATTTCGCATTTTTCTCCGCACTCTCTACTTACTCCAAAAAATTGTTGAACTGCCTCGCTACGATAATCGGGTATGCCTCTCAGATTTTCGAGATTGTGTTCCATGCAAACTCTTGCCCCAGGAACACTACCAGCGAATTGTTCTGGAGCAAAACTTTTGTGATCATGAGTACAGCCATCGTTACATGTGCCTGTGTTGCACAGTACAAGCTTTATGCTCATCCCACTGGTCAACGGTTTATCATAGTCTACTATCTCACGGTGGGCCTTGGATATCTGTACACGCTTGAATGCACCCAGGACGTCAAGGCTGCCGTGTGCACAGTACTTATCGTGTCTCCGCTGCCCTGTTTCATGTTCAGCCCCGACCTAATCATGGATTCCGTGCGCCGTGGACTCCATGGCATTATAGGATTTTCCTATGCCATATATGCCACGGTGGATGCAGCCTGCACGAAGGTCATGGATGCTGTTGTGGGTGGGAATGGCGATAATGATTGGACTGGTGACCCCCAGCTCCCTGCTGTCTGGTTTCCTACCAATCTTGACACCTGGGCTACCGATTCCGATGATTCGAGTGACGAAGAGGACCTTCTTGCGCCATCAAGTGTACCATCATCAGTCCTAGCGCCGGCCACTGTTGCTGTCGAAGAGCAGAAGCCGGTCGACCGCACTCCAGTGGCACAAAACTCTTCAGCGCAGAAGAGCAAGACTACCGCTGTGCGAGTTAACAAAGTAAGATATGTACGTAAACACAAAGATCAAAGGAAACAAAAGAGTCTGGAGCGAGCAAGCGCTGCTACCAACGCCCTAGTCAAGGCGTCTCGCGAATTCGGCCCAAGGGCCTGTTTTCAACGAATCTGTCGAATCTTCCTCATCAATTCCTGATGAGACTACCAAAAACACCACTACTTCTTCGCCGGATGCAGTGGAGGCTGAGATTCTGGAACAGCCTTCTAGCCAGCTTGAAGTACCTACTCGAGAGCATCCTGCTACCAACGGTTTGATCGCGAAGTCTTCGGGGTCCGCCTTAGGACCTGTCGCTGACGAAACAATCGATCCTTCTTTAGCACTTCCTGTCAGGACTGCCGAGTTCATCACTGATTCTTTGCCTACTGAGGTTGAAACCGTGCTTCTAGCACAGCCTTCCGATCAATCTGACATAGAGGGTATCGAAGACGCCCCTCCTGAGTCGACCACCCAAGTCAAGCCCGTAGTCAACACCAACATAGACAGCAACATGAACGACGCTCCTGAAGCCGCTGCAATCAAGATGAACAGTACCCCAGCTCTAGCCCCAGCATCGCAAACTCCTGGCAACGACTTCAATCTAGGTGCTGAGAGCTTCGCTGCTGCGGGCACATTGAATACCAACACGGATGACCCTCCAGAGTCAGACATCTCCTCTCTCGACTCTGACGACCTCCAGGACACAGCAGAAGGCGAGAGAATGTTGGCAGCTGCGTATGCGGCAAGAGATGCAGCTGCAGCAACAGCATCACCTCTCAGCCTTTCCGTGGAGATCCTCGAGGACTCGGACTCGGATCTGAGCGATCCACCGGACAAATATCAGTGATGAAGATGAGCCAGCTGCATCTGAGCCGAATCCAAAATGGAGACTAGGTGAGAGGACGCCCTCATTGGGGCGGCGGTGCACACAATCCCCCAAACGAAGATGACGAGTGGGATGGAACGGCCGCCAAGCAGGATCCAGTTCCGTCAAACAGGGTGTTCAAGCCGCTGAAGAAGAACTGCGTAACCCCGACTTCAGCCACGTCTGGAGACGCTCCCACTGCCCCTGCAGCGCCCGCTCCAAGAGTATTCAAACAATCATCACCATAGAGGCATCACTTGCAAAAAAAGCCCAGCTTTCAGGTGTAGAAAAAAACAATTTTCAATTCAATGACGCATTTGAAAAAGTATTTACCAAGAATTAATCTGTGGCTGAGACATACATCAGTTCCAACCAACCAAGACCACTTCCTTCTCCAACTTAGAACCATAACTCATCCATTCATAAAGTGTGTCTACAAGTTGGCAGCAACAAAGCTCGCAAGGCTGCTCTGGCCCAAGTTGGAGTAGACACCAGGCGCACCCGCAGACGCGCAACCCTCACCCCAAGAAACCACACCAACCTGCACGCGCGAAGAGGTGTTGATGATGGGGCCGCCAGAGTCACCCTGGCACGAGTCCTTTCCACCCTGGGACAGGCCAGCGCAGAACATGGCCGTCGTGATGCGTCCGCTGCCGTAGTTGGAGTTGCAAGTGGAGCGGCTGATGACGGGCACGTCGACCTTGAGGAGGTTGACGGGCAGGGACTGGCCGCCGGAGCTGGTGGTGCCCCAGCCGGCGACGGTGAGGCCGGTGCCAGCGGCAGGGTCGGAGCCAGAAGAGGCGAGCTTGGCGTAGCTGATGGTGGAGCTGGTGGGGATGGAGGTGGCGAGCTTCATGATGGCAACGTCGTTGTTGTAGGTGCCGGCGGCGTACGAGGGGTTGACTTTGATGGAGGACACCTTGACGACGGTTCCGCCGGAGGTACGGCTCTGGGAAGGGGTGTTAGTGGGAAGTTGGATGAGATGGTGAAATATGGCATGTCTTACGAGAGAGCCAGCGCGGATCTGAAGGCTGGAAGCAGTCTGTCCGACAGCGCAGTGAGCGGCGGTCAGGACGGTGTTGGCGTTCAGCAGCGAACCACCGCAGAAGTGGCTTCCGCCCTGCTGGATGGAGACGATGAAGGGGAAGTCGCCAGCGCTGGCGGTGGTTCCGCCAACGATGGGGTCCTCGGGGAACTCGCCCTCAGGGAACTCAGGGTCCTGGGGGATAGCCGCAGCGCTGATGAGAGCGGGAGCCGCGAGGGCAATGAGGACGTCTGTGAAGTGCATCTTGAATGAGGCTGAGGGTAGGTCTGAAGCTGGCTGGCTGGAAGGTGTCTGTAGCCGTAGAAGTGTGTAGTGAAGGACTGGTTTGCAAAGAGAGGGTTGCAGGTTCACCGTGGATATTTGTACTTCAGTTGCGTCGCTACAGTGGTGTATGGCTTCATCTGATGTCCATCAACCTTCCTGTCCTGTCGTCGTAGATGCTCGAAGGTCATTAGGCCAGGGGACGATCAGGTCCTTCCAGATAGGGTCTAATCACGTCTGGGCAGAGAAGTGATTGGAGCTGCTAAAGTTACAAGTACCTTCTTTGGCTTAGTGGGGACATGTAGGTCCATGTTGTGCCTTGCCTCCGATGAAGTGGTACTTATCTGCCGTCGCTTAAGCGCGCTCTAGGGTAGCCTGTGACAGTGCCAAAGAGGAAGTTGGCGAAGTGGATCGTCTAGTTCCCGTGTAGTCCTTAATGCCACGGCCGATATTAGGAGACTTTTCGGCGCTATGCTAAGCGTAGTGCAGAACTGTTTCGTTGCCGACCTCTTTCACGCAGCCACGAGTAATTCCCGCGCCGCGTCTTCTGCCTTGTGAGGCCTGGTGGCGAGGTCTCGCGAGTGTAATCAGACGTGTTAGATCTGCTTTCGGGCGCCGTGCAGTGTAGAAGGCCTGTGTAGATCTATGTAGGCGCGGCCATTCCCGGACATATCTGCAAAGTTTCGCGGGCAAAGCAGCCGAAGACGGCCACGCCGTATAGTAGACTGCATAATCATGCTAGAACACTGTCGATCAAGAGCGATAACATGGTTGACGTCCATGAGCAAACCGTGGTACAAATCATGAAACAGGCAGACCTGCCATACTCGGAGTAGGCGATCGGACGTGGGGTCAATGATCTTCACGCTGCCTTCTTGGCAAGAGAATACCAAGCTTTTCTTATATTGCAGTAACAGGAGACAAGATACGCCTCGGCGCGTGGTTGGTGTAGGAGACGTGACGTGATGCGACTTAGCGAGCGGGTCAGCGCCCAGAAAGGCAGTTGCACGTAGACATTGGTGCTTGGCATCAGCGTAGCGTAGTCAATCAAGCCCCGGGGCCATGGTGGCGATCATGCCCAGTGGAGGCGGGATCTTCAAAACACCACAGGCGGGCTGGCTTGGACACTTCAAGTGCAGCCGCTCGCATTGGACAGCTACTGGAATGAGGCAGGAATAGGGAGGAGGCAAGTCCTGTGGTCTATCACGTGCTGGCGTTTCATTCGAACGAGATGGTCGGAGTTGTCCGGATGCCTCCTCAGACGGTCCTTTTGCTTCTTTGCAGGTGCCACTTTGCATCGCATCGCGCGATCAGGCGTGCAGGAGACGGAAACACCGTCCGCAAATTCACCCGTCGACATGAGCCAATCAAATTTCGGCAGCCGTTGAACCTCTCTTGGTGTTGCGTACATGAGCGGATAAATCCAGGGGCATATGCCGATTTACCGCCTCAACACCTAGCGAATGTTGCGGTTGGCTGTGTTGCACAGGGAAAAGCAGTTGCACAGGGAAAAGCAGTTGCACAACACGCGTTCTGCATAACGAAGGCATAACTAGGTATCCTGGTATTTCCAGGCCGCCTCAGTGAAACGTCTTCGGCATGTACCCGTGATAAGTTCCTTGATGGGCCGCATCGTGCGACTGAGGCTGCGAATATGGCATGGTAATTGCCGTCTGTTCATATAGCTGCTGACATATTGCCTATTTCTCAAATATCTTGCATCACCCATCTTGAGACAAAACGTCATGGTCGCCTCGGAACTCTCGTTGCGAAGTGAATGAGGTCAAGTTCGGTGACTCCTTCTTCCCAGCAGGAGTGCACTATGGGATCATTGTCAACATGCAATCCGTGACGTCGCTGTGTACTCAAGCTCCAGGACTCCCTTCCAATTACTGTCTCCTATAGGAGCTTTGCAGCCAATGTACGCATGGCCACCTATGTCCTGACCCCAAAGTTGGTGCCTAGCGTCTGCCACCACCTACCTATAAGACCAGCCCACTCAAACCCAACCATATACACAATCCCCTCAATGCATTTCCCCCGTTCCATCATATCTACTCTCCTCGCTTCCATCCCCCTCGCCACAATGCACACTCTCCCCACCCCCTTCACAATCGAAATCAACGGCCTCCCCATCGCACCGCCCACCGCAGGCGCAGACTCACCGCCCCAAGCTACTCTCGGCACCGCAGACAATGCAGCGAAGTTCAGTTTGAAAGACGGCGTGCTGGAGTGCGAGGGATGGATGCTGGGACGCAATAAGACAGAGGATAGGAGTTTGTTGCCGAAAAAGGTGGCGTGGTTTAGGGTTGGGGAGACGGAGAGGGAGCAGGTGCATCCTGTGGCTGTGGAGAAGAGTGGAGATGGAGAGGAGTATAAACCGATGTTTCATGGTACGTGTATGGGAAGGTGATGAAGGGGATGTTGTGTTGCATGCTGATATATGTAGGCGCGCATTTGCAGGAACAAGATGGCAGCGTGTTTGCGAATCTCATGGAAGGCGAGCACTCAGATCCATGTGTCATGAAGCATGATGCTAACGGCGAAAGTAGAAACGGCAACAGTGCAGGTGAAGATGCAATCGTAGAAGCATTTAGACGTGTTCGCGAAATAAAGCAGATTGCGGACATGATTTCCACGTGAAGACATGATGACTCGCTTAGGGGCCAGAGCCGGAAAGCGCATCCATGTGCCCCATGCCGAGGCTTATCAGCCTTACGCGACGAGGGCGACGGCTCCGCATCTTCATCGCATCATGCATGCCGTCTTCTCGTCCCATCTATGCTTGTTGATGTCGTAGGGTGAATCTTTCCCGTCGCGCGACTCGAATACTATAATTGCCTACCGCCACTTTGTTGCATGAGGCACCTACAAGCAGGAGCGCGTAATCTACGCTCGTGATGTCAGACTCCGTGGGTACGTCGGTGGTGGGGAAGAACTACAACGATGAAGGACATTGACTGATACAATGCCGATGCAGATCGAGTCTTCAGCCATGCGCTCAACACGGTCAACAAAATCCGCACCGGCTCGCAGAAGCCGCCGTCGGCGACGCGATTACGCCTCTATGGCCTCTACAAGCAGGCAATGGGTACGCGCTACCCGCCCCAACACCCCCCAGAAGCAGCGGCTGATGCATGGCAGAGGGCGATGTGGACGGCATCATGGAGCGCCCCAGCGGCTCCAGCGAGCAAGACGTGCGCGCAAGGGAGAAGTGGTAAGTCTGCGCACGCGACATGGCCCATCCCAGCAGGGAAATTGACATGTGAAGGGATGCTTGGAAACAGCAAAATGGGCTGTCGCGCACAGAGGCCAAGCGCAGATACATAACAACACTCATCGACACGATGCACAAGTTTGCTTCGCCGTCGCCGGATAGTCGCGAACTTGTTGCTGAACTCGAGTTTGTTTGGGACCAGGTCAAGTCCAACGTTCCTTCCTCGTCGTCGTCTTCACCTATGCAGACGCTCAGCCAGATGGGGATGCACATGCCGCCAAGCCACTCTTATATGGGGGAGAGTAGGCGGGATCACAGGAGACCGCAAGAGGAGGACGAAGATGGCCCGTTGCAGATCAAAAGCCCCATGTCACAGAGCGAGGAAGAGCTGGAAGAAGAAGAAGCCGAAATCGACGGCGAGGAATTCGTCGACGCCCCGGACTCCCAGTACAACCCGAACGACGATGCGGAAGTGGAAGTAGACGTCGGCGTCCAAACAGACCCCAAACTCACACAGCTCAACCCCATGCCCATCGACACCCCCACGCCCGCCGCACGCATGCGCTCCATACTCCCACAGTCCATACCGATGCCCAACTTCACCTCCACCCCCGCTCCAGCAAAGCCCGGCCCCCTCCCCGAGTCCGCCGCCGACAAAAAATGGCGCGCCCGCGTCGAGCTCGCACTGCAGAAAATGACCGCCGAGGTCGCCGCCCTGCGCGAGCAACTCGAAGCGCGGCGCCTGTTCTCACATTCACCGCACTACCGCCTGATACGGGGGATATGGCGGTGGGTGTGGGCCGCGCTGAAGCATGTTGCCGTCGATGTGTTCATACTGGGCATTGTACTGCTGTACATGCGCAGGAAGAAGGATACGCGATTGGAGGGGGCGATCAGGGTGCTTTTGGGGGATGCAGTGGCGCAGGTACAGAAGGTTGGGGGGAGACAGTTGGGGAAGGTTAAGTTGCCGGGGTTGGGGAAGAAGGCGGGGACGTAGAAGGGTGGTGGTGGGAGTTGTGATGAAGACTTATTATGACCTCAAGACAGAAACGGCAAGAGCAAGGGAAGGGTACGCCCTGGACTAGTGCTGTACCCTCACGCTATTTGGGCTTCCACTCGACTTCCTAGGTACCTGCAGTTCGCTCCACCGTCACCATCACCATCTCGCCGCACTACGGGCGGAAGCTCTTCTCTTCAGTCTGAGCCGTTCATTGCTCGGCCCTGCTCAGATCTGGTGCACACCGAGACCTAAAGTGGATGCGTCAACAAAGACTGTTGTCGCACCACAATGGTTAGGACCCATACTTCACAATGTTTGGACATTCACACCTCGCAACTAAAAGCGATACGTCATTCACGGCTTGTAGCCTGAGACTGTTTCACTCCACCGTCGGTATGGCCGCACCATAGGCGGAAGCCTAGGTTCGCAGCCTATGTGCAATCACTGCTCCGTCCCTCCCTGGAATACAAAATCCATACACTTTTCGACTTTGCCATACTCACCACACACACCACAACCAAAGCCGACTCGCCGAACAACCTCTCAACCACATCCAATTTCAAACACCAGAGTCAGTCTAACAAACACAGCTCACCCGACATAAGAGCATGCCAATCCAAGACGCTATTCCGCTAGGCGGCACTGGTGAAGTGTTGGCAGCCAAGACGGAATCCGCTATCAAGGCCACGCGTGATACTGCAGCTAAGATTGCCACTAGCGCAGCTGGCATCGCCAAGGTGGTTCGTGAGATTCCTATCACTATCACTACCTACGAGCTTGAGAAGGATTCGATCAAGGACGTGAAGGGTGACGGCGGTATTTCCTCCGTTCTGCCTCCGAACAAGGCGACTTCGGTCCGCGGATATCAGTCTCACTCGCGCATGCTTGGACCGCTTTTGGCAGCTTTCGTCCTCATGGCATATGTGTCTCTCACGTCACTCATCGATTTCCGCGTCTCCGGCAGTCAATATGGGATTCTCGTCGCCCTCTTCCTGATCATGGGAGAGTCCATTCTGCCCAAGACTCTTGCTAATGTCAGCCCGACTCGTCCCGCGGATGATGTGGCTTATTTCAGCATGGGTTGGCTTTCCTGGACTTTTTCGGCCATTGTCACCGCCGTCTCAGGCAACGCCGAGCTTCTCCCCAAGCCTGAGGTGAGTTGCAAAGTCCTCAACCTGAACTCTGCTCAGGGTCGCGCCAACGACTCCTTCCTGCTATCCCGCATCCTTCATGACCTTGAATTAAAGCATGCACCGAAGACAGGCGGCCTGGCCATTGAGGTTCTCGATGCTTTAGATCTGGACCAGACTCTCAAGACCACCGACATAGGCACTCAGGTTGTCATGTGTGCCCAGGTTTCACTCATGTTATGCGCTATGTTCTGGCACAACAATTGGCAGGTCCTCTTTCTCAGCATTATTGGCGGCCTCTTTATTGACGCCATCGCCAAGATGCCAGCCTGGCTGGCGCAGACCTTTTCTGCTCGCCGCGACAACGGGAAGAACGCGACGTACGCACTGATGCGCGGCAACGGCCACAACCACGTCTTCATCATTCGCAACACGCACGCGAACACCTACAACCTGGAGGACCTTGCAGGCGCGGCGATCACACGGTACGATTACACCTCTTCCCTCGAGCTTTTCGTCCTAGGCAGCGCACTAGTCGGTTTCTTCTGGCTGGCCGCTGCATCTATGACTCTCTCCACTCCAGCCACCATGTACCTCCTCGCCATCATGGGCGTCGGCACCATCGGCAACATCCGAACCGTCGCCCTGCCTCGTCCTTCCGCAGCCCACGGCATCCCGCTGAAGACTGTAGACGTCATCACCGGCACCAAGGTCTTGGGCGCTATCCAGGCACTGGAGCAGAAGTACGAGGGCTGCGGCGAGCCGCTGCTCAAGGAGTTCTTCCCGGGCGGTGTGAAGGATCAGGACCAGGCGTGGTTCGATGATCTCAAGAAGAGCCGCAAGTGCAAGGTTGAAGTTGTGGAGGAGGCGGACGAGTTGAGCGAGACCATGTTGTAGAGCCCTGTTCATGGGTACACGACTTGGTGGAATAGCGTTTGATAGAGATGTGACTGGCAGCTTGTGTGATGGCTGTTGGTATGAATAATGCAGATTTACTCACGGACACGGACACTATAATGTGTATTAATAACATAATGAAGAAACACCTTCACATTCTGCATCCATTTCATGAGACTTGCGACAGTGCATACCTTCCCCCCACTAGAACCACATCCTTCCCCGGTATCTCAGTGTATGCAATTGATAATACGCAAGTTCCAGCATGAGTACAGTTGTGATGAATCCGTATCCATCCCTCGAGCTCCAACACATTTCACCACACAGACCCGCTCCACCCTCTACACCCATACTCCCCCGCCGTCCCGCAATATTCACCACCGCCCGTCCGCAAGATTCGCATCATCCACCGCGCCCAGCCGCAGAATACCACGTCCTGGAACCCGCTGTGCAACATGATACATCAGCGTGCCACACGTTTGACGAAAGTAATTCGTCGTCAGACCACCACTAGAGATAGGGTTTGGTCTGAGCGTTGCAGACGTGTGTGAGGTATGAATTGTACTATGAAGAGCGGATGTAAACATTGAGCCAATGATTTTTCGGCTGTCGGTGTACCGGTAGAGGGGTGTACCAGGCCCGGGGGCACTTGTTGGGCTAGATGCCACATGTCAGTGGGTGAATTGTTGCGATGATGTGCGGAGAGTAGAGATAGTAGGGCTTCATCTGTCTTCGCGGTATGTTCCGGAGGGAGATGGAGGGATGATACACGCCCTGTTCGCATGGGCTGGTGCTAGGTGGTCTTGCAGGCGTGAGTCACGCGCTAGAGAACTTGAAAGCGGGAAAAATCATCGCGGTGAAGTATGATTTCAGCGAACCTGATACAGAAGGCGCTAGACGGGCTTGAAGATGTAGTCGAACTGTTAGATGGGGATATCTCACATTCTCACCAAGCAAACCGCGCGATTCCCCCTTTCCACCCCGTCCACAACACCACACCCCCATCGGTCTCATCATCAATGAATTTCACCGTGCGAATCCTCTCACACCCATCCCGCCCTCCCTTACGCAACGGCCTTCTCTCTCTCTCAAACTCCTTCACAATCTTGCCCGTCCACAAGTTACTCACCCGCACCGCGATCTTCGAATCCGAATTCTGCGCCGCAGCCACCAGGCCTAGTCGAGGATGGACGTCGAAGTCCAGCTCGAGATCATCGAGGTTGGAGTGCGGGATGGTGAGGATAGGATTGGACCAGTGCCTTTGCGCGACGCGGGTCATTTTGCGGCGTTTTGAGCTGTTTCGACCGCCGGGGTAGAGGGTTTCCATGTACTCTTGATTGTAGTGCGCGTTCGAACCTGCGGTTTTAGTGCGTTGGAGAAAGCGGATGTCATATAGGAACAAGCTCTCTTGAAGGCCGGAGACGAGGAGGCGGGTTGGGTCGTCGGCGCGCTTGATTTTGGCGATGGGGTGCGGGTGCGTGAGGATGTGGCTTGAGCCGCCGGAGCGGGCGTCGTAGAGGCGGATTTTGCCGTCGCGACAGCCGAGGGCGGTCGTGGTGTAGGAGATCCAGTCCACGGCTAGGACGTCTGTTTCGAGGGATGACACTGGGGTTGTTGAGGCCCAGGACCCGCTTTGGGAACGTGTGAAGATTAGCATGGAATTTGATGCTGCGACGGCGAGGTGCTCGACGTGTGAGGCTGCTATGGTGTTGGTTAAGCTTGGAGAGTGCTCGAAGGATGTCGGTCGCGCTGCAGCACCCCAGATTGTTGCGCAGCCTTTTGGTGTGAATTGCTGACCGACGTAAGGCCCATCTCTTTCTGGATCGCTCAGATATACTACTGGGGGTCTATCAGAGCCATAGGTAGTCGTAGCTAGGGCACCAGTTGCTGGTAGATAGTTGAGTGACGAGACCGTAGATGTGGTTCGCTGAAGTTCGTCCCAGGGTTCGAATGAGTACTCATTGATGGGAAGATCCTCAAGATAGCCGTCGTCTTCAAGATCACGGCTAGGCAAAGGTGGTCCATCTTTTCTATGTACCCGTCGTCGCTTTATGCGGTTGTCGCCCTCCACTATGTACAAAGTTTTCGAAATCGGATCGCGGTCGAAGCAACGTATGAGAGTATGCTGGGGTCCTTCGACAATAACCTTTGGTCGCGTGGACACGCCATACATACAAGCATCGGGCCATGTGCTCTGCACGTAGAATGAACGTCTCCGGATGCCAAGCTCCCGCTCGAGACAGGCTTGCGTGATGTTGTCGACGTCGGTCCGGACCACTCGTTCTTTCCTTGCTCTTTGAATACGCGCGCTTGTGGCATTCTGCACACGCTCATCGCGCTCTTTCTTCCGGATGTTCTGGGCGGAGTACTTCAGGTTAAGGTCTCGTGATGCCGCCGCGCTCTGGATCTTGAAGTACTTTTTCTTTTCTGGGTCCCAGTAGAAGCCAGGGATAGGTTGGCCGTTCATGGTGCGTTACAGGATGAAAAGTTTGCTGAGCGAATCTTGTCCTTCGATCTGCTCCAGTTATGTAATGGTGAGCTGCAGCTGAAGTGAGCAACTAGTTCCATTTCATGTCGTGTACTGAAAAGGTGCTAGTGTGTATGCAGTGAGGTCGAGACGTGCAAAGACAAAAGTTGCGCGAGTCAGGGCCCAGTCTCCAAAAAGGTGCTTAGCGGGGACGCGAGTAAGGGTCCGAGGTATGACGCCACTCCCACTTGTCCAGAACATCACTCTGACAGATGCGCCGGTCATGTCTTTGCCTCCGACATATCTGAACTCTTCTTCTCTGTTTCTCTTCCAATACCTCCCGGATTGAGTTTCAAGGCCCATGCTTCGACTTTCTGCATTTGGCCGACCCAAAGCAGTTTCGACATCATTGGTTGCGACACCATTCCGTACTTTGTACACGCCGTCGATGCGACTTAACCAAGTCATGGCGCATCTTGATACTCCCCACGCCTCGAACGGTAGCGGCGAGCGACATACCCTCCGGTCTATTCCAAAGTCGAATGTCTTCACACAGAACCTCCCCGCAGACGACGCATTCCCCACACCGAAAGAGTCCCACGATTCGCCGCGACAGAAACTTGGGCCACGCATGGTCAAGGATGCATTATACACATACGTTCGGCCGGACCCACAAGGCGAAGCTGAGCTGCTAGCGGTCAGTCAGCGTGCGCTGCAGGATCTCGGGCTAAGTGAAGAGGAGGCAAAGAGTGACGAGTTCAAAGAAGTCGTCTCAGGCAAGAAAATATTGACATGGGACGAGTCGAAGCCAGACGAAGGAATATATCCTTGGGCGCAGTGCTATGGAGGCTACCAGTTTGGTCAGTGGGCAGGTCAATTGGGTGATGGCCGTGCCATCTCTCTCTTCGAGACGACGAACCCATCTACCAAGACTCGCTACGAGATTCAATTGAAGGGTGCGGGAAGGACACCATACTCGCGATTTGCCGACGGACGAGCAGTGTTACGCTCTTCGATCCGAGAATTCGTCGTCTCGGAGTACCTCAATGCCATCAACATCCCCACCACACGAGCGCTGTCTCTCACACTAAACAACGGGTCAAAGATTATGCGAGAGCGCATCGAACCAGGTGCCATCGTAGCACGCTTCGCCCAATCCTGGATACGCTTCGGCACATTCGACCTCCAACGCATGCGCGGCGACCGCAACACCCTCCGCACCATTGCCGACTACACAGCAGAGCACGTCTATGGCGGGTGGGACAAGCTCCCCTCAAAACTCCTGCCTGGCGATGCAAAGGAAGTCCACTCCAAGACAACCACCGGCATCGCAAAAGAGACCCTCGAAGGCGAAGGCACCGACTCCGAAAACCGCTACGCCCGCCTCTACCGTGCCATTCTGCGCGCCAACGCTCTGACTGTCGCTAAATGGCAGGCTTACGGCTTCATGAACGGCGTGCTGAACACAGACAATACTTCCATCCTCGGCCTGTCGATTGACTTCGGCCCGTTCGCTTTTTTGGATACTTTCGATCCCACGTACACGCCGAATCACGACGACCATATGCTCAGGTACAGCTACCGCAACCAGCCGACGATCATCTGGTGGAATCTCGTGCGTTTGGGAGAAGCGCTTGGCGAACTCATGGGCGCAGGGGCGAAGGTTGATGATGAGGTTTTCGTGGAGAAGGGCGTGCATGCGGATGATGCGGATGAGTTGGTCAAGCGCGCAGAAACCGTCATCGACGCCGCAGGCGAGGAATACAAAGCCGTCTTCCTCGCTGAATACCGCCGTCTCATGACGCTGCGCCTCGGGCTCAAGACGGAGAAAGACGGCGACTTTGAGGAACTCATGTCTGAGCTGCTGGATTGTCTGGAGGCTTTCGAGCTGGACTTTCACCATGCGTTTCGTCGCTTATCGAGCGTGAAGTTGAGTGAGATTGACACCGAGGAGCAGAGGAAAGACGTCGCGGGCCGGTTTTTCAGGGCGGGCGAGGCGCCCCGACAGGAGGCGGATAGTCGCGAGCGCATTGGGAAGTGGCTGGGTAAATGGGCTGCGAGAGTCAAAGAGGATTGGGGCGAAGGGAAGGATGAAGAACGACGGACGGCGATGGATAAGATCAATCCCAAGGTATGTCGAAGTACTTCACCGATGAAGCGAACTCGGAAGCTAATTTATAATGTCTAGTTCGTCCCGCGTTCCTGGATCCTCGACGAACTTATCGACCGCGTAGAAAAGAAAGGCGAACGAGAAATCCTGCCGCAAATCATGAAGCTCGCACTCAATCCCTTCGAAGAACACTGGGCCTGGGATGAGGCAGAGGAAGAAAGGTTTTGCGGCGACGTGCCCAAGTACAAGGGCATGATGCAATGTAGCTGTAGTTCGTAAACACCTCCCATCTGAAGGACATTCATGATACGAAATTTAATCAACACCACCGACTAAATACTCCCCAACTTCCACCCCCACACTTCTCCCCAACGCCCTCGCATACTCCCACCCAAAGTTAACACGCCACCTGCCCCCGGCCTCAAGCGCATCGTTACTCCCCGCGCCCGCCCTAACCAGCAGTCTCAAACTCGTCAGCGTCGCAATCTGCGTGTATAAATCCGCAACTTGGGGTACACCCCCATCTAGTAACGCTCTAAATATCGCGAGTAGTCGATCCAACGTAAACGGCGACGGCGTAAGCAAATGTCTAGATATTTTTCTAGCTTTCATGGAATTCGACACTGACGTTGAAGGCGCGCGCCGCTTGCCCTTGCGCTTGTCTGTGTGTTTCATGAAATATGTAACGGTCTGTCCTGGAGGGGATTGTAGCTCGCCGAGATACGCTGCGATGACGGAGGTGTGTGGTGAAGAATGGTAGCGTGTGGATCATCATCTTCGCCGACGCGACGTTTACTTGGCGTCGTGGGCTCTAAGGCGGCCTGAGGCTCGGCGTCCGCGACGATGCGGTCAAGCACGGCGTCTTCGACTTGGAACAAGTGCTTGCGGTTGATGATGAGGCGCGAGAAGTCACGGGTGCCGAATTGGCCGGTGACGACGGGTTCGACGAATGGGCGCCAGAGTTTCATGCAGGTCCGTCGGAAGCTGAGCAGGTCGCGACCCGTGTGCTTGCTTAGGCTGTCGTAGACGGCGGAGATGAAGCGGGACCAGAGCCAGGCGTCGTCCTCGGCAGCGAGGTCGGGGGTGTAGTCTGGAAACTGCTCTTCGGAAGGTGGCGTGGCGAAGATTTTTGGCGGTGTGTTGTTGAGGATGGAGAAGAGCTGGGTGCGGGTGTAGGTTGGAAGGTGTAACGAGGGTGTGTTCGAAGAGTGTAGAGTCGAGGGTGGGAGGGGAAGGGTGGTTGTGAGGATGAGGGAGAGGATTAGGTATCTGCTGGATTGTCAGAGATGTCTCAATATTCATTCGGAGTGCCGTATAGACTTACCGACTCTCCCAATCGTCCCAAAGCTGCGATCAGTGTTCCTGCGCTTTCTCGAAGCTTGTCTACAGCATCTAGAACCAGGACAAACTTCCCCCGCCCTTCGAGGAGCTTCGCGAGGTTGACGCATAGCGCGCTCAGGTTCTCTGTCCAGCGCGTATGGTCGTCTGTCGATCTTCTCGTCGTAATGTTCATCTAGTGCATCAAGAGAAGATGCTACCATGCGCTCCAAGACGTGTCGCGCAGTGATGCATTCGCGAACATTGATGATCGTGTGGGGTGTGTCGAGAAGATGGAAGTATGACCGCAAGAGGGATGATTTGGCTGTTGCTGTAAGGCCGTGGACATTAAGAAATGATGGGCATGGAAGATGCGCCTGCGGTTGTTAGGCTGCGTCGCGTACAGTCGGAGACGACATACTGTGTAGAGCGCGGCAAGTTGCTGTATCTGCTGCTCGCGGCATTGGAACTCAGTGTTTAGTTGCGCGATGATCTCGTCCGGTAGCATGTTTGCGCTATGTGGTTGCGATCTTGCGGTGTCGTGTTGGAATCGGAATGAGGGATGACGCGCTAGTGACGGGACAACGCGCGGGCACGTGCATGACTCCGTTATGGCGCTTGAGACAGCCTCGCATGCACTCTGACCTCTCGCTACGCAACACTTGCGCCACTGACCCCGCTGCATGCACTCAGCCTCGGATTCGGGCGCAGTTTGTCTGCCTGGTAAAATGGCACCCATGGGTGCTATCCTCCGTCAGCCTGGCGCACGCTTTAAACATTCCCTCCATAATCCACATCCTCTCCCGCATCGTCACTGCTTCTCTCACGGTCACTCGAGCCTCGGCTTTGCACTGATCAGCTGATCCCAACTCAAACCAGCGTTGTTGCGACTCTTGTCACTCTCGCTTCACATGGAAACCGCTGCCAGTATCATAGCAGTTCTGCAACTATCGGAGAAAGTCATCAAATACATTCGCGATGTCGCAGGAGCCACCGAAGATCGCAAACGGCTTCGTGAACAGGTGCGAGCCTGCAGCAATATCCTCTTGACACTCAGGGATGGGGTAGAAGACTCTGAAGAGGGGCAAGCATGGGCCGAGACTGTTGAACTGCTCGCCTCGCCCCTTGCGCGACTCCAGACGGCTCTTGAGCTCGCTGCGCTCAAACTCCAAGCTAAAAGTAGCACCAAAGAGAGGTTAAGATGGCCCTTCAAGGAGAAAGAAGTCCAGAAACTTGTCGAAGCAATCGAGAGCGAGAAGACTGTGTTGATACTGTCTCTCGACAACAATTCAGCGAGACTGCTCCAAGAGATCAACATTCGCTCCAAACAAAGTGATAAGCAAATCCGGGAACTGGAATCTCTGTTGAGACTGCACGCTACTAGCAACAAAAGCGACGCTAGATATCTGAAAGGGGCCGTGACTACAATTCAAGATAAACAGACTCAACTACAAGATGACCTCAGTTCATTGAGGCAGGCAACGAAGGAGAAGGAGATGGCAAACAATCTGCTTGTGATGCTCGATTGGCTCTCGCCTATTGACCACGCTTCACAACACTATGATAAAATTTCCAGTCATCAGGCCGGCACATGTCAATGGTTTTTGGATTCCAAGAAGTATACAACTTGGGTGGACGAAGTCCGCAATTGCACACTGTTTTGTCCAGGAATTCCTGGAGCAGGAAAGACTGTGTTGGCATCTGTTGTAATAGCCGACTTGAGGAAAACTTTCAGGGAATACAGCAACGTGACAGTAATATTCTTTTATTGTCATTTCAAACGACAGAAAGACCAAACGGTGGATGGCATCCTGTCCAGCCTTCTGAAACAGCTCATGGAGAGGCGAGTGGAAGTGTCCCAAGCGGTCAAAGATCTCTTCTACGAACGATATGGACTCGGCCAGAATCGTCCGAAACGTGACGAGCTCTTCGAACTTCTTCGAGCCGAACTATCTACTTACCGTGAGGTCTTGGTCGTCTTGGATGCTTTAGACGAGTGCGATGCCAGCATCGAGACGCTGGGACTGCTTGCCGATCTCCAGACAAGCTTCGCACAATCGCAGAAAGGGTGTAAAGTCAAGTTGATGGCTACGTCGAGACTCATTCCAGAGCTTGTCGAGCATTTCGGTGATGCTGAAACGCTTGAGATCATTGCAAGCAACGCAGATGTCCGCATGTATCTCGAAACGGAGATACAGCGCAAATCCAAGCTCGCCAAACTGGAGAGGTCGCTCCAGGACGAGATCAAGTCCAGGATCATAGATTCGGTCCAAGGGATGTGAGTATGGATTTGCCTAACGTGGATGCTACAAAACTAACCTATTTTCAAGGTTCCTTTTAGCGCAACTCCACTTGGACTCCCTGCTTGGAAAAAGATCAGTGAAAGCAATCCGAGAAACCCTAAAGAGACTGGCAACCGGCTTGGGCGCGTATGATTCGGCGTATGCTTCGGCCATGGAACGCATTGAGAGCCAAATTGGTGATCAGGTTGAACTAGCGAAACAAGTTCTCGCGTGGATAGTGTATGCCAAGCGACAGATGACAGCGACCGAGCTCCAGGAAGCACTTGGAGTGGAAGAAGGTGAATGTGAGCTTGATAGCGACAATTGCCCGGAGTTAGACGATATGGTCTCTGTGTGTGCTGGACTGGTGACAATTGATCAAGGTAGCGGCGTGATCCGCTTGGTCCACCAGACGACTCAAGAGTATTTTGTTCGAAAAAAACAGACCTGGTTCCCTAATGCTGAGACCATGATAGCAACTCAGTGCGCAACGCATCTCTCGTTCAATATCTGGGGTCCAACCTATCCCGGTCTTGCCAGATGTGAAACACACGGGAATGAGCTTTGTTCAAATACGCAGCACAATATTGAGGGATATCATGCTGTTATGGCTCCATCTGCACTACCACAGGATGATGAGAGTTTCTACGGAAGCGCTGGAATGTACCAAACACAGCCAACTTCGCTCCGACGCCGGGCGCGTTGTCAAAGCTTGGAAGATCAATCACTGGCTTGCACTTAGCAGCACTTTTTGAGGCTGGACAGTGCTGCTCGAATACTTCTCGAAAGAGTCCTCCAAACCAAATGCCATGACCTCAGACGGTACAACGCCACTCCATATCGCTGCATCAGAAGGTAATCAGGCTGTGTTCGAGATCCTTCTTGAGTGGAAAGCTTCGGTAGACCACCAAAATGACGAAAAACAGACTGCATTGCATCTAGCGGTGGTACAAGGCCATAAAGCAATTGTCGAGCTTCTCCTTAAACACGGCGCCAGTGTTTCAGTCCGGAACGCCCGTAAAGAGCTCCCTCTGCACCATGTCGCTCCGCACAACTGGGGAGACATTGCAAAGCAGCTTTTGCCAAATGACGGGAGTATCAATAGTCAAGACTTGATGGGCAATTCGCCGCTGCACAAGGCGGCGTATTGTGGGTCTGTGGAAACCGTCCGAGTGCTTCTTCAAAATGGTGCAAACATAAATGACCAAGGAGGGGCGGGGCAAGGCACACCTCTACACATTGCAGCTTATAATAATGATTTGGCGCTTGGCAAGGCTCTTCTAGATTTTGGTGCGAGCACGACTGAACGAGATCAACAACTCGGCACGGTTCTTATGACTGTAGTCAAAACTGGCCATGAGAGTTTCGTCAAGCTGCTCCTCGATTCCGGCGCCGATGCGAATTTCCCCGGCAATTCATCCCTTGGCTGGTCGCTCGCACTTGAGTGCTCGGCGCTAAAGCATCGCCGGAACTGCTCGCCCATGCATTATGCATGCTGGCACGACCACACAGGTATCGTCGAGCTTCTTCTACAACACGGTGCAAAGCCAAACTACGACACGCCTGACGGTGTGACTCCACTGCACTCGGCTTGCTGGATTGAAAATGAACGCATCGTGGCACTTCTTCTAGATGCAGATGCAACACCAGACAGTCGCGACGCCGCTGGCCACACACACACCACTTGACATATGCCGAGAGGTTGGAGCAGGCAATGTTGCCCAGCTATTGATAGAACGTGGTGTGGTAGATACGCCCGTGTCAGCTGAGAATATACCGCTTCCCTCTTCTCCTACGATCGTGGAAGATGATCGTGCTACAACCGAAATTGAAGTTGAATGAGAAATTTCAATCCATGAAGTCGCAGACGATCCCGATTTTTTTTCCCTCAGGCTTGCGTAAAATAATTGTATTTCAACAGAAGTTGAGATTGCGAAGGGAGCTCCGGTTAAATACCCGCCTGGAGGAAGGACTAATGATTTGGACGGACTGATGCTTAGACCGATCTTTGAGCATCACGCCGAACACACACTATTCAATACATAGTAACATGAAGTTATTCAGAGACGCAGATATGAGCATTGGACTCAATGGTTGCTGCACATACCTAATCACCATGCCGATATTAACAATGGGCTTTGATTCGCAAAGCGCGAAATCTTGTCCCATGTCATGCACTATGCCTCCGGATTTTATCGCACCCCACTCCAAGCAGGCGTGGATGTCGTTCAAGTATCATGGGCTGGAAGCCAGATAGAACACTCTTGCGAGATCGAAAGGCCAACGCGAGCGATACACTCCTACCGTTCCTTCCCTTCTGATGTATATATTTAGGTAGCTCGTGCTAGTCAACTGATCAGCAGCCCTAAACGACGCAATGCAGAGCCTCAATAGGTCGTATGTACCGGGAAGCAGGTGCCAAATTGTCAAACTCCCTATCCAGTATGATAAGTGTTTCGGGACTGGATCAATACTTAAGTAGTTAATGTCAATAGGCACACCGTTCAATTCAGGGTGCTAGGATTACTCCATGTCTACCGCTGGCGTATTCGCTTCTCAAGCGTATTTGATTTCTGTGATTGGAGAGGTAATCCTGTTGGCAAGGTGGTAGACGGAATTACGTAGCTATACTAGCAGTAATTGCTTGGCTAGCTCTAACTCCAATCCCGCCCTTTATTAATTCTGACTCTAAACACAGAAAGCTGTGTTCGCATCTGTGGGAGTAGATACCACTATGTCACTAGTAGTTCCACCTCCTACAATAAAATTACAGTTTCCAACGGATACCGCTCCGGTCCCATGTCGCGGGAAAGGCACAGTGTCGATTTCATACCAAACGTCATTGACTGTATCATAGGCCTCCGTCTGGTTAAAGATACCAACCGCATTTCCTGTCACCTGCACTGTGCTCTCCCCTCCAAAAGTATACACGATACTCCCCACAGAAGATGTAAGTTGCCCGCCGCGCGCCGTTGGCATCTTTGCTTTGGTAACCCAGGTAGAGTTTTCGGACTTCAAGTCCAGCGCAAACGTATCGTCGTGGACATTCTGTACACCCTTGCTCCTCCCTCCAGTGACATAGAATACACCATCTTTGATTGCTCCTCCGAAGTGATCACGAGGCTCGGGGAAGATCCGGCAAGCTGGTCCACGTCCGAGTTTCGATATTGAAAGCCGATACTGCGGTCGTCGATTCTGCGCTGGCTCCAGTCAGGGACAGCCAAGGAGAGCCGCCGGCTATGTATATGGTGTTCTCATAGGCATCGATAGCAGAAGCTCCTCGGGGTACATCTGGTATAGGGGGTAGATCCGACCATTTGTCCGTGATGGGGTCGTACTCCCAGCTTTTCCGAGTACCGTTCCAGAATGAATCCACCACTTCCATGGCTCCTAGTACGTACAGACGTCCATTAACGCCGATGCTGTTGAGGTGTGTTAAGGGCTCAGGCAAACTTGAGGCATTTCTCCAGGAGTTCTTCTCAACATTGAAGACTTCGACCCAGTCCACGACTGGTATGACTTGGCCTGTTGGTTTTATATGGCCACCAAGTAGGTATATGTCGTTACCAATTGCCGCAACTGCTCCCTCTTTGCGCGGGCCGCGAGCGACAGGGGCAAAGTCAATCCAACCCTGGCGATTGTGGGTATATGGTGCGGCAGCCGTCAGAGTGGACCATCCTGTAGTAAAGAGAGCTAATGATACGTAATGCATAGTTGCACCAGCTAAGAATTCTAAGAAATTTTATAATAACAGAGCAGAAGTGATGGTCTCCTAGAAGAGCCGGGGGCGAAGGGCGATTATATATTTTTCCAAAAAAATCTTGGCGTTTAATAACTATGCATAAATCCAGCCGGCACGGAAGCAACGGATAGCGGATGAGAAGCTAGCCATCGGTTTTCTTCCCCTACTTGGCCTTACTCCCAGCATACAATTCGCTATAATGCTTCCTTACGTTGATATATTCAGAGCAAACAGCCGACCGGCTCGTAAATAACGACATCCGGTATTAGATATTACTACATAAGGTTAGGTATGATAAGCTCACAAGGTTATATATTAACCTCCGGACGATTTATTTCGATCTGGGCTCTTGGCACCCAGAGATATCAGGGCTTTAGGTAAGCCACAGGAGGCAGACCACGAAGAAGATGTTAGAGTTGTTGTAAGTTTGTTCCTTATACTTTAATTCGCTCCTCTGTTCGCAGTTAATTATATGGAAAACAAAATTGTCTGTGAACAGAGTATCTCAAACTCTTCCGAATGGAGGAGGAGCTCGATGATAAAAAAACGCTCAGGCAAAAAAAAAAAACAGCCGTATACCGACAACGGACCGTAAAAAAATGCTATAATGTTGGGCAAAAGCAGTGACGGTGGACATCTTGGTCTGTGTAATCGGCATGCTCTCCTGTTAGTGACAATCTTAGCAGTAGTCTGTGCCAAAATCCCTGCAGAGCTGTCTCCACCGTCACAACTTTTGCCCATTACCACAGTAAGATATCGGCGAGACATCATTCCACTAGCTGTTCATAACGAAGCATAGAGATCTAGTTTGCTAAATCGACAAAAGAAATGCACACGTATAATTGGACGACTAATCTACTGGTTGAAAACAGACAGTTCTAGATGTTTGATTTTGAAGCATGTAAGGGCAAATTTAGAATAGTGCATTCTCTCCACTAATCACGAGCAGCCCATGGACACGGGTCGGAACCACTACTACCCGAATTTTATTAGATTGATTCTATTTATCTTTTTTACGTAATGCATTTTTGCGAGATATATAAGTTCATAGAAGTCTCGTCAACTAGAACTACACGCAACATGGGTTTTCTGTTTTCTTACGCGCTTCTCCTAAGTTCCGCTGTGAACGCTGCGGTCCTACGTCCAAAAGATATCTCAGCTTGTCAGGCTATTGCAAATGCCGGAGTCAATGTCTGGTTTGACCCACCCAATACGTCTACCTCGAATTATGATCTTGAACAGGCTCTTTATTGGTCAAACGCTTGTTCTGCTCTACGACCAGGCTGTATCGTCACCCCGTCAACTCTAGAAGAGGTTTCTACTGTCGTGAAAACGCTTAAGGAGAGTAATTCACGCTTTGCTATCAAGAGTGGTGGTCATAATCCTAACCCAGATTGGTCGTCATTATCTGACGGACCTATTATTTCAACCCGTAATTTCAATGAAGTTGCTTACGACAAACAAACAAATACCGTTCGTGTTGGATCGGGTAACAGATGGGGAAGAGTCGTCGAGACGCTAGAGCCGCTAGGGGTAACAGTGGCTGGTGGCCGCGTTGGCAATGTCGGCGTTGGGGGTTACCTCCTTGGAGGTAGGTGACAGTCTGCTTACTAAATCTTGTCTATGTAAGGCTGTTTATTAACACTCAATAGGCGGCCTAGGCTTTCTTAGCACACAGTACGGGTGGGCAGCTAGCGGCATTGTCGGAGCGGAAATGGTCCTTCCTAATAGCACAATCGTCAAGATTTCCAATGAGAGTCATCCAGATCTGATGCTCGCGCTCAAGGGTGGTGGGAGCCCCTTTGGTATCGTAACAACGTTCATTGTACGAGCTCGACCTATGGATCGCGTAAGACATTTGCCCCATAATAGGTCCTTTTTGACATTTCATTAACATGATCATTAGATATGGGGCGGAACATTGATTTACAGTAATGTCACTGACACCGCCCCTATTTTGTCTGCAATTGCTTCTTTTACAAGAAACTACGAGCAGCATCCAAAGGCAGCTGTGGAGCCGAATGTCCTATACAATAGCACCGACGATACCGTCTCCTGGCTTATCTACGTATTTTACGACGGTCCTGATAACCAAGGTGTATTTGATGAATTTCTTTCATTGAAACCAACCATCAACCTGGCAACCGTCCGTCTATATTCGGATTTTCTAAACGCCAACAGCCAAACACAGATCCCAGGCCTTGTGGCCCAAATCGGCACTGTTGCAACCCCTCTCCCATACGAAGAACATACACTGGAGGTCCATCAGTCCTATATTGAAACTTGGCTTTCAGAAGTTCGGGCGATCAAACACATACCAAACTTTTGGTCGTTAATGCCGACGCAACCTATACCAAAACTACTTTCAAGGAAAGCTCGAGAAGAGGGCGGCGATCTACTTGATTTGGATGACGATGTCGATCGAGTCATCTTAGCAGTGGTCATGACCTATCCTTCCTCCACGGTGGACCAGCAAACTGATGCCGCAATGAAATCTATCATCTCTAAGATAGAAGACAGTGTTGCCAACTTCACAGCCAATGGATTGCTACCAGAGACACATCTACCAGTATTTATGAATGATCAGTACTATAGCCAGGATTACTTTGGTAGTCTAAAGCCCAACATGCGCCAGCTTGCGCAAAGGGTTCAGAAGGAAGTAGATAGCGATGGTTTCTTTGCAAAGAATACGGGAGGACCTAAGGTTTTATAACGTACTCATCACATCACCTTGCATGTTAGGAAGTAGCCATAAGGCGTGGCTAATCTAACATGTCCTACTTTGTTATGCCCACTCTTTACCTAGTAATTGTGTTGGGCTGAACGCCCTTTGTATCTTATTCTTGTCTGCAACCTCGTTTACTCTACCGCTTACACGTTGCTGCATGCACCTAGCCTAGCAGTTATTAAATGGAATTATACACATATTGGAGACTAGTGGACGGCAGCCTATTGTAGGACGTTCTACCTTTTTTCAGCCTTCTAGCCTCACGTTAAAGCTAGATTATTATTTGCTGTATGCTCATTCCTGGAATTAGGCGCAGCACTCAACCTTCTGAGGTACGACGGTGCCTCCTAACTACACACAGCGTGCCAAAATCTAAAGGGGCCTAATTTCTATCAAGAATGCAGAATAGAGGATTGCACATATAATTAGCAAGATTCTTGAATACTGCAGCTTTCGTAAATATAGCTGCAGTATTAGCATTTCTGTTGTAGCAAGGTATCAAGGTCAAATAGCTCTAATGAGTACAACATGACTCCTTTACATCTTGCATGCACAACCTGCCCCTCCCAGTCCCTCATCATCACATATCTCCTCCTCTCAAACACATCCCCAACCTTTCAAGACAAAGCCCAAGACACTCTCAACTCCACCTCTCCCACCGTTCCATCCTTCACTACCGCCAACTCCTCCTCGCCGCCGTGATATCCCCAAATCTCGCAGACGAATCGGGGACATTCACCATCCACGCCTAGATAAAGAACCCTCAAATACCTCCTCACGGCAGGCTCAAATATCAATCCTAAAGACGACAAGGATAGGACGCCGATGCACTACGCCTGTCGATGCTATCAAACACCAGTTGCCAAACTAACAATTCAAGCCGGGGCGGATGTAGATGAGTGTTGTGGGGATTCAGCGCCGCTGATGCATGTGTATGTGTGTGCAGGGATGGAAGGATATCGTGAACATGCTCATTAAAGCGGGCGCGGATGAGATTCGGCGGGATGATCATGGGCGTTCAGTGTTATATCATACTAGGGAGGGTGGTTTAGAGTCTACGTTGAATTTTTGTTGGCGCGTAGAGCGCAAGATGCTCCATTTGTGGGATAACCAATTTCGTTGACTCGAACGCAGAGTTCAAATGAGCGTAAAGATTTGCAAATCATGGGATGTTCATTATGTCATGTGCATCATAAGTCTATTGTACAGTAACTCTTGCGGGTATGATGGTCCCGTCATCTAGCCAATGCGCCGGTATAATGCCCCGTATCCAATGCAACCTAAGTCGTTGATCGCTTTTCAGGCATGCAGCATGTCCCCGCAGGCAACCACGCCACCCTGCCTGTCCTTTTTGTCCTTCTTGGACTTGGCGTCCTCCATAAATTCCCAGGTCAAGAACTTCCAGTTGAGCTCGGTAGGTCGCCAGAACAGGCCGTGTTTGAGCCCACCGGACGATTGTTCCTGGTCGATGCTGTCGGACGTCATGCCTCCAGTGTGTGACATGCGTGTCGAGAAAATGCATCGGCGGAAGCGTGAGTGCAAGATAGCCATTGAGCACATGACACAGGGTTCGTTGGTGAGGTAGATGTCCAGGTCGACGCACAGGTAGCCGCTTGAGGCGATGTTATCGCTCTCGTAGTACTCCTTCTCGACTTCGGTGAGGGGGCTGTCGCAGAAGAGCGAGCGATCAAGTAGAGCGGGATCGGTGCCGGCAGCGCGGAGTCGCTTCTTTGCAACCATAGCAATGGCACGCTGGACGGCGTGGGCCATGACGTTGCCAGTGCCCGTCTGCTCTTCGGTATCACCAGTAGGCGAGCGCCAGCGACAGTCCCCTGCAACAGCAATGACGGCAGGTGTTGCCTTGGAACGGTCAACTACCACGACGCCAATCTGCTCGCCCAAACATTTCTCCGCAATCTGCTTTCCCGCCGTGTTTGCCAGTGCAAGCCAGCCGCCGGCTTCGTCCTCAATTTCGGCCGCATTGCGCTGAACCAGACTCGGATGCGGACCATAAGGATTCGTGTTCTTGTACGAAATGGGCCAGTACTTGTCGGACCACATGGCTGCCTGTTCGGCAGATGTGGGAGCCAATACCGGAACAGTGACGTAGAAGATCCTCGGTGCAATCGCATTCTTCGCGTCGAACGGTGGGCATTTGCGGATGAGAGCAAGGAGATCGGCATGCTGGATATGCTTGGTAGGGCACATGAGGAAAAAGCGGACTAGATCGAAATGTTCAGTAAGGTCTTCGCAGTCATTGATAGGTGGTGGGGAAGACGAGGAATCACGGGCAGGGGAAGGGGAAGGAGAATGAGAAGGGGATGTAGATAATAATACTGGGGTCGCGGTATTATCTTCATCACCTCTCGGAAGCCTTGAAGGCGGATAGAACTGCTTCTGCAGGTACGGCGGCAGGTACTTGAACTGCACTACGCGGCGCAGGTGAGAGATCTCCGACGTCTTGAAGTCGGGAATGGCGGCTTGCACGGCACTGGGAGGTTAGCACGTGATCAAGAACTGTACCAGGAGTGAGGAGCTCACTCCTTGACAGCGTTGGCAACCTTGGCCGGTACTTCAATGACATAGGCACTCTGCGTCTCGAGGCTGGCGCGCACTTCGTCTTTGGTCCGCAGAGGCACAAGGCGCCCGGCGAGAGGAGTTGGTTTGCTCATAGCATCGTCTAGTTGCTGCTCAGATGGTGTCAGCCGGTTCCAGTGAGGCGAGCGACAAATGGCGAGCGGCGGATGTGCTGGTGTTGATGTTGATGTTGAAGTTGAGGTTTTGGAGGTGAGGCGCGGGCACGCAACAAAAGTCGCGAGCCTCGGCAGGGTCGGTCCTTCATTATGCCGAACCCTCTTTCCACTTCAACGGTCATCGTGGCTTCTGCAACCACAGCAACAACATCGCAAAAAGGACATTGCATCATGGAGAAAGCATCGTCGACTTCCCGTTCTTGAACATGACAGCCACCAGTGGGGCAAGCGCCTTTCGGAAAATTAGCGACGCTCTTCTCCGCATTTAGCACAAGCGAGCGATCAGCATGCATGCTTCCTGACCTGGGGCCCCGCCTTCTGATACGGATCTCTTCATCCGTGGGGTGCCTCGAGTACCAGATCACTGGATGGCCCATAACTGCCGGGATGCATGACACGACTTCTCCCGTGACCAATTGCAAGAGTCTTTTTTAGCTTACATATTCTCTTCTACCTCACTGACTCCCGTTTTCCCACTGCGCTGTGTGCCTCTTTCTTCATCCATTCAGCTTATCAGGAAGCAGTCATGGCAACCAAAGACAGCGACGCGCACATCGAGGGCAGCCATGATGAGCGCCAACACCATAAAGCGCATACCGGTGCTCATATTGTACCTATCGAGCAAGAAGTCACCGAGGACGCGAGACATATCGATCTGTCGTGGAGATCATGGACGGTCGTCTTCGTATGCTGCTTTGCGTATGATCCCGTCTCTCTCTTGCATCTCCATCAAATCTGACACCCATGTAGAGTTATGTCGCAAGTATTTGTCGTTGTAGCAGCAGGTTCCGTCTTGTCCTTCATCATCCGTGAGCTAGGCGAGCCCGCGATCGCTAGTTGGGTCATCCAGGTAAATCCCCTAGACATTACTGAATGACAGGTCTGATGATGTTTAGGGTCCACTTCTGATGCAGTCGGTCCTGTCGCCTCTAGTGGGTCGACTATCTGATGTACTGGATCGAAAGCTGTTCGCTACCATTCCACCTCTCATCGCCTGTGTTGGAAGCATAATTTGCGCCAAGGCTACCTCCATGAGCATGCTAATCGGTGGCGGCATCCTCATTGGCACGACCTTGGCGACCATCTCCATAGTCCAATCCATTCCATCCGAAGTTCTGCCCATGAAGTATCGAGCACTTGCCAATGGACTTGCAGGATTTGCTGGAACCATGGGTGGTCTGTAAGTACAATCGTGGTATCTTCAGCTCAAGCTCGTGCTAAGAGATGCAGTGTTGGTGGCCTGGCAGCTGGTGCAGTGGCAAATATCAGCCCAACAGGATGGCGATACATTTTCTGGATCCAACTTGCGCTACACGGCTTCACCGCGCTTGGTCTTTTCACTCTGTACTGGCCGAAGAAACGTTTTGACTACCAACGCTTGAGCTTCAAGCAATGGACTTGGGCATGCGACCCGATCGGCTGCTTCCTCATCATCGTTGCTGCAACGCTTTTGTTACTCTCGCTCAACTGGGCTGGTGGTGCTTACAAATGGAGCAACCCGCATGTCTATGCTAATCTCGTGGTCGGGATCATTTTCCTCGTCGCCTTCTGCATGTATGAGTGGAAGGGAAGATCTGATGGGATTGTTGCGCATGTCTTCTTCTCCAGTGGCCCAAACTTTTGGCTGTCAACACTCGCCTTCACGGTCGAAGGGTGAGATTTGACTGCAAATACAATTTTGCAAACCGCTAATAATGGACACAGATGGATTTACTACTCTGCGGTCAACGCTATCACACCTCAGATCATCCTCAACCTGGGCTTTGAAGATAACTCCTGGGACATTGCCATCAGGCAACTGTCTTACAAAATACCATCAGCCGTGGTTGCTGTCATAGTCTCGTGGTATGCGACAAGGTTCAAGGATTTGAGTAAGTTGCCCATTTAAGCTTTCCCTTCGCACTTTTGCTAACATCAACACTAGAAACACCTCTTGTGGTGACCTTTGGCATAATGCTTGTTGCATCTATTTGTTATGCTTGCATTAGACCAAGCTGGGACATTCCTCAAATCGTCTTCACTGTTCTCACTGGTATCGGCTGTGCTGGTCCACTTACACTGCTTGTTGCATGCGTACAGTTCACAGCACCACACGCCTTCCTATCGACCGCGACTGGCTTAGCATTTTCAGCGCGTGCCATCGGTGGCGCCTTCGGCACAGCAGTCATTTACGCAGTCATTAACTCTCGCATCGCAACACACTACGCATCCGACGTCGGCGGCGCAGCAGTTGCCGCAGGACTGCCTCAATCATCTGTTGCCGCTCTGCTAAAGGCTATGAAGGGCGCTACAGCTACTACCGCCAAAGGTCAGGGCGTGCCGGGTGCGAATGCGGAAATCATGAGAGCTGCGTGGCAGGCTAGTTATTGGTCGTATGCACGAGCGTACAGGCTTGGATGGTGGAGTGTTGTGCCTTTTGTGGCGATTGCGACTATTGCTGTTGCTTCCTTGAAGGGTGTCAAGGAGCTCATGACGGAGAAGGTGGAAGCGACTGTCGAGCGCGATGTTTCTGACGAAGAGAACAAGATGGAGAAGGCATGAAAAGGATGAAATATCAGCATTTGAGAGCTTCAACGCCCTCATAAAGTCTCTTACTTGACTCGCGATGCAGGTGTCGACGTGAAGTGGAAACAAACTGCACTACCAATCTCACCATACATACCCGCTCTCACCTACGAATTCGAGCTGCTTTTTGTCGCTCTCATCAAGCTAGATTCCTTACCTTACAGCTTAAAATATCTACGCATAACGACCTCTTTCTCTTCCTCCGCTAGTCCAACTTTTCTCCATACCAATCAGCCATTTTTAACTTCTTCCACATACCCAAGAATGTCTGACCCAGCCGCCGAAGCGCCATCCTACAAACCATCTATCCCCAACAGCACCCGAGACGTACGGGAGTGGAGCCAGTCTACTTCAAACCCCACCTTCACCGACTCCGCGATCTCCACCGTCCTATCCCTAGTCCCCGCGTACGAAATCCTATCGCAGTCAACCGCTGAAATTCTGCACGCCGCTCTTACCCTTCATGCCAAGATGGAGGCGGATCGAGTCGAACAAATCTTCTTGCACGCGTTCGCCAAAGTAGGCGTGGAACATCAACGCCCAAGGGCGGATTGAAGGACGAGCCGTATTTGACGCTGGAGGAGACCAAGATCTGGATGGGCTACCTAGTATCAGGACGCATTGATACGTTCAAAGACTGGCCTCTTGAGATGCGTTTTTCTTGAAAGGTTGAGCATAGTTTGGAGGGCGGGAAGAGAGGATACGGGGCTGGATGCAGCGGAATTACGTCGAGAGTGAGGTAGAGATATGAGAGGCATGAATGGAGCGATTGGTCTTCATCTACTCGGGGTATGAAGTGAGCATTGGGTTGTTACAAAAGGAAGTCTTCAACCTTTCCCGTGCCAGATCAGGCTTAACAACAATACAAAATGTGTCGACCACAAAAGATTTCCGCCTCCAAAGATTCCAATTCAATGCGCATTCCCAAAGAGAAAGATAAAACCCCAATGACACCTCTATCGGCATGCACGTTCCCTCTAAATTCATGAAAAATACAGCTCAACGTCCGCTCGGTAATGAATAGCCTCGCGTCTCAGTGAAACCACAGCACACACTCGCTCTCTCAACTACCAGCAAGGCTCGTACGCGCTAGTCGCTAGCTCGCTCACTTCCAACGCCCACCTCGTAAACATAAATACTGCCCTCCCTCATTCAACAAAGTACACTCCTCACCCTCCAATATTTCACCCTCATCAACCAAAACCATGTCTTCGACACCCCACCAGACACGCCCAGAAGCTCCAACCCCCACCCAGCGCGTCCCCGTACAAGATTGGACCACACTTACCGAAGCGCCTCCGTACAACGTCTCCGCCTCCGTCATGGACACCGCGCTCAATCACGTCGTCCTGCCCCAAGACATGGCGCAGGCCGTGTACAACACTATGAATGTACTCCTCTTGTTCAACCCGGAAATCGCCGACAAGTTCAACAAGAGCATGTTCAGTAGGTAGGCGTGGAACATCACCCCCGATGGCAAGTTGAAGAGCGAACCTAGCTTGTCGGCGGAGGAGAGGGTAGTCTGGGAGGAGTACATGAAGGAGATTGAAGGGCTGACGTTTGTGAGCTTTTATTGAGGGACAGAGCTGGGGTGTGGGCAGATGATGAAAAGAGGGGAGGAGAAGTTGATCAGGGTTGATGAATGAATTGAGTGGGAGGAGAGACATACAAGGCGGAAACATCGAAGATAAGCACCTTAGGGCAATGATGCAAGAAGCCAATGTCCAGACATTCAAAGAAAAACTCTTTCTCTTGTGTACTACTCGCATCTCTAACACCCATACAGCAGAATATCTTCAAACCATTCTCGTAGAGGCATGTGACGTGTCACAATAAAAATTCATTCGCAATATGAGTTCGCCACACATATTATCTCACCTACACTTCCGGCACGCTGCATTACGCGCTAGCCGCTAGCTCGCTAACCTGCTATCTCTAAACCTCCTATCTCCTGCCCGTAAATACAGCGCTTCTCTCGTACAACAACCTCACCACGCTCCCAACACCACAACCGCATTAACCACAACATTGCTTCTACCAAACCCCCACCCGCGCTCACCTCGCATCCCCCTCCCCGTCCAAGACTGGCCCGAACTCGCACCCACCGCCGCATCCACTTACACCACCATCCTCTCCATCATGCACGTCGCACCCAACCACGTGATCCTGCCCCAACACTTGGCGCAGGCCATGCACTATACCATGAAAGGCATCATCATGTTTAACCCACCAATCGCCGACGAGTTGTGGAAGGATGCGTTTACGCGGTGGGCGTGGAATTTGATACCGCAGGGGGAGTTGAAGAGCGTGCCCAGCTTGGGGGAAGAAGAGAGGGTGGTTTGGGAAGGTTATGTTAAGGAGATGAGGAGAGGATGAGGGCAAAAGCCGAAGTGACTCGACAAGCAAATTGGAATAAGAGGAGAGATACAGAAGTGGAGAGGTTTAAGTAATAGCTTCCCAAGATAGTCATACATACATAACCTAAAGTCCAAAATAAAAAATTGACTTAAATCAATGATGGTCGCGGCAACAACTCAACACCTTCCCTGAACGATTTAATCCATCGCACTTTTGATCCTAATGACACTACCCTCCCTCTCCAACTCCATCCCCGACCCCATACCTACCCTTCTCCTACTCAACCCGCTATCACTCCTCAACATCTCCACAAAACGCGACTTCTTGGACGGCTTTGCTGCAATCATAGAGGCTTTGGGCGTGGTGCTCAGCGTGTTGATGAGATTGTATTGCGTGAGCCAGTCGGAGCCGCGGTGGGGGGCAGGCTTGCGGGGTATTGATAAAGTGGGTGATGCTGGAGAATGAGGGATGGATGGTGAGTGTGTTGATGTGTTTGGGCGTGTTGAGGATGACGTTGAAGCTGGGCGTGTTGAGAATGAGCGCTGTCGCACCGGAAATTCCGCTCTCAGTTCCTTTCGAGCGGGTTTTGGAAGTTCTTCGAAACTTGGTTGCCAGCGTACGTGCTTTTGAGATCTTGCTTGCAGAATGGGCCTCTTCACTGGAATCGGAATGTCCGGCGAAGCGTATCTCTGCCGCAGGTGTTCAGCAGGTGAGTCTTCAGATTCAGAACTCGATGCTCTCTCCGTGTTGTTCCGTTTGAAACGCTCTAGACACTCCATAATTAGTACCGGCACAGCGGAAGCATGTGGATCTGGATCAGAAGCTAGGATTGATGGGGTTGGTAAGGGGGGGAGGCGGGCAAGACATTCGGATATGAGCTGCTGTGTACTCAGGTAGGCAGTTTTGTTGTTTGAAAGACTGGAAACGAGGGAGCAGGAGGAAGAGGGTGGACTTGGCGAAGTTCCTGGTGTTAGTGGAGGGATCACGGGTAAAGGCTTGTCAGTGCGAAGATCCTGCATAGGACTATGTCGGCCGAGACCGCGGACTTCTCGAGACCACTCTGCAGAGCCAAAGTATGCTGCATCGGCCATTTTGTAGAATGGAGCGTTTGCGGATGTTGTTTTGTATGGTAGTGTTGGAGTCGATGCTTGGAAGCGTTCGCTGCCGTTGTAAACGCTTAGCTCACGTGCATTAAATCCATCGTTCGAGTTGTTGGGGAGGCTATGCCTGCTTTCGAATTTCGCCACGGTTCTATGCCTGTAACATTCCCCCGCTTCATGCACATGGTACTCACATCCGCGGATAGCTTCCGTACTGCCAACAAAGCCCCTCATCATACTCAGCATTCTCCGCTCGACAGCGAACATCCTGTCAATGACAAATTGCTTGAGAATGTTCGAAGCGCCCTTCTCTAGGAACACTACCTCGAGAACCTTCAAATCAGGCGTCTGTGAAGCGTCCAGAAGCTTCGATAGTTCATCGATGATGTAGTCCTGGAAGTTTGGCTCTTCTAGTTGAGAGCCAGCCATATGCGCAAAAATAAGGTCAAAAGAATCTCGCAATAGTAGTCCGGTGCCCGTGTTAGTCGATGTGGATATGTGAAACTCGACGCGACCAACTTTTAACCAGTCGATGTACATTCTAAATCCCGTGGGGTCGACATCAGGAAGTCTGATCTGTCGTTCGGTGAGGGCGTTCAAAGCTTGTCGCGCGACTGCGTTGCGTAGGTATAATGAGCGTTGCGCTACCGTGATTGGCACATCGATGATTTCGGCGGGTAGATGTTCTGACAATGTTGTGCGGCCCGAAAGTACAAACGGTATTCTTCTGGGAGCTACGGGTCTGCAGTGCCCAAACGGTTGGCGTTGCAAAGTCATTATGTTGGTACCGGCCTTGTCCGCCTTTTCGTTTACATAGACATGTAAAGGAGTGGAAAAACAATCTGGCGCAACTGCCGGAGTTCACCAAAGCCACATACGTGACGGACGTGCCATCTTCAGTGTGCACGGCCACTTGACGATACTTGAAGGGTAAAGTCACCACCCACGTTATGACATGCTGTATGCAAACGCAGCAGGACGTCACTTATTTAGCATCGTTCAACTTCTTCCACATTTACTGAACAGAAAACAAGGCTACCGTTATCTTCCTGCGTAATAATTGCAAGGCCCCACAGAATGTCTCTCAATCTATTCAAATTCAAGAAGCCCTCCGGAGCGAAAGGTAAAACCATCAAGAAAGCGGAGCCTACCAATGGAGGCCGGACAAGCAAAGATATGCGAGCTGAAGACAGTGCACGGGTCGAAAGCGCGATAGATCTTCTCTCCATCGCTGATTGGCTCAAGGAGAATGCCGTGAAGGGTCCGCAGCCTGCTGCAAAGAAAGAGGAGGCCGGCTTGTGGGAATTGAAAGGGCCTCGCCGGGCGACGATTGTTCCTAGAAGAACCAACCAACTTAACGCTGTCAGTGCAACAGGTTCCAAGGGGGAGAGGGATTCAAAAGAAACAGAGACAAAGCCAGCTGTCGAAAGCAACGACGCCGAAGAGCCAGAACGGCCGATGTTCGATCTTCTCATCGGGCACCAAGACACCTCTTCGCAGTATTTCACCCGAACATACTTCCGGGTGGCGGCATCTTCAGTGCCAGACATTGATCCAGCATTGCACAGCAGTGATTTGCTCCATGAATTGCCAGAGCTCAACCCCAACGCCTTCCGACTATATCAAATCTGGCTGCACACTGGCGCAATACTGCCGGGATATCATGGCGCTTATGTTCCATTGCATAAGAGTACTTCCAATCACAAGTGGCAGCTTTTCTGGCCTTTGCTCAATGCACATATCTTGGGCTGCGCGATCGGTGCGTTCGACTTTGCGGATCAGGTGATTGACTTCCTCCTAGAAAAGCTGGGAACAACTCAAGCAGACGATGAAACAATCAAGCATCTTTTTTCTGCAGATCACAAGGATGTTTCAAAATCGCTGAAGTGTTTCGTCATCGACCAGTGTATAAATGCAAATGTTGCTGGGTCCACCGAGCTGGATCTCTTAGGCCTACCACACGCCTTTGCCCAGCTCATGGCCAAGAGAGCTCTTTTACGTCTCTCTAGGCAGACACCAAAAGCTATCGAAGCTGGTTGCGAATACCACATGCACCCGGTCCCAGATGCGTGCTACAAGAAGAAAATTCTGCCCAAAGACACCAGGAAGCAGCAATGGCTGGAGGTTGAGCTTGAGAAATCGCGCAAAGACTATGAGGAAGTCATGAAGAGCTCGAAAGCAAATGGAATCCGGACTGTAGATTGGGAACATCAGAGAGCGGGAGTGAACCGAGTGTCGACGATGCAGGCTGGTGGACCTGGCGTGCCACCGACTACTCAGATGCAAGCGAATCGGTTGTCAGATCCGCTGACTGATGCCTTCTTTGGCACGACCCAGCCCCTGGGTGCCATTGATGACGTTTTGACCAAGGTACCGGCACCGACACACAAAGCACCATCGCCGCCGCCTTCTGCACCGACTGAGCTGCCAGCTTCCATCACACACAGCTCCGACACCATGAAGGCAGCACCCAAGGGTAAAGCTACGGCTACTGAACTCGATGCTGCCGTGTTCAAGCCCGTCACTTCTACTGGCAACAACTCTCCCGTTTCCAGTACGCATAGCACACAGTCCAACGCTGATGTAGAGCTGCGACAGAATCTGGAGATGGCACTTGAGTTCGAGAAACAGAATAGATGTCCGGGAACATTTCCGGTGTCGAGGAATGGGAGCACGAAAAGCATTGCTACTTAAAGGCATGAATGTGCGATGTTTTGAACGAGAATTCAGCTTGGGTTGATGCAGGTTTGGTATTTGGTGTAATAATTGTCGGTTTCGTATCCGTCATTTTTACTCAGACTGTCACAGGATTGATTCGGGAAATGGAAACAGAGTACAAACTCATGATGACGAAAGTGTGATTAGGTATATCTGTTAGCTTGGTAGATTTATTCCGAACTTTTCTTCAACACACGAGCTTTACGTCAAGACTTCTTTCGCAGTGCAGCACCCACTGCTTGTATCCTACCAACATCCGCATACGCGCCTCGCCCAATCTCTTCTGGCCACATATCAGGGTGTAAGATTTTGTACTCAACCAACTCTGCATCTTCCACCCTATTCAATTTCTCCAGAAATGCATCGTGACCAGGGTCGTCGACCGGAATGGCAACCCCGGTGTAAACGATAATCATGCCATTCGATGCCAATATCTTCATGCCTTCTTCCACAATGCGTAACGAGATGTCAAGACCGAATTCTGCACCGCCGTCCGCGTATATTGGTAGGTCTTCTTCGTTCTTCGGACAAGAAGCAATGTATGGAGGATTGCTGACGATGAGATCAATGCCACTGGATTTGAGGGTTTCGGGTACAGCGGCGTATAGATCAGACTCGTGAAAAGTAACTTCTGTGCCAGCCAAGCGAGCATTGACACCACCCAAGCTCAGTGCACGCGGATTTAGGTCTAGTCCAATGACTTCTGCATGTGGGTATGTTCTTGCCATATGTATCGCGCCGGCGCCTGATCCGCAACACACATCCACAACGCAATTCGGTGACTGCAGCATGTGTTCGCTGATGGTCTGCAGAAAGCCAATGAAAAGGTACGTGTCAGGCCCAAAGAAGACTGCATCTGACGAGGCTGGAAAAGATGAGTGGATGTAGTATAGCGGAGTAATCTCTGGTTCATGGTCCGGGGCAATGGGTAGATAGAAGTCTGACACGCGAATGGTCGAACGAAATTTGTTGCCATTACTCTTGATTACAGAGCTTTTATGTAGGGCGTCAAATATGTCGTCTGGGATTATCGATCTGAGTGTTTCCCTGAATCCTGTTAGTTGTGATCAATTGCAAAGAGTAAAGATTCATGACATGCTCAGAACATGGTAAACTCCAGCCGAAGAAGTCATGGATGCTCTTAGCATCTGCGGTAGATGCATGTGAACTTCTCTTCTGAACTACTCTGCCCTGCGTTTCTGGGGACGGGCAAACAAATGTGTACTTCTGCTCTCCCAAGTACTTGGTAAGCGCCTGAATTGCAGCTGTAGCTTCATGATCTTGGGTCATGTTGTGAAGTCTTGTGTACCTAGGTATGGTACGAACGCAGAATCAAGGCGTAGGGAATAGAATCCATTGTTTCCATACTGCACATGTCTAGGATGAACACTTTCACCGAATTGTGGGGCGATTCTGCTGTGTATGTGACGCAGCGGGGCTTTGTCACACATTGACAGGTCAGAGTGACGTTGGTCTTGGCATGATTTGCTACAATGGAAGGTGTCAGCTTCACGTGCCCACGTGGAACGATTTTACGTACTAGTCGACGCGCAAGGATGCAAGGGTCATCTGAACTCCCGCTATCATTGGTCCGGGGCGAATGACCCCAGATCTCGCTACATGCGCTGAGTTAGCGCCTGCGACACCATGACATCGACGTCTCAGGTAACTACTGACCGCAATCACAGCACAATCCCATCGTCAGTGAAATCAAATTCACCATGTGGCGTTTTAGATTCCACTCCGCGGACATAATCTGTCAAAACCGCCATCCACCCAAGTTGAATAGTTTGAGTACATAACACGACTTACATCATGTTCATACTACAAACCACCACGGCGGTGCTTCTCGCATTCATGGCACTGCTAGCATACAAAGAAGTTCGAAAATTTCTAGCGAACAGACGGTCAAGGAGGAAACATCTCGAAACGCCTGGCAGCCGGAGATATGCGGCCACAAACGACATCAAGCCACCCGTCGATGATCATGGTCTATCGTCCCTTTATGTCACAGCTAAGGCAGATCCTATGAACCCAGAATTTCAAGCACACAAACAGCTATACTTCAAACTGCACAATCTCGAGCATCATCCGGACATCTTGCCGGAATGTCGCGAACTACTCCTTTCCCTGCTATCGTCTACTCTCAGAGATGCTCTGGAAGAGCCGGAGAGCGGCATTCTATCAGTTACAAAATACTCACACGATAGGTTGAACTACTTCCTCAAGTCCAAAGACGTCGATGTCACCAATCGCTGGGAAGAGTATTTGGCTCGTCGCAAAGCGGGAGGACTCCGCGAAATGTTCTCCGACCAAGCCGAAGCAAAGTGGTGGCTCAAACAAGCTGCACCGGTGAAGTATGTGGACGGTGCGTGGCTTGGTCACATCAACAAGATCAGCACACCTTTCATGTACCGCAACATCACGAAAAATGCGTGGCAAGTCATGTCAGAAGAGCTTGGAGACGGCGATCTCGGAAAGAACCACGTTCATGTATACCGCAGTTTGATGAACGACATCAAGGCTGGACTACCTGACGCCGACTCCAAGGACTTCATTCAACCACGACATGAGCTGAATGAAGCGCGTTGCTGGAAAGCAGCGATCGCTCAACTACTCGTATCGTTGTTTCCGAATGACTTCTTGCCTGAGGCTCTGGGCTTCAATATGGCGTACGAGAGCTTGCCACTGCATCTTCTGAAGACGGTGAAAGAGCTTCGAGAGCTGCGCCTGAACCCCTACTACTTCGAACTCCATATTTCCATCGACAACGCCGATTCGGGTCACGCAGCCATGGCTATGTCTGCTGTGGCTGAATACATCGACCTTGTAGAGCAGACGGAAGGACCAGAAGCCGCACATGTGGCTTGGAAGCGTGTGCAGGCAGGCTACATTCTTGCCGAAGGCTTGCCAACCACTCCTGAAAGTCCATCGGTGAGAAAGCCACTGGAAGAGCTGTTTCCAAGCAACGAGAGGGAAGCAGCAGTAGTCAAGATCTTTGCGGCGAAGACCTTCGTCGCTCACAAACTCCACTGCAATAGTCGGTTACGCATCGGTCGCCGATCGTTGGTGGACTGGCTTGAACCAAACGCCTTCAAAGACCCCAAATGGCAGAAGGAATTCTTGCATGATCTGAGCAATTGCAAGCCTTGGGTTATCAAGGAAGACAGTTCGAAGAGCCGACTGGTCAAAGAGCTATCATGGGAAGGCAGAATGTTCGGCAGCTTCACCGACAGAGAGGTCGAAGTTGTCAAAGCTTGGATCGATCAACTTGGCGGCTCAACTCCACAACCAGACGCCACGATGTACCTGGCATTCACCCAGCGCCAAGCCCTCCCCTCACTATCAGACACGCAGGACATCCTAACAGACTACCCCGTCCTCTCCCCACTCCCACCTCTCCCTAAATTCCTACATCGCACTTCCAATACCAATCATCCCGTTCCCAAAAACTTCACGAATAAAAACTTCCTCACGCTCTTCTTCACCATGCCCACCCTCCTCACCTCCCTCCCCTCCCTACCCGTCCGCACTACCTCCACCCGCACCTCCTCCCTCCTCCTCGTCCTCCGCGCACAAACCGGCTTTCTACCAGAAACCTGCGGCGTCGCCGGCATGGACGAAGTCCGCCGCACCGCCGTCACCGGGCTCATCGACCTCGGGCTGGAAATGATGGCACTTGCGGGCTTCGAAGCGCCGGCGAATCTGCGCAAGGCAGTGAAAGGGAGTGATGCGGAGTTCGTGGCGTTTGCGGAGTGGATGGTGGCGACGAGTATGCGGTGGAAAGAAAGGGGGGATGTGCTTGTGGGCATGGCGTGGGCGGGGATGGAGGTGCATGAGGTTGTTGCGAGGGAGGGGGAGGGATGCTTGAGTGCGGGAGGGAGGGAGGTGTTGAAAAAGATTGCGGGGAGGGAGAGAGTGGGGTTGGAGGGGTGGAAGAGGGAGGTTGAGGGGGATGAGAGACGGAGACGGGAGTTTGAATGGGGGTATGAAGTTGTGTGGGAGGCGGTTAGGGCGGCTTGGTAGGATGGTGTAGGTATTGTTTGCGTGTTGTGGTCTTATTTGTGACTGTGTGGACCACCACATCCTCTGATCCTATCAAGATTGGGGAGGATGAGGGACGGCGGGAAGAGTTTGAGAGAGGATATGGGGTTATGCGAGGGTCTGTTAACGAGTCGTGATAGAATGGTGTAGTTATCGTGTTCGTGTCATGTTCTCATCTGAGTGTGCCGACTATCATGTATCTTATGTGGCTAGTGTGCGGGAGTGTGAGCTAAGGAAAAAGTAACATCACGTGACTCCCACAAACACTTGCGCATTCTTCACCGACAAGCTGATATGGACGTCATAATATCGCTCCCTCACTACATCATGTCGAGCACCATAATTGACCATTTGCATCGAAAAGTCAAAAAATTACTTCAATGGCGAGGGTGTCGAAATGAGGCTGGAAACAGATGCCCAACATGATTTCATGTTAATCACACTGAGGAATTAGCAGACCAGTAAAAGATTCAGATGCATTCGACCATTGCTTCGCGACTGTTTTGGAGAATCACGCCAGCAACGTGTTTCGGGCGAGTACAATGTCGCGGTCGGACCGTTTGTGAGGCTGCGAAATACGCCGTGATCGTGATCGTGATATGTGACATAGATCTCGATATGAATCACATTTCGCACATTGGAATTTGTTGCCAGCCACCTGCGAGAACGAGGGATCCCGCTCGTGCTTTTGTTGTTGGATCATAACAAACCTGTCTTATATGGGAGTGGTACGACTTGGCGAACGGGAGATGCACGGTATCCCTGTCCGGAAGTTGCTTTCGGCGACCGGCACCGAGACCTAGACAACCTGATCACCGAGCGCTTCAAAGCAAGGCGCGCTCCCATGCGCTGGAGCTGAACAAAAGGGCCGTGGTTGAGTAATTTGAAGAAAAGTGGTCGGCGTAGGGTCGGCATCGAGTTCAGCCGCGCATTGCGAATGCGGGATGGCTGAGTGCTGCGGCACCGCGTCGACCAAAAGCAAAAAGGTGAAGGAATACGTACCACCAACAGGATACGCGTACGATGGCATGCAGCATGCTCTGATGTGCGCAGGGCTGTCGTGCTGCCGTTTCACCCGCGAGCTGTCACTGTTTGTTTAGCTCTGCACCATGACGGATAGCGGCTGTAGAGGCCCCGCCACACAGATTCCTGAAGCCTAGAGGCATGCGCTGCATGCAGACGATGCGTGATCGATGGTTCGCAAGGAGATTGTTGCTAAAAACAAGGTGTTTGCAAGCGCAAGGGGTGCATGTGAAGCGGGTGTGGACTAGTGCTAGCGCGGGGCGTCTGCGAATCGGGGAGGCGCGTGGGCGCGGTTGCGTGGATGGCTGGGGCGTGGCTGGAGTACCGAAACACAAACATTCATGTCCTGCAAGCTGCTGCACGACACTTTACACCTGCTCCACCTCCTTCACCGTCGCTCTTTTTCCAATCGCTGTTTTTCTGTCGACGTCGCTGCACCTTTCACTTCTTCGACTCGCGATTGCAGCGTATGACCGTTTACCGACTCTCGATCCGGCGACCCAATCGCCCCTCCGACCGCGCCCGCTCGCTCGGGAATAGCCTCACTGGCACTCGACCTCGATAAGCCGGCACTCAACGCAAGCAGCGCATGATGGCTACGAGAACAGTCAACCATGCGGCCGCCATATTTGCGGACATGTCTGTAGACGGTCCTGTGATTGGCACTCTGGTCGCCATCTTCGACCGGGCCAAGAACCTGCCCAATGTAAGTCGCAACAACATTGAAGCTCGCCTCGAACAGCGCTGACTAGTCCCGAAGAGGAAGTCTATGGGTAAACAAGACCCCTACTGTGCTGCTCGGTTAGGGAAAGAAGCCAAAAAGACCAAGACCGACAAGCGCGGAGGACAGACGCCGCGGTGGTGAGTGCAGTATGGGAGTGTCATTCGATATGGACTAACAGATGCGATAGGGACCAGGAACTCCGTTTCACCGTCCACGACTCGCCCGACTACCACCGCCTAAAGATCTCCGTATTCAACGACGATAAGAAGACGGAATTGATCGGCGAGACCTGGGCCAACCTGGACGCCGTCATCACACCCGGCGGCGGACAGAGCGACGACTGGCACCCGCTCAATTGCAAGGGCAAATACGCTGGCGAGATTCGAATCGAGCTGACATTCTACGACACCCGCCCTAAGGCAGAGAAGCCGGTGGTCGAAAAGAGGAGGGAATCTACGCGTCCCGAGGGTCAGAGTCCAGCAGTTGGCGGACCACGAGAGAGCATGCCCGTCAAGCGAAGACCGCTTCCTTCCGACCCCACAGGCGCGACACCATCGCCATCGAACACACCGGAACAGCGCGGACTGCGGGGATTGAGGGCGGGTCCTCGCGAGCTGGGCTCTCCACGCCATGCGCAGCCGCAAGAGCGCACCCCAGTACAGCAGCGCAGCAGCCAGCAACCGGACACGCCGTCTCGCAGGCCACTGCCCGATGCATCGCCGCTCAGCGGCAGTCCGGCGTCGAACAATACCCCCCAGCGCCAGCAGGTGCCTCAGGCGCAGGATCCATACACGCCGCCAAACCCGCGGCCGTCACTCACCAACGTCACTCAGCAAAATGGCCAGAGCTACGACTTGTCGTATGCTGCGCCAAAGCCTTACGAGGTGCAAGCCGCCAATGCCGTGCCCTCGCACGTCAGGGACAATGCGCACAACAGGACCATGTCGCAAGACAACTACCAGTCCTCGCGACCGCAATCTCAGTTCTACCCTCCCGAGCCGGCCCACTCGCACTCGGCACCAGTAGTTCCGACGCAGCACACGTTCGAGCCCGAGCCGCGCCAGGACCAGTACCAACAGTTCAAGGACCCTCAATACCAGCAGTCACCATACTCGCACGAGCAGTACCAGGACCCCCAATACCAGGTGGCGCCGCTTAGGCCAAGTAGGAGCCATGATCGCAGCCCAGCCCAGCTGTCACCTCTCGAGCAGTACCACTCTGACACCTATGGTAATCTGCCTTCTCCGTATGACGAGAACGCATCGCATCGCAGGCGAAGTGCCATGCAACCCATGGTGGAAGACGAAGACGACATGCCGCCTCCTCCACCGACACATAGGAAGAATGCGAGCACCCTGCCTCATCCAAGCCAAGAGAACCTTCGCAGTTACCAGGATGAGAGCCCGGCGCCATTGAATATGACACGGTATCGCGAGGAGCCTCAGCAAGCAGCGTACAGTCCACCAGACCCATATTCGTTCGAAGAACAAGTCCGTCAGCAGCCTGCGGAACGTCGTATGACGTATCCTCGTGGAGCCGTGCAGCAGCAGGCACACCGGCCAGTATCGCGCGGCGATGCCATAGCCCCATCCCCTCTACGACAAGAGACATCAGCTTTGCCTTCGAGCCTGATCGCCGGACGCGACCCTTCGCGTGATATGGTGGCATACGAGGCTCCGCCACCATCTTACGAGCCCCAGCCTCGTCTTCGACAGTATTCTGAGCCTGCGGAATATCGATCGGCAGCTCAGTATGAGGCACCAGCTTTTTCGCAGGAATTGGTCCATCGGTCCTCCCTGCCTCCGTACGACTCACCCTACTACCCTCATGATCCGCCCGAGCAGCCACGTCGCAGGTCTCCGGTGCATGATTTTCCCGTTGTCAAGCCCCGTGCGACCAGCCCAAGCGTGAATCCTAGATATTCTCCCAACCCTGTTGAGAACCGCATGTCGAGATACGAGCCTAGCCCTGCAGAGAACCGCATGTCCAGATACGAACCGACCCCTGTAGAAAACCGCATGTCCAGGTACTCTCCTACTACGGTAGATGACCGTACGTCGCGCGGTCCTGCACGAAGCATGCCTACACGAAAATCGGTTTCGCCCCGCCCACCACCCATGGAAAACTCTGGTGAGCGTCGCCTTTCCGGAATCGCTTTCAACCCAGACAGCTTCGACGTCTACAACCCGAGAATGTCCAAGTCGCCAATTCCCTCTGACGATGAAGAGCGCCCTGGCAGCAGGATGGAATACAACGACAAGGGCCAGATCGTCACGTTTAGTGGACGTGTCGTTGACGCTTCGGACCACTTGCCGATCGACAACTGGGCGCCTGAGCCCACACCAAAAGGCACTGTCAAAGAGAAGCCGGCCCGCACGCGAGCACAGCTGAATGGCTCTAGAGACATTGAGGCAGCCAGGCAGCGCGAGGAGAAGTATCGTCGGGATCGCGAGGCCAGGGACCGCATCCGTCACGCCACAAGCCAGACCTTTGGTGATTCCGATGAGCCCAGTAACGCTCTGGTTACCACCAGGCACGATTTCAACGACCGGTACGCCAACGCCGGCGCACTCGTTCTAGCAGACCAATCTGCTACCCGATCCCGTGCCAATGACCGCGATGGCTATCAGCGACGCAGCCCACGCCCCTCATACGACGGGCATGACTCGGGCTCCTATTCCGCACGTCCCGAACCGCACGTCCTCCGCGAGCGCCATAACCCTAACAGCTACAGCTCAAGCCCAAGCTACGGAAACGAAGCTCCCAGATATTCTGGCGCACCGCCGATTCCAGCCAAAATCCCTCTCGGACATGGTGCAAACATTCAAAACGAAGACATGGCTTTGAGCCTCGAACTGCAGAGCATCGACATTGGGCCTGGCAGTGGAGGACGCCGTGGCCGAACTCAGCCTAGGAGGCAATACGGCTATTAGCCTCATATTTTCTTTCTTCCATACACATTTGGTAGTGTAGTTCTTGTTTTTGCTAGCCTTTCTGGCACTGTATAATACTTTGTGGGGAACATGGATGGGAAATGGGTTGGGAGGCCTTTTGTGTCTTTTCTTTTGCTCGATGCCTGTCGATCAGCAACTTATTTGCGGGATCCAGGACATGTCTGAGTTTGCAGCTTGCATTGCATAGAACTTTTTTTGACGCGGCTTTGTGCGCTACACTTCATTTTCGGTAGATATACACCGTGCGAAAGACTTGCAGAGTAATACTACTGTCATACACTACTTTTTGCATCGAATTCTGCTTGTTCTTGTTCTACTTGTGTGAGGTGAAAGTAAAGCGACCCGTAGCTCGCTATGACGGATCTCGGGGTCGTATATTCAAAGTTTTTTCTTAGACTCGGTCTAACGCTCGAGAGATAGGCATGCTTTTTGAACAGGTTGTTATCCGTTACTCTGCGCCTGGGTCTTCGCCTATGTACTTTTTCTGTCTTACATGAAGTTTTACATGCACGATTTTCCTTTCTTGTCAAGTCTTAAATCGATCTACAACACGGATGACCCGCGCCCTCGACGCACCCTAACCCAAACACTTCTGCGCCCTGACCCAAACATGCCATATTCTGAGTTGAGAACTCGCGAATGTCTGGAGGCGAGAAAGTCTGGATGGTGTCAACCACGATTTGCCTTTGTACATCGATACGTTTCTTACGGGCATGCTTTGCTTTGGAACGGCAAACGCGCGCATTGCTAGCGTTGCTCTCACCTGACGTAACTACGGCTTCCACACCTCGCCAGCATCAAACACGAGATATCAGCTCTCACAATCTTTGAAACAATCAAACATGCAAGCTTTTCAGTGGAGGTGCGGACCTCTCGACCACTGTCATGGCCGAGGGTGACACCGTCAAATCTCCTCTCTTGCGTCTTCCCGGAGGTATAAATTATGCCAGTCTCTCCAATCGCGCCGCTACTAACATTTGCCAGAGGTGCGCAACCTCATCTACGCCTACACCACCGAGACTTCTACTGGTGCACTCCATGGCCCAACTAGACCCGATGGCCATCAAGAGCCCGCGCCAATCGCTCACGCTCAGTGGCTCCATCTCAAGCGTCAGTGGCTCGGCCTGACCCAAGTCTGCTAACAGATTCGATCCGAGTTTTTGCCAATACACCGAGAAGCCACTGGCCATCAGGTGTACATGTACCTGGTCGACGTTCCTGACTAAATCAACACATTCATCGACAACCATGGCTGCTGTGACGCTGATATCATTGGTCGCCTTACCATCGATATGAGGATGCGAAACAGCAATGGTCGCCGCAATCTTGCAAGCGTGGATATCCTGCCGCTCCTCAAGATTTGCTTGGGCAAACCGCCAGGTGCATCTAAGTTCCATGTCACCTTCACCGACAGCCAAGCACTCAGCCGAGAAGGCTATTCCACTGGCATCGGTCCTCACATTCGTGCAGGCGGCGTATACCAAGACACGACTGCAATGTTCCACCCCATGGCCAACAAGAAGTGGCGAGCGTTCGTGATGCAGTATGTCTCAAGCTTTGTCGTCAGCTTGAATGATGCTCGGACGCCGCGTTGCAAGATGGGCATATTGCGAGATTACTTCTATGGCGGTGAGCGCTTGGGCTACGACTTCCTACCCATCATCAATGGGCCTTTGAATCATAATTTCAGGAGTAATCTGCCGCGGGAGACAAGAAAGACGTGGGCGATGAGCCTGAGGACTCCGATGCTGTTGTTGATTTCACCAATGACTATTTCGATCGATTAGGAGATGCAGAGAGACAGTGAGTGAACGATTCGAGCATCACTTCTCAATCAGAGATTGAAACGATATCGTAGAGTTTCTCCATGACTCTTCTCTCTTTCGGATGTCTTGGTATCAGTATTGAGGCATTCATCATCCAACCCATCCAGTTGGTAAATGAGTCTATTACGGTCTTGGACGTCAGGATGAGGTCGATTGAGAACTGCCCAGATCATGCGGCTCTTGGGGCTACCCCGATCTTTTAAAGATTAGAAACAATGAAAAAGCCTTCGTTGCGATATGTACGAGCCCATAACGTGTTCTGTCTCTTGCACGCGCCATCTTCGTTGGTCAGCGTTTCGTCATCGGCGTGCTGTCACCAACGGGACGCCGTAGATACTCAAGCTTTTCCTCTGCACCTTTACAATGCAATCTAGAGGCTTCTCTGTGGTTTATGCAAGTATACTACTATCGCTCCAGAAGCTGATGCATATCATGTACTTGAGTGATGATGGAAAGAGAATAACAATACAGGCCCTGTCGACAAGGCCAGAAGATAGAAGACAGGAGCTCAAAACACACTTGCAAATCTTTCGTTGCAGGTAGAAAATCCTCCTCTGCATCCTTCTATCCAGTTTCAATACGCCAGCCTTGAACCTGAACATGACGGCCTGCAAAAGCCTGCTTTAGGTTGCCTCCCATACTCAGTCACCATGTTCGAGATGACTTATACTACCTTTGTAGCACCATATCCTGTAGCGACAGCGGAATGTTTATATACATGGACTTGCATACACAGGTACCAACTAGAATAATGAGACCTCGTGAGCTTACCTTTGAGAAACGCGCACGTGCCTCATCAGCGTTAACTTGATCAAGTTAGCCCTTATTTTCAAACATGCGCGCATTCGTGACAACCCAACATTCAGCATTACAACGACGAACGGCCCAGCATTCACCCCCAAGGTCGACAGCCATGGCCTTATTACGAACGCTGATAAGTGCTGGGAAGAGGGTTTGGAGAGGTAGCGAGCAGTCCGCATCAGCCCGTTCCTCACGTGCCCTCTCTATTACATGTCGGGGCAAGTCCATCAGCCGCGACGAGCTATTCGCTTACACAAATGGCCGTTTCCTCGTGAATGAGACCCACGCTTGCGATCGAAGATTTGTTCGATTTGATGTCGACCAGCTTTGCTCTGTAGCTGCATCAGCTGGTGGGCCACTCTCACCTATTCAAGCAATTGAGAAGCTTGAAGGAGGGTTCAGCAAGGCACTTCTTATGCGAAAAGAGGATGAGCGGGAAATTGTCGCCAAGATTCCCTTTCCCATTGCAGGTCCACCAAAGTATACAACTGCTTCAGAGGTGGCCGTGCTTTACTACCGTAAGCGCATCATCGCTAAGTGCTTCGATCGGGACTAATAATACCATGGCAGTACAAGCACACACTAGTATTCCCGTGCCTAGAGTCTTAGCATGGAGCTCGGATCCGTCGAATCCTGTTGGCGCAGAGTATATCATCATGGAGAAGGCCTCTGGAGTACAGCTATTCAACACTTGGGGCACGATGAGTGATTCTGATCGCTTTGAACTTGTCCAGCATATAACGGAACTGGAAGGTGAACTCGCATCGATATGCTTTCCCGCAAGTGGAAGCTTGTACCTCCGCGAATCGTTGGCTAAGGACGAGGCGCAATTTGAATTGAGTCGTGATGCAGATCCTTCGCAAAAGTTCTGCATAGGGCCATCCTGTGAGCGGCAGTGGAACAGTCAGTCGGAGGAAGACACAAAAATTGTGCCTTCAACAAACTTCGATCGAGGTCCTTGTGAGTTGAATGGGCAACTGCAGTGTTCTTATTTAACATTCACAATAGGGCTGAATATTTCATCTCTTGGTGATGCACTCGTGAAACGCGAGGTCGGGCGCATCAGAGAGCATTACTCAATCACGATGCCTGATCGACCTACCATCTCTACTGAAGGACAACTCGCCGTTCTGAACATGGCCACGGAGGTCATGTCTAGACTAGACACGGGCACGATCATTGACAGAGTTTCTCAACCGGTGCTGTGGCACACAGATCTGCACATGGGTAACATCTTCGTGTCCTCCGAAGACCCAACAAAGGTCGTCTCGCTCATCGACTGGCAGTCGATTTCAGTCTCACCATTGGTTCTACAAGCTCGCTTCCCGGAAATTTTATCTTTGGACCCTGACTTTGTCTTGGACTCAGCAATGCCTGATTTACCTGAGGATTACGAGACTCTAGATGCTGCTGATAAGCAGATAGCCGAGTTCAAGACAAGACAAGCCAGAATGGCGAAGGCATACGAAGTAGCTTCTTCAGTTCACAACCCGCAAGCATACAAAGCCTTCTTCATGCCCTCCTTCCTGCAGGATCTTTTCACCAGATGTGGAGAAGCGTCTGAGGAGGGTATAATCCCACTTCGGGCATGTCTTATACAGATTGCCGAGGCCTGGGATGATATTGGCTTCGAGGGTCCATGCCCATTGGAATTTAGCGACGAGGAGATCCAAAGGCACAGCCAGCAGTTCCAAGAATACCGCGACTTCCATAGGATCCAAGAACTCGCTAAAAAGCTCCTCGACACTGATTCTGAAGGCTGGATCTCCCCCCAGCTTGACTTTACATTAAAGGTACAACAGAATAAGGACTTGCTAGAGGAACTCATGCGCAGAAGTAACGAGTACAACAAGTCACCAGAGGAAGTCCGCAGGATATGGCCGTTCTGAAACACTCGGTAGGCTCTAGTACAGGTACAGAACCTTGGCAGGCCCAGATTCTCGATGATTTGTTGCACAAATGCAGATACAACAACATGATACCGGGACTGTTCTCTTGAAAGCAACACGGATCTGGCGACCGAAGAAATCATCTAGATCGATTCTAGATAATGCAACTGTGCCTCGAGTCATCAGAGGCCACAGGCTCCAATGGAGAGGGTAGTTACCACCTGCGCAACCCAGCGCCTGCTGATTCGACCCCAACCGATACTAGCTAGCATCCTAGCTGCTTCATCGATATCCGAGCGGCTCTGCTGTCAGCACATCTTTACATAGGTGAACACCTTACGCCATAAATTAAGGCTCTGTGGGAGTTGGCACGCTCCATGGTAACGATGGTTCTAAGTCAGTGACATCAGCAGACAAGCTATTCCTCACGGGGAAAAGAACATGAAGATTTTAGGGAAGATCATATCCAAGTGACAACATAATTTCTGCTTCATTCGACCTAATTGAAGCAACGTATCAGCGTGATTTGTAGAATCTCGACTTATCAGGTAGTCGACCCTTTGAACTAGAAAATGAGTTTGTCAGGATTTAGGACGCCAGTATTGGGCCAATGGAGAACTGCCTAGATCATGCGGCTTTCGGGGCACGAACAGACCTCGTAAAATTTAGAAACGATAGGAACACAATGTAAACGCCTTCGTTATGGTCTTCACTAGCCTGGATATTGTCTAATGTCTGCGCCTAATATTCGATATGGTGTGAGTTGGCTCTGGAAAATGGTTCAATTGTCTTTGAAAAGCATCATCATGCCACCAGCAGCAACTGTGTTCTTCGTACAATGGAGTGAAGTAAACCAAAGAGAAGTTATAAACACGCCTTACATCCAATATGATAACACAGAAAAACATGAAAGATCGGGCTTTTCGATCCTCCGTGACGTATGATACACAACCTTGCTTCATATTCAAGTACCCTAACGCGGGCACGCAAGCATCTGATTCGGCCCTGTCGGTCTGCAAAAGCCCACGTGCAGTGGTGTCCCAAATGCATAGGCGGCTCGATCCCCGTACGCATTGATTGTGGATCCTATCGACCCGGGGTTGTAGTCGCAACGCGATGTCTCTGGGCAACTATTCGGATCGGTACTGAGGCATTGAGGAAGGCAAGCTGTAGTGTCCCTGTAGGCGCCGTTACACCTCAGTACGGTGGCTAAGCATTGTCTTCCACGACTGCAGCCAATGTTACAGCTCGTGATTCCAAGAAAGGGCAAGCCGTCGCCGGCTTCGATACCGCCAAGCGTAATGTTACTGAGTACTTGAATTGAACTGTCTGGGTCAAGACTGAGGGTGGGTACATATGTGGTTTGACTTGGAGGAGTTTGCTTCGAAGTCGCGTTTCGTGCAGACGGGAAGCCAGTGGAGCCAGCGACGCATAGCGAGCGGTCATCCCATGTTGCCTTCGCAGCGTCGCGCCAAAGACGCGTTGTGTTGAAGATGTTGTCCAGCGTATAATAAATGCGGCAATCGGCTGCTCCATACTTGAAATGTAGCGGCGTCGTCTCATTCGCGCGCACCTGGTCGCGTATGTTGATAGTGGCATCTGTGATCCACATGCCTGTATCTGAGCGACTGGGTAGTTGTGCTGCGGCGGTACTGTTCTTGATGGTGTCTGAAACAAAGCCGAAATCTTCGTCCAATTCAGAGGCATGGTAGACTCGGGCGCCACGGCTACCACCGACAGCTTGCATGGGGCCAGGCTCGGGACGTCCACCAACTGCAACTGTTCGCACGCCGGCTTGAGTCATCATTTCCACGAACACGGCACAGGCCGATGCGCATAAGCCATCTGTCAGAATGACAACATCATTGGGAGCCCACGGCTGCGGCGATGGGGTGTCAGCTTTGTTAATGCCATATCCGTATGGTACCCAACCCTCGAAAGCAGCGATATCGAATACCTCGTTCGAGAGATTGTAACGTTGCTATGCTTTGTCAGTAAAGCCCTATAGTTTGTAGGGTAATGCTTACAGCGGCAGAGAATAGATCTCCATGATCAGACACGCGGCCATAGTAGTCAGCCCAAGAAGAGAAATTGCTTCCAGTGGCAGCGTTGATGCGATTCACCGCGATCCATTCTTCTGCCGCAGCGTAGCTGTACGCGAATCCGTTAGCGTCAAGGTCCGTCTCGAGCCCTTTCCACCATTCAGAGTAAGCTGCACCAAGAACATTAGTGAGCTCATGACTCCGGATTCGGGTCGCTGCGTACGGATCAATATTGTAGAAAAACTGTTTGAATGTGTTGTAGGCCAGGAACACTTCGCCACCAGAATTCGTTTGTAGATCGATCACGATCCGAGAAATGTTTTGTTGTGTCGCATTTCCGATGAAGTACTCCACAGTGTCTTGGAAGAATCCAGTGTTAGGGTCGAATTGCATGAACGTTGGGACACTCAAGACACCAGTAGACATGTCTTTGAGGAAGTAGCCGCTAACGACGCCACCTCCTGTAATGGCAAGATCGGGTTGAGATACTACTGGATCATTGGGGTAGGTGCCAGAGCTTGCCTGGCACCAGTTGAGCTGTGAGGGGTGGCCACTTGAGCATATTTCTTCGTACAAATTGATGGACGGCGCGTTACCACTGGATGTCTCATTGTGCGCCGGATCTATTGGCCACCAGATACTTCCTTCCTTGTAGCTAGCAGGTTTTAGACCGAGAACGAAGTAGTTGTAGAAATCTCCAGCCGTGGTTAATGGTCCAGGATTATCCAGCTCATTGTATATTGACAGCCAGTATGCATGATGTGGTGTCCCGTTTTTGAAGGTTACTTCAAGCTTGTCTCCAGGGTAAAATGTTGCAGACTGAAAGATACTTAGATCTCCACTGATGTATAAAGCTGGACTGTCCATAAGCGAATTCCAGTCTGCGTGTGGCTCGACATAGCCGTCTGTATTGAGTGTTGCAAATTCTGCGAGGAATTCGACAGCGTCTCTACCATTGATCTTGTTGATCGGGGCAGGTTTATAGCCATGTAGACGACCATTGCGGATATCTTCTGCAATGTAGATTTCTGGAAGTTGCTTTCCGTCTGAGGATGCTGACACGATGCCATACGGGCTAACGAAGGAGAAGGCGTTCATAATGCCAGAGCTGAGAGTGACATGTGAATCATGCATGCGACTGATAAGACTGTGATGTTGTGAGTGCTAGATCAACTTGTGCCTTGCATCCACAAAGTACTTACAGTTGAACATCAGCTTCAAAGCTGTACTGCTTCTTGTATACCCCTGAAGTGATGTTGCGCTGGATGTCACCGAGTACTTCGATTACATCAACAGGTGGTTGTTGATAACCGTGAGGAGGGGTTTTCAGAAATGCGAGTGTACTCTGAAATTGTAGAGTCATGTTATAGTAGTTGATGAAACGGGTAGCAACGGCATCGTTGAAAGGAACGCGTGACAAGCATTCAAACACTTCTTCGGCGTAGAAGATTCGGTTACCTACTCGAGATCAGCGCCATATTCAGCTGTTTGCTGTGATAAGTCAACTCACCCTTTTGCGCATCGATGACAATGTCGCCACAGATGGTTTGGTCCCATGTAAGTGGGGCCCTGTCCTGCCGCGGCACGACCCCCGACAGTAGCGGCTTGGCCGATCCCGGCACAAGGATCGACAACAGCGACAAAGCGCGAAAGAACAGCATGATGCGCACGTGGGAAAGATTGAAGCAAGATGGGTTTATAGCCTGCATTATAATTCTCAGGCAAGCCGTCACGCTCTTTTGTATCGACATTGTGCTCTCAGAAGGCAAAAGGCTTCGAGTTTGGCACCCTAGAAAAGGATCTATCTCTGGCCGCACAGCCTTCAGCTGTATTGGAAGCTCCCCAGAGGCAAATGAGGGTGCGAATCAATTCTCAGTACCACCCTGCACTTGAAAACCGGTCACGATAAACGGTATCTTCTCCTTTATCCGGTGGACGAACAAAACGCTTCTGTTGGCTGAGGATCGTCGAGTGCTGCAGGCATGGTCAGGGCAGCTGAGATCTGTGATCGGTTTTGGACGCGAAGGAGGGTAGGGTCCGATGTGGCTGTCATCTTTGTGCACTCGGAACCATTAAACAACCTCGCAGCCCCCACGAACACTACCACGACATTACACTCATTTCCGAGACCTCAAATGGGCTGACTCCATCCAAAGGTCTGTTTATCCAATGAGATTTTGAACTTCCTGCGCTCCATTTCTGTGTAAAAAGCTGTTGAGGAGCCTGATTTCGGAGGACAGCGCCTTCCTATTCTGTCAGGATGTCACACACGGTTGGGAAACCAGATCCATTCGGCCAGAGACGCCGGCTTGCGCACTCGGCCATTTCCGATGAATACCGATTGACTCCTGAAACTTATGAAAATCTCTTTGGTGAGGTCTTCTTTGAGTCGCAGATTTACAGGGTTTGGTCACAAGGCAACCGCCCATGGGCACTCCATTGCTACGGTGATCCTGGCTGTGGCAAAGTACGCGGAAGGCTCCATACATAGAACGTTAGCTCAATTCTGAACAGACAACTCTTGCCGCAATCACGGTCAACAGGCTACGGGCGCATGGCACAAGTTCAGTCGTCTCTGTATTCATTGGGAAGGACACCAAAGTCAGTGCCGCAGATTTACTGGAAGATCTCCTGGTATGTATCCACAACCAGCTTCGAAGCATCGATCCAGAAACCGACAATCACTTCGCGCAATATGAGACAGCATGCCGTTATGGCGAGTCAGTATCCAGACGGACCACACTCCTTCGCGTCGCGATTACGTCTCTCTTGGACAAGCATCAGCATACGTTCCTCGTAATAGATGGCTACGATCGAGTAGGGCACGATCTGCAAATCCTCCTCGATCGCGAATTAGCCGATCTTCGAGCTCATCGTTTGCGCGTCATGTTGACAAGGAGAGTTCCTGCCTTCGAACCACCCAGAGTAAAAATTTGCGACGGCTGCCAGGCATACAATCTGAAGCTGTACTGGGTAAGTCTTGTCTGTCGAATCCAGATAAATCGTCCGCTCAGGACCTTACTGATTTTACCAAGTCATGCAAAGCATGTTTTGCGCTACAACTGCCATTTGGTAAGTTGATAAACTAAATCAATCCCGATTTGTGTCATTATTCAAATGTAACCTCTTGTAGATTTGTGCTACGACTGTAGAGTGAAAGAACGAATATGTGTCGTCCATGGCGTAGCCCACTTTGAGGAATCTTACAACCACGTCTCGACTGACGTCAGTTATCCAGACAACATGGAAGAATACCTCTTGTGGGAACTGAGACGAATGTCTAGAGTCCCTCAGCTTCATATGTTCCTGGAAGATGCCGGCATGTCTCAACGTATTATCAAATCCATGAGCTACGACAGGAACATCACTATAGCGAAGCTGTATCTGGACAACGTCTTCAGGGAGCAGTGCCTCGATGTTGTTGTCAAAGTAAACGACAGGCTTCCCCGCAACATAATCGCAATGTTCGATGATGGTATCGGACGTATCAAGCAACGACCGGACCGCGAAGCTGACATCGGCCTGCTGGCTATTGCTGCGGTCGGAGAGAATAATCAAGGAATAGCTCTTGTTTCGTTAGCCAATTGGATGAGAGATGCATTAAGCCGTTTACCGTATCTTGCGCAAGCCCCACCACGTAGCCTCGAGGATATTCTACGTTACACAAATGGATTCATCCAGGAACGTGTTTCCAATTCAGGGGATCGATATGTTAGCGCTTACAGTGTCCATTTTGCGCGTTATATCAAAGAGAACTATAACAGTTCATTGTTTTGGGCCAGGAACCAGCTCAATATATACCGAACTTCCAAGACGTGGACGGCAATCTCTCAAATTCCGCCAAGATTGACATCTCCGCCGTTGGTTTCATCACCACCGATCACCGCTGATCGATTTGGACTTGCTGGTCAAAGCACGATAGGAGCTTCACTGCGACCACAGATAGATTACTTTGACCAGTCATCCCGAGCTGGTGTTTCTGCCTGGCAGCCGCAAGCCCTACCCAGGCATTCTCTGCCAGCCCTTCCTACAAAATCAGAGTTGGATCTAAAGAAGAAGGAATTGGGCCCGCTGATCCGAAGCTACACCATGACATCAGTGCAGAGGAATGAGTTCGGTTCAAACGAAGACAGTGTAGAAGAGGAACCCGAGCAGCTTGATTATGAAAAGCAGAGATGGAATCGTTCAATGCACAGGTATGATTCCCTCATGCACCCTGCCAACACCACTAACTTCCATACAAAGTACGTTACTCTATACAGTCATTCCACTAACCAGATTTGAAATCATACAATTTCCACTTTTGTACGTGTATCACACCGTAAACTAATATGAAGTTCCTTCTCCAGGACCAACGACGAGCCGGCTCTGTGGGATGTGCGAGACTCACATCTTGGGTTGTGGCAAATTATCCGGAATCTATCGAAGAGACTACAGCAGTGTGACTGAATCGAAGGCCAGGGCTTGTGTCTTCTGCGCTAGTCTGTATAAAGACTTCTTGGACATCAATAAGGCACATCCAGATAGGGTCCTATGTCTAGACAGCCAGTATTACTGCTGGTCAATTCGGACCGCAGCCAGGAGCCGTGAGAGCAAAAGTTCAATTTTGATCATGTTTCACCCAGCAATGAAGAAAGAGGATATTGAGTCAAGCGTAGCACCTCTACTAGGAGCAGGTGGCGGTAGCAAAGCTTCATATGATGTTGCGTCACATTCCCGCGGCACACAATCACACTTCAAGGACGATGCATCACACCTCGGAAGCATTTACCCATCACGCATGTTCCATTTTATTGCCGAGGACGAGCTTGGCCAGTCACTCATGAAAGACGAGCTCGGAGCAACGACAGACGTCGCTAGCAAGGCTGTTGGACTGCAGGTCAAAGCATGGATCTACAACTGCAACGAACATCATGAAAATTGCATGAAGGCCTCCAAAACCACTTGGGTGCCCACTCGCCTTCTTGACCTAGTGTTTGGCGATGAAAGTTCTATCAGGCTTGTGAATGCCAAAGAAGAAGGTGTACAAGGTCCGTATGTCACTCTGAGTCATTGCTGGGGTCCCAATCCAAAGTTCTTGACTACGACGCGTGAGAGGGAAAAGTTGCATATGACTAAAGGCATCAAAATTTCCGACCTTAAATCGACCAATTTCGAGGAAGCCATTAGCGTCGCAAGGCATCTCGGCATCCGATACATCTGGATAGGTAAGTAACATTCAAATTACCGCCTATAAGTGATTCATACCCTGTCCTTTTGCTCATATCTCGCAGACTCGCTCTGTATCATACAAGGTCTCAACGGAGATTTTCAAGCTGAGGGCCAGCTCATGCACAAGGTGTATCGGAACTCATACTGCAATTTAGCAGCCGCTGATTCCAAGGACAGTCACGGCGGACTATTCAGGAAGAGACAGTCTTCAGATGTACTCCCCGGAGGGTACGAGGGTGACGGGTCTTCGCCAATTTTTGGGACGACAGCTTGGAGAATCATGCCAGATAATCTATGGGATGCTGAACTGCTCGACACGGAAATTTACAAGAGGGGATGGGTGTTTCAGGGTCAGCAGGCTACCATCTCTACATCTTTGGAGAAAATCACACTAACTTACTGAGCAGAACGCATGCTATCGCCCCGTATTTTGCACTTTGCACGTAACCAGATTTTCTGGGATTGTGGCGCTATATCCGCTTGCGAAACGTTACCATCAGGCCTACCGCTTATGCTCGACGATGCAGCATCCACCGATCGGCACTGGCGTGGTCGCCTTCAGGAGTCGTCATCATTGGTACACGCTCCACTTGCAGGTGTCAACACCGACTCCCTTGGAGAGTTTTGGTCATCTGCTGTGCTGAGCTATACGCAGTGCGATCTGACCGACCAAGTTGATAAGACGCGGGCGATTTGGAGCATCGCAAAGCTTGTGCGTGATGCTTGGGGGGATGACTATGGAGTAGGTACGTGGGCTCTGGCTGTGGAAGAACAACTAAATTGGACTGTTATCAACATCAAGACGACTGTGCGAAGTGTTGACCTGCAATGGAGACTACCAAGTTGGAGCTGGATGAGCATTCAAGGAGCCGTGTCTGTGCCTAAAAGAGTGTTAGACGATCGCTGCTACCGAGTTAAAGGTCATGATGAGAAGGATATCCGTTTTGTTATCAAGGGTGCAGCGAAGCCAGTCTTTGGTAGGATACCCTCTGACTCAATTAAGAAAGATATGCAGCTCGGGTGGGACAAGTGGCAGAAGGAGACTACGAGAAGACTGAACAGCTCTTCCGGTGCACGAGCGAACCCTACCCAGGAACGGAGCCAGTCAGCCCCTGTTGTCCCCAAGCAGGACATTGGAATCGCAAATAAAAGCGTGAAAGACGAACCTGCTGCAGTGGCCGATCCAAGAGACCTTGAACCCGAACTCATAAGCAATTCCATCAAAATCAAAGCACCAATCACTCCAGGTACACTATACTACGACGATGAAACTGGTAACTATAATATCTTGGCGAAATCCTACGATGGCTCTAAGCTTGGCGAGACTTTTGCCTCCAACGAGGATAATCTCGTCGGAAAAGCCGATTCATCAGCATCAGCGCCTTCAGTAATCTTATTCATGGCCTATCCAGACGTGACTCCGTCCTCCTTTGACCTTGCACCTAATTACTCTCATGTCATCATCCTGAGAGCCAAATCGCACACCATCCAGAAAGCGAGCTCTGGCCTGGGTATCGGCTTCGAAGAGCAAGCTTACGGTTCAGACAATGAACCAGAACTTCCGATATCCTACTCAGGCACTGGCATCATTGTCACGCCTACCGTGGATTACCGTCGCCAGTACAACCACTTCGCCGATGACATTACCCATTTGGAGAAGAAGATCACATCTCTGAAAGAAGACTGGAAGATTGAGAATTCGAAAAAGGACCTGGAGGGGTTGAAGGCATGGATCGAGGATTTGGGGCGCGAGGGACACTGGCGGAGGACAGGTATGGTGGAGTTCAAAGACTGGAGTGAGAAGGATTGGGAAAGCGTCATGGGAAGGCAGATATGGGATGTGATGCGCGCGCAGTCAAGTCCACGAGAGGAAAACGATGGGGGAGAGGCAGTCTATCCGATGGGGTGGGGCACGGAGTTCTGGCTCGATTGATTGAACACCTTTTTGCAATACTTTATGGTAGCTGAGTATATTGCTTCTCCTTTCTTGTGATTGAATTACGAGATTCTTGATGTGCTGGGCGTTCAATGCTTCGTTCGGATTAAGCCACTACAATTTGGGGCCACATAAAGCGTAGTTCGCGACGGGTCCGGAACTCTGCAGAGCTGCTATTTACAAAATCACTAGGGATTGTTTATCGAGAGGTTACATGACATCAATTTTAATTTGCACCAACTCGTACCAATAGTGCTTTGTATGGCTAATTCCAGCAAGCCCCAGGCTAGACTGAAAACACTAGTTTGCAAAGCAGATTGGTGAGATGTTGGAGCAAATCTCTTACATTGATGATTGCGACACACTTGGACAGAGAGTAAACAAGACGGACATTCATACGGTACGTACAATGGCAAGCTTCATAATTGTACTGACACTATACAGGCACTTGTTTGTGTGTACCAAAAGATCTTGGAGTTTTATAAGGTTGCGCACGAAATTCTTACACAAAGAGGAAGGAAGTTGGCAATGACGATGGTTTTAGAAACCGACCGTCTGCCGAACATCGTCCAAGAGTTTTTGGGACATGCCGACATTCTCCATAAACTCATCCAAAAGTCGACGTGGGAGATCGTTGAAGATATCAAGTCGATGCTTTACGACCGGGAAAGTAAGTTTTTGTTACCGTACGCATGGTACTTGCTAATCGATTTCAGTTGCTAGGTGGCTTGAAGGCAGTAGGATGGATCAGCAGGCTCGACACCACAATCGTCTTAAAGAGCTTCGAAGCGATGAGGCCTGCAAATTCTTACTCACGCACCCTAACTTTATGCATTGGTGCGACGCCTCCGAATCTCAACAACTTCTAATTCTTGGCGACATGGGCTGTGGGAAAACGGTCGCTATGACATTCCTAGTGGATGAGTTGAATCAAAGGAGTGGATGCCAAATACCCCGGCCTAAGGTGTGCTATTACTACTGCCGAGATGATGAATCTGGACAAGCCGTCAGTATCTTGTCCGGATTGATCTTGGCGCTGCTTGAACAGCTTACTGGCCTGAAGAAGACGTTTTATGAATGGTACAAGGAAAATCAAGCATCCGGAACCCTAGAACCGGCATCGAGCGCAAGCAAGTTGGGAGAATTCATGGAGTTGGTTCTGGCAACGCTCGACCGCACACTCTTTATTGTTATCGATGGTCTCGACGAGTGCGATAGAGCATCACGAAAAACACTTTTGCGAGTGCTAGAAACCTTGCTAAAGCAAACCCCTAGGCTCAAAATCCTTCTCTCTTCGCGGCCGGAAGAAGAGATCCTGGAGCAGCTGACTCAAACGACCAGAATCACTTTGGAGTCCAACGTTGACAGAGATGGTGTCATTGTCCGACATACCGTCCAAGAGCAACTGTCCTATCTTTCAAAGGATGTCAAGGAACTCGTGATAGAAACTTTGTCTCGTTTGGCACAGGGAAGCGCTATATGGACAAAGATGACTGTCGAGCTCATTGAAGTTCGTAAGATCAAAGCGCTTGCGCCGATGCGTCTTTTCTTGAAGGAGATGTCTTTACCAGGGCAGCTCTCGAAACTTTATACCACCTTACTCTCACGGAACTCTTCGAACGATCCAGAGAATGAAGAGCTTGCAGCTCTAGCCTTGAAGCTTCTCTCTGCCGCGTGTAGACCTCTCAGCATCCAAGAGCTTACCTGGGCCGTGGCATTAGCCGCGGCTCAATACGAGGTTAGAACTGTTGCTGCTCTTGCTGAACTAGTCGACCATCAAAGAGTGATGAGTCTGATCTATCCTTTCGTCGCTCGTGTTGATTTCACAGATCTCAGAAAGCGTCAAGTCCGACTCGTCCACCAGTCAGTGAAGGAATTTGTTGTACGAGACTGGTCATATCTTAAGGGGTTTAACACCTCCTCAGCGTCTAGGCAAGCGATTGCGCCTCGGATCGAGAACTTGGAAGCGTTCATGTTAGACGTCTGCATCAAATATCTCCTGCTCGAAGAAGTCGGCACTGTTCCTCTTTTCTCTGAGGAGCAAATTGGAATTGACGAGCTCCCTCAAGATTTCGACTTGTTCAGCGACCGGAAGTCCTTCGAGTACACTGTCGAGTGCACATGGGAAGAGTGGGAAGAAGATATGATACGCTACGATCCGGCTGAACGTGGCTTTGGTGAATTCTTCGTTTACGCATCCAGCCACTGGCTCAAGCACTTCGGTGCCACCGAAAGGGGTCCTTTCCCATCCTTATCAAAGCTAGAGCGTCTTTGTCAAGCAGGTTCAATGCGACTGGACAACTGGACCAATCAAAACTGTCGTCCAGGTTGCGCTATCAAAGCCAGGTTCGATTTTGACAGTCGGCTATACGATCCACTTAGCATCACTTCACTTTACGGCTCAGACGCAATCCTGCGCGATATGCTCCAGAACTCGGACTTCGCTAACGAGAACTATCTTTGTTCACCAGCTGTCTGTGCTGCCGACCATGTTTTGCAGTGGGGTGATTTATCAAAGCTCAAGACACTCTTCTTGGAAGGCAAAATTCGCCATCAGCTTCGCAACCTTGAGTTCTTCCGACTGGTCATCAAGAGATGGTCTGATTATGGTTCACGCCATGAAAATTGGGCAGAAGTTTTCGATCTTGTCGACAACATAATGGACGTACTTGTGAAAGAACAATGGGGAAACGAACTTCTATGCGTAGCTGCTCGCGCCGGCTGCCTACCGATGATGCAGCGATTACTCGATCGCGCACAGCACATGGAGGGGCTGAGGACTGAGCTGTGGCGTGACTCGCGACCGATTGCCGAGGCTATCTTGGGGAACCACGCGGATGCGGTAGAATATTTACTGAGTGAGACCGATTTGGAGGTAGATCTCCAAAGCATGAACTCTCGAGGTGAAAGTCTGCTGCACATGGCAACAGTACATTGCAACCCAGCAATCGTCCGACTTCTACTTCCCCGCGTACAGAGAGTCGTCCACCAGGTTGACAGCAATGGAGAAACAGCCCTAATGAGGATTGTTAGGAACGAGTCAAACTCAAAAGGCCGGTACGAGGCTGCAAGAATACTACTATCGTATACCGAGCCCGGCCCGACTACACAAAACGTCAACGGAGGACAAGAGGCCTTACAGTTAGCCATGCAGCTAGCCGTGCAGCTCGGGGATGCAGAGATGTGCCGTCTCTTGGAACGCTAGGGCAGACTAGATGCAACGTTAGCCTTCACAGCTAGTCATGACATACAGTCGGTTATAAAAAGCAAGCCTTAGGCAGACAAGGAAGTTGAAGCACACAAAATAAGAGTACGGAGTTCTTGCTTGATTGATTGAAGATATCTATTTACACCTCACAAGATAGCACTGCGGGTAGTACATGTCGCTTCATACAAGTGTAATTGACGTATGGCCGTTCAATGTTGATTGGCCGGATGATGTCCCCATGTGCCCCTACCACGATCCATCAATGTGAACTTGTGCCAGGGATATAGGACGAACTTAGAAGCTTTCCTGGCACATACGACCATAGGGCGTTGAATACAAGGCTTCCCGTCCGCTCAGCCATATTTAAGCAGCGCACCGGCGGATTAGTAGTCAGGTGGGTGACCACTGGCGAATCCCCGCTGTTGTATGTTTTTGACCTTTTTTTGCTCTTCCATTCTCGCATGATTTTGCCGCTTGTGGATCATCTAGGCAGACTCTAGGGAAATGAACTTCATCTCTAGAGCGGTTCGATTCGCGAATGAGATGCTCTTCCTGTCCGCATCAAACACGCTGTGCAATCCATTCAAGAATGGCTGACCCAGGATTATAAAGCCTTTATCCCCGTATTGTTCCAAAGGAAAGAAGGCAGACATGCATTTGAGCTGCTTGAACACCCTGTCGTAGACTTCAATCAGATAGTCCCAAGGAGTCAAGGTGATCGATTGCCCATGCGGTCCGAACGTGATTGTCCAATTGGGTAGCTCGCTTCTCTTATCGCACTCGATCCAATGAAAGGTGTACTGTATGCCGATAATTTTGTGTATTTTCTTTACCACGTCGGTTGGCAATCCCATCCATGGCCACGAGGACGATATTACGGCAATCTGGAGCGACTCGAGGACAGGCGTGACATCCTCGGAGCTATTTGGCGAGAACGACATGCCTGTCACTGAGATCTGCCAGCCGTTCATAGTCCAGTAATCCCACGGGTAATCTGACGAATTTCGGCTGTGATCGAGTGGCAGCTCAATCATGTCTAGGTTCTGGAGCTCCTTAGGAAGACCTCCGAGGACAAGTTCGCCTGCCTCCTCGTCGGTCCGTCCAACTCTAAGCGAAAACATGTTCCGATCTAGCAGTTTCTGCTCCATCATGTTTTGGAAGGGACTTGTCGTCATGAAATCGTTTGGTCCGTCGCTACTGTGGGAAGGGTAAAGAGAAAGGCCCAGTGCATTGTCGAACAAGTGATCGGCTGTGCCGACGTCAGGGTGCCACACCGTCGCTTCCTCAAAAAGTTGGTCTTTGATCTCCATGCCTGCTACATGAATGCTATCCTGCGACACATTTCCCCACGTATGAAGTCCGACGTACAGCACGCTGGCAGGGTCCAAATGTGGTTGATAAGTCGAAGAGACAGACGAATTGTACATGGGATGAATCCTGCAGGATTTGAACTCGTTCGGGTTGTGCGAGCAATTAGCGGAAGGCACGAAGAAAGTGCTCCAAGTGTTGTCGACAGTCGCGGTCATCGTCAGAGGAGGATTGCCAATACCGACTTCTGTCGTGCATAGGCTGACGAACCAGGCGTCGACATCCTCGTCGTCGCCATCGTCAAAGATTGTGTTTTCATTGCCGTTGTCTCTGTGAGTACCGAGTGACACGCGCGGGAAAGTGCGAGCGACTTCTTGACGTCTTGAATGTGGGAACGAAGAATCAAGCAGTGCTTGCGCATGAGGGCCCTGATCTCATTATTCAGTGTAGCATTTTTTTTATGGTTGTTCTGTACCTACATGATCCTGTTGGAAATTTCTTGGTACTTTCCAGTAGATGCCATACGTGCTTCGCTTAACTGGTAAAGTGTGGTGACCAGCTTCAGTTACCGCGGACGTCAAGATTGCTGCAAAAGCTACGATACTGGCAAATGACAGAGACATGTTCATGAGTTTGTAGCGTGGTGAAATTGACCGGAGATGACGATATTGTCATGTGGGCAGTGCCAGAGTTTGTGTTTTACTCAGTGCGGCACGGTTGTGGCTATGTGATGCGCCGAGACGGCGAAATGCCAGATGTTTCAAACTTGTGGATTTGCGAAGCCCCGGGAAGACTGGAAGATATATTGGTAGTGTGATGACAATTGTCCAACGAGAAGTACCAACAGCGCTCTTGTTGAATCGTGCAAGAATGATGCTAAGGTAAGCCGTACTTATCCACTGGAGCATTTATATCTGACGCTGCGCGAGGAATACTTGGTCAATTGTATCGAAAAAGGGCAAAGCACCTGCATCGCGGATATTAGGTCCATCAGAAGCAAGCAGAAAAGATGCAATCATCCATGAATCGTCGTGACTTCAAATTCACTCTCACTTCTCTATAACCACGAGAAACACCCTCAGTGTCTCGAATCATTACATTAAGATGCACTCACCCCGTCCCCCTTTCCCATCCCCATCCCCTCATCTCATCCCCCCAACCAACCCCTCTCCCTTCCTCCCCCTTCCCCCCCTCCTCCCACAACTCTTCTCCCCACCCGGCGTAAACAACTCCGCACTCAGCACCAACACCGCCGGCACAACCGCCAGCGCATCAATCGTGCTACTCCTCCCCCTCCGTCCCTTCTGCTCCAAATCCATCGCCGCAGCAACTTCCCGGCTTCTGAGGATCGAGGGCTTGACGAGTCGTTCCGGCGTCGTGGTTGCGGTGGTGGATGTGGAGGAAGAGCGCGAGCGGAAGGGAGAGAGGGAGAAGGCTGATAAGCTGCGGGAGCGACTTCGGCTGTGTGAGGGGGGTGGGGAGAGGGATGAGCTTGGTGGTGATAGCTGAAACCCCTGGGGGGGATTTGTTGGTGTTTGTGGCGGTGATGGGAGGCGTGGAAGTGGGATGTTGATTTCGGTGTATAACGGCTCTTCATCGCCATTGCTACTCATTACATGATAGATCGTCGCGTCGGAGTCGAATGTGGAGAATGTGTGGTCGTCGCAGGATATTCTGGGGAAAGGCTCCGTTTGCGTGGATATTTGGGATGCCATATTGTTGTGAGGAGGATGTGGTGATTTTCCGAGGGTTGGGGAGTTTGGGTGTCTTTTGTTGGAGTGGAGGGTGCTGATGTTGGTTGCCTGGCTGCTTCTTTCTCACAACACAGCCACGCTGCCACGTTTGTTGGAGGTACGCGTGACTACGATAAACTTTTGCCCCGAGACACGAATAATCTAAGATAATGCGAGACGAATGAGGCGGTAGAAGTCGAATCTTTGTGCTAATCTGAATCCCGATTGTGGCTTTTGCGATTTTTCAAAACTTTGCAGCTTTCTGTAGATATGGTGGTAGCGCGAACGTCGACAAATGCGCAAAAAAATTGTATAATTGCAACCCGACGCAAGCGTCGCAAGCAACCTTATATGTCTGCGTGCGCAATGCGCAGTTCAGCCGCAGCACCCGTTCGTGCCGCGTCTGACAGCCCATCCAACGTGCTGCGCCCCGGCGTGTAAGACCGATCAACACTTAGGCGTCCCAAGCCTCCACACCTTGAAATGAGCATCGGAAGCAGTCACTCGAACGACAAACCGCATCATGTCGATGGTATTTAGTTCGCACAAAAAGATTCCTCCTCGTTTTTTTTTTAAAAAAAATTTGCGGGGTACTATCATCACATTGAAAGTATTTAGATTGGCAGCCAAGTACATTCCCTATGTCTATCTCAGCTGGATATGTAAATTTGCTAATTCATCTACATGCCGTCCAAAAACACCATCGTCGCTCTAACGCGAAGGAAACAAAAACGAGATTGTCGTTTCAAACATCCACCGTTGGGAAAAAAGAAAAGGAGGTATAAACAGCTGGGTTTTGTGTTGCGTCCGCGTTGCGCCTATACAACTATGCAAAAGAGGTTCTGAACTGAAGAGGGGAAAGCGTTTGTTCTCGTGCTCTGTACAAACTTTTCCCAAACGATGCAAAATGCAAGACATCCTCCTGTTCTGTTTCTGAGATGATACGTATTTTCGTAGTCGTACGCTATGCCTCGCTTGCAGCCGTACATTCAATTCGACGCCCCCTTTGTCAACAACTCCCCCGCGCTCTTCCTCCTCTTGATCTCCTGCTTAGACAGCTGCGGCGGTCTATCCGACCCGGGCACCGTACCCGTAAACCAGCCATGTAGTCAGAACTCCTCGTCTCTATCCTCCTTGCCATGCCTATCCCTGTGCGACACTTTGCCGCGTATACTGCCTAGGGCGCTGTACTCGCCGAGTGCGGAGCCGCTGCGATCTCTGCCGTTGCGGTCGGTGCTGCGGTCGCTGTCACGGTCTTTGCCCTTGTCTTTATCCTTGTCTTTTGACTTCTTCTCGTCCTTTTCTTTGTCCTTGTCCTTGTCTTTATCCCTGTCCTTGTCTTTGCGCTTTCGTGGGAAGGGTAGAACGCCACGGAGGCCGCGTTCTTTCTTTTCCTTGTCTTTGCCAGACTTTTCCTTTTCAGACCATGCTGGGAGAGCGGTTGTGTACTCTTCTTCTAGAACGCTCCCGTCCTCGGACCCTTCGACACTCACGCCGCCTGCAGTGCGGGGTGGAGGTCCAATGGTGTTAGAAGATCGGTTCGCCTGATTCGACATGTTGATGTGCACATTCGGATTTGAGTAATTGAACGAGCTTTGTGATGCTGGATGTGAGAGCGTCTGTGGGTATGAGGGCGCAGGTGCCATGTGGAGACCGTCGCTAGATCCTGGAGGTGTTTCTTCCGCAGCGGAGACGGATGCGCTTGCAGACGCGGACGCAGATTGTGAGTTAGAGTCTAGCGGAGATGGAGCGTAGTTATTCGACCAGCCCTGCCCTTGTATGTGGCCTTGGGCCTGTTTAGCAGCAAAAGGATTGCTGTATGAGGCTGTCGCAGAGGTGGTGCTCTTGACGGAGCTCTGCGACGCAGATATGCTAGCCTTCTGTTGATGCCGAGTCTTTGGCGGTGGCTTCATGGTGATAGGCGTGCTTGCATTAGAAGATGAGACGTCCTCACCATTGCTGGGAGACAAGGGCGGTCCCTCATACTCTTCCTCTCGAATGGCACTGCGATTTCGTGTAGCTGCTCCACGCCCAGTTTCGATAGTCGAGCCTTGTAGTTGTTCAACAAGTTCCTCCCACTTTACACTTAGTGACGACGATGGTCGCTCTGCTGGCTCCGCACGATTGAGACAGTCTTTCGTCCGCTCGCTGAGGGAGACGCAGATGTTGTGGAAGCGTAACAAGTCACCGTCCCCAGCTTCGATGTGATGCGCAAACTTCGCAGAGTTCTCTAGCCAGAGATTGACCAACATAGCGAAATTCCGTGAATGGTCGATCAAATACGGTAGGGAAGGAAAGCCTTCTTTGAAAGTTGGAGGAAGTCGGTGTAAGATGGCGATCGGGGTACTGTACGATGGCGGTATCGGTACAGCAGCAGAAGAAGCGGTTGATACCGAGCAGATGTCGTCCAAGTACTTCTTGAACTCTAGGCGATGAGAAGTGAGGAAGGTGTTCATTGGCTCCATCCATGCTTCTTTGGTGCCGAACGAGGACATATTAGCAAGTCCTTGTAAGGATTTGGCAATCAAAGTAAACGTCCTTCTAGCTCTCGGTTTTGGATGATCTACATGAATGGGTCAGTAATTGAAAAACGTTGAAACATGGCTGGGACTGACCTTTTAGTAAGCCAAAAAGTTTCGGGTTGAGTACTGCCGGAACGAAGAAGCGCAGGAACAAGAACCCAGAGACACTGCTGTAAGCCACAGTTCTCAGATAGTCGCCGTATCGATCTTCAGCGCATGCTCTGATGTGTCGGAAAATCAAACGCAGCTCTTGAGGACATCGCGAAATGGAGTTGTAGATGGCTCGCCAGACTTCTTCCGTGCAGTTGATCAAGCGCCTCCAGTTACGGTCCAGCTCATGTTGTGAGGTGACCTTGTTTGGGTCTACTTCGCATTCCGGATCCTTTTCGTTGATCTCCTTCAGTTTCTCGCTGAGAGTCTCTTCGAGGTATTCCTTGCCCAAACGCTTCATGTGGAGGTCCAGTGACTTGGTCAGCAGAGTATTGCCGCGGAAGAGGAGATTGGCTTCGAGTTTCGCATTGTTGCCCATGTCTCGGACAAAGAGTTCGCGGTCGCTCGCCGAGACAAATGTTCCAAGGGTTGATTCGCTTGATTCACTCGACCCAAGCCTTTTGCTGAACCGAAGACGACTGGCCGGTGATTCCTTCAGTGTACCGTCGATTTCTTCCTCTACCAGCGCACAAAGCCATTCTCCAGCTGCGCCTGAAACTTGGAAAATATTCAACAAGTATTCAGATAATTTCTTAAGATCGTTCGTGTTCATCTGCGCGATCTGGAGAGTGAGACTGTTGGAGAAGCGGTGCAGTAGCTCCGAAAGTGGGTAGTAGTCGCGAGCCATAAGAATCGCGCACTCTTCGCTGCTGACTTTGACAAGCACCTCGCCGACACTGTTGCCATACATATTTACAAGTGGCCACCACTTTTCCGTCTCTTGATTCGGGCCGAGATCGTCCAGATAGATATCCGTCTTACCGACTGTCTGGTCGAAACTAATGCCTGCGTAGCCGCCTTCTGCTGCATAAGGGTCAGAGCCTGTCACGGTTTCGAAGACATTCTTCTCTGTGCGCGAGTAGCTTGGGGGACGCTTTTTGAGCAATAAAGAAGCAGTGTGAAGAGCAGGAAGGTCCAGAAACTCAAACTCTTCTCTCCAGAACGGAGTAGTTCCCTCGTTCTTTGCCATCGTCCGCGCACGAGTCTCACCATCTAGAAGGACTTCTACAAGGTACCCTCCAGGGTTCGTTGTCGCAGATGAAGAAGGTCTGATGGGCGTCACATTCTCGGCAACCTTGGGGCTCACTGGTGGTATTAGTCTCGCCTCGATCACCCGTATGAAAAGCGACTTCTCCATCCTGAACATGTCTTGCGTTCCAAAGGAGGGCGAAAGTGTTCCATCCTCGGCTAATGTGTCCAGTTTCGGTCCATACAGCTGTGGGACGGTGAATGCTCGCAGTAAAACGATCCAGACCTCGTACAAAACCCGTGATTCCAGTGACAGAAAGATTGGCCGTAACAACGTTAGTGCAGAAGACGTGGCGGTATACTGCGGGTATATGGCAATGCAAAATTCGTTATCCAGAACAGAGGCATCAAGCCGTTGAACAGCACATCGCGAAAGCTGAGAGAGCTGAATGGTCGAAACCAGCGTTACGTCTGTGTCAGAGTAGAGCTTGAGTTCTCCATTCTCGCGCAGAGTGCAGGACACTCTTCTCCACCGCCGGGATCCATGGCTTTGCACTCGATAAGCCTGCGGCCTAGATCCGGACCCGGAAGTCGAGGCTTTTGGTGTCCCGGTATTGCTGCTGTACGTCACACTCGTGTCCCAGTATATCATTTTGCCGACTTTAATGATCGGGGCTTCCTTCTTCGGTGAGTCTTTCAGCAAGGAAACTTCAGAGTGTCGTCTGCTGTCGGCCAATCTTCGCTCCATCAAAGCCGGGGGCTGCGGTTTGGCCATTCTGTTTTGTATTCCCTTGGGCCGCATGGGCGACCAACATAACAGCGCAGCAAACCACGAGTCGAACTCATCCTGGGTCGGGGGTCGCAAGTGCACTTCCAGCTTCGAGTTGTGTACCGTTACGTGAATGTATGCTGTGTATGCCTCGCCGTCGTATGCGCTCTTTACGCGACACCCGCGCAGATCTGGGATCAGAGTGCGCGTATAGGTTGTGTCGTTCTTGGGTTCGTAGACCAGGCTGCCGGTCTCGTCGTTGATGTAGCAGAATGAGAGCGCCCACGGATTCGCCTCCCCTCTTCTGAAAGCTAGCAGCCCTTGCATCTTCCCGACTGTCTGGCGCATGAGAGCCTTGAGCTTCCTGGCATCAGACGCCGGCACGGGCGACACCCACGACTCGGGCGGGCCATTCGAGGGCGAACCGGAGGGCGAGGTAGCGCGCGGGGTCTGCTTCGCGAGGCGACCGCGGGTGTTGCTGCTGGCGGTGCGCGGCGGCACGTGAGTCGTCGGGGAGATGGTGGACGGGTGGCCGATGGACGTCACAACCGACTCCTGGAGGCTCTGGAAGTTGGACGAGGTGCTGGCGACGGAGCCTATGCGATGGCGTCCCGTGACAAACGAGTTTGGCGGGGAGCGGTCGCGCGTGCCCTTCTCCTCGAGCGTGCGCCCTCGCGGCCTGATCTGCTCGCGGCCGCCATTGCGGTGGGCGTAGTCTGGGTCCGACGAGTTTGCGCGGGCTACAAAGTTCCGCGGGTTGTTCGCGTTGTTGGTGTTGGGATTCGCATTGGTGCGCGAGGGCTGGCTGTCGTGCGAGCGCGGGGACTGGGGCGGCGACGAGGCATACGTGGAGATGTCGTCCGAAGTGGCCTCAGGTGTGACTGCCCGGATGGTGCCCCGCTGTCCATCCTCCCAGTACGCAGCTTTGGTGGCCTCCGCGGCGCTCGTCTCCCTCCGCTGCCGCCGTGTTTGGTCCATGGGGATGGGCCGCGATGTGCCTCTCACCACATGCAATGGCGTCGCAGTATCATTGACAGCCGTGGACGGAAGGAGCGACGGGCTGGCGGCAGGAACAGCTGGCAGTCGCTCTTGCCTCAGGGCTCAAAGGGCACGAGCGAGGCAGGAACTGCTAGGCCGAGCCTCAAGGCTAGTTGCGCCCGTCTGTTAGCCTCGATTGGGCGAGCCTCTGTACGCGAAGTCGTCCAGCAGCGACGACGTGCCGGCCCGCGTCTGCCGGTGCTCCGAGAAGGATTCGGGGGTGAGGGATGCAACAAGAGGTCCAATGCGCGGTGCATGCCTGGATACACAGGCGGAGAGGATGATGTGGAGGACAGCTCAACGTGAGGATCGCATTTGCGCGGGATGGGATCGAGACGGTCGCGGACCCTGGGAGCTAATGGCGTGCGCTTGGCGCGGCATCAAGTAGCGGCGAGGCTCAGTACGCATCGACGCAGACGCAGACGCAGACGCAGACGCAGCCTTTCTTCCCTACCACAGGTCCGCTACTAGGCACTGGCACTGGCACTGGCACGGTTGCATTTACGACACTGGTCTGAGGCTAGACGCTAGACACGCGTGCGTGACTTTACACAGACACACAGACACGACGCACGCTGCTGATGTTCCGCGCATGGGGCAGCCGGCGCCATGCCTCTGATTGCTCATCTATGTGGGATGCACGCCCTTGGGCTGGGGGAGGCTCCCACGCCCATCGTCGCCCTCCCTCGGTCGCTGTAGACTCTGCCGAGCTCACAGGGGCTAGCGAATCAGGGCCACGGTAGCCTGCAAGCGAGGCCCGACCATGCGTGCAAGTGGCAAAGCCTCAACGCTGATGAGTAGACTGCAAGAGACAGACACGACGTTCACGATAGGTCGTCAGCAGCACGCGAGGTGAAGGAAACTTTGGCTAAACATTTGGACTGCAAGACTGACCCAGCCCACGACTCAGCCAGGCACAGCTGATGACCGGACAAAGTCTGCCACAGACGCACGAAAAGAAGACGACTACAATGAACCTTGACATAATTCCCAAATGGATATCACAACCGACCAATGAGCTCCACGCCCAACCCATAAGCACCTCAACCATCGCATATTCCAACTGATCCTAGCAGGGAGACATGCTTGTGAATGCATACTGCTCACCGCTGCAATTCAACGTCAGCGACTCCCGCACTGTGCTCTACGCCTCTCTCATCTGAATGGTGCGCGCTCCGCATTGCTGTCCTCCAGACTAACAGCGCTCAATGGCTGAGATCTGTGACCACTCAGATCACCCGAGTGCGTCTTGCGCAGCGCCTGACGCATCGTCTCAATTTGAAGCGGAGGCTCGCCGCTGCCCAATGGCGGGCTGCTCGGAGACATCGGGCTGCCCGGCGAACGGGTACGACCGTGATCCGCAAACCCTGGGGAGGCAGCGCCACTCGTCGGCGGGGATGTACTCATTCCGCGCGATGACGCTGGAGACCTCACTGGCGATGGGGACCGGTTGGCCGTGGACGAGAGGCTCTGAAACTGCAGTGCATCGCTCGAGCCTAGCATTTCCCTGTCCTGCTCTACGTGCTCAGCTTGTACGACGTCCGCAAACGAGATGAAGCTCAGGCGACGTGGGTCCGTCATATCCAGTGATCCGTAGTTCGAGGTTGGCTCGTTGACGTCGGCGTGGCTGGAGGCCATGGATTCCTCGTGCGCAAGGGACGGCGAGTATACAGAATCCGTCGCGCCCCCTGCAACAGCGCTCGCGGCTGGCTGGTGGGCTGAGTGCATAACAATCTCAACCTCGTCGGGGTTCAGATGGTCATCTGTGATGGCCAAGGACGACGCATCCCAATGCGGGTGGTATGTGGTCCTCCGTCTTGATGTGTGCCGGGATTGCCGACGAGTCCTCGGGCTCTTGTACGTTGCGCTCGAATATAGCGGACGAGGCTGGCGAATGAAGGCCGGGCGACGTGGAGCGGTGCATGCTCCTGCGGTTGGGCGAGGCGCCGATGCCCACTGGACGGATTCGAGGACTTCCTCGAGGCGACGTTCGCTGGTCAGTGAGGGGAGGCGACGGCAGCAGAGTTGGAGCAGACGTGGGAGACTTGGTGCGCTGGGTCGCTCCTGCCTTGCCCGAAGCACTTTTGTCCTCTGCGGCTTCGTGTTTCTTACCCAGACCTAGAATCTTGCGCTTCCCTTTGGCTAAAAGACTGTTGTCTTCGGCTGGCTTGCTCTCGCGAATCAGCGGTGTAGTGGTCGAGTTTGTATCGGCGTGCTGCGAAGTCGACGTGATGTTGCTTGATGCGCTCATTGTTGCGATTCGCACTTCCTTATAGTGAGAATGTATGAAAAGTCAAGATCAGTGGCTAGTAGAGGCTGATCTCGTTCCAGTTTCTTGCTCTTCTCTGCGCAAGTCTAAGTTGTTGGGCGCGTGAAGTGGTGAGGCCTTTGAGGGATTTGCGATTCCAAGTTTCGAAGTGGGCTACACCCTGGCGCAGAGGTGGTGCTGTATGGGGGATCTTCGGTGAGCTTATCTGAACTCTCGCGCGCAGATTGGTCGAAATGAAGCCGATTTTATTGAATTCAGCATGCGACACCTTCTGATCAAGCGGGTAGTTGCTAGTCGGTAATGCGAGCGTGCCCAAAGTCAAAAGCGAGGTCAAGTGTGTCTCGGTGGTTCTTGCCCGTCGAGCGGCCAGTGACGTACGCTCGTCGATCCCCAAGCTCTCAGGCACAGCCATCGTCACGCCAATGCTGTCAAACAATCACTTCCCCGCCCATCGCCAGATCTACCCTGCCAATCAAACGCCCGCACCTCGTTCGGTGCGACATGGGTCCTGTTTGTTCTTCCGCCGTGTCCTCCTGATGTTTCGAGTCCTGGCACGCATAACGGCGCACGGCACACTGTCGTTCATGCGCGTTCAGATGTTTTGCTGATTGCTGCGCCACAGCACCACACTCTAATCTCTCGACCAGGCTCACCTTAGGGGACCAGCAAGAAGGAGTACATCACCGCGCTTGAACTGGAACGCCGAGCTTGCTAAACATAATCGGCAGTGAAAGTCATCATTTGGTGTAACAGCGAGCAAACGCTGTGAAACAAGAAATTCTGCATACATCACATTCAGCCGGCAGGTCGCAATAGGCCTGTTGAACTCATTCTAACATTCTAAGCTAGCTAAGTACGGTGACTTTCTACGAATTTGAGGCTTTCGACAACGATTCCTTGACGCCGAAAGCTTCTCGATCTAATTCGATCTCACGTGGGTTGCATTCTGGACGCACGGCCACTTGGTTGCTGCGCCACACTACGGACTCCGAGCAGAGTCATGCCAGTGACAGCATGAACTCCGGCGGACTCGGCAGGCTGTAGTCCATTTCAGCTTGACAGACGCAAGGACGGTCTCTCTGGTAGCGATATCAAAGTCGCAGATTACATTTGCTACGAACTGCTGCTATAAAAGACAAGCATGTTTGATACCACGCTAGCCTAAGGTCGCAAGTCGAACTCAACACTGCGCGCAATGCGCATTTGCACCTTCCGCCCATTTGTTTCGAGCATATCGCCCATGAAGAACCATCTTCCTGTCAGTCTGGAGGTCCATAAGACTACGATGCAGGTGGTAGACACGCGACGCGTCTCTTGCCAGTTGCAGTAGCTCAAAAGCCCAGGCCCTGGACGCGCAACAATACCAGCGCCTTGCAACATCTCTGCTTTGAAGTACAAATCAACAAATCTTCGCAAAAGGTTCACAGAGATATAGTTTTATTACTCCGGCAACGATGATGAGGTTCGGGCGGGAGGACTGCCAACTCAAAGTGTATTCGGCAACATGTAACGACATACATTTAGCTTCGTGAGTATTCTCCTCGTCGCATACGTCGGAACTACCCGACAACGATACTTTTGGAACGAGTACCTGCATACCTCTTTGACTTCGGTGGCCTTAATTAGCCGGTATGGCACGATCACAAGCATGTTTGGCGTCACAAAGTGTGGCGGCCTGGAAGATTTGCTTGTTGGGGGACGACATGGCCTGTCAAGTAGTCTCTTGGGCCTCTAGATTCTCTTCACATAGCCTAAGTACTTGTGTTGACGAGTGCTGCTTAGGTTGTTTTGCACTCCAACATCAACACCCTCCATAGAACACTTGCAGCTGAGCAGTAACGACTCTACACCACAAAACAGCTGCGAAGTTGTCCAACAAGCAAGTACACATCATGTTTTTCTGATTCCCGTGCGATAAGGCATTTATGTCGACCCTTGCTCGTAGCGAACACCTTACATTTATGGATATCGCTAAACCACTTCCGTCCACGAACCTCGTCCTCGTGTAAGCTAGATTGCGAATTTGCTGAGATAAGCTGTAGCCTAATACTAATCCGCAGCTTCTGTTTCAGTTGGGTTCCTGGTATCATAGGCCAGAGCTGTCGCTGCTGATATTGCACCTGGCAAATGGTTCGAGGCTGGAGAGTGCCAAGATGTCCTCCTTCGAGAAGGGGGTCAGCAAGCTGAACAAGCACATGAAGAAACGACAACAGCTGATCAGCACAGTCAACCTTGACGTGCTGCGCTTGTGCCATCTCCCGCAGCCCACGTTAGGTGAGCCATCTGCTTGGTTTACTGATATAAGCTGTCTGTTCATCCTTCTACTCTGGTTCGCAATAGCCCAAAATCTTGCGCAGACCTTCAGCGGTTATCTTTGGTGCGAGTAAAATCTCGGTGTAGCCAATATTGATCTTTTTCCTGACCTCGAACTCTTTCATCCTCTTCGTCATTGATTTCGCACTTTTTCACCATGTCTACACCTTCCAAGTCTGAGCCTTACAACTACACCCCCAGTCTACCCCAACGCGCACTTGTATTCGTATACAAAGGCATCAATAAGATCATACCATGGCACAAATTACCCACCTATATCGGTGTCCTTAACCTAAGCGCATATCGCTATGAGCTGCGCTCGAAGAATCTCCACGACGTGTACCCGTCACGCGAGGATCAAGGCACGCGCGGCTGTCCTGCCATCACCGACGAACAATTCCTACATACAAGACATTCGGATGGCTTGTTCAACGACTTGGAGGCATCAAAGATGGGATGCGTTGGAATGCGTTTTGGACGGAATGTTGCTCGCGAGCATACTGCCAGGCCGAGTCACGAAGAGTTGATGACACCGAATCCAAGATTGATCAGTGAGCAGCTGTTGAAGAGGGACAAGTTCAAGCCAGCCACTAGCTTGAATTTGTTGGCCGCAGCCTGGATCCAGTTGGTACGTGTACAGCCTTTTTTGTCAGCACACTCAAATGCATCTGCTGACGTCCAGGTAGTAAGTTCACTGTTATAGCAGCTCATCTAATGTCCAGATGTATCGTCTTGATTATGTACTCACTACCTCTAGCCAAGTGCATGACTGGTTTCAGCACGAAAACTCTACCACAGAACAACATCGAGTTCCACTTCCTGCTGGCGATGCATGGAACAGTCCCGATGGTAAGATGAAAATTGACGCCACCCAGGATGACGAGCCTCTCGACCAGACCGACAACACCTCTCCTGCTTACAAAAATATAAACACGCACTGGTGGGATGGTAGTCAAATTTACGGCTCGTCCGAAGCTCACACAACTGGTTTACGTCTCGGTGCGACTAACGGCAAGCTTCTCGTCGATGAGCAAAAGTTTGCTACTTTCCTTCCTCGCGACGCGAATTGTATCCCTCAAACGGGTTTCAACACAAATTGGTGGCTTGGGCTTGAGATTCTCCACACTCTATTCGTCCTCGAGCACAACGCCATCTGTGACGCTCTGCACATTTCCTACCCCGACTGGACCTCTGAGAAACTCTTCGACACCGCTCGCCTCGTCAATTGCGCACTGATGGCAAAGATCCACACTACAGAATGGACGCCCGCAATTCTCGCACATCCCGCTCTCGAAATCAGCATGAACGCAAACTGGTGGGGCATCCTAGGAGAACGACTCTACAAGCTCCTGGGCCGCGTGAGCAAAACATCAGAAGCCCTATCGGGCATCCCCGGGTCCACCGTCGAGCACCATGCCGCGCCCTACTCCCTCACTGAAGAATTCGTCAGCGTGTACCGCATGCACTCCCTAATTCCCGACTCCATCGCCTTCTTCTCCGCCTCCAACGGCGCCCACAAACAAACCTACCCCATCCAATCAGTCGCCTTCGAGCACACCCGCACACCCTTTGAGAAATCTAACCTCTCCTTCGCCGACATCTTCTACAGCTTCGGCATCAACTACCCCGGCGCAATCACCCTCAACAACATGCCGCATTTTCTGAAGGACTTGCACACCCCTGATGGGAGACACATCGACCTCGGCACCATCGACATCCTGCGCGATAGAGAACGCGGCGTCCCGCGCTACAACCAATTCCGCCGGCTGTTCCACATGCCCGCTCAACCCTCGTTCCTCGCCATTACCGGCGGCAACAAGGTCGTCGCGGACAAACTCGCTAAACTTTATAACGACGACATCGAAACGGTGGACTTGTTGATCGGGTGCCTCGCTGAGCCTTTACCTAAGGGCTTCGGCTTCAGCGACACTGCGTTCCGCGTGTTTATTCTCATGGCGAGTAGGCGGCTCAAGAGCGATAGGTTCATTGCGGGGGATTGGAATACGGAGACGTATAGTGAAGTGGGGATGAAGTGGGTGCAGGGGAATGTGATGAAGGATGTGCTGGGCAGGCATTTCCCGGAGTTGAAGGGGGTTCTCGGGGGGAGTGGGAATGGTAAGTACACCTCGTATTTTGAGTAGGCTGAGATGGGGAATTGGGCTAATGCTTGTGTGTAGCTTTTGCGCCGTGGAGTATGATGGAGGGAAGTAGGGAGTATCAGGGGGTGGAGACGAATGCGTAGGCGGGTATTGTAATTGATCAGAGTAGATGCGTGGTTGGTGATACCATATTTTGTGCAGTCTTCCCTTTCATTTTCATGATACTTCATGCTGAGCTTGATACTCGTCATGTCTTCAGGAGGATGAAATCGTTGAATTCTGCTAGCATGTGCTACCTTTTTTTTCCAAGCACGAGGCTCGTTGAGCGAGCACAAGAACTTTTCTTCGCATTGTTTCGGTATCATGTTTATGCTTCAGTGCAGTGAGGCTGACAGCGGCGCCTCGGGATGCAACTACCGAGTCATACGTTCTAAGTGGTTGTTCGAAGCTGCAGCAGTGCGTCATCGTCAGATTGTACAGCCCCCAGCCTTGGAACATAGCCTCCAACCTGCGCAAATTTTCTTCACGGCACGCAATCCGACTGCACCTGTTTCTTGGGCTTTTGAATTTGGCCCGGATTCCTAGCTCTACGACTGCTTCAGTTTAAAAACATCTGTCAGATTCGCGTGCGTTCTAGACCTGCACCACCGAGGCTGCTGTATCCTAGAATGTATCCCCACCTCGATTCTGACGATGGTGGCATGGGCTGCGTTCAAGCCTTCGAGACAGTATCTCGAGGTACCGATGACGGTTTTTATGCAGAGAGATTGAAATCAAGATGGAAACATGTTAAGGGGTACCCGGAACCGGACAACAGATGTTTACACTGTGGCTTCTTGAATTTCGGCTACACTGATGTCGACCAACTGCAGTTGGGGATGACTGCCGGGCGTCCATGCTGCAGGATTGTATGGGAGGCTGTTCGTGCCTGGCATCAGCGCGAAACTGTGTCACCAGATGGAATGCATGTGCTTCCTTGGGTATGGGGTTACGCTGGAAGAGGTGAAGAGCTTGTCGGGTGCAGCGTTCTGTTGAACTGGCCACTTGAAGAGCATGAAAGACTCCTCTGGCACTCTGAGAAACATCCGATCATCAACATCTTCAAATCCGGTGAGTGCATCATCTACCATACATGTGGCTCTTCATGATCCGTTGCTGATACGTTCCCTAAGGTCCAAACATCGACACCACAGACTTTGTGTCCAATATTCCCTTCATGGAAAGATTCAGGCCATCTGGGAACACCGGCTCTGAGCAATCCATCAACACGATCAAATCATGGATGACAAGTTGCAACAGTAGCCACCATCATTACTGCACTGTAAACGAAGAAGTCCGGCTGCCAAAACGGATCCTAGAGCTTACTGAGGCTCGTTTTCATCTCCGCGAAGGACTAGGTAACGAAGCGATCTACGCTTGCCTCAGCCATTGTTGGGGCGCGACGGGTCCGTCTTTCATGCTGACTGAGGATACTGTTGAGAATTTAAAAGCCGGTATGTCGTCCACAGAGCTACCACGGACCTTTAGAGAGGCCATGGAAATATGTTTGCGTTTGAGTATTCGCTACCTTTGGATTGATGCTTTGTGTAAGCAGGATCGTTTCTACAAATGAAAACCTGTTGACAGCCTCTTTAGGTATCATACAGCAGGACATAGACGACTGGAAAGAAGCTGCTGCAACTATGGCAGATATCTACGAGAATGCCTTCCTCACTATCGCTGCAACGAAATCGAGCGATAGCGAGGGTGGTTGCTTCTCTAGATTAACGGGCCTTGATCAAGCAAAACATTTAGAATCGTCTGGCTTGTATGCTTCAAAGCGTGTAAAGCCTTACCTTCCAGGGACCGGCTACGCCTTGATGTCAAGAGAAGGTCCATGGCCATTACTACGCCGCGCGTGGGTATTTCAAGAGCGGCTCCTGTCGCCACGAGTAGTCCATTTCACTGATTACCAGCTGGTTTGGGAATGTCGATCTGTTCAACAGTCCGAAACTGGTGATATCAATGACGATTGGACAAAACATGATCTTCCTTGGGACATTGACGATTCCATGCCCGAAATGATTAACTATCCGTTCAAGTTCCTGCACACAGAAACTGGCAATACCTGGCAAACTGTGGTCTTTGAATACTCGCGACTACAGCTTACGCACGCCAGTGACCGCCTACCAGCAATCGCAGCGATTGTTCAGAGAACGATGAGAGCGCGTAAGGATGATTTATACATGGCTGGCATGTGGGAAAGTTCTCTTCTGGTGGACTCTGCATGGTCTCGCATCAAAATTCAAGGAGACCTGGAACGACCCGATTACACACAGCCTACGTGGTCCTGGACATCTGTTCCAGGAGCTGTTTCGTTTTACAAAGTTTCTGTTCTCCCCTCAACAAGACTGGTGGACGTCCAGTATAGAGCTGTTGGTCCAAGTCATGTCGGCAGGTTTGCCGAAGCGAGCATATTGCTAAGGGGCATGATGCTCACTGTCATATTGAAAGAACTTCGCATCGCAGCGGGAATAAATGGGTTGGAGACGGTCAGCTATGAAATAATACCTAATCTTCCAGAGAATTACGGCCCCTCAGTGCCAAGGATCGGGTCATTCAGACCAGATTTTGGACTGCGCTTAGGCAAACGACCTGTGAAACTAGACAACGTCTTTGTAATTCTGATCTTGTGGTTTGATCCAAGGATACGGAGATGGTTCGGCCTGGTCCTTCGGCGGGTTTCAGACACTGAACATGAGCGCATTGGGATGGCCCACCTGTATGACTTGAGTAGTTCTAGACAGCACAGTTCTGGCAGTTCGAGCACGCAGCCAAGACTCGCGACTATTTCAGAAATCATGAGTTCTTTGCCGGTGGAGGAATTCAGGATAGTTTGAGCACAATAGCAACTCTTGTGCTTAGAGCCGCCACAAGCGCGCGTTTGGTGATCTGCCACATATTAGTGAGTGCACCCCAAGCATTTTCAATCGAGGACTAACGCTCAAGCAATAGGTCACAGTCTTCTCATCAGAATCTATTCCTCCGTTTTATATACTACAGACTTTGCTTTGTCTTCAATCCGGATTGCCTAAAAGTTCCTTCATGGCACTCGAGAAGGGGCACTTTGTGCATGATGCGGTAGCTGGACTTGTACAATTGGCCCGGTCTGTGGGCAATGTCAGCAGACGAATCATCGCTCAATCCGACACGGAAATGAACGCATGAGACACATATGGAAGACTGGGCTTATGGCTAGCGCCCTTCCACTTTTCGAGTCTTTAGATGTTTGTGAACTCTTGAGACGCTGAGACTCCTAGTTCAGTGTACTAATAACATGCATTTAGCGCTGAAATTTCCACAGCCTCTATACGTAAGTAGCCTTTGAAGTCGCTAGACGGACTGTATTTGATCTCTGATAAGCAATGATATATATGCAAGAATTCTGGGCTGATATGGAGGACTAATTTTGTAATGATCGCGCTACGAAAGAAACTTAAGACTGTTTCCACAGCTCGTAATACCGCCCTTTTTTCTCGCACAACTCTTCGTGCGTTCCTCTCTCCACGATAGTTCCCTCATGCAACACTAAGATCGAATTCGCATCTACAATTGTACTCAGCCGATGCGCGATAACAATCACAATCCTCCCTTCTTTTAGCTTCTCGAATGCCCTCTTGATATTCCCTTCTGTCACCGTATCTACCGCACTGGTCGCTTCATCTAGCAGAACGATTGGTGCGTCCTTAAGGAGCGCCCTCGCGATCGCAAGTCTCTGCGCCTCGCCACCCGACAGCTTAACGCCGCGCTCGCCGACGTGCGTATTGTAACCCTTGGAATAGCGTATGATAGTATCATGATCGCGGCTGCACGACATGCTTCGTGGACTTCTTCGTCAGTTGCGGTGCCGCAGGCGTATCGCACATTCTCCATGATTGAGGTGTTGAAGAACGTGGGTGCCTGGGGAACTACGCTTACGGCGTCGCGAAGTGAACTCAGTGTGACGTGCCGGATGTCTTGTTTGGAGATGGTGATGCTGCCGGATGTGACGTCGTGCAGGCGCAGGAGTAGTTTCAGAATCGACGATTTGCCGGCGCCAGTTTGGCCTACGAGAGCGACGGTCTGGCCAGGCGAGACGGTGAAGGAGACGTCGCGGAGTGCGTAACGGCTGGAGTCGTACTTGAAGGACACGTCATCGAATCGGACTTCGCCATCGCGCACTGCGAGTGGGTAGGCTTCGGGCGCGTCCATGACTGATGGCTGGGTTTGCAGAAGGTGAAGAACTCGTTCGGCGTCCACAAAGTCACGCACCAACCACCGGACATTTTCTGTCAAGAACTTTAGCGGATAGATGATCGAATCCCAGTACGTGAGGAAGAAGACGAAGTCTCCTGGTGATGCTTTGCCTGCAGCGATGCGCTGGAGGATGAGGTAAGCCAGGGCGAAGAAGGTAGTCGGTACCAGCAGCTCAACGAGAGCCTTTATGAGCGCTTGCCGTACTTCGAAACGTGTCCTTGCCTTCATGTGATCACTCACAGCACCGGAGAGTACACTGGCCTCCCTCTTGAATTGGTTGAAGTAGGTCACAGTTTGCCAACCTTGAATTGCTTGATGCATCTTTCGTATCTGGATACGTTCGGCCTTTGTCACATTTCTCCGGTGGCCGGTTGTGAGTCGCGTTGAGAAAGCTTCGGCAGCCATGAATAAGATTGATGCACCAAGCAAGACCATTCCCACGACCGGAGTGAACTTCCTGTAGAAGATAGTGCAAGCCACGATGACATCGATCAAGGTTGGTACGATTTCAATGACCACCATCTCGAGGACGTTGCCCAACGCTTCGCCTTGCTCAACGGCCTTCATGACCTCGGCTGAGTCTTGCGTAGAGTGAAAATCGATTGACTGGGACATGACGTGGCTGAAAGCAGCGTTAGTCAATTGCTTGTACGAGAACTGCTTGATGGGTATCTTGGACAGCTCTTGGACGAAGATCAACCCCGACTCGCTGTTAAGGTGATCGAGGGCAAGGAAGATGAGGAGTTCCCGAATAGGTATCGATCCGTGTGTGACTTTGTCCACAATTACCCCAAGAACATATGGAATGGCCACTTGTAGGACGCGCTCTATCGCGATCGTGACGAGGCAGATGAGTAGGCATATCTGTACTTTGATGTCTCGTTTGGGTATGACATAAGGCAGGAAGATGGTAAAGTCTTTCAGGTAGCCAAGCCAGCCTCCAGTCTGGCGCAACCGCTCAGCACGAGCCTCTTTGACATCTTCGTCTTCGTCGCTATCATCATCGCTTTCCTCTTCGTCGGTCTTCAGGTAATCGTCCTCGATTTCCGGAGGAAATGCTGCCTCTAGCAGTGGATCGGTGTCTTTGGAGCCCTGTCCGGGCGACCTCCAGAATTGGAGTGGCATCGTTCCGAATCGAAAAGTCGTTGTGTGGCTCGATGTGCTCAATCACCGACCGCCTCTTGTATGTTTGCCTATAAGAGCACATCTTGGCAGCGAGATATGATTACCACTGGGCAAACGGTGCGTCACGGCAGCCCTTTTCTTTTTTGTGTCTAGATGCTATGCGCACACAACGGCTTTCGGCAGACCAACCCAACCGTTTGTCGGTAGTAATACGCGCGGCCTCCAGAGATAGTGCGCCCTTTTAATTATACTATCTTCAGCACTGCACAGCCACGGTACCGGTCCTCATGCTGGCGTCACGCCGCTCCTGATGCGATTAGCTTGTGAGTTAGGCCGTGGCGCCGGTAAAGTTTCGAGGTGATGTGGTGTCGTTTGGCGCATCAACGTACAGAAGCGGACCGACTGCGAGCTGTAATTCTCAAGATGGATCTGTGCACGCGCTGTGGTCGGACTTCGCAAAGCCCGAAGCCGCGGAGAACAGGCGTTTAGGGAAGAGCGTCGCGAGCGGCTGAACATTTTCCGTCAGGGTTAAGACTGGAAGACGCATCAGTTAGCCTTCGCAGCTTGCCTCACCTCAGTGGCTCAAGAATCAGGGTCGTACACCGAACCATCGCAAATGCGGCATGGGTGTTCGGCATCCTTCCGAAGCACCACCATCCCGCGGTCTAAAAGCTTGTCTATGCGGTAGCGCGAGGAACGCCCCGACGCAATAGCGCAACTTCGGGCAACTGCACTAGGTACAATAGACATTTGGAGTTTGCGCCGGCCGCGGTGGAAATGGATTTCTTCGACCATGCTCCAAGCTTGGAAGACTGCTACTAGAAACGGTTGACTCAGTCACTTCCCGCAACACGAACAACGTATCTTCTCAACTGAGCGTCCTGTGCAAGACCGCGTCCACAATCCCCGCAACGGCACTCTCAATATCCTCATCCTCTAACCCGACCTCGCATTCCCGACGCGCACCCTGGCGCTTGAAGTTTTTGATCCAATAGAAAATCGACGTTGAAGGGTTTGAACACGATTGGATTGCTGTTGCACACATTCGTGCCCAATTACCTGTACAGAGGAGTTCGTCATCTATCATGATACGTCACGACAACATCCTGCAAGACGCGGTTTGCTACTGTAAATATTCCTTCGCTTCTCAAGTAGACCTTTCGCCGTTTCATAGTCACCATGATAATGGTACCTCCAAGATCGACCGACACAATATTTCCATGCTATTTGATCTACTCGGTGAAGGTCACCCATGGAGCCCCTTCCAGCGCTTGATCTGAGTTTCCAAGCAGTGGAAGGCCAAAGGGTTCTGGGGGTAGCTTTGCCCGCCAAATTCGACGGGCTTCTATGTACATGACTGATATGCCTACAAGAAGGCCAAAAAATGGATAGAGCCATGATGTGAGAAGCGCTCGATGCGTTCGCGCCGCCGCTTGAGTGTGGGTAAGTAGCGATGTTGCTGAGTTCAGTGTCTGACTGGCACTCGAAGTTCAAAATGCTGGCTAGATATATGCAAAGGCGATCAACGAGGTCGAACCCTTCCAGTGTACAGAGGCGAGCCTTATGCGATAGGGCGGCATTGATAACCAGTCTATTGGTGGTGCGTATATTAATCCATGTTTGTACCGATGCAGTGAGATTCCGCCTCGCCTTGTCGCGATATGTTGCTATCACGAAGATACGTCTTTGTATGACGATCTGTTTGCCCGTATGCAGTCTCCCGCTCTGCAGCCCTCGCAGCGTTCTTCATCATGTGGTCCACGACTCTGTCCACTAAACGGTGGCGGCTCAACTGGCACACCCGCCCATTTCTTGAGCCTGTACGCAATCCGCTCCACGTACGATTCTTCATCCACCTTGAGGCTTCCTAGTCGGTCGCAAGAACCGCAACGCTGGTTGTACACAATAGCGTTGTATCCACTACCAGGATAACCTTTAATTCGCGTTGCTACGACTCCACTGCTCCATCCGTTCTTTCTGCATCCGTTGTTGTCGCAGGTAAACTTTCCCACAACATTTGTTCCGTGTTCGTCGTCAGCACGACCTTTCAAGTTTTTGTTGAACCACGTCGAAGTTATTGCGGGCGCGACAGCTTCAGCGATACGTTGGTGCAATTCAGGAAACGTGAAGAAAGTCCTTGTCTCCTTTTGTCGTGTGGGAATGTTTGCTCGACCGATCTTTGGTTGTGCGACAATCGTATTGAGATCCGGTATAGCTAGAGCTTGCATTCGATTCTCAAGTACAGCAAAAGGCAGATCGAAGGTCGGATCTACGCGTGGGGTGTTCTTTGTCGTGGTATGGCGACTGGGTTGAGCGTTGCGTATTGTCGAGCGGACATTAGATGTCGCTGGTAACACCGGAGAGACACAGTTGGTAACTGGAACAGATGCGATAGAAGTGATGACAGAGTCTGTTCTGGGTCTTTGATGCGCTGGAGAGTTGTCTTGGTGCTGTCCAAGCGCGGTTTGATCACCGAAAGAACGATTGCATGTCTTGCAGTTGAAGGGTATATGCTTTGGTGAATTCTTCTCATGTGTTTTGAGTGCTGCCTTGCTGCCGAAAGTGCGATTGCACAATACGCAGATGGACATTGTTTGTCCCGTTGCAGTCGGTGGTGCCATCATAGCTTAGATAGGATTCTGACTGCGTGGGAAGTGCCAACGATTGCTGAGTCCAGCTTATAAGATATGAGGCGACACAAGGTTACTATCTTGTGGAGGTCTTCCTTAGTTTTGGAGCCAATGGTACAGTGACACATTACGCGCTGTGGCTGCATCTGCGGGTCGATCTTCCGGAAGTGCACACATCGACTGATACCGAGTGCGAAGAGTTCAAACTGCCCCACCCACACTAAAGCTTACTCCATACACGGCCTCGTTGTGTTGATTGTGGTGTGAGCACATAGTTTATGACCAGGCTGAGGATTCATGTGCGGGGTCAAGCGGCTAGACGCCTTGGTATGCATAGTGTCATGTTTGCGCATATGCAGGAATCCTTCGTGAACAACGCGTCAATAGTTGGATGGCATGCCGTTTCCAAATATGCATGCACGAACCCAACAAGAAACGTCCCCAGAACGATCTTCTGCATTTATGATGAACGCCCTTTGTTTCTAAGTTCGGTACCAGTCTCAGGAGTTCCTCTCCCCCGTTTTTAAGGTAAGATCTTACGAATAGTGCCACTCAAAGTGCTTCAATTGCAATGGCGAAGAAAGCCAAGGGCGCGAAAGCAGCCAAAGTTGCGCTTCCTCGACCCACAGCAAGGTGAGCCAGGCCTCCGCTGTTCGATCAAGCACAAAATCGTAGAGCTAAATACCGCAGTCCATATGCTAGCCCATTCGTCACCCTACACCTTGGTCCTGATCGCCAGGAGTATTATATCCCAGAGGTTTTGCTGGAAAGGTTGAAGAATGTCCCAGGTCGCGATCCCTGGACAGGGGTGATTCATCTCGTAGACGTAGACGCGAGCATCGGCCACGTCCTAATCCACTTTCTGCACACAGGCGTCTACCAGACTCTTAATGAAGAGGGAAGCGAGAATGTCGATAACAGTGTCGTCCGCAATGAGTTCCAAAAAGCTGTGCTTACTCTCGAAGCCGCTAAGAAGTACGGCGTGCCTGGCCTTCAGGAATTAGCCCAGTGCGCTATCCGAGAGACATTTGTTGCAGGGCCTCCCGATGAACATGCGTGGCTTCGGGACTACGTATCAAAGAAATTCCGATGCACCTTTGAACAAGACCTTCCCGCACCATCTGCACTGGACTTCTTCGAAAGCATCGAAAGTCCTACGCTGACAAAGCTACTGGCTCAAATAATCGTTGGTCTGTACAGCGAGGAAGTAGAAAAGCTGCGCAAAGAGATGACCGCAACTCGCAAAATCTCAACACCAGAACGAGATGGGACTCCAGGATTCTGTTCACCTTATCTACCAAACTCGCCTCCCAAGCGCATCGCCGTGATTTCTAACGCGTGGCCTGTGTCTGTAGAGAAATTTGGAGCTTTCGATGACTCGTCGGCTGCTTGGGATCCTCATAATCTAGGCCAGAATCAGAACAGCGTATCGGAGGCTAGTACAGTTACAGTCTCGATTCCATGCAACCAGGAGGAGAGAAAAGAAGAGATGCTGCACACCGTCGAAGAACACGCAGAAGCCAGCGCGGTACCTGGAACTCCTGAGGTAGAGGCGGATCCGTATGCGGGGCTCAGTAAGTCACAGACGAAGAAATTGAAGGCTAAGTTGGATAAGGAGGCAAAGTTGAAGAAAGAGGAGAACATAAAGCGCCAGATAGAATGGGAGGCTGTCGAAATCCTGCGACAAGAAGAAGACGCAGAACGGATACGCCTAGAAGCGGAGTTGAAGAAGATAGAGGATGAAGAAGCCGCTGCTGTTGCTACCAAAGCAGAGGAGTGCAAGAAGGAGGATGACGACATCTGGGGTGACAGGAGTGGTGCAGTTTCGACCGTTACGAAGAAGAAGAAGGGCAAGAAAGCAGAGCATATACGTCTAGAAGAGCAAGAGGCAGAGCTTATACTTCTAGAAGAGACGCAGGCAGAGTGTATACGTCTAGAAGAAGAGGGACGTATGCGCATAGAAGAAGAAGAACGTAGGCGCATGGAAGAAGAAGAAGCTGCCGCCACTATTGCTGAAGCCGAGGAAGCTGAGTTGAAGAAAAGGGAGGAAGAGGAAGCCGCGTCAAAGCCCGCAGACTGGGGCGCTAGCATTTGGGGTGAAGGAAAGAAGAAGAAGAAGAAGGAGACCACCAAAGATAGGAGACTCCGTGAGAGGAAAGAGGAGGAAGAGCGTTTGGCCGCTGCCGCTGCTGAAGCCGAGGAAGCTGAGTTGAAGAAGGTGGAAGAAGACGAAGCTACCGCCGCTGCTACTGAAGCTGGTGTAAACGCCTTCGACGTAACGACCGAAAAGGGCGCTACATCTAATGACGATGACTGTGAACTACGCTTGGAGCATCTGTCTCGCGATGATGGATGGAAGAACTGTAAGCCATGCGAGCTCTACATGCGGGATATTGCTATCAAGCTTCATTTAGTCGGGCTACCGAACGTAAATGGCTTCAGTACAATCAATTGATTGGACCATATAGAAATACATCAGTGAAAAAAAGACGTTCTACTATGCGACAATGGCTTTATCAATCACATCCGAGCTTCTGTTCCTAAGCCATATATCACAGTCTCAGACTTAGGATGTCTAGTCCGGTTAGATAGAATCTTCTTGCTCAACTCGTTGCTTATCACTGTGGGAGTACATTGTGTTGCAAATAGACCTTCTTCACAGGCCCGTGCAAGATTGTCGTTCGCGACCACAATCCGCGACTGTGTTGTTGAGCTGCAGGAAGCACTTTTGTCGTTGTTGCGGAAGTTCGTGAACATCATGATTCTCTTATGCACTCCGTCTCCCGCCAGCGGATCTAGCGACATCAACGCCCGCCGCTAGGCTACGACCAGGATAGGCGGGAGTTAACGAGGCACTCTTGATGTGTCTGTGCGGATAGATGGATGGATGCCGGTCATGTGGGAAACTAGCAAGACAGCGTTAACGATCTTTGTTGTTAACTACTTCCGAAGCTTGAACTTTGTCCAGAACAGCTCAACACAAGTATTGAGACGCTGCCATTTCCAAGCAGCGATGAGGGTGGCCGCAATCCTCCTTATCAGGTGGCCTTCTAATTGCGGAATTTATTGTGCTCGGCCAATTGCGTGCTTTCTGATGCGATGCGGAGCTCATGTCTCTCATCCGTTTGGGGCGGAGGTCATCTTCCACTTGCCGACTGTGAGCGACTCGTTTCCAGCTTATCTGGAATCATCATTCCAGCGCTCATTATCGATTCACGGGGCGGAGAAAAACCAGGTACAGAAGTGAAGAGAGGGGTCGCATTACCCATGTCGGGTGGTGGGGGTCCACGTCCCGTTCGCGCCCAGGGTCTGTCTCTGAGCCGCGAAGGGCTTCCCCGCATGCCCGCATTCCCACTCCACTCTCTATGCTTCGAAAGAGACAATTACCAGCAATAGAACTTACGATGCGGCGCGCAAACGTGCAAGGACTCGCTGCATCCGACGACAGATCTGAAGTCCGATCAATAGACCAAAGTTCAGGAAAGCGACGATATCACGACGCGTCGCACATCTCAACTTCACTTACACTGCTCGCCATTCCTGAAGCTGACCAGTGAGTCGTGCTTGGCACACGTGTACGGTCAACAACGAACATGCAACGCAAACTCGACATCTTGATCGTCGGCGCTGGCCTCTCTGGGCTCGCCGCCGCGATACAATGCGCATTGTCAGGGCACTCAGTCACTGTATTGGAGGGCGCAAGGGAGCTGGCTGAGGTATGCGTTCACGCCCACGACATCAAGCCGCTACATTCCACATCCATATTTATCACGAGTCCAGATAGGCGCTGGCTTGCAATTAACACCAAATGCCACACGTCTCCTCCAGAATTGGTCCGTATACGATACCATCCGCGATCAAGTCTGCGAACCAGTCACATTGACCGTACACAATTACCGCGGCAAGATCCTTGCGCATGAAGAGAAGTTTGATGCGAACATCCGGCGCAAATATGGAGCGCCATTTTCCGATTGTCATCGCGTGGACCTGCAGCAGGCGCTGGTCAAGCGAGCGAAAGAGCTAGGTGTAGTTGTTGTATTGAATGCGAAAGTAACGAATGTAGACTTTGGCTCAACAACCGGTGACAGAGCGCGTGTGAAAATCTCAGAGGGTCAGAAGTACGATGCCGATCTCATCGTTGGAGCAGATGGACTATGGTCCTCGTGTCGATCTACGATGCTAGGGCGGAACGATCCTCCGCTGCCTACTGGCGACCTAGCATATCGCATCGTACTCAAGATCGACCAGATCAGCGATCCGAAGCTGAGAGAGATGGTGCAATCGCCCGCATGTCGATTCTGGGCAGGACCAGATGCACACGTCGTAGCATACAGTTTGCGCGGCGGCAACATGTACAATGTGGTTTTGCTCGTGCCCGATGATCTTGAAGAAGGCGTCGCCAGGACAGAGGGCAACTTGGACGAAATGAAGAAGTTGTTTGAGGGATGGGATCCAGTGTAAGATACTCCACTCGCCTCTCCCTACTACTGCACTGTAGATCTAACAGTGATCCAGGTTGACCCAACTACTTGAGTGTGTGGACAAGGTGGACAAGTGGAAATTGATGCACCGGGCCGAGATGGAGTCCTGGATCAACCTGCAAAATAATCTTGTGCTCATCGGGGATTCATGTCACCCGATGCTTCCGTATCTCGCTCAAGGCGCAAATTCTTCTATTGAGGACGGTGCCGTTCTGGGACTCCTACTTGCCCCGGAGCATTTCAGCTCAAAGAAGCAACTGCCACATACACTTCGGCTCTTCCAACAATTACGGAAAGCGCGCGGCGAAGGTATCGCCCGGGAGACGTTCAAGCAGCGAAAAGACTTTCACCTCCGCGACGGGCCAGAACAGGAAAAGCGGGATGAACAGATGTTAGGTCAACTTGGCAAGGAACTCAAAGGCGCGTTTCCAAGTCGGTGGACATGTCCCGAGGTGCAACCCTGGCTATACGGATATGACGCGATGGAGGAGGTGAAGGCGGCTGTGCGGGCAAAGTCGTCGTGATGGCGCAATAGCGTAGGAAAAGAAGGTTTACGGGACGTTGAGAGACATATAAGCCAGCCTCGGATGTAAGGTAGGAGACGGTCATCTGATTGGGTAGATGGAAGTACTTGTTAGTAAACCTACGATTCAGGGTTGATGTTGCGCCAGGGTCATCGTGAAACGGTCCACATAGTGGCTGCCGAGGCCCGTCGCAGGTCGCATGGTCGACATGGATGTGACAGCCCTACGCCATTCTGATTGATTGCCATCCGTTCTCGCCTTTGAGAAGATCATGGCTGGTAAATGAAGGCTGGTTGGATCCATGGCGGATGATGCCGTCTTGTACATTTCGGTCGCTGGCAAGTTCCAGACCATGCAAGGCATGAACAACAGCAAGCCAGTCGAGCCGACATGGCTTGCTAAGAAACAACGACGTGAAGGTTTCGTCGTAGTGTTAGAGTTTGCACACATGTGCGCAATATCCCTTTCGACATCCCGCATCGCGTCAAAACAGGCCACACTACGTCGTTCACACCTCCAAAGCCGAATGTCTGATTTGAGCTAGACACAGTCTTTCGGAGTGGTTCACGCAAAAGATTCCGCTGTGAAACAATACTCACAACTCATGACATGTGCCACTTGTCGAGGTTGATACAACACAATAGCATCCTGTCCGCCGCCAACGCAACGAGAATCCTACTCGATGATCGAAAACCGTTACTGGAGTCATGCGCCCACGTCCATCCTTGGTCGCAGAAACAAAAGCTTTAATCATCCCACCCGCATGCCGAGGCTAAGCCGGGCAAAACACGAAACACGAAACACGTAGAGGTCACCCGGCAGATTCAGTGATCAGACGTGGAGAGCATGGGTACGCTTCCCTGTACACATCAGCCTCTTTCCGCGAATGGGCCAACGACTCCACAATAACGTCGCGTTGATGGACAACGCAATGGCATTCCTTTCATCACATCTCGCCGCAGAAGCAATGTTTCGAAACTGAACTGCGTGACTCGCTGCGATGGTCCTCCGAGGAAGTCCACTGGGGACTTTTGTATAAGATGTAGGTCTCCAACAGAGGTTTGGTGGGCATCGACTTCGATTCGACTTTCGCTTCCACTCTACCACCTTCGCTTTCAGCGCCAGTCTTGTTCTTCGTTGTGCTGTGCACCGACATTCTTTTCTTCAAACGATTTGCTCTATACAGGCACAGACGACTTGTTGAACCTTTTCCACATCAACTTTTGAACAATACCGCAAGATGAAGTATCACGCTGCTCAAGTTTTTGCTCTTGCCAGCATTGCAACTGCATTCCCGCACCCCCAGCTTCCCTCGCTACCATCCTTCTCGCTACCAACTGGAGGACTGGGCTCTGGGACAGGTACCGGTCTAGGTACTGGTCTAGGTTCCGGTCTAGGTTCCGGTCTGGGTTCTGGTCTTGGTTCTGGCCTAGGCTCAGGTCTCGGAGGTGGAAGTTCCCCACTTCCAACCGGCCTTCCCAGCCTAGGTGGAGGTTTCTCACTTCCAACCGGCCTTCCCAGCCTAAGTGGAGGCAGCACCGGTACAAGCGGCTCGGGATTGAGCGGCTGGCTCAGCAGTCTGGGTGGAGGTTCCAGTGGAGGCCTTGGAGGTCTCGGAGGAGGTCTAGGAGGCCTCGGCGGCGGTGCTGGTGGTGCTTCGACAACAGCTGACGCCGTTGTACCCGCACCCTCGAACACTGGTGCCGCTGCAGCTCCCCCAGCGACTGGTGGAGGCAATACTGGTGGTGCCGGCACGATTGGTACAAACTGCAAGCCCCAGTCTGGATCAGCTAACGCCTTCGGAGGAAGTGAAAACGGTATCGTGGACAAGAGCTGCTGCACCGACATGACCATCGTCTTCGCTCGCGGTACGGGAGAGATGGGCAACGTCGGATCCGTTTCTGGACCGCCGATGTTCAAGGCTATTCGCCAGAAGCTGGGTAACGACCGTGTTACTGTTCAGGGTGTTGACTACGCTGCCTCTGCTGCTGGTAACGCCAACCTTGGTGGTGACGGTGGCCAGAAGATGGCCGATCTGGTCAAGCAGGCCAAGTCTCAATGCCCTGAGACCAAGGTCATCGTATCAGGCTACTCTCAGGGTGCCATGGTCGTTCACAATGCTTTCAGCAAGGGCCTTTCTGCCACTGATGTTAGCGGTGCTGTCATGTTCGGAGACCCATTGAAGCGCCAGGCTATCAGCGGTCTCTCAGCTGAGAAGATCAAGGAATTCTGTGGTGACGCTGATCAGATCTGCGGTGGTGGTGGTGATGGCGGTGCTACTGGAAGCCATCTCAGCTACGGCAGCAGTGCGGATGCGGCGGCGTCTTTCGCTATACAGGCTGCCGGGCTTGCTTAGATATATCAAGGCTGTCTTGTAAACTCACATTGCTAGTATTAAAGAGCATAGGTTAGTTTTTGCAGAAAGAGTAAAGCAGCACTAAATATAGAAGCTAGACTGTGCCAAGATAGTGAGAAAAAGCTTCTATGGAGAGCAACCTTGAAAAAACTGCTCTTTAAATTCACAAAGTTCTCTCTCGTATGTCTATGTTTTAAAGCTACTGCGTTTACATATTAAATTTTGTCAAATATGTTGTTGATCGAAACTTACACCTTGCATAAGCTCAGGGACTCCGAAAGATTCGTTGACTCGGCATGAAGATAACATCACGATCAGGCATCACTGCATTGTCAGCAGCATTCTTGACCAAGTGTAATACAAGCTGGCAGTCCGTACGCGTTAGTTATTAAAAGGCGCAATAGGCTCGGGACTACCTAGTTGTTGACACTCTGAGCGTAACTTGAATAAGGGTGAAAGAAAATCTTCTTTGATTTCTCCTATCTTTATATAGTGCTCTGTATGGGCTTCGAGGAGGTATTGCGGCGCACGGTGTACCAGTTTTGGAGGAACTCTTGCAAGGTATCGCTTTATACCAGACATAACGTGCGCATCTCCCACTGCCTGTCTTTCGTCAAATGATTGAGAAAGGTCTGAGTATCCATACTTGGATCTACTTCGACGTGTTCACTATTGAAAAGACCAATCCGGCGCCAGGTCAAGTCGTTGACCTCTTCGAGCAGTAGCAGTGTTGCATTCCGGCTCTTTGCTAAATATTGAAAACTCCCGATATACATTGCGACCAATGTGTTGCTATGCTGATCCTCGGCATATCCGTAATCCAGCATAGGCAGAGATCCTGCGGGAAAACCTGAAATAGAGTAATCAGGACGATTGAGGCTTCCAGAACTTTGACATTTTATCTGACATGTGACTACCCAGCTCATGATTGAGATTGTTGGCAACAGGTCTATGTCATCTCTTTGGCTCCGCGCGAAAATGTACTGGTCTAAGTCGAAGCTCGTACCCTTTGTGTCTTTGACCCAAACGTGCACATCTTCTTGGTAGCCATAAGCCCCTGGATCGGTTTGAATCCACAGAGCTCTGGTCCTATCCGATTTCGAACGGACTTTCACGCTAGCGAAGCTCCAAGATGGATAGAGGGCAGTGTCCGCAAGAGCATCGTATATTGGCTTCGTCCTAGGATAAGTGTCCCATGTGAGACTGTGCAGGAATGTTGATTTTGGAGTAAACGTTGCGAAGCTTGCTCCATCTGCCGATGGAAGTGAGAAATTCGGTGACCTCTGGTTATAGAACACTGGGAGGCCATAAATGTGGGTAGCACAAATGTGGTCGCTACCGTGTTTCATCTCAAAGACATTGATGATGCCAAGAAACGCTTTGATGATGTCTTCGTCAAATGATAGCCACCTATCGTAATACTCCATGAGCTGCTCATACAGAACACTTATTGTAGGCGCAGCCCCCAAGTTGTAGAATACCGTAAGACGTGGATGTAGAGGTACTGTGCTGGAAATCCGGTCAGGGGACGCCGGATCATTCGATGAGAACATCTCCATGTGCGACATAGCGTTGCATTGAAAGTACATCTGTGTTGCAGTGAAGACCAATAGACGTCTTGAAAGTACCATCTCTTGATATGTCCATCCACGAGTATTCCATGTTGAAGTCTGGATTTCGCGAGAAACGTCGATACTTACGATTTCCTGACCGATTGATTTTACTACATGGCTATAGTAGCGCTGACGGCGAGGCGTACCATTGATACCGGGAAGACCGTGATCTGGACCGTCCCCTGCGGCGGCGATGATTGTGAGGGTTGCTCCACGATAGACAGCGTCCATGTTTGTGATGAGGCGATGCTTCTCCCCAGCATTTTTTTGATTGATGCAGTATCGATCGACCCACAGGTAGGAGATTCCAAGTTGTAATGTAACATACATTGCATCCTCTATCGTCTTCGGCAAAACCGCTGGAACTTTCTTTGAGTGATGCTCGGCGACACATGAGTTGCCCCAGACGTAACTGAGGCAAACATATGGTGTTCCCGGCATGATCTTACACAGGTTCCTTGAAGCACAGTCGATCACTTTCAACGAAGTCGTAGAGGATCCATTGTAACCACATGAACTTTGATGTAGTCGCTCGCATTCGGAGACCCAGTTCTTTGCGACCGTGAGATCGCGCAATTCTGCGGGGATGTGTTGTGCAGCACTGGCAGAGCAGAACCATGTTGTTCTCGTTTCGTCTCCTGCGAAGGCATATAATTCCCAAAGCGGGACTTTTTCTCCTCGCCGATCCATAAGGTACTGGCGCCACCAAACTTTTAACGGATTATATTCTTTAGAGGCTCCCGCCATGACGGACTCTGTAGATTCGCTGTTCGGTTCTCTGATAAAGCCGGAGTCTACCAAATAAGCCTTCAGACTACTGCACAAAGCGCAATCGAGTCGGATTTTTTCCCAAGTGCCCTTACGGTAATATGCTCTCTTTTTCGGTAGAGTCTCGAAGAAATATGACGAAGGAATGCCGCAACATACCCAACAGATGCCCCAGGACCGGGTTCTAGGCTCGTCCTTTGCCATTCTGAATGAAGTGTCGTCCAGGGAAAAGAGGATGGTGCTGAAAAGGCGGCACAGTGGGTGCGGGATCAGCACATACCAAAGTTCAGGCTGCCATGTTCAGGCTCGGTAGCATACCCCGCTGGGGGCTGTGCAGGTGTCAGACGAGGGCCGCGCCCACCCCACCAGGCAACCAAAAGGGAACAATAATCGAGAAACAAATGATCGTCCTATTTATAACGATGCGTTTTCACAAACTGCTCTGGAGCTTCGCGGTAGACTGCGGTGCGGATAAAATAGACACGTTCTGCGTGCAAACACGAAGCATTACCCTTCTCAACAAGACCGCTCCACCCCCTCAACCAGCGAGTTACTGTTGATTGTCAGCCTGATCTTTAATTGGTGGTTATGACGTAGTTGACTTGCAAGATTAAAATCCTACCGTGCCTTAGGTACATTTCTTATGGTACGGAACAGCACACTTGAAACCTGACGAATAAGAATTATAGCATGCTATTTGGTTCTTGTTCGGAGCTTTCGATGTACCACTCGAGAGGTGGAGCGGTCTACTTGAGAAGCACCGACAGCAATGTAGCGAAGTGTTGCGCATCTCCCGCAATGTTGCTGTCCATATTGTATCCATATATCAACCTAAAAGAGCTCCCAATGCGCATGTGCTCCATGAATCTAACCGCTTCATATGTATACTATCAAAACCGATCTCTCCACTACGGATGCATCCCCGCTTCTACCACTGCTATCCTCAGCCGCGCCCAGATCTCATTACCTCGTTGCCTAATCAGAATTCAACACATTACACCATTCCCTGAAACTAACACCGCTCACCACTTTCGCCTACAAAAAGCCAAACCTTCAATAAACAAACGTCCCCACAAACAACACCAGCACATAAACCACCGTCAACCCCCACGCCACCTCCCTCACCAACGGCAAGAACCCCCAAGTCTGCCTAATCTCCTGATGCTTGGGCTGGCCCGCACCAGTCTTCTGATCAAAGTTCATCATATCATCGCGATCCGGCACCGTCGGTGGTCGAAAAACATACAGTATCGGGATGCAGAAAGAAATCGCCAAGAACAACCACCACATCGGCGGCAACATGCTGTTAACCAGAAGATGGCGCAAGGACGCGTTGGTGCTGGGCTGGCTATACGCGCGGTACCAATCGAGGCCCGCGGCGCCGAGACAGTAGGGTACGAAGAGCACGAAGAACCATATGCGGCAGTGGATACCCATGAGTTTGATGCGCGTCCAGAGGCCTGCGCGGTGCATTTCGCTGCGCTCCTTGAGGCGGTCGCGGATGGCGCCGGAGGCGAGGAAGGCGATTTTCTTGCCGCCCAGCCACGTGGGCAGGATGTAGCAGCGCAGGATGGTGACGGCGAGGTAGGGCGTCATGAATTGCCAGGCCATGGCGCTGCGTTGGCCTTGGATGTAGCCGGAGGGCAGCGTGAGGACGATTTCGTTGATGCGTAGGGATACGACCCAGATGGCGCAGAGGCGGATTTGCCAGCGCAGTTGGTCGTCGGTCACGTAGACGAGGAGGTCGCGGCCCCAGTAGAGCAGCGCGGGGATGATGAAGTAGGCGATGAAGACGGGGATAGCCATTATGGTGTTGAAAGCGAAGGTGAAGATGCACCAGCGTTGGGGAAAGGTCATGTGTTTGGTCTGACGAGGCATCAGTAGGATTTGGACAGTGCTGGTGAAGTGCTTACATATTTGCCTGGTAGACCCCAGTTTAGCTCCTGTGCGGTTTCGAGAGTACCAACTGCCCAGCGCGTACGTTGCTTGAGATCTGAAGACTTAGTCGCGATACAAAGAGTGAGCGGATAGGTTTACTTACGATTGATGATGCTCTCTGGTACCATACCGACTTGCATGAACTCATGAAGGTAGGCCGTCTTATAGCCCGCGCCATTCATCATGAAAGAGAGCAACTGATCTTCCGCCATCGACGGCGTAGGCCATCCACCCAGCTCATCCACAATGAACCGCTTGAAGACGACACCACTTCCCGTGCACCAAGCTGCACCCATATGATCCTTCCTCGGCTCTAAGTAGTGGATGAACTCACAGATCGATTGACAAAGTGGGTCATCTGCAGGCACATTCCAGAACGTTTGTGGTGGTGAGACGAGAGCGAGTTCCGGATCGCGTAGTAGATGAGGCAAGATAGCTCGCAGCCATTCTGGATGAGGGATCATGTCCGCGTCCAGAGTCGCGAGGTATTCAGCAGGTCCACCTGGCAGATGAACCGCATAGTCGATACCAGACTGCAAGTTGCCTGCCTTGTAGTGATGTGGTACGCCTTCAACCTTGACACGTGCTTGGTAGACAAGGTTTGGGTATTCTGCAATTAGTGGTTGCAAAGCTTCTGCCAGATTGGGGTCGGCATCATCATCGCAAATAATGATGCGATAACGATCACGTGGGTAGTCGATGTTGCATGCGCCCCTGACTGTGTTGATGATCATAGGAACAACTTCGCCACAAGTAGTGAAGAGCACGTCCACTGTCGGGACTGCTTCACCACGAAGGCGAAGCTTCGGACGCTTGCGATTGCCGAGTGAAAGTAGCAGAACCGCCATCCATGACAAGTAGGGCACTAGTCGGTATCAGCTTCCTGTCGACACTAAGTTTAGTGAGTGGAACATACAAAGGATGACGCCCTCTACGACAATGAAGATCCATGACGCTTCAGCCAGCCCACCATAGACGACGCGAAACTGGTAGTTGCACCAGACGCGGTAGCCATAGTATGCAACGTACGTCAAGAAGACCCAGACGATGACGATCGGATGGATCAAAATCAGCTTGCGTTGCCATGGCTTCACTACGGTCGACATCGTCGTATTCTGATAGCTGCTCGATGACATACTCGCCAGGCTCGTAGCGATCACTGTACGCAAACTTGCCGTGGCGGCTTTTCTTGAAAGGAGCCGCAGAACTCGGTCCGTCCGCAGGCCCAATCTCGTCCCCAGAGGAACTTGCACTGGACTCAACGAAGCGGAGAGGCTGGTTTTGAGGCTGAACATCTGATCTTGTACTATCCTTCGAGCTCAAGACATTTTGTGGGCTTGATGCAACTGGCTCAATAGTGTCTGGTGCAGGAGCCAAGGTGTTTCGGGGCGGCTGCACAGCGTCTGCCGAGCTGCTGCCAGTTTCAGGTGTGGTAACTATCCCATCGGCCATGATGGAGTTAAAAGTAGCGACTGATGCCTGAGAAGGGAAGAGCGAGGAGTGTTTTCCAGAACGACTTCTGCCAGCGCACTGCGATGATTTAATCGCCAGGTGGCCATGACACCAGCTCAGGTACCAGCTCCCGATCCGCATGCATATTCCCAATAGTTCGATTATCGTTAAGCTGCTGTTGACAATGCGCTGTGAACCAAAGATCTGTCCACCACAGGAAGATTGAGGCTCGCTGGTACTGTGGCTGTTGTTGTACGTCTTACACGTAGTACGAAGGGTGGACAGGGACTAATCAAATCCCAGCGAAGATCCAATGCAATGGCGCAAGTTCATGCAGATGTAGTCCTACGCCAGCTTCGGAGCGGCCCATGGCTGTAATCACATCGGGAGGACGCCACGTTCCGGTATCTAGTGCAACGTGCTCCGGCCCCACGCCCGCTTAATGACGATACAAAAAATTCATGATATGATGCTCTATAGGCGATGCTTATTTTGAAGCAAATGAGCATACCATATTCATGGCTACATGTAATGCAATGGCGTCGATTATTCGGGCTTAACACTGGTGTACCGTTGTAAAGTCGATATTCTGTGAGCGGTTGAGCGGACTTTGTATCTTTACCCTTTGTTGAATTTTGGGAAACGTGGGGTAACCTCCAGCATCGCACCGGTCACGAATCGTGTGCCACAGTCAAGCGCGAGGGTACCGCCGATCTTGGAAATTATTGTTAATCGACCAGGCCTGGACAAATCTGTTAAACGCCGGCCACTTCTGAGTTTAGCTTGCCATGCATGAAGGGCCGGAACGGAAGTTCTCACGGTTTCTTTATCTCTGGCAAGGAAATTGGCTGGGCCTGTTGTGCATCTGTTATCTTCATGGCGCAGCTCATGAAGCACTACAGCGTGTTCGGCAGGAATGGAAAACACCGCAGTGCCTTTAGCTCCGTTGAAGTTCCGGCGCAGGGATACGGCTGTCGCACTCGAGTTGCTTTTGGCTAATCGACAAGCTGAAAAGTAGATTTGAGCTCTGCTGCAAGCTTTTCTCTGAAGTCATGAATAGATATTTCATAACACTTGCAATGAGGTACCGCGCATCGAGACACCCGATGCCAGAAGCGCAGCTACCAGGGTCAATCGCGATTACAACCCCCTGATCGTATTGTGTACGTTGATCTTACTTCCTGGAAGTTGTTGGTATTTGGAAGCGCTCTGTGTGCTATGCAAAGCTTAGAGGTATGCGAAGCCAGACGTTACCATCGAGCTTTGTACATTCTAGTTGGAAATCAGACTGCGGTACACAAAACGGCGGATCTTTCAAGCGCATGGTACCGCATTGTGCGGTGTTCCGATGCAAAAGAATGGTTGTTGAACAGCGACAGCACAGCACAGCGCTTTCAGCTGAGACTGCTCCTCCAGCGAATGATCCAGCTGGAGAACAACACATGGGTACTTGGAACGCGGCGCCGATCCGGTCTCATGTCGCCGGGCAGATTGGCCTCGTTGTACCGTTGCACTAGAATTCAGCGCGTACAGGAGAAGATTGTTGGGCATGGCGGGTCGAATGACGTGAGGGCGTGGCGTTGCTTCAACGCGTTGCGGCGAATACGCTCTTGCGTTAGGAATATGGCTTCCTCTTTCTGCGCCTTATCGCGCAGATCATTTGCGAAGGGATTGTGACGTTTCTTGGAAAGGAGGATGTACTCAGCCTGACTCCCTGCATCTCCTTGATCAGCAAAGGCAGGCCACCGCTGCTTCACATTGCGATGCAAAGCTGGACAATCGAGGCGAATCAACAAGCCCCTAGCGAGCTCACGTTCCGAGGATTCGTCTTCAACGATACGAACAGTGTGTTGTAGTCTTCACTAAGGCGAACGATGGGTTGAAGTCTGGTTATGCAATGACGCTAAAAAACCCAGGTGGGGCGATGCACCGCGAAGCTTCCAGATCACGAGCGCTTCTGCTGCCTTACAACCGTTTTCCAGATAAATCCCAGCTCACCATCTTTTTCGTACGACATAGACTTCTAGACCATACCAAATCTCTCACCGCTCAAACTCCGCGCCTACAGGCACTACCACCAACGCATCGTGAACCGCTACGCGGCGGAAATTCCACGCGAACCTCTTACTACGCGCAAACCGTACAGTCGCACACCTCACAATGGGTTCCGTCGCCCTTCCCCACCTGCGCTCAGGCTGGCACGTCGACCAAGCCATCCTCTCTGAAGAAGACCGGCTCGTCGTGATCCGGTTCGGGCGCGACAGCGACCCCAACTGCATGTCGCAAGACGAGATCCTGTACAAAATCGCGGACCGCGTCAAGAACTTCGCGACTATCTATCTCTGCGACAACGTCGAGGTACCCGACTTCAACGCCATGTACGAGCTCTACGACCCGATGACGATTATGTTTTTCTTCCGGAATAAACACATGATGTGCGATTTTGGAACGGGCAATAACAATAAGCTGAATTGGGTGCTTGAGGATAAGGGCGAGTTGGTGGATATTTTGGAGACGGTCTATAGGGGAGCAAAGAAGGGTAGGGGTCTGGTGGTCAGTCCGAAGGATTACTCGACGAGGTATAGGTATTAGAGAGGTGGGGGAGTGACATGGCACAAGCTTGACACAGACGTGGACGGAGATCATACTGGTCTTTTAGTTGATGGGAACGAGCCGAGATGGATACGAAGGCTTCATGAATTGGCGTTTGGAGAAATTGAAGGTATGGCTACACTGAGGTGTTCGATGTATCCCATGCTCACAAAATTGTTCAGAATGCTTTGGGATAATATGGCCGGGTGACTTGGCTTGGGGATTGATACAATGATGCGCTAGGACAGAGATGCATTGTTCAATATATTGGCTATGACTGAGCTTCACGCTTTTCGCTTTTCACGTCTCGGCCTTCGTTCTTCCCTTCCCATAAGCACTTCTTCGTGCCCCTCCAAACCTCCTCCAGTATCGCCCGGCGCGGTAACAATGTCGGAAACACCACCACCACGTCCTCTTCTCCCTCGACCACGACTGCCAAGTAGAACCTGACTTCAAAGCCCTTGAAAGCTTCGTATATGAAGATGTCCTGTATACTCGTTGTCGGTATAAAGCGTGTCGAGGGCCCTAGCAGGTATGTGCTTGACGTGGTGGTGGTTTGTATGCCGAGGCCACGGAGGACTGTCAAAGACTCTTCTGTAGACATTTTAGCATGTGCAAAATAAAAGTGAGGGAGAACCCTTACCAGTATAGTTGCGCCGAAACACCAGCGCGAAGATGACCAGCGCACATGGCGCTGTGTACATCCACTGGCATCGGCCGGCAGATTCAAGCAGCTGGTCTGTCTTCAGAGGGCCCAATACAGATTGTAGTGCATTTTCAGTTCTCACAGACTCTGCGCCACTGACTGTCCATACACCAAAAGCCGTGACTAGCCCTATTATAACCCGGAAGAATACGCTGACATACGATGCCAGCCTAGCATGGAGCTTACGGGGAACAGGACGCGTCGAGACCGTGTACGAGACCGTGTAAGGCGTCGGCTGGACCGTCCGAAGAATCTGCGCAGGCGGAGCAGTAATCCGCCGCAAGAAGTCCTGCATGGTCATCGGATCCACATCGCTGAGTTGTGAAGGTGAAAGTGTGGGGTGAAGTTCGGATCGACTGGCGTCCAAGCTCCTCCCTGCGCTTGTGAAATTTAGTCTCGGGAGTTTACATCATTCTCCGCAACCACCTCACCAACACCCAAACACCAATCTCAAATCAGATACAGAAGACCATGTCGCCCTCACCACCCCGCGAAAGCGAACCCAAAGCTGCTGAGTCCCAAGCTATTGAATCAAAACCTGAAGTTTCTCGCGCACGCTCCAGATCGCGCTCACCGCGTCGCAGCCCACCGCGCAAGCCCAAGAACTTCTCAGGCCTGAAATGGAAGAACGACAAGAGAGACGACAGAGATCGTGACGACAGGCGGAGAGATGACAGAGGCGGGAGGGAGCGAAGAGACTACGACCGCGACGACAGGAGGAGAGACGATAGACACTCGGATCGGCGCGGCGGCGACGATCGCAGACGCGATGACCGCAGGGGAGACGACAGACGCCGGGATGAGCGAAGAGGCCGAGACGACCACAGAGGAGAAGATAGACGTCGAGACGACCGCGATCGAAAGCCTCGCGAAGACCGCGAGCGCAAACCGCGCTCCTCCTCCAAAGACAAGAAGTCGAAAGACGCCAAACCCGCCGCACCCCCCGCCTCCAACGAGCCCATGATAATCGTAACCATCAACGATCGCCTCGGCACCAAGACGCAAGTCCCCTGCTTGCCCAGCGACCCCGTGCGCGTGCTCAAAATGATGGTGGCGGCGAAGATTGGGCGCCCCGTGCATGAGATTATGCTGAAAAGGCAGGGCGAGAGGCCGTTTCATGATACGTTGTCGCTGGCGGATTATAGTATCAGTAATGGCGTGCAGATCGATTTGGAGTTGAACACTGGGGATTAGATGGATGGGAAAGGAGGAGGGAAGGAATGGTGTTTTGATACCCCAGAGATTAATTGAATACGAAAAGGTCGAAGTAAATGTCATGATGTGTGACTTCTGAAATGTCTAGATATCTCTACTCATCCCCATCCTCTTCCTTCCCCTTAAATCTCTCCGAATCCCAGCCTTTCCTCCGCGCATACCGCTCATTCACCAACTCCACCGTCTCCCCCCTCTCCCTCTTCAACACATCCACATAACCCCCCTTCGCGCGGCCCGTGTTCCCTCCATCAAACACTCTCGGCCCGCCCTTCGCAATGCCCACACCGCCCGCCTCCTCTTGGTCCAACGTAGCCTGCCCCAGCCCAGCAATTTTATCCAACAACAGCGCCGAAAGCGTCTCGTCGACCTTATTCCCCCTCCACACCTCCCACACATCATCAATAACACCTACCTCGTCCCCACTTCCCGCGGCCCGCTAGACTCGGCGACGTCTTGCTCTTTGGCTCGACGCCGCCTTCGTCACCGACATATACCCACTGTAGACGATCTTGATACCCTGTTTCGCGCTCCTCGCTAGTCTGCACTTCGTCTGCGTGCGGGAATATACAATCCCACAGTACCAGCGGGGCGTCGGAAGCCATTTCGTATTTCGGGCGGGTGGGGTTGGTTTCGATGTCGAGGAGTTGCTGGACGAGCGAGGGAGGCTCGAGGCGCTGGCCGATGAGGAACAGGATCGCGACGATGCTGCGGACTTGGTGCCACAGGAAAGCCGAGCCGTGGAGGACAAAGGCGTACATCTTCGGCTGGTCGGGCGGCGCAATAGCACCATGTGAGAGATAACTTGGCACGGATAAGGGTGAGACTTCTTCGATGCCGGCGTAGAATATTCGGCGCTTGAAGTTTGTGAGTTGTTTCGATGCGTCGATCTTGCACATGTTGCGGAAGTCGTGCAGGCCGATTAGCGATTCGCACGCAAGCTGCATGGCGGCGATGTCGAGCGTGCCTTCGCGCATGGGGGAGGAGGGAGTGTGATATGTGCCAGCGGAGCCGGGGACGGGGGCGAAACATGGGTTGGTGAAGAAGTACTTGTAGCGACGCTCTTTGCAGGAGAAGCGGGCGCTGAAGTTTTCGGGAGGGTTAGGGCACCATGCGTAGACGCGGATGTCGGGTGGGAGAACGCGGTTGAGGAGTTGGATGTAGGGGAGTTCGTCGGTGACCTCGTTGAAGTGTTTGGTGGCGGCGTCTGGCTCGCTGTCGAGGATATCGAGTTCGTCTTCAGCTGCTGGGGGGTTTTCCTGGCTTTCTGGCTCTTTCGCGGGTTGCTTTGGAAGAGGTCTATTGCTTCGCACACGCACTCCGATGACCTGGCCGAACGCGCTCACTCCTCGATCAGTCCTGCCGCATTTGGAGTATTCACAACCGTCCCAGTTGACATCTGCACCCTCCCTGTCCCACGTCGCAAATGTCTTCCTATCTGCCTTGTTGTAGTCTGCGGTGTCTCCAGTCGTTGGTATTGGGTTGATCAACCTTGTCTTCACCAGTGCTTTCCATAGCTCTTCCTCAATGGTCGGTAATGGCGTGGAGTTGTTCTTGTGGTGTTCGAAACCATTGTATTTCTGGCCAAGGTACGCAAACTTGAGCGCGATTAGTCGGGAGCTGTATTTTGACGCATCAAAGGCTTTGGGAGGCGCTTTTGGGGGTTTGCGAAAAGGTATCGATGTGGGGGTGTCCTGGGCTGCTACAGGAGCGATATTTGTCGCGGAAACGCCATTATTCGAAGAAGTTGTCTGTCCCGCCTGTTGTTCCAATTCATGTATCCTTGCAATTAATTGCTCTTGTGTCCATGCCTCATATTCCCCCGCCATGGCTTTCCTAAACGGGTACGCGTCCCGCAATTGCACGCGCCTCGGAACTCTTGAAAGCTTGTGAAAGCTGCGCCGGGTACAGAACAACCTGTGCAACGAATGATGAAACTCGGGAAATGCGGTATGCAGCGGGGCGAGTAGCTGCTGCATTATTTGGTGGGACTCTGGATGACTCTCGCGACTTTTCTGCATGACGCTTCAGGGTCCGGTTGGCTAGCCGAACCAGGGCTAGGTAACAACCAACGCTGCCACATCCTCGATGGCGATCTCCCACCTCTCTTCTCCGTCAATATTGGGACTTCTTCAACTTCGCCTACACCTCCATGCGACTGCGCACATGTATCCAGCCTTCAATCTGCCGATGAACGTGGTACGATGCTGCGCCCCTCGAACACGGGCTGCCCCTCTTTTGCCCGTTTAGCTGGCCACCATGGCGTTCAGCTCTCCGCCACAAGTACATGTTTCGCAGGCATATCGTCTTAGTTGACATTTCAAAGCCATTAATTGACATCCATATCCTGACCTCGTGTCTATTTTCTTGACGCTAGCCTGCAGAAGTGGACATGCGCGCCGTGACTCAAGCTTGTGAGGCCGCTCGCAACTTGGTACTCCATCAGGCAACAACTTAGGCAGCAAATTCGCACACAAGGACGGGCTAGGCTAGCAGGCACCAGGGGTATGGCTTAGACATAAAACCCTACTACCGGCCGTCTTTACCATTCTCTTCTTCTTGTATCTTCAATCAACGCACCTTGACATCGTCTGGTGAAATCATCCGCAACCGCCTTGTCGCACTTCTCCCGCAGTGTCGAGCATAGTGAGCACTCGTCTTGAGCTGTTTCGTAGCCGATCCTGCTCGCACTTCTTGAGCTCGATTCTTGTCATTCACGCAGCCGATCATGGCATTTTACTCAACACCCCGAGGTCATCTTGGCCATATTTGCGGGTTCTACTACAATTCCAGAAGCAATGGTTATCTCCAGAAGAACTACCTCCCACAGGTTGAGCTTCAAGCTCACACCACTATTCTGGCGACTACGTCCCGGACGCTACTCACACAGAAATTTGTGAATCCTTCCAGCGAGAGAGGCATTCGAGAGGTCCGCTACGTGTTTCCGCTGTACGATGGAGTGAGTGTAGTAGGCTTTACATGCCATGTTGGTGATCGCACAATCTTGGGCGAGGTCAAGGAGAAAGAGAAAGCTCGTGCCGTGTTCAAAGAAGCCGTCGCAAAAGGCCAGACGGCCGGCTTATTCGAACAACTGCCCGAGGCCTCTGATGTCTTCACAAACACTGTCGGCAACATACCGCCTGGTGCAGTCGTCGTTGTCGAGATTTCCTACCTAGGAGAACTCAAGCATGATATGGAGGTTGATGGTATTCGATTTACGATCCCAGCAATTATCTGCCCTCGCTACGGAGATTTTTCCTCTGGTTTCCGGCCGCTTGCAGCTGCAGCTGCATCTGCACTAGGTAGTGGTATCTCCATTACCGTTGATGCGGAGATGCCAGACGGGTCTTTCATCCAGAAAATGCAGTCACCGTCACATCCTATCTCCATGACCATGGGCACAATATCATCGGAACCAGATGCCGAGCCTATGATGACGAAGGCTTCTGCGTCTCTGACCTTGGGTACCGCAGAGCTTGACAAGGACTTTGTTATGCAAGTCATCGCAAAGAACACTGGTGTACCAAAAGCTGTGCTGGAAAACCATCCTACCATCGCGAATCACCGGGCCTTGATGACAACGTTGGTACCCAAGTTTTCCCTACCTGCAGAGAAGCCAGAGCTTGTATTTGTCTGTGATCGTAGTGGCAGCATGAATGGAACTAGTATGGAGCTCGCCAAGCAGGCACTCAAGGTGTTTCTCAAGTCTCTGCCTGTTGGAGTCAAGTTCAATATTTGTTCCTTTGGCTCATCGTACTCCTTTCTCTGGAAGAAGAGCGCGAGCTATAATCAGGAGAATCTCGACGAAGCAGTCCGTCACGCTGAACAGTTCTCGGCCAACTACAATGGAACGGAGATGCTGGCGCCTTTGAAAGCCACAATCGATCAGCGGTACAAAGACATGCCGCTTGACATCATTCTGCTTACGGATGGCCAGATTTGGGATCAAGAGCGGCTGTTCTCGTACCTCAATGAAGCCATCACAGGAAGCAAACAGCCCGTTCGGGTCTTTACTCTTGGAATCGGCAATGGCGTCTCTCATGCTTTGATAGAAGGCGTTGCTAAAGCTGGCAATGGATTCTCACAGGCAGTAGGAGCGGGCGAGAAGATGGATGCCAAAGTAGTTCGAATGGTAAAAGGAGCATTATCGCCTCACGTGAATGACTACACTCTCGAGGTAAAATACGCTAATAAGACGCCGGATGAAGAGGAGGAAGACTTTGAGATCATTGAGAAAGTTACAGACAGTCTGAAGGTCAAGCTGGATATCAGTGACACAAAAGTCGCTACCGCACCCGTGAGTACCGGTCCAAGAGCATTGCCACTTACTTCCACTAATTGTCGACACAAGAAACCAATTTCGCTCTTCGACACTTCTGTGGACCTTGACAAGCCGGAGTCCCCGGTAGATGACGACACGGGCGAGCAAAAGTACGCACACTTGCCGACACTTGCAGTGCCCAAAATTATTCAAGCACCGCAGAACATCCCATCGCTCTTCGCCTTCAACCGAACAACAGTTTATCTTCTTCTCGGTCCAGACGCACCAAAGGCTACCCCGAAGTCAGTTCTTCTCCGTGGCACAAGTGCTCACGGGCCGCTCGAGCTCGAGATACCAATTGAGAGCTTGAGCCAACCTGGGGAGACCATCCACCAGCTTGCCGCCAAAAAAGCCATTTCTGAGCTCGAGCAAGGACGTGGGTGGCTTTCCGAGGCGAAAGACGACACTGGCGCACTGCTCAAGACTAAGTTTGAAGGGCGCTATGACGACATGGTCGAGCGAGAAGCCGTACGTCTGGGCATTCAGTTTCAATTCGGCGGGAAATGGTGCTCCTTTGTCGCCGTAGAGTCGAACAAGCGCGCGAGCGAGGACTCGAGGAAGGAAGTTGAGCGGTGGGAGTGGGTTGAGGACGAGACTGAAATACGTAGTCCAGAACAAGGAGCCCCGCAGCAAATAATGCAACAGCAGCAGCATTTCGAGGCAGCTTCAGTCAACCTTGGCTCTATGTCAAATAAGAGAAGCCACCCGAGCATGTCGGCAAGCCTCTCTGCATTTACACCGTTAGCTTCACCTGCAACACTGTTTGGACCACGAGGAGGAGGATACAGGTCAGTAGCCAGTCCATTCGCTCCTGCATCGCTGCAGAACCAGGGAACGACTCCCTTCGCTGGCCCAAATGTACCAGCTACCTCGTCTTCGGGGCTTTTTGGAGCACCACAAGGCGGATATGCGGCGAGTCAGGGAGCGAGCCTTTTTGGTGGCGCATCTACGCCAGCTGGCTCATCCTCAGGGCTATTTGGAGCGTCGTCAGGAGGGGCATCTACTTCAACAGTCAATCCATTCGGCCCTGCACCTCTACCTCCCCCGCCACACGCAATCCAGCAACAAATGCGGATGCAGCAGCAGCAAGCTCAAGTTCAAGCGGGAGCTGGAACACAAGCACCACAAATGGCTCAGCAACAAGCCAGACAGCTTCAAGACTACCAGCAGGGCCTGATGATGCTCGAGCAACAGAACAAACAACGCCTCGTCATGGGCCGCGCAGATATGTCTGCGCCTCCACCTCCCGCGCCATCTGCGGTCTATGGCCAACCTGAGCGTGAGTTCGCAACGAGCGTCGGCAGCGGCGCGACCGCACCCCCTCCTCCGGAACCTCATCTTTTTGGCGCAGCCGCTCCATACGATCTCGGCAATAAGCCCGATGCTGACATGGGTGACTACGACCTGTCGATTAATTCTGACCGTGACATTCTCGAGCAAGACGGGAAGGTAGCCAGTCCACAGTACTCGCCTGTCAGTCCTCAATACTCTCCCGTGAGCCCGGGCAGTGTGAAGTACTCGCCCACGTCCCCGACTTATGTGCCAACAAGTCCTGGCTATGCGACTGGCGGAGGAGGGTTCACGGCATATGGCGGTGGGTTCACGGCATATGGCGGCAGTGCGACGGAAGAAAAGAAGGTGCCGAAGGAGGAAGAGCTTTTGCATCGTCTGATTTCGCTGCAGACGTTTGAGGGCCAATGGGTACCTGCTGGATCGTTACTACAAGATCTTGAGATCACTGAAGAGCGGTTGGCTGGTGCTGCGGCGAAGGTGGGTATAGAAGCAGAGGTCTTCCTTACTGCTGTTGTTGTGGCGGTGTTTGAGAAGAAGTTGAAAGAGTTCGAGGGGAGCTGGGAGCTTGTGGTGGATAAAGCAAGGGCGTGGTTGGAGGAGCATGGTGTGAAGGATATTGAGGCGGTTATTAAGGGGGCCGGCATGTTAGTCAAGTAGGTTTCGATGGAGATTTTTCGGTGTCCAGGATGTAATTCATGATACACAAAAGGACTCAAGCAGCCCGACAAGAATACGACAGAATGATGAATAATTAGCCAGAATGTACCACAATATTGCACCTAAATTCACGCAACATGATTGTCCCTAAGATGTTGTTCCCCTTTCAGCGTGATTCCAACACATCTTGAGTCTTGCAACTCTATTTGTGACATAAAGAAAGCCGTGAAGCGAGTTGAAAGCAGCGCACATTTCACTGGTGGACTCCGCGCCCAAGTCTTACGATATTTCTGGCCTACTCTAAAAGGGCTATATAACCGTCTCACGTCGATGTGCTTTTGATGCGCTTTCGGTGACCTCGACGTCCCCGTATTTCCCAGCCTTGACCGTCTCCAAATCGGGTACATCTGAGTGCTTAACCCCATCGAACACTTTGTCCACCTCTTCAAGAGCCAAGCCCCGAGTCTCGACCCAGACTAGAACTACGAAGATCACGAAGAGGATATCGACGCTGGCGTTGATGATGTACACCTTCCAGCTGATCGCTTCCATGCCGAATGGAATGACCATAGCAACAAAAAGCCCGCACAACTTCGTTACCAGTGTGTATATGCCCATTCCCAAGGCGCGGATGTCGAAAGATAGTACTTCTGGTGGGTATAGTACCGTAAGTGGTGTGATACCCCAAGCGTACGTCGCGTTGTAGATGAAGATCATGGCAATCGTGCCGTAGATCCCGCCCTTTTGTCCAGAAGTACCATACTTGGCAGTCAATCCAGCAAGAATGTATAGTGAAATCACACCGCCAGTGAGGGATCCTGCACACAGCTTCTTGCGTCCTGTTTTGTCTGCAAACCAGGATCCTGCGAGCGCTACGACGAGCGTGAATGAAGTCAGGATGACGTTGATCTGCAGCTGCGTGTTGGCATCTTCGATACCAGCGCTACTGAGCATGTCGCCGAAGTAGAATGTGACGATATTGGTTCCAGGCAGCATAACGAAGAGCGGGAATGTCGCTACGATCAACATACGCTTCCGGTTCGAAGGGTGCAGAACTGATTTCCACGCCGAAGCCTCGCGATTCCTTTCGAACTGGATCGTATCCTCAATCTCCTTGGCCCACAGCTGCACCACGGTATCCTCAGTATCTTCGCCACTCCCATTCGCAATCGCCAGAATCTGCAACGCCTCCTCCTTTCTTCCCTTCGCAATAAGCCAACGCGGCGACTCAGGAATGAACAGCAAAATCACAAAACACCAAACCGATGGCGCAGCCTGCAACAGGGACGGGATACGCCATGACCATGTCGTACTCAGCGTCTGCGTCCCATAACACACCCCACTCGCAAGCAGCGTCCCCACTCCCCAACACGCATAATAAAGCCCCATAGCAAACCCGCGATACTGCACTGGCACCGTCTCCGCAAGCAACGTCGGCGTGCTCGTCTGTGCAAGACCCATACCAAATCCCACAATCAGCCGTCCAGCGATGAACATTGCGATGTTCTGGCTTGCGCCTTGTATGACGCCGCCAACGAGCGTGATCACAGCGGACCAGAAGATCGCCTCGCGTCGCCCGCGCCAGTCCGTCCATGGCCCGGAGATGAAGCTGATGGCGGCACCGCCCACGTAGGATACCGCAGTGTTGAGGGATTTTGTGGTGGTGGTTAGGGTGAAGTAGGATTTGTAGCTTGGCATCACGTTGAAGGATCCCATTAGGGATGAGTCGTAGCCGACGAGCTGGCGGGACGTTATTGAAGAATAGTGCAAATGCGATTCATCGACGTACGACAGAGTCAATGGCAGATAGCATGATGAGGCATGCGACGAACATTTTTTGGTTTCGGGGCACCAGCCGCGATATCTTTTTGGTTGACATGATGCCTGTCCTCCCGAGTCGCCAGGAGAAGCGAGGAGTTGGGAAGAAGCCGTGAGTGAGGAGGGTGAAGTATTTATGATGATCACATCAGATGTCGCGATGACTTTAATCTGTTCGGTGTCTTCACGGTCTAATGAGTCTTCCCCGCCATCTCGGGCTCTAGAAGCTGCCCATTTTTGCGAACCCGGTAGATCCAAGGGACAATCAGGTCCGTTATCTATGATAGGTCAGATGGGCTATCGTCGGATGGATGTGCCTATCGGTACCTGGGATGTGGGAGTTTGGGGTTGGCGTTTGGGTTGTGATGGGATGCAGGCATGTCGATCTTTCCTCACGTTCAACGCTTCTGCATGCGCGCATCTAAGTAGCGACTTTGTCCATCAGATCTTTTGAGAAATTGATTAGATTGAGCGAGTAGTTATGGTTAGTAGTCGCTGTCTCTGCATCATTGCTGTTCTTCAAAGCCTCGCTAATATTCACGATGTTTCGCCGCTTAGAAATCTCAACCGCTGCGCATGCCAATTCTTCCTCCCCAGAACTGCCATGGGCCCGTGGATAACTTATCCCGCGTGAACAGGGATCATGTCGATACAGAACCGCAATGCCCCATCTTCGGCGTCGCCAGGGTCACTCGGCGGGTGCTTACATCATCATGTCATGAGTTTTGCCCCCACTTCTGGGTCTGGCCATGAGGCTAGCCCGACGAACAGTTACATGGACAAAAAGGCATCGACTACAAACAATTCAAGTGATTGGGGAAATTAGAACAATTACACAAGACAAATTTGCGTATTGCTGAACGTACCAAACCGACCATGTCCGAAGCCGCAGATATTGCCGTTGTGTCATTCGATAAATTCATCAACGGTGGCGATGCAGAGAAACGCGCCGTAGCTAAGCAACTGTACGATGCATTCTCGACCGTAGGCTGGGTGTACCTAAAAGATCACGGTATTCCACAAGAGCGAGTTGATGAAATATTCCGTCTCGTGAGTGGACTGATTTAAATCAATCAACTTCCATCGACTAACATGATCTAGGCCAAGACCTTCTTCGACCTCCCCCTCGAACAAAAACGTACCTGGCGTCTCAAAGACGCCGAAATCAATCAAGGCTACACCGGCGATGGCGACGAAGCAAACGGCGGCGTTGATCATAAAGGTAAGTCCATACCGAAACTCCAGCATCAATATCCTCCACGTGATTGATCCCATCATACACATAACTCCATCTAACATCTCCTCCGCAAAGAATGCTACGAACACCGACGCTTCCAAAACCCCTCATGTCCCAAAGACTCCGACCTGCCCGCTTTCCGCGAGACCCTCGACTCCTTCTACGCGCAATGCCACTCCCTCGGCATGAATGTGTTGAAATGTCTCGCCATCGCCATGGACCTGGGCGACACCTTCTTCGACAACATCACAAAGCGTGCAGACCCACAACTCCGCCTCATCCACTACCCGTCGATTGAGAAAGCGATCGTAGAGCAAGAAGGCCACGCGCGCATCATCCCGCACACTGACTTCGGCCTGTGCACGCTGCTCTTCCAGGACAACGTCGGCGGGCTGGAAGTCGACCCATTCCACACGGGCGAGTTCAAAGCGGCTGTTCCTGTGCCGGGCACAGTGTTGATCAACATTGCAGATTTGCTGCAGAGGCTGACGAATGATCGGTGCAGAAGTACGATTCATCGCGTGGTGAGTCCCAAGGTGAGTGGGGATGTGCTGCCGAGTAGGTATTCGATTCCGTTCTTCATCCATCCAGATCCGGAGGCGTGGATTGAGCCGATTGTTAAGAGCGAAGGCGAGGTGAAGAGGTATGAGGGGGTGAACGCTGGGGAGTGGAGGGTGTGGAATACGAAGAAGAATTATTCGGCTGTGTTGGATACGCCGGCTTGAAAGGGGTTTGGTTACGACAGTTATTGAGTCTGTGCAGGCCTGGAACTAGGATTGTTCATGGTATGTCGATGCAGTTTAGGTATGTATATGTCCGCAAGTAAATAAGCAAATCGAAGCCCAGTACCTAGGGTTGTGGTATGAGGATTCATGGCAGTTCAGTGTCCTAGGAACCACCTAACTCAATTTCCCTTCGCCTCCTCTCCCTACCTACGGAAAAGTTTCCACAGGATGTTTCGTCTACATCCTTTTCTTCTTGCATGGAGAGGTCCCATTCCGTGTCTTCGGTTATATCTATCCTGAATGTGGCGCAATGTGCATCCGGTATGTTCTTTTGTTCTGCTCTCATAAGAAGCAGCGCCATTTGCTTATTGATGCGATCGTGTTGTGTGTCAGTGCTTACGGTTTCGCTTCCTGGGCACGGATAAGTGCTTGCAGGGTACATATTTTGCACCCAGTTCGTGTAGTATGATTCGTTTGACCATAAATGATCGCGTGTCGGTATATCCCTGTATAGAGCTGTGAATGTGCCCATCAAACCATTGGCTGTGGTGTGCTTTACTAATGTGCGACGGAAACGTTGTGTATGGAACTTGGCCACAGTGGGACTATCGTCGATCCATCCAATGATTCTCTTCGCGAAAGCCACCGACAGTCCCGGGATTTTGCAAAGTTCGTGTGGTAGTTTCAGTCCAAAAATCCAAGATCGGCAAAGTCGTTTGTCAAATGCCGCCTCAATGAGGTTCCAGGATTTCTTGCGGTCAAGGTCTGCTGCGAAGGGCGCTTTGGTAACGTCGAGATTCTAGCGGTCAAATTCTGGTATGAGCTCGGGAATGAGAGCATTAATGATGCGTTGCGCCCACCCGTAGCTTTTGAGCCTGATCGCATGATGAAGACCTTCTTCGAGAGGGATTACGTTCAGAATAGCTTCTATGAAGTCTATGAAGGAATAATCTGGGCCGTATGACTCGTCGAAAATCTCTTTGTACCATACTTCATCCCGTGGTACTTTTGGTCTCGATTTCGACATTCTGCTTGCTATCTCTCCATAGCCGTTGCGGAGGGCTATTGCAAGGGCCGGTGCGTGGAAGGAATAACGCAGATAAGGGGACAGCCCTAAACTCATGAAGATGTCGGCGGCTTCGACATGGCCAAAAATTACGGCAAGATGCAGGCAGCCTGCGTGGAGGAGACTAGAGACCTGGAATGCCAATTTGTGAGGCTCACTGCCATCTCCACTGATGAAGGCTAATACAGTGTCCCAAGCGATCGAGACCTTTGTAGGTTCTTGTCGTCTCAAGGACGTATTGCTGCGCGAGGATGGTGATGACACAGTATCCCTCTGCGCTTCTGAAAGGGCCCCTACCACGATTCTGACAGTGTCAGGGTCCTCTGTTCGCAATGCATAATGGTAGGCGCTAAGCCCATTACTATCGCAACCGCTGGGGTCAGCTCCATGCTTCAAAAGCACTTCAATGATCTCGACTCGTTCAACCTCCTTGCAAAGAGCGGCGATGAGAGGTGTGATGCTTCGGGGAGTCGACGCACGCATATCGTGATCTACATGCCTGCATTGGGCATTGACATCGGCGCCAGCGACAAGACATGCTGCGAGCCCTTGGACGTTTCCGACCGCTATATGATTACAAAGAGGACACGGTGTGGCCGCAGGAGAATCATCAACTGGGATGCGTGGGCCTGTTTGACTGCCTGCGATCTTTTGTGTGCTCGTTCCCGTGGACATTGCAGTCTGGTCACCTCTCCTTAAGTAAGATGGATAAGCATGCAATTTGAAGTCTCCTGCTTTCGAGAGAACAGCAGACTTGCTACGAGTTACTTCTCGGAGTCCGTCTATCGTGCTCTACATAATCATGTTAGCCTTCATAGCGGTCAGATCTTCAACAACTTACGCTGATATTCGCAAGCATGACTTCCTTAGCAGCCCAAAGCTTGTATGTCGCATTGGTGAATTGGTGAAGTCGGTTCTGTTCGGTCTTACTCAGTTGTTCGGACTTAACGACTGACTCCGCTATGCGCTTCTCAAGATCTGATCGGAGTGTGTTGATTTCTTCCCGTAATTGATGCGCTTGTCGTTCGGCCTCATTCTGCAAAGACTGTATGTCTGATCGAGTCGCCTCATGTTCCTTTGTTGAACTGATGGTCGCATCGTTTAAAGCACGGATAACGTCCACATGCATGTCTGTTACAGCTTCGTGCGTCTTCATCTGCGTACGCTGCTGGAGTTGTTGGCTGAACATTGTAAGCCGTCCCTGCATGTCGGCAAGCTTTTCAGCACCCCAAATAGCTTTCAAAGCATGTCGGAAGCTCTTCCATTTTCCATAAGAGCTTTTTTTGTTGGTGTCTGCCAAGGCTATCTCAATCTCGAGTCCGATGTCGAAGCATTTTTCGCAGATGCTGCGTGTCGCAATGTCGTTCTCAGTGTTGCCGGCTGGGGCCAGTTCCAAATCCCTCTTGAGTGAGGCTGACAGCTGCGACAAGTCTTTACTTACAGTCAAGAGATCTCCCTGTTCAACCAGACTGCCACTATGCTGTAACGACCGTGACTTGGAGACGAGCTTTGTCGTGAAGTCCACCAGCTGGATAGCGTTGCCAACTACCCCCAGTATAGCAACTGATTCCATGTTCGATACTGGCAGGGGTAGCCTTGCTGCACGCGGCGTGCGCGGATGTCAACAATGCTAATTATTTGGGGGAAGAGTCAAACGGCGCGATTAAGAGATTCGCACGACAGTTTGAATGCTTGCTTCGTTTCAACTGAGAAGTGGGAGAGACAAAGCTGCTGGTATGATCCAGTCCAGATGTGCCACAAGGCTATGTCATCAGCCGGGGCAGACTGCGAGGCATCGCTGTGGTGCTGCATCCAGTGGGCTTCCACTGCACGAAATCGCCAATGACGACTGTGAACCCATTGAGCCTTCAATCGATGCCAGCATACATCTGGCCATCATGAAACCGGAGATTAAACGACTTCAATTCAAATTTCGTGTGCTAGTTACCTGGTAACATGTCTTGCTGTCACAGAGGCACCCAAGCATGTCAAGAAATAGGCACTAGGACATTGTATTATCACCGTATAACAATTAATGAAGCATCCTGGTGCGACAGGATTGCTCGTGATCGAGATACAAGCTTAGTGGTGCAGGAGGCTGGGCGGTGGCTGGCCTGATGCTGGTTCATCATCATTCGTTGGAAACTCAAACGATTTTTGAGACCATAAGGTCATAGCTGTAAATACTTGAGTCGATCGTGCTGTATGCGCTGTATATGCGAGACACCGAAAAACCTAAAATGCGCAAGACGGGTGGTGTTCAGAACAGAATGATACCGAAAACAGAGGATGACGTCAGCAGGCCTCGCCTAGTTACCGGTACTCCCTCTGCTCCACCGATTGAACGCTCAGCACACCATGTACCAATATCTGGCAAATTTGCGCAGTGCATGAAGATGGTTTCGCTCACCGCCAGCCAGAATAGTGGCCGACGAACTGCGTTTGACAGCGGAGCGATACGGACACGGACACGATAGTGCACAGCCTCACTAAGTGCATGTGTCCTCCCGCGCATCGTCCCCCACCAGACAATCAGACAGTGGTGCTGCATCTTCCAGAGCATGCAAGAGTTGCGGACTTCAGATGCCGCCAGAAACACCAACACCAAGCTGCATACTACCGTCAGCACCGCGCCATGGACCCGATGCCATTGGCGTATTCTAAAGACCAACAGACGACTCCCACGCGGGGTTGGCTGGTGCACCGGCTTGAGATAAGCCTCGTCTTGTCCGTCAGAGCTGAACTGACATGCCGGACCATGGCTGTCAGGGATCTGCATTGCTAGGCAAGTTTTGGACTCGACATTGCTGGTCTATTTCCTCCACAGCCGTCCCTCGCTCGCTCTTCGTTTCTCTCTGTTCGTTTGTCGCTTCTCGCCTCATACCGCCTTTTCTCAGACTCCGACCGCGGCGCGCAGTGTCTTATGAAGACTCAACGCGTCGCTCAATACTCTTCAAGCGCACCATGTGCATACGTCGAACTTATTTGACGCATCGCAAGCGGCCTGCCGGATAGTGACACCCGCGCGCCTGGTCCCCAGATCTACAGAGACCCACCATGACGCTACCCTTTAACCAGGAATCATGGATTTGGTACACTTGCGCAATCTGCATGATTGCAGCCAGAATGTGAGCCGACTTGCTCTTCAGCCCGCGCATCGTGGAAACATGGTGCACGTGGAAATGGCGCAGGCTGACCGTGATGTTCAGCATCTCCAGGAAAATCCACCTCGGCTCAATCAGGCGCCTGCAGTACGATGATTGGATCATGGGGCTCTTCGTCACTACCGCCATCACTGCGTTGATCGTGTGCTCCAACAGATATGTCAGGGCACAGTCAAACCTCCTTCCGCCCGGATTCGACGTTGGCTCTCTCACGGCACATGATCTTGAGCGCCGTCGATATGGCAGCAAACTTGTGATGGTCGTGGAACAGACTCAGATCGCTGTGATCTGGGCATGTAAAGCCACCCTGTTGATCATGTACAACCGCCTAACCAGGACTGCACTCCACAACGAGAATCTTGCTATCAAACTCCTCTCCGCATATGTCGCGCTCGGCTTTGTTGTGATGGAGATACTTTATTTCACAGCATGGTGTCGCCCCGTCTCACAGTACTGGGCCGTTCCCGAGCCGACTTCGTCCCAATGCAACGCATTGATAAACCATCGCATCACCAAAGCCGTCTTCAACCTATCGTCAGATATCATCATGCTCGTCATAGCATTGCAGATGCTGATCCGCTCTTTACTGCCGATGAAGAGAAAGGTTATTCTTTGTGGCATCTTCTCGTTGGGAATCTTCGTCATCATCGCAAGTATGCTGAACAGTTATTACTCATTCAAGAATCCGTACAAGCAGACATGGATCTTCTGGTACGTCCGCGAGTCGTCGACGGCAATACTGGTCGCAAATCTGCCATACACGTGGACCATATTGCGTGAACTGTTCGATCTCGAAAATTTCGACGAAAACAGCCCGCCAGCATGGACTTTTCACTCTGCTCGTACTGCTAAAGGACGGAGAACCACGCAGTCTCTCAGTCGCTCCACCAACCAGGGCACAGCTAATCGATCAGCGGCGCTCAGCAAAGGAAGTCACGGCACACAAGCCATGACGCTCGTCGATTCAATGAGCCCACTCAGACAATATGGACGCTCGCGAGGAGACAGTCCGCAGGACATTGCTATCGATTTCAATTTCAAAGATGAAGCGATTCACCCTCATGATTTCGCAACCATCACCTCGCCACCTGTAGATCTCGAGCATGGCTTCACACACGATACAAGCCGCCGACCGCAACCGAGAATCACAGAAGACGGCACTGGTGGATTCTACTTCAACGATCGCCCCATCTCACCGCCGTCGCGCGCATACTTCGCCGCACGATCTCGCGAATCCAGCCCAGCAAGCACCGATCGCAGGCCGACAAGTCCGTCACCCAGCTTCACCAGTCTGGATAGTGTGGGAATTATACAACACAGGAGGGGGTCTGGAGCTGGCGTAGCTGGCACGGGAAGATGTGCTCGCGATAGACGAGCCAGGGCTGGGCTTAGTACCTGATTTCGGAGTCTGACAGCCAGGCGATTTGACTTTCTTTTGTTTTTCGTTACTAATGATCGAGATACCCCTTGCGCCAATTTAGTGTTGAATGTTATATTTTTATTATCATGCGCGATGGATCTCGAGGCGAATTCAAAGCACGTGAATTGATCTAGTAGGCTGTGAAGGTGACCGGGCTACTTTATTACGCTGACATTCAATGCACAAGATATGCGTGAATATCTCGCCGAGTCATCGTGAATTATGGCAACTGAAGAGCATACTATTCGCACTCAGATACTCACCGCACATTCAGGACTCACATTCAAGCACGACATGCTTCACGCATCATGGTCGGCACCACATATACACATTCCATGGCTTCACACCTCCTCTCATCATGCCTTCCACCGACCTCCTCGCCGGCCATGTTCGCGGCTATCCCAAGCTGGCACGTGAAATGGGCATTCGACCTCAAAGCGCAATATTCCGATGCAGCAAGCAGCGCAAGCAACAAGGACAGATACGCATGCGACTAATTATGACTGAAAATTTCTGCATTGGGAATAGATGGTGATAGCGCGCAGTTGAATCTCGTGATGAAGTTTCGTGTGATATTAGAAGAGTACAGTATGTCTTGCATCCAGCCTGTACATTTCGGCGCTGACACTCGACTCCGCAAAGATCAGGCATTGTACTACTACTCTCAGATCCAAACCCTCGAAGCACCGGGTATGGTCGACCTCGGGTATATGTAGCAATTCCTTGTGGGCCCTCGCATGTCTTAACCGTCGATTGGACTGTATATGAACATTTGGGGCGAAGTACACGAGAAGACGCAGGTGAAGGACGTATGCTGGGTGGCTTCGAATGTTTTAGAGCTATGTGGTTGATCCTAATTTGTAGAGAATTCCTACAAGACACATTATTATCAGAGCAGTGCTTCACGAAACGGTTTCCTCAGTCAGTCAAGCCCCTGCGCGCGGCTTCACGTACTTCTTCTTCACAGTTCTGCCATTCCTCTTCCACAGCCAATTCTCAAACTCCTCTAGATCCATGTCCTGCGGCGCATCTTTCAGCCCTGTCTTCCACTGCATCGACATGCCGTAGTAGGGATGAGCTGTCGGGTCCCGGACAAGTCCCGCATATTCAGTCACATCAGGGCTGTCGTCCCCCATAGCGATCAAACATAGCTGCAGGGTCCTTCCTGCAAAAACACGCGCGCGAGCTAGATCTCCATTTGCGATGGATAATTGGAATGCATCAGGATACGCTCTAGCCAGACCGATTGTGTGACCATCCCAAAGTCTGACTTGTTCATCGACGTAGCCGAGCATGCGGCGTGCGGGGGAAACGAGACCCTGTGTACCAGCCTCTTCAATGATAGTATCGATTTCTACGATACGATCTAATTTCGCATCCAGGGCTTTGCTCTGCTCAGACGGCAAAGAGCATAATCGACACGCACAAGAGAACTTGAAATTGTGCTGCAATTCTTGCTGTCTCGCCTGGGGGTTCTGGGAACTGCTCAAATAGGATATGGTAATCTCCTCGCCTTGGCCGATATCTCTGACGGCATGGATGGTAAGCTTGTCGATGTTGTCGTTCCAGAAGTTTTGGGCGTTGTTATCGCAGGCGTGGTTGATGCGACATGCTTGGAGAAAAAGGCCTGCGAAGGACAGATCTGGTCCACACGGTAGCGCATTGGTCCGCATGATGCCGCGATGCATCTCTTTAAGGTCTTTGTAGGGGTAGATGTTGCTCATGGAGACGATATCTAGCTGTTGGTCCACTGACAAAGCGTACATTTGTTTGAAAATGTGACTGTCTAGCTGCTGCACATATGCCGGTGTGTTTGGGACACGTTGATCCAAGATCAGAATCGGTGTTTCGCAGATGATTCGTGTGCCCTTGGGGATGTCCACTGTTGCCACAACTCCTTTGCCTTTACCAGCAACGTCTACGATGGCGTATGCGCGTTTTGGACGCCTCCAAGTGAGGTTCGTTGCGGCAAGCATGTACATGTACATGTTTTCGACAGCTTGCAACAGCCGACTCATTATAATGCCCATTGTGCTGAAGGTTTTTCCGCCGTGTGCGAGTCAATTGCTGCTGTCAGCGCCCTAATTGTCGTGGCTGTAGATGACAGATGCGAGGTCTTCGGATGGAGGGGCGGGGTGCAGTGCATGCAGAAAAACAACGCATGCATGTATCAACATGGGTTTGTGTCGCACATAGCCATCTAAACCTCGATACAGATTCGTATGAGTTCAATCAGACCACACCTCCTGTACCGGCTCCATCTCCGCAAGGAATACGGTCACAGTCTAGGACTGTTCCCTATCTACTCTCAATGGTGCACAGATATGTCGGTTTCACGTTGGTTGTACTACGAAAACCTCCTGAAAAGTACCTGGTATTATAATGGAAACTATGCTAATGTCGTTAGAAGCATGCATGGACAGGACTGGATGATAGAATCTGTAAGTAGTGCAACGACCACGCTGAAACTGTATTTTACAGTGCTATCTCACTGTTAGCAACAGAAGTACGAGCTGTTAATGACCAGCTAACAGCAGCATCAGCACAGTCAAAGCACCCAACCACACCTTTTAAGCCAAGCCCAGGGTCAGCAAAGTCAACGAAGTGAAATATTCCTACCAAGCCGGAAGCTTATCAGGACTAAGTGTATATAATTAGTACAGCGCAGCTGTTGGATATCTCTGGTCCACTTGAGCCTAGCTGCCTTTAGATCAGTTTGACTTGATGATTATTTACTCGTTATAGTAGCTTGTATAACTTCATCGATGTATGAGATTCACAAGTCCTTTCTATATTATCTTGGAGCCGTGAAGCATTCACTAAAGCAGCGATCGGTCAAATGTGCTCATTGAGACAGCCTGGCACATGGTCGACAAAGATGGCCTGCATAGTGGCAAACCTGTACCAAATTCGTCAGCCAGCATAGCATATGAGGAGGGCAAAACACTCACACCATCACAACGAGAAACACATCCTTCCGCTTCGCCTCTGTAAGACTCATCAAGCACACTGCCATCAGTAGGCTGAATCCCGCCATCGCCAACAATCTCTCCTCCACCCCTTCCATCCTCTTCAAAACCTCAATTGAAAGAACCGGCATCACTGCCGCAACAAACCCCGTGACCCAGCGCGTAGTCATAAACACATAGTCTTCTCTTACACTTATAACTCCAAGCCGCGGATTCGGCTTCTTCCACCGCGCCGGCGCAAACATTTCCCACAGCGGGACCGCATACCGCGACAACGCGCGAGAAAACGGGTCCACGCCTTCGCGCGGCCGGAGCACCACGAGCTCCGGACTGTGACTGTTTTGCGCAAGCACGGTACCCCAGACATCGCGATCCGCGCCGATGAGCGTGTTGCCGTGGTTCATCATCGCGCTGTCGTAGAAACATCGCATGTTTTGAACGTCGGCGGGGTCGGGGGTTGACATTTCGAGGATGGTGCGTTGGTGGATGATGGCTTGATCTATGCCCATCTATCAGCAACAGCACCTTAAGAAACCCACTTGAAGGACTCACTATACCGACACAGCGTATCGCTCATCCTCTCCACCAACTCGCGCTGTCTTACATCACCATCCCGCGACACAGACGCATTTCCCAAAAGCTTACTACTGGATGCGTAATACGCCTTCTTCCCAGTGTCGCTCTGGCTGTCTGACCATTCCAGCTTGACAAGCTCTTCTTCGATGCGCGCGAGGTCGCCTTGTAGGTACAGCAAGTTGCGCGCATTGAGCGCGCCGAAGCGACGGAACATTGCTGTCTCGGGGATCAGGCTCATGCGTGCTGCAATCTTGGGGTATCCAGGGACGAAGGCATCGAGTTGGTGTGGTGTGGATTGTGGGAGTGGTGCTGTTGTATCCTCAAGGCTGGCAGGCACGGTTCTGGGAAGTTCTGTAGTGCTGGTTTGCGTGAGAGTGGTATCCATTTCTACCATGGTGGCCGTGGTGAGTTACTCGGAGATATGAAATCGGCCGAGGAAGTCTACTAGGTTGTGCTAAGTCAGTATACTCAAAGTACGGCTATATCGTAAAGATTATGTGAATGATTGTAAACACAGCAAGATGGCGGCCGCTGTGAATCGCTACACATGCTGCGAAGACCACTCATGGTTTGCGCTTCGTTTGATGTTGTGCGTTGCGTCACACGCAGACTATGACTCGCCGATCAAAGTTGTATGACTTCGCAATAGTTACTCAATCATCTTCCTGCAAATCATACGATATCAAAGATAAACCTTGATTCTATAAATGACAATTGATTATCCCATGTCTCTGGAACTGACAATCCACTGTCCCATGTCTCTAGAACTCACAAATGACAATCTTATATAGGTACAGAGCAAAGCAGCAGGGCGGAACGAAAGTGCAGAATATGGCGCTCTGGGGCGAATGCCCATTTCAGAGGCAAGTTTGAGGTAGCCACGAGCATGCCCGGCGAGGAGGTCGATGGAGGGCATGCTTAGGTTCATAGAATGTGGGTAGATGAGGTTGTACAACTGTAGTATGAATGCGTTTCGTGAAGCATAGTGCGGCGAAATGAAAATTGTGAATGTGTGATGTCCCAACAGGATGCACTTCAATTATCCTGATATACAAGGATTTTACGTGACCTCCACACCTCTCGTGGATCGCTTGTCGCACATCTCAAACACTATCCAAGTGCCATTCACATCGTTTCCAGAATCCGGACGCACAGCAAAAGAGACATGAACTCCTCCCAGCACCCCCAAGCACTACTTCTTCTGCTCACGCAAGCTGCCATCATTCAATATCCCACACCTCCCAACCACCATGTCTAACCATACGCAGAACATCACACAACTTCCCAGCAATCCTCAATACTACACCGCTACCACTAATCTCACTCCCCAACGCCTTGGAGACTCACGAACTGAACTATCAGGTTTCAATGTTTCAAGGTCTATCTCAAACACTGACCTCATGTACGTCTATGCACCGGAATCATGGAATTCAATGTACGTACAGAGGTCTAGAATCGTGAGCAAAAACAACGAAGATGCGGTATGATGTAGGAATGTTCAAAAGAAAATGTCTCGAACCTAGCATTTGAAGTGTCAATGGAGTTAGCCAAATCAAATCAAAGAACGCTAACAACGTCAACAAACTCAAAAACACACATGAAAAGTAAGTAACTTTTGTACATTCGACTGTAGCTAGCGAAATCTCGGCGGCCGAAATGCCACCACACAGTCTGGAAGCTATCGAAAATATGTGGTAAAGTACAGCCAAGACTCCGTCATTGCTTCATGCTGTCATGAGCTCATGTTGTATCGTTCTTCGCTGATGGGTTGGCCTTCGGGGGTGTGTTGTTACGAAGCTCGTATCTCCACGATCGATGGACATGTTGTTCACCATCTACCAGCCGCCGCCACCAGCAGAAGCAGTGGCACCGGCGTCGCCAGTAGCGCCCCAGCCGCCATCGCCACCCACAGCGCCTCCGTCACCCATGGTATCGCCCTCAGCAATAGGCTCCTTGCAGCGCTATAAACTTGTCAGTATGTGGAAGCAACATATATTATTGCGATCGGAACATACCTTGATAGTGTGGCCAAATTGTTGGCAGTTGTTGCACTGAATCTTGGACCAGTCCTTGGGCTCGGGGCAGTCCTTGGAAAAGTGACCAAACTTCTCGCAGTTGCGGCACTGCTGCTTTTCCGGGTTGCGGGGCTCCGGGCACTCCTTGGCCACATGGTCTTCAGAGTCACAGTTGCGGCAGGTGCGCTTGGCGACGTTGGGGCACTGTCTGATGTCAGAAAGGATATTCGAAAGACTAGTACAATACTTACATCCTTGGAAAAGTGGCCGGTCTCGTTACACTTGCGGCACTCAACGTTCTCGGCTGAGCGAGGCTCGGGGCACTCTTTGGAGTTGTGGCCCTCCTGCTTGCAGTTCTTGCATGCGAAAGGGTTAATGCGCTCCTTGGGGCAGTCACGAGCGCGATGACCGGGCTCCTTGCAGTACACACACTCTACACCAGGCTGCACCGAGACCTCCTCCGGGACCTCCTGTTTGCAGTGCTAGAAGACGAGTTAGAAAAGCCTCAATGCGAATGTAGTGAAGTGCTTACCTTGCGGATGTGTCCGAGTTCACCACAGTTACCGCAGAGCGGCACGCCAATGTCCTCAACGTAACCACAAGAAGCGAGACGCTCAAGGTTCTGTTCTGGGCTCTCAGGCCAACCCTGTGCCATCTTTGCGCGACGAGGCTTGGCAGACAGCTGGACAGAAAGAACGTTCTCGCGCTTAGCGTTGCCGATGAGGTCGACAATGGTCATGTTGGCGGCGATGTCCTGCTTCTTAGCGATGAGGTACACACCAAGATCATCTTCGCGCAGAGCAGTCTCGACTCCGGGGAGATCGAAGTCGTCCTTGAGAGCACGAGCGTAGGCACGAAGACAGACGCGGAACGCATCGAGATCCTTGGCCTTAGCAGAGTCGACGAGGGCAGTCCAGGCATCTCCAGTGTCCATCTCAGGCACACCAGTCCAGTCGACCATGCGGCGCTGATCGCAGTCGAGAGCCTTGTGGCCTTCCTGATCGCAAAGCTTGCACTTCATGGGGTTCGTCGGACAAGTCCGGGCAGAATGACCCTCTACACCGCAGGAGTTGCAGATTCCGTTGAAGGGACGCTCGACACGCTCATTGGTGCAGTCCGCCTTGTTGTGACCGACTTGGCCGCAGTTGAAGCACTCTCCAGTGAGACCGCCGCCCTCGGGCTTGTCGGGGCATTCACGGGCGAAGTGACCAGTCTGGTTGCAGCTTTGATCGAAGTCAGCATGTTAAATTGAACGAGCGTAAGTGTAATGCAGAGCAGTTGAGATTAATCGCAAGCTCAACGCATGTGGATGTGCGGGAAGTGTACTCACATGCGACAGGTCTCGCCATCACCACCACCACCGCCGCCGCCGGCATCACCGCCGCCCCAAGAGTCGCCAGCGGGAGCTGGATCCCACTCACCGCCTCCGCCTATACGTGTGTCAGTGATACGAACAATTAGCAGTAGTGCTCGCATTGCATACCAGTAGCTCCAGTGTCCCAGGACATAGTCACAATTCTTCGATGTTCTAGTGATCAAGTGGATATAGTTGAAGCGCGTTGAGGGCAGGCTTGAAAAAACGCGGAGAGTCAGCGGGTGTTCGTTGTTGTTGTGGCTGAGGGCGCAGCGAGCAATTCGAGGAGCTTGTTTGCCAAGCCTTCTAGCTGCAGCAGGAGCGGGAGGGTATGGTCACTCACCTTGAGAAGCTCGAAGAATTGAGCGAGTAGGCAAGTAGGTGTTTTGAGACAGAGCGTGTTAGTACGGTAGACGAGCTCAAGCACACGGCTTTGTTGAGTAGATCGGGAGGTCGGTAGAGTCGGGTTGAGAGCGTATAGATGGCGAGATCGCAGCTGCTAGATTTGACGTGAGAGAAGCGGGAGGCCCGTGCCAACTATGATACTCCCCCGCAAGGTAAGAGGGAGCAGAAAGCCGCAGAAGCAATGGGAAGCAGGAGGAAGAGATGCTCAGAAGATGCTGACAGATTAGGGGTACAGACAAGCAGTAGTGGCGATGGCAAGAGAGTACATTGACATGTCAGATGTGATGTTGCATGTCGGTCTGATGCAGCATACACCTGGCATGTTCAACATACAAGGAACAGTGAGACAAGGAATCAAGACATACCTTTACTGTGGATGCTAAAGCTAGAGGAAGAGCTATGTAGATGACGATGACCACAAGCAAGTGGTATCAACAATAAGAGCAAGCGGCGACATTTCACATGTTGCATGCCGGTCTAATGCATGATCAATGGGATAAGACAAGCTCAGCATGATCACAATACAGGAGGAAGAAAGACATAGACAGAGACTCGAAGTAGGTGAAGAATCAAGATATACCTATCCTAAACGCTAAAGCCGCGTCTTAATGTAACAGCTGGTATCAAGTCATGAACATCATGTCTGACGGGCTGCACGCCCTCAATTGTACTACACGCAAGCCATCCAACGCCCGACAATAATTCGTCAAATCTAGTTTCGACATGCCAAAGTGGCAGATCAAACACCGCGGAACTGTGTACGTCGTTAGCATGCGTGAAAGGCAGTGATGTGATGAGGGAACTTACCATTCGCACAACCAAAAACCACATGGCTCCAATAAACCTAAATGCAGCGAGACCAGCCACACTGTAAAGCACAACCGCAAGGTAAATGGTAGATGCCTGGTTGGCCTTTTCCTGCGCCTCGTCGGGGTTGCTGACAGTCAGCTCCAGCCCACCGGCTTGGAGCACGAGAGCAGACAACGCCAGGTTGCAGAACATCCAGAACAGCACGACACCCGATCGGAAGCCCTTGTAGTAGTCCTCTTGCTTCTCGGAGGGTGATGGGATCTTCTTGTCCTCCTTCCATTTGGTGCTGAAGACGTGTAGCTCAGCCTCGTACTGGGTGTTGAGATCCGCATCGTCGGTCGGTGCGTGGATGTCGGCTTTACCGTCGGCCTTTGTGGTGACTGAAGGTAGCTTCTCCGGCTTGTCGTCACCCTTGGTGCCCCAGGTGATGTCGTGCGTGTTGCAGAAGGCGTAGACGTTGAGGATGTTGATGTACGTGGGTGTCATGAGCAGATACTGGATGAAGGAAGTGAACATGTGCCATGGATCGAGGAAGATGATTGAGACAACCAGCCACATCACATACGTCGAGAGTAGTGAGATAATCAGGGTTGCGAAGATCTTATCCTTCAGCAGATCCGCGGCGTTGAAACCATTGTTCTTTCTGATTTGGCTTTGCACAGATCTGACGGTGATGAAGATCGAAGCAAACATGAGGTACGACATGATGATGCACCAAAAGTACACCATCGACATGTACCACTTGTTCGATCCTTGCGGTCGATTACCAAGCGATAAGATGAAACATGTGATCAGGACAGCAATGTACAGCCATTCGAAGATGATGAACAGAACCTTTCCAGTGACGCCGAGTTCGTTTTGAAGAGATGCAGTGAGAATGCGGAAGACCAGGAAGAAGTTACCGAGAGCGAACCAGGCGAAGAGCATGCTGATAGTTTGGTAGACGAATTCGACGAGGAACATGGTCTTGCGCAGGAACGAGTGGTCACTGCGGAAGATGTCGAATGAATGGGCCAGAGCGTATACAGCAGCGAAAAAGGATCCGTTTAGCCAACGACGACGCTGGCTGATGAACTCCGCCATGGTTGTGGGCACATCCGTCTCACCGGTCGCAGACTTGACGTACTGCAGGATCCAGTGACAGTTCCTCTTGGAGACCAGTTCGAAACACAGAATTCGATCCTCGGCAAGGTACATGTTGGCTGTGAAGATACCGGCGTTGGCACCGTGCATCTTCTCACCAGCAAAGTACTTCTCCAATGGTCCTTGGCCAGTCTTGTCGTTCTGCAGAGCGACGTAGCGGTAGGCAGAGAAAGCACCTGGAAGCACGGTAATGAAACCGAATGCTGACTCTAGAGGCTTGTCCAAAATGTTACTCATCTTGTACTCAAAATTTTGAGTCGCGACGAGCGGGTTCAGCAGCTTTTTCCCATGAACTAACATAGCCTTTATCTCACCACAAGCGCCTGCGCACATGGGCTCAAGGTCGAAGGCCTTCCATAGCTGGTAGACGGAGTCTTTGCCAGGCTTTGTACCGGCGTCGATGAGCACGCAGATGTTAGGGTCGAGCACCTGGCCGAAAGCCTGGAAGAACCATCGATGGGAGTTGATCTTCTTCTGGTTCTTCTCTTTCAAACAGAACAGCATCTGAACAGGGGTGTTGCCCTTCTTAACGCCAACGACACCCTTCTTGATGTCGAGTGTCATCTGAGTTGTGTACTGCATCCATGTTAGCCAAGACACTAGTTTGCGTGCAACGCAACCATACCTCGTAAATATGCGCAGTCACGTCCTTCCCGTTGACCTGTTGCTTAGCGATACCATCCTGGTAAACACCGAGTGCAGCCAAGACAGCGCGCGTGCGCGGGTTGATTTTAGCACGTCCGTCGCTGACGACGCACACTACGATCTTCTTCCACGCGTCCTTGCCCCACGTTTTGCTGTTTGTCCTGGAGTTCATGTACTCGATGTTCTTGATCACACCAGTCATGGTGCGGGCAAACAATTCGTCCTCCTCATTGTACATGGTGATGACGATGAACAGCTCGGTATGCCTCGGCTTGGCGAACAGCTTTTGGCGCAGCGTAAAGCGCTCTGCATCGAAATCTGAAGGATCGCAGGTGGCGGCTGAGTAACGCATATGGGTGAACTCGTCACGCTCTGGAGGCTGTGCATGCGGTACCTGATTCAGTAACCGCGGCGGGATCGGGCAGTCTAGCACCAAGTTGCCCTTGAACAGCTGCACTTCCTTTACCGTCTTCCATCGCTTAATCGGCGCAGGTGTCGGGACGGGCGCAGGCTCGTCGTGGAACGGGTTCTCAGGGTGTTGGTCCATGTCATGGTCGTGCATGTCGTGCGGATCTGGGCCATAGGAGTTTTGGCCCTGGATCATAGGCCTTCCCGCATCTTCATCCTGCCAGTAGTGGTCTGGCTGTGTGCCGTACGCGTGGTGCGGGTCCTCTTCGTGCGGTGACGGGTCGTAGGGCTGGTTGTAGTAGGCATCGTGATGCGCTTGGGGATCTAAGGAGTAATCGCTGTCGTGGCGAGGGCCACCGGGGCGCGGATCGTAGTCGTCGTGGTAGTTGCCGCCAGCATAGGGGATGTTCTCGACCGAGTACTTTGCACAATTAGCTGTGTTCTTCATGTTGCTTATGCATTCTCCGCCGCCATAGGACATGCTGAAGGGCTTCGCGGGACTTCGCAGTCCAACTGTGAGCCCATAGCTCAGCGCAGCGATTCAGCCTGCCCTATGCGCAAACACCACACGTACACTGGGTTGCAGCGGCAGTCTGTCGCCCGAAGCTGCTGCTGGATTTGGCCCCATGGGGATCTCGAGCGGTCCTGGGGATGCGCCATAGCGGTCTTCAAGCTGATAGCCACGCAGTGGCTGCCCCGGCGAGGGCGTGCGGCCCATGGGTCGTCTTGGGTCCATTTCGTAGTCGTCGTCGGCACCGCCTTGAGGGCCTGCGCAGTACCAGAGTTAGTTGGTGGTTGAGGACAAGAGCACTTAAAGTTCGGAAGTAATCTCTGGACAGCTTGGCACAGCCATATGTGCGACGCAATCCGTTGCTGGGTTGCTGGGTCGCTGGGTCGGCTACTCACCTAGCCTGTTGTAGTTGCTCATGGATTCCCTGGTTGCTGCGCCCTCGATGACTTCGCGGCACTATGATTCCCAGATTCGGTAGCCAAACAGCGTTGGAGGTGCGCGGACTAGCGGATTCGCGTGTTGTGGTGATCGCCTGGCGCACGGTTTCAGATGTGTATGGTGGGTCGAATAGCGTTTCCGTGTTTACCACAGCAACGCCGGTCGTGCAAGTGGGGGGAAGATGCAGGAGAGCTGTCAGGAGACGCCGCGTCGCATCAAGAGGGAGTGTACATTCACGGCTGAGGCTGGCTTCTATATTCGCAGCCTGCGTTTCCAGCCCACCGCCCGCAGCCGCAGCGTTCGCTCAGGTGCAGCCAATGCCAAGCTCCACTGTGCAGCTTGAAACTCGAGCGATTGATCCCTGCTGTGGCTAATGGCGCAGCAGCCGCGTGGAGTTTGTCTAGCGTTCTATTTGCGGTACCCGATGAGATCATATCTGCAACGGCTACAAAACGTCCGACCTGCCCAATCCTCTGTTGGAGGCAACGGTGAAGGCTCTGAGGTAAATCCTTTATCATCTTCGTGGCGTTTTCCCTGAACTTCGATGTCCAGGTATCCACATCGTACTCGTCAAATTGCGGCTGAGCACATCACAAGGCCGACAACAAGTGGGGTATACTTGCTTACAAGGCGGATTCTTCAACGATACACAATTGAGTAAGACACGCTTGAATTACTCGGGCGTGAAAGATGCATGCCGAGTTTCGGGCCAAGTTAGCACAATTTGTAAACGATTCAACGTAAGCATATTTCCTGCGGCTTGAGCACTCTCAAGGTAATTCGCAGCGTGAAATCTACATGTGGATGTGCCTCTTCTACACAACCAGCTCTAAGATCTTATGCAAACCACTCTTATGCACGACATGCGACTTGCACTACAGTGACATTCCGTCAGCTCCTATCGTCTCCTAAGCGTACCTGCCGATCGCATCTACACGCGTCTTGGCACTCCCGGGCCCAAGTCCGCACCGCACAACTTCCTACACCCGCATCTACCACACAACCACCCACTTAACCAATTGGCCCTCACACCACATCCACAATGACCGACTCCAAATCCCCCAGACCCGTCTCTGTCCTTTTCGTCTGCCTCGGCAACATCTGTACGCCCACCTCCTTCCCTTCCCCACCATCCAACTAATTCCCCACCCAGGCCGCTCAACAATGTCCGAAGGCGTCTTCACCTCGCTCGCCCCCTCACATCCCCTCATAAAATCCATCGACTCCTGTGGCACCGGCGCATACCACGTCGGTTCCTCGCCCGATCGGCGCACCATGTCCACGCTCAAATCGCACGGCATAACCACATATCGCCACAAAGCGCGGAAATTCGACGCGAGGAAGGACTTTGATGAGTTTGAATATATCCTTGCGATGGATGCGGAGAACTTGAGTGATTTGGAGGCGGAGAGGAAGAGTGTGGTGAGGAAGAGGGGAGGGGAAGAGGGCGTGGGGAAGGTTATGCTGTTTGGGGAGTTTGGTGGGAAGAAGGGGGAGGAGGTGGAGGATCCGTATTATGGTGGGGAGGAGGGGTTTGAGGAGGCATATCGGCAGGCGGTGAGGTTTTCAAAGGGGTTTTTGGAGAAGCTGGAAGCTGGTGAGCTCAGCTAGTCGGTGCAATAAGACGAGACAGGGAGAGGAAGAGGAAGAGCATGGGAGAGAATTGATACCCCATAGATCCATTTCACATACACATATGTTACAAGTATACATACACCGCGCAAATTACCGTGCGCTCTGCATCTCCTTTCTCAATCCTCTCCAACTCCTCCACCACCTTCCCCCTCATATACCCCGTCAAGCCCAGTATCCCCTCCCTCGTGATAACCCGATACGTCCCACTATCCTGCCACCTCCCCATTCCCATCCGTGAATCCGCCGTCCGCATCAACCTCCAACACTGCCGATAATATCCTCTGGCCACGCAATGCGTCCATAGTTCGGGGGGGTTCTTCGTATCGCTAACATGTATCCAGCGCGTCGTGGCCGGCCCCACTGCTTCCCCTGGGTTGCAATTAGATGGGTTGCTGAGATAAAGTGAAGCCGCCCGGTGAGGCGATCCGGGAGGCCTGAGTGATCATTTTTTGGGTTGGAGGTGGCATGGCGTGGGTAGACGGGAGGAGAGGATTTGCAGGAGGGAGGGATTTGGAGTAAAGTTTTGCGGTGTGGGAGGGACGGAGGTACAGGTGCCGATTGCGAGTTTTTGATTTGGAGGTTCGGTGGGCAGGAGTGTGAGGAGGCTCGTGGACGGGTCTATCGGGTGTTTATGGACGTACTGGGTTTGTGGTTAGTAGGGGATGGGATGGGGAGGGGGGGGGGGGGGGGGTGACCGACGATGTGTGGGTTGTCGGGGAGTGTTGATACTGGTCTTGAGGCTCGGAGACGGAGTGTGGGAGCTCTGAAGGCCGGGCGTATGCAGCGCGTTGAGCGCGCGAATGTACTTGAGAGCATTGTGAAGTGGTACAGGTAAATTGAATTGCTGTTAGAAGAAGAAGCGAGTTTCAATGGTTGGTGTTGCGCAATTCAAAGCTCACGAATAACTTACAGCTTTCTTCGCGAACGATGACGAACATTATTTCAGTCCAAGCTCCTTGTCCTTGACGTTAGCGGAACATGTCCCGCTCCAATCAATTCCGCGTACAAGCAAAGCATCCTGCACTACCACCTGCGACCGTGAAAGCTTCTACATAAATTGCATGTGTAGTGCCATTGGTAGAATGTACTCCAGAGACTCTGGTCTCTACTCCCTCCACATCATCACCGGAGCCAAACCCGTCCATACACCCACTCCTCGGCACAAACCCCTCGCAAGCGAAATACTCTTTTGCTAAAACGATCCCGCGCGGGCGAGATCAACACTTTTCCCCAAACTACAGCTAGCGCGACCCCACTATGCCTGAAAACCTTCTCAATAGCGAATAGCATGTGCGGCAGGCCCATCGGCCGTTGTCGGCTTTAGTCGTTGAGCTCAACTTTTCTTCCATGGCTTGCCTCTTCCATCTTTCACATCCAAGATGGCATCAGATGGACGGAAGCTGGGCGAAGAGCATCAGGATGTCGAGGTCGGGCCTGAGGTGGTCAACATCGATCGGATCGAGAAGGTGTATGAGTGAGCATATCACCCATCTACCTCAATACGAAGCTGTTTATGTGTATTAACATGCAAATAGCAAACTCGATCGACGAATCCTGCCCGCATTCTGGATCTTGTACTTCATGTGCTCAGCCATCCGATCCAACATCGGGCTCGCGCAGACGATGAACTTGGACAAAAAGCACGACCTGGGATCCGTACTGAACATTACGCCCAAGCAGGTGTCGACTGGTCTTGCGCTGTTTTACGTGTGCTATGTGATTTTCGACTTGCCGTCGAACCTGGTCATGTCGAGGGTGAGTCCGCACGCGTGGATGAGCAGGATTGTTACGTGTGTAGGGATTATTGGCATGTGTTTAACTGCTATGAACGCGGCGTGGAATTTATAGTAAGTTGCGAGACTACTGAATTGTGGGCCAAGATCTGATGAGATGCAGCTTGCTACGACTGCTTCTTGGAATTGTCATTGCGGGTATGTGGCCGGGCATGTCTTATTATCTCACGCTCTTCTACCCACCGTCGAGAACTGGCAAGCGTATTGGTCGCTACTTCACTGCGTCTCAGATCTCCGCAGCCGTTGTCGGCTTGGTTTCTGCTGGCTTCCAGAAGATGGACGGTGTAGGAGGTCTTGTCGGATTCCAGTGGATGTTCCTGATCTACGGTATTGTCGGCTTTCTTGTTGGTGTATCACTACTATTCTGGCTCCCGGATCGACCACTCCCACCAGGCGAAGTCCGTGACCGAAGCGGTTGGCTGAGGTTTCTGCCTCAAACCAAGCCAGCTCTGACGGGTGAGGATGCAAGGGTCCACTATGAAGATCTTACCAGAGTCTACAACCGTAGCATGTGGAACATGAAAGACCTTTGGCACGTCGTCACCGACTGGAGACTGTATCCGCTGGTTGTCATGTACTTTGGTGTTGTTGGAGTGGGTAATGGAACACAAGCGTATGCCACAGTCATCATTCGAGGCATCAACCCAAGTCTTACGGGCATCCAGCTGAGTCTGCTGTCCGCGCCGATCTGGCTGGTAAGTCTCTTAAACATCACACAATATCATTCACTAACATTGGGTAGATGGATGCTGCTGCTATTTTGTTAGTAACCCCCCTCTCTGACCGCTTTCACCGCTACCGCGCATGGTTCTTCAGCGGAGCAGTCATGATTCAGATTGCCGGTCTCCTGATGGCCACGTTTGCAAAAGACTGGACGCGGTACGGAGGAGTGCTTCTCGTCGGCTTCGGGCTTGGGCCGACGGTACCCATCTGCATGGCGTGGTCCAACGAGATCTTCCAGCTCCGCCACGGCGAAGTCGGTGTGGCAGCCGCCAGTGCCCTTGTGTCTGGATTGGGCAACTTGGGCAGTATCCTGACCACATATGCGCTGTACTCTGGGTGGCCTGAGGATGCCAAGCCAGGACCACACAGATACCGCAAGAGCAACCTGGTCATGATTGCAATCTTGGTTGCCAGCATCGTGAGCGCAGCAGCCATGGTGGTTCTGTTGAAGGTGTTTGGCACGAAGAGGAAGGATGAGGGAAGCGGTAACTCGACTAGCGAGGGTGAGGCTGTCTACATAGACGGTGCCGCAAGACGCGAGGTCCAGCAGCGCGGACTCGGACGCATGTTCGCGTTCAAATGAAGCGGTGCGGAGACGTCTCCACGATGGCGCTGATTGGAGCTGCAGCGACCGATCAGAAAGTCAAAATGCGATGGGGTTGCGAGGGAGAATTGCATGGATTCGGATCACGAGGACACAGGGTCGCGTAGCCATATGCAAGTCAACATCCTAGGGCTGACAGCGTCCGATGCGAACTGGTGTCATAGTGCAAATCTTGTGAAGCTTAAGGATACGTCAAGCGAGCAGTGACCTGTGGCGTGTAGGCGCCGTGGTGCATCGTGGTTGCTCCCTCGGGGTGCATGGCCTGATTGCGGTCACGATAGCCGATTGTCGGCGTTGAGCTCAGGCTCGGGGCTGCAGCAAAGCCTAAAGTGAATGCTGGCGACCCTCACGGCCTTCACGATAGACTAGCAGCGTCGTCACTTTTGTCCGCCCCTCCGCTTTTCTTTGTCCCCGTCTCTGTCGCCCCTTGCGTTTGACTTCACACGACGATTGACGCACTCCGCACTCCGCACTCCGCACAAGTTCTGAGCGTCCCCAGTTTAGCAATTGCTGCATGCCCCACTAGGCTTCGCTGGCTCTGGCTGTCCAGGATTTCCACTCATCCATCGTTACGCGCGTGCTGCAGGCGCTGGCCGATCAGTCATAGTCCGCGGCCGCGTGCTGTCGTACAACACGCTTTGAGCGTCCCGCCTCCATCGATCCTTTGGCGCAAACATCGTTCCTCGTTCCCTTTGATGGTGGTTGCGAGATAGTCGACAGCGGGGCAGGCTGCCCAGGCACGGTGGACTTTCACGTCAAAGCTCTCCGGACCCATTAACGTTGCTGCGACTGGCTCTGACGTAAGTAATCCTCCAGTAACGCTCCTTCCCTTCAGGCAAGCGGTGCGCAATCCCGTCACGGAGGGATGTATGAGGGATCCCAACAAATTTATATGCAGATCTTCACATGCTGCCTCCAACGCCCCTCCCGCCCGCTAGGCCTGCACCAGGCGTAGCAGTGTGTCGCGGATGCTAACATAATCTCTGCAGCAGCCCTTCTCCACACCCCGCCAACAATCCCAGAGCTTGACGGAGCTCCGAGCTCAAACGTCTCCACCCTCTCCAAACCCCCTCGGACCTTGCGAAATTACGCCTGTCGCGCCAAATTATCCCCCCGGAACCATGTCGGCCGCCATCGACAATGAGGATCTCGAGGTAGCTCTCCATCTCCATGCCGCACCCGCGGCGGGGAGGCCCCAGCACCACCAAGGCTGTCGACTTCACCACACCGCCCGTCGCACCGCCCACCGTCATGCAGGCGAGCAAGAGCAGGGACAGCAAGGCCAGCCAGCGCCTGGGGCAGTACACCATTGTGAAGACGCTGGGCGAGGGCTCGTTCGGCAAGGTCAAGCTCGCGACGCACCAGGTCAGCGGCCAGAAGGTCGCCCTGAAGATTATCAATCGCAAGAGGCTGGTGACGCGGGACATGGCCGGCAGGATTGAGCGCGAGATCCAGTATCTGCAGCTGCTGCGGCATCCTCACATCATCAAGCTGTGAGTCGCGTGATATCTGTGTAAGATGATTTCACTGACATCCCAGGTACACCGTAATAACGACGCCGACCGAGATCATCATGGTGCTGGAGTACGCGGGCGGGGAACTGTTCGACTACATTGTGAACAACGGCAGGCTGCAGGAGGACAAGGCCCGCAAGTTCTTCCAGCAGATTGTCTGCGCAGTCGAATACTGCCATCGACACAAGATCGTGCATCGCGACCTGAAGCCCGAGAACCTGCTGCTGGACGACCAATACAATGTCAAGATTGCCGACTTTGGCCTGAGCAACATCATGACGGACGGCAACTTCCTCAAGACGAGCTGCGGTAGCCCCAATTACGCTGCGCCCGAAGTCATATCTGGAAAGCTGTATGCCGGACCAGAAGTGGACGTCTGGAGTTGCGGTGTCATCCTCTACGTTCTGTTGGTGGGGAGACTTCCTTTCGACGACGAGTACATCCCCACGCTCTTCAAGAAGATCGCGGCGGGCAATTACAGCATACCGAGCTACCTATCCCCCGGCGCAGTATCCCTGATCAAGAAAATGCTCATGGTCAATCCGGTACATCGCATAACCATTGGCGAGATCCGCATGGACCCCTGGTTCACCAAGGACATCGCACCCTACCTCGAGCCGCCCGTCCAGGAATTCTTCGACAGCGGTGTGGACCCGCACAAGGCAATTGACCCGACTGCGATAGCGCCGGCTATACCAGCACCAGTTGTTCAGAAGTTGCACGACACGGTTGTGACGAAGCTTGGGAAGACGATGGGTTATGCCGAACACGATGTGCAGGAAGCGCTGGCGCGTGATGAGCCAAGTGCCATCAAGGATGCCTACTTGATTGTGCGGGAGAACCAGATGATGAAGGTGAACCGTAAGTTATCATTCTATCCTTGTTCAAGAAGGTGCATTAGGAACATGTCGACTAACAATGTCTCACAGCATTGATGACACAAGAGAGCCAACTCGCACCATTCCTTGCACAATCACCGCCAACACACCACGAAAGTTACCTGGGTAGCTCAATACCTCAGATCTTGAACAGTTCATCGCGCCCCAAAGGCATACCGTCCCAAGCGCAAGATCAGCACGAGAGGGCACGGCATGGATCAAATGCTAGCAGCCAACTTGCGAGCGTGCGGAGCCCTGTCAGCACAGTAGCTATCCTACCCAGCAGTCTCACAGAATACCACAAAGCATACATGAAAGGCCACCCAAGACCGCCGTTCAAACCAGAACACGACGGCCTCCCGCCGACTCCTGATCAGACAGAAGAGCAACGGCAAATCTCCGCGAGGAGGCTGAAGCCCAACTTCCGAGCTCTTCCAGATACCACACGAAACCGACCAGAACCAATGACTTCACTGCCCGCGAAGAAGCCCCGACCAACCAAGTGGCAGTTCGGAATCAGATCAAGAAACCAGCCTGCGGAGGCCATGCTCGCAATCTTCAAGGCATTGAAAGCCATGGGTGCCGACTGGGAGGTGCCGAAGATTAGAAAAGCGGGTGGCAAGGGAGGCTCGCGCAGTCCAACCGGTTCACATGCATCTCAAGAAAGGTCAAGATCACGGTCACGGTCACGGAGCCGCTCACCAGGGTCTTCAGTATCGTCCCACGATTCAGGTGATGAGAAGAAAACTGGTAGCGACTCACCCACACACGAGCCGCTCACTGTGCGCAACGCTGACTCCGGAGAACAACGTGGCCGTCAGAGGAAGCACTACAATCACACCAACGACTGGGGCTACCACATCCCGGAAGACCCCTGGGTCATCAACGCCCGCTTCCGCAAAGACGGCATGTTCCCTCCCGGCGTCGCACACCCATCATCCACACATTCTTCCCGCGTCGACCTTGCAAACGACCCATCCGGTCTCCGCCGCCGCAGCTCCACCAACACCAGCACAACAAGCCTGTCCCACCACATCGACAGCATGACCATCACCGACCGACCCAACTCCATCAGCGGCGAAGACCACCCTGAAGCCGACGAGGCCGTCTACATCTACGTCTCCATCCAGCTCTACAGCATCGACCGCGAATTCTTCGTCGTCGACTTCAAGTGCGCGGGCTACGAGCGTCTCGTGTCCAATCTCGTGCGCGAGGTCAAGGCCGCGTCGTCATCGTCGCCACAGCACCAGCATGAAGATGGCTGGGACGACGAGGCGGGCGTGTGGAGGCGATTGGACGAGGGCGAGCCGCTGCCGGATGATCTGGCCAAGGAGTTGAGGGATGGCGGGAAAGGTGTACTGAGGGAGAGAACGGAGGAAGTGGGTGCGGGCCGCAAGGAGGGGGAGAAGGTGGTGACGAGTCCGTTTCCGTTCTTGGATGTGGCGAGTACGCTGATCTTGCAGTTGAGCGGGGAGTAGAGGGGGGGTAATTGATGGGGTGGATGATGGCTGGAAGTGGATTGGAAGTTGGTATGCTGAACGGAAGGATAGAGGGAGAGCGCAATGTTAGATTAAATACCAATTGCGCATGTTAAGCACCTTTTTTGAGTCACCCAAAAGACCAGCAGTGGAAGAGCGGAAAAAGTGTTCCAATTCGCCTCGAACTTTTCTTTGTCCATGATTTATGCAATCAGAAGAAAATTGCACAAGTTTGCATTAACCTACGACCTCTCGCCCCCCACAAAAAATGTATACACGCACCCACCCCCAGCATTCATGCAGCATCATATACATCAGCGCCAACACCTCAGACCCAAGCGGGGCGATTCTATCGCATGCCGCCGCCAAATCCGCCCGCGCCCGCGCCCATGAGCGCCCAGTCGCGATGCGAGCTTTGGGTATTTCTCCTGGACCTGAAAACTCTTTGTTAGCATAGAGTTCATGTGGGGGAGGTAAGTAAGATATAAGGGAAGCACTCACCTCCAACTGCGTCCTCGTGGCCTCGGCATAACTCAGGGCATTCACAATCTCGCCCTCGGTCCTGCTCAGCTCGGCCGCGCGTTCAAAGTACTTCAACGCCTCTGTGACCTTGCCCTGCTGGAGGAGTAACTGCGCCATGGTCGCGACGGCAATGTCGCACTCGGGGTCGATGATCAACGCCTTCTCGCACAGTTTCTCGGCGTCGGAGAAGTCGTTTTTCCACTGGAAGAGCGCGAGCGCCTTGTTAATGAGCGGCAGGACATTCATGCCAAGCGGCTTCGTGGACTTCTCCATTTCGACCGCGGTGTCGAATTTCTCGATGGCTTCCTGGTATTTTTGCTGGTCAAGGAGGAGCTCGCCGTAGTAGTTGTAGACGTCGGGCACGTTTTGGAAGTTCTTCATGCAGCGGCGGAAGGTGGCCATGGAGGAGGCGATGGAGCCCATCTTGTACTGCGTGACGCCGAGCTGGATGTGCGAGAAGATGAAGTCCTTGTCGAGGTCGATGGACTTTTGGTAGTCCTTTGCGGCCTCGCCGAATTCCGACTTGATGAAGTGCAGCTGTGCGCGGTGGTAGAAAATGTCGGGGTCGGAGGCGTTTTGCTCGAGGGCGGCAGCGAAGTCAGATTCGGCGGCGTCTGGGTTGGCGAGCTCAAGGTGCATGGAGGCGCGCTTGATGAATGATTGCGTGAGGGTGGGTTGCAGGCTGATGGACTTGTCCATGTCTTGCAGAGCGTCCTCGTTGTCGCCCTTGAGGTAGCTGAAGGTTCCGCGCATATTGTATGCGAAGGCTTCGTGCTCGCCCAGGTCGCCGAGCTCGAGTGCGCGGTCGAAGGCTGCGGCGGCTTCGGTGTAGCCATCGCCAGTCTTGGTGGCCATGGCCTGGAGACCCTTGCGCAGCTGGCCCTTTCCGCTCTCCTCGTCCAGCTCCGCATCGTCCTCGAGGCCCTCTGGTGGGGGCTTCGGTCGGAAGCTCTGGAGGTAGTTTGTAACGAATGTTGGGCTGGGCAGCTTCTTCTCCTTTCCGGCGAGGATTGCCTTGCCCTTGGTCTCGGCCACCTTCTTCAGCAGCCTCTCCACGCTCTGTGCGCTGCTCTCGTTGCGGAAGCCGTCGATGATGCAGCTCGCCGTGTAGTCAAGCAGAGCCTCACTGTTGCGCTCGACCTCCTCGTATGCGTTCGCTCGTCGGTTCAGGGCCTTGACGTATTCGTTGTCGAGGTTGATGGCGGCGGTGGTGTCTTCAATGACCTTGTCCCACTCCTGCATGGCATTGTAGCATGCGGCACGGTTCGAGTAGAAGACGGGGTCTTGCTTGCAGAGGATGGCCTTGCCGTACAGTTCGATGGCGCGGTTGTAGTCCTTGGCTCCGTAGGCCTTGTTTCCGGCGGCCTTGAGCTTCGCCGCGTAGTCTTTGCGCTCCTGTGGTTTGTCAGTCGTCGTCGTCTTCGTCTTCGATAGGATCGGAACGGGCAGCCCGCCATTCCTGGACATGTCATACCTCGTCTGAGAGCGCTGCTACGCTGTTCTCGTCGACATCGGGCAGTTCGTTTTCTGTCGACGCCTCAACCGAAGCCTTCTTCTCCGAGCTCGGAGCCTGTGCCTCTTCTGGAGCCGCCTTGGACTTCTCATCCCTCTTCTTGGCACGCTTCTGCTCGCGGTTCTTCTTCCTCTTGCTGCCCGCAGTTGCGCTCTGGTCCTGATTCGAATCCGAGGACATGTAATATATCGCGCCACCAGCACCCACCACCAATGTGACTCCGGCAATGGTATACACGACGCCCTTGTTCTCCGCCGCCCAGGTCGATAACCGGTCCCATAGCGAGCTTGTGCCTGGTTCGATGGGAATTTGGACGGGGAAGGGCCCGGGGCCCTGTGGCGCCTGGTTGGTAGGCGCCATGGCGGATGATGAGGGATGTGGGATTATTACGGATGTGATTAAGGAGAGAAGGGAAGGCGATGGAGGCGCTCAATGGGAATGTTGGCGGGATGTGGGATGTCAACGGCCGCACCTGTGCGGACATTCGAGCTCGCTGCGAAATCTTGGGCTAGTCTAACTTTGGCCCGTGCACAGAGGGACGTCATCAACGCTCCACCGACACGAACACAATTGTTTGGACGCGTGGTACCCGAGACGAACTCTGTAAACATATTCTACTCCCAAGCTTACATCACGTCTTTCCCAGACTCACGCGAGATCAACGCAATTGACTCTGATGTGCGCAGCCAGAGACGAGATAAATTCTCTCACACGTGACGTGTCGCTCACAGACCTGGGATTTGTATACCTATTATTGACTTAGCTACTGTGTCTGTGCCGGCTATCGAATGCACGTCCGAGTCCATGAGACGCGTTGCCATAGAGTGCGTTGCCACGTCTCAGTGCATGCGCTGAAGCTTCGGCGTTAAGCTGCACGAGTCATTTAGTCTCAGCTCCACACCATTGTCAGCTTCACAGCAACGCCCGAACAAGACCATACCGTGAATTGAAGAGCGTCTTGATTCCTTGAAATTTATTGGTATATTGATAATAGTCAAAGAAAGAGATAGAATTGGCAAAGTTGTACCTCCGGAACAGCTCACACACGCCAAAGGACTGGCAGATATCGACATCATGACATCCGAAGCTGACTTTCAGCTATTCACATCCATCCGCTATGACCCACTGCTACTTGAGTCTGAAGAGAACTCTCGATCAGACTTGAACTTCATCACTCCTTCGCCCTTCTACATGCTTGCATACCACCGTGGCCGCATGCTAGAAGCAGCCCAACATTTCGACTTCGACGCCGTAGCAGAGCGCTTGCAAGACGGTCACGCCCTACATGAAGAACTTCTCAAAAGAGTCAAAGCCTGGCAAAGCACGAACCCCTCAGAAACCGGCCCCCTCAAACTCCGCATCCTCTTCGACAAATCCGCCACCATGACCGTCGACTTCATCTCCGTCCCTCCCGTCCCCCTCTCAACCCTCTACCCGCCATCCTTCGACCCGCCGAACCCCTCTCCCCCAGCCCCCCATCCCGCAAACACATTCACGCCCTCGCCCCTGACTGGGGGTGCCCTTTCCCTCGGATCATCAGACACCCTCCCATCCGTCCCCAATCCTCCAGAATGGACCCTCAAACTCGACACACAACCAACCCCCTCTTCCTCATTCACCCTCCTCAAAACCACAATGCGCGAAATGTACAACGACGCGCGCGCCCGTGCTCTCCCCGCCAACCCCGCTGCCCCGGGGCAGGTTGAAGTCATGCTCTTCAACGACGTCGACGAACTCACAGAGGGCACGTACACGTCGCTGTACTTCTACCGGGGCGGGAGATGGGTCACACCACCGGTGGGTGTGCCGTCGGCGTTCAAGCCGTCGAGTCAGGACGGGGAGCAGGATGAGGGAGAACTGCGCGTGCCGTTCCCGGGACGCTGGGGACATTCGGTGAGGAGCAAGAAGGTGGGTGCGGGCGGGCAGAGGGGCACGAGTCGGCGGTGGGCTTTGGGCAAGGGGTTTTGCATGGAGGAGCCTATTAGCATTGACACGATTGAGGTTGGGGAGGGGGTGTGGGTTAGTAGTGGTGTTCGAGGGTTTGGTTTCGGTCGGGTCGTTGCTTGAATATTTATCCCATCCATCCTACAAAACTATCTTCTCAGCTCTCCATCAACACGCGTCAAGACTACGTGGAGAGGCTTCTTGTCCCAGAAAATATACGTCTCTTGCTCGCCCCATGTCCAGCCCCCATCCTCTTTGTCAAGCCGCACATCAAACACCCAAATCAACTTCGCAAGCGCAACCCGCATCTCCGCATACGCCAATTTCACTCCTATGCAGCTATTCCGTCCTGCCCCGAACGGATTGAGTCCAGCCATGTCATCCCTCCCATCCATCTCAATAAACCTCTCTGGAAGAAATGTATTAGGTAAATGGAAATTATACCCCTGCCGATTCGCCGCAAACTGGTTGTAACCCACATACGTCCCTGCGCTCACCCATCTGTCGCAAATTAGTGCGCCAGGCGAGGGCGTAACGCGCGGCACGCCGGTTACGACGGGGGGGTCGAGGCGTAGCGTCTCGTTGATCACCGCATTGAGGTATATGAGGTGCTGCGTGCTGGCGACAGTGATATCCCGCTCTTCCGCAAACGCGCCCCGGATTTCCGACACAAGACGAGCCAGCGCGCCGCGATGCTGGCATAACTCTCTTACCGCGGCGGTGAGTGCGGACGCGGTTGTTTCGGACGCGGCGAAGGCGATGACAAGCATGTTGACTTCCCACTCTTTAGTCGTCATGGCGAATTCTGGGTGTATTGAGATGTACTTCTTCGTCGGCGTGACGAAATCCGGGCGTTCAGTGCTTAACTCTAACCGCGCGCGTGCTTTTGCACTGCTAATCTCGCGATGGTCTTTCATGCGCTGAAGCACCTTTTCAGGAATAATGTACCGCAGGAGACGGTCAATGTAGCATGTATTCACGCTCGCGATTAACGCTAGGCCTTTGCCGAAATCCTGCGTGACGCGCACCCAGACATGTGCGGTTCCGCTTTGCAGACACGAGAAGGAGGAGCCAAAGGAGAGGTCGGCGGAGAGGTCGAATGTGAGGAAGTTGAACCATTGGGCCAGATCGACTGACTCGTTCTCTTTCTTCTTCAACTGCGAGATGAACAAGTCGACGTAGCTTTCCACAACGGGTATTTGATCGCGCAGACTCTTTTCCGAGAAGGAATTCGCAAAAGCGCGGCGGAACCGCGCGTGATCATCTTCATCATAGCCCATGATTGAATTCGGCTCGTCGGGCGTCATTTTTTTGAACCACGTGCGGTTGCGTTCGAAGACGGGCTGGTTGGGACGGTTCAGATATATGTCTTTCCATGCTGCGCTGTTGGCGTATGAGAGCTCGTTGGGTGCGATACGGACGATTGGGCCGTAATTGGTGTGGAAGTCTTTGAGATCGGTGTGTAGGCGGCCTCGGTGGGTTGACATCACGTAGGGGAGGCGGAAGGAGCGCCAGAGGATGGGGCCTGGGTATGAACGGAGGGGGTGGAGATGGGTGTTGTAGAGGGCGTAGGAGAGGGTGAGCTGGGGGTGTTAGTATTGCGTATGGGATTTGGTGAAGTGTCTACGAACGAGAAGAGTTATGAGTATAAGTAGTGTTATGAGAGAGCTAGTGGGCAGGTCTATGAGCATACGCCAAACACCGTCAAGGCCTTCGGTGAGAATGTGTGCCATAATGCTGCGATCATCCTCATCGGTCTCTGATTGACCGTATATAATTCCCTAGATCAACGCCAAGGGTGGTCGTGGATTATATGTTTGCATGTTGATATCTTGAAGTGACAAATGCAAACGTCATGCTAGCGGAAGGCTGCCGCGCTTGCCCAATGTCTCTAGGCCACATCCTGATTCGTAAGTCCCCTCGCCTTGGACTTTTTCGATGAGATTATCACCGTGAGTTCTGGTTTCCTTCAAGTATTTTCCAGCCCAATAACCACAATATGGAACAGAAGCTTTTGATTGCTCAGATTCTTTGCTGCACATCTTTGGTGTTAAACAAGTGCTCGCGAACCCGTTCCTCCAAGTCCGACATCCTCCCTTCATGGGGATTTGAAAACGGATAAGCAGTCACTGTGACCTGGTCTTCCCGAAGCCGGAACTGTTTAAAGCTATCTGCCAAGTCTATGAGAAATAAGAAAGTTAGCCTCATCCTGATATACGTGCCAATGTTTTACTTACGCATAACTGAGGGTGTACGACCATAGGCATGTACTTGAACTATATTGAGACCCTTGAGAGACTCGAGCTGGGCGATTAATCCAGACTTTTCCAGGCCGATTTGCCAGCCCAGACGTCGTTTTTTGTTGTTCAAAACAATGCTCAACTTGGTGATGAGGTCGAAGGGGATAATAGACGACTTGAAAAAGTGCTGAAAATCTATATCGCTGTCGAACGTAAAAGTACACGTTTTCCAGGCGATGGGTACTGCCTCGTAATAAATCTGCTTGCAAACTCCTGGGACGATCGTATATATCATTTCCGAGTTTTTGGCGCAGCTGGAATGAGATCCGATGAAGGTGCCTGTACTGAGTGCTTGTGTTTTTGCTATCATCCAGCGCTTGCTGCCAACCACGATAGCTTGGCGGTTCACTTCTTCGTCTGTGAAAAGCTCTTTGCAGGATGCGAATGAACAACAAAGTCTCATCGTGGTCCGTGTATTTGTGGTCTGTGCATATGCGTAGTACAATCGAGGATGAATGGCTCGACTGCCGAAAGCGTAAAGCCAAATCTGTTCCCTGAGTTCAGCCGGCAGGCGAAGAAGTGGTGATCTTCTGGCGTTGCGGTCTTGAATTGTTCCGCGCTCCCTCGTGAGACGCGGTTTGAGTGTTTCATGCTGCTGTTCGTGAACAGCCTCTTGAGCCGAGCGGTCTTCAGCAAGGGGAGTCTTGAGTGTCATTTTGGCGAGGTTTGTCTAGTAAATTTGAAAATTTGAAGAAGGCAATGGCTTGCTGTGACCTATTCGATGGTTGCCTAGCCTAACCTGTTTCGGACGAAACAGTTCATCTCAGTTTCTGAACAAAACCGTCCTTCCACTCCCAATATCTGCCAGGATTCGAAAGCCAAAACACCGGCTATACTGAACGGCCCGCTGAATGGGGCTCAATATCTCACGTCCGTGTCACAAAATAGCTATATGCTCGTGCAGCTGCGAGCCCGAGCGTTCAGTCGTGTTCCCTCGAGCACAACCAGAAGCCTAGACCACCAACGGTCAGCGATGATCGTCGCTTCTCGGGACCCGAACAATACGCAGGTTGGCGGGATCGCCAGTAAATCTTCGGGATCGTTGCGACGCTCATAAGATCCGACAATTGTAGCCTGCCGTCGCATCACACGTGGTCTCAGTGCTGCGAGAGGAGCTGCAGGCTGTCACAACACACAACGTCCAACAGCAGCTCAGCGGCTGGTTCCGAACAAACTTTGCGAAGGACAGGCGCTGCATAATCTCCACTCGGAGCACACATTGCTCCAAGTGACGGATTATTGCTCACAAGCCTAACAACGCCTGTTGCGGCAGGAATGTCCGCTTCAACGACCCGCACGCGCATCCAGAGCTCGAACTTATCCTGGAGAAGTTCTTCCGCACTCCACTCTTCGTCGCATGCACGAAAAGCGCACTAATGTCGCTGTTTTCGAGGCCTTGCAGCAGACCAAGGTCGCCAACATTGCCCCTCAATTGACTTGTTGAGGAGAAAAGCAACATCACCGACACTAATGCAGTTGATTTAGCGGTCTGCTTGACTTCCCCTGTTGGATCTTACTGTGTCTGTAAGTTTTCAATCTCGGCAAGCAGACGAGAACTACGCCCAGTTGTCCTCTGGCCGGAAACCGGGTGGTAGGATCCACCCATGGAGGTATACCCTAAAAAAGTTCGTAACTGATTGAAATAGGCAGCTGAAGTGTTTACACCAATACCTGCGCTATCAGCGACGGATATTGCCCCTCGAACGACTCAGAACGACCGAAATAGTCGCAGAACAGAAGTTGAAGACTGCAGGAAAATGGGACTCGAGCTCGCTTATTGACACCACCAACGTATGCATGCTTTCAGGCCTAAGACGGCCTGCTGGCCGCCTCTACGCCGCGCACAACACCCTCAAGGGCTGCCGGAAATTCCGTTAATATGCGGTCGGTGCGGGACTAATTTGCTGGCTTTGCAGCCAAAAGCGGGGTTTTCGATAGCTGTTCAGCCACTTAGTGGAGCTTCGATAACCACATGAGGGCATTTAGCAGCCGCTACATGTAGTGGCGCCTGCAGCGCACAGACAACCGAGTGGGAATTGAAGCTTTGGTACTAGCCAGGCCTTCCTTTCTTCATCCCCCGGACTTTCATCTGTGCTTAGAAGCTATCGGGCCTTGTTGGGGCGCGTACGGCTAGAGCCCGAGTGATGTGCCGTCTGCTGCAAGGCAGTTTCAACGTCGAAAGTTTACTCGTATTGGAGGCGAAGTTCTGAAAGCCAACATGTAAAAGACATCTCTTGCGCGAATGGAGGCTCAACACACAAAAGCAAAGCTGCGGCCCTGCGGCTCGGGTTATCCTTGTTCTCGATCGCACTGGTGTGCGTATCAGCGCTTACAGGAAGGACAAGCACTTTATCCTCCTTGCCAATATAGGCAAGGCGTCCTGCGACCATGGGAAGACCCCTGCGCGCAGCATCTCATTTCCACCCGCCTAAACTTCGCCTCCAGGGTGGCAGAAGCAAATTCGGGTTCGAAAGCGGTCCGTGACCATGTACATGCTTATGGCGCGTGGGCTAGCAGTGGTCGATACAACGGCCGCTGCAGGGATGGGAATTGGATGAAGAAGGTATAAGATCGCCAACCGCCGGGACGAAGACGTTGTGACACCCAACTACGACCTGCTTTTCTGAAGAGACAGACTGGGAGAAGGCTGGTTTGCGACGTGCGTCTTATCTATCTCCAGTTGCCACTACCTCGTTCTACTCCAGTTTCTTCGTTTATTGTACTCACTTCATTTCTCTGTGTCCGAACATTTAAGTTCATCTCTTGCATACGACCCCTACCAGGATCTCAGGAATCCCATACCTACTTCGAAGACTTTCACTAGTACTTCCATACCAGAAGATCACGATGCTTTTCACTTCGCTCTCTACGGCGTTGTCCGCCCTCGCACTCTTCACAGCTTCGACCAATGCTTTGCCACGGCCAGGAGGCAAGCCTGCCACCTACGCTCCTGCTAGTGATCTGAGCAAGCTCGCCAAGTTGATGCCTACAAGCGCTCTGCCTGTTCCTGACGGTCAACTGAAATATGTTGTTCTCGGTATCGGAACACAGAACTACACCTGCTCAACTGGTAACCCCGATGCTGCTCCAGGAACCACAGGTGCACTTGGTAAGGCATCTTCAACAAAGTCTCAGCAATGTTATGTACTGACCTCCATTTAGCTACACTATACGACATCGGCACCAAGCTCAACGACGACCCAATGGCGAAGTGGAAGATCCCCTCCCTCTCCCCTCTCGCTCTTGCTCTGAGCAACTACCCCACCACGATGGAATGGAGCCTCAAATCCCAAGGCTACGACCACCACATCGGCACCCACCTCTTCAAAATGCTGGGTACTACCAACACACCTACCTTCGCCTTCGACCAGCTCGCCATGACCCCCTACCCCCAGGCTCAGGTCGGCAAGCTCAACGATACTCCCGCGCCGGAGAATGCGTGCCCTGGCCTTACGGGCGAGGGAGCCGTCAAGTGGCTGTATCTCAAGGACACCAAGGGTCTGTCTCAGGGTGGTATCAACACCGTGTACCGCCTTGAGACTGCGGGAGGATCTGCGCCTGCGACGTGCAAGGACATGCCGCAGACTTTTGAAGTCAAGTATGCTGCGCAGTGTAAGTTCACTTCTCGACATAGCACCGTACTTGAGTTTTAAGCTGACATTCATCATAGACTGGGTTTACGGACCGCGCAACTAAGCGTTGACTGTTCGCACACTTGCACACACTGTGTATACATGATTTTGATTTGGACTTTTCACTTCTCCAGTCCTCTGTCATTTGACAGGACAGTTTGCATTCGCTTGTAGCTTTCTGATAACCTTCTTGTTTTATACCTTACGTTCGTTTCCGCATTACGATACCCTTCTCACGCGGGCGTTTTGTTTTTTGGCGGCATTTGAAGTGGCAGAGCATGTAGATGAAAACCAATAGACCACATTTCTTGGAGATTTTCCCCATCAGTACCTCTTGATCGCTGTGAAGCCATCTACTGTCTCAGTCAATGAGACCTTATTTCCAACCAGCCATATCTGCGACCACGTCTTTTGACATACGCCCTGCCATCGTGACATACGCCTTGCATCTACGCGACACTCTATTCCTTCGATTCGAGACTGAGCCGCATCGCCGCATTACCGCAACATCATACCCTTGATCTCCCTGCGCCACAAGGCAGAGCGCAATTGTACTTTGCGCGTCATATACACGTTGTTCATTAGGCGCACCGCACCTCACTCACAGCCGATGCGGCACAATCGTGCGCCTCCACCAACCCACGAGGCCACCACGCCGCAAACAACACATACCGTTCGGTATATAGTCGAACCTGCGGCGTGGTGAACTAAACGCGACGTCAGGCTGACTTTTTCCAACTCTTCTTCTTCTACCTCGGGCAACTAGATCAGCCATCGCCATTTCCAATGACAAGCACATGTCAGCCCCGCACCGGAAATAGCACCTCACCCCATCAACTACATACAGGTGGCTTCGGGGGTCTTTGCGTCCGGCTTTCGTGTGCTACGTGGGCGGCGGGTATTTCGCTTGGCGGGTGCGGTGGGCGGTTAGACCGACATATGCAGAGACGGAGTGGGAAACGAAAGGAGTGGGGAGAAACGAGGAAAGTCCGTTTATGGACTTTCGGGTTTGTTTGAAGAATGCTTTTGTTGGTGTATTGGTATGCTTGTTGCGATGTGTTGGTCAGATAGTGCTGGTTGGTTAGAGAAAACGTGATGATTGTAGAGTAATCGCCTCATCAGATTTATAACGCGAGACTAGGATATTCGCTGCAACATGGTACCTGGAACTCTCAGAAAATGAGCGAGATAGAGATGAGGTGTGGTTACGCAAGCCTTTTCGGTACTTTCTTGATGTCGAGATCAGATGCCACAGGAAGGCGCTTACAGACAGACCCATGTCCCGCACATGCATGTCATCCTGAAAATGTGTATGGTCGCCGCGCCGCATCGAAGCAATCAATTTAGGAATGTGAGACAAGCTGAAGTTGGTCAATTTGCGGCATTTTGAGAGCTGTTGGTGTTGGGAGTTGGCCATTCATGCTGCGGAAATGGATGCAAATCGCTGGACCGACTTCAATGAGGGACAGCCGCTTGTGGAGAAGAACGAGAGGGATGTCATATTCGTGTTAGGTCGTCCAGCCAGCTTTGAGTAGACTTATTGTCGTCTTCCCCTTCCTTGTAATGCGCGACTTCAAGCTACGGGCAGTTCTACCGGTGCCTCGAGCAAGGATAGTGAGCAGTAAGAATAGTGTGCCAATAGTCTTCTAGTGACTGAAGTCCAATCTTCGTGCGCAATTCACTCTCAATAGAGGTGTCTTGAGGACCGAACTCGTTGATGCCTAATTTTTTGAAGGAAATTGCTGAAGTTGGTTGCGATCAAGGCGCGAATAGTGGGCTGGTAGGCATCCATTCTCGGCACTTGCATCTGCCATCCTTACGTGTCTTTGCCAGATGGGTTGAACGCGCGTAATACTGTTTACGCGAGGTGCAACTTTGGCGTGGCAGTCTAGGAGTTGAACGTTGCATGTGCAAGCAGGCACTATCACCTGACCCGGCCTTGAGACGACCGTGGTGTCCGTTCGCAAGGCAAATTTGATCATGCCTTACGCAAACACAAGACCGGCCCCATGTGCCTCTATCTCATGCAGATAGCTTCCTCTTCTCGACAGCCTTCTCGTACGCATCCAGGTCGACATTGCCGGCATCCCAGACTGTCACGGCTTGGACAAACACGCCCTTCTCCTTGCGCTGCTCAATATAGCCCATCACGTTGAGCCATGTACCGACGTCGAGTTCGTGATGTTTGATGCGCTCGAGCACATGTTCTACATCGACATTTGCGACCACATGCGATGTCGATGTGGGGTAGTCATGCTTGAGGCGCAAAGTCGCTTTCGTAACAACATACTCATCAACACTACCGCGTATCAGTATGAGGATTCAACCCTTCACGAGAGACAATACCAGCCAAGAAAGCGAACTTTCGTGCCTGGCGTGCATTTCCCGAGCTCGCTCAAGAGTACAAGCTTAGACGGAACGGGGCCAGACGACATTGATGGTGGAGGAATAATGGCTATACGTCGGCGGAACCTAAGCCCGAGACCGACTCACGCACGTGCCAGCCTTAGCGCGTCGACATCATACCCCATGGCCCGAACTTGACGGTCGCCTGGCACCCTTCAATACATATTCCACAACCACCGTAGCTGCCTCAGACCTCTGCAAAACACTCCGACACACCCTTTCACTGGAGCGCCTTTCCTCTCATACATAGTACGTCAGCGTATCCTAGCACCCCGCTGCCCCACCATCCCGCTATCTGATAGCCCGCTTGAACTACTCACACGACTCAACTGCATCTTTTGCTTGGATATAGCTGACCAGCGACTTCTAGATACTGCTTTCATCATGTCTGGCTGGGGTCTGGGTTGGTTCGGTGGCGGGCAGGCGAAGAAGGAAGCGCCCAAGAAAGCCATCCTCCAACTGCGCGGCCAACTAGAAATGCTCAACAAGCGGGAGAAGCACCTGCAAAACCAAATGGACGAGCAAGACACCATTGCGCGGAAATATGTATCCTCCAACAAGAATGGTGTGTCAAATGCTTCTTTCATCTTATGAGTATAGCATCTCGCTTACGCGATAGCACAGCGGCCAAGGCAGCATTACGGCGGAAGAAGCAGTTCGAACACTCGCTGGAGCAAACCAGCGCACAAATTATGACCCTCGAGCGCGAAATATACTCCATCGAAACCGCAAACATCAACAAGGAGACGCTCGACGCAATGAAGAACGCAGGCGCCGCGATGAAGAACATACACGCCGGCCTGACTATCGACAAGGTCGACGACGTCATGTTAGTCCTTCCCCAAACATCCCCACCCTCCCCCTTCTCCTCTACTCTTGCTAACGTAAATCTCCAAACAGGGAAGGTCTCCGCGAACAACATGCCATCGGCGAGGAAATCAGCGAAGCCATCACCAGCGGCGTCGCCTCCAACGGCATCGACGAAGACGAACTCGACGAAGAACTCGCAGAACTCCAGCAAGAGAAACTCGACGAGGAAATGCTCAAGACGGGCAACGTCCCTGTCAACGACACCGTCGCCGCGGGCCGCCTGCCCGCCGCGCCGAATCAGAAATTGCCCCAGCAACAGCGCGTTGAGGAGGATGACGAGGAGGAGGAGCTGCGCAAACTGCAGGCCGAGATGGCTATGTGAGCAAGCACGTTAGATTGGGAATGGGCGTAATGGCGAATTGAGAGCGATGGCGGGATACTTTATGCGGCATTTGGGGCTCACCTTTTTTTTTTTTTTTGGTTTTAGGCTGCAATCTACGACCTTGAGACTCTCTTCGAGTGAGTTGTCAGTTGCGCCGCCCGACGAGATATACCTTGCAATTTTTACATATTCTGCTTTCTACCCCTTCATTTCATGTGGCTCATGTTGACATTGATTACAATTCGATTCATCTGCAATGCTACAGCATCTAGCCTAAACCCGTCTCTGCAGGCATATGCGCATATCGTCGTAATAGTACATGATGCATGTACCCACACATCCGCGCTTGAGAAATCCACTTTTGTAAGTCCCAACCGAAACCGATGCCGGGTATCTAAACATGCGCTGTAAAGAACGCCAGGGAGCAAAAACGCTACACTAACCATGATTCGCGTAACGTGTCGTAGGATGAAAAAAGCATATAATAATGCCTCTAGAAAGGTGTCAAAGGAAGTCAAATCCGCCACAAACAGAGCTCTTTTAAGTGCCGATTCTACTATGTCTCCATAGGGCCACTGTTATCATCCACTTTTTGGGCTGGCTGTACTTCTTCGCCCTCCGTGGTCTCCAATTTCTGCGGCTCTTCCGCACCTGCGTTCGCGTTGTCAGATGTCGCAGGAATCTCGACAAAAGACCTCCTGAGTGGCGTACCGCTCTGGACTGCCGGCGATCCGGGAACTGGTGTAAGTGGCTCGACACTGGGTCGATGCGAAGGAGGAAGTGAAGGAACGGACTGCGCTTGTGCAGTGGTAGGAGGCGGAGCTGGCGATACAGCGGTCATGTTTGGCGTGAACTTGTGTGGTTCAGTGGTTGGCTGAGACTCTGATGTTTGCGAATCTGCGCTCGCAGGAGGGGCAGATGCCTGAGCAGTCGTCGTTGGTGCAACCGAGTTCGCTACTGCGTCTGCTGCGATGGCCGCTGCAGTGCCAGCCGAGGTCATACTGGGGGCCTGTGGGACGCTGGTTGCAACTGAACCCTGGGATGCCGTATTCTTGTTCCTCATGTACTGCGCCAAGTGTTCTATACTTTGGATGGCGTTTAGCAGCGCCACTTCTGCCTTCGTAAGGGTGTGGACTTGGTAATGTGGATCAACGAACGCCCTGATCGCATTGTCGCATTTCCGGTCCTCACCAGGCTCTTTGCGAGCTTCCAGATATACCTTCCGGAATGCCTCGAGTTGGCGAATGAGGTCTGGGTCAGTGTCGGGAAGGTAACGGCCAGGCGGAGAGGGATCTTCCGATTGCGATGCAGGTGGTTGAGGTTGAGGGTGCGGTGCGTACGGCGATGCACCTGGCGCTTGCTGCCCCTGCGGAGGATAGGGCGCGTAAGGTCGGGTTGGGGCTGGACCATATGGGCTCGGCCCAGCAGTAGGATATGGACCTCCATAGGGACTTGCAGTCGCAGGTGGTCCACTATACGACTGAGACGCGCTTTGTGGTAAGAGTACTCCATATTGTCCACTTTGACCAGCTGCACTGACCGGCGGAGTCTGAGAGTTGGGTGGAGGATAAGGCGTAGGCGGGTGTTGTGCAGAAGGGCTGCCGGCAGTATTGCCACCTGCCCATGGTGAGGCATAGGGGGAAGGATGAGGCGCGGCCTGCGTTGTTGCCGATGTGTTTGTACTTGCTTCGCGCTGCATGCTGGGGGGCAGACGTGGCAGGTTGTTTGTGATGCTTGGTGGCAATCTAGGGGCAGCTTGAGGCATGGCATGTGGCGGCACACCCGGATTATATGGGTAAGGAGGTTGCGGATATTGTGGATAGCCATTCGGCGGAGGCGGATAGTACGGCGGACGCTGTGCATGGTTTACTGGAGGACTGACTTGCCTCTTCCGACGCTCCTTTTCAATGGAAACCTCTTGGTTGATCTTCCAGTTGAAGCCCTTGCCTTCCTTGTCACCTTTGACAAAAGCGTCATGCTGGCCGAGGTTGTGTCGCACACTTGACTGCCATCCGCTTGTTGTGGTCTTGAACTTGTACCACGGGTACTTCCTCTCAATGTAGTTGTAGATCTGTTGGAGGTTCATTTGGCCGGTTGAAGAAGACGAGATCGCCTCGTGGATGAGGACCACATAGTTGGCGGTCGGTCGCTGTAGCTGTTCCTCGGTGTAGTCTTCCACGCGTGGCTCGGGTGATGGCGTGCGAGGCGGCTTGTTGGGCTTGAGCTGCTTCCTGTCGCCTGAAAGTCCATCGCCATTCTCGGTAGACTCCCTGATATCACCGTCTTCGCCGCCGGCGGCATCTGAGTCTTTCCGTTTCGTGATCTTTGGCTTCATTGATGGCATTGGGATATCGGCTGGATCAATACCGGCCGCCTTGGCTCGCTCAATTTCCTTGGCCTGCTTGATAAGCTGCGACCTCTGCCGCTTCGACATGATGCCGTCCTTCGGAGGTCGTCCAGGGCCCTTTCGCTTCTCGACAACTTGGCCAATGAGCGTTGACGGCAGGTTGTGATGTCGTGCCATCTCCTCGGTGATCAAACCCTCAATCTCGCCGCCAGCCTCGAGTTCGCCCTCGAGCGGTTTACGCAAAAGTGGCGGACTGTCGTTGGGAACAGGCTTGCTCGGCTGCTCAGGCTTCTCTTGCACGGGCGTCTCACGAGGAGTCGCTTCCTTGGGCTCCTCTTCTTTGATGGGAGTCTTCGAGGGCGCCTTTGCTGGTGCTTTGCCCTTGTCCTTTGGCTCTTTCTGCTCCTTTGGTTCCTTGGGCTCCTTGACCTCCTTGGGTTCGCGAGTCTCCTTAGGCTCCTTCGAAACCTTGGGCTCCTTGGCTGCTTTTGCCTCTTTGACAGGCTCCTTGTTCATTTCCTTGTGCTTCTTCAGCTTCTTCAGGGGAATGTCATCAGGCGATTCATCTCTGTACTTGCGTTTGTGTGCCTTCTTGTGCTCCTTTCGTGCAGGTGGCGCAGCCGGGGCAGGTAACTTGAGCTTCAATTTGGGAGCTGGCTTCTTTCGTGGGCGTGGGACAGGTTCCTCGTAATCGTCCATATCATCGTCTTCTTCCATTGGGTCATCGGACTCTAGTTCGCTGTCCATGGGAACGTGGTATACATGTTTTGGGTTGATGCTGATCTCGCCTTCACTCTCTGAGCTGATGAGCTCATCGCTCTCGAGCTCGCCATGGCCATTCTCAAATTGGAAGCTCATTGGACGGGATCCCGACTCTTGCTGTCGTTGCTCTTCGGTGAGCGCTACATCGGGGAGGTAGAATTGCAGGTTCACGGCGCCGATGACGAGGCGATCACCGTGGCTCAGGGGCACGACCTCGCCTCGATGTTTGTACTCGGATTCGTGGTGCAGACCATTGTTCCCTAGGACCTCAATGCAGAAGTGGCCCTGGTCAAAGTCGAAGAAGATCTTGGCGTGCTGGCGCGAAATGCCCTTGGGACCGTGTGTGCCCGTACGGGCAGTGACGTGCTGCGGGTGTATGGGGACCAAGGGACAGTCGTGCGGATCCTCGGGAACATGGCCGTCGAACTGCGCAGGTACCTCGGGAAAGGCTTGCATGAGCATATCCTGGGGCGCACGCTCGACGGGCTTCTCTTCGCCGGATTCGCCAGTAGGATGCGACCCCGAGCTGAGGGACTGCGACGCGTTGCTGTGGCGGCGCTGCTGGTACGCCAGGGGCATGGAGGAGATGGGCGCGTTGACGATGCCACCCCTTTCGCTGATGACGCTGCGAGCGGCGCGCTTCTTTTTCTTCTTCGCTGCGCTGCCATCGAGCAGCGCCTCGGCGGCCTGGGAGTGGCCCTCAGCCTGCAGCTGGTCGACCCTCGCAATGCGCCGCATGTCGCGACGCGCCAGTTCGATGTTGCGGCCGAGGATGATCTGGTACGTGTGCATGTAGTAGGAGCCGTCGTCAAAGCGCAGGCGCGCAAAAGCCGTGAGACGCTCGTCGCTGGCCATGGGCGGCGGGAAGTCCATGGCGGTGAAGTCGGGCGGCGCCATGCCCATGCCCATGCCCAGATTCATGTCGAGGCCGTTCATGGCGGCGGGCTGGGGGAAGTCAATGGGCTCACCCAGCGCGAGGCCATTGCTGAGGCTGTTGCCGTTGGCCGTGTTGTGGGCGGTCAGGTCGGCAGCAGGTGCGTCCGGCATGGGGAGCACTGGCGCGTCCGTCGCATTATTGGTCGCAACTTCCATGTCGGGCGGCGGCTGGGGGAATGTTGCTGGCAGCTCGCAGTAGGCGTCGCGGGTGTCATGTTTGGGGCTGACATGGTGCTGAAGCTCGCTGGAAGGGGCTACAAGCATGCTGCCGGCGCCATCTTCGTCTGGCGTGCTGAGCGAGAAGTTCAAGTCCAAGTTGCCGTCCGCGAAGTCCAAGTCGAAGAAGTCGAGACCTGCGCACCGTTAGCTGGCCGTGGACTGGCCGCAGGGGCGCTGCAGTGAAGACTCACCGCCTATCAAGTCATGCGTCGGCGTGCGAAAGGGTTGCGCAAGCGGAGATAGCTGTTGGGGCGGGCTCAGCGTCGACTGCGAAGTCTGCAAGTCGGGAAGCCGCTCTTCTGCGCCGTCTTGTCCGCCAGAGGCTTGTTGCGCTAATCGCCCAGTCTCCGCCGCACGTGCGCCTTGGCCAGCTGCATCCACTGCGGAGAATGCAGCCTCGAGAAACACGCTCGAAAACTCCATCCTGAGCTGTGTCTGCTCTTTGCGCGCCGTGTTCCGCCTGAGGCAAGAGCTTCTGTCGCTGTTTTCCGTATACTCGTGACGCGCCAATCACGGGGGGCGCAAAAGAGATGCGAGAATTGGTGTCGGTGGCAAAGTGAGAACGCGAATGATCGCAATTGGTGATAGGGCGAAGACGAGCAAGAGAAGAAGTATCACATAAAGCAGCAGACTCTTCGGTCAAGTCTTCCGGTGGACGATCCGTTGAGTTCTCACATATCGGGTCCGTAGGGAAAGAGCCTCGCGCCAACCACCACCCGGACCAGACTGCACTTCAGATTGCGCAACATGCCCCCCAAGAAAAAGGGCAAGGCGGACGGCACGGCCGCGCAAGGAACGAAGCCGGCGCCGGACTGGCCCGCCCTCACTCCTCTGATTCCTGAGATGGATCTCACTCTGGAGGATGTGATGCCAGGACAGATCGTGACCATACCTAATTTCTGGACCGCCACCCTCTGCAAGGCCTATGTGTCGTTTCTATCTTCCCTGCCGCTGACGACTACACCCGGCAAGCCCAAGAAGGGTGACGCAGTGCGCGTGAACGACCGCTTCCAGGTAGACGATCCCGCCTTCGCTGAGAGACTCTGGAGCCAGACGTCATTGAAGAGTCTCGTTGAAGCGCAGCCCAAAGAGCTCTGGGGCGGGGATGTTGTCGGACTCAATCCGAATATTCGGATATACCGCTACTCGAAGGGGCAGTTCTTCGACCAACACTGTGAGCAGCGTCAGCTTAATGGGGATGGCCAACGCTGATAGGAAGCAGATGATGATTCCAATAACGTCACCTTGTCCGGCACTCCGCCCATGCAAGCCCGAACCACTTGGACCCTGCTGTTGTATCTCACCTCTCCCGCAACGGGCTGCATTGGTGGGGAGACCGTGTTCTACCCGGACTCACCCAAGAAGAAGAGCAGAGATGCCTTGCCCGAGCCTATCGTCGCTAGCCTCGAAGTTGGTCTCGCACTTCTTCATCGCCATGGGGCCGACTGTATGCTTCACGAGGGTCGAGAAGTGCTGGAAGGCGAGAAATGGGTCATCCGCAGCGATCTATGCGTCAAGCGATGAGGCTTCTTTGGCAATGAGAAGCGTGTATAGCTTTCAGTCTAGCGCAAGTAGGTCTGCGTTCACGTCCTCGAGGACAAGGCTTCGATACCACTCCACTTGGAGAAGCACCAAATCTTCAAAGGCCGCGAGCTGGGGACGCGCATCGCTGCGGACAAACTATTCTCCATCTCAGGTCTGGTCGAAGGCCTACGCGCTGAAGCCAACGGCGCATTCTGATCCCGATGGCCAATGAGCAAATAGGGCCTTGATGCATCGACGCATCCACGTTACGCAATGCCGCGAGCATCACCAAGACGAGACGCGCAGCCATATGCAAGAAATGATTAAGACGACTCCCAGTATTCAACAATCACAAAGTGCTGAGGCTTGATCCAGGGGTTGATCACGAAGACCTTCTGTAGTGTGGCGCTGCGGTATGAGGCTCTTGTTGAATCTCAGGCATCTCGACAAAAGCTCAATGCGACGCAACGTCTGACGACTGAACAAACTCCTGTCAAACTCCTGTCACTCGACACGCAGGGACCTCGCAATAGACGTTCCAGAATTATGGTTTGTGCATTCGCGTATTGCACGCGAAATGGTGTGCGAGAAGTTCATGCGCGCACGCACACACACATCGTCTCTACAAATTTCATAATTCTGCAGTCTTCAACGCTCAAGGCACACCTTCCATACTAGGCAAGTACCTCAGTCCGCGTTCGAAAGAAATGCTTATTGCGTCTGTTGGTGTTCTGTGAAGCTTTCATTTACCCACAATCCTGCATCTCGCGAGTCAAAATCCTTCTTCCTTGCAATTCCACGTACGAATCCACGAAGCACATCTCACCTTCACAACCACTCGCTATGGAGTCAGATGGAATGCGATATCGACTCACACACCTGCATTCATATTTTCTATAAGCATCGTCGATAATTTTCCATCGGCTGAATTCCGCCACTACGTTCACTTTTCATGAGGATTCCCCTCTGAAATATATACAGCATGCACGATCAGTCCCGGGCGCATTACCCATTACAGGCAAATAGATTCTGTCCTCGAAGACGTTTGCATTGGGTTTCACGCCAACCCTCGCTAGAAGCGGGACTGCGATAGCTTCATACTCTTGGCGATTCATCGCCGGTTTCATCCTGGCAGCTTGACCGTCCTGGGCGCTAAACCCGGCACCAGGTTCCAACCTCTTGTTTCAAGTCTTCCGCATCGCGCTTGCAATTGCTCCCAGGAATCGCATGTTCAGGCTACGCGCCAGCGGCATTGCGGAAGAAACGGGAAGTCAAACAAGAAGGATGGTACCCCTGGGTGTGGGTCGCTGCAAGGCGCACATGCATACATCTTGACTGAGGACGCTGCTGCTTTCTGCTCTCCAGCTGCGCTCGCATATTCTCTTCGACTGGTTTCTGGAAGCCGACTTTTAACACAACACATTCGCCATGATGCAACCACAACACAGCTACGCTCAGGTGGATCACCGTGAACACCATGACGACGATTCATCCACAGAGGTGGAGTCCTTAGTAGGAGCAGACAAGGGATGGACCCATGGAGAATTTCAACACACATCACAACGGACAAATAGACGGATATTATGTCCTCCGCTTGTGGCCGCCCTTCGATGGGTGCTCATAATAGGACTTCAACTTATCATCATCGGGCTGCTAGCAAGAGACCAAGGGCTATTGGACTCAACGCGATTCCGAGGTCTCTCGACAAGTGCCAACGACCCCGGCGGCGATATCACCGGCTGGTCACCACACAGTAAGCCGCACCATTTCCGATAGCAATCGACGTTCTAACCCTCCGCAGTCCCAACACAAATCACAACCTTCAAAATCAACCAAACCTTCGCCCCCTACAACACGTCCGAATTCTTCCAGCCCGAAGTCCTGCGCGCCTGGAACGAGTTGCTCCCAAAGGGCATGGGCTTCCAATCCATCCCCGACCCCTCGCTCTACCACGACCTGCCCACCCCCATAATCTGGCCCAACGCCACCGTCTACACAACCTCCATGACGCACCAGCTGCACTGCCTGTACGCCGTCGTCGCCGTCTACTCCGGCCTCACATCCAACCACACCCTCGAAGACGACCACCACTGGCACATGATCCACTGCTTCGATTACATGCGTCAGGCGATCCTGTGCAGCGCGGATATGGCGCTCGAGGGGCTTGAAACGACGTTTCCGGACCATAATGGAGGCAGTGATGGCTGGGATAGTAAGCATGTTTGCAAGGATCCGAGGGCGGTGAGGGAAAGGTTGGAGAGTGTGCGGGCGTATGATGATCAGGAGATTTTTTAGGGGCGAGTATGGCGTTGGGGGTGGTGCAGTGAGAAATTGAAACGTTTTTGAAGAGCCTGGGAGGGTGCGAAGATAGTTTGAGTGAGGTGTGAATGAAAATTTATGTGTATGCTAGCTGGCTACATAGGTCGAATCGACGCTGCAATACAGTGTATATAGCGACGAGTTATTCCGGCGTGAGGACTAACATCGCAATCACTCGTGCGTGCGTTGCGTATTGGTCTCCAGCTTTGCAAGAAATATCTACAGATTTGATCCTGAAATCCTTTCGCTTCGAATTTGAGTACGATCGCAATAGCTTGCCTTGCATTCGCATAAGTGGGCGATACACTGCATCCCACCCCAACCCCAGCAGGAATTAAAAATCGCTGGATCTTCCAGCCGCGAAGGAACAGTGTGCATGCGCGCGTAGATGAAGTACTTGGTGACGCTGCGCTCTCTTTTGCTAGCTTGGCTTGAGGAAAGCAGGAGCCGGGTTCCAAGGAGCTATGTATTAGGCTGGCAGATGGAGACGTTGTTCCTCGGGGAGGGTGTCAGGCGATTTCAGCGAAGTGCGAGTGAGACTTGATAGATATGCGAAATGGCTATATGAGTCGGACCGATGCTAGGGTGCAGGGTGTTGGAGGGCGGGTTATTCCAGGGTGAGCTAACCACTTCTGTGTGATTTAGGTATCAGTGTATAGCGTGCACGAACACATGTCAGGTTTGGCGAAAATCTTGGTTGTGCTGGTGTTGTTGTAGCTACTAAAATACCTTATCATACTGTGTACTAGATGTCCGTTCAAGAGCTGAAAACCTCGCATCACCACGTAATCTTGAAATCTGGGTATTTCTTTGGTCACGTGCCCAGCACCTGGCCGACACATACGACTTGCATAACGGTAACCATAAATTCCTGTAAGCATCACACGAGTTGAGCTCATGTTCATGACTTACGTGGCTGTGGTGGCGAACACATCTGTGCGCTTCGCCTCAGTGCATAGAAGCAGACAAACTGACAACATTACGCTCGACACAGCGATCACCCCTAGTCTTGCATTCAGCCCTTCAAGCTTGGACAGCATGACAAGGGACAGTACAGGCATCACCGAAGTAATGAAGCTCGTAATCCAAAACCTCAGGTTGAGAATAGTCGCATCTCTCACCGTGATCAAACCATACCCCGGATCAGGCTTTGCCCACGACCCACATCCCGATTTTCCCACGAGTGGCGCCGATATCGAAGATGCCAGGTAGGAAAACGTGTCGGGAGCTTCGCGACCTCTCATAACGACGAGTTCCTTGCTGTGACTATCCTCTTCCAGTATCGTGTCCCAGGTGTCCATGTCAAACCCGAAAAGCACGTTCTTGTATTTTATCAAGTCGCGGCACGTGAAGCGCTGCATGTTTGTTATGTTGCATGCATCCGGCGACGCCATCTTGTTGTAAGAGAACGTGATCTACGCCATTTCATCAGCTTCCATGCAGCACACTTCCAGAATGCAAACACGTACTGTATTCCTTCAACCTCTCCCTCAGCCTCATCACAAGATCTCGCTGCGCCACATCCCCAACCCGTTCCGTCGTCGCATGCTTCAAACAATAGAAGTCACTTGCGTAAATATTCTTTTTCCCAACAGTGGACGCGTTGTCCTCCCAGTCTAGCTCTTTGAGGTCTTCTTCGATTTGCGCAAGCCCGCTCTGGAAATAGAGGAGATTCCGAGCGTTTGGGACGCCGAATCTGCGCAACATAGTGGTCTGGGCCCATCCTCGCTGCTATTCTTGGGTAGCCCATGACGTATTTGTTGAGCGGGTGGGCACTTTTGACGGCTTCGTTGGAGACTGAAGGCTAAAAGGGGCTTGTGGAAGCATGTATCGGTGTGGATGGCTTCTCTGGAGGTGATGTCGTTGAATGCGACTGCCCCAGTGCAGTGGGTGGCATCTCTGGTGAAAAATTTGGCGCTTCAACACCATCTACTCGTGGCGAATGTATCGGAAGAGTGGTGACAGGAATCGCGAGGGCTCCCATGGTGCTTTAAATGTGCGAGTCTTGGAGGTTTACAACATCACCAGGCGCGCCTCAAACTTTTTATGGCTGTCGTTGCACTTATTTACAGCCGTTACTGCTGCATCAAGAGAGCGTGTCAGCTTCCATCGCTCTGCATGGACCAGATATTGGCGTTACACGCGTGCTTTGTTCACATGACGATCGCGCTGTCAGTGTGGGTTCCGTCACACTTCAAGAATTTCACGCTCGACAATCGCGAAGCAAGGAACATGCCTCCATAAGGGCCAAGATACCACGGGATGTGAAAGAAGGGGCTCGAGGAAAGAGCCAGGAGGCTCTCAATGAGTAACTACCATGTTCTGCTGCCGTGGAGATGCATCGAAGCCGTACACGGCTGTCACAGAATAAATACTCCACTTCCATCCATTCATCGAAGTCCACCGCGCAGAGCCACAACCAGACCTCATCCTACAAATCTAAGCTCCATCTGGTCCCAATCCAGCCTCCGTGTCAAGATGCACTTTTCCCGCTCAATGTCCTTCGCGCCACACCTTTCACAGTCATTCACCTGCCCCCTCGTGGAATGATACCTGAAGCACTCCCCATCATCGTGAAACCACCCGCCCTCCTGTGTCCTTCCAAAGATGAAACTCTCCCCATCATCCTCGTCCTCAGGTCTGACAATCACATGGTCAGCGCAGTATCCACACGTGCGACTATAGTTCATTCCATCTGCCATTCCGCTGATCCAAGACATGTGGCTGCACTCCAACACGCCGCAGATTGAATTCTGTGTTCGTATTCCGGGATTCACGCGCTCGCATTCACAGCATGACCATATGCAGGAGGCCTCAGGAGGCGGCGGTCCAGGTGGTGGCATTGACTGTTGAAGGGCGCGAGGCCCGGGGTCTGAGTCGTTGGAGCCATCCTGGAAGGTGACGTTTTTCTTTGGACGGCCTGGCTTTTTGTGAGGGCCGAACTTTTTTAACTTGGGCGCTCTTGGGGTTGACACGGTGCTTCTGGCGGGGACGTGACGGTACGATGTGGCGGTACGTAGGTATTTCACTGTTATCAATATTTATCTGCTTGCTGACTTGATCAGTTTGTCGAGACTAACGGGTTGCAAAAGGCACGTGGGCGCGCACAATCAAGTCTTGGTGTGAAACTACAAAGTTTGTGTCCTGGTTCATATAGTTGTATCACGCGGATGATTGTGAAATCGTATGGCCGCTTGATGCCCTGAGGATGACGAGTTACTCCTTTGAAGCCACCCCAGGTTTGAAAGATAGGAGATGGGAGATCGCGATCCATGGTGCGTAATTTTGAACACCTGTGCAGTTGGCACTGTGTGCCCAAATCACGGAGCGACTGCCAGGAGACTACAACATCATTCTGAATCTAATTTTGGGTCAATTTGAGCTATGATGGCGAATACGTCAGTCTATCGCTTGCTACTGGATGTTGCAATTCATACTGACACCACCCCGACAGCACGCGATTCAATTGAAAGATAAATACCCACTAAGCCTCCAGAGGTTCCATCGAGAGTGCGAGGAGACTGACCCAGCCCATATGCAACCAAATCGTCCTCACCGCAACATCGAACCTCGCTTGCTATTCGACCACCAAAGCGAGCTTGAAGTATCCAGGGTCGGGAAAGTCGCAGAGGCACCCCCAGGTCATGCATCTAAGACAGACATAATTCCAGGAGGGCTCCTCATCATCAGTAGGGGATTTCGACGATACGTTCCCACCATTCTCCAATTTGTCCGCCCCCGTAAGGAAAAGAGTATCACATCGTAGCAGTCAGAACAAGCCTCGGGGCAGTCGAGAGTCATTGACGGTAAAATGTTTGCATTTGTCGCAGATCAGATCTTTGTCAGGCGGGACGAAGTCCCGCGATGGTATTTGAGGCAAGGAGAGGTGGGCAATGAGCTTCCGGCGGCGGGGGGTGTTCTTCCGCAGCACACCCAGCCCTTTTTCTTGGGCGGCAAGGTCTGCTTGGATTTTCCTCTCTTTCTTCGAAAAGCATGGGTTGGGTCTTTGGTTTCTCCTCGGCTGTGGTCTCATTAGCGGTATTCGAGGTTTGGGGCTAATTCAAACAGTACCGAAAGTCTCTTGCTGGCTGCGCGATTCCGACATATTGAGGTATACCGTGGGAGGTTTTGGTCTTCTCTTTGCAAGTGTTTCCTTCCTAGTCTTGGAGTACGTTTTATGCTTGAATAAACGCAGGGAAGGTGAAGGCTATCTTGTGCTTACCATCGTCAAGGTTTTATACGGCCTTCACACCATAGATTGCTACGTTGTTTAGTTGCTGAGTTGCTTGTCTTCCCGCGTGATGGTTTTCAAGCAAGCCAACGATGACTGAAAGGATCTCGGCATCTATATGGTGCTTTCTGAGGGAGCTTGATGAGACTTCGGGGCATCGTGGCAGATTCAACGCCTATTTGGGTCAATTTCTGCTCAACGTGAGATGTGGTGTACCTCCAGGGATCTGCTTCATGGCCAACGAGTAAGAAGGGAATTTTAGACTCATCATGAATTTTGTTATTGAAAAGCTTTGAAGAACTGTTAAGGCCTCCGTCAATGAGATTCTGTAGAGTTTCCAACCATGTCCGTGAGTTCACCAAGCCATTTCCATCCATCCATGTCGCAAAACTAAGCGTCTACGCCAGCAACTACTCAGAGAGTGTCGTCACTCGGCACGTACCGGCCCATTCAGTGACGGATCCGCAACTGGTGCAGTCTTTGTCGGAATGAATGTCCAAGAAGTGCCGCTTGCAGGCTTCACAGAACCACCCGTGCTCGGTCAACGAGCTGCGATTCAAGATATGATTCATGGCGTCTAACATATCCTGGGGTAAGATACGAACAAGCCAGCAGTCAGTACACTTGGAGTGGCCGCACCCATCGCCTGTTGGTTGACAGGTTGTCTTCGTCGTCGCAGTTTCGTCCATGCAATGACACGGTTCTTGGCAACAAACCCAGCCCGATTCCAACAGGGTCGCATCGATTTTCTGCTTGTCTTCTGCGGTGGCAGCGTTTTGATTAGTAATCTTGGTAGTTTTGTCGCCCTTCTTAGGGGCTGTGCCCCGTGTTCCAGACTTGTTGCCGAGCATAGTGCTCTTGGCGATGGCAGCTGTTGAACTGAGTTTGGAAGCCATAGGAGAGTTCTGATATGACAAGATATCTCCAGGCACTCTGAGATGAAGATATATAGACTTTTAGGTTCACGCTTGCTACCTTGGTCATGCGAAGTCTGGTCTATTGCTGTCATGACAGCAGATGTAATCATGCTATAGCATTACTACCCACGTGAGAGATTGATTGTCAGGATTATTCACAGAAAAGCAATTGAAGAGACACGATAGACCGCTGCATTTTATTTCTGCATATGTTCAAATGGTATGTGTACACTGCGCTGGACTCCTGCATTATTAGCAAACAGTGACGATTGAGTTGGTGATCAGCTCAGAACAACAGCACGATGTAAAGAAAGTATGCTTTTCGATACTTAAGCACCGTGCTGTGTCGGACACGCCAATCTTTACGAAGATGGAAGAAAAAAACACAGTTGGCGTGAATTACACTACATTGACAGATATAGCGCCATGAATTAGTCTAACTAGGTAGATAAGATCCTGCTTTTATGTTTAAAACAAATTTCCAGGTAGGACAAGTCAAGTGAAGTGAAATCTTGTCAGTATCAGCAGCATACACTCTTCGTAGCTGGTGTTCGTAGAGGCCGGTGGCATCTTGAAGAGGCCAGTCTTGTCGAGAATAAGGCTGCTCGTGCGATACTGTAGACGCACCCCATTCGTTCCGAGCATCATGCACGTGGAACAAAGCTCAAGTCGTGGAACGTGGCGCGCGGACCTTTTGATCGAATCCAACGGCATCGATCTAGGAGCACAGACCGTAGCGCCTCGCACGACACCTTGTGCTTAAAAAGCTTGTGCTTGACTAGTCTATATGATGAGTCCTGATCGCACTGTTAGTCCTCTTACGTTCAATCTTCCACAGTTGCCCATCATGCTCGAGAAGGCTCTGCTTGCACTTAAGATCGCCAAGAACAATAACCGAATACCTTTTTCAGAAAGCTGGAAGAATCATCCTATTGGCTATCCACGTCTGGCGGAACGTATCGGTGTCAAGCCTGAAACTGGCATATATCGGCGCTTCGATGCACTCAATGCGCGCCACCTTCTATATCTCCAAGCAGAACTCTGCGATATCGAAAGCGCCCTTCGCGCTCGGGAAAACGCAGACCATGGAGATAAAAGAGGCAAACGGTCGCAATATGCAACGGACTATCGATGCTTTCTGGAAGAGCCGAGCGATATGGATATGCCGCAGCTCCGGCTTATCAACAGAATGCACGCAAAACTGCATCAGTACAGTAAGTGTACAGCCATCCAAACCATCCAAAAGAGTGCATAGTGCTAAAGACATTGCCAGACGAAGCTCTGCTTGAAGTATCATTGCTGCATCAGCTCGAGGCACCTGACCAATTCGACCTCAACGACGTTCAATTCTTCCTCAGTAGTGATGATATGGGCCCGAACGAGATGAAAGGACGAGATTCCACTAGTTGGGGCGACTGTGATACACCTACCGACCACCCACCAGATCTTATCGCGGTACATCCGAGGAAGAAAGAAGACCTTTTCTCTCACATAGTTGCTGAGAAGGGTGTGCATCTCTTCAAGTGTGGACTGGGTCGCATCACGAAAGGAAACAAGCATGTCGGGCATCGCATTTATTACGACTCCACTGTCCTGAAGATGACGTTTCTCCTTACCTCCGCCATGGCCGCTTTGATACCTATAGCTTCAATCCTTGTGCTGGTCCGTGTCAAAACGCTGAATACACAGTTGTGGATAATTGCAGCTTTCAATATTCTGATTAGCGTCTGTCTAACGTTCTTTACGGAGGCGAAGCGAACAGATGTCTTCGCCGTGAATGCTGCGTAAGCACTCCTGACTCTCCGACTGAGACGGCTGCTGACTGGACAGGTTCGCTGCTGTGCAGGTTGTTTTTATCCAAGGGCAAGGTCAAGGTCAAAATTAGGGACATATTGCAACAGCTTCAAGCGCGTAGGGTTTGAAGTTCAGGGGTGCCTGTTATTACACCAAAATTCCAATGACTCAAGAAGGAACATGATATCACACTGTGCGAGATACAATGATTTAACCAGTTGTGTCTCGTAAAATTTGGAAGACTTTTCGTCATCGTAATGTGGAAGTGAGGCCCGTCGATGTGTACTCTACTGCAAGTCACGCATCCTTTAAGTACACCTATCCATGATCTCAGGAATATGCAATAGAATGGAACGATAAGTAACCAATGTGACCGAAAAATACGTCAAAATTATAATAGATGTGTGTGTACTGACACGAACACCAACTCGTACCTCGCTCCCCCTTCCCCTCAAAACCAGTATGAGCATCCTGTATTCCGTGATAAAGCCTGAATAAGCTAAAGGATTATCAAAGCAGACCGCTTATCTTCCGACTGGCTAGTCACACAACGGCAATCGTTCCATGTGTTGCAACCTACGCAAAGAGGTGCCCATGATGGATTATGATTGTTAGGAAGCGTTTCAGAAATTAGACCGGGCATGGCTGCTCTATCCACATGACGCGGGAAGACGGCTATCTTCCAACAAAAGGGGCATGCTCGCGGATCCCGATTGAGATCAATTGTAGGATGATTGCACCGGCCGCATGTCACGTTGCTGGCAGTAGGGCGATCACCTCTGTGGTAAGTCAAGCAGTGAGACTTGGCAGAGTAACTGAAGCAGCATACCCAGCCGCGGATGGAGTCCTTAGCGATCTCCTTGTCCTTTCTCTCTTTCTCATCTCTCTCAATCTTCTCCTCAGACCTTTTGGCACCCTCGCCTGTGGCATTGTCAGCTTCGTTCATGACTGTAGAAGTGATAAAACTTACTCTGTTTCTCAAAATTACTGAATATGCCCGAAGTGTTGGTTTTCTTGTTACCTTTCACAGATGAATTTTTTGGATCCCATGATGATTATGTGTGCTTGGGAAAGAACAGAAGAGCTATAATTCAGTCTAGACTTACATTCACTCACATTATTATACCCCCCAAAGCCACTGATTGCTACCAAGATCAGTTGTTCATCCAGCACAAATCATAAGCTGGGGGCATTCACGCACGCTGGTCTCCAGCAAGCTCACAGCAGACGATTTTCTGACATCTTGACAGCAAGCGTAATGGAGTCAACTGATACGTCTCGTCGCAAAATCGCTAGTGCGTCTGTCAACCGACAGATATGCGCTCCGCCAACTGACGAGTGAAATTATATGTCAAGTTTAAACACTACAGCGATTTGCAGAAAGTGGTGAATAATTCAGACTATGTAGTCATTTTTGGTGTGATTGAAGCCAAATTCCCTTTCGTCTTCTCATGATGAGAAGGCATGAAAAGGTAGCCTGGGTATATTCAAATGCTCTTGCAGAACAAAGTTAGATGTTATACAGCAGGGTAGATATCCACGCTCATTTATAGATTCATAGTTGAGCCCATAGGAACCGGTAGATTAAGTCATGTAGGTTCAGAGCGGGCACGGATTTACCGCGACTGTTTGGTCAGTGTGGTGTTTTTCTTCAGCGCATTGACACAGAAAAGGGTATGGACAGAGGCGGCAAAGCTATGAGAGCCTATCTTGTTCAAGCAAAGACCGCCGCGAATAGGTGTATGAGTTGTGCAAACATGGTAGCTGAGATGAACCTCTCAAATCTATACACTGCTTATTGCACTGAAACTGTCTGATAACTTCAGGGACTTGCAAATGATGAAAGCATATAGCACTTTTCTGTACCACTAAGAGCCGTTGTATGATTTGTGGCTGAGGTCTGCCGTGCACCAATGCACAACTACACTGTCTCGAAGCACAACAGGAGGCGTGATCAATACTCGTGCGATGCTATAATTTTCGATAATATTAGCCAGGATGCGCCATCGGTCTCCCTCCACTATCACCATTCTTCTCAAATCAGTCGAAATGCCTATAGAAAAGACAGGCAGCAATATTCAGGCCGAGAAAGAGGCAGCGATGGTTGAAGCGTGGCGCAGCACCCCGCTCGGATACCCGCGCCTCTCAGAGAGAATGGGGTTGAAGCCCGAGACGCTCATCTTTCGCAAATTCGTCGCGCTCAATGCGCGCATTCTATTGTACATGCAAGCTGAGCTTGTCGACCTCGAACGAGCCTTGCAGAAACAAGAGGAGCGAGATTTGAATGACAAGGATGGGAAACGAAGCCGCTATGCATCAGACTTCAGCTACCTTCTTCTCAGTCACAAGTACGGCGATACAACCCAGCTTCAGCTTGTGAAGAATATTCAAGTGAAGCTTGAAGTATACAGTAAGCCTGACGACCCATCGTAAGGTACTAGAATAAAAACTGACGACCTCTTAGATAAGGCATTGATACAACAGTACAAAGTCAACCAGATTCCTGGACCAGATCGCTTCGACCTCGACGACATGCAAGCCTTACTGATCAGCGATGCAATGGACCGTGGTGTATTAACCGGCAACGACGCCACGATCTGGGGCCACCCCGATACTCCAAATATCCACGCTCCTGACCTGATTGGTTTGTGCCAGCGCGAGGATGTCGATACTTTCTCCAGAATCGTCTCAAGGAACGCGATATTCTTGTTCAACTACGGCCTGGGGCGTATCAAGAAGGCAGACCACCATCTGGGCAACGTGTACTATGGAAGCTCGGTGCTCAACATCACGAAGTGGATAACCTCAATCCTGGCATCTATGCTACCAGTAGCTTCAATCCTGGTGCTGAGTAAGCTGCAGGCTAGAAATACGAAGCTTGGGGTGCTGGTGGCGTTCAATTTCGTTTTCACGGTATGCCTGACAGTGTGTACCAAAGCAAAGAGAGCCGAAGTCTTCGCTATAACCGCAGCGTGAGTTCATCTTTCCCGACGCATTTCGCTGGCTGACACTGAACTAGGTTTGCTGCGGTGCAAGTCGTGTTCATTGGGACTGATAACTCAACGTCACCCGCACCATGTCCGACGAGGCTACCACTTTGATGGTACTGGGCGCCTCCGATGTCTACCTCTGAGCACATGAAATAAGAGCGAGCTGTTCCGTAAAAACATGTCGTGGCCACGTTGCAGGCGCGTACATGGCTGTTGGTGTACTGGCGTTTGAGGAGCAAACGACGGTCATATCTTGACAGCGTCGAATCGAGTGTACCCAACACTATCGCAGACCATGTATGAGTACGCAAAGATGTTATGCCATAAATATTCTCAAAAGTCATGCAGCAAAAGTGATCATTCGGCTTCGTCCGAACTCCAGATCTGCGGGGAGTTGGCACCATACCGCATCGGGTATGGCGCAATGCAATGACGTACACTGCCACGCCGCCCACATGGTGTTCCAGATATGCTTCAGCTGGAAATAGAAACGCCAACACTCAGCAAAGGCCCGACACCATGCATCAGCCTCACCGACTGTCGCGTTTCTTCCCCTCTCATCGTTCTTCCCTTCTTTGTGATACCCCATAATACCCGTCTTCCGTCGCGCTGGTCTGCTTGTTCCCATAGTAATCCTAGTACTCTTTGTTTGCACGTGCAATCACCATCACCTCCACGCGCACACGAACGCTACCAACCCCTTCACACGCCCTTCCACGAGACACGAGATACGTTGCCGGATTCACCGCCAAGCACGCCTAGAGAAGCTTGACGTTCACCCCACGGCGTCACGATGAGCGCAAAACACCACCTCCACACCGCTGCCGCTATACCTCCGCATATCGACCCCGCCCTCATACTCGCCGCACTCCACGACCACAACACCACACTTACACTCCAAGCGCTCACACAGGGCCATGAGAAGCTGCCTTCAACAGACCCCGAGACGCTCAAGGACACGTACTGGTACCCCACCGACATCCACCCCGTCACGTCATACCACGTCACCGAAGTCATAAAGTTCCTGCCCGGTGTGGAGTGGGGGAAAAAGTACATCAAGTTCCCGTCGGTCTTCCAAGATACGCCCACGGGTGTCAGGACGCGGGCTGATGCAAGTGGCGTAATCGTGCGCGCGGAGTTTCGCGTAGTCCGAGGCGGTGCAGCAGCGGAAGTTGAGGGTGAAGGAGCTGGTATTGGAGACGCGGAATGGGTGTTGGTGGAAGATGTCGAGGTCACCTGCGCATGGTGGCTGATGCCATTTGTGAAGGGCAAGATGGAGCAAGCGCATAGAGGCATATGCTCCAAAGTCATGGAGAAAGTGGCGATGGAACAACGACAAAGAGCTGTCGCGGGCGTGGATAGCCCGAATAAGGGGAAGGGAAGGGCGGATACGGCTAAAGATTTGCCTAGTGTGCCGCCGCCGGAATATTCACCAGGGAGCCCGGGGTCGGATGCGCATGCACAGAGGGTTGACACGCCGGCGCAGGTCCCGGAGAAGATTACATATGGGTAGGACGTGCTAAAGACATGGAGATCTGGGGGTTTCACATCACAACGCTGGACGGAGCTCGTCGTAGCGAAATAAATGGGGCAGGGATATACACAAGATCTATCGCTCTAACTCCTGAGCCAGATCGGTGAACGCAGAAAGAGATACGGGATATCCAATGTCATACTGACAGTAAATCGTTCATGATTACAAATTGTGCGATCCGTGCTTGAGTTGACTCTAAACTATTGTGTCATCAGGTGCCGGAATACACCATGCTCGCTGTGCTTGGAGTCAAAGTTCTGTGAGAGAGTACAGTACGGCTTGCATCACCGGGTAGCCTGAGTAGACGCAAGAGCTTACTTGGATGTGATGAAATACTGAAAGAGCTTTGAAGTTTCACAGCCTCAACCCCTTCGTCATTCCATACAGCGCTACTTGGTTTATGATGAGAGGTATGATGTGAGTCGTCACGTGACGACACTCAGGCGTGTGAAACATGGGCATTTTGTAGAGTCAAAGCCAGTCTTCGGAAAAGACTCATCACCACTTGACTGCAAGTGGTAGCAGTCAGATAGGTGCTCTATAAAATGAGTTTCGATAGAGATGGACTTTGTTATAAACACATCCAGTGATCACTTGGTCTTCCACACAAGACAACGCCTCAAGTCACAAAACCATGCCTGACAACAACAAGGGACGCCGAGAAGAACACGCGACCAGTAATCTGGACCCGCAGGCCGGATATCTTCCAGACACGTCAAGTGGAGATCCAGAATTCGATGCCATGTTTGCTGAGGAGCTTATCGAAGTCTATGTGAAGCGAGGAACGGGGGATTTCGAAACGGCTGAACAACTCGAAGCTTCTATCGATCGAGAAGCAACCCATCATATTCTATTGGCCAGCGTATCAGCTGAGCCAAAGTTTAGCGCAACAGGATATAGCTCCAGAGGACCTATAGAGACGGCCAATGGCGCCAAAGCTGTGGAGCCAGCACCAGGCTCCGGTCGAGATCCTACTGATAGGGCCTGGATGACTTTGCGCACAGAGTAAGTTACAAGTTTGGAGAGAAGACGAGCCAAGATACTAATAATCCCAAAGCAGAAGAGGTGACAAGACTACTGAGGCCGATCGACGCGGCCAAAGTTACGTCTGCATCCCATGTGCTTATATGAAGAGGAAGATTGTGTCTAACGAGACAACGAACGACAAATTGTATCCCAATCGCGATGGCAACCTAGACTTAGCGTACTGTCAAGAATGTGAAGCGACGTATCACCTCAAGGGGGGAAGAGGAAAAGCGACCCCGGGATCTCATGGTAACATCTGTACAGGGCTCGTAGAATACAAGGGAGATGATCGTGTCGAGAAGGCACCTTGGATCTGTACTGCCTGTTTGAACTCGCCGGAAGACAAGCGGATACGGTATTGTGTATTTGTAAACAAAGCTGGGACAAAGGAGTGCTATGGTTGTACGAATTTTGCAAAACACATCTGGCCACCCGGCAGGGTTGAAACCGATGCTCATTTTGTTATAGAGGGAACGGGACAACTAATAAAGAGGAAGTAGATCATAAATAAGTTCTAATTAAATCTGGACTTGTTTAAAATTTTCAATGTTAATTTCACAAGTTTTGTACCAGCCTAGCCATACGCTAGAATCGGTGAATGCCTAGTCTATAGCACTGTACAGTGCTTTGAAGCAATTTACGCAAATTGATCGATGAATGAACAGCATTAGCCTCAGTCGTGCCATTTCCAAAAAGGAAGCTATAGCACTTCAAAAGACTCCGCGCAGCTGCATTATACGGAAGACACTGACACGATTACCACCTTTTGAGGGCCAACGAGCTGCAGGGAGAGGTATGATTCTTTACGACAATCATTTTTAGACTCATACGCGCGTCATCATGTCAGGATAAGACACATCGATGTTTGACTCCCAGTGTTTGGAGTCGGCTGTATGCCCTATAAATTGGACGCTGGTAACGATGGCTCTCAGGTTTCACACATTCATTCTTCACTAACTTATACTGTACGAATTCCACACTGTATTGAGTAAATCACCCAAGAATCAGCCATAAGAATGTCTACAACTGAAAACGAAAATGCTGGTGAGCCCCCAGCGCCAGACCAGGAGGTTGAACGAACTGTCAGCTGGGAAGATATGCTTAGAGAAAGCCCCAAAGAACCCGAAAAAGAGATGTTCCAGTATGATAAGGAACAGCAGCTACATTTCATGGCGAACCCTACGACACCCTATGAAACACTGAGTCAAATTGACAAGAGGAAGATCGCAAAAAACAAAGAGATCGAACCTGGCAAGGCAATGACCGCGCCAGCTCCCGAGGACTACTCTAAGAGTGATGCAAGAAGCGTAGGACCGGCATTGACTGATAAGAAAAGTAGCAAGAAGGTGATTGTCAAGTTCATAAGTCAGAAGAAGTATGAGTCCAATCCTTAAGCCTAGAAAAGAGTGTTGACATCTTGCAAGCGAAATTATCGACAAAGACCAAACCCCGGCTGGCCGATATGGCAAAAGCTACATTTGTGTTCCTTGCGGCTATATGAGGGGCAAAATCGTATCCATCGTGCCAGAGCTGGACATGGCGACTCAGCTGTCGAAGGAAGATACTACATTCACGGTTTCTTGTCCAGAATGCTTCGCAACGTACTCCACCAGGTCTGGGAGAGGGAAAGTGTCGCCACAGGCAACAGATACAGATTCTATAACTGGACTGGTAGAACTCAAAGCACAGGGTGCTCAAAGTCGAGGCAAAGCGCCGTGGGTATGTCTTTCTTGCTTGGGCCCGCAGGACGATCCTGAGAATACTGACACTGTACTGCAAATCTTGTATATAAACAATGGAGAGACAGAGAAGTGTGTGGGGTGCACGGAATTGCTAAAGAAGGAAAATCCGGGAGAACTGGTGAAGGGGAATACTCATTTCATCGCACTTGGACAGCGCAGGAAGTATGGACTTTAATAAACAATGCTATAATTTGAACACATCACTACATACATATTTGAAAATGGAGATATGTTGAACTTAGAAGTATTCGCAGCGCTCACATAAAGCTTCCTACGAAATATTGGCCGTTAACAGCACTAGTTGTAGCATGGTAATGAGACCAAAGATTGGCTCTCCATGAGTATTTCAAATTGTCTTGGAATGGTTCTCATTTACTCAAGTATGGCTAAATGACCCCAAAATATAATGTACTATTTCTGGAAAAGCGTCACTCTCCCTCGAAAGAGTCCGAGGAGCTGCACAGCACAGGAAATCTCGATGGGATTACCAACTGTTGCGAGATCAACCGATTGTCTGGTCTAACGCCAATTCGACCACCATTCCGAAATCAGCTGGAACTTTTCGCTCGCAAAGGTCGGTCCATGCGCCCTCAATCCCTTCACGTCCTTCCACTGCGGTCAAAACTTTTACCTTCAGGTTGTCGAACGCTTGCTCTTTGAGACATGTATTCCAAGTTTGATCCGTCTGATGAGAATACTCAGAAGCTCCCTGCGCTTCAATCGCTCGGTCCCGTACGCCACTCGTGTTGACTGAGACCTTCGTACTTGCTGTCGCCATCCTAGCTTGGATGTCCTGCCTCGTGTACACTTTGGCTTCGTAACCGACAGCAACGACGGTAATGTTCGCAACGACATCTGACGCCGAAGCGATCAGTGATTGCAACGTGGCGTCGGATGCGCCGTAGTCGACAATAACAACTCGCGATGGCTTGAACCGCTCAACCCATGACATGGCACTCAAATCTTCGTAAGAAACGTTCTTGACAGGAAGAGAGCTCTCGTACATGGCAAGTGTACTGGGAGCCGACGTAAACTGTAAAAGTGCAAGAGGACCATGTTTCGACACGTCTCGGTTACGTGCAAGCTCCCAGGAGAATGCTCTACCGGTTTTACTCGAGGCCGAGAGACTTATGACAACAGCCGAAGTAAGATCAGCATCGTCCTCGGACCACGGAGCACCGAAGCCGAACGGATGAATGCGTTGCGGCGAGAACACACTTGTGTTGAGTAAGTGCGGACCCTGCCAGAGAGGTTTGCAAAGCGCGGTCATGCGCATGGCGTGTGGATTAGTTCTCGCGACTTGCTCGTAGCAATTATACACCGTCATTTGATTACTTCGATGCGGGCTGCATTCTTTCCAGTGACCCGCAGGCTCGATGGCTTCGAGCCGGAGGTCCACCGTGTGCCTGGAAGTAGGCCATAAGCCCCACAACAGCGATCCTGGAGTTATCGAATCGATGTTGCTATCGAGGACACGGCTGTAACCCCATGCTCCGACAATCCCCCATTCTTCCCGGTTGTTGAAAGGCGCGGGACTATCCTCGGGCACGGGGTAGAGATCCCACCAGTGCAGCGCAGTTCCGGAACGAGCGTAGGTCAGGTTGTTGTATGTCAAGGAGATGAGCAAGGTTTGGACACGAACTGAACCTGAAGCGAGGGCTGAAAGATTTTCTTCGAGACAAAAAACTGCATGTTTTGCATTATCGAGCTTAGAGATGACATGTACTGGCTGTGCCATGTTTAGACGTTGTGGTTGAGACGAAGGTGTATCTGGTAACGACGATAGCAAGACAGCAGAAGGAGACAGCTTTGTTGTTTTTGACGTAGGCGTGATTTGGTGGACATATGATGGTTTACATATAATGGTAGAAGTTTGGAGTCGCTGCATTGTCAGCAGCGAAGGTACCAAGACCTTGTCGCGGGTGGAATTCTGGCAAGGTGGCCTAGTCACCACGCGAAGGATGCATGGCCAATGAACGAACGCGGCAGAAGAAGCTACAGTGCTTGGCGTTCTTATCGAGATAGAGAAAGGGCGCAAACGACCTGGTCATGAATCACGACGTCCTCTCATCTGACCCTGACATGCATTCTTTTAGATTTGGTCATAATCATGAAAGCATCTTCACTCCAAGAATCTACCGGGCCATGCTGTTATCGTATCGTTTCCTGCGTTTATCGTTTCGCCCGCCAATGTGGATGCGACAACCCCCTTGTGCTACGGCTATCATTCAAGAATACAATGCCGGGAGCAACAACGGCATTGATCAAAACAAAAACATATGCCGATCCGACAAGCACGCTAATTAAGCGAATGTCATCAATCTAGCACATCTGGACCAATCAATACCGATGACATCCTCTTCACCACTCAATTTGTCGAGATTGCTTGGAATGACACAGTTTGACGAAAAATGTGGGGCTATTTCATGGTATGAAACTCCCTGCATTTACAGCTTTTGTTGCATCTGGTTCGCACCCAACTCGCTGTTCTTGTCATAACTATTTGGGCTTCCATGGGTGAAGCTCCGGCAGAACCACTTTCATATTACAAAGACATGGTGTCTAAACGGCGCAGATGCGACGAAGAAGAGGAACTATTGGTTGGTAGCAACAAGGAGTTGCGATTCGAGCGTGATGCTGGCGACTCAAGAGCTGGGGCCGAAGAGACCGACATACAAGTTAGTAAGAATGGGAGGGACGAAGAAGCGACATGGCAAAACCTCCCGCATAAGAAGCAGCTCTTGTTAATAGCTCTCTGTCGGTTATCCGCGCCTCTCACAAACACTTGCCTCATACCTTATCTCTTCTTCCTCGTCAAATCTATGATCTCCGAGCCTGAGCAACCTACTGCACCGCAACGTATTTCGCGCCTCACTGGTCTCCTGGTCGCCGCTTTTCCGATCGGACAGATGTTGACAAGCATACTTTGGGGCAGGCTTTCGGACTCGTATGGTCGAAAATCTGCCATAATCCTTGGACTTGGAATGAGTGTGGTCGCGAATGTGGCTTTTGGCTTCTCGCGGACGTTTGGCATGCTGATAGCCTGGCGGGTGATCGCGGGCATGGCCAACGGGACGGAAGGTGTAATGCGAACCATGACTGCGGAAATTGTGAAGGAACAGAAACACCAGCCACGAGCTTTTCTCGCTCCTCCAGTCATATTCAACTCGGGTAGAGTCATCGCATTGGCTGTCGGAGGCTGTCTCGCCAATCCCGTCGACAACTTACCACATCTTTTTGGTCCAGAAGGTGCTTTTAATACGGGAAAGCACCCTGCAGGCGTGAAATGGACGTTACATTATCCTTACGCCCTTCCGGCATTTTTCAATGCTATTGTGCTTGGAGCCTGCCTGTCGGTAGCTGCGATTTGGCTCCGTGAAAGCCTGCCAGCGGAAAACAGTCTATCGAAAAGTGGTTTCGTGACCGCATGGACAAAATATTGCAAGAGTAAGATCTTCTGGCAACCCAGTGTCAGATACACCGTGATTCAGGACAAGGACGAAAGCCTTGGTGAGGTTGTTTCTTCCATGGAAGCGTCTTCGTCAAGCTCCGGGCAAAATCTTAGAGTGCCTTCGATCTGGACGCGACAAGTGTACCACGCTCTTATCACTTTTGCGCTCCTGCCGTTGCACAATGCGACATTCCTGCACATTTTCCCCCTGATGCTAAGTATGCCGATTGTGTACGATCAGAAGCTGAGCGTGTTCCTCTTCAAGGGTGGCCTTGGACTAGCTTCGCCAACTATTGGGCTTTATCTTGCGCTATTCGGAATCGCAAGCATCATAATACAACTCTTCTTGTATCCTTGGCTCCATCAGCGTGTTGGGACTGTAGGCATGTTCCGAATCGCAAGCAGTCTCTTTCCCATCGCGTACATCGCCGCTCCATACCTCGTCTTTTCTGCGAATCAAGGCGTCATCAAGTGGGTCGCAATGGTATCAATTCTCTTCATACAGGTCATGGCTCGCACAATGGCTATCCCGAGTAGCATCCTCCTGCTTACGGACTCCGTACCAAGTCGACATGTGATGGGTTCCATCCACGGTGCAGGTAATACAGTGAGTGCAATGGCAAGCGTATGTGGCCCAGCTATCGGCGGCGTGCTTCTTGCCGAAGGTATCGAGATGGGAGCAATTGGTTTAGTGTGGTGGACTTGGCTATGCGCCATATCGATTGTTGCGTTCGGGTGCAGCTGCTACATGTTGCGGGAGAAGTCAGATGTGGCATCTTTAGGTTCTCAGACGCTTAAACCTTTATCTTAGTTGGTTATAGAGCTAGCTTACGTCGTGCTGTCTTACCAAGGGTACTGAGGCACCCAAGATTTACCCACTGGTCAAGTTTTGCATTGTTCACTGACTTATTGCCTGTTGTAGCTGTCCTGCTCGGTAATTGGCAAGTATATCACTCAACTTAGATAGATCAGTTGATATTCTCTATGAAGCCAGGCCTAGAGCTTGCTGTTATCAATATCTACCTGGAAAACTATTGATAACTCTGGAGTGACCCCAAAGTCCCAAACTTCTGCTCCAATCGAACGAGACTTAAGTCACTTGCAAAAGGACTCATCGTACCATTCTTGGGCATGGCTGCGCGAGTTTGAAAGCTATATTCCTTCCCGCTAGGCACCTTTGCGAATTCAATGCCATTGTAACTTTCGTCGTCAGTAACCGAGTCCTCGCTGACCTTTGCTGAGCGAGACATATAGCCAATGGCTTTGAACATCGATCCAAAGAATGCTGTAACGGTGACGACAGCTACCGTACTGAGTATCGGTCGCAAGGTGGGTAGACAGCATGCAATCAACGCGACATTAACCTCGACAACAGTCCAGAAAAGCCCATGAGAAGTTATGCCTACTATGTCGTAAATTGGCATGCCCATTATGAGTTCTTCTCTAACGGCATCTGCACCGATGTTAGAATGGCTTTAGGACTGAACGCACGTGGAGAGTAACTGACTAGATGGTGTATTTTGCTTGATGCAAATGACCATGCGAACAGTTGCCGCTGAGAGAGCGAATCCGCCGAGTAAGAACACGCCGAACACCTGAGCCTTGCGAGCCGAAGGTAATTTCAGTGCCCATATCTTCCACTCAAGTCAATTATGTCCTCAGTATGAAGTTCGAAACAGACTTACACAAGGCAATGGCAGTATCAGAATGCACAAGTCGAGGACGGCGTCAAGGACTGTAAAGATGATGGTCGGCAGAAAGCCAAACGGACAGTGTTCGCTGATGCCGGCGAGCGATCCCCAATTAGCCGAAAAGTTTAGTCGACAGGTAAAGACAAAACCGAAAAAGAATGCCAGCATCCATCCGATAGTGATGATTATGAAAATTGTGGAAATAGTGGTGAAACTTCCAATACTGAATATTCGGCGGTAGAAGAATAGGACAGACAGTTTCATAAAACCGAGCGCGAGGGGCTGCATTATGAAGATGATGTACACAAGCTGAGACTAGTTAGAAGATTTATCATATGTTTGAAGACGTGATTTTCACCTTCTCTAAAATGACGAGGTCGGGTGTGGTTGTTGTCATCCAGCTCTCGGCGTTGGAAGCCAAATTATGGCTCCCAATAATCCTTTTCCTCGTTCCTGGGGAAATGGTCAGCCAATGCTAATCTCGCTGCATATATATTGTTGATCTTACCATAGATTAGGGCAACCGTCGTGCCAATACAGGGTATCAGGGCCAGGACACAGAGTACGTCATCTAGATGTGTCTGCCAGAATGTGTGTCCAGGCTTGATTTGAGTCCTCCATCGTATGAATACCCTCAATGAGACGGCGAGTATCGATAGGGCTAGAAGTGACACGCTGACAGCAAAGCACGAAGTGACATTGATGTATGTGTACCCCATGTTGGTCGTCGTCGTCGGCTTGTTGCACGATCGATCAGTGAGCTACGCACGTTGCAGGCAGATCAGCAGATATATTCGGGACAAGCATGATCACCCTTCCCGAGAAAGACTTAAATCGGTCGGGTCTGCCGCTCAGGTGTCGATGTACAGCATAATAACCGAACTTGCAGGCTTGTGCCTGTCACACCATGTTAGCGCAAATTTCCTACCGACTCGTACAACGACTCGCTTCATCTTACAAATAACGGAATGCGGAAGCGAAAATGCGCCAGCTACAACAGTTCCGTAAAGAACCATGATTTGCAACTACCAACTGGTTCGTAGACATAGTGAACGAACTAGCCTCGAAGACCGAATAATTTTGAAAAATCGCAACAAAGAAAAAATTCTCATTACCGGATAACTCAAGACATCTTCTCATTTTGACATATAGCGAAAGGGTAATTGCAGGGTTTCATGGTGTTCTGGAAATTTTAGTGAAGAATTAACGTTTTGCCGTGAGCGCCATTTTAGTGCTGTGACTGCCCAGGTGGATCCAAGAATAGGGTTCGTGGCTGGCTAGTCGACGATCCAAAACGACGGTCTGGGCCAATCGTGCATCCCCGTTGATCTTCTCGCCCATAAGTCTTCAAAGTCTTCGAAGGCCGGTATGATGACATATTGGCAGAATCGCTGCCCAAATTTCTGAAAATGAACCAGGCATTCGAACGCCAATTACCAATCCACATCCATACCATGGAGCCTCGATATAAGCCTCTTCCGATGCACGAACGGACAACAGACCAGGCCCTTACTTCGCGCCCAAAGTTGTTCCGCAGCTTTTGGATCATACCCCTTACGGTAGTCACGCTTTTCAACATTGCCATCTTGTTCGTCTCATTATACGTATTACGCGCTGCAGGTCGGCTTGACAGCTCTGCTTCTACTCATAACAATATCAATTCACTTGCGACAAGCCTGCCCATCGCTACAACAAATGCGAATGTTGCCGACAACGTGGCCAAAGTGGAACCTTTGCCTGTCGACTATGTTGCCTTTCACTGGGACACGCCATGGGGAAGTCGCAACGTCACGGAAGCGGATCAATTGTGGGAGAAAATGAACACAGCGCACGGCCATATTGCGATCGATCATGCCTGGGCGGCCGTAAACCAAGTAAGCATCTTTTCAAGGATACCGTTTCATTCGAATAACGCAAAGCCATCTAGTGGCCACCCTCAATGGACGTCCCCGGCAAACCGGGAAAGGGTCTGTACCTCCTGCAGGCCTATCATCAACTTCACTGTCTTGTACGTGCATGCCTATGCGATCCCATCAACATGGGACATATTCCAACTGGGCGTAGTTGACATCTCTTGCCAGCGTGTGATCCGCTCCGTTTTTCTCTCCATGTACCGTCAAACTCTTCCCGATTATCCCATCCATCATGCTCATCACTGCTTCGATGCAATCCGCCAGCACATCATGTGCAATGCTGACAACACACCGTTGTATGGCCACGGTGACGGCACATCTGGAGATGGCCAGATGCATCAGTGTAAGAGCTGGACTGCACTACGGAATTATGCGACACGAAATTCAGCATGCTTCCGAGATGGTAAGCCAGGTATGACTCTAGAGGATCGATTTGGGGTATGTGACGATGGGACTGATGGGCTCGAAGAAGAGATTTTCGCTCGTGAAGATTGAGTTGTCGTTTGCCTCAGGTTACAGAGACAAGAACAGGCATGGATGTTTGAAGAAGTCATGCGTTTCTCTGCCCATAATGACTAGACATAAAAGTTAAATGCATAATCTTCAGTCTTCATGACATCGTACCTTATACTCAAGATCCGCATTTGTAAGTGGGCGGCTGCAGTCGACTGTGGAGGTACTGTTCGATGCCAGCTTCAACTTTTGATGAGAGTCTAGGAAGACACAAAAGTAACGCAAATAGCTTGATTATAGTCATACGCAGATGCAGATCAGTAGACCTGTGATTCATAACGTGGTCTTCCCTTTGAGTTTTGCCGTTGGTATGGGACACGCCATTTCCCGGCTGAACATCCTTTTCCAGCATCAATTGAAAGCATCATGGGTGCCGGGTTTTCAACTTTAGTACCAAGACTACACCGAAAGCCCGGTAATTGGGCTTGGTTGTTATTGTTCGGTCCGAGCAATGCGAAACTAGAACCAATGCCATATCTACTTGACAGGACTTTCGGGACTTCCCTAATGTCGCTTGTCAGGCAGCCTATCAGTGAAGGGGGAAGCTCGGGAGAGCGCAGAGTCAGTCGAGAGCGGTTCCAGGCTCGCACTGCTCATGAGATAATTACTCTCCAAACACGAGCCTCAGCTATACCGGAGTCAGGCTTCTCGCACTTGGGCGACGGGAGGCTGAATAGAAGGTGAACTTAGTTAAGGGGCTCCGGAGCTACCATGGTTGATACCCAAAACCAAAGACATCACTGCACCCAAGGGCTCATCTCGCGACAATGAGATATGGACTTGATGATGTTACTTCTCCAGAGAACAACGGTCACCTGGATCGTTGGAAGGGATGTTTGCGATCCGCGTCGATCATCATTGTAAGAAGGCTAGGCTCAGCGGTCCCGATGGTCGGGAGGATCGCGCCCCACAGCTACCGCTACCTTTAGCTCCATTAGACTGAAAGTCTAGCCTCTTTGACGTCATCTGCCGTACCTGCCGAGCATTCTCATTTCCGTCCTGCTGGTTGATGACAGCAAACCTTATCCCACTCGAAATTTGACCTCGGAAAGTATATTTCTACGCCACAGGGGCCTCGAGACCACGGGTTCTAGCCAGATGAGAACAACATCCATGATTGAGCCTCAGCTGCCGTTGCCCGATGGCATCTTCAGAACACCCTAACTCGATACAAATTCTATTCCGTGAGGTTGTCATCCCGAGTAGGTCTGTGCAGAGGAGTAACTGCCGGGTGCCGTGTCTTTCATCGCGATTCTGGACGGGTGCATGTTTCAGAGAACATGCCATACTTCTTGGTCTCACCTGACTTTGCTTCGCTTGCTGCCAGCTCGGTGAATGGATGCCAGCTTGGACCTGTGCTAAATTTGAGGACAGGGGACATGCTGCAATACCTCAAGGCTGGGCGAGCAGTGCTCAGAAATCGCAGCCCAACATGCAGGGATCTCATGCTTCCAGCCTCGGGATCGGAAACAAAGAGACGATACCATGGGGCGTTGTACATAGACTAGCAATGCCTCTCTATATGGAAGAGAGCACCCTCGACACTTGCAGCATCAACTTCACTTTGGGTAGCTCCGCTTCCCGTCCGTTCATTGTACAAAGCAGCATCGATCCACGCCCGAGTATCCCTTTTCACGGCCAACGTAGCGATTTACTATGAAGTTCTTCATTCTTTTCGTCATGGCGAGCGGATTCGCAGCAGCAGCGCCTTTATTCGACCATCCAAAAGCCCCGGCTGCTGCAGACCTAAAGTCGACCCCGATGCCAACTCCCAACTCACTGCCAGGCGTTCCCTCTTTTGTTGGAATGGACGGTCAGCCAGGTGGTCTTCTCAGTGGTAAAAAAGGCTCCGCATCTCCAGTATCCATCATGGCCAAACCCTCTGTTACAAAGGCACCCGAGTACACGCGTACATATGCCACGGCTTTTCCTAGTACCTTCTCAGCTCCGGTACAGGGCACTGGCCTGTTATCACTCAAGAACCTTCCTGCGCTACCTCCTGTTATTGACAAGACGGTCTCTGGTGTCCTTGGCGCTGCCTATGGCTTAAGTATGTCCCCAGTGCCTCGCTGTAGTCCAATAACTTTGCTAATGGCTACAAGTGTCTGGAATATGCAACGAGGAACACAAATGTACAATAACCATGGCTGGCTCGCTCGATTCCCTGTTGGTTGACGGAGACAAGTACTCTGCCGCAACGACCATCAGCGGCTGGTGCGATGCCGGTCACTGTTATGGCTCAGCGAACCCAACTGTCAACGCGACCGCGCCGTTCGAGATTACATGTGATAAATTAACGGGAACTACTGCTTGCTCCGCAACTCTTGCAGGAGCAGCTGAGGCTATCTTTGTCAACGGAAACGCGCTTGGTAAATATGATCCTACATTACGATTCTGCACACCTTCACACCTGTACTAATAAGAACTAGAGCTTTGGGGATGGCTCACACCTTCCGGATACTGCAAAGGCGGCATCTGTACAGCCTCGATCGAGGCCTTTGGCGACCCCATGTACTAAACTACCCAACTATCTGACCAAACATCATACCGGCCATTGCTTGAGTGGAGCTGAGACATCTCTCAACATTGGGGAACCATGCTGCTGGATTTAGCACACGGTTCCCAGTAATAGTCATGAGAGGTGGTACATGAAAGGGCATTTCCTATGTTAGAAACAAAATACCCCGTCCTGGTGACAATAGATCTTACGAAGAAACATACTAATAAATTGACAATCCAAATGAATCAAAATCTGTACATCACATCCGGGTCCTCGCTCGCTTCATAGTCACGTCCATGTAGCCATGTATGTGCAAAAAGTACCAATCCTCAGCGGTTCCACGCAGGTCGAGGAGATTATCTTAAGTTACAATGCTTTTCCAGCTGGTATGTTACGCGAGATAATCCGCAACATAGTGACTCGATTATAACCGATAGCCACAAACCTGTAAATCACTAATCAGCAAACATGATTACATAATTTAGTGAAGGAAAGGCAAAACATTCGCTTGCGCGAAATGTATCCGTAGTGGTTGCCGGATTTGCCAACGCATTAGCAAAAAATCGGGCAAGTAACAATCAGAGACCAACCAACTCTCCTTCAATCAGCCCATTTGCACGAAGCAATTCCGTTGTTCTTTTCAATCAACTCAATCTTGAATTTTTTTTCTCTCTACTGCTCTATTCTGGGCTTACGTGCTCCGAGTACTCCTGCTACCCATCGCCATCCTTAACTTCAGCCTATACGCGTGTGCATTCATCTCGCCGCTTCCAACATCAGTGCTCATCCCCGCACTGTTCTGTCACTTGCTCGTTATCCAGGACCCGACATCTCATCGTATTCTCGCGGTCGGTGTGGGATGTTTCGTTGCCAATTTCTTCGCCGACCACGCGCTCCTTGGCACTGGGCCTTAGTTAATCTGTTGTCTACATATTCTCGTTGGATGCATTCGCCTTATTGTCTCAAATTAGAATTCTCAGGCCACTGGGTATATTTCTTTTCGTCAATTCCTTTTGCCGTTCCCAAGACAAAGCAGGCATACATCAACCACCTTCGTGCCACCAACCGTGCTGCTCTCCTGCTTGAAGTCCCGACTCTGATCTCTGGAGTCATAATAATTTGGCTCACGCGTAGTGGCTACTTCTACACTAGCGCGGAAAACACTTAGCTTATCGTCAGTGCTGTGATTGCGTGGTCAATGTACTCCAACATGTCGCCGTGGCCGTGTACCATTACTTGTACACTGGCGCACAAGCGGCCGATACTGAGCCGGAATCTAGCACGCTTGCCGCTGTTGATTCAGCAGTCGAAGAGTGGCTTGGGACTGTGGAGAAGATTTCAAAAGCTGGAGAGTTATCATTGGATAAGATCGCTAATCTGCCGTTGCCAGATTAGCAGAAGCAGGGGAGTACGAGTCGACGTGGTTGAACACACGGAAGCTGCCACACTGCGTGCCAGAAGATCTCGGGTCACGGAATAAACCGTTTGTTTGCTTTTGGAGCAACGAAGGAGACTTGGCTGTCATATGATGATGGTACAGGGATTGCAGGTTTGCTATTGAGCTTCCAACGTGCAGATTTGTGGCTTGAATGATGATTAATGACCACCACCCTCAAATCTTCGCTCTCAGTTGCTTTGCCTTGTCCTGCCTCTCTGTAACGTCATATATGGCCATCGGAAAACTTCCATCCTCGTCATCCCAAAAACCTTTGTTACCTACCACGCTTCGCTTGTAACTTGCCAAGCCCGTCTTCATCAACGCCTCGACTTGCTTCTGTTCCGGACTTCGCTTTGGCCACTTCTTCAACAATGCGGTGAAGTCATCACCGAAGATAAGAGGAACTTGCATTTTGGATGTGTTCAATAATTGTTCATACACCTCAAGCGTAAGGAAGGGCGAATAGACCAGCGTCGCTGGCGACAAGGTAGATGCTGCTTCGCCCAAGGAATCGGCTGAAGATGTATGTAGAATTTTGATGTCAAGGCTAAGCAAGAACGACTCGTCCAACCGGGTGAACGAAGGATCTTGAGCGTAAACCTCAATTGGCGATCCACAAATTCTGTGCAGGATGTCCCGAACCGACAGCAGGATGACGAGTTGCTTCATTCTCCGACTCTCGCACTTGACAACGGAAAGGCTACCCAGACCAAGAGAGACAATGGTCGTTATGGGCGCTGCTCGAGACCGTGAAATTGCTCGGAGTTGCCGGACGATGGTACGACATAATTCAGAGGCGACGTAGAGATCCTGAAAATCTGCGAGAGTTCTACTCAGTCGTTTGTGTTCGCGAGATGATGACTTGGCTTTTCGTATTTGTTGAGGTGGCTTGGATTGAAGTAGATCCGTGACATCCGTGGCATGCAGCATCTTGCTTTTCCGGAACCAAAAAGTTGCGATGTGGAGGCTGTATTACGGAGAGTGCAAAAGGTCGCTGGACGGAAGAGTCGCAAAGTCTTTAGCACGCTGAGATTTGTTCAATGACTTGGTCTGCATCGATCGTATCCGAATCAGTGTCGAACATATTCATCTGTACCCGAAACTCCTTATAAAAAGCGCCAGATTTTTCAGCTGCGCCCAAGACGTGCGACATTGCTCACGAAGCCGATGGTCACTTCGGTGCTCGCACTTTCACGTTTGCGCAGCCAGGGTGTGTAATCCTTCTGCTGAGAAATCGGGCGTCAATGCGAGCAGTCATACTGTCCGCGGACTCCGTGTGCGTGGCTTCAGTCTCAGCCACTACAAGAATGAGTCAACGAGATAGAACAATTGTTGAAACAGGCGGCAAAGACGTTGAAAAGGGCGGTACCATAGCTTGGCAGAACAAGAAGAGGATCTGGTTGGTCGAGGCAAAGCTTACAACTGTGGCACGGCAGTATCGGCTTATTGTCTCGCCGCAGTATCAACCTGCATGTCTTCGGTGTTTGCTCAGTCGCAAGGCTGACGGCCAAAACGTAGCAAAAACCTGTCCGCTGAGTAATTAAAAGCTTTGAGTATACGCGTCTTAATTGTGAAAAGACGAGTGAAACGGTTCAGGTAGCGGCGCCTGGTTTTCGGACAGCCTACGCTAGTCGAAATGGCGTAAGGCGCGAGATGACGCTGGAGAGAGCGCCCCACATTTTACATTATGCAACAGAGAAAGGAATGTCCTTATAGTCCATACATAGTGTTACTGCATTGCCGAACAGTAGTGGTATCAAGGTCGACGACAATATACCAAAGCCTAGAAGCATAACCACGTTCCGATCCTCTTTCCCGTGCCTTTCCACCCCTTCTGCTCCGGCTCCATATCTTCTTTCGTGTACACATCCGTCTGCAGATCCATCTCGCTCGCTTTGCGCAACTTCGTGCGTTTGAGTAGTTTCCACACAACAATCATGAGCAGAAATACCGGCAACTCAACATAGAAGCTAACGAAGTCGACGGCCCCAAAGCTCGGGCTAAAGGATGTCCAGCCCTGTACCAGTACAATGAAGATGTTGAGCACAATGCAGATCCAGGGGCCCCATGGATATGTCCAGTTGATGAACGGTAGGAGGTGCTCTTTACCTTGAGCTTTGAGACCGGCGCGGAAGCGCAGCGATGCGATACCGATGCAGATCCAGCTCAGTTGATTCGAGACTCCCACGATGTTTTGCAGCCATGTCCAGACTTGACCAGATCCGGCGAACGAGAGCGAGAACAAAACAATTGAGACTAAACTTGTAGTCATGACCGCGACCCATGGCACTTGATAGCGCGTGAGCTTGGTGAAAACTTTTGGGGCATGGCCGTTCGCGCCCAGCGTATACAGGAGTCGAGATCCCGCGTAGAGCAGCATGGTTACCTAAATGCCGATCAGTGGTTTTGCTGGAGTATGCCACAGAAAGTTGAACGAACCGGCAGAAACAACACTGGTCAGAACGACCGCATTGACGAAGGAGCCTGCAGCTTTCGACCCGGCCATTTGGAAAGCAATCGTGAAAGGCGATGTGCGGCTGGACTTGGTGCTGAGGCCGGGATAGTCGTATGGGACGTTGAGGCCGATCATAAGCGCGGACAAGATGTAGAACAACAAGATGCGCCAAAAGACATTCTTAACAACCCGCGGGAGTACTCGCGCGGGGTCGCGCGTCTCTCCAGCTGTAATGGCGATGGACTCTGTCCCGCCGTACGCGAACGAGGCTGTCACGAAAACAGACGCGAAGCCGCCGATGCCTCCAACAAATGGCGCATCGCCTTGTGTCCAAAATTTGCCGCCAATATAGCCATACCCAATGTTTCCGCCGGCGTTGACTGCGATGCTGAGAATAATGAAGATGATGATGGTCACCACTTTTAGCAGACTGAGCCAGTACTCCAACTCACCGTATGCGCGCACATCAATGATGTTGGCGAGGACGATCAGCACCCAGACAATGATGCCGAGTGCATACCAAGGGAAGCTGTCGGTCCAGTACTGTACAAGCAGTTGAAGTGCGACCAGATCGGCTGCAGTCGATACCGCATCATTGAACCAGTAATTCCAAGTCAATGCGAAACCGAATGAATCGTCGACATAGCGTCCAGCAAAAGTGCAGAACGATCCAGCGACTGGTACGAAAGCAGCCATCTCGCCTAGCGCCAGCATAGTCATGAAGACGATAGCCCCAACTATGGCATAGCAGATCAGTAGCGATGCAGGTCCGCCTGTTGCCAGAGCCTTTCCGGTCCCAAGGAATAGTCCAGTCCCGATGGTACCGCCGATGGCTATCATTTGGACTTGTCGCGCCGAGAGCGACCGGCGCAGTCGGTCTTCGTTGACCACATGCAGATGATCAAGAGGCTCCGGTGATGTCGCATTATCGTGAGAGACTTTCTCCGGATCCGTAGATGCCATAATTTCGAGCGCGCAGAGTGATTATCGAGGTGTCTGATTGGAGTCGCGATGACTGCGAAGCATCCGGCTGGGCGGACGGAAGCTTTTCATGGCGGAAGCTTATGCAGCACGGTTGAGATCATGCCGAGATTTTACAGGTTTGGAGATGCATCGGAGCACGCAATCTCTCTGGGATCAGATTGGTTGTGCGCGGGGAATCAAAGGCTGGGTAGCATTTTTCACAGGAAGTATGTCTCCACATGGTTAGACTATTGCCAAATTCAGATTGCGATGACCAACGGGCCAGGGTCTGACATAAGCGTCGCCTTTTCTCGGCTCGCCTAACAACTCCATCGCATCTTTCTTTCCACTTCAACTTGTTCATCGCGACTGCCTCATCTCGATAAGCGAATGATCTGGGAGTGTACATCGAAATCTTGGCACTTTCTCGTCGGTGTCAACTGTTGAGATTCGCGAAGACATGCCTAAGCGGTTGCGCAATACTAATGCTGATTGTCAGCCACGGAGGAAAGTGAGCTCAGACATGTCAAAGCCTGTAGCTATACACAGCATTGATAAATTTTGAACTCGACGGCAAGGCCCTGTGTACAACTTCAGGTCATTGGACAATCTACTCTTGCATCCTGTCACTTTTCAGCATATTTGAGAACCTGCAGCACGCAAATCAACGCAAATCATGTCTACATACCTTTGCTCAGCTCGGATCTGCATGAGCGCCAGGTCTAGCACGCGGTAAGATACAACCTCGAGATCGAGCCATGGACTCTTTGCTGGGCTGTGATCTTCGAATGGAGTCATGGATTCAGAGATCTGGAGATTCGTGACTTCGTCTCCCAAAATCAACATCGAGCATAGATTCCAATCAGAGCGACTGCCCTGAGCCGCAAGAGGGGGATAGTGCCTCGAGACGTTTGTTTGGGCGTGACACTTGGGGTCCCCTGCTTTATAGCAGCCAGCTACTATGCACTGCCAGCCCATGACTGAATGAAGCAGTTGAAACTGTAGGCAGTTGAATACAACCTTTCATGGGGTATGCGCTTCGACTTCTTAACCTTCCCGAAGGTTTTCCCTCTCCGGCCTCTCCGATGACCCTCTTCTATTATACCGTCATGGTGACCATTTTTTCTTCTCTCGCTTCAAGACTGCGCTCGATCATCACATTACTTTCTTTGTGGCGCTGCTCTATTATTTCAAAATCATTGCCGAAGGCTCCATTGCATAATTCGAGCTGCATGCGCGGCGGAGACTTTGGACCATACGTCAATGACCAGAAGAGCTTACTCCTTCGATTCCAGTGCGACCCGGCTTTACCACCTTAATATTCTCGATCATTATGATTTTTTTACTGCTACTGTAAGCCGTTTGAGCTGGTTCGTCTCAGACTTTCGGAAGTGGAGTGCGTAGTGGCCGACAACTGTTTTGCATCCTTTCACGTTCTACCGACATCATCATTCCGTGCGCTTGCGCTTGTCTTCCAAGGCTGGACCTAGCACCTTGTGATTGTTAGAGGCGCAGTATGCGTAGGCACAGTTGACACATCGCGGCATGCACTCCCCCCGCACCCCTGGGAAAGATCGTCAGGTTATTCTCTTGCAAGAGCTAGCTCAAGGATGTTTAGATGACCGGAGTGGACAACCCTGGGCAGTAGCTCTTGTGCAAGAAAAGTATTATGCTAACGCTTTCAGTGAGGTTAGTGCAAATGCAGCAGGGCATCAGCGTATCCTCGGACATCGATGATTGTTCTGCGAGTTTGCTCGTGGCCTGAAGAAAGCATGATTTCGGGCGCGTGGATGGTAGTAACTGTTCCGCGGAGTCATGCCATATCTGACTCCAAAAATATAAGTAAACGAACTGCTGGGCCAGCCTGGCCCAATCGATCATCCCGAAGACTCGCCGGCAATATTCTTGGTTCTGCTGATCACAGCCGTGCGAGCATTTTGCTTTTGTGCTAAACGGATCTTCTCTGAGCCGACCCTGGATCTGGGGAAATCTAGCGGATGAGGCGGCTCCACAATGCGGGGTACGCAGAGCACAACACGAGGTGCAGCTGTCAAGTGTACAGGTACCCGTGAACTTGAGATGCAGGGCCACCCACCAAAGCACCTCAGGTAACATCATCGTCGTCATGGTGCTTGCCTCCCATGTAGAAAGGCATAATTACCTACCGCACTCATTCGGTGTGCAACATTAGGGAAAAACAAGTTCAGTCCTACGTGTTCCTCTGTGTACCCACCTAGGTAATTTTCTTGAAATTGAAACGGGATGGCGGAGTTTTAGCGTTACCACGTTCCGTCACTTAAACTTTCGCTTCAGATGATCCTGCATGGCTGATCCTTCCCTAGCGCGCCGCGGCCACAACTTCAACCGAGGCCCCATTGAGCTGCCTCATAGGCTCTATAAGACGCTCACATGAAGACATCTTGCACACTCTTACACATTTGCTAAAGTCTTACCGGCTCTGACCAACCAGATCAAGGCCTCGGTATACCCTTCCATTGGTTCATTCGGCCTCCTTCACACGCAACTCCAGACGGCCACCCATGTGATGGCTTGGAGTAACTTCGACTTAGAAGTCTTATTTGAGATTTTCTGGGGTAGAAGAAGCAAACACGAGTGTATATAAGGGGTCACGATGTCTTTCCTGGCAGGCATCACCATCGATCAAGCTATTACTTGCGTTTACTTCATTCACAAGGACTCTTACCGAAGATGAAGACTTCCGCCATCAAATTCGCGCTCTTTGCGCTTGCTGGACTTGCGTCTGCCGCTCCTCAGGGCGTGATCGGTTCTCTTCTGGGAGGTGGCAGCAAGCCCATTCCTCCTTCCGATGATCCCTTCTACACACCACCTGCTGGTTTCGAGTCTGCGAAGCCTGGAGCGATTTTGAGGAGCCGGGCAGTTCCCAGTGCTCTTTCGCTATTCCAAACCATTCCTCTCAACCTGAAGGGCGCCTGGCAGCTTCTGTACAGGACTACCGATTCTCTCGGCAACCCTGTAGCCACAGTCACCACTGTGCTCGTGCCAAAGAACGCCAACACCAAGAAATTGCTTTCATACCAGGTTGCCGAGGACAGTGGCGGCGAGATCAACTGCGCGCCATCCTACACCCTTCAGACTGGATCCAACACCACATATGCTGGAACTGGAGGTATTGAAGCAGCACTGATGGCCGCTGCGCTCAACCAAGGTTGGATCGTGAACTCCCCAGACTGGGAGGGCCCCAAATCTACTTTCGTCGCTGGACTTCAAGCTGGTTACGCAACTTTGGATGGTATCCGTGCAGCACTTGCATCTGGATCTACCACTAGCGTCTCGTCCGACGCGAAGGTCCAGATGTGGGGTTACAGTGGCGGTGCTCTTGCTTCCGAGTGGGCCGCCGAGCTCCAGACCAAATATGCCCCGGAGATCCCCTTTGTCGGAATGGCCATTGGTGGCGTGACCCCCAACGTCGAGAATGTCTTTAACACCATCAACAAGGGTCTCTTTGCCGGTCTCAGTGCCGCTGGATTCTTGGGCTTGGGTAATGCTTATCCCGACTTCGGCGCTTTCGTCCAGCAGAGCTTGGTGCCGGAGAAGGCCGATGCCTTCAACCAGGCCGGCCGACAGTGCTTCTACGCCGACGTGAAGACTTATGCTGGCCAGGATATCTTCACATACTTCAAGCAGGGACAGGCCATTTTCAGGGGTAAGTAATCAATATCCTTTCCTGCCAAGCTCCCTATGATATCACACATGCCGCATGCATCTGTCTTCTTCTAAATCTCGTGATGATCATCATGCTAATTTTGACCTAGACCCTATCGCTGAGCGTACCATCAAGGCCGGAGCAACCATGGGTGTTACTGGTACCCCACAGATGCCAATCTTCGTCTACAAGTCTGTGAACGATGAGATCTCGCCCATCGCTGACACCGACAAGCTTGTGCAGCAGTTCTGCAACGCAGGCGTGTCGATCGAGTACGTCCGCGACAACTTTGGCGAGCACTTCACCCAGGCCGCGACCAGCACCGGCGATGTCCTCAACTTCCTGACAGACCGTTTCAACGGTGTTCCGACTTCTGGCTGCAAGACGCGAACTGTATTCAACAACGCTCTTGACCCCGGTGCGCCGGGCACTCTTGGTGTTGCGCTGACTATGGTTCTGCTGAACGCCCTCGGTGTGCCTCTTGGACCCAACCACTTCTAAACGTGCCCATTGTCAGGACGATCCAGAACTGTGATGAGCGCCGGTGTTCAAGCTGAGAGTTTTTCTCTCTCTCAATTCATGAATCAGAGTGGGGAGCCTGTGACCATCCAGTGATTATCTTCCGAACAGGACGCTTCTGTTGTACATTCTTCGATTAAAATAGGTTTCAGATCTTCAATACATACCTTTTTACAAGACGCCTTTCCAACTCAGCTAATTGTTATGCTCTCACGCGATAAAGACTATAAGACTTGTATAAGCGAGGATTGAGTCTATTTTTCCAATCTGCTAGGAAATAAGGAGTAGCTTTACTGCTATCGCACACTGATATAATGACAATTCCTAATGGAATTTATAATTCTTTGCGCGGAACAGCTTATAGTGCATTCCAACAGAGTATTCCCAGGCTCATCCATTGCTATCGTATTGTGGTACACGAAGAAACTACACGAGGCCCTCTTTATTGGGTAGGGAATGGGGACTGAGGAGACTTATTGGAGTCAGGCTTTCAGCAATTAAATCCGACCCGATGACATGAGATTCTTGTTTGCTGTTGCTTTGCTCCAATAATTACAGTCTCGAAGCCCAGCTTGAATTCTCATCCAACACGACGCAACTCAGCCAGCGCGACACCGTACACCTCAAAACTTATGTCTCGTTGCCTAGCTAATCAAGCATGAGGAGGATTTTGCGCTAAGATACCCGCTGCCATGGCTGCAATCCATACATGCTCAAGAACTCAAAGTCCTATTGACCTTGGTCTGGCCATCGATAGCGAACTAACTCAGAGACACGGTTTGTACTGGTGAAAAGCCAAGAGAAGGCAGTGCGTCAAAAAATCGGGATCCAATCATGTTTCTACGCTGCAGTGACTGTAAAGACGTCGAGATGACAGGCAGTAATGAGCATAGGTAAGTATGCGGATACCGACGAGTGCGCGGTGCAGTGAGAGACGGAAGGCTAGGAAATCGATAGGCGGCGAGACAGCTACATCACTCTCAACCGCGTCATACAAGATAACATTGCCACTCCAGCCAGTCTTGAGTATCATGTCAGATTTCCAGTGCGGTCCTCATATTGACTGAGTATATCTAAGCTCTGGACCAAATCACAACCCCGCCAACTGCGGGATAATCCACGAGTAACACAAAGGTCGTTTGGGTATCTATCAAATCTACACTACGCCGCAGCCGGCGTCCCTGCCACCGTCTTTGGCGTCTCCTTGACGCCATCCTTCTTCTTCTCGCCCTTTCTCCTCCTTCGTTCCGGCTTGTACACATCGTTGAAATTGATATTGACAGCCAGCATCTTCAACTCTCCGTCTGGAGAATGCACGAGATCACCAAGCAAGATACTGATCCTATGCCTAAAGTCTTCGACTAGATTGCCCAGACGCTTCTGCAGAGCGGGCAGGACGTCGTCTTCGCTGGATCCATTACCGATTTTGAGCAGGGGTGGTGGGAAGGGCGAGTCGGGATCTTGGTTGCGTGATGGAGCGCGTGAGTGGGAGAAAGGGTCGGGCGAAGAAACGGCGGCGTCGCGTTCGGACAGACCCCAGCGGCCAGCGGCGGTACGTGTCTCAATCTTTGCAACGCGCTCTTGACGGCGGGTGAACTCCGCAACGGAGAAGGAGTACAAGCCATCGACGGCGTCTTTGTATGACAGCATAGTCTTAAGCAGCTCGTGCAGTTGGCCGGTGAAATCGATACTCGAGCTGCCGAGCAGACCTTTGCGCGTGATGTTGTTGAGGTATTTTGCGTGCGCTTCGATCATGTCGTCAAGGGTGCTTTCCGGCTTGTTGAGCGCTTTTTGCAAGTCGATCCAGGATGATTCAATGACTTCGAAGAGAATGTAGTGCTGGAGTTGGCTGACAAAGTGTACCATTTCGGCCATGGCACAGCGCGCTTTCTTCCAATCAGTGCCAACTTTATCCGAGACGGTGCCCAGAACACCACGGGCGCCAGTCGTGCATCGTCGCCATGTTGAGCCGAGAGCGAATTCGACTCGCTTTACGCGCCAGAGGAAGTTGAATACTTTGAGATACTGCTTGGAGCCAAAGGGTGTGACAATGACGTCGACGGGCGCATCGATCTTGTACTCGAGAGTGAAGACGTCCCAGCCAATCTCGCCGTGTGACAATTCCAACATGCGAGAGTCGAGTCGCCGCAGAACATCCGAAGTGTCAAACTGCGCATTCGAGTTGCGCACCGCATGCTCGAGTTGAGCTGTCAAGGTGTGGCGGTATTGTGTATTTGCTGGTCGGTCGAGGTTCGAAGATAGGGACTCCATGAGCACAGCGATAAAGTCACCTGCACCAAGCAACATGTACTGCTTCAGCGCCTGCAAGTGGTCGAAAAGCTTAAACTTGTTGGCCATGAGATCGATCAGGCGCGCCATGGTTGTCTTGTATGCATCGCCAATGGAGCGCTCCAGATTCGCTGTGTCGCCATAGCGCAGCTCTTTCGATGCTTCCTTCGAGTAGGTGTCCACCCATGCAGCATCACCGCAACCATAACGGATGAAGTTCAACGTCTTGCCGATCAGGAAGACCTTTTTCGCGAAGTCTTCAGTCACAATGGTGGGCACCATCTTGTCATTCAGCCGGTACTTGTCTTCCCACACGCTGGTTGCGCCTCCTTTGCCTTCGGTGCCATTCGCCTCCAGAATCTCGTCTTCACTCTGCTCGGAGACGAAGAACTCGCCATAGGGATCTGAGAGCTCGCCGTCATACACCCACTGCCGAAGCATGTCATAAAAAGGTCGCGTGACATCAGACAGTAGGCGCTCAGCAAAGGCCATGACATACGGGTCGCCGTGGTTCAGGGAGAAGGAGTGTATCAGCGCGATTAGCTCGCCGCCCTTTTTCGTCTTCGATTCCTCCACCATCAGGCTCATCAGTCGAAGCCCCATTGTAGGCTCTCGGATCCAGATCATGCATCGCTTCAGTGTGACACCGGCCTTGCTGACGCCCTGATGCGCGGGTCCTTCGCTCAGTTGTGTGAGGGCTCTCCGTATCTGACCCTCCAATGTCGCGACCAGGCCCAGGTATGCCCTCAGCTCTTTCGCCAACGCAGAGCGAAAGCTTTGCCCTATGAGACCGCCATCGGCCGACTCCACGAACTCTGCTAGTCCCCGGTACAGTATTGCGGGCTCAGCCAGGGTGTGTAAGAGACTGATGATGGGTACGGGGAGACTGGGAGGGAGATTGAGCGCAGTCGGTGAAGGGAATATGAGGTTTGTAGAGGACAGTCCCTGGAGAGTGAAGGGCAGGTCGCGCAGTAGAGCCGGCTCTGATGGACCTGTCTCGGGCCGTTCGACATGCCCGGCGTCGGCCTGTTGTTGTTCCTTGGTGGCAGACTGGGGCCGCCGTTCCTTTTTCCTTTCTGGCTTCTCAAGCACGGGAGGCGGGGCTTGCCGCGTGCTTGCCTTTGGTGAGCCAGTATTGACGGGCAGCGTCGTCAAGCCTGGCCGCGCAAAGGCCTCTCTGAAGGCGGGACTGGTGACGGCCGGCGCATTGGAGTGCTTCTTGGAGGGTGTCGTGGGTTCATGAGAGCGGCTGCGCGAGTCACGCGTACGGGGCTGCTCTTGCGGCAGAGGGAGGTCGGAGAGTTCGTGGAGGAAGTACAGCATGCGCCATTTCTGATCCAAAACGGGCTGTGATATGAGGCGTTGCAAGAGGTTGTGGAAGCGTGCTCGGCTCTGCGCGTCACCGTTGCTGGATACTGCAGCGTAATTAGCTTGAAGTCATATGACCTGCCCTTCACCATGACCTACTCCTGCTGTCTATCAAGTCGGCAATGTGGTCGGTGTCTGGGACGAGTGGAGGGTCCCCCGCCGCGCTGAGCGTGTCTATAGCGTATCCAAAAGCCTCGTCGAAGCGCTGATTCGCAATTTCCTCGTCATCGTCGACGTCTTCGGGCACAATGCGCACAATCAGCTCGTTCAACGCGTGTTCGACGCGTTCTCGGTTGAAGGAGGCCATGATGACACGCTGCTCAACTTTCCATCGGGTTGTGTTTGGGTCCTGGTGGGGTCGCGCGCTAGCGCTTTCCGCATTCGAGCTGCTCCAAACACCGTCATCCCAAACACCAACTTCACCTCAGCTCCTTTGGCCCACGCATATCGGGCATCGAGGGATTGGATAGGTACCCGTGATACGTATATCATGCTGGAGATGTGGTCACCACCTTTGCCTCGTCGACCTTCACTTGGCGCTCTCCCAGCGCATTTTAAGCAGCAATTATGCCCAGCGATTACCAGACAATGTAAAGTGCAACTTTGACAATTTCGAAATAAACGCGCACTCCCATCGTTCCCTTCACCTTTACAGCGCGCCTAAAATCTCATCGTAGATTCTTGTGAGTGCTCACCTTCGCAGCCATCGTTCACGCTCTCACTTCGAGCCTCCCGTCAGCTCGTTACGGGCAGGGTAAGTGACGGCAAGCTTTGTCCGCTACTTTAGCCAGTATATATCTCTTTCCAACCACTCTTTCTTCTGCTTCTATACACCCTCCGTTCTCTTTCATCGTCTATCCGTCATGAGCAACCAGGATCGACAGCCCACAGACGACATGGTTGTGGAGAGAGCACCTACCCCATTAACGAGCCCGGGATCGCGTGCCTCTATGATTATGCTCGAAACCCCCGACGACGGCTTGCGACCCCCTTCGCAGGCCCCTATCACCACAAGTCTAGCCATGAATACCTCGCCTGCATTCGAAGTCGTGCGCGAACTCGCAAAGGTCCCCATGGACGTGCCTCTCGAAGAGACCGACAAGTTCAAGCCATATCAGTATGTTTCAATCTTGTAATGTACGCTCAAACTAATTCGCAGACAGGTCTCTGATGAACACAGAGCTTACACTCGAGTATGGTAAGAAGTTGAAGAACAGCAGGGTCATCCACCAGGAAATCTTGTGCTGCCACAGCAGCGGTGCGGCCCGTGTTTTCAAAGAGTCGCAACCACTGCGAAATTCTTATGCAGTGGCGGACAAGTTGCGCAAGGACCTCAAGGATCTCGTCTCCCCGTGCGTGAGCAAAGAGGAATTTGACCAGGAGCACCTCGAGAACAAGGCATGTTGTCTCCTACAGACCAGCATCGAAGCGCGTAATGATCCCTTGGTCACTAACTAAATCCGCAGGCGGTTCCTCTCATTGCAAAGATTCATGGAGAATATCCACTCAAGTCATATCAGCAACGTATTCAAAAGACCATTGACGCTGTTATCGTCGAAGAAGTGGGCAAGCGACACGTAGTCATGACTGGATCAAAGGTGGCGTTCGCCAAAAAAGATCTAAAGGATTTGGGCATAAATCTACGTCTCGAGGCTCTGCAAGCCAAAGGTGTCATGGAAGTCGCGCAGCGTCTTTCGTCCGTTTTACGCGAAGTCAAGCATCATGAAAGAGAGGCCGCGAAGACCAGTACGCAGAAGGCGGCAGCACAACGACGGTTGCTCTTCCCAGATGCTGAGCACCGCGTGGTACTATCTTTGGTGAACTGGATCTACTTCAATGGTCTTTTGCACTATGATGACGCGGAGCATCTGTAAGTTCCGATCATTCGCCACAGTAATACTGCGGCTTTAATGTACACTATGCTGACAATATTTTCACCAAGATACGCACTTCACGGCCTCGCAAATAAACTCGGAGTTTCAGTACTTGCTCAGAAATGCCTGGAGAAACTTGCAGCTGACACCAATATCATGATTGAGGAAGCTTTCCGCCTAGGCATGTCGCTACAAGAACTGCTCGAATCCGAGCCTGTCGCAGGGGACGACCAGACCACATCGCCAGCTCAAAATGTGGTACAGGTGGTCTTTGAACACGTTCTCAGGGAGCCTAAAGCTCCTAAAAAGCTCGTAGACCTCGTCACGTATACTCTGGCGGACCGACTCGACCCAGGCCTGTGGGAGACCCTTGCTCCCCGAATAAACCATGGTACATTACGCCAAATCATGGCCATCATCCTGGTACGACGTCAAGCCAAGACCGAAGACGTCGAGTGTCTTCGCCTCAAGTCAGAAAGCGAGCCTACAGGAGATGAGCTTATGCTGAATGCGCCCACCGAGAACACCACAATCGCAGGTTAAAGGGCGAGGCAGAGATGGCGAATATTACGGCGCACTGGGTCTCGGTGCGAAACGACGCCGAAGACATGTATCACTGCTACAGTGAGCGGTCTCAAGCCGAGTGAATAGCAGCAACACGCGGCAGGCGCATGGCTCACACTTGACATTTTCTTTCTTCATATCATCCATTCATTAGTTTTCTCCTATATATCGGTATCCTAAATCATGCACAAGCCTTCTCAGTCCAATGAGAGACGTTCTGAGAGTTTACAGCAGTCTACTGTTCACGCTGGTTGAGCTCGCAGCTGCGAAACAGGATATTGTCACGGCTAACACGCACAGGGAGACAAGGAGCGAAACGGACGAACCTCAGCAAACTCCAAGCTGGGCAGCTGTTTGCTGATCTAAGTAAGTCGATACCTGTCGTGCTCGGGCGCAGTACCCCGGATCGACATTCTCGGACGACAAATCATTCGGACATAGCCAGAATCGCATGAGGTTGTACAGCGACCATTTTGTGGTTACACGACTCAACAGGATGCATACACCTTCAGCTCCAGACCGGCAACGCTACCGAGACGTCATACCCAGTTGTAGAAGAGATGCATGAACCTGAAAACTCTGTTTGTTTTTGTATCACAGATCGCCCACCTCCTTCCTGCGCACTGACGCCAAACATCCAGACTAGGCTGTTCGTGACGTCCCTTGCGTGCGACAAGCCTGGTTCAGGAGTCCCAGCAACCCGGTCCAAGGCCAGCATGCATCGGCCCACGCCTCAACACGAAGGGACATCAGACCGTCGAGGTCGAACTTCATCTCAATTGAGCTTCACATGCAGCATGATGAAGGAGATCCTCGTTACACGCAAGTCGCTCACTTTCGCGAAGATTCAGTATCGAAAGCTGTCAGCAGCATCACCACTCGATATTCCCACAATGACAGAGGACATTGTCATCATATGGAATTCGAAAACGAGTTACCTCTCGAGCAGCACAGCGTGGACGGCGCATGCATCTCAAACGGCTACTAGCAACTGTGGCGCTCCTTGCAGGACCCCCGATGAACACAAGTCTACACAATTCTAATCCTGCAATACCATTGAGCCCCGCCTCTGAACACGCTTCAAAGCTAGGGAAGGTGCGCATCTGGATTTGTCTGACTCAGTACTTCACAGGCGGCAATTTGCAACAGTCTTGCATCGAACCACAACGAGAAGATGCTAGAGACAATATGGCAGGTGTCGCCAAGCAGCCAGGAATGTCTGTGTTATCTGGAGTCTGGGAAGCGGAGCTCGACCCACAAACACCGCTAAGCATGCCGACTGGCCGCAGTCCCATCTTACCTGCAGCTCATCCGTAACAGTCTGCTGTTGCATGGCCCTCTGACGTTTTGATGGCTTTGCAATGCACTGATGTTTTACGCCTCTGTTACAGGCTTGCCATGCCTTGGCCAGCATCGATGCAGCTCTCCGAGACGCACGCTATCTGCCGTGATCTCCCAGAATGCATTCCACGTGGGGAACTCAAAACCGCATACCCTCGATCTGGCATGGAAACACCGTGGGCGCTGAGGCAAAATTCATCTTAGCCACTCGTTCTTGTGTCCCCTTTCATTTCGTCACTCATTCTCCTTGCAGGCCTGGTCTATCATGGAGCGTGTCTTAGCGGAAAGCCCAGTTTGCGCAAGCCGGGGCTTGTCGTGTTTCTCATGCGGAAATGTGGAGTTGTACCTACAAGTTTGGAGAGTATAAATCATGTGCTTACCCGGTTTGGATCCGCACGACACAGACGACCACGCTGCTTCCAGTCGACTCAGTGCGTCTTACAGAGTCATACAGGTGCCGCGGAATGTATACCTCTTCGGATAGATCTTGCAAGTACCAGAACTGGTGGGATGGACGGACACCACGAGCCGGACATGAAAAGAGTCAACACAAGGGCGATGGTAGCATGGTGCTTCCTCTACCAGCTTTTCCGCCGGCCCTAGAGTTTGACCCTACTCAATTCGCACTTCCGCCTGCGTACGAAGATATTGATCTGGAAAAGGCTGTGCTTCCAGGAGCAAGACGATTCAGCAATGCATCAACACTATACCAAGATTCGATTGCCCAGAAAAGATATCAACTTGTTATCAAGGCTGATCAAGACTCATTACACCGACCGATACCGTGGCACAGGCGTGTCATTCGGTGTCTCCGATACAGCATTCTCACTGTTTACCGACGTCTGTTCACGTTCGTCTTTACACTCAACCTCATTGGCGTCTTCCTGCTCTTACGGCAACAACAACAACGTAGTCATGCCGACAGACGACAGCTATGCACAACATTTGCAGCACTCGCGTCCTCCAATTTCCTTCTTGCCATTCTCGTGCGGCAAGACTATCTCGTCAACCTCTTATTCCGAACAGCCTGGTTGGTCCCTTGGTCAGCCCCGTCAATACTTCGAAGACTTGCGGCAAGAGTGTATTGCTATGGTGGTCTACACAGCGGCGCAGCGGTGGCTGGCACGGTGTGGTGGATAGGATTCACATCGTTTACGAGCTGGATGTTCATCAGAGAAGCGAGTAGTTTCGCAGTGACAGTCATCGCATGGTCGCTACTGCTCCTCTTGCTCGTCATCCTCCTACTCTCGCTCCCCACGATGCGAGCGAAATTCCACAACACATTCGAAGTAACCCACCGCTTCCTAGGCTGGACATCCGTCGCTCTTTTCTGGACGCAACTCCTCCTCCTCGCCCACTCCGCATCCACACCTCACCAATCCATCACCAACATACTCCTCCACGACATCACCTTCTGGAACCTCACCCTCCTCACCTTCCTCCTAATCTACCCGTGGCTCCGCCTCCGCCGCTGGACCTTCACCGCCCACGTCCTCTCCCCCCACGCCATCCGTCTCTCCTTCCCGCACGCAATTCACCGCTTCTCCTGCCTCTCCATCTCCACCTCCCCGCTGCACGAGTGGCACCCGTTCGCCACATTCCCCAGCGCCGCTGGGCCCAGCATGGTGATTTCTAACGCAGGTGACTGGACGCGCGGCATCATCGGGGCGGCGCAACACCACGCTGCTCTCGCGCGCGCTGCTAGTGCGCAAACAGGCCGGAAGGAGGAGGCTGTGAAGATGCATTTCTACATCAAATCCCACCCGAAAGCTGGCGTGCTTTCGCTCTCACTGCTCTTCCCGCGCGTCCTCATTCTCACCACCGGCTCGGGCATCGGACCCGCTTTGTCCTCCCTTCTCGAACGCCCAGTCGCGCAACACGCAAGACTCATTTGGAGCACGCGCAGTCCGCTGAAAACGTACGGCAGTGATATCATGGCATTGGTGGATAAAGCTGATCCAAACGCGATTGTCCTGGATACGGATCACATAGGCCGTCCGGACTTGTTGGAGGTCGTGTGGAGGGAGAGTCGGAGGGAGAGGGTGGATGCGGTGTTTGTGCTGAGTAATGAGAAGGTGGTGAGGTGGGTTGTGGGTGGGTTGGAGGGGAGGGGGGTTAGTGCGTATGGGCCGATCTGGGATTCGTAGGGTGATTGCAGTGGTTTCTTGTATATATGGGAGTTTGGGGGGTGGCGGTTTATGGAAGGGGAAGGGAAGTATATGATACCCAAACACACGGATTTTCCTTGAGTCTTATGGAATTTTTTACTTTTAAGGTTTTGACTTGACCTACTTGCTGGATAATGCTACATTGTTGCTTTTCACGTGGAAAAAAGACCTTCCGCTCGCTGACTATGTTACATCCATCTCAAGAAAACGGGAATATATGGGAGAGTCACCTACACCCTTCAAAACGCCATCGCTAAAACCGAAAACACACATATATCGTACTCTTTCATTCGTCATCATTGCCCGTCCGAGATGGCACGGCAAGTGGTCGCCCAGCCAGTATGGCTTCGCGATCCTTCCGCATGCCCTCAAGCACTGCGACTAGCCCGCCCTCACGCATGCGCTCCAGCACAACTTTCATGCCCTCGCGCGCATTCGGCTGACTGCGCTGAGCACGCGTGAGACCAATCTTCTCGATATTGCGTTGTAGAGCTTGGGTGCCCCAGCTACGTAGAAAGCCCATTTTCGGGGGCGCTTCGTCTTCGGCGGGGGCGGAGGCGGAGGCAGCGGCTTCACGCTTCTTCTTCCACGTCTCGCCGATGTGCGAATGAAGGGTCACGCTACTCACCACATCCGTTGTTTCGCTCGAATCCTCGACCTTCGCACCGTTGTTGAAGTTCAAGAACCCATGGCGCCGCGCGGCTGTCTCCATGCCCTGCCAGATCTTATCCTCGTCGTGAAGTGCTGATGGCTTTGCAGGGTCTGGACGCATGAATTTCTGGCGCTCGACGACGCTCAAAACGCCTGTCCACTCGAGATTGCGCGACTCCGTGTCCATCCAGCCTTCCTTGACATCCACGACGGACTTCTCGAGGATAAAGGTCTGCGTGTCGCCGGTGGCGGAGGCGCCGAGGAGCGAGCGCGGGAGCAGCTTCAGCACGGCGGAGGGGAGCTTGGAGCGCTTGAGGTGTAGGCGTATGGTGGTCAGGCGCTGCGTTTCCGGGTCGAAGCTGCGCGCGATGGTGTCGGTGGAGAGCACGTGTGTGGAGTACGGGTTGGGGTAGCGCAGGAAGTAGGCGAGGGTGACGGCGGGGAAGGGGTATGGGTATGTCTCCGAGGACGAATAGAATTTGACCATTGTGACGACGTTTCGAAGCTCTGTGGGAGCGTGGTTGGTGAGGCGGCGAAATGGGACGGTGTATTGTGGGTAGGGAGCTCAGAAGCAACCTGTATCGCGGGTGACTATCTCAAGTGACGAAGGGGCATTGTCGAGCGCAATTGAGTTGCACTGGCTACGCTGGGAGAGAGTGAATGGCGTCGGGGTGGTGTGATGGTCGAGTGACGGCATCTTACAGGCACGAGATTTGCCTTTGTCGGAATGCGGAGACGGCGGCCAATGGGAGGCGTGGCGCAAGCTGTGGCGCGGGCAGTGGCTGTGCTGGCTGGCGGGGCTGTAAATTAATTGGCGGGGTTGAGTCAACACAGGGACAGCAGGCAGGCGCAAGGGTCACGACACAGTCACAGAGTAAGTGAGCTGTCTTTCCGCGCTTCATAAACAACCATTGACTTGTATTGTGATATAGCAGCCACCATGACGGAACCAGAGCCGCCCTCCGTGGCCGCCCTCAGCCTCGCCGAAACTGCGACGCAGCCCGTGACCAAGGCGACGGAGCAGGAGATCAACCCGTGGGACGTGCAAGCCGCTGTCGACGCCGACGGCAATGTCCTCGAGTTCGATTACGCTGCGATATCGCAAAAGTGGGCGACCAAACTCATCGACGACGCGCTGCTGGAGCGGTTCGAGCGCGTCACAGGCCACAAGCCACATCGCTGGTTACGGCGGCGTCTCTTCTTCTCCCACCGCGATCTGGAGCAGATACTGGACACATATGAGCGCGGCGAGGACTTCCTGCTGTACACTGGCCGTGGACCCAGCAGCGACGCCATGCACATTGGCCACACGATCCCATTCGAGTTCACAAAGTGGCTGCAGGATGTCTTCGACGTGCCGCTGGTCATCATGCTGACAGACGACGAGAAGTTCCTGTTCAAGGAGAAGCTGAAACAAGAAGAGGTCTACGAGTTTGCACGACAAAACGCCAAGGACATCATCTCCGTGGGCTTCGATGTCAAGAAGACATTCATGTACATCGACTCGGAGTTCTTCACGTCGGGCCACAACAGGCACTTTAGCTTGAACACGACCGAGTTTGAGAAGCTCATCACAAACAACCAAGTGCGCGGCGCATTTGGCTTCCACGGTTCAACGAACATCGGCAGCAACGCCTTCGCCGCGAAGCAGTGTGTAGCTGCCTTCGCATCCTCCTACCCCTTCATCTGGGGCGAGGATGGCAAGTCCTATAAGCGCTCCAAGAAGCTCTCCGCGATACCCTGCCTCATCCCCTGCGCCATTGACCAAGACCCCTACTTCCGCCTCGTCCGCGAAAACTGCAGTCGCATGGAACTCCCCTCGCCGAAGCCCGCACTCATCCACTCCAAGTTCCTTACCGCGCTGCAGGGCGCAGGCGGCAAGATGAGCGCCTCGAATCCCAACTCGGCCATCTTCATGACCGATACGGAGAAGCAGGTCAAGAAGAAGATCAACAGCCACGCCTTCTCCGGCGGCCAAGAGACCATGGAGCTACATCGCGAGAAGGGCGGCAACCCAGACATCGACGTTCCATACCAGTATCTCGCCTACTTTGAAGACGACGACGAGAAACTATTGCGCCTCGCAGCCGAATATCGCGCCGGCACGCTTCTCACTGGCGACATGAAGAAGGAGTGCATCAACATGATGACCGCGTATGTGCGGAAGTTTCAAGAAGCGCGCGCAAATGTGACAGACGAGATTCTCGAGGAGTTCCTCAGGCCTCGCAAGTTAGAATGGAAGGGTAATCTCAACCCGACAAAGAAAGAGGATAAGAAAGAAGAGGCTGCAGAAGGTGCGGAGGGTGCGGCGATGCTGGATGCAGATGGTAAACCCATGACGAAGAACGCGATGAAGAAAATGCTCAAGATGCAGGAGGTCGAGCGGAAGAAGAAGGAAAAGGAAGAAGCGGCAAAGGCCAAGCAGTGATAATGTCGTTCAATTCAAACTATCGAAGAGAGCATGTCGCAAAGGTTGGTGTCCTCGTCCCGTCTGTGAATATGCCTTCTAAATGGAAAGGATGCCCTGGCTGAGTGATGGAAACTTTGCAAGTGCACTGACTGGCGTTGAGGTACTAACTAAAAATAAGCATCAAAGTCACTTGAAGCTACAAACTTGACAACATGTTTCACACGAGGTTGTACGTGTCTGGGCACGATCCATTTCATTGCGGCCGCGCAGACCTGGCCTTTTCAGCCAGAAAGCGCGCTCAATACAGTCTTTATTACCTTCCTACAAAAAACGTACCTTCCGCTGCGAACTGTTTTCTCGTTAGTGCTAACATTAGGCAAATTTGGGATTATCCCAGACTCATAAATCTTCCGGCGCTTACTTTGTATAGCTTCCCCGCATCGTAATTAGGCCGGTACATCTGAGTCTACCGGCAAAGGCGCCGGGATCGTCTGAAATGTATGCATGATATCCCCACCACACCCCCGACCCCAGAATTTCCCCGCGAATCAAGACTCGGCATGTCAAGAACGATGATCATGTTGATCGGCTGGCTTGCCATTCACAAGCTTAGCTCGGCAAAGCTTGGCCTTAGCACTATAACGATATCGACTTTGAGAACCTTACACCCGATACTTTTATGACACCTTCCCATCCCGGACAACCTTTCACACGTGGAAGGGGATGCATAGCAGAAGATGGAATCGCTCCCGCCAATACAGGATAAAGCCTGACATGCCAGGCACTTCACATGGATCCGGTGGCCAGGTTTGACCTCGGGACAGTGTCCTGGCTGATCGTATATATACTCTGTCTGGATGCTGGACATGATGACTACCGCTTTCGTGCTTTGTGCTGCGTGGTGATCGCATCCTTCAGCAAATCAGGCGATTGCACAGACGGCCCGACCAACGAGATCATCAACAACCAAGATCCAGCATGTCGCCACGATCTCGTCTCAGTCGCCGTGCGATTGGCTTGGCCCTTGTCGGTACGGCCTCTGCTGCTGCAGGACCATGCGACCTCTACGCATCGGGCGGAACACCTTGCATTGCCGCTCACAGTACAACTCGAGCTCTGTACGGTGCATTCACTGGATCGCTCTACCAGGTCAAGCGTGGCTCGGATGGTGCCACTACCAACATCGCGCCCTTGTCTGCTGGTGGCGTCGCCAATGCCGGAACCCAGGATAAGTTCTGTGCCAACACAACATGTCTCATCACCATCATCTATGACCAGTCGGGTCGGGGCAACCACCTCACGCAGGCCCCAGGAGGTGCTTTCAAGGGACCTGAAGCGGATGGCAAGGACAATTTGGCTGCCGCTGATGGTGCGCCTGTGACACTCAACGGGCAGAAGGCGTATGGTGTATTCGTCTCGCCCGGCACCGGGTATCGAAACAACAAAGTGAGCGGCTCCGCGACCGGTGACCAACCAGAGGGAATGTACGCTGTTCTCGACGGCACACATTACAACGGCGGATGTTGCTTCGACTACGGCAACGCAGAAACCAGCAACACAGACACTGGGTGAGTCTTCCATCTTCCCTTATCAAACTCGACTAAAACCCCGCAGCAACGGCCACATGGAAGCCATCTACTACGGTGACAACACCATCTGGGGCTCTGGCGCTGGCAGCGGTCCTTGGATCATGGCTGACCTCGAAAATGGCCTCTTCTCCGGCGTCAACGTCAAGAACAACGCCGGCGATCCTACCATCACATCCCGCTTCGTCAACGCCATAGTCAAGGGCAGCCCCAACAAATGGGCCATCCGCGGCGGCAACGCAGCCTCAGGCGCTCTCTCAACATACTACAACGGCGTGCGCCCCAATGCCAAGGGCTATAACCCGATGTCCCTCGAAGGCAGCATCATTCTAGGTATCGGCGGCGACAACAGCATCTCGGGCCAAGGCACCTTCTACGAAGGCTGCATGACATCCGGCTTCCCCTCCGATGCGACTGAGAACGCAGTGCAAAACAACATTGTCGCGATGAAGTACGCGACTACAAATTTGATGAGTGGGCCAACGTTCGCTATCGGTTCGTCAGTTAGTCTACGCGCGACGACCAAGGGCTTCGACACGAAGTACATCGCGCACACCGGCTCCACTGTGAATACTCAAGTAGTTACTTCCTCGTCTTCTTCCGCGCTCAAACAAGCCGCGTCATGGACCGTCCGCGCCGGATTGGCGAACGGCGGGTGCATATCTTTCGAAAGTCGGGACACTGCCGGCTCATTCATCCGGCACTTCGACTTCAAGCTTTCACTCGCCGCCAATGACGGGTCCAAGGCGTTCAAAGAGGACGCAACGTTTTGTCCACAAGCAGGATTGAGTGGGCAGGGCAGTTCGATCAAGGCGTGGGGATACCCAACACGATACATCAGACATTACGAAAGCGTGGGGTATATTGGAAGCAATGGGGGAGTGCACACTTTTGACGCAGCAGCATCTTTCAACGATGATGTTAGCTTTGTTATGAGTACGGGGTTCGCTTGAGTACTTAGAAGTAGTCTTCGTATTGGAAGAGTACATGCAATCTTAAATACCCATCAGTTCAGGTTCGGAGTCATCATCAAGATATAACACTTGTGCTTGGAGCCTTTCGTAGTATGTTGAAGGTGTGTTTTGAGATTTGTGATACGCTACATAACGTCTTGATGTATTATGCGCCAGTGTGTACAGAATGAAAAAGACATGGCGATGATCGCGGTGATAACGGACGCACATTTCGCGGCGTTCCTTCCGCAGCTCGATTCTCCCAACCACAACCTCCCGTCACACACTCAATACATCTGAGGCATCTTCGCACTATGCCCAAAGCCCTGATGAGACTAAAAGGACAGTGTGCATGTACGTTCTTCAAAGCGCGTAGATTGCGACGCGATCACCTGTGGCTGCGTGCTGAGGACTAGGAAACAACAAATGTCTTTGTGAATGCAGGAGGTAAGACCGTCGCTGCTGTGCGAGAAGAAACTTTTGCAGAGATTCAGAGTTAGGAGTATGGAGTTTGCTTTCGCATGGGTTGGGTGGGGATCGGAATCACCACTCATCTCATGGACCACAATTCAAGATTGCATGAAGGAGCATGGGATGGGTAGGGAATCGGAGAAAACCACCACAATCATGCACAGCAGCTCAAAGTTGCAACGGGGACCGACTACAGTAACATGGTTGTAATCCTGGCTCCACATATAACTGCACAACCACCGCACGCACCCCTCTGTGCAACTCATGTGACCCAAAGAAGTCAGGTCATAGTGCTTACGCGTGAGATTCGTTGTGATCTGAGCGATGCAGACATTCGGTCGTCCAAACGCGATGCACGTCTCCAATCTATATAACACGTCATCGACGACGAACGCATCCTTCTCCGCATGTCTTTGTACAGGTTCGCCTTCGACTCACGGGCTCCTCAGACAGTATTTGCATTGCAACTACAGCTCCACTCATGGACGCATGCTCGGATCCTCCGTTAACGCTGGAAGACAAGTCAAAGAGCAGATGTGTCGCCCACGCGCTGGAGATTTTAGATGGATACAGACAGCGTCACTTGCGACATCGAAATTCCGCGAATCGCTGAAGTAGAATACCGCGCGACATTGCGCTCAGCCTCGGGAGGAACAGGATGACGCGCAAATTCTATCCATAGAGCAACTGCTTGGTTGCGAAACTCGAGGTCATGAACGACCGTCAATCTCAGGACAGGCAAGTCTCTATTGTCAGTGACAGTCTAGGACATTGCGCACTTCGATACTGGTAAATGGTACCATCTCTTTTTGGGTCTTTCCTCATCAGGATCTTCGCTCTTCTAGGCAAGGCGAAATGTTCACTCGATGTCGCTTCTACATGCGATGGAAGTCCGCCCACGTGGACCAGAGTCGCGAACGCCCTATGCAAACACGAATGGGATCAACATCATTAATTACCAGTTTCTGATCGTCGGAATTACCGCCGATCTACGAAGTCTATACGTTGTCGTCCTATCATTCGATGTCTCTTAGCGCTCGCAATGCAACGCTGCGGCGCAGCTCTCCGAAACATTGAGCAACAACCATGTTACTCCCCATCTCAACACCCAATTCCTTCTTCTCGCTGTTTCCTCGCTTCCGTGTCAAATCTGAACTCGATATCCTCAAACGCACGCAATTGCTACAGCCGCAATGGCACCCAAATCGATGATGTCGCATACCAACCCTGCAACTCCGACGGCTCACGCGACTCCGTTTGTTGCGGTACGAACCACTAAGGCGCCGGCCACACGAATGTCGCAAACGACGTATGCGATGCCAATGGTCTTTGCCAAAATTTCGAGGCTTTTGATGGCACAAACGGTGGCGTGAAGGTTTGGTGGCGACAAGGGTGCACCGATCCAACATGGCAGAGCGAGCATTGTCTCAAAGATGTCTGCAATTTTGCGAAGGTGAGGGACACTGAGAATATGTTGATTCAAGAATTCGTGAAGAAGCTGACGAGCTGGTAGTGGCAAGCCGACAACGCGCCCGTCCAGAAGTGCAGCGATGGCAAATGGTGCTGCGGGGAGAAATTATGCTGTAGTATCACTTCCAGCCTCTTTCAACTGGCTGCAACCCTTGGACCGACTCCAACCCCAGGTCCAGCGAGTATCAGCACAATGAGCACGAGCGCGAATCCATCAGCGAGAATAATGTCGTCGACTGGGAATTCTTTTGCTCCCACTGTAAGCCCATTCCCATCAGGAAGTCCGGCTGCGGCTGCGGCTCCACCCAGCCCTGAACTGAACACTGGAGCGAAAGCAGGCATCGGAAGCGGGGTAGTCGTTGGAGTGATATTGCTTGCTATCATAGCGCTATTATATATGAAGTTAAAGAAGAGGAAGAACGTAAATGAAAAGGCTGTTCACTCGAACCGATCAGCAGACTTAGAAAAAGAAGGACCAATTATCTATACCCGCGAAGCTGAGCCAGTTGAGATGCTCGCGGAAAGAGTACCTCTTGAGATGATGAGTCAACGAGACGTCGCAGAATTGCCAGGTTCGCAGGGTTTGCAAAGGACCGGTAGCTTCCCGCGTTGAATCGGCATCTGGGAAGCAGTCATGTTGGTATGCACGGAGCAGGTCACAGTGATTGAAAGGTGTCGGCGGCAATGATACAATTCTCCCGCGGTCACAGCATCTTCTAGGAGCATGAGAATACTTCGAAGTAGGCTTGATACAAGCTGAAAAACTGTTTAGAGCTCTCGTGTGGCAAGCTACGAATTTCGACACCTTGATGCTCACAAGCCTATATACTTATGGCTCAGAGCAAGATCATGTCGTCGCGATATCCCGGGGTTCAAGGTCTTGAGGCAACGGTAGTAGTTGAGGCATCGGAAGAGTACAGCGATGACGTGAACTTTGCTCAAATCCACGCTCGCGTTTCGCAGTAGAGGTCACTCGCAGGTGTCAATGAAGAGTTGGATCAACATTATTAAATGCTCACGCATATCAAGATTCTCGTTATTATCCATCACAGAGACGCTGCCATAGTAGTTCAAAAGCTCTTGTATCCCTGGCCGCGCACGAATGTCTGCTGCCACGGTCCCTGTTCTTCGTCCTCCGTCAGTTTCAAATAATGCGTCGCATGCGCCTCTCCACTGATTTCTCTGTATACCGGCGTCCCGTCTTCCTTTCTCTCATCGGCGTAGTAGAATCTGCAAAGTGTCAACGAACCATCTTTGCATGTGGTCATCATCGTGTGTAGTTACTTGAAGCCTCGATCTGCATACGCCACGGACGCAGCGTGGATCAAATGAGCAGATGCCGCCTTGCCGGCACCCGCACCAGTGAGCGGAAGAACGATCAAATCGGTGTTCATGGCATTGCCGGTGAAGATGAATGTTTTGGAGGCTGAGGCGGGGAGCTTTGCGAAAGATGCCAATGCTTCTTTGATCGCCACAAAGACGCTGGTGGTGTTAACATTGAGGTCTTTCACAAAGTTGTTAAGATGTATCGAGAATGGGTCCTGCGCATCAGGCAGAGTGTATGCGCCAGCTGTCAAGGTGATCAATAGTCTTGCAAAACTGAGTGCCGATTCCCTTGTACTGACCGTTGTAGACAACGACACTTGGGGCTCCGAGATCCTGCTGTACTTTGGCGAATAGCTGCGGAACGGATTCAGGGTCCGACAAGTCGGCTTGGAAATGCGTTAGACCAGTCTCATTGTCCTCTTTCTTGAAGCTTCGCGATGCCAGTGCGACCTTGTATCCTTTCGCAGCGAAAGCTCGGGATATATGGCGGCCAACATTGGGGCCAGAGCCGAGGATGAGAGCGACTTTCTGGAGTGACATGATGAATGGAGATATGGAAACGTCGGGAGTGAAGTTTCGGTGTTGTAAGATTGAATGCGGCTGATACTCACACTGCGAAAGCGTGGCTTATATGCTTCCATCAGTGATATTCACGGACGAACACAACACACTTCTCCGCCGAATCTACGGGAGTTTCCAGGAGGCTTTTAGGCTACTGGTTCTCTAGTCGCAAGATATCACCAAAGTCCCGAATTCAGTATAGCGGCATCCAGTATCGGACCAATCGCTAGCTGGTTTGTCATCAAGTTAGAGCAGTCAACAAGATTATGACGAGACGCTTTCTAGACACTAACCGGTAAGCAGAAGATTGATCACACGTGTAAAGCTAGACGTAACATATCTGCAATGCGCGTATGAAGTCCTGACTAGTGGAAGCTGGGCGGAGGTTATGCGCTACGCTCTCGGTAATCACAATCCAAATGCCTGAATCCAAAGTATTCTCGAGCTTGAGTCCTCCGCGACATGCTTTCTGAAACAATTGATCTGAATCACATCTCTGGCTCACACCCGGCATGAAGCCTTGGTTCTCTTTGTCGTACGAGGCGATCGGGTCCTGGAAGCTGTAGGCATAGTTCATGTGCTTGTATGGCACAGCAGTGCCCCAAGAAGCGGCATATTCGTCAATTCAATCCAACACTATCTTGAATTCCAATATGATCAGTTCGTCATCTTTGTTGGTATTTCACTAGTTCAGCACCAGAATGGACGAGAGCGGACCCTGGCTGGCATCCAGGCCCATACTATAGTCGCATTTCTTCAGCAGCGATACAGGATACTCTTGCAACTGCAAATCCACTGTTGATGACCTCGAGGGATTTCAGTGGCTCGTATGTAGCGTTGAACATCACGGTGGCTGCAACGAGCGTGGCCAGATCGGCTTTGACGGTCGTGTTCATATCGGCGCAACTTCGCAAGATTAAGTCCTTCATATTACTTTCTCTGAGTCAATAACACACGTGACTCCATCTGAAGACCGTTGTGCTTGCTCCTCTGCGGCTTCTTTGAGCTTCATCATTTGCATGGAGTTCATCGCGTCGAGCGGCGGTTGATAGCTAACGACGGCTCCAACACTGCCGGTTTCTCCAATTCGCGAGTGGAGTACGTTTAGTTCATGCAGAAATAATTTCCAAGGGCAGCAAATACATGACAAAATTCTTGGCTAATCATGATGTGCGTCTCCTCGCTCGATCTGGCTTGTGAAGCTCATCGCAATACGCTTAGACCTAAATCGCAAGACTGTCGGGGAAATAAAAAATGACACCTCCCCAGAACGGGCCTTGCTCGAACGTCTTCAATTTGTATCGTGTCACGATGCCGAAGTTGTCGCCTCCACCACGCAAGGCCTTCAAAAATATCTGGGTTCTCCTTCGCGTTTGCATGGACGAGGCGGCCGTCCGTTTGAACAATGTCAAAGTTGACGACGTGTCGTGGATGAAGCCTTCTCGTGAACAAAAGAACGAAAGCCCGCCGGCGATCGTATTTAGTGCGAGCGGGTCATTGTAGCAAGAGGGAAGGGTGAGACCATACCTGCCAAAGCGAGATCTCCGAGAGCTGATCGACTTCAAGTCACACCAAGGCCCTTCTCTGTCAACTTCTCATAGACATTTCCTCAACGCTCACCAGCTCCAACAGACACGACTTCGTCCTTAATCTCAATACTGGTGAGATAGCGCAGGTCGATGGTGACGCCAGGGTCGTCGATGTTCGAACAGCCTGGCACAGGCTGCTGGCCTGCGCCGCGAACAACGAGACGTGCTGCGCCGCTCAGGATACGGGGTCTGATTACGTCCACGAACTTTCAAACATCGACCCTGGTGCGGGGCAGAACAATGGCAGCTGGGCTAAGCCCGCTCTGCAGTAGGGAAAGATAGGAGTTGTTCAACTTGTCATACTCCTCAGTACCTCGAAAAGGTAGCTTGTCGGTTTCGAATGAGTCTCACAGCGCATTCATATGTTCAGATTCCTTGGTTGGCATGGTTTCCGTCTTCGGTCGATGAATATGGTTACTTAGAAATCGTGCTTTGTTGTTCTGCACTTCTGGGAAAGATGGATGTGAGATGCTCAACCTTGATGGGAACCCCGGCAAGCGCATGTAAGAAAGAGAGGACACCATGTTTGCTGTGCCGCGCGGATAAAGCGGCGTTTGAACCGCATGCGATATAATTGCTGACTGCATATATGGTACCGGATGTGGAGTGCATGATATATCGTTACCATGCCTCCGAGCTTGGGAAGGAAGCGATGCGATATAACTGCGCCACCACGACCTGTGAGAGGTGCGTGAAATATGCTCAAATGTATACATTGCCTGACATCATATATCGATGATTCGGTATATTGCTCTTAAGGGATTGACAAGACTAACTTCCCGCACGTAAATTTCTTCAAGAAGTGTTCCTGAGCTGCAACAATGTCCTTTAGCGGAAATACCTTCCCAACATTGGGTCGAATTTCCGCACGTTCAATGTACGAAATCAGATTGGAGAACAATATGTCCTCCTGGAACGTGCAGCCAAAGAAGCTAAGGTCCTTCAAGTAGAGAGTCCTTACATCGAGTTCCACGATCGGGCCTGCGATTGCGCCTGCGACGGCGTACCTTGCTCCTTTCTTCAGCAACGCCAAAAGCTCCGTGAATGTAGGACCGGCAACGAGATCGATTACGACGTCAACTGTCTCTTTCTTAACGTTCCTGCTCGCTTCGCCTCGCGGTATGACTTGGTCGGCACCAAGTTCCAGAAGTTGTTGTAGCTTGTCGCGCCCTCCCACTGCAATGACATCAGCGCCTCGCCTTTTCGCAAGCTGAATTGCGGCGGCTCCAACACCGCCAGAAGCACCAGTAATCAGCACCTTCTCTCCACTCTTGACATTCGCGCGATGCAACATATTCTCTGCCGTGGAGTATGCACAAGGTATTGACCCAAGTTCCACATCAGTCCAGTCGCAGTTGACTTTGTACGTCTCTTGAGCTGGTGCGACTGTGTACTGCGCGAATGCACCATCGCATTCAGATCCGAACGTCCAGCACTCATATGGACGATTGCTGACGTAGTGGCGAAGCATCGTGCGAACCAGTACGCGATCGCCAATACGCTCTGTGTCGACATTGCTCCCCACTGCTACGATGCGACCGCAGCAATCCGCACCTTGGATGCGAGGGAACTTCAGAGGAGCCCCTGACCAAGACGAATCGTCATCTTGTCGTGTGTCAGAAGCCGCTGTGCTTTCGGCATCGGTTGCGCCCCGGACACCTTTCGAGTACCAGCCAATTCGCGTATTGATGTCTGTGTTGTTGATTCCCGCCGCTGTAACTCGAATCAGAACTTCGTCGGCGGCTGGCGTAGGAACGGTCAGATCATCGCGATATTCAAGCTTGTCGAATCCGCCATGCCCGACAAGAACGACACCGCGCATTGTCATAGGGATGTTATTGGGTGGCATGTCTCCTGATTTGATCTCCAGTCAGATTTTGGTTCCCTAGTGATGTATGTTTCCGCGCTCGCCTCCCTTGCAACGAAGATGAAGTTTGAAGTCTATAAATCCTTCAATGACCTTCCTTTTGCGCAAGATGAGCATTCATACATCTTGCTTATAAATTCGCACGATAAGCATCTATGCATCGTGCTTATAAATTTGCAACAGTGTTTCTCTGTACGTCATGTTAGCAATCTCGCAATCGTTGCTTATTAATTCTCTAAACAGTAACGTGTTCTACTACTAAGCTGCGCGCATTACTAAGCTCTAGACTCTTTCTATAAGAGATACTAGAGAGGTTTATATGCAAGTAAAGTATCTGTAAGGGATACTAGAGAGGTTTGTATGCAAGTGAAGCATCTCTGCTTAACTTACTACCTACTCTCTAACTTACTACCTACGCTCTAGTATACCTTACTTGCTCTAGCTTTCTCTTCTCTTTCCTTTTACTTTAGCTAGTCTACTCTAGGCTAGCGTATACGCTAGCCTAGCGCCTATATGCCTTATAGTATATATAGCTAGCTACTCTCTTCTCTTAGTAGACTCTTTATCTACTATTCTACCTTTAGTTAAATATAAGTACTTTTTATTAACCTAAGCCTTCTATGCCTGCAGTCTACCTTATATAATAGTAGACTAAAGTAAAAATTACTCTTTATAAGCTTTATAGCCTTAATTAACGTAAGTAGTTTCTTACTTACGCTTAGTTATTGCATAGAACCTTAGATTATTAGCTCTTTATTAAGTCTAGTAGCTTTTTTTATCTTCTCTTACTACTAGAATCTAGTCTCTGCTCTACTATATAGAGTATAGCTTAATGCCTATCTCTTTAGAAAGAACTTACCTTTTAAAGCTATTACTTACTTACTTACGCTTACTATATGTAGTAAACTCTAGAAGTTTATACTTAAAGCTCTAGAAGCTTACTATTACTAGCCTAATAAAGCCTACTATATATCTAAACTCTAGAAGTTTATTATTACTAGCTTACTAAGGCCTACTATATACCTAAAGCTCTAAGAAAGTATATTATTACTAGCCTACTAAGGCCTGCTATATACTTAGACTTTAGAAGTTCTTAGCTTAAGAAACTGCTAAAAAATTAGCGCGTATATAGCTACTTTGCTACCTGCTATTATATGCTAGCTATTACTTCTATAGCCTAAGGCGCTAAGAAAATTTTTCTTAGCTTTTTACTCTTAAGATTATATTATCTTGCTAGCGTAGCGCTAGCCTCTTATCTCTCTCTATATTAGAGTTACTTCTTTTACTATTTAGAATAGCTACTCTACTACTATAACTACTACTACTAGCTAGAAACTTAACTATCTAACTCTTTTATATACTTCTTACTTTTTCTTACTTACTTTCTCTTTATACTAGCATACTATAGCTAGTGCTAGAAATAAAGTAAAGCTTTCTAATAAGAACTTTAAGAATTAGAAGACTTACTTCTATATAAATACTAACTTTAAGAATTATAAGAACGTACGCTGCTCTCTAATAGATAACTTAGAACTAGCTATATCTCTACTCTAATAGGTAGGCAGTAATATAAGTATATCTTCTAAGAAGAACTTAGCTAAACTTAATGCATCTAAGCTATATCTACCTAACTAAGCATCTAAGAAATTTTTAAACTATAATAATAGTATAGCCCGGCTCGGGGCGGGGTGGTCGTTGTTGTGCCTGAGGCAATTTTCGAGGAGTTTGGGTGTTAGTTGGTGGTGCCCGCACTAGCCTCGCTTAGGACCATCAACCGACACCAGATCACGTGTTTTATACTTTTTTAACG